TCGGCATCATGGGACAAGACAGTACGGCTGTGGGAGACAGCAACAGGGACGTGTCGCAGCACGCTGGACAGCCCTTCTGCTTATATCGATCATGTCGATTTCTCTCCAGATGGCCAGATACTCCGCACTGACAGAGGCGATATTCCTGTGCCTCAAAATCCTGTCAGAACATCGCTCCTAAGGCCGCAGCCGCACTCCTTCTACGTTCAAGTGCAGGGCCAGTGGATAACACGCAACCATCAACGATTCCTGTGGCTTCCGCCAGAATATCGATCACGATCGACCGCAGTATGCGAGGATATAGTGTGTCTAGGACTTGCATCTGGTCGTGTCGTTCTGCTTAGGCTTCTCTAGCTTGTGCATTAATAAGGCTGATTTAATAGCAGTATATTATAGGCACTAACCCAATCTAGCTGATAAGCCATTTCTGCCCGCTACTAAGAATATTATGTAATCTTTAAAGCTAGCTTATAGTCCGTGCGGATCACGTTCTCTCCTGCTCGCTTAAGTTCTAAGTACTAACCAGGGTAGCGACGTTGAATAATCCTGCTTTTTGCGGCAGCCATATGGGTAATAAGAGCTAGTGGATGCTTGGCTAGTTCGAGTACACAGGATCGAGTAGACCTATCAGCGTCAGAGCTACGTTTAGCTGTAGTGCGTTGTTGTAGAGTGAGTTATCTTTAACAACTAAACAGGATGCTCCTATAGATGAGCCGTAAAGAACACCAAAGATCTGGTAACTTTTAACTCCAATTTAGGGATCTTATTTCTAAGAAGCTCCTCTATATTATCGCCTTCAGGGTATTCAAGATCCCGATGTTGCTATGTTGTAAATGTGACTTTAGTTCCAAGTACCTGTGATTTGTCTCGCTTCGATGTGTGTCTCGCTTCACAGTGGGTAACGTTAATTAATTGCCTCAAAAAAGACTGGGATTACAAGAGAAACCACATAATGCTTGAAATACAGCACAGGTCATCATGATTGCAGTGATCACTCTTCATGTTCGACCACGGCGTCTGCAGGCGGACATCCAGGCCAAGATGTCACTCACAAACATTGTCTATCGCCAGAATATTAAGGTTCAAACACTGACATGTGACCGAACTAGGACAACTTGTCGAATTTGCAATGTGCAGCTGCTGGCCAAAACCTCTGCCACGAACAGGCAGTCCAGACTCTATGGCAGGGCTCTTCGTAGAGCCACAGAAGCTGCAGATCCTGAAGATGGCAGATTGCCGATGCTTCGAACTGCTCCGGGTGCACCAGCTGCCAACGTCCTGGACGCCGATCTTATCCGTGCCGAAGCTATGCCAGGCCCAGAAGTATCTGGGCTTGATGCATCTGCGGTGGCATCGGTCCAAGCTAGGGTAGATGCCGTGTAGTAACATGCCTAGGTGCGAGATGAGTCTACCATGGAAGGTCAAACATTAGAAGATGCCATTGAAGATACGACCTCGGCGCTGAAAGTGCTTACCCTAGAGACAACTGTGCAACACGGTTCAGATTCTAGGATTCCTGCAACGAATGAAGTCGTGGGGGCACAAGCACCTACCATGTATAAACTCCAGCACTTTCAGCAGATGGAAAATGAGCCACATCCGGCTTATCCTGTCCGTATAGATGTGGCTATCAAGGGCAGTATTGCCAGATCGTCCCACAAATATAAGCCAAAGACGTCCATGGCTCCTCGCAAAATGTCTGTTACAGTATTTTCCATAGAGGAAGTGGACGAACAGATTGGTACCTATCGTATATTCGGCTTCTATTTAACCATACCAGAAGCACCGCTTCAGAGACACAACCAGAAACTCGCGAGAGCCAGAACCATCAACCCTAGGCCAACATGGAGAACACATCTGCCTCGGGCTCCATTTCTCAGTCGTCACATGGACAGACCGAGATTGAATTTACTATGTCAATCCAGAATCTGCTCAATGCCGCATACGGTGTTCCAAATGCTCAGAAGAGCACAGTCAACACAACAAAGAAGTTTCTCTACCTTACCTGCAAGAAGACCGTTACCAGTAAGAAGCGAGCAGTCCATCTGGCATCGGAAAGTCACTAGGTGGCTGCAGGTGCCGATCCTGTGACACCAACCTGCTCCACGGAAGAACGCTTCTGCGAAGCCTGCCAGATCAGTGTCCTCGCTAGGAACCGGAAGAAGCACGAGCGCTCAATCAGACACCAAAAGTGCATGGGTGCGGCTAACACACGGATCAGGTTGCGCCACTGTGAGTACTGCGGCTACGGTATCCATGCAGGCGGTTGGGCGAGGCATCTCCAGCAAGCTGTGCATCTCAGGGCGGTGAAGGAGGAATCTTCCACTACAGAAGAAGGTTTCGATCCTGTACCCACCTTGGGTATGGGCGTTGCCTCCGACCCGGAAGGTCAAAGGGTGTCTCCCCTTCCTTTTCCACGATCTCAAAATGGGATCTCTATAGCTCGCCCACTCTCCCGCGGGCGATCAGCTTGACCCAAGGTGCGCGCAGGTGGGCTGCTGACCGTGGGGGCATCTTTAAGCGTGCCTAGAATGCTTATGCCTCTAAGTCGAAAGCATACAGCAAGTTAGATTTCATGTCGGTCGTTGGATGCATGTAAGATGCCCTATGCCAGATCCTTTGGTATGTCCAGTATGTACTGGGAAAGTATGTTCCGTATCTCAGGCACAGCCGGTAGGTGTTGCCTTAATTCTCCCCATTGGTGTTTATTCAGTTAGGATACTTCATGATCGATTCATTCGGCTTTTCTTGACTTAATTTAGTAGTAATAAACTACCCTGATCGGGCATTATGCACTCTTATTGCTACAGTCGTCAATCTACAGGCCTTACATTTTGTCCGTATGCAGGTCATTGTGCCTTTCCAAGTCCTAGTCAGTCCTAGGGAAGGTCTGAGAATCCCTTCGTCAATAAAATCTTGTCACTACTGACATGTATCCGCACCACATGTCGCTCCACAATTTTACCCATAAACGTAAATTATGCTCTATCTACATCCACCTACCAAAAATCGATAGTAGACAATTCCGGTCGCTCTCGTTCATCACCATATTCCAAGGTTGTCGGTTACTCCTACGTATAGATCAATAAGCTGCTCTCCCTAACGCTGCTGGAATTGCAAAGTCATGTGATTGAACTCGTATGTTCATCTGTTTGTGATACCAACAATCACGTATAGAGACCTTCTGATACCTCGATAGTGCACTATAAACGGAAGAAGAAAAAGTTCAGCTTTATATGCGTGCTCTTTCCACTCAATCAAGTACTCTTTCCTCTGAGCACACTATGTATGCTTAGCGCGAGGTCTTACTTGCAATAGAAGCAGCTTTAGGCTGTCCTTTGTTCAAGATTACATAATCCTCATCCTCCAGCCGCACAAAGTCCTCCTCGTCCCCCAGAGTTAACCGCATTCTGGACTGCACCTTCATCTTAGGCTTAACACTCCCGATCGTGTCCATCATATGACTCGACTCCTGTTTAGTGCCGATGATCTTGGGCCAGAACTTCTTCAATAACGAGTATATGCCGGGCATGCAAGCGCACACGTTGCCGACATGGACTTCGATCTGACTCCAGTAGCCCATCTCTTTGTAGTCCCCTGTCGGAAAGTCAGAAAGGTTTGCTCGGGGCTGTGAAGAGCGTACAAGTTGCATTGTGAGAGTCTGCAAAACTGGCAAGACTCCGAAGCCGCAGCATGCTGACGAGTGTAACACTGGAGATGGTTAGTTTTGGTCGCCCAATAGCAACATGACGTACAAGATGCCAACAGCAAACATCACTAGTCGAGTCCTACAGTCAGCATGGATCCAGATGGAGACAATTGAACCCACTCACGTATAACTTGCGCCTTCTTCTTCTTTGACAGTGCCAGCTGGGAAAGTGGCCTGAGCGGAAGCAAGATTATCGCAACATCCAAGACCATCTTCCAGATAGCGGAAGCCCAGCCCAAGGCATTCCTGTTCCGACAATGAAACTTCTCTTCTCCATCCCAGTATTCCCATGCTCCTCGTATAGGTGTACATTGATTGATCGAGATGAGTGCTCCTAAGACGGTATAAAGGATGACAACAGTCATGACGATCCAAACTTGGATCTTTACAGACCTGGTCGGGAATATTCGCAGGTAGAATAGAAGCAATGACGTCATGGTGAAGAACACAGCAATACTGTAAACCCATTCACCATGGTAGTATGCCTACACAGCCAAAATCAGTCTATCAGTAAATCGCCGAAGTCATCAACTCACAATAAGCATGTAGGTTATATCGTTGAACGAGACAGTCCAGATGTCTTTGCCGAGACCATGCACATACACTGTCATGATACGTTAGCAGACGGCAAACAACACCCGGTGGGTACTTACATGCTATGCTGGTGCCTGCAAATCCCGCAGCTGACACGATGGCTCCAAACATAGCGTAATCGTCCCAGTAGAATGGAGTATCACACACCCAGCGTGATAGAACACGCAACAGCAATGTTACGAGCGAAAGTATGAAGAACCCGATTCCCAGCCACAGTGTAGACCATGTTTCGTCTCGAACTGGTGCCCCACAGGTCGCCATTGAGTAGTTCTTCGTGCTCAAGCTTTCGCGAACAGTACATGTTGTGGCGACACATAGTTCAGCGGTCTGGGTCAACTGTGTGTCGGTGCAGATGCAAAGAGTGTCTGTTGAGGAGCAGTTTGATGCTGCGATCGCATTTTTGAGACAGAGAGCCTCAAGTACCAGTCAGCTCGTAGATAACTCGATCGAAAGATACAACGTACTCCACATTCAGGCGGCGGAGTCAGCTGTGTCTGGACAGCGACGATGAACCCAACGAGCAACAGAAAAACGTAACAAGACCGCATTGTTCAGTCGTATGTTGATGCGAAAAGCATCTCAATCTGGGATGCCGGATTGAGCCAATTTCATTGCCTATATAGTGCGTACTACACGCGTTCCTGCAGGGAAGTCTCCATGCTGTGAACGGAAAGGCATGTTAGGCACATCGTAAAGTGGGACCTAGCCGATCAGGCGCCCTGGCTTTTGGGAACTTCCGTGCGACTACAGACATGGAATATCGCCGAGTTTCACCATTTCGGGGCTTCAGATCGGCCATCACTATCCCGGATGCCAGCTGCCGACGGTGCTTCTTCGGGGATCTCTACAGAACTCCACAACCTTAGTTTAGCTGGTGAGAGTACCGCCGTCCCGGCCGAACTGGCGCTGCAATCGTCAGGAGCGAAGCGAAAATGTTGGGCATCCTGGAGTCGTATCATTTCCTATCAAGTGCAGTCGTTCACGCCACTACGCACATTAATTCTGCGCATTAACTTCCTCCCTCCATAGCTTCCTCGAAGCGTCCATTCCTTTTGTACTACCAAGATGCATTTCTCTTACCTTTTGATCGCTGCGCTTTTCAGCCCTATCAATGCGTTACCCGCTTCCAGTTCGTATTCGGCACCGGCTCCTGTTTCGCGGGCACCAGGATTACTAGGTCTGACAGATGGACTCGGCAAAGTTGTCGATGGCTTGTTAGACAGGATTCACGACGAAACCGAAGAGTTGACCACCGCAGTGCTTGCACTTCTTCAGCAGCTAGATGAGGTTGTGCCTACTGCGACGCCTACTTCTATCGAAGACGTAGCCACGATCCTCAAAGGCATTGCTGGAGCGGAGCCTACGACTTTTATCGAGAGTGTCGTATCTCTCGCTAAAAACGGTCTTGGTCCAGGCAGCTTTGAGGGCGTTTTCAAACAGTACTCTGCCGGATCGAACAGCGAAAACAATGTCAATGAACGCGAGCCATCGAAGAAGCTCTATCCCAGCGCTGGTGACAATGATGCGCCTTACTCTATCGATGAAGAGACCCTAAGAGCTGCCATCTACATTCCCGACACTTTTACCTACGGTGAAAAGCCACCCGTTATCCTTGTGCCCGGCACTGCCACGAAGGGCGGACTTTGCTACGAGGCAAACCTTGCCAAACTTCTCACAAAGGAAGATTATGCTGATCCCTTGTGGCTTAACATACCTGGGTGGCTTTTGGAAAGCGCTCCCTGGAATTCTGTCAGTTCGATCTTGTTTCCGACGATCATGTCTAAAGTACACTATAACTGATTATGGTGCTTAGGAGTTCGTCGCTTACGCTATCAACTACATCGCGGACATCACTTCTCAGAATGTCAGCGTCATTGCATTGTCTCAAGGAAATCTTGACACCCAGTGGGCTCTAACGTACTGGCCTTCCACGCGCAACGTCGTCAGCGACTACATAGCTGTATCGCCTGACTATCACGGATCTATCCTCCTCGATTTTCTCTGTCCCAAGCTTACAGAAGGCATCGTCGGCTGTGCTCCTGCTGTAATTCAGCAGAAGTACAACGCAAAGTTCATTGAGCACTTCCGATCAGTGGGCGGTGCTTCTGCATGGGTACCCACGACAACTGTATACACAGGCACGGACGATGTTGTACAACCTCAGCATGGTACAAACGCATCCGCCCTTCTAGGGGATGATCGTGATGTCGGAGTCCTCAATGTTGAGCTTCAACTGCATTGCCCGCTCCTTTCACCTGCCTTAGTCGGCACCCACGAGAGTCTCTTGTGGGGCCAGCCACTCCAGGTTTTGATCAAAGACGCGCTGACGCACGATGGTCCTGCTTCCATCGAACGCATCTCTGATTGGAACGATGCATGCTCCATGCTTGCTGCAGAAGGCCTGGGAGTGGCTGACGTTGTTGGAACAACTGGTAAGTTGAGTTCCAATCTTGGACGCCATGCGATGCTGACCAACAGTAGCTGCCGTGCCAGTAGCCTTTGCGGCTATGTTCCTCTACGACAAGAAGGTTCTGTATGAGCCTGCACTACCTGCGTACGCGGCTTGAGTTCTGTTGCCGTTCGAACAATCCTGGAAACCGTAAACTAAGTGTCCATTTGCCTGTATTTGACTTTTAGACCTCTTCAGTAATTGATTCAATCCATCAACTACATGTACAGCTCCCCATCGCTCTATCCTCCTTGTTCTTTGTTAGAGAGATTCGTGTGCCCCTCCTATTACCTGGAGAGTGACCCTGAAACCAACGAATGGAGTATGAAGGGGAGGGAAGCGTAGTGAAAGTGAGATCACTCTTGTTGTTTTCTGTATGGCTATTACATATGAGCTATATCCAAGGGCTATAGTGGACATCGTGTCCCTAAGATACTACCAAAACACACAATGGTGTTCTATTACCGATAATCATACAGGAAATACAAATACATAGAGATACGCAGGCAATGTTGTGTTTTGAAGTCACTAGTGGCACGTCCCCGTGTTCGTGGCGAATAAACTATGATAGATGGGCACTCACGTCTGCGAGGCGGAGGGAAGGTGGGCACGAGCTGTATGAGCTGTCCGACTTACCTAGACAAAACATCACTCTAATTCCCCACATTGAACCACGACTTTAGTGCCGACCCAACCCCGCATTTCCCCGGATTAAGTTGTCCTGCACTAGCGACGAGTCCAGCTAATACTCACCACGTACGCTACGTTCGCGAGTACTGCTGGGGCTTATCGTTTTCCGGACAGCAGAAACGTAGGGATCAGCAAATTGCCATCGTCTTTCGCGCGCTCTAGGGCACCGGAAAATGGCGATGAGAAAGTCCCTGAGAAAGCTCCATAATAAGGATATAGGGAACTACGGCCCCAGGCGGGTTTGTACTTCGCCCTTCGCCCAAGTAGTTGCGCTTGACACTTGAGGACAGACCGAGCCTTGCGATGGCAGAACCAAAACACGAAGCCGAGACCATCGAGGTGCTCGATGCACCTCCATCTTTGTCCCCGGATCACAATGCAGAGGTCCTAGGCCGCGACTTTACGCAAGCAGAATCGGACCTGCCCGCGGGTTACTTTACGAGCGCGAAGTTCCTGGGCTCAAGTACTTCCTCCTCCGCTCATGCTCCTATACTAGTCCACTGACAACTGACGCAAGTGTTTGCTATTGGCGCAAGCTTTGGTTGCGGCGTGGGCGGCTTTGGGCTCGCAGCGCCGGTGCTCTCCTTCATCAACGCAGACATTGGCCCTGACGCGAATCTCAGCTGGGTCAGCCTCGCGTATCTTCTTACCAACTCAGTCGGGCTGATGCTCGTAGGGAGATTGAGTGATCTTTTTGGTATGTGCGCCGTATACATGTGTATGGACATGGGACACTGATGTGTGGCAGGCCGCCGCTGGTTCTTCATTGGGGGAAATGCACTCGCGACGGTCGGGTGTATCGTTGCGGCTGTTGCGCCGAATGTCCCTGCGCTCATTGCAGCGGAGGTCCTTATTGGACTTGGAGCTGCGAGCCAACTTTCCTATGCTTGTTCGTGAGAAGATTCGGCTGGGTGGATCTGGCTATGACACTGACACAGTACAGTCGTCGTTGGTGAGCTTGTGCCCACGACACACAGATTTATCGCTCAGGCTTGGGTGTGAGTTGTTCACTTCTGTAAGAGATGATAGATCTGACACTGTCAGATTCGCATGGGCGATCCCATCCAGTGGCTTCGCACCAGCTATTTCCTACGCGTTCGTGCAGTCAAATGTCGGTTGGCGAGGGTGAGCTCCCATGGTTCAACACCCACACCTCAACTAACCACCACCGTCCAGCATCTTCTACCTCCTCATCGCTCTCAACGCTGCCACAACCCTCGCGTGGTTCTTCTTCTATCATCCACCTACATTTCATGAAAAGCACGTCTCCTCGCGCAAATCCGCATTCCTCGCCGACTTCGACTATATTGGCACCCTCCTCTTCACACTCGGCCTGTTGCTCTTCCTCATGGGCCTGTCCTGGGGCGGCACCCTGCACCCCTGGGCTTCAGCACACGTCATTGCGACCATTGTCATCGGCTTTGCCTCGCTCGCAGGGTTCTTCTTCTACGAAGCCTACGCAAGGCTCAAGGAACCACTGCTTCCGATGCACCTGCTGAAGAACGTGCCCTGGGATGTGACAGTCCTGCTTTGGGCGCTCGGTGCAGCAGTGTACTATGCCCTTGCCATCATCTGGCCGAGCATGGTCGCTACACTTTATTCGCAGGGACATGGCTTCATGTGGGGTGGCTGGATGGGATGCATTTCCAACTCGGGCATCTTGTTTGGGGAGTTTGTCGGTGCGTTTTTCAAGCGGAGGACTGACGTGCAGATCAAGGTCGTGTTTTTCATTGGAAGCGTGTTTCTCGCTGGTAAGTTGCATACGCCTGAAAAAGTGAGTGTCTTTCGACTAACCTTGGCAGCAATGGCTGCAAGCACCCCCGACACGCCTATCATGGCCGCTGTCTTCGTCTTTCTCGCCGCCGCCTTCATCGGCTGGAACGAGATCCTCAACTCCACAGTCGCGACTATCATCATCGCCGACCAGCGTGAGATCGGCACAGCCACGGGCATTGCGGGCTCGGCGCGCTCGTTCATCTCGACGGTCTGCTCGACGTAAGCCATCTTCATCCATCTCGATACAACACTGATCGTTGAACAGTGTATACACCGTCATTCTCTCCAACCGCCTTGCTACCACAATCCCCAGAGGCGTCCCTCCCGCCCTCCTTGCTGCTGGCTTGCCCGCGTCCAGTGTTCCTTCCTTCTTATCCGCGCTGACGCTCGGCACACCCGCGGCCTGGGCCAGCGTCCCTGGGCTCTCCAGCGCCATTCAAGCGGCTGGGGTCCGCGCGTACCAGGAAGCCAATGCTGAGGCATACAAGACAGTGTTCCTGAGTACGATTGGTTTCTGCGCGGTGGGTATCGTGAGTAGTTTCTGGACGCCGAATGTGGATGCTCTGTTGACGAGGGATGTGGTGGTCCAATTGGGTGGGGTGATGGAGAAAGAGGAACAGGGGAACGTGTAGGCGGGGCGCGGCTGGTGGAGGGGGAAGTGGGAGAGGAGTTTCATTGAACTTTTTGTTGACCTATTGGATGTAAAGGTTACCGGGGGACGGCAGTAGAATACAGGAATAATCCGCAGCTTCTTGCAGCAATGCTGAATCAATGCGTGGCAAGGGTTGTTTTGTTCTATACCTGTCTACACAAGGTCGTCACGCTGTTGATGTGAGTCGCTGCTAGTTGCCATGCAGCGCTGCTAGCTCACACTATCGACAGGACGATGCCTGGGGCGAACGGATGCCGTCGTGGTTTCGGCTGTACCGGGCGAGTAGCAGCTAGCGCGGCGCGAGATCGGGCAGGAGCATTGACAGGCTTGGCAAAGGTGACGGAGGAAAACTCTCCAGCTACAACTCGAACCATCCTCGGTCCTACCAACTTCCACACCCACTCCACATAATCTTCCATCTCCAATCACATTCGCCATGTTCTCCGCCAGGCAGATATTCGCACAGGTCCAGCGCCGCGGCTTCGCGGCGTCTGCCCGCCAGGTACGATGCGCTCAATTGCCATTGCTTTTGCTGGAGGGCCAGCATCAGCTTTGCACACTCAATTGCACGCCGGATGCTGACTCTTTGCATGCAGTCGTCCAAGGTCACCGTCCTCGGCGCTGCCGGTGGCATTGGCCAGCCGCTGTCGCTCCTCCTCAAGCTCAACCCCAGGGTCAGCCAGCTTGCTCTCTACGACATCCGCCTTGCGCCCGGTACGACGGAGCCCATCATGCCAGTCGCCAACTGGAAGCTAACAGCGTTGCGCAGGTGTCGCTGCCGACATTGGCCACATCAACACCAAGAGCGAGGTATGGCGCACCGTTCGAGACGCAAAATGCTCGCCGTGCTGATACAACCCAGGTCCGCGGATACGATGCCACTCCCTCCGGCCTCGCCGAGGCCCTCAAGGGTGCTGAGATCGTTCTCATCCCCGCTGGTGTTCCCCGCAAGCCCGGCATGACCCGTGACGGTACGCTGGCAGCTGCCTCCTGCATGTTACACGACTGACCGCCGCCCAGACCTGTTCAACACCAATGCCTCCATCGTCCGCGACCTCGCCAAGGCCGCCGCCGACCACGCCCCCGAGGCCAACATCCTCATCATCTCGAACCCGGTAGGTATAGGAAGAAGCATGCAGAGAACAAACAGCTGACCGCCAACAGGTCAACTCCACCGTTCCCATCACCGCCGAGGTCTTCAAGTCCAAGGGCGTCTACAACCCCAAGCGCCTCTTCGGTGTCACCACCCTCGACGTCGTCCGCGCCTCCCGCTTCATCTCCCAGGTCAAGAGCACCGACCCTGCCAACGAGAACATTACCGTCGTCGGCGGCCACTCTGGTGCCACCATCGTCCCCCTGCTCTCCCAGTCCGGCTACAACCTCACCGGCGAGCAGCTCGACCAGTACGTCCACCGCGTCCAGTTCGGCGGTGACGAGGTTGTCCAGGCCAAGGACGGAGCCGGTTCTGCCACCCTCTCTATGGCAATGGCCGGTGCCCGCTTCGCCGAGTCCCTCCTCAAGGCCGCCCAGGGCCAGAAGAACGTCATCGAGCCCACCTTTGTCGACTCGCCCCTCTACAAGGACCAGGGCGTCGAGTACTTTGCCTCCAACGTCGAGCTCGGCCCCAACGGTGTCGAGAAGATCCACCCCGTCGGCAAGATCACCGACCACGAGCAGAAGCTCCTCGACGTCTGCCTCAAGGACCTTGCTGGCAACATCAACAAGGGCATCAAGTTCGTCAAGGAGAACCCTTAAGCTCAACAAGCACGCGCGTGTGTACAGTAGTAATGAGTACGTGGAGAGGCAGAGGGCAGAGCATTTCCCGTCAGCGCTTGTATTATGGGACCCCGCAACTGGCGCTGAAACGGACTGGGCTGGGATTCGGATCTGCGTGGCGCACGAGCGGTCACGATTGTAGATTTTTGATTGTAACCTAGCACAAAATACTCCCTCTTTCCTCCATCTTCGCACCCGCCGATCTGTCCACAGACCTCCTCCTCATCTGTGCTAATCAACAACGATGATCTCGGGACCGCCTAATGCGCTCCAACGTGCCCTTGCCCGGGGTCCGTTCTCGTTGCTGAACCAACATGGCGCGATCTTCATGTCTTCCACAGCTCAACTCTTCCAAATTCGCCCTGGTGGATCTGCACTTGCTCGACACTGGTCTTTTGCCGTGACGTAGCTCCAAGCACAGCAGACACGAAAATAGAATTAGCGCAGTCGTAATTGAGAATGGGTTACATGTATTTGCTGTCCAAATTGCCTGAATCTATCTCGCTAATGTGTCAGCTCCAGCATCATAAAAGCTGGCTTCGTAGGCGATGCTGCTCCGCGAACTGTGTTCCGTATGTCAATCGAACCAACCTATGCCAGTGCAGCACTTATCCATCGACAGCACCCATGATCGGCCGAACAAATCCGCGGCTGGCTCAACACGCTTGTTCCGTAGCCAACTTACGAGTGACTCGTCAGCCTAGACGATGGGCGCGACACGTACATCGGCGCGGTATCATAACAGGAGTTCGAGGAGACTGGGCCGTCTATAGTGCATCGCAAGTGCGCTTGGGCGGATGATGCAGAATAAAATAGACGCTCATGTCGACCGGTCCACGCGCGCAGGAGTCGGTCGTCCGATGTCGGCTGGCTCTACCCATAGCTTCGGACTGGGTGTGAGACCATGGCCTCGCACGAACACATGTCTGTCATCGCACGTGAAGTGCTGTCGCTCCGTGATGGGAAAAGCCTCCCGCAGAGCCTCAGGCCTGAGAGGGACCCAGGGACCCAGTCCGGTGTTGCCGAGGATCTTCCTCGGCTGGCCAGAGTGCGCCGATTCGTTGCAGTCCGTGCGCGCGAGTAGCTTCTTAGGATGTGTGGAGAGATGTTGGGGAAGCTCCGCGCGGAGAGACGTTGCATCCTTCCAGTAGACGTGGTCCAAGACATTGTTGTTGGCTGTATAGTCTTGGTAGCTGTAGTCGGCTCGCGAAAGGCTCTCGATTGAGCCGGACAAACGGCAGGCTTCTTGGGGCACGTCACTTGATCGTGCCGGTCGCAGTCCGCATCTGCCGAGGTCCATCTCGCCCGCCGCCAGAGCTGCCACAGTAGCTGCCCTGTCCCAAGGCAAAACCAGCAACGCGCCGAAGAACCGAGCGCCGCACAGCATTAGCACTTCTTCCTCTGCGAGTCTCCATCCCTCCTCCATCCCTCACAAATGTTTCGCGCAGCAGCTCGGGCGCAACCTGCCTCCCTCCTCCGCCGACCGCTTGCCCACACCCACATCCCAAAGGTACACACGAGCATGCACAGCCGCAAGTAACCCGTAGCTGACCATGTCACTGCTTAGATTTCAGCCATGGCTCCTGTTGCTGCGAGACGGCAGCAGTCGTCGCTGCCAGCCGGTGGGTTGCTCCTTCCTCGACTGCATTCACGTGTCAACGGAAATCGAGCACAAGCTGATCCGTGAAAGGCTACAAGGAGGACCACAGCAAGGGCGCCATGCTGCGCTTCGAGGACTCTCTACCACGCTTGCCCGTCCCTACCCTCGAGGAGACCGCAAAACGATACCTCAAGTCCGTCCACCCGCTCCTCTCAAAGTCCGAATATGAGGAAACATCAAAGGCGGTCAAGGACTTCATTGCGCCCGGCGGAGCTGGAGAGACCCTTCAGAAGCGCTTGGTTGCGCGGAGAGAAGACCCCAACATTCGCAATTGGATTGCTGAGTGGTGGAACGACGCAGCATACATGGCTTACCGCGACCCAGTGGTCCCGTACGTCAGCTACTTCTACTCACACCGCGACGACAAGAAGCGAAGAAACCCCGCCAAGCGCGCCGCGGCCATTTCTACCGCAGTCCTCGAGTTCAAGAAGATGGTCGACGGTGGCTCGCTGGAGCCCGAGTACATGAAGAAGCTCCCCATGGCCATGAGCTCCTACAAATACATGTTTAACTGCTCGCGCGTGCCCAAGAAGCCCGCAGACGACACCGTCAAGCACAACTTCAAGGGAAACCAGCACATTCTCGTTGTCCGCAAGAACCAGTTCTGGAAGGTGCCCCACGAGATCAACGGCAAGCAGCTCAACACCGCCGAGCTTGAGCTCCAGTTCCAGCGCATCTACGACAAGGCAGAGAAGTCGGCGCCCGTCGGCTTCCTCACATCTCAAAACCGCGATGTCTGGTCCGACGTCTACCCCAAGCTGAAGGCCGCTTCCGATGTCAACGCGGCATCCATCGAAGCCATTGAGTCCGCGTCGTTTGTTGTCTGTCTAGACGATGCCTCACCTGTCACCCTTGAGGAGCGCGCACACCAGTACTGGCACGGCGACGGCTCGAACCGCTGGTTTGACAAGCCTCTCCAGTTCATCGTCAACGATAACGGCACCTCGGGCTTCATGGGCGAGCACTCCATGATGGATGGCACACCCACGCACCGCCTCAACGACTACGCTAACCAGCAAATATTCACCAACGCCCTACCCTTCGACGTTACAGAAGTCCGCTCCGACCTGCCCAATCCTACCCCTCTCCGCTTCAACCTCAACCCCGAGCTCGAAAAGGACATCGATGCCGCACGAGCACACTTCAACAAGCAGATCAACGCACACGAGCTCCGTGTCCAAGCTTACCAGGGCTACGGCAAGGGTCTGATCAAGAAATTCAAGTGCAGCCCCGACGCCTACGTTCAAATGATCATCCAGCTTGCATACCACAAGTTCTACGGAAAGAACCGCCCGACCTACGAGTCCGCCGCGACCCGCCGCTTCCAAGAAGGCCGCACCGAGACGTGCCGTACCGTCTCCGACGAGTCCGTCGCCTTCTGCGCCGCCATGGCCGACCCGAACGCAACCGCCGAGCACACGCAGCAACTCTTCCGCGACGCGCTCAATGCGCACGTCAAGTACATCAGTGATGCGTCCGACGGGCGGGGTGTCGACCGCCACCTGTTTGGTCTGAAGAAGTGCCTCAAGGAGGGCGAGGAGCTGCCCACGCTGTACAAGGACCCCGCCTTCGGGTACAGCAGCACGTGGTTCATCTCGAGCTCGCAGCTAAGCTCGGAGTACTTCAACGGGTACGGGTGGAGCCAGGTTGTTGATGATGGGTGGGGCATTGCGTACATGATCAATGAGAACAGCATACAATTTAACGTGTGCTCTAAGGGACTGGGCTCGGTATGTCAATCCTTGCTCTATCTTTAATCACAAACTAACGGCGTACAGGACAAGATGAGCTTCTATCTTAATGAAGCGGCAGGCGATATCCGGGATCTGATGCTCCCTACGCTCGAGGCGCCGAAGGCGAAGTTGTAAAATGTACTGTAGTGCGATTGTCTTTGGTATTCGGCTCCTGGATAGCCACTGTATATAGCATAGTGGGGATGCGTTGCGTCGCAGAAAGAGAGGTTCTATTCATCAGGGAGGTGTAGACACATTTAGATGGCCAATCAAAGTTTGAAGCAATTTCACGATTTCGGTTTAGGTCCGCAAGGTTATGGGACTGACAAGACACCGTGAAGCATGCGAGGAGTTGCAAATAACCTAGCGCTCCTTACGCCGGGAATCACACCCCCCACTGCGGGTATACCCAGCACCATCGCGTGGTAGTCGGGCCGATACACTCACACAATAGCAGGCCCATCACACTTTCAGATTCCCCATATTCAACAAGTAAGCTCTATGATAAGCCAATAGCCGTTTCAGACGTGGACTAGATTCTTCTCTCGGATGCTTCCCACGCGAATCAAGCCAACGACTGCTTACTACGCCTACGGCCATGGGGTTTGGAAGCCATTCTGTACCACGTGGTGCATTCCGGAGTACCATAGCGACTCATACCTCCTGGGAAATATATATAAGCCTAATATGCACCAAGTGCATCCTAATTCAATGTCTCTCGTGCTGCTGGCGTAGGAATCTCAGCCTCCTGGACCTACATCCCGTAGTCACACGCCTGGCCCCCAACTTTGCCGTCTCAACTCTTCATACACAGTCTTCGAAGCACCCATGATGCGTTTTGCCCTGGCGTTTCTCCTGTCCCTAAGCCTATCCCACGCGCTGTCGACCTCGGAAAGTGGCGAATGTGGCTCCGCAGTGGGCCTGCACTGTACCGGCTCGTCGTTCGGACCCTGCTGTTCGCAGCATGGATACTGGTCCGCCTCCCCTCGCACATTCCCCAAACAAGCAAGCTGCTGACTACGTGACAGCGGCTCTTCGAGCGTCTACTGCGGCTTCGGTTGCCAATCTGACTTCGGCTCCTGCAGCACGTCCCCGTTCCTCGAGCAGGAAATAAGCCCCGACGGCACCTGTGGCGGCACAAACAACTTCACGTGTGCGGGCTCGGGGTATGGGGAGTGCTGCTCAGAGCACGGATATTGTGGGAACACGACTGAGTACTGTGACAATAGGTGTCAGGGGAATGGGTGTCATCAGTGTGCGCCGGTGGGATTTTCGTGCACGATTGATAACTCGTCGCAGTGCTGTACACAGTGCTGTTATTTTCCGACTGGGGATGTGATGGATGGGCGGTGTTGCGACATGTAGATTGCACTAGGGAGAGGACGCGGAGGCGAGGATGTGGATCGGGTGCGGCGATTGAAGAAGAGGTATTGGCGGTGAGTGATTCCTAGATATTTGCGGGCTGGAGGCTGGACTGCTACACGAGGATAATGTACACACAGTAGCTTTCGTTCTTCTGCATAGTGGAGTGAGAGATGTGCGGCAACAGCAGCTCATCGACGTGACTTGGCGTACATGATGAGTTCATCCGATATGAGTCCAGGTTTGGCCAATATCAGTTCTGATCCAGATCGAGTGTATGCATCTCCTTGACCATCACCGATGCCAGCTCACACAGCAAACAGCCAAAACCCATTCAACACCACACTCGCCCACACCAACAGCCCCGCATTCTGATCCGGATCCAGCTCCATAACGCCCTCCTGCACCGCCCTCGCCATGTTAACCCACTTCGTCCCCTGCCTCCGCTGCTCCTCAAAGTTTTCGAAAAATGCCCGCGAAAAGGCAGCACCGACGGCATCATGTGTCGGCCACAGTGTCGAGACGACAGAACTGGCTCCAGAGTACAAGAACGCGGGCACGAGTCCCATGACCTCGTCGCCAGGCTTGGTCTCGGTCATTGCGCCGGAGCACGCGATGACGTTGAGGTGCGCACCTTGCTGGAGGCGGAGGGTGAAAACTTCGCGAGCTGACAGTTTATAATCTGTGATTTCTGACTTGCCAGCGCCGGAGGGCGAAAGCATGCTCCTGACGACGAATTTCGGATCCGGCATGCGGTGCGTGTCCTGGGTCGCAAACTCGATGTGATGATCGAGCGGATTGCTGCTGTCCCACGAGCAGTGCGTCTGGACGTGAATAAGCCTTGCCTCTTTCGCATGCTGGAGGAAATTAGCTTTGGTAGCGGAGTCATCGATTAGAGTAGTGCCCTGGAGTTGCTTTGACAGGTCGACGATGCTGTCACGGCCAGCCGCGAAATGCACAGCGCCTTTCTCGATGCCAGAAACAAACTTTGGGTATATTGGCGTGCCGGTATCGGATGCGTATTGCGCAGCTGAAGCGCATAGACGGAGCAGAGAGTGGCTGTGCACGTAGACGCAGGGGTTGCGCCAGAGGAGTGCTTCGCCATCGATTTCAAGGGCGTGGAGTGGCATGCCGTTTAGGAAGTCTGTGGGGCAGAGGACCAGGATGTCGTCTGGGTTGGTTCTCTTGGCTAGGGGTTGGATCACAGCGCCGCAGATCTCGTTGAAGGACTTTCTCGCGAGTTTGCTGCCGAGCTTTGGGTCCATGCCGTTCTTGGGCCACTCTGATGCGGTGAGATGTTCTTCCTTCCATCGATTGATGGCGGAGACGTCGACGGTGAGCTCATCGATTGTGGGTGTCTGTCCTTTGCGGACGGTCAAGAGTAAGAGCTTTCCGCGGTCCCAGAATGGATCGAGATAGAACCAATCTACTAAGACCACGTCGTCTCCTAGCTTGTCGGTGAGGTTGTCGAAGTTATCGAGAGAAAGGGGTGTTCCTTCTCGAAGCTCGATTAACTGTCTCAACAGAGGGGTCGATTTCATCTTCTTTCGATGCTCGTCCATGCGGAGACGAAGATAAAAACGATCCTTCGGATCCGCTTCATCGATTGTCGTCTGTAGATCGACCATCTCCTGGTACATTGGAGCTTCATCTGATGACTGGATGCGCTGAGTCAGACTTGGGGGGTTGCTACGGTACATTCCGATCGCAAGAGATAGCAAGCGCGCTTTATACTTTTGGGTCAGATTCCAGATGGCTTTTCTGGCTTCTTCTGAGAACTCGTCTACGCCGTCTACCTGTGGAGGCATCAGCGATCAATCGTACAACGGTATACATGAGGACTTACCCAATATCGTACGGCGTAACGTATGGTGGTATAACTCATCTGCATCCGACTCAACTCCGTCCGTTTCTGGATTCCTTCCAGCCCATCCTCCCAGCATGCCTCTCTCTCCGTACTAGAGTGAATCTCATCTATCTCCGTGAGCAACTTGAGCCCTTCTTCTTTCACCAACGGAATATGCACATCAGCATTCTCCACCCCGCCAAATTGCGCCTGCGATATCTCCAGAAGTCGATCCTCAAAGGGTGTCCTCTCTTTCTGCGCAGCCAGCCTCTTATATATGATCAGCCGCCTCATACAAAGTAGTCCAACCTGGGCCTGCAGCCGCTCAATGTTCGCCATTCCCGTAATCTGGCTCGTCTTCCTGTATCCCTCAATAGCAAAATCACACCTCTTGTCAATGTCCAGCAGCAACCCGAAGTTATCAAATAGCGTCCATTGCCCGCCGCTGATAAATTTGGACCACATGTTCCAGGCTATATCCGCGTGCCACGCGTACGACCATGATGTGGTAAACTCCTTCAGCATGCGCGGTAGTGAGTCCCAGAGCTGCAGGAGGTTCTCGCAGTCGCGAATGGCGACGTCCCGCAGGGCAAGGTTGGAAACCATCTCTTTACGGTAGTCAATGAAGCGGAGAAGACACATAAGGCGGCGATCGCGAGAGCCGCGGACGGGTCTTTGGAGCCAAGCAAGGACGAAGTCATATCGAGCTAAGGGGGAGTTGGGATTGGCTTTTTCGAGAGATTGAGTCTCTTCTGCAATTGTCGTCTTTGTGTCACCCGTCTTCGCCTCTGTGGTCCTCGTCTTCTCTGTTATCGCCTCCTTGTTGTCTATCGCATCATTCTTTCCAACCTCAGCTTTCGCCTTCTCGACCTCTGCCTTTGCCGCCTCATCAGCCTCCATTGGCACCCAAAGACGCTGGAAAAGTGCCTTTTGATCCTCATCTTTGAGTATATTTAGCTTATTCTCAAGATTGTCTGCTTCGACATCGCTGTGGATGCCAAAGTTCATACACACTTCTGCGACCGACAAACGCCCAGCAGCAACATCCTGCAAAGCGAATTCGATCATCTTGCTAATGGCAACGGTAGGTCTTTCGTCACCGTACGAATTAGTCCAGCCAGATAGGAAACCCTCATCGTCGTCATTGTCCTCTTCCGAGTCGTAAGGAGCTTGACCAAGCGCACCGTCCCCTGGCGCGACAATGTTGCTGCTATTCATGGTGTTGACGCCTTTCCAGCTGCCTGCCAAAGCTTCCCATTTAAGCGCTTCGGCTGCAGCTACTTGGGCACCTTCCAGATCCCTGAGTGTGTTAAGGAGGACAGCTTTCCTTGTCCACAACGATTCCATAACTCGCGGAGCTTTGAAGCTTGGATATTTCGCCAGGAACCCATCGATCCACTCAACCGCCTTGCGTGCATCAACATGGGTGTGCTGCGCAATGCTGTGGGCTTCGTAGGCGTGTGTTGAAAGGTCGCAGAGATCTCCGGTGACCTCCTCGTTGTATCGCTCAAGGCGTTCTCGCAGATCCAGGCACTGTTTCCGATACTCGAGGTTACCCGTGAGCTCTGCAGTCTTGCTCGCTGTTTCAGCGGCGAGGTCCAAGCAGCTGGATTCGTTTGAGTGACCAAACTCTGACATACGGTCTGCTAAGTCCATTGCTTTGCGCAGTTTCTCCTCTTGGTCGGCGATGAACCCGAGCTGCAATTGCTCGATCTCGAAGCGCAAGGGCACAATGGCGTTCCTCTCGAGGCCGATATCAATGCACCATTGATCCAGCGACTCAATGCAGAGAGTTGCATCGTCTTTAGCTGATGCCAATTCGTGAACCTCAACCATTGCCTTCGCCATTTGCAATCGTACACCTGCAATGATGAAGTTCTTGCTCGGATCCGAGCAGTCCTGTAGATCATGTAAAAAAGCCTCTGCGACTGAACGACGCTCTTTCAGTGGCGTACGATTGAGTTCGGGTTTGAAGATAGCACTCGCTTCTTTCCACCTGTGCTGCCTCACTAGCTCGCGTCGAAGATCGCCCAGACCTTTCCATGGGGCGGCTGGAAGAGAAGTCTCGTTGGGAAGCGGAACATTGTGATAGTCGTCAAGATTCCCTGCAAGCCCAGTTTGTAGTCTTGTCATGAGATACGTTATGACATAACGCCAGGCGATTTGCACATGTAATTCGCTATACTCCGAAACTGGAAGTTTTGCAAGCCATTGCTGTGTGCGTTGAAGCTCGCGGATACCAGGTTCCATCCAACCTCTACCTCTGTTCGCACCGACGCTGTAAATTAGCGCGATGAGTCGCCATTCTGGATCGTCTAGTCTTTCTGGATCTTCTTGCTTCAGGCGCTCAAGCCTCGGTTCCAGAAGATTGCAGAGATCTCGATAACGGAAGTTCTGGTAGTGTAGGTACGAAAGCTCAATAAGCACGACCGGAACGTCCAGCACAGGTCCCGGAAGCTTGTCGAAGATTTCGAGAGCGTCTTGATACCTCCCGGTTTTGGTGGTCCATATGGCCCGCTCCAGATGTTCTACATGCTCCAAATCGATTGTGTGATATAGAGAAGCAAGCATTCCGTGATAGGAATGAATATTTGATGCCATGGTTTCATGCCCGATAGGTTGCCTTTGTTGTTTCTGCGCTCATGGCAGTTGATATTGGCAAGCTACATGCATCTCGCGAACACAGATCTAGACCATTTATTATGTACTCACAGCTCCCAAGATAGTGGTGTTAGCCTTGCATCTTTGAAGTACGGGGTGCATATTGGCGCGGATTTCGGCCAGGCCGAGGCCCCGCGTAGGACGATGTTTCGCGAATACGAGATGCGGAGCTCACAGAATCCCTGCTTCCGCTGTTTTCATAGGCCGATGAAGTCATAGCCTTATGCCAGGCAGTCGCGACCTTGCAAGAGGGGAAACTTGGTACAACCTGAGCCTTCAGCTCTTCCATTTATAGCATATCTTTGTGCCTTCTTCATGCGCTCCAAGGCTACATGATTGTTTTCCTCTTTGCTGAAGTGCATCGGCCAGACCATACGTGTTTCAGCTCTACACTGCAGCTGCAATCCCGCATATACTAAAAGGTGCGATTAGAGCACGTCGGGTTCATTGAGGTCTCCCCTCATTACGAGAATTGCAGCCCAACATGTCAATCGACACAACCGGTGGCGCAACCCCGAACGATACAGCTCCAGGTAGCGAGAAGAAAAATAACGATGCATTTACCAATGGACCGTTCTCATGGACAGTGCCTTTGGAAATCTCCAGCGACTCAGCAACGTACCTCGACCGCTCCCAAGCCAATGATGATCAGGAGCTCTACATACCCCGCGAAGTCATCGCAGAAGTTGTAGGCGGTTCTCGCCTTGTAGCGGAGCTCAAGAGACCAATTAAAATTGGCACATTCAACGAGCTCCCGTCATACCTCCTCCAGACCCATTTTTCTTTTCAGAAAGCATCGACCAATTGGCTCTATCGTATTCAAACTGCTGAGATAACGATTGTATTCGAAGACGCGCCAGCGCAGGAACCTGCTGTGAAAGTACCAAAGAACAAGCAACAGCATCCAGCGATTGCAGCATGGTATCCTGAGCTGTTTGAGGGCGAGGTCTCCCATGCCTTGATCACTGAATCTGTGAATGCCGGTCTAGAAGCAGGCTATCTGGGAGCTGGAGCTTCAGTAGGAGCAGAGAAGAGCAGGACCTATGTAAGTTTAGCGATTTCTATCCGCGTTTGTTTGCTGATATATCGATGTAGCTGGAGAAAGGACGGGTCGTTGTCCATGGTGTACGAGGTGGTGGCCGACACCGTAACAGCGTCACATGGGTGATCGAGCAAGATAGTGTTGAAAAAGGTGGAATTCCAAGAGACATCAAGCTTCCGCTCATAGTGACGAGGCAAAACAACAACCGATTCTCAGCACGTGTTACTGTCAAGGCGCATTATGGCTTTCGTCGAGGACCTCTAGCGCGGAGCGTGCCTGTCGTTGGAAAGAATGAGGAACCGCTCTATTTTGACCCTGCGACACTTGACGATATGATAGAAAACGGGAGTAGGGGACCCGACGGTACGCCGATTGTGGAGTCGTGCGGGATATTTGATGAGAAGGACTTGAAGAATTGTAGTTCGTTTCCATAGCTGGCGGGGTATCTAGGATCTACTTGGCTGATATCCAGCTATGACACGTATCTATCCGAGCACTCGGGCTGTTGACGTGCTTTTCGGTATACTTTGCGAACGTGTGACCGAATTCTCTCCTCACTAGTGTCGTCTCAGAACAGCCGCTGTTCAGGCGAAGCATTACCGCTTTCAGTTTAGGTGACTCGCTACAAGTGACCTCAGAGGTTGTCGCAACACCAGACGGGGAGCTGCCACAGGGCGGCTCCACGCACTGACTATTGTGCATTCGAACCTTCGCTTCCCGTCTCTCACTCTCAACTCAGCCTCGTTGCCGCTCTACTGACTACGTTCCACGCCAACACTTTCCAGACGTCCTACTAGCCTGCTATGGAGGAGCACCATGCCAAGCTGAGGCTGACAGCCCGAAGACTAGCACGGCTGAAAAACAGACGCAATGCTCTAGCTGTGGAAGCAACGCATCGAGGATATGGACAAGTTGTCGAGTGCACGTGTACTGCAACGCAGTGTGCCAAAAAGCCGACCTGGAGGTGCACAAGCCAGTCTGCGCATTTGAGAAAGACCTTCAGGACATGATGGAAGACGCCCGAATCATTTCCCTGAAAAGCGTCGACTAACGCCGTGAACAGGCAAAAGAGATGTGGATGTCAGCTCCAGATTGGGGATGTCTTGTGAAGGCCAATCGGGCCTTCACGGAGGAAAAGCTGGAATGGGTGCAGTATCATAGGCGCCTACAACTGTCAAACATCGACATAGCGACACAAGTGTACGCTCCCTGTCTTCCCATCCTACTGAAGACTCGAATAGACGAGAAACGTGCCAAGGGCTTCATATCCCGGGATACCGTATCAGGCCTCTCGTTCTTACATGATTGTGCGCTTAAGTCGCCTCTTTGAATCCCGTATGCACTAACCTTGCGCTAGACGGTATTGTCGGTACCCGCAGCCAGATCAAGGGGTTATATGAGAGTTTGTGCAACTTCGGACGTGATGAAGGCACCGTGGCGGCGGAGAGGCGTCAACGACCCTACGTCAAGCTTTACCTTCCGAGCACCTGAAGTTCCCGGAGAACAAGGCTTTCCGATTCGTCCAAGCGTTCTACAAATACACCAAGAGAGACTCCGTGTTACAAAGTCTCCTGTGGGACAAGTACCAGCAATTCAAATCTGCCAATTCACCGCTTCAGGCCTGGGTACAGGAGTGGGGAAAAAAATCCATGAGGCTGAAAAGGTGGAAGTGACCCAGATCAGAAGAGTTGCTACCTCTGTAAATCTGGAACTAGGCAGCTGGAAAGCGGTTGCCCGTCTTGGCTCCCAGCTCTACAACCCAGCTCTCATCGATGCGTTTGATGAACGCATCGGTGGAATTAGAAGAGACATTCCTGGATCCAAGATGCGGTCCCCGTGGCGGTGGAGATCACCACGCAGTCTTGGGATGTGAGCGGCAGGACCTGATGCTCGTGGTGGAACTGACTCTAAAGGACGCGGACATTCAACCTGTCTTCCGAACCCGGAAGAGGGACAGTCCTGACAGGCTGGGATACTAAGGCTGGCAGAGCATATTTTCCTCGATGGGTCTGATGGATCAATAGTATTTCACCATTGTTCAGGCTGTCCCGAAGCATGAAAGTCAGGATCAGTATTATGGATGACAGAGCAGGCCAGCTTGTAATCGAGTTGAAGGACAGACATTGTATTAATAGATGTACAGGTTCATAGCACAGAAACCGATGCCTGTTTCTTGACGTTTTTAAAATTATAGGATCGTGGTAGGAATTAGCTGTTTATGACACAGAGCTCACGACATTGACAGACACATTCTTTACCGAACAGCCTCCAATTGTCGCCGTCCCGTCGAATATACTGCCCAACCAGTCCAACGCCCTTTGCTTCCCATTGGAGATCTCCGTGATGTGATTCCCCACTGTATTGCGCTGGTACTCGACATCAACGTTAATGCTGCACCATCGTTCAACCAGCGCATCCGTCGACTTGACTGTCGAAAACTCGTCACCAATCGCTTTATAAACAAACGTGGGCATCTTGGGCACGCCGTGATAGCCCTGATACGAGTTCCGATCTGCAATCTTCGTCAAAATGGGTGCCAGGAGATCGGCGCGACCATTGATGAAGTAGTCGTAGAGATCTTGGTTCGCATAAGTAGCGAATGCTTGGTTGACAGTGAGATGCAGATCGGCTAGGAATGTTGTGGCATTGTAAGGGCCCGACTTCTTGAGACGCGAGACGAGATACGCGCGGGCTTCCTCATCCTGGCTCGTAAGCCCAAGATACAAGCCAGGGAGTAGACCTGCGTACGCAGATCCTGTTAAGTTGTCGCGTGCCTCGGTCAGATTAGGCACGCATCCGCCGATTGCCATGCCTGCGAAGCTGAGCTCAGGCGCGTACTGCTCCTGCAGTTCGGACGCCCATTCGCTGGCTATCGAACCGCCGGAATAACCCCACATGGCATACTTGGTTTGGGTATAGTCCGGTAGAAGGCCTGAAGAGAGGACAGCACGGATGGAGTCGAGGGTTGCGTGCCCTTCGGTAATGCCCATTGCAAAAGAGGCAGTGGGGCCTTCGTGATCAGGCATGTTGACGAACCATCCTTTCCCTAGAGCGTAGGAAGTGTCGTCGTTTGTGGATCCTGATTCAAATCTACAAAACAATGTTCATGAATCAGCTGCCTGTCGAGATCTTTCGTGTGCCACACTATTGGACTATGGGGATGACCTAGAGTACTCACGCTGGCTGTGCGAATTCGTAATATATGGCAAAGCTAGGGCTTGCATCCACCCAAACTGAATTGTACGGGATTTGGATGGACAAGAGTGATGTTTGCGATGAATTGGTCCCTAAGGTAGCATTCTCAAAAGGTATGAACAGCGTTGTGACTGCGAACGCAGGTTTATAGTTGGAATCAGTTGTGCGATATACGATGTGATAGACAGCTGAGGCGTTTGCTATTACGTTGGTAGCATTTCCAGGGGCGTGGCGGATGCGGAGTATTGTTCCAGGCGCTGTTTTCTCGAATCCGTGAGGGGCAGTGTAAAAGGGATCTTGACTAGGTGGTATAGGCTTCGACAACGAATTCGGCGGAATATGCAAGACCGACGCCAAGATGCTGGAAGAAGCAAGCGACCATACCAGTGCCGCGAGAATTTGTGTGACATACATGCTGAAACCGATTGAAGCTGTGTCTTCGTGAATCGCACCCAGGCTGATCATTTATACATTTGCAACACGAATCCCTGGGCACTGCTTGCACTCGCGCCCATGATCATAATTCGACTAACGCCGGTAGCGTTCCCCTGTGATTTGCTCCTTTGCGATTGAACCGGCAGTGAGAATATAGCGTACACATGAGATTACCTATATTCCTTCGACCACATGCACCTGTGGCAGGCTTTACACCATTTGGGAAAGACGCTAACTATACGTCGTACCTAGCATTATGTGCGGCCTTTGCACATCAAAGCCTGATGAACGAATAGGTGTAACCATGTTCGTCTTTAATTTAATGACGACGGTGGGGTCTAAAATGGCTCTCTGCACATATGCAAGACGGTGCATCTTTGACCCATTGTCGGACCTTCAAATGCCCGCGATCCGAACATCCTCGGCCCCGAGAATACCCAAAGTCTTGGGCCAACCCGGGGAGGTACCATAGGTAATAACGAGTGAATCCAGACAAGTACCGAAAGTGATGAAGTTGTGAACAGACTTGTGGAGGAAAGCGGAGATACTGCGCTGCTTCTCAACAGGGTTTAGCGCTATTTTGTCGCGTGAAAGCTGCATCATTTTCACGAGGACGCAGCGGTCTCATAATAGTTCGGTAGCATGCTTCTTGCCTCGCGTCAAAATACAGGAAATCTTTCAAAATATGGTCATCCTATGATCGCTTTCGTACTGGCTCTGGAGGTCTTACAAAATTATGCAGTGCCCGGTGTAGTGTTCTGAAAGCGCCGCCGCATCGACGAGGGGTATCGGTGCGATTTGGCAACCTCATCCCTTTCAACATCCTTTAGTAACGTCCACCAAAACCAACATCATGGCGCGCATATTAATAACCGGCTCCTCGGATGGCCTCGGTTCGATCGTCGCCCAGCGCCTCGTGGCTCGCGGCCACTCCGTCGTTCTACACGCTCGAAATCCCGCACGCGCCCAAGACGCGATAAAGGCGTGCTCAGGCGCGGAGACCGTCGTCACGGGCGATCTCTCCAGCATTGAAGATACCAAGAAGCTCGCAAACGATGTAAACAAACTCGGCATATTCGATTGCGTTATTCATAATGCAGGTCTCTTCCGCAGTCCGTACAGCGAGACAGCAGATGGCATACCTCCGCTCGCAGCAGTCAACACGCTCGCGCCATATATCCTCACATGCTTGATCACTCGGCCCAAAAGACTGGTCTTCGTGTCAAGTGACATGCACCAGAGCGGTGACGGTAGTCTCGAAGACATACTATGGCAGCAACGTGGGGAGAAGGGCTACGACCCCATCAAAGCGTATCGGGCAAGCAAGGTGCACGCCGTCATCTTCGCGAAAGCATTTGCGCGGCGGTGGCCCGAGGTCAAGAGCAATTCGCTGGATCCAGGCTGGGTGCCAACCAAGATGGGCGGAGCCAATGCTTCTGGGGATACGGAGGCAGCGGTAGCTACATATGTGATGCTGGCGGAGGGAGAGGAGGTAAATGCGCAGCGAAGTGGCATATACTACAACCCTGGACCGACAGAAGGGCGGGCGCAAGCTTCAACGGACGACGAAACGGTGCAGGAACGTCTGCTGCAGATTTGCGCAGATTTCACCGGTATCAACCCATCCATCTGAAAGGTAAGAGACGCGCTGGATTTTTGCCCATCAGAAGTTTTTAGACATCTACTAAGCTTAACTCTCCTTCGCCCCTTTCGCTCCTCTTTTCTTGAGACCAGGCCTACGATAGGCATAGCGTGTTTACGCTTTAGCTTAGAGTCTACAAGTCACCGTATCATGTTTCCATTCAATCAGCTGTCACAGGTTTTGGAGAAGCGTCATGGAACAATTCACCAGGGGGCAGTCGGTGCGCCATCGAGCTCTCAAGAAGCTACGTTCTTGGTGTCGGCTTTCCTTTGATAATACGATTAAGGCACTCTCGCCAAGTATAGCTCCCTCTGTAACGCAAGAAAAAGAGCACATGGTTGGGTGGAGTGGCGACCTATTACCCCAGCGCGCAGATAAACGAGCGAGCCAACCCCAACCCTTGCATCTCAACCCCAGCAGATCGGCTCACGCACGGGTCTGAGGTGATCCGTGCCGCAACACTTCGAAAGCTCTGCTTACATCGGCGAGACACCAGCAAAACAAGGTTGCACAGCTACCCCGCAACACACGGAGCCATTCGCAGTTTGAGAGACAGGTCCTAGGGTGCTCAGATCCAGTACAGAGGCGCTTTACGGACCATGGCTCGCGGGGGGTTCATCTTCGGATCTCTGTTTGCAGTATTCGGCGCGGTGTTCTGGCAACTTATGCTGAGAGACCTTTTGTACGTCACGCTCGGTGTTGGCCGAGTAATACAAAGCGTCGATGAGTTTCCATACAAATGTCGAAAGATTACAGACAAGAGGTTGTCAGGTTGTGAAGATTTATGGCTGGACGATCAGCAGAGCATGTAACGTGCCTCCGCAATCTAATATCCTCCAGGAACTGATTCAAGCAGCTTGTACGCTGCATGTGCGAGCACCGAAGGTCGACTTGCATGGAACGAAGCGTAAGTGCTTAGTCCACTGCGCCAAGCCTTTGTCACTCATCCAGAACTAGTGTGATGAAGCTCAATGTTTCTGCGAGAAGGAAAGGTGGTACTGAGGTCCTTGCTCTTTCAATCGACAAGAGCTTGCCCGATGGCTCTTTCTCCTACCGTGCACTCCAGCTCGACAACTTCCTCTCCCCAACGGGCGATTCCTCAGTCGATATCCTAGGCTTCGATGTCGAAATCATCGACAAACATACGGTTCATTTCTACCTCACTAACCAACGTCCACCGGTGGATGCTCAGGGTAAACATATCGATGCAACGAAGCTCGGTGCGAATGCTACGATTGAAGTTTTTGAGCACAGAAGAGGAGCCAAGAGTATGAAGCATTTGAGGACTGTGTGGGACCCTGAAACTATGTATACGCCAAACAACGTTGCTGCTGTGGGAAATGGTGCGTTTGTGGTGACGAATGATCACTCGAAGTCTTTTGGGTTGGTGAGCTTTGCTCGTTCCACTAATCTCGAACACATCAAATTCTAACAGCCTTTAGCGCAAAAGTTTCGACAACTACATTGGCGGCGGTGGTGTCACTTACTGTTCACCTACCTCGACATGTTTTCCTATCACGCCACCTCGAACCTTCAGAATGCCGAATGGACTAGCCCGCGGCGCAGATGGACTCATTTACGTTCCGTCCACCATCACCGGCACTATCTCCGTGTTTTCTCTCGCATCATCTGCTGAATCCGCGAGTATCCCTCCTGCATTCACATTGGTTGACACTATTCATGTCGGAATGCCGCTTGATAATCTGGCACTGGATGCGAGTGGCGATCTGTGGATTCCTGGGTTTCCTAACGGCGCACAGGTGATGAAATGGACAGAGGATCCGGTGGGAAACAAGTCGCCAGCGACAGTATGGAGAATTAAAAAGGTGGAAGGTGTATATGAGTTGGAGAAGGTGCTTGAGGATCGCGAAGCTGCGGTTCTTAATGGTATTACCACTGTGAGGCACGATGCGAAGACTGGGAGGTTGTTCATGGGAGGTGAGTAATGCACATAATGCTTGGATGGATGCTGACGGAAACAGCTGTCTTCAATGAATTCGTGGTATGCGATCCTATCGCGTAAAGCTAAGTACAAGTCTCTCGACCGACTGGCCTTTGTCTGTCGGCAGCTGCTCACGAACGAGAAGCCTGGATGGCTGTGCAGCTTGGAGTGAGGCATCCGGGGCCGAGGACTACACCGGATGTAGGGTTGAAATTTGAGACGCGTCCGAGGTGTGCTTGGGGTAGGGAGTGTACCAATGGTAGATGTAGTGAGGCTCATTCGTAACCGGTTAGTAATGGTGATGGCCGGGGCGGTGGCGGACGAGGACGCCGCGGCGGGCCATCAAGCAGTAATGGCCCTTCACGTGGCGGTGGTGTGCTGAGGGGCCCTCGAAATGATGGAGGTAGAGGCAGGGGCGGAGGAAGGCGTCGTTGAGATGCAGAAAGGCCGGGTATCGTACGGTGGTGACATTTCAAAATGTTTGCGTCACACAAAAATGACTTTGAGTGCGATCAGTCCACATACTTGCTACCATAGGCCAACGAACTGTACTGGGTTGTGTGTGCTAACGCTTCCAGCATGGTCTGGATGTGTTATCGGATCCAGTTGTTATTCCATTAAATCGAAACACGCGCGATTCACTCGTAGGGAAATGTCAGGGATATCCAATGTTTGCAGGTTCGATATCCTTGCTAACCTTCACATCATTTCTTAGACAAGGTCGGAATACCGGACTTCAAGTATCTATCGCACGAGCGAGGACGCTCTTGCGAAAGATAATTGACCTCACCGGGTACACAACTCCCATCGCTCCAGTACTATGACCTTCAACTGCCAGCACTGCCTGTGGCAAGCGAGGAAGGTCCCAAACACTCCACAACACCCCGGCCCCTCCCATGCAAATATAGTCACACATACCAAGATATATTTCCCAGTGGATCCTCAAAATGTCCCAAACACCGCCCCCACAACAGCTAAACCCAACACAGCCAAGCCGCCTACACCGAATCCCTTGGTCTTCACTCCCCCTCCAGCCTTATCTATCACGCCCCATTGACCCTCCAACCTAGCATCCATAAAGCACTGCCAAGCCTTTGAGGCGCTTCCCTTCACTACATGTGCCACGAGCACACATCCGATTGCGTCAGCCGGCATCGAGTTATCGACGTAGAAGCTCGGCGCTGTGCCAGTGCAGCGTTCCAGGATGGCATGGTTGCCGGTGTTGTTGGTGACGTAGATATACGGCTCTGGGACGCTGATTTGCGCGGGATTGACGTGCCAGTCTGGCGGAGGCTGGGTGCAGGTTGCGTTGATGGTGATCCAGGAGGGAAGTGCGGGTTCCATGGTAGACATGTATTGGTGAGTGTAGTCAGTTTTCTGGGACCGATTTGATTGAGGTTGTAGTGAGGTTGAAAGGTTTTGGTGGGAGTTTTGTAAGAGTAAAGTTATTCTGCTCTTGCCGTCGAAGGAGGCTGCGTGGACACGTCTGTTTGCTTGCAGCACGTCACGGATGTCGCACACGCTGCGGTCGCGCGGGGAATATTTCATCTTGCAAACGGGATGCTACTACCCTCGAAATGTTGTCATCACTGTGGAACATCTAGTCCCCTCACAACGAAAGCTAGCTTGCCTGTCATTATGAAAGTTCACAGATACGAGGGACCTCTGACTGTCGAAATCCACCGTGTCAACAATAGATCCCTTTTCACCAATCATCTTCGGCCTTGTCCTGCGCAGAGAGTCCATTATATACCCACAAAAACTGGCCGAAACACACGTCTGTCTAAGAGTACCTCAATAATTTTGTCCCCTTAGTGCATTCGCCCTTCGAGTTCGTATCTTCGCCAATAACAGCCATGCAAACCGTTTCCATCCATCTCAGATTCCAACCCATTGTCAGGTTTTCCAGGAAAACTCCCAACAAGCTCGTTGGTGGGCCACACCATCGTCGATGACGCTTCATGTATCTCTGCGCATTGACCATGCAGTTCAGAAGCTTCGGATCCGGATTCAGTGGAGAACTTCGAATGTACCGGAGCTCTTCGCCTTCTCATGAACCAGAAGAGACATAGAAAAACAGCCGCTATGACACCGAGACTGACGCCCATACCAATTCCGGCTTTTGCGCCTGTGGACAGGCCGTTTCGCTGTGTTGCGGAGCCCGTCAAACTCGATGAAGGGGTCGGACTGCGTTGAGTTGTCGTTGACGTCTGTTCTTGCGTTGTGACCCGGCTCTCCAGTGTAGTCGACACTGCCCCGGAAGATAATGAAGTTTCTTGCGCTGTAGCTGCCGAAGCACCCAGACTCGTCTGCGCACTCGACCCCGCCGACGAAGCAAAAGTCCCAGACGTCGTTGCTAAGATCCCAGCGATGCCCGACACCAGGAACGGGTTCTGTGCATTTCCCAATTGCGCGCGGATGGTGTACGAAGCATCTTTCATCAAGCAGCTCGTAACCCCATCTCGAAACCACTGCGGCACTTGGGTCCAGACCTGTGCGGCGCATAGGACTTGTTCATCAAAGCAGGGCAGATCATTCCTGTAGTATGCGCACTCGCAAGGGCCGGGCCACACGGTGTTTGTCGTGACGGAGTTGGTGCACTCAGTGCGGATGCTGTCCCAGCGGGAGGCACACGAATTCATGGTTAGGACTGCGGCGTTGCATGCTGCATCGGTGTATGTTTCTGCATGACAAAAGGCTGCGAGGAAAACATAGACGAATAGACAATGGTAGAGCGGTTTGATCGGGAAATCAGCCCTTGGAGTAAACGGGTTTGCCAGCCCTGCGAAATACATGGCTGGACGAAGTCGATAGACTGCGATGAAGATGTCGGACGAGGCTCCTGAGGCTCGCGATACTGTATCAGCCACTTATGTGTTTTCCCCTGCCAGTGCTAAGGACGGTCATGGTACGACAACATCGACAATAGGCTTAGCTTATCTCCAAACTAGGGTGATTATCGCCCCCACGCTGAGTGGAATTTTTGAAGGCAACTTAAATCAATGTAGAGTTTCATCTATGTAGGAGAGAAGCGCCTGATACCAGCGCTACCGCAACTTCACAAACTCTCTACGTCGCACCCAAGAAGCCTACTAACTCTCCAGGTGCAAAGAAGCTGAACTCGCAAGCACGCAACCGTGAAAGCTGGTAATCCACACTAAAGATACACAACACTCGATGCTAACTGCAACAAGCAAGTGGATAACCTTCTTGAAGCTACTCTAGACGAGTAGCTTGCCGCTCAGAAAGCATCCCGCCCCGTGAGGGTTTGCAAACAAAACGTCGTCTGCTTGCAGTCCCGCATGTTATCCAGCTGTGTGCTGCCGCAGTCCTGCGATTTGTTGCTGTCACTACCCTTGATCTCCCTCAATACCGAGGTGCACTGTGGTCGCATGCGATTGCAGTGGACGATGTTTTGCGTCGTGCGGAAAAGATTATTTTCTGTCCTTGACAACCCTCATCCCTCATCAGTACCACCCAACAAGACGTTTGTGGGGCAGCCCCACCACGATTCAAGGTTCGCTGCAAAGCAGTAGCAACGCAGAGAAATCTCTACATGAAAGTCAACAAGCGCTTATTAGGCTGTTGGCGACAGCCATCGCTGTGTTGACTTACCTACTTGGGCCTCAACAATCAAGCGTGCTTTCGGCCGATACTATTCAGGCCATAGGATATGAGGCGACATTGAGTGAATAGTATCTCGCATTGGGTATATAACAGAAGCGGCAGCACTTGCAACTCTCACCCGCGTCCACCGAGTGGCATCTACAGCGAAACGAATCCTCAAACCCCATCTCTAGGAAAGCTAGACACCAATCCCAACGCCATCGCTATGCATAACAGGTAAACAAAAGAGAGCCGATCCGCACTATGGCAGGGGGTCTTCCACACGCAAGCCTCGTCCCGAACAAAAGAAAAGAAGTCGCAAGTGTCGCGTCGATCGTATCATCGGCTTGTGGTCGGGTAGTCGTCCGTCGCTGATTCAACCTTATACCTCCGTCCAATGCCTCTTCTCCCCGACCTGCTCAAACTCATCCGCCCACATGGCACGCCTCCTCGCGCGCTCTTCGCGCCCAAGACAGCAGAAGAGTCTTGCAAACGGGTTCCTTCTCCGTGGAGCGACGCCGTCGAAGGGGCTTTCTTTGTAGGCTGATGGTGGAGAAGGTGGAGGGCTGAGCGGGATAGTCGCGTTAGCGAAGATGTCGGAGTCGCGGCGACGGGGGCGGGTGTTGGTGAAACTGTAGCTGTGCGCGGAGGCCTTTTCGTTTGGTGAAGGCGTGGCGTCGGAGTAGCTGGTTGGTGTGGTGCGGAATGATGTGTTGATAGGAGACAGTTCTGGACGCGTAGCTCTTGGTGACGGCGGTAGGCCGTAGGGCGAGGTAGCAGATGTGGACATTGTGGGCTCGTGTCTCAAAGGACGGTTTTTTGAAAGATGATATTGCTCGAGGCGGAGTATGTAAGTCGAGCCTCTGTTTACGATAGTGTATATAGATGGCGCTGTGGTTGTACAGCAGCAGTAGAAGGTCGAACAGAGTTGGCAGAGCGACAGCGACCCGGGGTAGCACAAAGATATACCGATCTGCGACCTCACGCATCGGCCTCCTTATATTCGGCCCTCAGCTGCACCTCCGCCGTAATAAGAGCAGGGGCCCGCGCACTTCATGCCCCAACGTCAAGCCGGGGGTGAGGCCTCCCGGGCCCCTGCCGTCGCCGTGAGGCGTTCACAGCCGCGTCCAGGAAGATATACGCCGTCTTCCGCCAATGAAGCGCCGTACGATGCGTGCCTTAGGAACGCGTCTGCGTCGAGCAGGGGCATCCTGTTTATACAAACATCAGTTCGGTAGTTTCGAAACCGCGCATTTCATGCGATCAAACACTGTGGCCTCCGTTCGGGGAAAGTGACTGTCCATCACGGACTCCGGGGTGGGGTGTGCACACTCGCCAGAAGAGACAAACGTCGGGTCGGTGATTGGGTCTCCGGCGGTTCGTGCACTTCTGAAACATCCCACCCGTCGCATAACAGCGAGGAACTGCTCACCGCGGACACCGCCGCCAGCTACATCAGGTCGCGGTCTCTGGTTGACAGCCTACCATATCGCCTGTCATGCGTCGAGATATGTGGCGCTCGCAGCGCTGTTTGGACAGTGCAAGGGAACTTACTTCGCATGGAGGCACGGCTTGAACTCAAGAAACAGCCCACAGACGCAATCCTCCTCGATGACACCCTCTCGTGCGCTGCAGCAACACACGGAATGAGACATGCCACCAGAGCAACAACAGGTCGCAAGGCACCCACCCTCTGCGAAAACAACAGCTGTGCCTTTTGCACACATGGTCGAGGCCCCGAAGAGCGGTCTAGCGCGCATACAGCGTCTGCCATCTCTGTGGGGGCGCGTTTGTTTAACGCAAACAACATTAACGATCGTTCGATAACGATCTTCATCTATATGCGCAGGGTCCTGCGCCGCTCTGCGGCGTCTCGGTGGAGGTTTGTGGAGGCGCACGACACGGCGCTGCGGCACAGCTGGGAGCCGTAGACACGTCGAACGGCTGCAGTGCGAGAAGAGTCTGAGTTATTGTCATCAGCAAACTTAAGCTTGCCGCAGTGCTGTGCTCGGATCGGAACGAATCCGCTCTGGTAGGGTGCTGCTCGACGGTTGAGGATTCGCGTTTCGCATTTGTCTTGCGTTCCATCCTCCTGCTACAACTTCAGTCGAACGTCAGGTTGCCAGTCGTGTGACTTTACAGCTCGACATCTGTGGCTCACCTCATGGGCTCGGTAGCTGCCTGGCAGGTTGCGTGCGTCCACCCTGGATTTTATTGTGCCGGGGTCAGTTCGCCATTGCATGGCCATGGACATGTATAATAGCGGCACAGCCGACAGTCCACCTCGCCTGATTTACCGACATGGCAAGCGCGCCCGCGCCGTGCTGTATGCGCTGGCGCGAAGATCAATTACATGCGATCGGTGAAGGTTATTGAGGCGAGTACACCAGCAAGGCTAATTTCGCCAGACGATAGAGTGTCGCTGTGCCAGGAGAAGTCTACGTGCTGTACGGTACCCCGAGGCTGGCAATACGTAGGCTAATATGTCTCAGGCCTTGTCTCGATAAAATACTGTAGTGGTGCGGATGCGTCCCGGCCGAGTTGGAAGCTCTCGAGGTTGGCAATGGGTGAAATGGAAACTGCGCCCTCATGCAGACCACAGCAAATGTTCCCAGCGCCCTGGACGGAACAGCGAATCAACGGAGTCCCTCTTCATTAACTGCTTTAGCTGCCAATGCACACATGCGGTGCATCTTTGGACCACATGTTCTTGAATGACCAGAAAGACATGCGATTCGCTGTTAACCCATAGCCTCCAACTCCACCGCATCCCCCTCCCCCCTCTCCTCCCCTCCCGCACACCCCTCCACCAACCTCCTACACCCCTCGCTCCGCGGTACCACCCGACACTCATACGGCAGCGGATGACTCACCACCCCGGGCTCGAACCTCACCTCGGGCAACTTGTCACTAGTAGGCAAGATGTCGAAGACCGCCAGCGTCTGCGCGATGGTGATGAACAGCGCGTTGTCGGCAACGTACCGGCCGGGACAGATGCGGCGGCCGTAGCCGAAGATGAACTGGCGGGGGTCGGGCTCGGAAGAAGGAGGCAGGAAGCGCGAGGGGTTGAAGGCCGAGGGCGAGGCGTAGATGGCGGGGTCGTGGGTGAACCACCTGGGACTCTTGTCAGCAAATGTTTACATGCTAATGGAAGCCTGTATCTCGATCGTGAGGCCACAGTTGAAGTAGGGAATCGCTCACCAAGTGTTCGGCAACAACATCGCACCCTTGGGAATCCGATACCCCATACACACATCCTCGGCGTCGCTGGTATGCGGAAAGCCCATTGGGACGACGGGGTGCCAGCGGTGCGTCTCGAGCATGATAGCGTGGATGTATGGCAGGCTGTCATTGTCTGCAGCGACGGGGAGACGGTCTGGCCCGACGACGCGGTCGAGTTCTTCTTGGGCTTTTTTCTGCACGTCTGGGTAGAGTGTCATGGCGAGGAAGAAGGTCATGAGGGAGGAGACGGTCTGGGGATGGTTAGGATGGGCAGTCTGGAGGATGGGGGTGAGGTGGGTGATAAGATGTTCCTGAGAGGGGATAAATCTCGACGCAACAACTCAAGAAGGTGACGTGAAGGGGTGGTGTCGGGAAACTCACAGTATCAGCGCCAGCCGCAAACATCGACAGCGCCGCCCACTTGTGGATGCGCTCCATGCGCTCATCCGCTCCCTCCGTCTCGATGACCTGCGACAGAAACGAAGTCTTAGCCCGTCCTTCGCGCATCTGCTTCTTGACAAAAGCATACGGCTTTTCCACGCAGTCAGACAAAATCTTAGCCATCTCGCGACCAGTCTTCCGGTACGCGGTGCCAGGGAAGCCGTCGGGGAGGTATTTCACTGCCACTTGTTAGCCAGCCACTCCCGCAGCCATCGCTTCCGCTAAAGCAACAGTAGCCCATGTCCTTTCGGTACCGTCTCTCCTTCTAACCAACCAGACTCGTACACAACAAATAGAGGCGATCCACGGCCTGCACTTACACAACGGGAACACATCCACCGCCCACTTTCCTGGCACCGTACTCTCCGCGAACGTCCACACCGCCTTCCCCGCCAGCTCCACCAGCGGGTCCCTCCCCCTCATCCTCGCCGTATACCCATACGTAATCTTCAAGATAACCGTTCCCGCCTCCGTCCGAATATGTTCAAACAGCTTCCTCGGCTCCCTGAGCACATTGACCAAAAATCGCGCCGCCTCCTCCTCCTGCACCTTATCAAACGCCAGCACCGAGACCGCCGAGCTTGTAACCTTGGTGATGTTCCTGCGGTGCAATTTCCACTCGTCGTTGTGCTGGCACATGGCGGTCGAGTGTTTCCAACCGACGACATCGCAACTGAAGTTCTGGTGGGGGCGGCCGGAGTGGATGAATGCGCGGTCGCGCATGAGCTCAAAGGCCAACTTCGGATCATTCAGGATGATGATGGTTTGCCCAAGGACGGTCACAGAGCTGATTGGGCCTGGGGTATCACGTCGTCAGGAGTCGTCCACGGGTAATGTGTACCTGATACTGGCAGGGGTACGTGGAAGCGAAACGTACCGTACGCATCTTTATGCTTGGTCCAGTGGTCGTATTCCATAACCCCAGGCTTGGGCATGTCAGTGGCATTGCCGATCACAGGCCAGCCTTTGGGCCCTGGGGGTAGAGGGCGCGCATTGCGGTCTTTTTGCAGCAATCTCTGGATTGCATACGCGATGAGCAGACCCAGGGTACCAAAGGCTAGTGTGGCTGCGATTCCCATGCTTGCCGCTTCCTTCCTTTGGCTGAAACAGAAGCTCTAATAGAATGCAGTCTAGAAGTATCGTAGGACAGGGCCAGTGTTAGTCCTGTTGGTATAATTATATCGTATGATGTGGTTCAGCGTGGGTGCGAGACGTCGGCCTGCTAAACGACGATCGCGAGGTGCTAAGCTACAACCCCTGCTACTGCGCAGGAAAGCGCGTCTAGCATCAAATCAACAAATGCAGGTGACATGCTGCACTCCAGGCGCCGTCTGAACGAAATGCGGAGGTCGTCGATATACTGGGCGTACACGAAAGAGGGTTGCCCACAGATACATTCCAACAGACGAAGGCCAAAACTCGCCCGGGCGCATTACTTTGTCGGGCCACCCACTAATGCAATGCCTCATGGATACAAGGCAAGCGACGATATCGACCAAGATAAAGATTGTCGCTACATAACAACTCAACGCAACGTTGTACCTGAAGCAAGTCAGCCAATCGATGGCAGCATGTTCAAAAACAAGTCACGGCTCCACCACAATCCCGGTAAGATGAGGTTCTGCGGTTATTTTCGTCTTCTCACGAGTCCATGACTAGCAAGTGGCCACGAAAAACTGTTGAAACCTAGTGATGAGGCTCGTCCAATCCATGGCCCCTCCATGCCGTCTCTGACAACTGCGCAACAAACTCTCCACGCGTACCTCTCAGCCTCCAATAACCAAAACAAGCCAATGCAATTCGGTTCCATAGCAATAGTCGTAAAGTCGTGGCGAGACACCGTAGCAATATCAGATGACCCCCTGTATGCGCTTCAAAGCCGCTCATCAACTCTCCAACCAAAAGGTCCTGTCCTCAGTTTCTTTCCTCCTTCCCATCTTATTTCAAACCAAATCATGTGGGTATCAACACAACGCCAACCATGCAATGCATGCGTTCTTTTTCGGGTTTGGGCGGGCTAAAAGGAATGATTCTGCCACCGGCAATGGTGCCGAGCGATCGAAATGCGAGTGTAGACATGTTGCAGTGCGGTTATACCAAAACATATAATACCCTGAAGATGGTACTGCCCGGAGACTTTTTCACTCCCCGGGGAGTAGATCACCACAGTGTCGAGACATAAAACGCGCAGGCGACCCACTATGCGTAGTAGGTACTACCGCGAAGGTTCGGCACGGTAGTACGCTGTGGATTGGCTGCTTGGTGCTGAACTATGCAGATGACCAGCTGGCCTCTCCGTCGATGGGAAGTTCTCAAACATGACTCGTCGTTGTGGATGTTCGAAGTCATGCCTCGCAGCTCGAGCATCTGCACTAGTGTGTGGTAAACGACCGGAGTTGTTTGGACTGCTCATGAAGAGAAGGGTATCTACGGCATCTTTCTCGGCTTGTTGACTGGGCATGCGCAGAATGCCTGGCCTGGGGGTCGCGGGCGTTCGGAGGCCGGCACCTAGGTCACTGAAGTGTTTTCGCTGCGACGAGCCGAGCAGAGGTGGAGCATGAAAAGAAGCACTCGAGCGACGCTTTCTTCGAGACTCAAACTCTGGTGCTGGACCGAGCATTAGACCGGTGTTTGCACCAGTGACGGAAATGAGGTTGACCGCAGCATTTAAGGTAGGTTTGGTTCCAGGTCGCCAAAGCGCTATTGATCATTAGCAGGCATCGGAAAAGTGATACCATGGTACAACATACAGGAAGGCGTCGATGCATAAGATCTGGAAGGATCTGATGGTGTCCTCTGGCCCGGGGATATCATCATGTGGTCGGAGTTTTCAGAAACACCGCTGGGTCTTCTGCGGCGTTCTGCTGTTGTGGGTGATGCAAACGCCGGTCGAGATCCGGGCGTTCTGTTGGCGACGGAGTTAGGTGACCCTTGCTGCGAAATCCTCTCTTCAAGTTCGTCAATGGACTGTTTCTCCCAATTGTTCTGTACTTTGACCATTGCATACGAAAGACGCGTTTTGAGCTGTGCCGACAACTATAACAACCGTCAGTCAAAAATAGGCCAAGAAGGCTCAGGAAATGTCTGGATACGATGCACGAGCGCGAATCGGAGGTCCTCGGATCCAGACTTTCACCCAACCTTGGATAGTTCTCGCGTACCTGACCAATGCGACCACTTGAACCGGCCTCCATGCTCTTATTGCGTTTATGACCCATGGTGGGCGCGGTAGGAGACTCATTTATTATTTCGGAACCCTTTACTGATCCATCGGCTGCTCTCTTGAGACCCTGCATTGCTGGGGAATCCAGCGACATGGGACTGGCTGCTGTGTCACCAGTTCGCGGCGCGTTCGCGGCATCAATCCGTAGCGTGTCTGGCCCGCGGGGTCGATCCGGTGATGGTGGAAACGCATGCACTATAGACGTCTTCTGAGCCGACGGAGTCTTGGACAAAGGCGGAGATGTAATCTCGGTGTCTCCAGCAGTTGATGTCGAGAGGTTACTTGAGGCCGACGGCAATCGAGGCGCGGAGAAGGTGCTTGAGGCTGCGGAGATGTACGACTCTTGCGAATCAGGTAGCTCGCGTTGATACAAGGAGGGCATTGGGGCCGTCATCGTAGCGTTGGGGTCTACTGTCGCAATAACAATGCGTGAGTCGCGTCTCTCGATCGCTAAGCGTGCAATGGCTCACTTCGTAGTGGGGTAAGCCCCTCCGTTCAGCATCCAGTCGACCGTGGTCCAATATGTGAGCAAAAACGGGTTGTCGTGCTAGAGATACACGATATGAAGGCTATTGCCGTAGTGATGGACACCTCAGTGATTGCGGGGGGCGATGTTGGCCTGGCACTGGGGTACGTGTCGTGCGGTAATGCCTAGTCGCGTCGCGATCGCGAGCGTCGGGCGGATGACCGTCGTTCGTCAAGTCGGAATTGAGAGAGCAAGACGAGCGCAAACGCGCAATGTGCTCGAATGTTCGAATGTCGCGTCGTGAGAGCGGATGGAGCACGAAAGGCCTCGGGGGCGACCGGGCGGGCCGAAGGTAGGATGCGCTGCAGAAGCGTGATCACGAGGAAACTTGTGGGTCTACTTTGCGCGTTGATGCGCGTATCAAATGGGCGCCAACAGCGCGAGGTAATTAGAGTGGCGATTAGCCCAACAAAGACGCGTTCGCGGAAAAGAACAGCTCCACAACACACTGTCAAGTTCCGACGAAAAAATATCCAGGGGAGTTATCTTGTAATGAGAAGAACATTCGCGGTTGCCTGCATTGGTTCACACCAGTTCCCACAGACGTCACGTCACGATCGATCCTCGGCTGTGGCCCGACCTCACCAACGTTGAAAGCGGCCTGCGTTACAGTGCCTTCCTCATTTGGTGTACCCGATTGTCCGAAGTTTCAGGCCACATTCCCCTTGGTGACTGTAGAATAGTTCAAGGATTTTCATCTTCTCCTTCGATTTCGCCGTTGCTCGTGCACTGTGAACCACAAAGTGCCCGGCCAGCCTTATCGGCGTAATATGAAAGCGGACCCCGAACGGGCAAGTTCCAGGTGACGATGCGTGGGATCTGCATGGACGTCCATGTGATCGAAGGGAGATACTCTCAAAAATTGTGCGGCACCCTTTGATGATACGATGGCCTCTCGAGTAGTACAACCTCCGAGCGTGTTGCGCTGTTCGTTGGTGATATTCGTGGAGATGAAGGTTCAAAAGTGCGCTCTGATGGTGTCTCGGAAGCCCCCAGGGTGGCTGCTGGCTGCTCACCCAAGGCGTTTCCATGAGCAGCGCGCGCGCAGGAAGGCGGGCCGGGAATGGGTTTGCCATGCAGAGGCTTGTGTTTTGCGGCGACAACAGCAAGATAATGGTTGAGTAAAGCGCAGGTGTTAGAGTGTTGGCCGACAAGGATTTCACTACAGCTGAATATGCGGCATTGCGCGCTTTTCACAGGTGACGAGGGAGTCATTCCACGCACAAATGTTTGTCGATGAGAGAGCGCTTCTAGGAATTCACTGCTATCAGCATGCAGCAAGCTTCAACCGCATTTTCCATCCAGCAAACCCCACAACACACACCACCTAATTCGCAACTGAAAATGACGCCTTTCCCTCGCGAGAAAAAGAAACAGCGAGCCCCAAACGGGACCCTGCGAAAGCATAGGACTTGCAAGGGTCGTGAGGACCGTAAGCCCCGGGCATGGGTTCCGCGGTGCTTGGCACCAGTTCAGAGCAGTTATGAGGCGACGAGGGCGGTGAAGTAGGGGCAACGAGTGAGAGTCAGGACAAGGAAGAGTCACGATAAAAAAAGAGTGGGGAGAGAAGGAAGCACAAACAGGCCAGAAGTGGCGGGTGGGACCGTGAGTGGCGAGTCAGGTCTCAAGCTCAAGTATAGAGACGCTCTGAGGACGGTGAGAGAATGCAGAATCTTTGCGCACGAGCGGCGTGATACAGTAGTTGGGACAGAGACAGATACTATGAGGAAGGCGCTCTGGCGTCACGCAGGCGATCAGACCTCGGGCAGGCACGACCCACACGCACGATGACCCAACGCGCTCCGAACGTCCAAGACAAACACAATAGCAGCAAGGTCAGTTCGGTGCAGTGGACAGGTTCGTTTGCAGACAAACTACAGAACAGAGTATCGTTTCACATCCCCCTCCCCTGTTGTGCATTCCAGACATGCAGTCCCGATACAAACGCCAAAAACGCCATCCCGAAACGCCGCACTTATTCCCAGTGTACTGTAATGCACAAGCTCAAGCAACACCGCTGGCCTTTCGGTACGTCAATCCACCGCCCCATCTTGCCGCCCCCTCCGCCACGCCTCCCCTGCCTTCCTCAGCCACCTTCCCACTCACATCCCTCCTCCGTCCAGGCGTCCCAAGATCGGAGTACTCGCCATCGTACGGACTCATGTAATCCACCCCGGACCGACTCACCACGCGCGGCGACACTCCAGTGCCAGGCGTATAATTCGCCTCGCCCGTCTTGCGCACGGAGGCGAAGCTTTTCTTGTCGAGGCTGAAGGGAACCTGCACGTTGTCGATCTTAGGTATCGCGGGGGCGTTGGTGGTGTACTGCTTTGCTGCGCTGGGAAGGGCACCTCCGCGTGTGCTCTTTGTGGGTGAAGAGCCGGGCGAGTTGGCGGGCGAGGAACCGCGGATTCCCTGCGTCGCGGCTTTGAGGTCGCCGTAATAACGCCCTGACTTGGCTGATTTGGCTGACTTGACAGTGTTGGAGCGGTTGAAGGTGGCCTCGGTGGAGACGGATGTCACAGTTGTGGTGCGCTTGAGGGGCGACGGGGGAGGCGTGTTTTTCGGTGCGGCTTCGCGGAAGGTTTTGGAGGGCGGTGGTGTGGGTGGGTTCATGCGGAGGGGCTGGGGCATCATCATGGGAGCACGGAAGTCTTCGTCGTCGGAGGCGTTATCGTAGGGGGATATCACACCGTAGCCGTGGGTTCTGGGCTTGAAGAGGGATTGCTTGGGCTCCGGGTATTGGTCTTTCTCGTTCTCGTCGTACACGAACCAATTGTCAGATTGTAGTTCACGAGAGTTTTGCAGAGCGAGGTCTCCGGACGCTTCGTGCTGCTTGGAAGACCTGGCTGTCGTAGCTGTCGATGGCGGCGTGTAGAAGTCTTGCTTAGACGATGAAGTGATGAACGAGTTCGGCCGGGAGTTTCGCTTGATTGCCTGTTGAGCGAGGAAGGCTTTCCGCTCCGCTAGGCTCTGGTCGTCCTGCTCTTCCATTTGGAGAAGATCGTCTCGGCGGTTCAGGTCTGCACGTGACTGTCGTGCAGAGTTGGCCTGCGCAGACATGGTGAACTTCTCGCGCGACTGCCTGGCTGAGTTAGGTGTGTGTGGTGAGTACGTTGTATCCGAGTTGGTGCGGGTATGCATGAAAGACATCTGCTTGCGATCGGGACTAGGGATCTCCTTCTCGGTGATAAGAGGCGCAGCTTGGGAGTTCCTGTAGTCCGTATTGAGAGTGGTGGTCGTCTGCGCACTGAAACGCTTGTCCGCTTGCGTCAATGGAGTAATGGCCGAAATGGAGGAATTCTTATGCTTGTGCTTGGTCTTGCGTCGCGAGGTCAAGTTCTCCTCCAGGGGGTTCATGTCCGGAGGGAGACGAGCGATCTTGCGAAAGATGTAGACAAGGTAAAGATCCAGTACGATCGACGCCAGATGCAACCCCGCCACTGTCGTGGCAGTGAGCCATGCGGTAAGCAACACCTTGTCCGTTTCCTCGTCAGTCGGGAAGAAAGTCCGCCACCGTCCTTCTGTTCCTGCTTCCTCGTTCAGGTTCCGCTTTGACAGCAATGCGGTGAAGACGTAGAAGGGTATGAAGCCGCAGTCCATGACCAGGGCGAAGAAGTGGTAGCTCGCAGAGCTCGCCGGTGGACGCGACTTTGCATTGCGCAAGAGGTGATAGATGGCGTAAAGGCATATGACAATGTCGACGCCGGGCTGGTTTGGTCAGTGTGTGATGTTGAAGAAATTGATACAAACATACGGGTATTCTCATGATCCAGGATTCAGTGTCCTGTGCGCCCTTGATGAAGATGGCGCAGAGCAGGGCCCCAACGGCGCCCAGGAGGGTGCATATGCGCAATGCGAACTGGATCCATCTCACAACCTTGATGACGACCTTGACCCTTGGGTCCATGGGCGTCGCACCCGTGTTGCCATAGGGAAGCACGACATAGCTGTCGGGGTGCCTGTTAAAGTTGATGAGCGGGCCCTCTGGCTTCCTCTTGGGCGACGGCGGCGGCAAGCGACTCGCTATGGTGACGGCCTTTGGGTTGAACGAGTCGCGCTCGGAAGGCGCATCGTAGAGGTAGGGCTGCCACTGCTGACCCATGGTGACGACACGCAGGAAGGCAAAGGAGTGCACGCCTTCGAACGCTCAGCAGCGAGGAATGGACGAGGTCGCTTAGCTTAGCAGTGGAATGCTGGCGGTGCAGGGGACGGGTTGATCAATGTGGAGGGCCATGCGAGGTATGTATACACGGGTCGCCATGGCAACGGGCGGCACAATGGACGAGTTCCCCAACGGTCCCCAAGCGGTTCATGACGTGATGGTCCGACGCCGGCCGTGCATGTGGCTGCATGAGGTGGAGCATGTTCATGGTTGCTTTGGGCATGGTTTTATTGGAGCTTGATGGTTTGGACATGGTTCGGCCGTGCTGCCGGAATGCAGCGTTGGTCCAGGTTGTTGCGTGGAGCTGGCGTCGGGCCCCGGCACGGGTTCACGAGCACATGCATCTCGACCGCCTCGTGACAAATGCGAAAAGCTCTCAACGCTTGCGCAACATTTGCGGCGCGATGTGTAGGCCAGGAGCGACATCAAGACCGCAGCGTGCGGGTCGTCGACCACAGCGGGCACGCCTTAGTCAGCGGCACGCGCCTTGGACGAGGGCAACTTCTCCCCGTACAGGCTGAACACGATGAACGCCAGCGCCCACGCACGACGAGCGCCCTACGTGTGCGCTAGCTGCGTCCGCAGGCTCCGCCATGCTGCCCCGCGAACAGCACGCACATACACCACAAACACAAACAGGACGAGCCGCGTCTTTGCGGCCGCGCCACGCCATGCGCTGAAAGCTCCCGCACGCGTGTTGCACCTCCCGCGCAATGGCTACAGCACGGCCGCCGCGAAGCCGCTGCGGCTGGCCATCGTCGGCTCGGGCCCCGCCGGCTTCTACACGGCGCACCGGCTGATGAAGCAGGTGCAGGATGCCGTCGTCGACATGTACGAGAAGCTGCCCGTCCCGTACGGCCTCGTGCGCTTCGGCGTCGCGCCCGACCACCCCGAAGTCAAGAACTGCCAGGACACCTTCGAAGAGGTCGCCGCGAGCCCCCGCTTCAACTACATCGGCAACGTCGAGGTTGGCACGACGCTGGCGCTGTCCGACCTGAAGCCGCACTACGATGCCATTTTGTTCGCCTATGGGGCGTCCGAGGACCGCCGGCTGGGCATCCCGGGCGAGGACTTGCCTGGTGTCTATTCCGCGAGGGAGTTTGTGGGCTGGTACAACGGGCACCCGCAGTTCGCTCACTTGAAGCCGGAGCTGGACCAGGGCGAGTGCGCCGTCATCGTCGGCCACGGCAACGTAGCGCTCGACGTCGCGCGCATCCTCGTCTCCCCGCTGGCTCAACTCCGCAAGACAGACATAGCCGACCACGCCGTCGCCGCCTTGGCCCGCAGCACCATCACGCGCGTCGAGGTTGTTGGGCGACGCGGGCCCCTGCAGGTACGCTCCGCAGTCATTCCAACACGACCTCACTAATATGACATAGGCTTCATACACGGTCAAGGAAGCTCGGGAGCTTATGCAGTTCGACAGGGTCGGATTCGAGAGCGCTGGGCTTCACAAGTTCTACCCCGAAAATACCAAAACGCTGCCGCGCGTGCAGCAACGCCTCGCAGATGTCCTTCTAAAAGGCTCGCCAGTGAAAGCCCATGACTACAAGAAACGATGGCAGCTGTCCTTCATGCAGTCACCGCACGCGATGCACGTCAAGAAAAACCGCTTCGGCGAGCCAATCGGGGACCGTGTTCACTCGATTGACTTCCAGAAGACCGAATTCGTGCCCGGCGCAGACCCCATGTCAAAGGACGCCCGAGTGCAGCTCACAGACGAGATTGTCACTTCGGAAGCATCCATGGTGTTTAGGTCGATAGGCTACAAGTCTACCCCTTTGCCCGGTCTGTCCGATCTCGGCGTCCCGTTTGATGAGAGACTCGGCATCATCCCGAACGACGCCCATGGCCGTGTCATATCGCCCTCGGCAGGCCCTGGGAATCTATCCGCGGGCCATCTCCCCGGGCTGTACGCGGTCGGATGGGTCAAGCGCGGGCCAACCGGTGTCATCGTCAGCACAATGATGGACGCATTCACGACTGCAGATGTCATTGTCCAGGACTGGAGCGCTAGCTCGCCTTTCCTGAACGGCGAGAAGGGCCGGAGCGCAAGCACAGGACTGGGCTGGGACGGAGTCAAGGACAGCGTGGTGGCTCAGGGCGTTACGCCAGTCGACTGGGAAGCGTGGAAACGCATCGACAAGGCGGAGCGGGAGCGGGGCAAGGAAAAGGGCAAAGTGAGGTTGAAGTTTGTGGACGAAGAAGAAATGAAGGTTGCGGCTGGCCTGGCATAACCACACGGCATACATACATAAGCATACCACCTAACTCAAATTTGACCCCGCATCTCAAAGACCAAACGCTCCACGACCAAGTCGATCGCACGCGTCTTGCTTCATACTGCCTCTCCTCGTATCTCGCGCGCAGATTCTTTCCACCTCTCGCACATCCTCACGATCGCGTCAACGGGAGCATAAACAGCGCAGGGCCAATCTCGGTGCCCTCTTCCCAGGACACACCTGCCGTGCGCGCCTCAGGTACGTTCCATGCTGCCCTAGCGCCCGTGCACGCCCATGCATGCGGCGCGAACGCTTCGCTTAGATCCCTGCCCGTGGCCCTAACGTGGGGGCGCGAAGCTTGATGCCGCCAAGCTCAAACACCACATGCCTCAGCAAGGGTGACGTCGAATGACAAGATGATGCGAGACTCACTACGGCGTGTCAAGCAATGGCAAGAGATGAGGCAAGCTCGGCGAGAGACGGTACCAAGGGGACGAGGGAAACGCATATAGAACGCCTGCTCCTCGCGGGTCATGCTATAGCATCGCTTCTATTGTCTTCACTTCCTCCGCTTCGGCTATCTACTTGATCGTTTCGTTCCTTTCTACAGCTGGGCTGTCATTCGTTCATACTGCATACCATTTTTGCTTCCTATACAAATACCCTACAACTTATACCATATTTTACCAGCTTTCCATTCATATACCCCAGCCCAGCAATCACAATGCGTTTCTCCTCTTCCGCCATCGTCTCCGCGCTTCTCGCGACCGGCGCCCTTGCCGCCCCCACGCCCCTCACCAAGCGCGCCGGCGTACTGACCGCCAAGTCCTACGCCGACTTCCAGGTCTCGGATGGCGTCGCTGGCAATGCCCTCGCAGAGGTGCAGGCAAAGTTCCCCGTACGCCTTCTCCTCCCTGCCTCATCTCACCCACCATCGATCCCCCCCTAACCTTAATCCTAGATTGATACTTCGAACCTCGCCAACGTCGACCCCGCCGACGCAAAAATCATATCGGATGCCAGGCAGACCGCCGAGTCCGCCGAGACGGACGCATTTAACCCGGCCATCGCAGCGGCATCTGGGGATGCGGCGACGGCGCTGCAGAACGGCAAGATCAAGAACAAGGTGCTGAAGCTGCAGCTCGAGGTGCTGGATCTGGGTATCAGCGCGGCGCAGAGCGGGAAGGACAACAGCGCGAAGATTGCGCAGGAGCAGAAGAAGTTGGACAACAACATTGCGACGGATAAGAAGAACGCGGGGCAGGCGAGCAAAAGTGTGCAATTCAGCGGGTAAAGAATAACCATTGATTTGAGTATATGACGGAGTGTACCGCTGCTGTCGAGGAGGCCACTGGATTAAATGAATGTCTATGTTCCTAAAGATTAATTTCTGGCTGGAGCACTCGCTTGGTGTCGACGAGAACCACAAAGTGATGTGTCGTAGATTAGCAGGACAATAACATGGACCGCCGTCCATTGATACCAAACGTCCCCTAGAGCTTATCCTCTTGCTTGGCCCGATCGTGCAGTCTTTCCCAGCTACGGCTCTGTGTTCGACTCCGTCTAAGCATCCTCCTTTTTCACCGGGCGTTCGTCGAACAGCCTGTACCCATCCAGTTTGTCGTTCTCGTCGAAGTAGATATGGATAGTCTGCGCGATACCCTTGCTTGCTTGCTCCGCAGTGGCTGGGCGAGCTGTGATATGGATTCTGGGATCCGTGTTACTGCTATTGGCAGGGTTCCTGTTATTGTGCCGTCAGTGTATCTCTTGCGCCAACTCCGTTTGGTCAACTTCTACTTCAGCACCGCCTGCGTGAAATGAGATAGCTCCCGATTCATTGTGACCTCTTCGATGAGAGGGAGAAAGAGTCTTGATTCGAGGGGACTGTGGAAATTTGACTGTCTGTAGTTGTATTTGGGACTCCATACTTGTGTATATTTCCCTCTCCCTTTTCTGAGAATCGTGTCCGTTTGTCGATGACACTTTATTTCTTTAATGCAGACAGCCTCCAATTATCTTGGCGGTTACGAGTACATTGCGGTCCATAGCTCTGCTTCCATTACTTGTGCTCCAAAAGTCATCTTTGGGGACGATTGGGGCCATCCGCTTGACTTGTGGAGCGCCGGTTGTACAGAAAGCCCAGACCAATATGAATTGCCAAATAGTTTATTGAGTACTGCTAGATCTTCGAGCTCCTTACAGGACAACCCCCTTTCGATACGATAATGCTCACGAAAGACAAACTGATTGAGCAGATGGTTGAAGAGATGGGCCACTGCCGGATCGATGTACGGCGAAGTCGCAGCGGAGAGAGTCCAACGATGACGATGATGAAAAACACACGCTCGAAGACTGGTTGACGGAGTTATCTTTTGATGAGGTGAAGGAGCCAGAGCTAACACGAGAGTAATTGGGATTGTGGGTAAAGATGATTAATTACGTCGCTGATGAGATTAGAGCCGACAGAGAGAGTTCCTGCTACTGAAGCAATGCTTGCTTTTGTTTCGATTGAAGTCATGTCAAAGCGATGAAGCTGCATGATCGAGCTCCACAATTCCGTTCACCAGGTGTTCCCGCCCACGCGAGATAGCGCAAGCGCCTGCAGGGAAAGCTATGACCACAACTGTGTCTAACCTCATTGCATCATCGATCAACACCTCATCCGCACACTCCTCACCCAAGCAACACCACAATGCTGCACCTCCTCCCACTCTCCACACTTCTCCTCCTCCGCGCTGTCCTCGCGACCCCATCGCCTCCACCCGCCGCCCGGCCCCTCCCCCTCCTCATCTGGCACGGCCTCGGCGACAACTACGCAGCCGACGGCCTCCACACCGTCGGCGACCTCGCCATCGACGTCAACCCGGGCACGTTCGTCTACTACATCCGCCTCGACGAATCTCCCGACTCCGACAAAACCGCCACTTTCTTTGGCAACCTCACAGAGCAGATTGCCTCCGTCTGCGCCGACCTCGCCGCGCACCCAATCCTATCCTCCGCGCCGGGCGTAAATGCACTGGGCTTCTCGCAGGGCGGGCAATTCCTGCGGGGCTTCATCGAGAGGTGCAATGTCCCGCCTGTGAAGAACCTGGTCACGTTTGGCAGCCAGCATAACGGGATCAGCAAGTACCAGATCTGCGGGGCGAGCGACTGGCTGTGCAAGACGTACATTGGGCTGCTCAAGGCGAATACGTGGGGCGCGTGGGTGCAGTCGCATCTCGTGCCTGCGCAGTACTTCCGCGCGACGAACGACACGACCGGGGAGCCTACAGACGACTACTTGGAGTACTCCAACTTCCTGGCCGACGTGAACAACGAGCGGGAGGAAAAGAACGCGACGTACAAGGAGAACCTGGCGAGCTTGGATAAGTTCGTGATGTATGTGTTTGAGGAGGATACGACAGTTATTCCGAAAGAGAGTGGCTGGTTCGCGCAGGTTAATGCGAGTAGTGGGGAGGTTACGGCCCTGCGGAACCGCACGATATATAAGGAGGATTGGATTGGGTTGAGGCAGTTGGATGAGAAGGGGGCGCTGGAATTTAAGACGACAGCGGGCGGGCATATGCGGTTGAGCGATGAGGTGCTGACGGAGGTGTTTGAGGGGTACTTTTCGCCGGCAAAGGGGAGCTGGGAGGGCCCAAAGAAAGAGTCGCAGGAGCAGTTGGAGTTGTAGGGCGGGCTCCCATGTCCTTGGATGCCTTTCTGGATGCCGGTTCTGTTCCTTCTAGCGGCGCGTCTTGGCTACGATGATGGTGTACTCGTCGTTTACGACAATGGTCTCTTCGTTGTAATGTTAGTTGTAGCTCAAGATGACTGGACGGTAGTGTAAAATAGCAGACGGAGAAAGAATCTGGTATTCATTCATACATAAGCAGACCAGCCTTTTAAGCGCCCAACGCCGCGAACAGGTGATGCACATAAAGCAAGGTTAATTCGCAATCAACGGCGTCTGCACCGATTCAAGCGCTTCCTGCTTCAGCTTGGTCCGTTTCTCCTTGCTTATTGAGCTCTTCTTCGCCTGCTCGGGGTCCTTCTTGCTCTTCTTCGCCTTCCTGCGCTCCCGCTTCTCCTCGAGGTCCTCGTCGTCCAGCATCTCCTCCTCCCACTCCTCCCACTTCTTGCGCTTCTCGCCCTTGTTGCTGGCGTCCGTGATGGCCTTTGTAGGCGCCGCGTCGAGCACCTTGTCGTCGTCCACCCACATCTCGTCGTGCACCCAGATGGGCAGCGCCTTGGTCGTTGGGCCCTTGATGTACAGCCCGCGCACGTTCCGCCACTTGTGCTCGATGTGCTTCTCGATCAGCTTCTCGACCACCGCCTCGACGTTCTCCTTGAGCTGGGCCGGGGTCATCGACAGCTTGCCGACCTTGATCGAGGTGTTCGTCGACGCGCTCATGCTAACATACGTGGCGCTCAGCGCGGCCTCAATCTCCTTCGCGACGCCCGCAGCGGTACCGACAACATTCTCCTGCTTCTTCTTGTCGTCCTTCTTGCTCTTGTCGATGAAGGCGCCCGCGGTGAGCCGCACGGGGATCGGGCGCTTCGATTTTGTGCCGTAGAAGGTCTTGCCGAGGGCTTCGGCGACGATCTTGGTGACGCGGTCGTCGACGAGGAAGACATCGTGTTCGGCGAGGAGCTGGCGCTTGGTCTCGAACGACTTCCACTTCTTCTTGAGTTTGTCGACGCCGATGACGCGGGCAACCTTTGTGCGGAGCTCGGTGGGGAACTCGGAGGATTCGAAGATGAGGTCCTTGTATGCGCGCTGGGGGTCCTTCGTGAAGATGCATATCCGGACGTCGCCACCGATTATGGGGTGGGGGAGGGGACTGTGAGATGTCAGTAGTCATTCCGGATGCTCTGTTCTCGCAGACGTACAGTTTTGCGGGCTTCAGACGGCTGGTGTCGTGGACGTGTTGCTTAGTAGTGACAGTGAGGAAGATGGGCTGGTCCTGATCTGCGGCGTCGTCTTCGTCGGCGGCGAGGTTCTTCTTGTCGGCCTTATCCTCCTTTTCCTGTGCATGCTTCTTCATGTGCGCAATGAGTCCCTTTGCGGCCCGTTCGACTTGCGCGGGATCCAGCTGGTACGGCGACCCGGACTTCTTCGTAGCGAGCGCATTCTCCTGTTTCGGTGCGGCTTTCGCGACAGCTTTTGATTTCGCCATGTTGGTGAAGTGTGGGTTAATCCGACGAGCTAGTCCTGGCTGTATGAGGTGCAAGAGGAATGTTATCCCAACTTTCACCGCTTGCGCCTGCTACTTCCAAAAATTCTGGACTGCCAAGATTTCGCGCTAGTCCACTCGGCGATGGAAAAACGTGGTATCCGATCTACAAAGTGGGGTTAACCCTAGACAAGCCTCGGCCAATGAACGCGTCTAGATAGGAAGACGCATGCAACACAGGCTACCGAATCTCGCCCTCTGAAAGCTGCAATGCAGGCTCCCGAGCCGACGAAATCTTCGAACCACGTCTTTTGAGCCTAGGCACGACATTGGATGTCATTTGCGCTGACTGCAGTGATCCTGCGGCGAAGCTGCTCCCTATGGATGGCTCCGGTCGCAGGAGGTGTTTCCTTTCTAGGCACACGCGCAGGGCAGCCGGAACATGCTGTCTCAGTCCAATTCGCTCGCATGTTTTTGGGCATCCGATTGTGCAATATTCAAGCCGAAACAGCGCCCAGGTTACCGTCATGTCTCGACGCGTCCTGGTAGAGCTCGCTTCACGGTATTACTCGCTTCACTGCGGGCTGGTCGCGGTTCACGGTCCACCGCGAGTACAGAACGCGTAAAAGTGGGATGCTGCACAAGATTTTTCTTACGCCCAGGTAGTGACGTTTCCAATTGACGTCCCTCGTCCCACATTCCGAGCGCTACTGCATGATTGTGCTGTCTATAGCACTGTTTGCAGCCAGATCAGGCCTTGTGACCAAACAGCAGTGACTATGGCTGCATTCGCAGAGACATGCAAACTCGTCCTGCCATCTGGTAGAGCGTTGGAGAAACTCCAATTGGTGGCACATTGGACGATCAGGCTGAATCCGAAATAGAAGGTTGAGCTCGTTCTCCCTGGCCCTGCAGATGGTACACGAGCTTGATTGCTGCGAGCAACGTTGGCTCATCACACGTGCTCCAGCGCCGGTGTGGCCAATTGATGCGGGCAGGCGAAAGCCGACGAGGGGCTGGGACGGCACAGAATTATATAACAGGAACCGAGCGAGTGAACAGCCCTGCCTGACCAGTGTCCTTGTGCACAGACTTATGAATGGATGCCGGGCGCCCTAGCAGCAGCTGTTGACAGCGCACACGTCGAAACGACAGCTTCAAGACAGTTTCTGATAGAAGAATGAGTACTAGAAGCAAATGCCATAGAATTCGCAGCATGAAATAGTGTCGAGCTGTACCTAGGCGGTGCTGGGAAAAGGCGTTCTCGTGCTCATACTCCGCACGGACTCAGGCGCGCCTTCCATTCGCGCCTACCACCTCAATCGCGCCTACTCCACACCCGCGACGTGGGCAGGCGCGACCAACCTTTCTCTTCACCAGTCCTCGTCATGGCCGATTTTGTGACCGCTTCCTAAATCAACGTTCACGCTCTTTTGTCCGTCTACCTCTACCACAACAGCCGATCATCTGCCGGCTGCCCGCCCTGCACGTCCAGCTACCTCTGGACGAAGGCACGACACGTCCACGTTGCGCGTCTTCGACTCGAATTTGCAGCATGGACTCTTCCCCTTCCACCAGGGCGCCGCAATTGCCCTTGGAGCCCGAGCAGCAACGCTCTGAGCACACGCAGAAGCCGTCGCTGCTCCCCGCCTTTGAGCCGCTCTCGTCATCGCCTTTCCCGCGTCCCAGCTCATCGAAGCGTAAGCTCGACGAGGACTCCCCTACTCACGCCAGACATCACCTCAAGTACTATCCTACGCCTGTGCCTACCTCGTCGACCGGCATATTGGCGTCCTCATCGCCGCAGAAGAGGCCCGTCTTCGAGCGTACCATCTCCGCCCTCTCGGAGCGACAGCCACTCGGGGCCGTGCCGTCGGTCGACCTGCCCGCAAACGGCGACATCATTCGTATGGGCAGGTCTTCCAACTCGTCCGACTACCAGCTGTCCGCGAATCGCCTGATTTCGCGTGTTCACGTCCAATCCGCGTACTACGCCCCGACCGCGTCTTACCCGAACGGGTACATCGAGGTGGAATGCATAGGATGGAACGGTGCAAAGATCCACTGCGGAGGCAATGTTTTCGAGCTCAACAAGGGCGACACGTACATGTCGGAGAACCCGGAGCAAGAGATTCTTTTGGATGTGCAGGATACCCGCGTCATGATCGCGTGGCCTCAGGTTCCGGCAAAGGCTTCATGGGACTCGGAAGACGATGTTCTCTCCCCGACGCGACGACACGCTCAGGATCACTTCGCATCGAGCCCTCCACTCATCCCGCGTTCACCTGTATCCCAAAGTCCCATTCGCCAGCCCGTATTCGGTGCCGTCCCTTCCCTGCCACCTCCAATGCGGCCTGTACAGATCTTTGAGGATGAGGATGCCCGCGAAGACAACGGTGCTGCGACGCCCACACCTACCAGCCCCTTGGCTGCCGATGAGACCTTCATCCGCCCTCCGCAGTCGCGTTCCAACTCAGGCCCAGATGTGGAAGCCTTGGACACCAAAGCCAGTATTGGTCCCTCGTTCAATGAGGACGGCTTCTCGGATGGTGATGAAGAGAACGATCCCATCGTCCATTCGTTCGGTCCCTTCGGTCAGGATCTGAACTCCCGCCTCGCGTCCTTCTCCACCGCTACGCCTATTCAGCCTCTCTCTGCGCATCGCCGGCGCTCTCTTATGAAGTCAGCCTCTCCCCGCAAGTCCTCGTCCTCTGAGCTAGTGCGTTTCAAGGAGTCTCCCATTAAGAACCACATCATCAACCAACTGGCCTACTCCCGCATCCACTCGCAACCTTTGTCAGCTATCCACAGCAACCTTCCCGCTGAGCTGAAGGCATGCCAGCCCAAGAAGTCGGATGGCGAAGAAGGCAGCGGAGCTTCCACTCCCGTGCCGCAGTTCAGCAAGCAGGATCTTAGGCAACTGATGGATCGTATCCCCTGCATCGGCGAGATTCCTCGCTCTGGAAAGGACGCTGCCGGCCAGCCGCTGGAGAACGAGTTCTACTACGTTCCTGAGATGGATTCGAATATGTTGAGACGCGAAACGGTCGGCGTGCGCGGCACGGGTCTGCGGTCTGTGAGGAAGCAGCACAAGGTAAGATCATCTTCGGCTTGGTGACGTGGCCTCTTACTCACACATGCTAGCAATACTACTGGAAGAAGCCCCGCGTTTGAGCAATCGCATCATTTCTCGTAATGCCCACGATGCCGTTCGCACCAACGCATCGACCTGCACTCTTGCGTTCGTGTTCGCGGCCCGCTTCCGTCTCGATAGTGCTTCTGATGGCCCAGAACGTTGTTGCCCCAAATCTAGACCCAAATCAAAATCATAGCCTTCGGTAGGGCGTTGGGACACGTCTCATATCGCGTTGCGCGGATATGACGACGTTCACCTGCATCCGGACAAGCCCAAGCAGATTTCCTTTTAAAGTCCGATTGCATAGCCAGGCGTTGTCGATACCAGAGTTTCGAGTTTCGAGTTTCGAATTTCTTCCTGCCTGCTTGCCTGTTTTCAAGTCGTTTGTTTGTATATCACCCCATCAGGAGTCGGTGCGCCTTGCCTGCTGACCTGCTGCGCGTGTACCAGTATCTTTTTCTGCTATGCATCTCATCTGCATTGGTGGTGCGAGAGGAAGGGATGGTTGCATATATGGGAGGGGTGTGTTTCTTTTTCGCTTTTCGCTTTTCGCTCTTCGCCTTGGTGGGTCTTTGAGGTCGGGAAAACGTGTGAAAGGTTGGATACTGTGGTCAACCGTACTGGCGGATCAAATCGATGGCGCTGATACACGGCGGATGAGATGAATATGGGGAAAAGTTTTTCGCTGTCTCTGCAGTTGTCTGCCGTCTCTTTTCCTTTTCTGAAGGAAGCCGAGGGACAGTAACGAGGTACGAGGCATGAAATGTTAGTTAGGGCAATGGAAACATGTTATTCAGGGTTCTGTGTGGTTCATCAGCGTGCCATGTTTAGTTTTGGGATGTGCAATATCGAAGTTGGATTTTCGCACTTGGTGGTGTTTGCCCTCCGGCAGAGAGTAAACACGAGATGATGTCATCGCGATGCGAATGTGGCGCGGGATCACGTGACCTTGATCGCCACACCACCAAACATCTAACATCACGAATTCTCGAGAGACGCACACAGGGAAGAGAAAAAAGCCATGAATTGCCGAGGTATCGATTCAATCTACATGAATAGCGATCCTCTTATCGCTGCGCCAGACCCTCGATCGTAAAAAGGTACGGACGCCGCCATCCATGCATGCATGCACCAGTGCCACGGCTCCACGCCTCCGCTGGCAGGCTTTCCGTATAGCATAGCAATCGTCGCACTCGTTTCCCGTGACCCGTTCCCATCCATCGCCGGTACGCCAGGGGGTGAGCCGCTCATTTGAGCTTCTTCTTGGGCCGGAGCTGGTTGGTGTGGCCGCATTTCTTCTTGCGGCAGTTGACGGCGCGCGGGGGGAGGCGGGCGTAGCACTTGCGGCAGATCCTGTTTCGCGTGTGTCAGCAAGCCATCCCATGGACAGCGGGAGCGGCAGAGGCAAACGCACATCTTGTCGCAGTTATACTTGGAGGCGAGGGCCTTGAGCGAGGGCTCGATGATGCCGCCGCGCAGACGAAGGACCAAGTGCAGGGTCGACTCCTTCTGGATGTTGTAGTCGGAGAGGGTGCGGCCGTCCTCGAGCTGCTTGCCGGCGAAGATCAGGCGCTGCTGGTCCGGCGGGATGCCTTCCTTGTCCTGGATCTTGGACTTGACATTGTCTGTGGAGGCACCGTTAACACTTCGTCCTTCGCATTAATTTCCGGTGGGTGCGCGACAGGTGCGGCGGGCTGCAGGCGTGGGAAGGATGGGATAAGGTGTGCGTACCGATGGTGTCAGAAGACTCCACCTCGAGGGTGATGGTCTTGCCCGTCACTGCGGTATCGTTAGCGAGGGGTATAGGCGAATGCGGCTGCGGTGCGGTACGTACGGGTCTTCACGAAGATCTGCATGGTGTCGGTGCTGCTGGATCTTGATGAAGTTCACGGGTTGTAGCAAAGAAGCGATTTGAGCGAGCTTCAGTGCGGCGGCTCGCTTAGCGAAGGCGGGCGCTAGCGCTAGTCACGTGCTACGACTTCCTCGGACACCCAACACAAACATGGGATCTCGACTGCGAGATCGGCATCTTTGGACATTACGGATACGTGTGGCAGAGCTTTGAGGCTCGGATTTGCTAGCTCTGGTGCATCGATGGTTTCAGGCGCTGGTGCTTGTCCAACGCCTGCCGACCCATCACTGCTCAGCCGTCATCTGCATCCAGCATCTCTACCTCTGCGCTCTCCACTTGCTCTTCGGCATCTTCCTGCGAAACACCTTGCTTCCGTCTGCCCTGCTCACGCGCAATCTTCCGCTCAATGTGCCGCACACATCTGATTAGCATATCCAGCGTAAGCCCCGAGATCCTCGCTGCCTCTTCGTGGAATCTCGCAGCATGCGGCGGCATAACACTTTCTTTCGTGTACACAGCGTACCGCACTCCTGGCCTCAGCACCTCCACATTTTCATCATCTTCCACAGCCCTGACCTCTTTCGTTGTACCATGCACCGCCCTCACGAGCTTTAGCTTCTTCTCTTGCTGTAGATCTGCGGACGCTTTCGCAGGCTGCGAACTTGCGTCGGGTGCAACGGGGAACAGACTATACATTGCAGCTTGGAAGGCATCATCAGACGTTTTCGACTGGATGTTCATCTCATCCACGAAGTTGGCGAGGTAGAAGTCAAGGTATTGGTCAAGCTCGTTGCCCGACATGGAGAACACATCTTTCTCTTGAACCTTGGTCAGCTCTTCCGTTGTGTAGCGGTGCCGGCCTCCACGGTCCTCCGCCCTCGCGGCTTTCACTAGTTGAGCCCACGCAGGCCAGTCTATTGCTGTCGCTGCAGGCTCGGTGACGGATCGCGGATGACGTTTTATATCATCGAATGGGAAAATGAGCTTGACGCAAATCACCAGACAGGATACCAGCCGGGCCTCAGGAAGGCTCGCGAAATTGAGCCTTTGTCTGGGACTGACGTAGAGTGCGAAGTCGTATCCGAGTTTCTCGCCCAAGCGGATAGTCGCATCGTACAGTTCAAGCGGGAGTGCGAGATCCTTCAGATAGCGAAATAAAAGGACAGGGACGTTGAGCGTCGGCCAGGCAATTGAGTACTTCAGCTCGAGTCCGGCTAGTAGATTGGCATACGCGGTGTAAAAGCGTCTGAGGTTAAGAAGGGAATATGGGCTAAATGCACTGTGGTATGTCGCTGGTAACCGATTCCTCATTGGTGGAGTGATGAGGCGTATCGCGTTCAAATAAGGCATGTCCTCCTCGGTAGTCCATGTGTAGAAATCGCCAGGCGTTACTGGCAATCGAAGTGTGAGGGTGCCTAGATAGCACAATGCGAGGCAATCGATGAGCGTGGGGTTCTCCTGCAGCTTCTTTCTCCTCGATGGTATAATCAACGGATCGTCGTCCGCTTCTGTTTCACTTTCTTGTGTACTGAAAACTTGGGAAGAGCCTGAATCATAGCTTTCATTTCTGATTTTGTGACCCAGCTGAAGGATGCGAAGCACCCACAGATCTTGGACAACTGTTTCAAGTTCAGCTGGCAGCCCTTTCTTTCGGATTAAGAACGCCACCTGGTGGCGGAGGATGAGCTGCAGGCATTTCACGTAGAGGTCGGTTCCTTTGGCTCCTGTGTATACTTTGCAAAAGTCAGCTCCATATCGTAGATGATCATAGCAATAATCAAATTCAACAAGTCCTTGCGAAGATTCCAAAGACAGATACTTGAATTTCAAGGCGGACGCACCTTTTTCGGGGTTTTCAGACTCCTCCTTATCAACCTTTTTCCGCGTTGTTGTCCTAATTGCAGTCTCAAACTGGTCCTCGTCCTCCCCAGCAATTTGTTCCTGCGGCCTGGTAAGCTAGCATTTGTTGACCTGCCCACGCCCTACGTACGCCCTTGCGGTGCCCATTTTCGCAGTACAGGTACCCGTCCTCGCCCTCTTCATATTTGCGCGAGCGGCAATTCTCCACGCCGCAGCGAGGCGCCATATTGGCTGCCTAGTTGATCAAGTTTTGGTGATGGTCGCACTTTTCCCCGGTTGAGGAAGTCGCAACGGCGCCTTCGCTCACGCTAACCGAATGCGGCAAGCACACATTCACTCGAATTTCACAGCGACAACTCTGGAGAAGCTTACATAGTATCATCATCTTTTATCATTGCCGTTAGGTATCTATTCTCAGGAGATTCGTGACACGTTTCTCCGGTACATGAGGCAATGCAAGAATCCCAAATCCGTCCGAAGATCCACAAACGTCCGTCGCCTAAAGATGGCGAACAGTGGCTTGAAGACCAAAGCCACCGTACAGGGTGCAGCTCCACGCTATCCACATGGAGTTCCCTGCTTTTGAATTGACCGCTACACAACTTTTCTGACCCAGGCCGTCCAACACTGAGCATTTAACCAGTCTTGGGAGCCTCCTTGGCGTCAATGGCAGCCTCCTCACCCATAGCAGTGAGGACAATGACGTCTGTGTCTGGTTAGTCGCATCCTGTTATGCTTTGAAAGCTTCACTTACTGGTGTCCTTGCCGTCCTCGGTGAAGAGCTTGCTGATCTTGTCACCAACCTCGCCATCGGGGAGCTTGACGTCCTCCTTGGTGGAGCCGTCGTCGGACATGAGGGAGAGGAAACCGTCGTCGGTCACGTCGAGCTGGGAAAGTTAGTGGCAATTCGGCGGTGCAAGTCTTGGCGCACTCACGAGCTGGTATTCCTGGCGGCGGACGTTGGGCACGTCCATGTTGTGGGTGGACGGGCACAACTCCTCGAGCTTCTTGGAGGTGAAGATGTCGATGGCGACCAAGTGGACCTTGGCGTGGCCGTGCTTGCCCGTCTTGGAGGTGGACATCTCGACGATCTTGCAGGGGCGGTTCTTGATGCACACGAAGCCGTTCTTCCTCAGCGCAGAGCACTGCATGGGGTACGTGGTCGAGGCACCGGCATCGGCGCTCTCGAAGGTGTGCTCATGCTGTGCGGATGCGATTAGCTGGCGTGGGCGATGGCGCTGTGCGGGCAGTGGGTGGGAGACTGCGCGCACGCAGGCGGCGGCAGCGGCAGGCAGAGGCGGGGTACGGTGCGCACGAGTGCACATGCGAGCCCTGGGGGGCGGTACATACCTGCGCGTCGTCGGCCATGGTGATTAATGAGTGAAATGCGGCGGGGGTGAGGAAGAGGCTGTCGGGGATGTGGTCGTGCGAGGTGGGGTGGGCAGAGGCTCCTTATAAACGGAAGAAGAGAAGAAGTCTGCGTCTGGATCAAAATTGAGGGTTGGGGCACTGAGGGGCGGAGGGCCCGTGCGCTCTCGTAAAGGCGGCAAGGGCAGCCCGTCGCCGGAGGAAATCGCGGCCCGTGAAGCTGTGAATAGCTGCAGCCAGCCACGCCCGTGATTCCCCCAGACCCGACTCCTGCAATGCGCCCTTGAGACCCGGGGTCCGCAATCCACACGCAGCATGTGGGGTCTGGACAGGCTGTCCGCGCACTCGACGCCCTCGGGCACGCCGCCACCGCGCCGCGACTCGTTCTCCCCAGCACCGCGCCGGCTACACCCCACGGACAGGCCCGCGCCGCTGCCCCTGCGGCCTGGCCTGAACCCGCGGTCGTCGTCGCTGTCCTTGATCTCGCCGCTTTCCTCGACCACTAGTCTACCGTCCACAGCTGGCCTCCCCAATGGCGCGGCGCGCAGGCGACCGCCGGGCGGCGTGCCCCCGAACGTGCCAGATCCGGTGCACGTGTTGGAGGCCATCATGGGAGGGCCGCCGCGCAAGCCGGTGCCCTTGAAAGCCAGCGGCATCGGGGTGATACCTGACAAGCCGGAGGAGCTGGACACGAGCATAGACTTTGAGGGGCTGAGCCTGCACGACTTCGCGGCCGAGGGCACGCCCGAGCCCGTGCCATCTCCTGTACATACATATAGCGCGCAGTCAGTTGAAGAATGTACGTGCTTCGCTCCTTCTCCAGGTGCCTTTGCTTATCGTGAGTGCAGTCGACAAGGAGAAGGACAAGTTCGAGGACCTGCACCGGTCCATCATCGCGTGTGACGAGGTGCTCAAGTCGGTCGAGACGTATCTCACCAACTTCCAGGCCGATCTTGGCGCCGTGTCCGCAGAAATAGAGTCTCTGCAGAACCGCTCCATCGCGCTGAACACCAAGCTCGAGAACCGCAAAGTTGTGGAGAAGCTGCTTGGCCCGGCGGTGGAGGACATAAGCATATCGCCAGCTGTTGTGCGCAACATCGCTGAAGGACCGGTGGACGAGGGTTTCCTGCGCGCGCTCTCCGACCTCGAGAAGCGGTCCAAGACGATCGCGTCCAAGTCTGCCTCGCAAGCGGACCTCAAAGCTCTCGCAGACATAAAGCCGCTGCTCGCTGACCTTACCAACCGCGCAATCGAGCGAATACGAGACTACATTGTTGCCCAGATCAAAGCAATACGATCGCCCTCGATCAACGCCCAGATCATCCAACAGCAAGCATTCTTAAAATACAAGGACCTCTATGGCTTCCTGGCACGACACCAGCCGGAGCTCGCCTCGCAGATATGCCAAGCATACATCTACACGATGCGATGGTACTACCTGAACCACTTCACCCGCTACAAGACGAGTCTGGAGAAGCTCAAGATCCACGCACTGGACAAATACGACGTCCTGGGCGAAGACCCCACCTCGAAACGCAGCGGCGCCCTCCTCGGCCCAGCCCGCGGCGCCGCCCCCTCCTCCTACGACGCCTTCTCCCTCGGCCGCCGCGTCGACACCCTCAAAACCACTTCCACCACCGCCCTTCCCGCCCACCTCGCCGAAGAAGAAAAAGCCCCCCACTACCTTGAAACCCCCTTCCGCAGCTTCAACCTCGCCCTCATAGACAACGCGTGTTTCGAATACACGTTCCTGACATCCTACTTCTCCCCGAGCCAAACCTACCATGCCATCGGCCGCACCTTTGCCGCCATCTTTGAGCCGACGTTCGCGCTGGGGCAGGCCCTGACGAAGCAGCTCGTCGAGCCGAGCACGGACACGCTCGGCGTGCTGCTCTGCGTCCGGCTGAACCAGCACTTCGCCTTCGAGCTGCAGCGCCGCAAGGTGCCCGCCGTGGAAGCCTACATCAACGCGACCAACATGCTACTGTGGCCGCGCTTCCAGCAGACACTCGACCTGCACTGCACGTCCCTCGCCAAACTCACCAATTCGCTGCCCACCCGGCCATCTACCGGCGCCGCGCTGCTCGGCTCCCAATCCGCCAACTCCACGGCCCCAACGCCCCTAACGCAGAAGTTCGCGAACCTACTCCATGGCATTCTCGCGCTGAGCAGCGAGGCTGGGGACGACGAGCCGGTGGCTGTGAGTGTGGGCAGGTTAAGGAGCGAGTATGAAGCGTATCTTGCGCGGATGGGCAAGGGCATGGCAGATCCGCGGAAGAGAGAGAGATTTTTGTGTAATAATTACAGTTTGGTGTGTACGATTTTGACGGATGTGGAGGGGAGGCTGGGGAGGGAGGTTGTGAGCCACTTTGAGGGGGCCAGGGATGCGTTTGATAAGTGAGGAAGGGGGTTGGAGACGGGGCCGTTTGTGGCGTAGATATGGTAGCGTTTTGAAGCATTTGAGCGTGCATGTTTGGGACTTTAGTGGTCCTTGCTCTTCTTGGTATAGAATCCAACAACACTTTGTTCTGGGATATCGATTTCCCTCGACTCTGCTCATAGAGTACCTCTTGCGGCGGTAGGGGTCATGATGTACCATTGGTATGCAGTTGTTTTCCATACAGTTGCCCAGTCTACAAGATCCACTTAGGGACCAGAGCTGCGCGAGTGCAGCGAGGAGCCTTACCTGCAGCGAACGGCCAAATATCCCGCAACCGAGCCTCCAGTGGCCAGACTACGCATGGTCGCGACCTGACCTTCTCCAGCCCGCATACTGTCATCCAGCTTGGGGTCAGTCTTGTGTTGACCAGCTCCTTAGATGTTCTTGGAACAAGTCTCAATTCTTTTAGATGCTACTTGGTGTTGCGGCTACATCATCTTTTAGGGTGGAAAGGCCATCAATGTGGAAGCATTGCTGGAGCAGCCCTCGTGAATGGACTCCTTTAAGCATTCTCAATGATGCCGTTGTACTGCGTTAGTGCGTTAGCCTGGGCCCTCAACTGACTCGTAAAGTCAACATGCACCCCTCGAATTGTTCGAGTCCTACCGCCATAAGAAGATTACTTTTCACGTAGGCCGTATATGTGAGCCTGCTTCTATTTCTGCAGAGCAGGTACGTGCATAGGGCTGTGTAGAGCGTCTGCAGCTTTGGTAGCATATGTCAGCCCTAGCACGGTCAACAAGGTGTCCTATAGCTTGGTCGTAGGGTACTAAGACACTCGAGCAAGAACCGTTGTTTCTGCTGCTACTGTAGCTTCCTCGAACGTGGGACTGCCGGTTCTGGGTTAGAAGCGGGGTGAGTGCCCCACATGAGGGCGCATATCTTCGTGATCACTTCTTCTGATGGTGTGCAGCATGGGCTCTTTCCTCGGCAACAGAGAGCCTTATATCACCCAGGGATGCCAGCACATGCGCGGTAACAGCTGGGTTGCTCAAAAGGCCCGTCGCCACATGGAACCAGCATCTTGATCTATTCATTGGTCTCCCACGAGCATCTGCTACATTCATCATCTAGGAACCCGTCCCTTAATTCCGACCCTGAAGTGCAGAAAGAACCGGTGAAGTCTGAAAAATTAGCGCCATATTTGCATAGCTGAAACGCAAGCTCACACATGTTCCTCAAAAAATCCATAGGCAAAACCAAGCTCTTCCTAGCTTCAAGAAAACTGATAAGGAACGTAATCCGTAGAGCACGGGTGACCCACCGTGCCGTGGAAACGTGGCCAGCACGAGGATCCGACACCGCCGTAACGCACCTTGCTTCACCGGTTTTCTTATTCGAACGGCTGAGCCTTTCACTAGACGATGCGGTCGGCGAATGGGATTAGGACGTCGGTGCTCCCCCTGGGTGGTCCCTCACATCCCCAGCCTGTGGAATCGTTTCTTGGTGGCCAGCCGTGTGTATACCCGCAAGCCAAAGCCTTGGAATAGTGAGATAAAGACGCAGCACGCAAATTGCGGATCGAGGGGGTAGACGCTGGGATGATAAGGTCGTTGCGGATCGTATGCGTGATGAAGAGGAAATGGCCCCCCTCAATGAACATATAAAGAGTGGCGATATTTCGCTCCTAGCAATTGTTCCCACAAATTTCGAACCCACCACTCACCAACAGCCCTTCTCGCTTCCCAAACTCGTTTGACTGGTTGTACCAGCCGTTCCGTGCGTACAGATCGTTCAGCCTTGCGTACCCTGGACACACAAAAACATGTCTGCCAAACCTGAGGATTCACAGCAGCCAGCTGCGCCTAAAGACGATTCGCCTTCCGACTCTGTGAGTTCTTAGTCAAGCCATTAGTCAAACCACTAGCCCGTAAGAGTAATTACTGATACTATGTAAGGAGGGGGTCAACGTGAGCACTGCGCAAGAAGGAGATAGAAACACCATGATTGCCAACAATGGTTACGGAAAAGTTGTCGCCACGAGAATCATCAAACTGAACGCCAATCAGAAGGGAAATGACAGTTTTATGAGCGCCAACAATGCGGAGAGTGGAAATGAGGAGGCACAAATGCAGAAGCATAATGAGGGAATGGCTATTCGGGAGCAGTTACAGAGGCAGACCAGAGGGCAAGAGCTGGGCGGGGAGGGATTAGCAAGGCTGAACTTGCGCGAGCATCGCGTTGCGGTGTTTCAAAATATGTTTAGCAAATAGCTACGCTAATAGTAGCATATATCAATGGCTCATCTGGAAAGCCGGCGGATAGCTGTCACTGTTTGCGTTTGAAATCGCAGTCTCCATTGTATGGGTTGTTAGTAACGTCAGTATGTCGCGACGACTGAGAAAATAGCCTATCTAGAGGCACTACGTGTTCGAGTGGCTTTTCTCACGCGTGAATCGGCCGTGTCCGCCTCCTTTGCCTTCTTTGTGTAACCTGAGAGCGGGGTCTCTACACAGCCATGTCTTCGGGTATTCATGGTAACCTATTAGCTTCTCTACCCATTGTAACTCACTGTGGATCGATAATATATCGATTGGTACACCACAGAAAAATGCGCCTCCAAGACCCATTTCCTATGATTTCCGGTGTATCATGAGCACTTCACAGCCCGGTGCAAAAGGTTGGTTCATAATCTCTAGCAGCTGCTTGCGCTGACGGCAACATAAACCATAGGTCATTCATTTTTTCACATGTTCCATTCCGAAGGGAAATGAGATAGGAGATAAGGGTCTGAATAAACTGACCATCACATGGCAAGCTCATGGAAGTCCTTGGAGGAATAGCAAGCGTTACGCAGCTAGCAGTCTACACTCACACCGCTTGGAGAGTCTTTACGAGACTTTACGCAGAACTGAAAGGAGGACCAGTTGCCTGGCAAGAACAAGCTACGAATCTCGAACATCTTATTCAGGTCACTAAACGGATCTCTTGTTTGTCCGAACAGACGCAGCTTGGCGCTTCCGAACAGATAGCCAAGCTCGTGCACGAATCGCTCGAGATTGCGGAGGAAGCGTTGAGAACGATCGCACGGGCGAAAGCAAAAGTGCTCGGAGTCCGTTGGTCTGCGGCTGGCAAAACGGAGCTTCTGAGCCGCACACTCAAGTCGCTCAAGGCAAAAAGAGAACTTTTGCTCTTCGTGTTATCACAAGAGAACTTGTTCGAATTAGCGTCCATCGGTCGTATGCTTTCTCGAAGGCAAGGAGATTGGAAGAATGACAACATGGAGCATGAGACTGCCTCTCACGAATTGATCTCGACGAATCGTACACCCAAAGTAAGCGATCAGACTGAATTCAGTGCCACGTTTTCTCACTAACACTCTGACAGCTCGACCTGGAGATGGTCGCTACGCAAGTAGGCAACGGCGCTACGATAATATCGAATAACGGCTTAGGACACATCCTATCACAGATTCATGGGTCGGTAAAGCTTCGCGCGAGCTCTGCTGGTGATGGCGTGGCAGTAAACACGAACAACGTCTACATGGAACCCGATGTTATCAAGAAGCAGTTGGAGATTGCGGAGACATACGCTCGAAATTATGGTGCAGAACGAAGAGAAAAGACCTCGATAGCCCGGGGGAGGGCAAAGAGCGCTGAGCCAAAACAACAGAGGCTGACGTTGAATGCATAATGAGATTGTAAAACAGGATATACAGAAGATGAAGAAAGCATGGAGTTGCTATCTATCTGATAATCGATGTTCGCCGTCCGATAAAGTGCTTTGCATGAAGATTGAGTGCTTTGGCCTCCTCCTCTTGAGTGGTATTGTTTGCGACCTGGAAAGCGTTATTCCCAGCCTGAACGGTAGAAATATGGACCCTTCCATGGGGCAACGCATTGCCCCAGCCGTTGTTTGCATATTGCGTGCTGTGATTGCCTTTCTGTGTGGCACTGAGGGTTGTACCCCGCTTTTGCGATATCAGCGATTGGCTCAACAGGCTGGAAGGTTGCAAAGCGAAGTGGCTTACACGGAAGCAAAGGGCCTGTCCCATGTTGCGCAAGTTCGGTATACCGGATCGCACTGCAAGGCTCGCGAGTAGGAGACGGGTTTCAGCTGTCTGGGGACTTCTCGTGGCGGCTGGCTTCTTTAGTTGTTATACTCTTACACAAGTGGACCCCATCCTACAGCTCCCTATAAAACGTTCGACATATTTTTCAGACGCACGGACACTGATAAATTCTCTATCTATTTCCGAATAGTGGCTCAATCGCCCCCAATCGCTAGCTCAAATGCTGATGCTTTAAATGTCGCGATTACCAAGTTGCCATGCAGCTTACGTACGATACGAGATGCTGACTTATTTTGGGAAGCAGCGCGTACGGCTACATAAAGTCTCGATTTATTGAAGGACCTGGATGGGTGACTGTACAGAACGCACGGCACAGGCCGAAGAGAGGGGCGGACATTCCCAATCCAGCGGTCGTAATCGAATATCGCCTTTGACTAGCACCCCCGAACGCACTGTATTCCAGAGGAATGGTCATCTGTAATCAATGGGCGATATTGTAAGAACCATCCATGAACAATAAAGCTAAAGAACATTCCGCTGGTGGACCTTAGCTTCGATACCTAGATATCGTTGCTGTCGCGGTTGCGTCGTTCACCTGCGAGATCGCTCTTACCCATCTTTTCGTCCTCAATGGACATCTGTGATATCATACCAACAAACCAGAGGCACACTTGAACAACCATCAATTTTGGGGATAACCAGGTGCACGTACCCATTCCGGTGAACCTTTGCCTAAAGCTTAGGCTAGGCGTTGAACCTTGTAAAGAGGCTCAGACACTTTGTCGACCTGCTGGCCGCAGGTGAAACACAACACAAAGCCAAAACATGCCAGGATGAGCAGCGTGGACGGTAGAGCCGTGCACCACGAGGGCGCAAGGGCTACGGTTCCAGAGCCGCTTCGCAGAGCCTCAATGGCCTTACTCGTTTACTACTTGTAAAGTAAGTGCATTCTTCCTCAAAAAAGACCCTCCAGTCATCCAGAATCTTGCACCTCCCACGTACCTCTGGTACGATTTCTGTCCCAAAGCAACTTCTCCGATCGGCTCATCGTCTATGCTTGTTGCCTATGCGGGTATGTGCTACGTGAAGCTGCCTGGAGGCCACCTCTCGAATCCTTGAGGCCGTCACGATGCACCATAGGTACCTTGCCGCACTAAAAGGAAAAGACCAGTTCCAGTATGCCAACAACACCAACACAAACCTCCACGACCAGAGCACCAGAACCTATTACATCAATGGGAACTTTAATGACAACGGATCATCCAGGCACAACCAGCCCTTATTGACCTACAAGGAGCCTTGGAACAAGAGGCACAAATGGATGTTCGCTGGAGCATGCATAGCCATCGTAACGGCGGTTGTTGTACTATGCGTCCTCCTCTCACGAAAACATTCAAGCGGAGCAGTCCATCCTTCTGCCGTAAGCGCACCCACTCAACCCTCGTCTCCACTGACTAACACCTGACTTAGACCTCCGCAGTATTCACAGCTTCGCAATCCGCCCCAGCTACTACGATAAATTTTCCACAGTCTAACTCCCCTACCGCCACCCCTCCAACACAGTCCACCCTCCCGACCGCGACCCCTCACTCAACCAAGCCCTCCTCCTCCTCTCCCTACCCAACACTCCCACCGGAGCTCCGCTACCTCCACGACGGCGCCGCCTGCACCGCCGACTCCCAGTGCCGCCCGCCGAACCACTGCCAGACAGCCTCCGACACCAACTCCGTCAACAACGAAGTGTACACGACGACGACGTGCTGCGCGCCCACGCAATGGGGCTGTCCAGGATGGGAGTGCAAGGACTACAACGACTGCTTGGACCCGTGGAAATGCGCAGGGACGGGGAGTAAGAAGACGTGCTGTGGCACGGGAGCGCCGTATACGGGGACGGGGTGTTAGGTCCTAGAGGGGAGGCAACCTGGCGATCTACAGTGCCCATACGCGTTGTAGGCCGACGTGATGCATGACTCTTCGCTGGATGAGGGCAGCTTAAATGTCTGCATGGATATGCTGGCGGGATTCGTGCCGTGTCTGTATTATGTTATGTTTGTATTATGTATAACGTTAAGTTATTTGCTGTGCTATGCTATGTGTATGCTTTAGGACGTTACGAAAAGGAAATAGAATAGACTGTCATTAGATATACCTTTCGGAATCGTAGGGGGTATCGCGGGTGTCCTCGACCATATCTCGTCTGGGCCGTGACAGTGTACGTGAGTGAAAAGAGTGTGCTACAGTAACAGATCAAAGGTACATATGTGCTGTCACACCAATATTATACTATTGGCCGAAACATACTCAGAGCCTATCCAACATCTTGCTCATGTTCAGCCAGCTTTTCAGTTCCTCATCCTCCGCAGGAACGTTCGCAAGCGGGTCGAACGTAGCTCTTTTCCTTTCCAATGCGGGTGGAGGTCGTTCCTGACCCACCTTGGCGAGATCGAGACCGCTGTCCACGCGAGGCGTTTGGCGGGGCTTTTGGGCTCCGCTCGAGGTTGCTAGACCCAACTCTGGTGGGGCGATAGGAAGCGGGATTGTTGGCGGTGTGGGAGGTGTGAAGCGGATGCCGATCATTTGCTTCGAGAGATGGAGTGGCGCTGGGGTGTCTTTGTCAGGCAACCGTGGTGGATTCAAATCTTTTGCTGCTGGCAGTATAACGGGACGTTGAACGAGGGCGATATCGGTGGATGCCGTCTTTGGATGGGCTGGAATACTTCGGGGTTCCCTCGTGAGCTTCCTGCCCTTGTTCACGGTCGCCTTCTCAAGTTCCGGTCCTTGCGTGCGCGCGCGTCCTCTGGAATTCAGTGGTGGAGGAGACAACTTTCGACGCTCGATCATTTCGGCCTGCTGCAGCAAAACCGTGATTTCGTCTTTCGCAGCGGGGGGCAGCTTGTCCGGCAAGCAGTCCAATGGCTTAAGACCCCTGTAATTCTCCAAGATGGCTTTTGCGCCAGCGCGAAGTAAGCACGCGACGGAATGCGTTTTGCCAGTAGCTGCCGCCATATGAAGTGGAGTATTACTTTCAACATCGACAGCATCAATATCCGCGCCCGAGCGTAACAGCATATCCACAATCTGGACCAGTCCGTCTTCCGCTGCAAGGAAGAGTGGTGTGCGCTGTCTCAGGTCTCTGCAGTCCACATCGACCTTCCTGAGAAGCATTCCGTCTACGATATCGATGCGATTCACTCGCACGGCGGAATGGAGTGGAAATCTGCCATCATAAAGTGGTGACATTATGGACAGTTTTGCGCCATTATCGAGCAGGAGTAAGATTAACTCCAAGCTTACCCGCGGACATTGTTCGATAATGTGCGTAAACGGATGCACCGCCAGCTGCATCTGCTGTGAGTTACGCATATTTGGTGTGCGAGGAGGCTTCCGGTTCGCCATCGCATTTGGATTGGCACCGAATTCGAAGATCAGCTCCAGAGAATCGTAGACGTATTTTGAGAGGAGATTCGACGCAGAGACGCCGTGATCGAAAAGTGTCCAAAGAAGTGAATCCGAAAGCTTGACTGTTGGTAGACGATTGGGATCGAGCCCCATTGAAAGTAAGTCTTTAAGATCTCGGATCGGCAGCAATTTAGATAGCACCCCCTCGTTTTTGGCAGTGCTCGACTGCCGGTGCAGACTCCCCATACGTCGGATCCATTCGTGCTCCGCAAAGAGCTTCAGGATTCGCTTGTTCATCACGGTTTCTGGTCCGAGTGGATTATCCGTCTGTCGCCATTCGTGCAACTCAAAAGGACTGCCATGCCTCAGAAGCGCTTCGACGAATGACGCTTTGCCCGAGTTTGCCGCATAGTACAGAGCATTCCGCTGATCATGGTCCTCGTGTGCAACACAATTACTTCTCTCCGAGCCTTTCTTGATAAGCAACGCTTCAAGCACAGGCAAGCCTTCTTCAGGGAGGGTCTTGGCCGCCTGTATGAGAGGCGTCGAGCCCGTCTGGTCTCGCATGCTTCGGCTGACGCCCTTTTCACAAAATGAGGATGCGGCGGCAGCGATATCTTCCCACGTCGATGGTCCCTTTGGTGTCTTCATAGCAACATGATGTAGTGCTGTAAGTCCGTTCTCGTCCCATCCGTTGCTGCCTGGTTGTGCAGCAAGGAGGGCTACGGTTTCCCATCGATTGTTGTGTACAGCCAGCAAAAGCGGAGTTCGTTTCTTCGTATCAGTTGATTTTGTGTCAGCGCCAGCGTCGAGCAGTAGTTTTACTGTCTTTGTCAACCCATTTTGAGCAGCTAAGTGCAGAGCAGTCTTTCCTGCCGCATCAAATGCACCCCTATCGGATGCTTTGATCAGCTCTCGGAGATCCGGCTCGTTTTCGCTTGTCGCACTTTTAGTAGCACCGAGAAGTGGTGTGAGGCCCTTGCTATTGATCTTGGTTGCATCTGCACCATGCTTCAGGAGCATCGCAACGCAAGGTCCCGACGCCGCAGCGACGTGCAACGCAGTGTTCCCGTTTCGGTCTTGTGAGTCGACGGGAACACCGTGTCTCAAAAGCAGCTGCAATAACTTCACCGCATTGCTATCTGCGCTGACGACCCGATGGAGAAGCGTTGTGTCATCAGAGTAATTCGTACTTGCGTCAGCCCCTCGAGACAGCAGCAACTCGAAGACTGTTGTGATCGCTTCTTTGTCGCGTGACAAAGGACTTGCAAGTGCGGCTTGGAGCACGTTTGGCCCATGTGGGTTTCGTAACGTGACATCCGCGCCGTGCTCCACAAGGGCTTGTACGATGGGTGCGCTACAAGCATTGAATGCTGCGAAGATAGGAAAGAGACCAGATGCAGTCGCCTCGTTGGAGTTGGAGCCTTTGTCAAGAACGAGCCTAACGAGGCTCACGTCGCGCGTCTTGATAGCCTCTACTAGGGCACTGGAGTCGGGAGGGCATGCAAGTTTGAGAGCTTCTGCGATCAAGTCTGCACCCAGGGATGACTGACCTCGGGATTCCAGAATCTGGCTCAGAAGCCATTGCCTCTCTTTCGTAAGTTTATGAGCTTTTCTACCGGCAGCTCGGATGATCCTAACGGCTGTATCGAGATGTCTTGCCTTGAGAGCAACCTCAGCTGGACTGTATCCATGGCTGTCCAGGGCTTCATAGTTCGCTCCGTGGCTGAGAAGTGCAGTAACGGCGGCGGCGGACCCAGTTTTGGCTGCGGCGTAGTGAAGTGGCGTCTCATGCGTGTGCAACGTTCGAGCGTTAATGTCGGGCTGGAAGCGGAAAAGAATGTCGAGCAAATTGATGCGATCAGCTTTAATGGCCAGGTGAAGAGCGGTCTCTCCGCTGTGGATACATCCCGCATTGATGCTTGCGCCCGCTTCGCAGAGTATCCTGACAATGCCAGCATGCCCGGCTGTAACAGCAACGCACAGTGGGGGCTGAGCAGCTGGCGTTCCGTCTGGGGTTTGGCCTGCTCGAAGGAAATGTAATAGTGCAGCTTCCCGGTTGTGATATACTGCATAATAGAGCGTCGTCCATTGCTTCGTAGGCTCGAATCCAGTATGTGAAGATCGTACGGGCCTTCCAAGCTCACATCTCAGAACTTCTATTAAGGTCTGGAGCTTGGACGCCTTGTGTTCCTGATCATAAGTGTTCGTGTCGTCGACTTCATCAATCGTCATTCGATGGGCTTCCATTAGGTCCTTTGCTGTCTTTGAGAGCGAAATAGAAGACAGACTTTTCATATCGAGGGTTCATGGGCAATACACGAGCGAAATGAAGGGGATAAAGACGCAGCTGTAAACAAACGAGAGGATTTGATGGGCATAAAGCAAGGAAACAGTACCAAAGCGATGGTGGGATTGCTGCTACACAGAGCGTGGTGCAAGACGGAGAAGCGTGGTGACACTCCCATGTTAGTACTCACGCCTTGCCTACGTGGACTGCAGAGTCCCCTTCCACTCCACATTGGTGTCCAACGCCTATTACGGCGAGGTCGTCGCTTCAGAACCCTAAAGCGTCGCCACGGCGCGTGCCGAGCGCTCAGCTTTTCCGAAAGCGACTCGAGACGGCGAGGGCGATGCGACAATCTCGTACTTGCAGAGCGCCATTTTGACGCCGCCCTATCAGCTGGCTTAACCTCGCGTTTGCGCTATTTGCAAATGACAGGTGTAGTGGCGCTAACGGGAAGATGGGCAGAGCGAAGTTGGAAAGTTGGAGACCGGATGGGACGATACCGAGCGGCTGGGTGGCGGTTATCACAGAAAAGGCTTAGCGTTGCACTCACGTGCCCTGCCTTTGTGCAAGCGTTTTGCCCCTGACCTACGCGATCAGAGAGTGTTTGGAAACGATCGATGCATTATGGACAATTGGAAGATGGATGGGAATTCCGACTTTGGTGTTGCTTAGAATAGAAGCGAGGCGGCAAATACTTTGCCTCCTTGCGATGAGACAACGACGATCTGTTTCAACGAATGCTTGGACGTCGAAGTCTGGTGTATTTGGCATGTCATGATGAGGCGCCGCCTTCTTTGTCTAGCGAAAAGGCAATTCTGGCTGACACAACGCGAGAATGCACGCGCTAAGCTCCTTCATTTCAGTTGCTGCAGTGCAAGGGGAGACTTTCGAACAATGAGCCACCCGTGGCGTTGGACATCCAATCGCTCAACCCTCTGCCTCGTAAGCATTGGATTTGTGCTTGGGTTCGAACTTGAAGCCCTCTGCCGCTGGCCCAAGGAACATCTCGCTGAACACTATTAGTCAAGTAATCGCCTGTTACATATCACGTTCACATACCTGATCTTGATCCAATCTTTGTAGTTCTCGCTGGCCATCAGAGTCTCTAGCTCGTCTCGCCCCTTAAAGCGCGGGGGCCGATCCTGGATGTTGGGCGGCAGATGCTCCAACAGCCCAATAGGCACATACCGATGCGAGAAGCTGAGCCACTCCAGAAGGAAGCGGCGAGTCGTCCCAATACCCATCTCGTCCGATCCCCAGGTCTGCAGACCATACTTGGCAAACTTCTCTACATAACTCAGACGCTCAGTAGCCGACTTGTCCAAGTATTGGCCCTTTTCGATTTCTTCGAAGATCCAGGGCTTGATCAGCGCGCCTCGAGCCACCATGACCGAGTCTACCTTTGCATTGTCGATATGATCGTAGTAGTCAACGTGAGAGTAGCAATCGCCATTACCGACAAAGTAAACGTGACCTTCGTTAGCAAGGTCGCGTGGATCAGCTTCAGCAACGGTATCGGTCCTGTCGTTCTTTTCCTTCTTCAGCCGAGCGATTAGCGAATTGCACTCGGCAATGTAGCTCCAATCAGCGTTCTTAGTGTACCGCTGCTGTTTGCTTCGGCCGTGCAGGGTAATTGCTGCCACGCCTGCTGTGCCCTTCCCAGACTCAACAGCTTCGTAGCCACCGAGTACGAGACGCTTGATCAGCTTGTCTGCAGTGGGCTGCCCATCCTTCGTGCCCATGCGAATCTTGACGGTGATAGGAACGTCGTTAGACACGTAATTCATACCGCGCAGCGTGGCTTCGAGGCGAGCATGGCTATCAAGCATCGCAGAACCCATACCCTTCTCACAGACCAAGTTGATTGGGCACCCACAGTTGAGATCGATCGCACGAAGTTGAGGGCAGAGTGCAGTCAGTACTTCGACCGTCTTCGTCGCGACCCATGGCTTGTTGGCGGCAATCTGCGCTCCAAACTTGATGTCACTGGCGTTGTCATAGCCTCGGACGACAGTGTTCTTGTTCTCAAACTTAACGGGACGGATCTCAGACTCGTGAGCCTTCATCAACGCCCACTCGCTCTTTTCACCTTGGATGAGGGGAAGCCCCATAGCCATCTCAGACCAGGTCACTTGAGCGCCGAGCTCAACGCACAGACGACGGAATGGCATGTTGCCCTGCGTCGTGAGTGGCGCTAGAATGGGGGTCTCAGGACCGTAGTAAAGACGTCGCTTTTCGGAAGGTCGGAATGGAGGCTCCGTGAATTGCGCTCGGTTGTCCTCCTTCGCGTCTGGGTCGACGCTATCCTCAACGTCGATCTTACGCTGCTCGGGGGTCTTGTGCTGCGAGTCAAAGTGTTTCCTCTCTTCATCAGCGATCTTATTGGCCCATTCGATGTACGCATCCGCCTTGGGTGTTCCTCGTCGTCGTCTCGAAAGATCGATCTTGTCTTGCTTCGAAACGAGATTCACAACACCGACTTCATCATCGAAATCGCGGGGTTGCTGGTCTCCCTTCTTCTTCTCAGGGTCTTCGAGCAGCACGAGCTCCTTCCGGCCATCTTCTAGCTCTCTCTCTTCTGAATGGCTTTTGTGAAATCGACATTTCCAACCAAGGTTACAGTAGCCTCTAGCTTCGTAGACGGGGCACTTTCCGCCAAATGTGGGAAGATCTTCTCTGCGACCCTGTGCCAGGTACTTGCGAAGGTCGTGCTCAAACTTGCACTTGTTGCCGAACTGACATTCTCTAGGAGAAAATTCGGGGTACGATGCACGGGTTGCACAAAGCTGCAGCTTGTCGCGAGAATGACCGAAAGTACGGCTTGTGTTCTGGCCGTTTTGCTTGCCTTTCTTATCCTTTCTGTTTTTCTTGCCATTGCCACCGTCACGATTGTCGCGAGCATCGACGTTTTGGTAGCGTTCGCCACCAGCTTCAGCAGCATCGTCGTTCTCCGCACCGCCCTTTGTGTCTTCTTTGCTGCCGACTGGGTGCATCAAATATCTTTTGGGGTAAGTGGCTAGCAAGACGTCAGGTGGTAGTCGACTCACTCTGTCTTGATGGGCGCAACGCCTTTGACGCGCTTTGCAGAATTGCCTGTAGATTCGTTTTCTTCAATGTGAGGTCTGTCCCTCTTTCTTGGGCTCAACGCGTCCACCGTCTTACCATTCGTGTCCATCTCTTGTACACCACCGTTTACCTGCTGTCCCACGCCTTCCTCCTGTTTCACAGGCACTGCCTCATTATTTATGTCCGTCATTGCCGACGTTCTAGACCAATGAACTGCAGAGCTCGTGGTCAATTGCTCTTTCGGGGCGACTGTGGAGGAAGCGCTTGAAGATTTGAGAGAGCGATTTACCGCTAGCACCAAAGGGGCTAGTCCGAGGTTTCGTCTGTGCGCCACGGAAGCTGCGTTGAGGTGACGTATTTCTTCACGAGCTAGGCAGCGCAGCTCAAACCTGGTCGCGTTCCTGCCCGCACTCCGTATTCACTCCCGTCACCTCATACATCAGCCACACGCACCGTGTCCTCTTCTCTTCTGCATAAATAGCAGGTCGCCCAGCCCTCCAAGCCCTTCATCACCCTTCGACAAACACCCGTACCCCGCTCGTAAACACACAACACCTCCGTTGCAGCTTCCGGGAACGCCGCCAATATGACGCTCTACTACAGTCTCGTAAGCTCTCGCTCTTTCCCCTGATATCTTCAAGGCCAATTACCAGCAGACCACTATGCTGGCTCGGCGCTCTATCGACAATCAGCCTCGCGAGGCCAACGATGCTGCCCACATGCTTACTTTTGCTCTTTGCACAGGTCTTCCTTCTCCTGGTGACGGAGATGCTCATCTTCCTCGCCCTCATCGTCCCTCTCCCGTTCACATGGCGCCGAAAGCTTTTTACCTTCATCTCCGAGAGCCCCATCATCGCGAAGTTGCAATATGGCATGAAGGTAGGATAATCGGAACGACGCGCTTGTGGCACGTCTGACGAGTCATTAGATTACCTTCATCTTCATTCTCATCCTCTTCATCGACAGCGTCAATCGTGTCTACCGCGTCCAGGTTGAGCTCGCTGCCTTCGCCAAGAACGACGGCCGTGGCGGGTAAGATAGCATTCATGACCGACGCAGCGACCGTAGGGCTAACACGTTATAGACCCGTTGCCATGGGCGGATCCGAACGTATGGAGGTCCAGGCGCGCAAGTTCTACTCCCAGCGCAACATGTACCTCTGCGGTTTCACCCTCTTTCTGTCGCTCATTCTCAACCGAACCTACGTCATGATCCTCGATGTGCTCCGTCTCGAAGAGCAGGTCAAGCAGATGAAGGGCGACCCTGCCGTTAAGAGCGGAAAGTCTCTCCAGGAAGCCGGCAACGTCGGCGAGATTGGCGCTCTCAAGGAGGAGTTGGCGAAGAAGGACCGCGACATGGAGAACCTAAAGAAGCAGGTTGAGAACATGCAGAACGAGTACAACCGCATGGGCGACCAGGTCTCAGGCTCAGGCGCTGCCCCCCGCAAGGGTCAGTAGAGCATGACCACGCCTTTGGCAGACACAACCACAGACTATGCAAGTGAGTTGCTGACGAGATGAATGAAGCTCGCACACCGCCAGCCATCTCTACTTGGATGACGGTCACTAAGAACCGAGATTGGGGATGCACTGCTAACGGCAGGAGAAGGCCGTGTTGAAACGATTATGATTGTATCACTGTTCTTGGAACATCTTTATGGCATGGCACGGAGCTTGGATTAGAAAAATATATTTTGAGAGGAATTGAGCGTCGAGAACTTTTGATATTGGTGCAATTGCAAAATGCTGTTGATCTGGCGTGAAACATGTGACAATCAAGATACCTAGGCTCTGCTGACTCGGCCTGAGTTCCTCCCAGCACGTTTGTAGCTTACACACCTGTCCAAGATAGCTCGCCAGACCTCGTGCGTCGCATGAACGTATATCGTCGGCAGTCACCCGTCGTTGCCCACGTCTCAGAGGACCGACTCCAATCACCATGTCTGGCCACGCACGGACCGCATACATCAACCTCCCCGATGCGACGGCGCATCATGTACCCTACAAAGCTCCTCCAACTCCGCAAAACCCGGTGGTCAAGGGCCGCCCATTGGCCTTTCTAGCTTCGCTGTGTGTGCAAGCGCGCCTCGGAGCTTCGAGCTAGCTGACCACAACAGTGTGGAGAACGTCCCCCTCCTACCGACCATCCTCTATCGCAATGCAGGCTTCGCTGGCCTGCGATCACTCGAGGAACTCGACGACGTTGTTCCGCGATTCGATCCGACTGTGATTAGGCCACCTCCACCGGGAGACAAAGCGCCGGCGAGCGAGCCGCAATACACAAACCTGCGTGTCCCACCTCAGAACTCCCAGGGCCGTTTCTACACGGTGGAAGACTACCACAATGCCTACAAGAGCGGGCGGCTGACACCATCCGATGTTGCGGAAATACTGTTGCCTTTGATCCGTCGAGATGTCCCAGATCGCTCTCCGCACTCAACGGCGTTCATCGACAGCAATGTGGATGCTGTGAGGGAGGCTGCCGAGGCTTCCACCAAGAGGTGGAAGGACGGGAAGCCGCTGGGGATTCTAGACGGTGTGCCTTTCGGCGCCAAGGATGATCTCGACGTCAAGGGATACAAGAGATACATTGGCGCAACCAAGGACTACACTGAGGGTAAAGAGGTGGAGACGAGTTGGTGTGTGGCCAAGGTCGAAGAGGCAGGCGGTATAATGGTCGGGAAGCTGAGTATGCATGAGCTAGGGATGGGTATGTTATTTTGAGACAGCAAATTTCCTGGGATGCTGACGTTTCGCAGACACTACAAACAACAACCCGAACTGGGGCACACCTTTGAACCCTTATAATTCGAGCTACTACACGGGCGGATCAACAGGAGGCGGCGGCTATGCTGTCGCATCAGGCCTCATCCCCTTCTGCATCGGATCCGATGGAGGTGGATCCGTCCGAATTCCCTCGAGTTACTGCGGCTTATACGGCTTAAAGCCATCGCACGGACGAGTCTCCACCGAACCTCTCCAATCGTCGGACAACTCGGTCACAGTCAGGGGACCAGTCGCTAGTAACATGGCCGACCTTGACATCTCCTACCGCACCTTCGCAGTGCCTGACCCTTCAGAGCAGTCATCCAGCCAGTTCTCTCCACCCAAGCCATTCGGAAGCCCTTCCAACTCTCCAAGCAAAACTCTAGGAATTTGTAAATCCTGGTTTGACCGCGCCGACCCGGCCGTCCAGCAGGCCTGCCACTCTGCCCTCCAATACCTCGTTTCCGAGCACGGCTACCAAACCGTCGACATCGACATCCCCCTACTCCACCAGGGGCAAATGGCACACGCCATGACCATCCTCGCCGAGACGACCGCAAAGGTGCAGTCCCTTGCTGGCCTCACCCCGCCTAACAAGATCCTCCTCAGCGTGTCACGAGCAACGCCCGCTACAGACTATATCCTAGCACAGAAGCTCAGGCAGGTATTGATGCAGCACCTCGCGCATCTCTTCCAAACACACCCCGGTCTCATCATTGTGACGCCCACCACGCCCAATGCCGGCTGGCCCATCGGCGACGGCGAATTGAGCCACGGGATGTCGGATGGCAATACGCAGGTGCGCAATATGGAGTATGTGTGGTTAGCTAACTTCACGGGTGTGCCGTCCATACAATTCCCTGTTGGGTATGTCGATCCTGTCAAGGGGAGCGGCAAGATTCCGGTCGGCCTGATGGGAGCTGGAGAGTGGGGAAGTGAGGAGGACTTGATTGAGTTTGGGTACGATGGAGAGGACTGGTTGCATAAGGGGTATGAGGGTGGGAGGAGGAAGCCTGAGGGGTGGATTGATGTGTTGAAATGGCAAATGTAAAGGCTTGGAAGGGTGTGAGAACAGGCTGTTGGAAAATACATGGAAGTTGGGAGGTTCCGTTCTCATTCGACACTTCATCGAATATCACATATGAAAGCAGCCCAATCGCAATCAACGCCAGTAAACAAAAGAAGCGACAAGACTCACAGCACCTCTTCCTCCCCATCTAATCTCGCCTCTGACATCGATTTTCTATTTCGGGCCGCATACAGTATGCTCCTCAGGCATTGGAATTTCTGCCCAAGATGTCACAACTCCAAGATTCCGGGCGCTGTCGTTTACAGCGGACATTGACCTTCGCTTTCTTTCTGGCGGTCGCTATACTATTTGAACCACCCGTCAAACTGTTATTGAATTTGACCGGAGCAGTTCGATGGCAACAGTCATACTGCCCTTCATGAGGCAATCACTTGAAGCAAGTACCAACAAAGTTCGCATTATGAATACAACGACGTTTTGAGAAATTCACCCAGCCGCAGATGACAGAAATAAATAGTGAAAGTGGCCATGTGCTAGCTACATAGTCTTGCCCTTCTATCACGTTAAGAAACCCTGCGAATTGGGCCACCTGCAGCATCGCGACATTTGCATTGGCCTCTCGAACCCAGCCCTACAATATCTCGACACGCCACCCGTTGGCGATTATTGCGTCCTCCAGGAGTATCCGGACTTACTATACTGTAGGGGTTTAGATAGCGGCCTGTAAATCCGTCATCATGCATAAAGAAGGAGAGCTGCAAACAGGCGAAAACAACGTACATTTTCAGCATCACCTGACAGTGCCAGGTTGGTAGGGTGTTCTGTAAGGATGTTTTTTGCCGGGTTGGACGTATTGATCGATGAAGGTGTCCGCTGGATTAAGCGCTTGCGGTTAGTTATTCGAGTGTTGGCAGTAAACGATTGAGTTCTCGCTATAAACTAGAGAATGTGGTGGCATGTAGTAGGGACTTGTATGGATAATCCCGCTCAGGCTTTCGGTAGATGCCTTCTACAGCCTCTTTGAAGCTTTGTTGTTGCATATCATTCAGATTTTGTATATAAATTGATCGCTGGGCAACGGTAGGCAGCACCCTGGTTGTATTCATCATCGTGAATTCAATACTATACAGATGACGTGGACGATAGTAAGTTTGTATTGCCAGAAGTGGGTGACTTCAAGATCTACCTCACAAGATGTCTGCATGCACGAGCCGACATATAAACTCGAAGCGCAGGTGCAGCACATTTCATGGAACTATTCATCCCATCAAATTTACAAAGATCTTGATACGAGAAGCAAATTGTGCTCATCTAGTCAAATATATTGCCTCATTCAGAAGTTCCCCTTCATCAACGTCTTGGCCTCCGGAAACTTGCCCGACTCCTTCCCTTCCAGCAACGGTCCTCCCACCTTGCCTGCAAATGCCCCTTTCATCCACGCGGACGTGTACGCCACTAGAATCCGCAATGTTTCGGCCGGCGCAATGGCGCCGATAATGTCGGCGAAATTTGCAATATCTTGACCAGCAGCTTGCAAAAGCATAGGTGCATCCGTGAGCCCCATGTGTGTTGTGTTTACTATCTCGAGGAATAGCTTCGGGCCCTTCAGCTGAGGCCACAATGTGTACACGGTAGGGTGAGGGATGTTGTTGAGCTCCTCGGAGATCATGTACATCACTGGGCTAGAAATTCCCGATGAGGGCACAGAGCCGTAAAAGACACCGTCTATATCGATCGCGCCACGGACGCGAGGGTCTTGACCGGCGGCTTCGACGGCTGCGGCGCCTCCGAGAGAGTGTCCCAGCATACCAACACGGTCAGTGCAAAATTCTTGGGCTCCTCGCTGCGGTAGCAATTCGGCTACGGCGGTCGCATTGCTTAGCTGGTCGATGATGAAGGACGCATCGGCAGCGCGAGCCTTGGTGTACTGAGCAAATTCATCCGGGGTAGGATCACCAGGGCTGAGGCCGACCACTGCGTGTCCATCGGGATAGGTAATGATGTTTGTGTCCCCAGGATGATCGATGCTAATCACCATAAAACCCTCGCTAGCGATGGCGGAAGCGAGAGCACTATAATAGAGACGAGGGATGTTCCAACCACCGGAGAAGAGTAGAATTGGGACATCGTCTAAGGTGGCGCATCTGTTGGGCCCGACCGGACAAACTGGCAAGCGGGCTTGGAGGAAGAGGGGCGAAAAGTCGGCGGTAAAGTTGAACTGCTGTTGGAGATAGGGTCCCTGGAACTCAGCAGTCTTGTTGGGCATATAGGGGACGGCCACGGTAGATGTGCATCTTGCAGGTTGAAAGACCGACAGCACCAACGTCCGAGGCGTCGGCGTTTCGACAGAAGGGTCATTACGAGTGTAATCGGTTAGGGTTCCAATGGTCAACGTAACATTGTATTTTCCAGGCGGATTTGAGATCAGGTATCCTGCAGTCGTGTTCGTGAGCAAGAGAAGAAAGATTGGAAAAATAGAATGCATCTCTGCAAGTGTCTGGTGTCGCCGAATATCAGTTTGGATAACGTCAAGTTGGTAATCTACTGAGAAGCATGGCGACCATCTGGCTGCAGTGAGAGGTTATATACATAGTTTGTGACCCATACGTTATTTCCGATTGTACATGCGCGGAATGGACCATCCGCCGTGGAGGTTTTTTTTTGGTTGTCACTGGGGCGGAGCAGCGCGGTTCGCAGTTCCGCTCTCCCAGGTTCTGTAGTTCCGCGCTGAATTGAGTTTAGTCGGGATACTAGCGACTACCATGACCGGAAGCCCATATACAAGAGCTGTACAAGAAGATTTGGAAGCAATCGACACGCGTCTTCTGCATTGATCATTTTCGATCAGAACAGCAACTGCTACAAGAAAGGATTTCCGTGCGAGAGTATCGTATCCCGCAACAATTGCTGCCGAGGAGTTTTAGGCCATCATAAGTAGTCTTCCAGAGTGGTCAGCATCGACGTTTCAACATAAAAGCGTGTGCATTCAGAAGTGCTTGAACGATGGGTAGCAATCTTTCTCCTGCGCCCATGCCGATGGGACTGAAGTGGACACATCAAAGTTAAACGCGCAGGCCACGGCAAGTCCAGGCCAAGGTGAGTGGTGATGGTATCCGAAGTAGGGGCCGATGAAAGCACCCGACGACTCAGGCACGGGACGGAAGGCAGGAGCTATGCAAGGCCCGTTAGGGTGGTAATCAAGGCTGAGAGGAAAGGAGGATTCGATCTGATGGCGTTAGTCATCATCTCGCTACTTTAGCCTATCTGGGTTAGGGTTTCCGCGGTGCGCCTCAGCCTCCTTTATGTCGCAACACCGTGAACGCGATGCGTAGAACCATTTTGCAACGATGGTATTGACATTCTCCTAGAGTTGTGTCGAACTTATCGCTAGGACGGCTAATTAGACAAGCTGGTTCCCTGCACATCATGTCCGCCTCTCCGCCAAGGACACTGACCGCGATCTTTCTTTAGTCTCCACCATTTCTCTAGACACGATGTCAGGCACAAAACCAGCCGGGGCCAAGCGAGAAAAATACTCTCGCTTAATCTGCGTCGGGTGTCGTGATAGACGCATTCGATGCGAGTTACCGAACGATGTTGACATCCCAATGCCAGGAGAGTTCCGGACCATTCAGACGCCTTGCTACCGTTGTAGGAGACTAGGAGTTCCTTGTGTAATACGACAAACTATCTTGGGTCGACCGAGCCCCAAAAATCGTCCGAGTGCAGCTACAATTTGGCTACACACTGAGACCGAACCTAGGAACGTTATCTCACCTATTTTCATTGAGCTTTCCCCTGAGGCATCGGAGCCAGATGACGTACAGGAAGAAAGAATTCCATCCAGCAACTCCATAGTTCCGTTGAGCAAGCGGTGGTGTACAAATGATTCTCGACTGGACCAGTCACATCCCGCACGCTGGTATGGTGGTCAACTACTAGTCCACACACCCCAGTCACCTGAGACAGCCTTCACCATTCGCGCCATCGATACTCTTCGATACGAGGGGGTCGAGCGAGAATGGTTCCGACATCTCCCGGCTTATGCTGGACATTCACATGCCCTAGACTTGTCTATCAAAGCTCTTGTCGCTGCTTGTGCCTACAAAAGAGGCACACCCCGGATCACACCCGGCGACTGTTACCAAGCCCTAGCACTCGCCCTCAGTGCTGTGAAAACGAGCATTGTGCAGTCCTATGGAGAGCCAGATGACTCTATGCTCGCGTCGACGGCATTGCTGGCGCGCTTCGATGGCGAAATACAGAAAAATTATATTCCCACACGTCTACATGTCGAAGGGCTGGCCACAATCTTAGCAGCAAGGTCTTCGACATATCAGGTAACCCCCATTGCGAGGGACATCCTTGATTTTCACGCCGGCGAGTCTGCTATTATGGCATGCATTCAGGGAACGGCTTCTCCTTTCGAAAAAGTCGATCGAGCGTACTTTGCCAACAGCAAGATGAGATGCAGCAAGGGCGATCGCACGCAGCTCAAGGCCTTGGGCAATGAGATGTTCATTGGCCTTCCTCGGCTTGTGGGACTTGTTCGCTCAATACGACTCGAACCATTTGTGGAAAATACCCTGCATTCAGATGCTCTTCGGCTGTTAAGGCCCCTTCTCGAACTGCAAGATTCCCAAGCCGAGGAGAGACTACTACAAGACGCCAAAACTTGTCCCTCAGATGAGACTGACACTGCTTCGCCACTCGGTCTGAGCCTGCATTTCGCCTCTTACAAGGATTTCGAAGCACTCACATATTACTGGCAAAGTCGCTTGTCTCTTCTCAGATTAGAATTGCGCCTCTATCGGCTATCCGTGTCAAGCTGTGCCCACGCCAAAATCACAGAAGCATCTGAAATCCTGGTAGGGCCACGGCTCGACGAGATGGTTCAGCTTGCGAAGAATATTCTGATGTGCGCAGAATATGCCTCGACGTTACGCCTAAACAAACATATTCGCTTGTTTGCCCACGCGCTGGTGGTCGTGTGGGGGGTGACTATGGACATCCCAGGCCCTTTCGGGCATGATCAGGACGGCAAAGGATCGGATTTCCTGGCTGATTGGCTACTGTGCAGAGTAAATGTCCATCGGCACGAAAAACTGCATCTCACCGCCGAGGATATGAACATCGCGGCAGACATCTTTGTGGGCGGACCGCCCAAAGGCAGGTTCGCAGAACGCTTTGGCCTGTGATTGGCGTCGATCTGGGCCTGAGGCTCGGATCGTTCCACAGACTTGTGGAAGGGATCACTGCGCAAGCGGATGAAAATGAAGCTGTCGCCCATTGCGTCAAACAGTTGAATGCCAGGTTCTCCCCTGATATTCTACGTTTTCAGTCGTCAATTCGATTGAATGCCGACTCCATGGATAACGAAATTATCAATACGGCCAGCACTGCTAGCAAAGGACGCGGCGGTAAACATTTATACCACACTTCTGAAGTTGAAGTACCTGAACGCAGGCTTCAAAGCATCGACATGACATCTCACGAGTCGGAAGTCACTGCATATATCCACAGCCATAGCGTACGGCAACACAACAAATTGCCTCCGGTGGCCGTAACAGCCCCGTGTAGGTAGTGTATATACATATCAAAGTCTCTTACAAAAGATATCTACAGTCGAATACAATCCTGCCCCTCTCTCAATACATCGTTCCGCGTCTCTCAGCGCTTCTTCGCAAAAGGCCCAAAGTTCCGCCTGAACTTCGCACTCGCGGCAATGCATTGCGAGTACCAGTCGTTCTGCTTGATGCATGTGTATCCGCTAACGCACTTCGTTGCGCCGGTGAATCCTTTACCGCCGCATTGGCCGTAGGCGGCGACGGTGCCAGAAGACGACCCTGAACCTGAGCCTGAGCCGGTGGAGGGAGTGGGTGTGGGCTGGGCAGCAACTGGGCTGGATGCAGCAGGCTTCTCCGACGCAACGGGAGCAGCAGCTTTTGACGTAGCAGCAGCTTTTGACGTAGCAGCAGGAACGTCCTCGACAGAGCTCGAGACAGGAGCAGTGGGGGCAGTAGAACTGGCCGTAGCTTCATCGCCCACGACTTTGGATGGCGTAGTTCCAGCCGACGCCAGACCGGCAGGTCCCGCATTAGCCTTGACGTGAGCAGCGACTTCGCTCGCGGCCAGCGGCTCGACGAGGACGTCCTTGATCTTGCTGAAGGTGCTGAGCACACTGTTTGCCTTGAGTGCAGCAAGCTTGCCAGACGACGCATCCACGCTGTTGACCTCGCACGCGCGGCCAAGAGCGCTGGAGCACGCGCTCGCGGCAGACGCGTCGGGCACGGTGTACAAGGTGGATGAGCCCGCGGCCTTGTCAGTGTTGGGCTGGCTGACGGCTTCGAAGACGTTGCCCTCGATCAGCGCGGAGGCGCCCTGGTAAGCGTCGAAGGCATGGCCCTTCATGTTGGAGAAGAAGTTGTTGACGGCGTGGAACGTGCCCGTTGTGCCGTCCTCACCGAGCTTGGGGGCCCTGCCGGCGACGTTGTGGTAGTAGTTCTTGTCGAGGGTGACCTGGTCGCCGTCGCCGTAGAACATCATCGTCCAGTAGTGGTTCCCGTTGCAGGACGCAGACGTGGTCGTTGTGCCGTCGAACTCGTTGTTGGAAATCGTCAGCCGCGTGGGCGCGTAGTGGCTGACGATGAACATGCGGCCCACGAGGCTGAACTTGTTGTGGTCGACCCAGACGCCGTCGTTGTTCCCTTTGAACCCGAGCGCGTCGCCACCCCAGACAACACCAGGGTTGATGTTCTTGAACTCCAAACCCTGGATGATGACGTTGGACGCGCCATCCGCGAGCTCGAGGCCCTTACCAATAAGCACACCCTTCCCGTTGCCCAGGATGGACTTGTTGGACCCGACCTTCAGGGGCTCGGGACCAGCGGCGTCGTACGTGATGGAGCTGACAGCGACATTGTCAGAACCACCACATGACAGGTCGCCAAGGTACAGCTGGCCACCGTTGCTTGCGGAGCAGGACTTGCGGTCGCAGCCTGCGCCTGTAGCAGACGTGCCGGTGAAGTCGAGCTCGCCGTTGATGACGATGGTGCGGGCAGTGTCGTCAGCAAGGAGCTTGGCGAGTTCGTCCACGCTGGAGACCGTGACAGCCTCCGCGTCGCCACCGCCTGTCACGCCGTTGGCGAAGCCGTAGGCAGTGCCGACGACAGACTGGGCGGCTGTTTGGGAGGCCGCGAGGAGAGCGGCAGCGAGTGAGTAACGCATAGTTATTCTCCTCTTCTCAAAATTGAATCGTCTCAGGTGGCAAGGCAAGAATGGATCAACTACAGAAGAGAAGTCTCGAGATCACTCAGGCCAGCCGACGCAATTCAAGTGGGTGTTGCAAATGCACAAACGAGGGAAATCCGGACACAGCCGAGAACGAAAGACGAGCAAATGAATGAAAGAGCGAAAGTCGATGGGAGGTCCGCATGCTCAGGCGTCGTCATCTTGTTATATATCTTACGAGTGGCACGGTACCTGGCGATGTCGAGATTGCACGGGGCTCCCGAACTCTGGGCATGTGCTTGATCGTCGTGGTGTTTGCTTGGCGACGCGCCTCGCGATGCGGAAGCGCTTGAGTTTCTCCGCGAGCGGGCGCGGATGGGGGTGGGCTGCTGGTTTTGCTTGAATAAACTTGCGTTGGGTACGCGGAACAAAGTTGGGGCATCTGATTATGTAGTCAGTCAATGCAAACAGCAGTTTTGCCGCAGGTTGCCTCTCTGTTTTCCAGTCGTTCGACCGAGTGTACGGTCGACGTGCGGGAAGCGACGGAAGCGGAAAGCGATGTTTGAAACAACCCCATCGCGCCATTGAAAGCGCATGGTGAAACACGGGTATGCTAACTTCTTCCGTACATCCAGTCTTACCAAACATGACAACGCTAGCACTCGCACATTCATGCGCGCATGGGAGGTTCCGTCCCAGGAATCGGGTCATCCGCTGAAGTGGCAAGAGGTATCATTTACAAGAGACGGTAATTTACACTCATCCCAGCCAGCCCAATGTTCATCGCATCATCTCCCATCACTCTTTCCCGAAAACGCCGTCTAATGCATAGCATGCAGCGATCTGCGTGCCTAACGTCAACTACTCGCAATGCTATCAATGCCCTACTGCTCCTGCAGCCCAGTCCATGAATGCAGGGTCATGGGGATGCGGGAACATGCCACGGTCCTCTTGGGGCTGCTGCGGTTGGGCTGGTTGTTGTTGCATCGCAGCCGCTTGGTTTGCCAACATCTGGCGCTGCTCTTCCTGTCTCCGTTCTTCCTCAGCGACACGCTGGCGCCGACCCCGATAGTAGATGAGGAATGCCAAAGCGGCTGTGAGGCCCAAAATGACTAGGGAGTCGAGGATTTCGGAGTCAATATCGTCGTAGTGGTAGTCGGCGTCACCACCAGGCATGGCTGCATCGTAGTCGTCGGGCTCTCCTTCCATATCCCATGCAGCCATCTCGGCCTCTAAAAAAGCGGAAACCCATTCGGAAATGGACCACTCTTTCCTGACGACTGCAGATGATATTAGTATGAAACCTGATGATAACATGAACACTCTTACCGGGCTCCTCTTCAATAGACTTGATGTTGCCATTTGTGACCTTGTTCCACCAACTCCGGAACCGGAGCTTGTACAAAGCGAGCGTGACCGGAAGGTATGCTTCGCGAGGGTTTGTTTCCAGTGCCAGGTCATAATGTCTTTTCGCGAGATGGAAGTCTTGCTCTATGCCGATGCCATTTTCGTGCATCCAACCCAGGTTCCATAGAGCCTGTGCGCTCATCATGCTCTCCGCAGCTGCCGTGTAGCACGCTGCCGCTTTCTCATCGTCGGGCTTGGTCCCTAGACCTTGGAGGTAATAGTCTCCGAGCTTAACCATCGAATCGATGTTCCTCTGCTCAGCAGAACGTGTCCAGTACAGGAGAGCAAGGTATGCATCGCTAGCCAAGGTGGCCTTCGCTTTCATGAACGGAATCAACGAGTTCAGAGTGAAGCGGGGTTTAGCCTGGTCGAGCAGGTAAGCCACGTTCGCCTGGCCAGTCTCGAAGCCCTGCTCTGCTGCCATCATGTAACCAACGAGCGCTGTCTCAAGGTCACCATTGTGGTATGCCTCGTTGGCTTCAGGGAAAGAGGTTGAGATGGCTTCCGCCTTCTCTGCTACAATCTTGTAGTGAGCCGATGCAACAAGGCATGATTTGTCGCGACCAACTCCAGCGTTTGTCAGTTCGGCTAGGTAGTAGTACGCTTCGAGGTGCCCATTGCGCGAGGCAAGCTCGAAGTACTTGATGGCCACGGAAACATCTCCCTGGTCCAGGAAAAGTGCACCGATACGCACTTGCGCAACTGACAGGCCCTGGTCGGCAGCCGCTTTGAACAGATCAGCGGCTTTCACGGAGTTCTTAGGAACGCCAAGGCCATCTAGATACATCAGTCCGAGTGAGTACTGCGAAAGAGCATCGCCATGTTCGACGCCTCGATTGAACCAGGTCTTGGCGATGGCAAAGCTCTGGGGCATGCCCTCTCCACGCAGAAACATGCGCCCTAGGTACCCTGCTGCTTTTGGGGCCAGCTTCTCGACGTCCTCGGAAGCGCTGGATTTGATCTTCCCATCCTTATTCCAGTACATCCTCGCAATCTCCAAGAACCGTCGCTTGGCCTCGGGGAGGTTTCTGCGAGAAGACCGAGCACCATCGTAGTTGAGCTTGGCCAGATTGAAGCTTGCGCGTAGATCTCCCTTCCTTGCTTGAAGATCCATGTATTCAACTACATCATCCAGAGAAGAGTGCGCATCGGAGTAGACGCTGGCGTGTTTAGCGTTGGGTCCAGAGCTGGTCACACTCGCGCCCTCTCCGTACACGCCGCCTTCGTCATCCGCGATTTTGTAGGATTCTCGTACCAGCGGAAATCCTCCCGGCGGCCCCGATCGCATGTACCTGATCGCCTTGTCCGCAGCACTCTTGTAGTAGTGCACGGCCTGCTCGCAATTGCGCGGGGTCGAAATGCCGCCTGCATGCCGGAACGCAACCGTCATTTCTGAGCGGATGTCGCCGCCTTCGGCCGCAAGGGTATGGTAGAGCATGGCTTTCGCCTGGTCCTGCTTCACTGCGCCTCCAATGCCGGTCGCGTACATGAAGCCCACCAAGTGTTGTGCTGAGGCGTTGCCGTTCAGCGTGGCGAGTTCATGGTATCGTTGGAAGGCTTCGGTGTAGTTGCGAGGATGCGAGTAGTTGCCGTAGAAGTTCATCTCAGCGAGCGTGAAGATTGCGTCGGGATTCTTCGCGGCTGCCGACTCTTCTAGCAGCTTGACGGCTTCGGCGAGCGGGGGAACGAGTTTCTTGGGCTGCGGGTTGGTGGTGAGCAGGTCTTGCTGTGGCGGTCCGTTCATGAAGAGGAGGAAGAAGAGCTCCTTCGCGTAGTATGCGCTGGTTCCAAGAACGCCGGACTTCTTGAAGTTCCACCATGGCGCCGTCGCTGGCTGCACCTTGTGCAGCAGGGTCGATGCCTTGTCGAATGCGGAAGTGTCTACATCTATCTCCTTGTGAGTGGGCATCTCATAGCCCGAACCAGAAGTCTGACCTTGATCTCCGGGGGTGGAAACCGGGCCCCAACTGTCCGAGGGGATGTTGCGTTCGCCCAGAGGCTTCTGGGCATGTGCATGGCCGCTGCCCCGGAACTGCGCACAGAGCGCTGGTAGGAATAGCGAGAGGAAGACTGCGAGGGAGGTCAGTCGCGTGTACACAGGCACATGCATTGCGCTACCGCGGGGCTGGCGTACCGAACAAGAGCGGCACAAGCCGCTGTAATCGCGGTTTCATCGTGCGAGGTTCTCGGTGGGCGACGTCGAGACGCAAGCTATCATCGCGACATTCAGAACAATGGGGCGACCAAGTGCACAGGTCCCCGCGTGGCGTCGGTGAAGCGGACGTGTTTGTGAAAGATGCCAGCTATACACGTTCATCCAAGCTCCAGGCGCAGCCGCATGTCACGCCAAGCGCCCACCAATCAGCGCGCCGGGGCCCCTACGTCACACGATCCCGCAGAACGGCACTTCTCACGCAAGTACGGTAGGCCAAGATGTATATTGCACCTATACCTACAACCACGGACCATTCTCGGACGTGTCTACCATGAGACGACTTGCCAAGCGAACATAGAATTACACCCTAGAAATCAATTGCTCCTACACCTTACTTTGGTCTGGTAACCGTGACACTCGCTCGCATTTGTCATCCTCATTGCATCCTACATGACGCTGTGATTACTCTACTTTCATCTCTTTTTACATAGATTCCATCTCCAGGTTTATCTCCTCATACCATTTTATCCCTTTTTCCGACACAGATGTCGACCGCCGAAACCCCAGGAGAGCGCGCACCGCTCCTAGGCGATGAGAATACGCCACCGAGTTCCTCAGGCGAAGACCGCGTGGGGGACGACAAGGCACCCATCTTGTCCACATTGCGCGGTGCAGTGATATGTACATCAATTGGGCTCATGATATTCCTACAAGGTATCTATTATTTCTTTCACATCCTCAGCAAGTTGTTTCCCCATTAGACCAAGTCCGTGCCGCATCGCGTTCTTTTCTTTTCTCTGCATTTCGTTCTTCCGAGCCCTTGGTCTTTGTACAGGCTCGATGTTACGCGCGGGCACTTACATCGATTCCACTGAGCTTGATAAGTACCGGTGCGCCGCATTGGAGTGGTTGTCTGAACGCTCTTTCCTCGATTGGGGTGAAAGTCGCGGTGGAGATGCGAAGAGCTGGAGCAGACGCACGCGAACAGTATGGCGTGGCTGCTTTAGCTTCAACCCTCCCTGTTGCCTCACCTTGTCCACAGCTGCGAATGGTACAGCTGCCTACCCTCTTTACCCTCGATCCTGGAGCACCGGACCAGGGCAAAGCTGGGAAGCGGACGCAAGCCGAGAACAGGGCATAGGCTCGTTGGCTCTAGCCCCCCTCCCTATCATTTACTTTCTCCGTGCAAACATGAGTGCTTGGGGCCGTGGCCACCCTATCTGGCTACCCGCTCTTTCCTCGATCGCAGAGCTCCGGTCCGGGGTGGAGCTGGAGCTGGAGTAGGAAACGAACCGGGCGCAAGTCAACAACAAGCCAGGTCTCGTTGGCGTCGACACCTTCCGCTACTTGGCGTGTTCCCTGCGAACACAAGCGCCCAAAGCTGTGAATAGTCCCGCTGCACGCCCACATTACCCTCAGCCACGAAACACGGGGCATAGACCACTTGATACCCACCCGACGAGCGATCACCAACTTTCGGACCCCTCCCTGTTCGCGAGCGCGCCGCCCTACTCCCTCGCAGTACCCGGGACATATCGTCGAACAGAAGCGCCCGAGGCTGTGAATCGCCCAGCCGCATAACCTCTTTTTCCTCAACAACAAAGCGCCGGGCCGGGGTCGAGGAGCGAGGAGCCGGGTCGTGGATTGAAGCCGGGCCCAACCACCAGCAGGGCATATGCTCACCACCTTCAACCTCTTCCAATTTGCATGTGTTATGCCGATGCAGGTGGAGACGCTGAAAACTGGGGATGAGGATGATCCAGCCACCAAAGCGCTCCTTCCCTGGTTACAAGGCGGATGACAATGGCAGAGAGGGAGAGCGGGCGCGAGACAGGCTCAAGCGGAAGCGCCCCTTTGTCCAGCTGCTGTTTTGTGGACTTGCACTTGCTCATCGTGGTAGCACGCTCTGAGGCCAGCAATGGCACAACTGCTCGAGCGCTTTCCATGATTGGTGTCCCTCTTGGCCTCTGCGCACGTCTATCACCGCTCGTCTCCCGACTTCTACCATGCGTGCGATGCGCCCAATGTACAGCATTCGTCCTTTTGTTTTTCTATTCTTTTGCCGCACCACCTTCATTCTGCTGTTCGTCTGCTGACCTCTCTCAGGTGCCAACATCTCCATCCTGACAACAACCCAATCGGCCATAGCTGCGGATCTGGATGCCTTCGAGGAGGCAACATGGTTCACCTCGTCCTATTTGATCGCTATGTCCGCTTTTGCCCCGCTCATGGGTCGGCTCTCTCAGGTCTTTAGTCCCAGACTATGCATGTTCTTCTCCACAATGCTCATATGCTTGGGATCTCTCCTTACGTCGCTCGCAAACTCATTCAGCTGGTTCCTAGTGGGGCGTTCATTGACTGGCGCGGGCGGTGCCGGAATCCTTATCGTTGCAACAATTCTTGCCATCCAGGTGGTCAGCCCCAAGCGTCGTGGGCTGTTCATCGGCCTGGCAAATACCAGCATGACTGTCGGTCTTTCTCTCGGAGCTGTCATTGCTGGTGCCGCGGAGCCCAGGATCGGATGGGTCAGTATCTTGCGAATCTAGGAGGAAATGATCCTGACTCCAACAGAAACCCCTCTTTGGCATCCAAGCTCCTATCAGCATTCTGGCAGGCTTCGGCATCCTCTTCGGCATTCCATCAGGATACAAGGCAAAGAACAGTGACCTTGAACACCGAACTCTTGATGAAAAGCTTGCTCGAATCGATTATTCAGGAGCACTGCTGCTGATAGCTGGCATCATCCTTTTCCTACTTGGTCTTTCTGGTCCCCGGATCCTGGCAACTCCACTTATCCTATCTGCCTTTGTAATACCGGCTTTCGTTCTGAACGAAATATATGTGGCCAAAGATCCAGTTATTCCCATCATAGTACTCCGGTCTCGAGGCACCCTCCTCATCTGCCTTGCCACGGTAGGCATCATGATGGCCCGCTGGGTGGTGCTGTTCTACACCGTGGTATATGCGATCGCGGTCCGTGGCTGGGCGCCCGCAGTTGCCGGGACCATCCTCATTCCCACGAATGCGGGTTTTGCGACTGGAGGCTTGCTTGCTGGCATCTTCCATATCCGCCGCAATGGGAGCTTCTACATCCACACTCTTGTGGCCAATTTGCTGTTTCCGGTCACTCTTATCGTCCTGGCCTTCATCTCTACGCCGCAAAGCTCCGCGGCTCTGTACGTCGTGATGGTGTTCTGCAACGGAGCTCTTGCCGGTGCCGGACTAAACTACACGCTCGTCCATCTGCTCCATCTGACCTTGCCCGAGGTCCATCCCATTGTGCTCTCCCTCCTGGCGACGTTCCGCGGCTTTTCTGGCAGCTTCGGATCTGCGATCGGTGGCGGGATTTTCGAGCGTGTGCTGCAGACGTCCCTCGTGGAGGGGTTCTCGAGGGCGGGTATCGAGGATCGGACCGGCTTGATTCGAAGGCTCCTGGGCAGCCCGGCGCTCGTCTCGACTCTCGAGGGACCGAGGAGAGAGATTGCAGTCAATGCATATCGTGAGGGCATTAAGACGCTATTTCTCTGCGGGACAGGCTTGGCTGTTCTCATGACGCTCGTACAAGCGGGGAGCGGTTGGAAAGCTCCGGCGAAGAGCGTGGCAGCGAGTGACGAAGAGAACGTCGAGGGCGAGGAGGCGTTGGCAGAAGGAGCTTGAGGATGAGCTCCGGCTCTGCGTCAGTCTCCTGGTCCCACGCTGTGTGCAGGATTTGTGGTAGCTGTGTGTGCAGATGGGTGCGGCTGTCTCGAGGGCACGCAGACACAATTGCGCAATGACAAAGCATCACCCACGTTCGACGAGGGCATACGCGTCGTATGGGAGCAAACAACATGCCGTCCGCATCCAAGACACGGCAAATCTATTGGGTCGAGTGACGCCACAGCCATGGGACTTCTATCTCGGGCTCCCGGTTCGCCAACGCACGGCGGCGATGAGCCTTATGGGCCTCCGCAAGCCCATACTCGGAGACGACAGCTCACCGGGAGCCCTGCGCGTTTGCTACGAGGCTCCTCTGCTGGGAAATGCATGCAGGCGGTAGCTTCCCGTCCTCCCGTATGAGCGCCATACCCGTGCCCCTGCCCCGTCGTTCCTTCCCGGCCTGTTTCTCACCTCTTCCGCCACCCTTCCCTCGCCTCCGCCGCGCCTTCACGCCGCGCTCCCGGGCCTGCTACTGGATCCGTGGTCCAGGTTAGCGTCTTGGGGTCGCTCCTGCCCTCCCTATAGCACTGCCCCCTCACCAACGACTCTCTCTCTCTCTGTCTTCCAAACCTTCTCGACAACCACACCCCCGCTCCTACCTTGCGCGAGCTGAGCAGGCCATTATCACTCGACGCCCTAAAAAGCTGCTGTAAGTTCTACCCTTGTTGTTCAAGCCTGAGGATTTGCGCGCAAGCATAGCTTGTGCGCGCTTGCCCTCCGACTGACAGCCCTTGATGCAACGTCAAAAGTCTTTGTGCGGTCTCCAGCACGGTGTTTCTTGTGATCGGGCTGTCGTCCACTTGCTCCTGTCGCGCAATTGACAATCAATTGACGTTGACTGACTTCCCCTAGACGTCAACTTCATCTCCTTGCTCAAAATGGCGCGTACCTTTGCAACGGTCCTCAACACCATTGGTACCAATCCGTACCCGCCCGCTCGCGACAAGGAGCCCGACGTGTTCATCTGCGAGATCTGTGACCGCCGCATTGGCTCCAAGGATTGGGCCGCGCACAAAAACTCCAAGAAGCATCGTGCTTGCGAGGACGAGCTGGGTCGCGCCAAGGACGTTGTCGACACCAAATACCCTGCCACCGACAAGAAGGGCAACGACGACGCCTTTGACCAAGGCGCCTGGAACCAGGACGACGGCGCTCCCTATCTGCGTGGTGGTGACTCCCGTACTTGCAATGGCTGTGGTGAGGTAGGCCACATCAAGCGTAACTGGTAAGTACCTATATCTTCCAGATGACTATCTTGTATTGACCTCGCATAGTCCTAACCCCCCTGCTGGCGGTTCTAGCGGTGGTGCTTGCTACAGCTGCGGCCAAGAGGGTCACCAGAAGCGCGACTGGTGAGCATACCCAGACTGTCTCGTTGTTGTCGTACTGACCATTGTTAGCCCGAACGGTGGCGGCGATGCTTGCTTCAACTGCGGCATGACTGGACATCGCAAGGTCGACTGCACTGCTCCTCCTCAGGCTCGTCAGGGTGGAGGCGCCGGTCAGCAGTGCTTCAACTGTCACAAGTACGGCCATCGCAAGACCGAGTGCCCCAACGAGCGTGTGATGAAGTGCCGTAACTGCGACGAGATCGGTCATATGTCCAAGGAGTGTCCGAAGCCCAAGGACTGGTCCCGGGTGCAGTGCGACAACTGCAAGTCGTTCGGGTGAGTATCATCTTCCTACGCATGTGAGCTTTGTTACTGACTCTACATAGTCACACCGTGAAGCGCTGCAAGGCTCCTCCCGCCGAGGACACCAACGGTGGTAGCTGGGGCGACTCTGGTGCGGACTCCGGTGCTGCTCCCGTTGGCGACTGGGCCGATGCTTCTGTTCCCGCTGGTGGCGACAACTGGGGCGGTGCTACCGTTGTTGATGGCTGGTAGATCTTCTGGTTACCGCCGTCTTTCGACAACACATCGTTGCACCGTCGACAAACGCATCCAACTTTGATACATTGCAGTACTGCCTATACTTTGAGTTAGGCTGGATCTGGCGTTCGGCATTATGAATGGATGGACACGGTCATGGATTTGGATGGAATGAATGAAACGGCTACAGCCTGCACTGCGGGTATCCGGGCCTCTTGAGCTTGGGCGATCATAGCTACGGCTGCCTAGTATATAGTCAATGACTCCATCATGCAATGCTTTCTTGTTCTCTTCATTGCGTGCGGATAGGTCTCACTTATCTCCCGATGAGCTACCATGATCTCACATGCAGCACAGCCATGGTATGGGATCAGCCCCAGTAAGATAATGCAGTATATTCGTGACATCGTAACATGCTACCTCACCCTCAGACCCAAAACACTTGACCATCCTCCCCACTCGCTCACTCCTCAAATATACCCACTCACTACAACCCCCATCCCATCGACGCCCAAGTCATTCAGTCCACCCTTCTTCCTCCCACCCTCTTTCCACGCCTTCTCCACATCCGCTCTCAGACTCTCCACAAACCGGTCCACAAGTGCCGCCTGCGCCGTCCCCTTCCACTGCCCCGGCGTCCGCACATCGAAGCCGTCCACCACGACCTCCTCCCCAAGCGGCTTGACAACCCACTTGATGCTATCGCTACTAAACGCACTCGGCGCATCGGGCCCCAGGGGCCGCAGATCCGCCCGCTCGGCATGCCCCTCGCCGAAGAGGCTGAACAGCGTCGCCGCGAGCCCGGTAGGCGTGTGCACGGCGTCGAACAGGTTCGGCGCGGGGACGCTCTTCCCGTCGAGCGTCACGCTCGTCAGGTTCCCTGCGGCCGGCACGAGCGGGTGTCCCGGGCGCCCCAGAAACGGGCCCGGCGGGAGCGCAAGAGGGAGCTTGATGCCCAGTAGGCCGGGATTCGCGCTGCCCCATTTGAGATTGCCGTTGACCGCGGCGGGGGGGTCGACGCGCACGCCGAGGAGCACGCGCTTGCCGGCTTTCTGGCAGGCTTGGACTTCGGCGCCGAGCGCGGTGCAGTTTAGCAGGCCCGGGGCTTGGAGGGCTTGCCGGGGGTTTGGGGGCCTGCAGCCTGGGTAGGGGCGCAGGGAGGGGTAGGCGTTGGGGCCGTACCATTTTGAGAGGAGGGGGAGGGTGACGGTTGTTACTTTATTGTCGGCGCAGATTTCGGCAAGGCGTTGCGTTGATGGAGTGGAGGTCAGGTTGGCAGTGGTGATCCCAGGCTGGGGGAGAGGGAAGTTGGTGGGAAGCGCGAGCGTGACGATGCTGGGTAGGATGCTGGAGAGCGTGGCGAAGGTGCGGGGGGTAGGGGTGGGAGTGAAGAGAGGCAGATCGTTGAGGTCGGTAGGTTCTGGAATATCGAGAGAAAACTTCGTACTTCTGGTTGCTTCTACTCCAAATCCGATATCAATAGCATCAGGGACGGCCTCGAGGGTTGGGATCTCGGTTGCCTCTATTGGCAGCCCAATGTCGAAGGTTTCGGGGGTGTTGTGTGCAGCATTAGGAAACGAGAGCCCAATGTCGGTCGAAGCTGTTATTGGGACAGATAGTGTAACCGTAGCACCGAGACCATCGAAAACGGAAATGGCAGTGGGCTCCACAAGATCGCTAGGAACATCCCCTTCGACAAGATCGCCTCCGATCAGAGCAGCGCTCGGTCTTGCAGCCTCACTGGTGAGGTCGAACGTGCCAATGTCGTCGATGATGGGAAACGTCGGTCGCGGATTCTCGCTCAAGAGGCTTGTTTCTTCGAATGAAGGGAGCCCTACGAAACCCGCATCACTGGGGAATGGCTCATCAGAAGGAGCGTCCACGCCAAAGATTGAAACCTCAACCGCTGCAGGCGTCGGTATCACGACGACAGTCTTGATGGTCGTGCTCCTGATCTTGAGCGTCTTCGTGGTAGTTTTCCTTGCGTCGAGAGGCTCAAAGGTCTCGATGGGAGGTCGGAGTGGGTTCGTCAAGATGAGCGGCCGCGTTGGACGTACGAACGTAGTGCTGTTCAAAACCGGCTTGAGTGTTGGGAAGGTCTCCGGCGTAGTCCGAAGCGGGTTAGTCAGAATGAGCGGACGTGCTGGTGACCGTGTTGGTCGTCCAATGGGTCTGAGACTTCTTGTGTTGTTGAAGATAGGAAAGGGGAATGGGGGGAAAGGACGAAACGGACGGGGGAGAGGGACCGGCCGAGGCAGCGGAACGGGAAGTGGCTCTAGCGTAGGACGAAGCGGGTTCGTCAGGATTAGAGGACGCGAAGACTTCGCTGCAGGGTTTGCTGCTCCTTTTGTTTGGTTCGCGAAAAACGTTTGGTTGAGGGGGAAGTTCGTAGGGCGGATAAGTGGTGGTGGGAGGAGGATGGACTTGGTGGGGCGAGGTATTAGGAGAGAGGGGACAGGAGGCCTCGTCGGACGAGCTTGTCTCCTAGACGATGTCTTTCTTGGTGGACCCCTCCTTGTAGATACGGCAGGCCTCGAAGTCGCATTGAAACCGGGAGGCGGCCACGATAGGACAGGCGTAACGACATCAGGTATTTTAGTCGTTGGAAGCACGTATGTGCCGTTCACAAACTCAAGGAGCGGAACGGGAGTGCGGTCGTCAAATTCGGGACGGCTGGCCTGCAGCGGCCCAAGATCCTCTGGCGCGGAAATGGGGACATCCTCACCTGCAAAAGGATTCAAAGATTCTCCAGAACCAGTGAAGACAGGGATAGGTATCTCTGGGATCTCTGCGGTCGGGGTCGCCTCCGATACATTATCGGAGAGATGCTCGCCTGGTTCAAGGAAAGGGAGCATGGAGAAGGTCTCCTCAGTGGGAACAGGTAAAAATATTGCTCCAGGAACATCGGTGACCGGGGTAGTAACAACCTCAAACGTTTCCAAGGGAGGAATGTCCTCTGCAGTTGCTGGCAAGATACTGTCGGAGATGATTTCGACTGGTGCGGTGGGTAGCCCAAATGGTCCTGTGATCGCGATCTCTTCTGTGGGTGATGGAAAGTCGGGTAAGGTGACATTTTCCGACATATTCTTCCCGGGCTCGATGAATGGAAGGATAGAGAACGTCTCCTTGGGTTCGAGCGTTACGGTGATTCCAGAACCAGTAGCATTTTGAGCAGTAGTCGCGTTGACCAGCCCTGGAAGAGCGACCAGAGCCTCTGTTTCCACTGGCAAAACGTTTACGGAGACTTCTGCATCGGCCGAAACTGCTGTACCAAAAGATGCCGCGTTTTCAGGTGTGAAGACGATGTGATGTGGAGTAGGAAACGTGGTAGGAGCCAGACCTGTCAGCTCTAGAGGCTCCTCTGTGGGAAATATCGGCAAGATCGAGAAGACAGCTTCAGCAGATGTCAACACTGATGACTTTTTCGACGAACTAGCTTTGGTGCTGGACTTCCTCACTTGTGTCGTAGTGACTTTCTTCGTAATTGTCGTTTTGGCCGTAGGTAGCACGGCTGGGAGCGGACCCTTTACGCTCCCTATTTTTATGGGTGTTGGTGTGACAATGACCGTGGTTGAGGGCGAAGGACTCGCAGCCGCTTCAGCATCGTCGAAACCCAAAAGTCCGCCTACGATAGTCCGGAAGATATCGACGGGATCGAACTCGCTTAGGAAATGACCCAGCTCTTTGAAGAAGTTTTTCCCGTCCTTCTTATCGCTTGAGGCGGCTGGCACTTCGTCCACATCGTGTATGATCGTGGCTTCTTCACCGCGTGTGGCAATAGTGCCGGGCAGGTATGGCTGCTTAGGCGGAAGCACGCTCGCGTAGGCGATATTTAGTAACAAAAGAATGGAAGTCACTATGTGGATTGTGGATGTTGAGCGAGAGAGCGCCATGGTCATGGCCGCCCACTAAAGAGTGAAGAATCTTAGAAGATGTTAAATGAATGACAGTTCGTAAGACGAACAAAGAGAGACATTCATACCCAGTGGGTGCGTATATAAGTATGCCAAGCAAGGGTAGTACGTCAAGGGAGGAATGTTTCGCCATCACAACACCACCTGCGGGCATAGGCAAATTCAGATGGGTAGAACCACTAGACCGGGATACATCAGGTTGGATTTGCCTTTGGTTGGCCAAGTACAAGCGTGGCATTGAGACCTTTGATTGCATTCCGGAAAGGGTGACGTTTGACACTGGAATGTTGATTCGTATGCGTACGACATGGACTAGAAGGCAGCGTGGAAGTTCGATTGGAAGCTAGTAAGGAATGGGAGAACCGGTCCTGCAATTGATGAGAGTGGTGGGCTTGTGTAGAAGAGGGCGTCCTCTTTGAGATGTCAATATATTGGTGACAGGATAGACTTCATAGCGGATTACCGAGATGCGAGAAGACGTATTGTACGCCCAATATCAGTATATGTTTATGTTATTTCTGCTGTGGGATGTTCATGCTTTGGGATGTTCATACTTTGGGATGTTCATGCTTTGGGATGTTCATGCTTTGGTACCAGTACTCAGCGTAGTCCGCTGTGAGCGTGCGATGTTGGGTAGGACGGAGTACAGAAACCGCTCATACGCAGCTGCTGAACACCAAGCGACTGCTTTCTATCAGCAATGATCACAGCATTCGCCAGTAACATTGAAGCCTGGAGGAGAGCCGATATTTCTTGAACACCCTCAATAAGAGTGAAACGGCCCCACAGGGATGTGATACTGTCTGGCACGAGCCCTCTATGCTCATCGGGATACCAGATCTCGTGGTGTGGCGTAATCCAAAAGAAACTGGCTGATGTCCCAACGAAACCAGAGTCCTCTCGCCCGCGGTCGAGTATGACGTCCAAAAACTACCAGACGAGAGCATAATGTCAGTCCTTAATCGCTAAAGATTTGTGCATCGCCCCCAAACGCCTTCACTCCAGAAATACACTCGAGCGCCTTACTGAAGGGAACGACCCAACCATATAACATTCGCACAGTGTGGTCGCATGACAACCTAATCCATGCTGTCCTAGCTTCAAAATCCAGGGCGGCTTCAAGCTGCAGTCCGCCCACATACACAAGTTGCAATGTTGACGCAATATGCCGCTAGCGCTTTAGCTTTAGAAATTCTTCCTCCTCATACTTGGTTGGTCGCCGGGCAGCATTGTTTTCGCACCGGATAGGATTCTGGTTCTCGCACCGAACCAATTTGAATAGATGCTCTTGCTTCGACTTATCCAGAAGCTCGTACTCTACCAGTCTATACAGGCCATCGTACCGTAGACCATATTTCGGGCGATAGCGATTCGTGGCGGAAAGCTGCGAGGAACGCAGTACGCGGACAGGTCGGTCAGGAAACTCGTCACAGGATTCAATCAGCCGCTGGGTGTTTTCCGTGGGATCCGAAGAGTCCGCTTCTTTCTTGTCGGTTCCAGAGTACCAGATAGTGTCGCCTTCATCCCTATCTTTATAACCTGGACCACCGCCTGACAATACGATAGAGTATGCTCCTTTTCCCTTCGCCCCCCAAATGCCGCCTTGAGGTGTACCGTGGGCTCCATCCCGAACAGCACACAGTTGCGTTGGCCACCACTGGCCCAGTACAAGGTGGCCTTGTCCATGATAGTTGGCGGGAATTTTCTTCAAGGGATCCTTGGCCCACTCAGGATCGATACGGTCGCTGGCACGGTCTTTTTCTTTTCGGGTGACAATGCCTCGCAGAAGATCAGTCTTGAAGTCTTGTCGATGCCAGCGGAGGTATAGCTGCCATGCATCCGCTCTCAGATCCCATGGGTAATCGAGATCGATTGTCCCCATGAAGATCCGTGGAAGGCCATTCTGAATCGTGAGCATGTTTGTTTTGCGCACCACAAGCTTGTCGACTCCTTTGAGCACGATCTCAGCCTTGTGTACGTGATCGCGGAGCTCCTCAAACAGCTTTTCAAGCTGCGCTTCAGGCTTCTTAGCGGCCGCGGCGTCTTCACAGCGCCTGATGCAATCTTTGAAAGCGTCGAGTGAACGAAGAGCTTGAGTTCGTTCCTTGTCTGGCCGCTTTAGCTCTCGGGCCATGGTGACATTGTTGATCGTCTTCAGCCTGAACGTCATTTGATTCAGTCCAGCTCTGTCGTTTGCGGGTAATTTAAGAGGGGTAAGGAGAGAGATACGCACCATTCAGGGAGGTCCTTAGGCTCATACTTAGTCTCGGCTTCGCTTTTTGGCACTTTCGCACTGCGATCCTCTGCAGCAGGCCTATCGAGAGATGTAGAAGGTTTTCGAGCCGCACCAACCTTGGATGATTCGGCAATGGGCATCTCGGCCGGCACGAAACCGGTATTCAATGTTCTCGATGCTTTCCGGGGCTCGATAGAGTCGCGTGCGGGAGACTTTGAGGCTTTTCTCTTCTGGACCTTTGCAAGTGGCCTCGAGTCGCGAAATTCATTTTTACGGATCTTATCTGGTTCAACGCTCACAAACTGTCGTTGCTCTCCGATCGCACTAGGGCGACCTTGACTCTCTGTAACCTCGACCTGGAGCTTTTCTACTTTCTTAAATATGCCAAGCTTCTCAAGCGCTTCATCCGAGATGTTGTAGATGGTTGTCATCGGGTCGTCACCACGATTCTTCGCCTGGCCAATCTTCCAAAACTCATCTGACGCTTTCGCGGCCAGAGATTGCTGATCGACTAGCCACGCTGGCAGCCTGGATGCGGGTTTGCTTCTGTCGGCCATGGTGGTATGTGTTACCTCCGGATGGATCAGTGAAACCGATCGCTGTGAAAAGAAAGAGGAGAAAGTGACAGTGGACAGACAGTGAACAGACTTCAGGGGTGAAGCCACCACGGCTTCTTGTGTTGCGAGGACTATGTTGTGGCGGGGTCGGTGGAAGTTCGTTTGCAATCTTGAAAGTTGTCACAGCGGCGCCTTTCCCACTTGTTCGAGGGCAAAGACAGAGTGGCAACACGCCTCAAGTCGCAGAAAATCAACGAAGGACAGTTTTGGAGCATGCAGTATGCTTCGATGCGACAAGTTTGGGTGGTAGTGGTGTGAGTCGACTGGCAGATTACAAGCTGCCAATTGTGAGCGAGCTGTTGGTATTGGCCGAGCTTGAAGTACGCTAGGAGCCCTGTGTAGAGGCAATCGATGAAGCGATAACAAGGTAGTGTAATTAGCATACCAGACTAGATACGTAGAGACAGAAAGTGAGGATTTGGCTGGCGGGAGTTTGTACAGGTTGAGAAAGCGAGCTGTCGCTGTCGCTGGTTGTAGGAGGAACACCAACGCACGGACCACTAGTGCGCTTTCCTTGAGCGAGGCATCGCTTTTGTTATGAACATTGTGAAACTATGGAACGAAAGCGGTGGGAAGACGAGTTGGGATTATTCTCCTGAATTTGTGACAGATCCCTTGGCCTCTGCTACCAGTTCTTACATCTGGCCATAACTGACTTCAAGCATCGGTCGTGAATCTAAGTCTATGGTCCAAATTCGTAAATTGTGTATCGAGTCGTTGCTCATCTCTGTCTACTGGTATCAATCCATGTCAAACGCCGAACTATGCAAACCCGTAAAGAATCGCCATGCCAGATATATACACAGACAGCGAAATGCCCCAACGTACGCTCGAAATGGCCTCTTACACCATCGATCTCTGCTCGTTACTGACTACCTGTCCCAGAGCCTCTCCCTCGACCATGGCTTCTCCGGGGCCCTTTTCGACATCGCTCTTATCTCCATACAGCTCCGTGCCTAGACTGATCCAACCTCTCACGGAATCCTCAGCATGGCTCAGGATCTTCTCGTCTTGCGGGACGCCCTTGTCCAGTCCCTCCAGCTCCAGGTCCTCTTTCCTAGTCGCAGCAACCTGTATGTCAGCATTGCGCATAACTTGCAGCATCGCGCGTGCGTTGAGGCGAAGCACGCGGTCGGGTTCCTTCGCACCGAAGACTTTTGTTGTAACCCAGGGGAACAGGACACCAAAATCGGATTGCGACAGATGCGCCGAGGCAATAGGGTAGAAGATGTGTGGGCCTGGCTGGTTGGGGTACTTTGCTGAGGAACCGGTAGGCTTGGAAACAATGCGCTTCGTGTCGTTCAAGTTGGACGACCATTTGTAAAACGCCTCGGATAGAATGGAGAGCAGGTTTGAGCCACCGGCAGGTGAGTCGTAGCATGGCATGGGCTTGTTGCGCAGCCAGGATGTCGCCGGACTCTGGATTGGGAGCGTCCAGAGGTCGAGGAGCATGACGGTTGTCTGCGGGGTGATTTGCCGGACAATGCTTGAATCTTCCACGGGAGTAAAGAGCGGGCGGTAAGACTTGACGTTTGTCGCGCTATGATAATAGACAGACTTGATGTATTGAACAATGGTCGCTCCGCCGAAAGAGTGCCCTGCGAAAGCGATTTTTCCCGGTTCATGGATGTCCAGCAGGTGGGAGAACATGGTGAGCATATCCTTCCCACCCGTCTTCTTTTGATCTTCCGCAACGTTCTTAAGCGGTGTCCGGTTGTCAATTTTAAGAAGGGCGTCGTGGATCAGGCCCATTTCCCAGAGACGTATGCGCAGCTGCTCGTCTCGCGACTCATACACCTCTGTAGATGCTTGGTGCGGTACCTTCTTATATTCTACCTTCTTTATCTTCTCCTTCTCTTCAGGAGTGTTCACAAACGAAACAGGACAACTTCCGTCCCTGTGCTCCGGTGCAATGACTACAACGCCGTGGCTCGCCAGCGAGCCGCAGATATGCGAATATGCGTTTCGTGACCCTCCAAGTCCGTGTGAAAACATCATGACAGGCCATCGTTTCGATTCGGTCGGCGGCTCGAGGACATTAGCGTTGTGATGAACGGGAATCGTTATGAAGTACAATAATTGCGGGAGCGTTCTGCAGCGAGTTAGCCCAAGGCTCCAAACGATGGTTTGGGTTGTCTCTACTCACGCAAACAAGCCTGCCATTGCGTTGCCCGCGCCCAGGAACTTGGCGTAAGAGCTCACAACCTCCTTCTGCGGGCTCGGTATCCATCTGACGCCTTTCTGTTCGCTTTCTGGTCGCGCTGGGTAGAACACACGAAAAGAGACTGTAGACAAGTTCGTAGATGGGCTGCTCGATCGTCCTGGGCTTTCCAGTTGGCTTGCTGGAATCTCTACATCGACCGAGCCAACTTTGTACGGCCCTGTGAAAGAAGGAAAGGATGGTGTGGGGTTGATCTTGTCGAGAAAGGTCATATTCGGTATCGGTGCCTTGCGAGGCAGGCGCGAGATAAGGGATCTAGAGAGTTGTAAGAGCGACAGTGTGACGGTTTAGCCTGCACAATCGGTGTCGAAGACAGTGATTGAAAGTAAGAGTATATTGTGACCCTAGAGACAGACAGTATGTGCACACACGACAGCGGGAGACAGGCAATAAGAGACACGCGAGCACGCGGGTGACGAAATCGAAAATAAGCAGCGCCACAGGCGTGGGCGCCACTAACGCAGGAACTGAGAGATTGGGTCCGACGGCACGCGACCATGTCTGACTGCAAAACTTGGCAGTAACGATGGTATGTCGACTATCGTCGTAGCAGTGTCGCAGAGTGTTTGACAAGTTGTTCCGCCGGCTTCCATGCACTTCGAGTGCCGAGATAATGACCTATGGATTGCAAACCAGAGTTTATAATTCTTCCTGTGACAGAGGGAGGCACGCCTCGTTGGCGTTGTCAGAATGCATAGAAAGGCCGAAAATATGTCGTGTGCGATCGGCGTTGCCGTTGTACCCTGGTTTACGATGACGTCGGGCCGAGGCTTGAAACCACGCTAGCCGATTCTAGAATTGCCCTTGAATGGGCCATGGAAATGCACCATGGTACCATACAGTGCAGTATATCGTGTTTTGATATGCGAATAATTATCAATATAGACTTGTTTTTTTTTCGTTTTAAGTTCGAGTCCTTCGGTGGCGTTCAGCGTGTCGCAGCAGTTGGCTTAGCTAAACTCTTGAAGGTTACGACAGATACTGTGACTTGGGACTCTGTGATAGGCTCTGTTGTGTAAGTGAAGCAGCCCGAGTTATGCTAAGTTGAGACTTGTATAGTATGCTTTACGTCTACTGCGCATGGATTATCCGGCATGTGCACCTGCTGACAGCGCTCTCCCATCTGATCTGTCGAGACGTGTAAAGGAAGATGCTGAACATGACCGACGACGTAGATATGATTAGAGGAGAGTGAATCCCATAACCGACTGCAAAGCCCTGCAACTATTGACTCTGATAAGCTTCGTCGCGGTGTGATTAAGAACATCTTAGGCTCTGCTGCACGGACCAAGCCCCTCAAAATCCTGAACACATCGATTCAGAATATCACAGGAACGATTCATGACATTCTAGGCTAAACTGCCATACCGACGTCGTGGTTCCACGTGAAAGACCCGTCAAACCCCCACCATTCCGGAACCCTGAGCCGCGGTTCGCTAGGTGCCATCGATAAGACACCAGCCAAGCCTTGAACAACACAGCACCGCAGCAATAGTCGCCCTGCGGCGCACCGACCGCGCGCCTGCGTAACCTATCTCTTAGCGCGGATACACATCTTCGTATATTTGCTTTGTTATACTCCTGCACAGTACCGCGCAACATCCTCGCGTTGCAACATCATGGGCCGGCCCCGGAAAGAAAGTAATGCATCGAGTCGGAGCGGTGAGGAGACGGCGAGAGTAGGTATGGGTTGAACACGTGAGGATAGGAATGTGCTAAAAGGAGCCAGGAACTGGGTAGCATGTACGACTACCTTGCAAAGATTATACTGCTGGGACCGAGCGGTGCTGGCAAGTATGTCTCCCCTCTTTCCCCTCTCCTTGCAAGTACCGGTCTGCCCAACGATGGTGCTGATTGAGTACGAAGGTCATGCATGCTTCACCGCTTCGTCAACTCGTCCTGGAAAATCCTCTCCTCGCAGACCATTGGCGTTGAATTCGCCTCGAAAATCGTGCACATCCACCCCCGCGACCCTTCCCGTGGCACGCGCAAGCGCATAAAGCTGCAGCTCTGGGATACCGCCGGGACAGAGCGCTTCCGCTCCGTCTCTCGATCTTACTACCGCGGCGCAGCGGGCGCGATACTTGTCTACGATGTTTCGAGCTGGCGGTCTTTCGAGGGGCTGAGGACGTACATGGAGGATGTACGCGCACTCGCGAGCCCAGACTGTACCATGATACTCGCGGGAAACAAGATGGACGTTGCCGAGGAAGGAGGAGGGCGTATAGGAGGGAGCTCGTCTGCGAGCAGTTACAGCGATGGCCTTGATTCCGCAGCCGCATCGGTTTCCTCGCGCTCGACGATCCCCGCGCTAAGTCACTCCAAGGCTACGGTTGCGCCCGAGGGCCGCGAAGTGCCTTTCGACACGGCGAGCCGCTGGGCGGGGCAGAACGGCATCCCGGTTGCCGTAGAAGTATCTGCTTTCTCCGGAGAGAACGTGGACGAGCTATTTGAACGGCTGGCAAGAATGATCCTCACCAAAATTGAACTGGGCGAGATCGATCCGGATGATCCACAGAGCGGCATTCAATATGGCGACATCGGCGGCTGGGGCATTGACGACGGGAATGAGAGCATCAGGAGCAGAGGTGGAAGACGCGGCGGTGGAGGCAACGGTCAATTAAGAGAATGGGAAGAGGTCTTCAGGTTAAGTGGAAGTACTGGGAGAAGGAAGGGCTGTTGTTGAGGCATCGCAAAGAAGCCGTATTGAAGAGTCGTACGAAGTTGAAGCTGGCTGGAGTGGTCTTTTCGAAATCTGGAAGCATTGCAGTTGGATTGCGAGCGTTGCATCTCGAGTGGCTTTCATTCGCTTTTGAGCGACATACCCATTTTCCGTTTCTTGTGGTTTCTTATATGCTATCGAGGTGTACAGCGGATCGATCGATACATAATCTAATTCCTAATCTCGTTTGTCCTCAGTCCGTACTTCAATTTCTCAATAGTGCTTGCCCCCGTGCATTGAGAGGCGCCTTCCAGGAGAAAGGCACCTTCCGTGAGATGCCCAGATCCGCGCTAGATATAGAAAGGCCATAAAATACAGCGCCTTCAATCTACCTCTATATTTACCAACGAGCCTTAAATCTCCTCTACGCGCTATTGTGTGCATAAAGCTCCAACGGGAATACATGCCAACGGATCCTCTAAACCTGTCCGTCTTAAGTCGTCGACCACCTCCTCGACTGTGCCCGCTCAACCACCTTCCCTTGATCAACATACTTCGTACAAAACCCAAAAGTCAACAACGCCTTATCCACATCCACCCAATCTCGCTGATCTGCCCGCGTCTCAGCCCAATCAGGATCACCCAAAATCACGTCAATAAGATCCACACTTGGTAGCGTGTACTCTATAACACAGTCCTAGCCCGCGATTTCCCAGTTCGGTTTCAAGACTGCCATGTTCTCTGGAAAGGGATCAATGAAGGTGGCTGGGGTGTCGAACTGGGTTGGGAGTTAACAAGATGAGCCAGCCATGAGGGGGTTCCCTGAACCCTGAGATAATCGAGAGGGAACTTACAAGAACGTAGTCCACAACACCGTGTTTCTCGAACACGGGAAGCGCTTTGGGGACGTTCACGGTGGTAATCCAGGTCATGAAGGCGTCGTGGGTGACGCCGGCTTTGCGGTAGTGGATAAGTGTGAATTTGACCGGTTGGGGTTCTTGCGTGGTAGATTCAGCCGTGGTTTCGGATCCTGCCTAGGAATTGAAGATCGAAGGGAGGATAAGAAGGAGATTTTTGTAAGTAAGCGCGAGGTGTAGTTGTGGTTCGCGCCCCGTCCCTGCATGTGCCGGACTTGCTTCGCACTTATGCATTTTGATGCCTGAAGTGAGGTCCTGGAGTCGCTCGACAGCGTCTAGTTTGGTTATGTGGGGGATGAAGGTTCACGAGTACGCGATTGGACGCGACTTCTTAGCTGTTGATATAAAGCCTCTAGAAACGCATTGGCGTATTAGTGCAATGAAAGGATAATTTGGCGATAGGCCAATGAACCTTGGACGATACACGCCGGTCAGGTCTGACTGCATCAACGGCTGCACATTTGTCTTCATACACGTCACCCAGAGGGTGCAGCTATTCACAAGTCCCTCGCATGTTCAAAGCGGTGCACTATCACTGTAGTAGAAGAATATATTCAAGGGAAAGCACGGATATATACAGTGCGATGCGTGCTAAGGTAACAAGCAAGGAAATATAGGAACAGCAACGAAGTGCCTGTGGTATCCAACATGAACATCACAATGGGAAAACACATCTTTGTACAACCTCCCCTCCTCAAGGCTCGGCCATGTTCTGCAATGGCACATACCCAGCCTCTTCCCTCCCCCTCTTCCTTGCCGCGATAGTCTCCTTGACCCACTCCACGGCCGTGCTGAAGAGACCCATCTTCGCGAACCCTAGCCTCTCCGCCTCCTTCTCGTTCTCTGGAATCTCAGCAGCAGGGTCCAGCTTGGACAACTTCATCCACGAAGGCCGCTTCCAAAATCTCAATTGCAGCGAGCTGACAACCACGGACACGGAGGAGCAAGCCATTGCTGCGCCTGCGGCCATCGGGTGCAGGCTGAGGCCCCAGGGCAGGAAGAAGCCCATGGCGAAGGGCAGACCGACAACGTTGTACATGCACGCCCAAGCGAGGTTCAACTTGATGCGGTTGAAGATGGCTTTGCTGAGGCAGAGGGATGCAGGGATGGCGAGGAGGTCGGTGGTGCTCATGAGGACGATTGAGGCGGCTTCCATGGCGACGTCCGTGCCAGTTGAGAGGGCGATGCCGATGTCTGCTGATGCGAGGGCCGGCGAGTCGTTAATGCCGTCGCCGACCATGGCGACTACCTTGCCGCGGGACTGGAGATCTGCGATGATGGCTTTCTTGTCGGCGGGCTTGGCGGAGGCATGGACATCTTCAGGGTCGATGCCGACTTGGGCTGCGACGACGAGTGCGGACGATGAAGTGTCACCAGTGACGATGGAGGCGGTCATACCCAGGCGACGAAGAGCCAGAACAGCAGCGCGAGCGGAAGGCTTGATCGTGTCAGAGAGGGACAGAGTGCCAGTGTAGTCCTTGTCGATAGCCGTATGAATCGTCGTAATACCTGCAGAGCGCGTTTGAGTGCCCGCCCTGGGGTTCGCGGATCGTGTAGCAGCGGGAGTGAGAGGTTCGTCGACGAAGTCAGGGACATTGACACCCACAGACAGGAGATATTCAGCGTTCCCGATATAGACACGGTAACGGGTGCGATCGCGTGACAATGCAGCTTCGACATTGGCAGTGATACCTTTACCAACAATGGCTTCGAAATCACCTACAGAACCATCGAGGTGGCCGTCAGGACCGAGGCGCAAGTTCTCCTTCGCAGACCCGACGATAGCCTTTGCGATAGGATGCTCGGAGCCCATCTCAGCGAGACCGATAAGCGTCCACCACAGATTCTTCTTTGCATCGGTACCCCATTCGCCCTTGATGTCGGCCTTGGAGACACTCATCTTTCCTACCGTAAGGGTACCAGTCTTGTCGAAAATAACATGGTTGACCTTGGTGGCGGTCTCCAGAGCAGCACCACCCTTGACGAGAATGCCCTGCTCGGCGCCCACACCAGTGCCGACCATGACAGCGGTAGGTGTTGCCAAGCCGAGAGCACAAGGACAAGCGAACACGATGACGGCAATGCAAAGTTTGAAACAGACCATGAGCTTGCCACCGCTTGCATGGTCGAGGAAGACCTTTGGTGGGTAGGGGAGAACGTGACTGAGCACCATCCAGGCAACGAAAGTGGCCAGGCCAAGGGTGATAATAACGGGTACGAAGTATCCGGCCACAGTATCGGCCAAACGTTGGATAGGAGCGCGACTTGTCTGAGCTTCTTGCACAAGACGCACGATCTGACTGAGTTGTGTGTCACGTCCCGCACGCGTGACGATGAAGTCGACCCGTCCGGCGCCGTTGACGGTACCTGCAATGAGTAGAGTGCCCTTTTTCTTGAGAATCGGTATGGCTTCACCAGTGACCATGCTTTCGTCCACGTATGACTCTCCATGAGTGACAGTGCCGTCGGCCGGAATCTTGTCGCCTGGCCGGAGGATAACCACGTCGCCAACTTCGATAAGTTCGGTGGCAATGACCTTCTCCTCAATAGCGTTGCCGTCCATAGATTGGCGTGAGTGCTTTTCTTCTACAACATCCCAACCCTCAGCAGCCTTAGCAGCTGCAATAGGGTCAGCATAGATCGTAGCCATTGACGGAGCCAAAGACATGAGCTTGGACAATGCCTTTGAAGTCCGGCCCTTCGCGCTGTTCTCGAGATAACGGCCAATGGAGATGAATGTGATCAACATGGTGCTGGTATCGAACAAGGTCGTTGGCTTTGAATGAGGCGGGATGAGCAGAGACACAAGCATCGAGGCGCAGCTGAAGAAGAATGCAGCTGAAGTTCCCAGAACAACCAAGACATCCATCGTAGGCGAGCCATGGCTGAGGGACTTGTATGCCGAGACATAAAACCGCTTGCCGATACCAAATTGAACAGGAATGGTAAGACCTAGGCAGACGACGTCACCGAGGTAGAGACCAGGCATGATACGGAAGCTTCCGTAGTCGAGGAAAGGGAGGAACATTGGAAATAGCATGCTCGTCAGGAAGACGGGCACTGCGAAGCAAGCAGAGATCTTCACTGCTCGTTTCCACTCCATTATCTCCTTGGTCTTGGCGAGTGATTCCAGTTGAGCGTTGTTGTCGTCAGAGTCGGAAACGATGGCGTTGTATCCTGCAGCTTCGATGGCCTCGACCGTCGCTCGCAGGCCGATGATTTGTGGGTCTCGCTGAATGACCGCTCGCGACGTGCCGTAGTTGATTGTCGCAGATTTGACACCGGGCCGTTCTCGGAGCAGTGCTTCGAGCTCCTCCGCTGCATTCTGGTTTGGCAGCCCGTATATCTTCAGCTGGATGGGCCCGTCACTTGGTGAACCTCGTTGCACGCTTCCGTCGACGGATGATAGCACCCTGGCGTCGAATCCTCGGTCCTCAATGATCTCCACTATTTGCTCCGCTGTAAGCTTCGCCGGATCGTGGACCAACACTGCACGGTTCGCGAGCAAGCTAATGTTGAACTGGTAGACACCCTCCACGTCCTTGAAGCCACTCTCGATGGCCGAAGTGCAGGCGCCGCAAGTCATGCCTTCGACATCAACTGTCGTCGTCAAGGTCTTGTTCTTCTTGTCCTTTTTACTCCGTGGCCGTTCCGATACCTGAGCCACTGTGTCCAACACCTTCGCATCGAAACCTGCATCTTCGATCGTCTCAGCTAGCGTTGCCGGCGATATTAAACTCGTGTCGTGTTCAATTACGGCGCGCTCGGAGAGTAGTGATATGCTGAAACTCCTGATGCCCGCAACGTCTTTGAAGGCACCCTCCACGGCTGACGTGCACGCGCCGCATGTCATGCCTTCCACTGAGAGCGTTGTAGTCGCAATTGAAGTTTCGGCTCCTTCGTCCTCGTCTTCTGAGTCGCTCAGAAAGTCCTCCGGCGCAGCCAGCGGGACGTCTGACGAGATGACTTCGGCGTCAAATCCTCGGTCTTCTATTATTTCCGCAACCTGGTCTGCCGATATGACCTCCGGGTCGTGCTGCACCACGGCGCGCTCCATAACTAGACTGACAGACACGCTGCCCACTCCCTTCATACCCTGGAAGCCCGATTCCACCGAGGATGTGCATGCGCCACAGGTCATGCCGCCGACCTTGAGGGTTGTAGTCGCCATGTGCACCGTTGCGGCGCTCGCGGGCGCTGTCGGGGGCGCCATTATGTACAGAGAGAATCAAATATTATCGCGAAAGAGGAACGGATTCGAAGGCCTATCCCGAGGGAATCCCGCGTTGGTAAGCGGCGGGGGAAGGCGGCTGACCTCGTGAGGCGGTCGTCGAAGGGGGTGCCGGGCGATGCGAAGGCGTGCTACCGCATGCAGCAAAATGGCGCCGAGGAATCAATAAATACAGTCCGGCGCTCGGTCGGGTCGGCAGATGTAGAAGACCAGCTTCCTTATAACAATGCCAGATGTCTTGATGATACCGCTGCAGTGGGATCCGGCAACCGATCTGCAGCCACGAATGGGGCCGTCGAGGGAGGGTTGGGCGCTAGAGGACTATAGGCTGTTGGCTGAAGGATCCGGGCTCGACTCAAGCCACCAGCTGATGGCTGCTTGGAAATGCTCACTTTGTTGCTGACGACCGACCAGCGCTCACAGAGCGATAGAGAGGAAGAAAACGAATGTCGAGGGCGGGATTAATGTTGTTCTTCTGCCGTTTCGCTTTCGCGGGAGGACGATGTTTCACACTTGGCACTCCACTGAAACTAGGAACCGTTTGAGCCTGACACTTGTGGACATGCAACGAGCTAGCTCCGCACCTGCGCGTTCCTGGCGTTTACTCTTCGCACTTTCTAGGCGCACAGCAGGTTCTCGCGAGGCCGAGTTCTTTGTACTGAGTAGAATCCTATTCTCTATTGAAACCTGCATACAGGTACGGTGACGAGCGAATACGAAGCCACCACACGAGCTCATCTGCGTGTGACGACGCCCATGCACCAAAGCCGATAAAGACAGATGTCCAGAACACGACGAGTGAAGATGCTGTCCCTGACTAGCAATGTGCGTGCGAATCAATGAAACTCGGTGATAGCGTGCGCGGACCTGGCTATCCAGGTCCGCGTCCACGTGACGCACGAGCACTTTCCGTGAATGGTTCATTGCCTAGCCGTCCTTATCGATAGGGCCTTCTTGGCATACAGCTGCCTGTTGACTACCAGAGTACATTCACACCCCGCCACAGCTTCATTTGCAGTTCCCCCCAGCGTTTTCTACACATCTCGCCTAATTACAATAAGACACTAATTGCACATCAGTCGCAATGGAACAGACTAAAGCGCTCAACGCGCTTGAGCCTTTCCTCGCCCTCAGCAAGTCAGCAAGTTCCCCTCGAGCAGCTAGCGACCTTGTCACGCAAGCTACCTCTGCGCCAAACACATTCGTTTTTGCCGAGCTTATACACACGCCCAACATCCAGAAGCTCCGGGAGTCCCAAGAGTACGCGACATATCTCACACTGCTGGAGATCTTTGCGTGGGGAACATGGACAGACTACAAAGGTATGTATCTCATTGAGGGGCTATAACATCCGTGCTAATGACAGTCAGGACGCACCGACCTCCCCAAGCTCTCAGAAAAGCAGCACGAGAAGCTCCTCATGCTGTCGCTGCTCCCACTAGCCCGCTCACACGCCACCCTCACATACCCCGCGCTCATGTCCGCATTGGACCTCCCCACCCCGCGCGCCCTCGAACAACTCCTCACAACCGCCATATACGCAGGCCTCCTCACCGCGACCCTCGATCCCGCACACTCCGTCGTCTCGGTCACCAGCGTCGCGCCCCTCCGAGATCTCGCGCCGGGCTCGCTCCCCGCGCTGCAGGCCACCCTCGCCAGCTGGTCGAACCGCTGCGACTCTGCGCTTCAGGACTTGGAGCTGCGTGTCGCGGAAGTCAGGAAAGCTGCGGTGGAGCGCGAGATGCTGAGGCGGAAGAAGGAGCGCGCGTTGGAGGTCATGCTGTCGCTGAGCGAGGACAAGGGAAAGGGCGGTGGCAAGGCGCGAGATGAGGGGTACGAGGATGCGATGGACATCGATGACCAAGGCGGGAGTGGACGCCAGACGAGGGGCACCAAGAGGGGCTTTGCGGGTGGGTTCTCTGGACTGGGGAAGAGGCTGGGTTGAGAGGTGCAGGCGGAGCATCACGTTTATGAGCTACGACACGACTGGCATGGAAGATGGTCCCAGCTGGCACAGGTGCTCTCGAGCGGCATACACGAAGCGTTCGTTGCGCCGAATCGATCGGATTATGATTACTCCAAGCAATGCATTTGCAGGCGTTATGCACACATGGAGCACTAGGGCTAAGCGCTACACTCAGATACCATCCTGAGGAAGAAATAGTGGTACAGTCGAATACACCATCTTCTGGAAAGAATCACTGCAGCATTGTATCTACCGAGATCCTGTATCGCGTTGCATTCTGATGCACATTCACACAAGCAAGAGCAGACTGACTTTTTACCACGGGAACAAAGCCATCACATTCATTCTCTTGAAAAGTTTGTCTCTTCATTATCACTATGCCGTGCCCATGCTTACCAAATATGCCGAGGCCGAAATCTATGCCATGTGCGCCCACTCAACCAACAAGATAACAATGATGTGACGATGATAGCCGCTCGCACGGATCTCACTGCCGTGTAGATCCGCTGCTCCTACATGGGCGTATCCAAAACCCACGGGCCCAAGAACGCCTCGAGAACGCCATGCAGTGCTTCAAGTATGTAAAATCGAGGTGGCGGGTGGACCGGTATGGAGGGGTGTCGTTTGCGCGACGGACAGGTGGGTGCTGAATGGGACGACGCTTGGAATGTGGGTATTGTATTGTTGCGTTGCGAGACGGCGACCGGAATCGAGGACTACACTGGACCGGGGGCGGGCTGCTCATGCGGGGGCAACAGGCGGGTAGGGCTGCGAGGGTGCCGATGGGCCCTCCGACATGGCATCGAAGCCCGCGATGTCGCCGGATATGGTCGGCGAAATGCCGAGATGCTCGATGCTGTGCTCGCCGCGCTCCTGCGCGTCCTTGAGGTACTGCTCCCACTCTGGGTCCATGGGCGCGTCCTGGCCCTGCTCCCGCAGCGCCGCGGCCTGCAAAAGCCGCTGGTTGAGCGCGAAGCCCACGCTCTCGTCCAACACCTGCTCGTTGTCGCCGTCATCTTCGTCCTCGCTCGAGTCCTGCATCTCTGTGTCGACGGGCCGCACGGAGTCGGTGATTTCGGTGGAGGATGGCACCTCTTCGATCTCGACTTCGATGTCGGTTTTGACGTTGATGCCGTTCCGTCTTCGTGAGGAGGTGGTTCGCCGCCGGTCAACCCACTCCCCGATCTCCATGCCCGTCGTGTCCCGTACCTTGACGCCCTCGTCGCGCTCGTACCGTTCCCGCGCCCAGAGTGTGCCTTCCCATCTGCAGAAGCCCTGGATCTCGCTGTCGGTGAGGTTCAGTCTGTCGAAGGCGTCGAATAGCTTTTTGTGGTGCGGGAAGCGGCCGAGGCGCTTGCGGTGTGGTGCATGTGCGTAGTTGAGGCCCGGGTATCGCGCTTCGATGGTGTCGAGAGAGCCGTAGAAGGTGGCGGTTTCAATGCGGACCTCACCCACAAGGTTCTTGGAGAGATGTGCTGAGAAGGAGGGCGGGTCGTTTGGCGAGGGATTAGGGAAGAGCGCGTTGTACACGAGGACGGAGATTGGGTTCTTTCGGTGCATAGCTGTGGCGTGGGAGAGCGCGCCGCTCTCAGGATCCGCCTGGGGGTGTGCAGTCGAATTTGCGTGGTGCTACGTTCCACTCTGAGTGATGTCGCGGTCCAGCCAGCAAGCTGACAGCGTGTTCGGTGTTCTGATCGTGACTCGTACGGGCCGTGACTCGAGGAAACAGGCAGAAGAAGTAGTAAGCTGCTCGGTGGCGCCTCCCTTTTCTTGAAAAAAAGCACCAAAAGTCGTCCCCTGCTTATTCTCGGGCGTGACAATGCGCAGTTGACCGTTTGCAAGGCGCCGAGGTTGGACGTGGTCCAATGGTGATGCTCAGCTCGATTGTCAGCCGCTGCGTGCAAGGCTGCCAGGTGACCTGAGCAAGGGTTCCACGAGACTTGAAGACTGGCAAAAAGTGCGGCGCGGGCAGAGTGGCTACTTAAGGTCCGGGGAGATTGGCAGTTTGTGGATCGGCCAGTTTCGAAAGGAGGAAGCTCGGGAGGGCTAGAAGGGGCGTTTTGCTGGTCCCTCAAGATGTGGAGGCGGGAATCTGCAAGCGTCCGGAAGGGTGCCGGGGACGTGATGTGCGGCGAAGTCGAGCCACGGGGCGAGGACGGGCAAGCAGCAGAACGGGGAGCGCAACGCACAGGGGCACAACGGTCAACTTAAGCAGCAGCGCGCTGGTCTCACCGCCTCGTCTCGCTCAAATTAGTCGACAGGACGCCGGAGTCGAGCAGCCATGGATCCTCCGACTGCAGTGCATCCCAAGCATACATGGACCGGGGCGCGACAGGTCCCTGCTTGTCCATGCCTCCACCCGCGGCCCATTCACACACGTCGCGCGCCAGGTGGGTGCTGCGTCCTCTGTCTGCGCTGTCACCACCGTGAGTTGTTTTGCAGTAATGCACGCGCGAGCCGCCAATCGCCGACTGCCCTGCGTACTGGATTATCAAGTCGGCCTGAGGCGCGGGCTCTTGGTTGGCTCTTGGTGGCTGCCCGCGTCTGCACGTGGACGGAACCTCGACGGCGCTGCTGCAGGCCAAGCGCACGCTCTCGACATTCGCCGGGCCCTTGAAGGCGACGGTGGCCTGCACCAGCAAGGCTTTCCTGTTGTTGTGCGTGGGAAGTGCCGCATCTGATCGTAGCTTCGGGCTGCGGCGTCGCGCTGTGGTGTTTCAACCAGCATGGCAATCGCGACCCAGCCCCATCCGAAAGTGAGTGAGATGCGCCCTACTTCCGGCCTAGATCGGGAAGCCGCCTCCCGCCCGCCCCTGCCCATCACTCGCCACTCGCTCGCCTCGCATCCAAGCGCACACCCCGGCAAGCTGCCCTCGCCGCCTCGGTCAACCTGGCACTTTGGGCTTCCCTGGACGGATCACGTACTACCGCATTCGGTAGCTCTGCCAGTTGTGTTCCGCTTCCTCGATTCTTGGGTTGCCATGATCCGGTCACACGGTCCCGGCGAGCATGTCAACCTTCAAAGGCATCGTCGCCGAGTTCCCTCAGATCCGGATCGACTACTTCAAGCATCAACCAGAACACAGGGCGCCTTTAGCTTGCTTCTTGAGCCATGTGCATAGTGATCATCTGATCGGGTTGGAGTCGTTACGGGCGCCATTCGTGTATTGTTCGGCCGCGACTCGCGAGGTAAGGAATTGCATCGCTGCGCCTTCCAAGCTCACTTTGGAGCCATGTCCCGACTTGGCAAAGTACAAGCCATTGCTTCATCTGTTCAAGTTGGAACATGTTTATGGTTTGGTCGATTGACGTATACATGGTTTCTATAATTTACTTTGGGACCCAACCACTCATGATCACGTGCTGACACACTCTAGGTATTGCTCCGACTGGAAAAATATCACTACCGGATCAACTTTGCGCAGGGCAAACTCGAAAGCAGAAATGTGACTTACGACAGGAGCATGCGCAGATTGGCAAAGCCACTGCCCCTCGATACACCTACGACCATCGAGCTTGCCCCAGGAAACAACATCCAGGTGACCCTCGTCGACGCCAATCACTGCATTGGTGCGGTCATGTTCCTCATCGAAGGTGATGGTAAGGCCATCTTATATACTGGCGATACAAGAGCGGAGATTTGGTGGGTCAATACACTAGTGCAGAACCCAATCCTGCTGCCCTATACCCTTGGCCCTCGACGACTAGACTGCATGTACTTGGATACGACATTTGCAACTAAATCACATCCCTACCGCGAGTTTCAATCGAAAGGAGAGGGTATCAAAGAGCTACTGGGCAAGATCTCGAAATACCCAGACGACACCATCTTTTACTTCCACTCATGGACTTTTGGATATGAGAACGTTTGGATAGCTCTGTCTGCATTTCTTCGATCGAGAATCCACTTGGATAGTTATAGGGCCGGCATCTATGGCTCGTTGTCAAGTCTTGACAAGAAGTCTCTTCGAGAAGTAGGCCTCCATGTCACCTTTGACAACAAATTCCTCCGAGAGAGTGGGTTGGACATTCGAGAAGCGCCTGCGTTGTGTGGATTCCGGAATGGCAATCGTATGCAGCCAGGCTGCTTGACGTCTCAGCCCAGCGTGCGCATTCATTCTTGCGAACGTGGAATGGGCTGCCCGGTCCTTGATCATGACAAGGTAATCCCCACGTTCGCATTATTCGACTGATTTGCGCCATTAACCGTCATACTTTAGAACGCTAGTGTGGTTCATATTATACCGATCGTGACGCGAGTCAAAGGCAGCAACGTTGAAATAGCTGAGCTAGGCGCAGGAGGCGGCAAAGGCGATCTGGATCAAAAAGAAGAACTCGAGACCGGCAATGCAGCCGACATTAACAAGATCATTGAGCTGTGCGCCAAGACTATCAAGGACGAAACCCTCCTGTCCAAGTTGTCGAACGTATTACAGGAAGCACTTAAAGAGCGCAATGGAACGATTGATCTTGATATGGATTTGCAAAAGGAAAGCCCGGACAAGAAGCCAGAACTTTCGCTTGAGCACCTGGCTTCAGTTCTCTCAACGCGTTTGAACAAGTCCCAGGACGCAGAGCCACCTCTGAACAAGTATGTAATTGACGCCATATTTCTTGCCCTCCATTGCCCGTACTACAGTAGTCATCATACCGAAGGTGAATTCTGACGTACGCTGTTTAGAACAATCCGCTTTCCTTACTCTCGTCATTCCTCCTTCGCAGAACTATGCAGCTTAGTCGATGCGTTCAAACCCAAAGACGTCTTCCCCTGCACTGTGAATGAGAACAAATGGGATCCTGAGCTTAGCATGCGGTACCTGTTTGGGCCATTCTGCTCAGGCGATACCTTCCGCCATGATACCGAGATGATGAAGATTTACGAAGCTAGATTGGAGCAGGAAAGTTACGAAAGACGCGTGCAGAGTGAGAGTCAGAGTGAGACGCAAAGCAGTCGCGGAGGGACTGCCAGCCCTCATGCAAATCACCACACTATTTCCAAACTGGACGGAGAAGGCGAAGACGAAGGCGTGGGGTCAGATGGACGTACTGGAGACTCTGGAGCCTTTCGGGCGCCAGCAGATGTTCTGGTTCTGCATGAAGACACGGCGTTTGTCTCAGAAACGGTAGCTCCACCCACAGGCCAGGAGCGGCATCGCAGCGCTTCGCCGGCAGATCAGGCCGAAGGCGAACAAGATACAACGGTCACCGACAACCTTGAGCTACCATCAACTCTCCAAGACACACCATTCGCCGCCGCCAAACGGCCTGCCAGCGAAGCGTCTAATGAGCCTAACGAGCACAAGCACAAGAGACTCAAGAATTGGCGAATAGCATACGAAGCAGCCCTGGGTCTCAACGGCCTGACATGGGCTGACTACGGTGGTCTCGTCTCGGCGCGACCAGAAACCGAAGAGGAAGAGCTGGGAACCGAGGCATAGCATTTGGGAAGGCGTTTTGGTATGATACCCATTGTTTTCAATCCCGCTAGGAGATCTATGCACATGCATTGCTGCAGCATAAAATAGTATTTACAACAAACCGAAAAATTTCTCAACCACTCAGCCACTGTTTCCACGCTTAGGGCAAAGGTCCCGGTGCACTCCCTCTAGTTGCGCTGTTTAAACCAAGATGCTGCAAAGGCCGTTGTACGCATCCTTAGCCTGGAAGTTAGCATCGAAAAGCAGCGGGTTGCTGCCCTTGATCCAAGAATCCTTGTCGCTGACACCCCACACGGTAACACCCACGCAGTTCTTAATGTCTAAGCACGCCGTAACAGCAGTCTTGTAATCGCTGACGGCAGCGCCCTTGATGTCGAGCTCGGTCATCGCACACTCGCTTGCAGAACCACAGAGCAGCTTCAGCGCGGCGGGGTAGTCCGAGATGGGCCAGACACCGGACAAGTGCGACTGCGAGCCGATGCCGTCGATGGGGACACCGGCGGCAACCCATTTCTTGACGTTGGCGGCCATGGCCTTGGTCTTGGCGTAGGTTGGGGAGTCGAGGTTGTAGTCGTTGATGTAGAGCTTGGCAGCAGAGTCAGCGGCGCGGGCGGTCTTGAAGGCGGTGGCGACGAAGCCCTCGCCGAGGACATTGTAGAAGACAGAGGAGCGGAAGCTGCCGTCTTCGCTGAAGATCTCGTTGACGACGTCCTAGGTGGCGGGTTAGCAGGTCTTCTGGGAATTTCATAGGAAGGGGAAGCTTACCCAAGCGTAGACCTTGCCCTTGTACTTGCCGATCACGCCCTGGATGTGCGAGATCATGACCTTCTCGAGGGTCGCCTTGTCCGTGATGGACGAGACCCACGTCGGCAGCTGCGAGTGCCACACGGTGGTGTGCCCGCGCACCAGCTTCGCGTTGTCCGTCGCAAACTTGACAAGCGCGTCCGAGCCAGAGAACGTAAACTTGCCCTGAGTCGCCTCAGTGGCATCCCACTTCATACTGTTCCCTTGCATTAGCGTTCGACTCGAACCAGCAGCACAGCAACGACTCACGAGTTCTCAGGCGTCACCTGCCCAAAGTTGTCCTTGATGACCTGCGCATTCTGCGCATTGCTTAGCGTGCCCTGGTCCGCAGCAACGCCGATGTACTTCTTGCCCTTGGCCTTGAACGCCTCGTTGATGGAGCACTTGGCGCCGTTCGCCCCGCTGCCGGCGACGTTGCCCTTGGTGGGTGTGGCTGCCGCAACGGAGGACGCGGTGCTCGGCTTCACGACGATGGCGCTGCGCGTGAGCAGCGTGGTGGGCGCGGCGGCTACGGCAGAGCTGGCGACCGGGGCGGCGCTGCTGGGAGCGGGCGCTGCGCTGCCGGCGCCTGGGAGGCACTGCGAGTACCATGGGTTCATTTCCTTGCACTGGGTGCCCGAGGCGCAGGCTTTGTCGCCAGTGAACCCATTACCGCCGCATTGGCCGTAGACGGGGACGGCGGCGAGGACGGCCGAGGTGGAGGACAGGGTGAGGACGGTGAAGTAGAGTGAGTGCATCTTGATTTATCTCTTTCCCGGTGGGACTTGGGATGTAGTCGAAGGGGATCCGGCTCCGTAGAAGAGGGTATTCTGTTTCCGCTGGAAGATGATAGTAGTTCAAGTGAAAGGAACGAAGCAAGCTTCAATGTTCGATGTAGTATGTATGAAGCGAAAGTAATGTGTCGCAAGACGGTAAAGAACGTAACCTCCAAAGACTGAAGACGAAAGCTGAGCGGCAGCTTGGTGAAGCTTGTCTCCCAGCGCGGCAGCGGCCGCTGTATATACTTGTCCATCTCCCGCCCTCATTTCTGCCTACTATTCTTTGCAGCGGGGACCCGCGTCGCAAAGCGCGTCCGCATGACATGGTCTGATTTGAGGAACTTCGTTTCGGCGAGCGATGAAACGACGTCCTGGAGATCATGGAGGGATCCACTACGCTAAGCCTCTTTGGGTATAGGCTGGAGGGTGCGCATTAGGGAGTAGATGGGAGTGTAATGCCGGTGGGTGTTTGTTTGGTTAAGCTAGCAGTGAACTGTGGTGGCGATGATGGGCTTAGCGACCTAAGAGTATAACGTATGTCGGAGAAATGTCGTGTCGCGCGTAATGTTGGGTAGATCTAGGTACATCAGTCACTAGGCTTATGGATACAAGCCTTAGTGATGCTTCTTAGGGCTGAAGCTCGACTTATCTGGCGGCTGTTTTGACGGTTAATCTGACGGTTGCTCGTTCCCGCAAGATTATGTTCTGTTTCTAGATCGATCGTGGCGCTGGCGGTGCTGTTAAGCTGGAACAGGGGTGGGACGTGAAACGCCTATAAGCGCCTATAAACGCCTCGCTAGGGCCCCATCGTGCGGCTCTGCGTTTATTTATGCCGGACGACCACGGCTACCAAAAAAACTAAAGACAAGACAAAACCATGAATGATGTGAGAACAAAAAAGAAGATGGTTAAGAAATTTATTCATTTGCGAGCGTATGGAAGGAAAATCTATGTAACACCCAACCGCAAGCTGACGGCCCGGCGATGCGCTTCTAGTTGTTCGACGCGAGCAAGTTCCATTACCGCGGTACCCACATTTTGCAGGCCTTCATAGGTGAGGTTCGCGCTGGTGATGTGCTTGATATAGGAGCCGAGGTTGACGCCGGAGTATTGCTTCGCATAGCCGAAAGTTGCTGTCCACATGTTAGAGTCGATTATCAGCTACGCTTCAGGGGTCAACTTACGCAGAGAGTGGTTCACGCCCGCCGAGTAGTCACCCACGGACTCGGGCGTCCACTGTCCGACGAAGACGGAGCCAGCGTTCTCGACCAGATCCACAACCCTTTCCGCGTCCTGAACCTGCAAGATGAGATGTTCGGGCGCGTACTCGTTGCTCAATTCCATCGCTTCCTGAATGCTCTCTACTACCAAAGTGAGGCTGTGCTCAATTGCGCCTCTGACAATATCCACGCGTGGTAAAGCGTTAGCCTGCTCGTGGAGCTCGTCCTCGATAGCAGCAAGTTGCTGCTCATTAAGACCCACAGCGATGCAGATAACCTGCGAATCGACGCCGTGCTCGGCCTGACTGAGCAGGTCTGAAGCGACGAACTTAGGGTTTGCGGTCGCATCTGCAACCACGAGGACTTCGCTTGGCCCAGCGGGCATGTCCATGCTGACGCCGGCGTTGGTGTCGTTGGATACAATCATCTTCGCGGCAGTGACAAACTGGTTACCGGGTCCCAAGATCTTGTCGACCTTGGAGATACTCTCAGTACCGTAGGCCATGGCTGCGACAGCTTGTGCGCCACCTGCAAGGACGATAGCTTCGGCACCGACCTTGTGTGCGGCGTAGACAATTTCGGGTGTTACCGAGCCATCTGCACGCGGTGGTGTTGCAAGGACGATCTTCTTGCAGCCAGCAACCAAGGCGGGAACCCCGAGCATGAGCGCAGAGGAGGGTAGGACTGCAGTGCCACCAGGAACGTAGAGACCGACGCGCTCGATAGGGCGTGAGAAGCGTGAGCAGACTACTCCCGGCATGGTCTCAACAACCAGAGGTTTCTCTTCCTTTTGGGCGGCGTGGAACTTTCGGATGTTCTCGAACGAGACGTCAATGGCGCTCGCAGTTTCAGGCGCGAGCTGCATGAGGTGTTCCGGGAATGGCGCCTTCAATACAGGTGATGTGAGTGATGTTGCCTTTTCGAACTTGTGTGTGTACTCCAATACAGCGGCGTCGCCTCGCGTCTTGACCGCCTCTATGATGGGTTGGCATATACCGATGATTTTCTCGCTCGATTTCTGGGAGGGGCGTTGAAGAGCAGCCTGTATCTTTTCGGGTGTTTCTTGCGAGGTGATTATCCGCCTCATGGCTATCCGGCCGTTTATCACGCCTGCTGGGTCGTCTTTGTTCTTTGGTACGGATGCTGCCTCCTTGACTTCCTCCTTGGCCGCGGTTCCGCTTGATGTGCCATTGGTCGCTGCCGCTGCTTGGGCGGCAAATGCAGGCTTAGCATCACCTTGCCTCCTCTTCACCTTGATGCTCTTTGCGTCCAGATTCCGCTCAACGTCCTCCAGTGATACACCAGCTGACACGCACTTGGTCAAGGCAAAGTACAACAGATCAGCCGCTTCGAAAGCGATCTCTTCCTTGGTGTTCGCATCGCACAGCTCGGTAGCCTCCTCAAGGATCTTTGCGCGCAATAGCTGGGAATCGTTGAACAGCCGTGCGGTGTACGAGCCTGCCGGTGCAGACTCCTTGCGGCTCTGGAGGGTCTTTTGGAGCTTGGAGAGCCCGCGATACTCGCCGAAGCAGGTCGGTGTTGCGAGATGGCAGAAACCTAAGGTTTTGTTAATCATGGATCTGTTAATTTCAGCCATTGCACGTGCCTCTGCCCTTTTGCCTGACCACAAACTGCAGGCAGTCGCTGTCGCAGTCAAGCGACATAGAAACCAGCTCTTGGACATCGCCGCTCGACTCTCCCTTGTACCACAAGCCCCTCTTCCGGCTCTGATATACACCCCTCCCAGTCTCGAGACTCTTTGCAACACTCTCTTCACTGCTGTATACGAGCCCGAGCGCAACGCCCCGCTCATCAGTCACCAGTGTAGTGAACAGTCCATCCGGCCGGTCGCTGGTTGCGTTTGCCATAAGCAGCTTTGCGACGCTCAGCAGGCCTGGCCCTGGCTCGGCGTCTACTTTGAGCGCCTGCGCGGGTATGACGGGGATGCCGCCCATCTTGGCTATCTTCACCGCATCCTCCAGTGTTGGGTTCGCGAAAGATACGAAGACCTCGGGCCTCTCCGTCCCGTACTCCTTCAGCCACGCCTCTACCAGCTCAACATCCGCGATCTGGTGCGAGTAGACATCGACCTGGGTCCCCGCTATCGCTTCGATGTTTTCTTCGCGTGTGCTTCCGGGCAGACACAGGACTATCCGGTCCTGGTCGATGTTTTTCTCGAGGAGCTGGGAGAGCTGCGGGCGCGTCACGAAGACCTTCGCGGCGCCGGCGTCGAGCAGCGAGACGATGTCGTCGATGGATTCGAGCGAGGAGACGCCGAGGTAGTTTGTGTAGCGGCCGACGGACTGCTGGAGGTGTGCGAGGGCCTGGTCGACGGTCTCGGGGGTGACACGGGCAAAGACGTTGCCAATGTAGGACAGTTGCTGGGGGCTGAGACCCTGGGTGGGCTGAGCGTAGGTGAGCAGGTCAATTGCGGCGAGAAGAGGAGGCGCCATGGTCGCAACTCTTCCAACAATTGCTATGGGCTGCGAAGAGTAAATGGATGGCGAGACTTGGCTATGACTGTCGAAGAAGTTTTGGAAACTAACATCTGCCCAGATGACGGCAGCTAGTGGCGGGGCACCGATTGCGGCATAATACACTTGTGAAAGAAATCTACCCGCCTCCTAGCGCGTTCCAGGGCCCCTTCCGGCCCGGTGATTACCATCGCTCTGGGCTTGATTTTCGATAACAGCTCCATAGACATGCCGTTTGGCCCCAATGTATCCCACGGTGGCTTTCAATTGCGCTCAGTGCCCCGCTCCACGCCACTTTGTTGCGCTAGCTTAATACAGAAGCTTCGTTCTAACGCCAAGTCAGTGCAAGCTTACCCAGTACATCGCATGCTGATATGGACTAGGTATACTTATTATTTTCCATCTTGACCGCATCTGGTAGACTGATATTGCCTCTATCCGCCAGCTGCCGCCATTGTAACTACATCGGGGTCAGTCTGCCCGACCTGCCGTGGCTTCATCACACATTCTCCGAGGCTTTCTCCCCGCACGGTACGATTCGTAGCCGTAACCGCAACCTAGGCAATACACTGTAGCTAGGACTGATTTGTAGAAACCGTGCCTCACGCTTCCCTATATCAAGCAGCACCCCCCCGAGATGTCTTCCGGACCTCCCGAACACATCCCCCCACCACAACACCACGCAAGCTTTCACAATGGCATACACACCACCCTCCTCCGCCAAACCCTTCACCCTCCACATTCCCGACCAAGACCTCTCAGAATGGCGCCAACTCCTCCAACTCTCCAAGCTTGGCCCCAGGACCTTTGAAAACACACAGACCAAAGACAACTTCGGTGTCACATACGACTGGCTCTCCTCGGCCAAAGACCACTGGCTGAACACCTACGACTGGCGTGCGCAAGAAGCTCACATCAATTCCTTTCCCAACTACAAAATGGCCATCGACGACATCGACATGCACTTCGTCGCGCTGTTCAGCCCGAAAAAGGATGCCATCCCGATCCTCTTCTTGCACGGGTGGCCCGGCAGCTTCATCGAGTTTTTGCCGCTGGTGGCGCAGCTGCAGAAGAAATTCGAGGGGAAGGAACTGCCGTACCACATCATCGTGCCCAGTCTGCCGGGGTACACGCTGTCGTCTGGCGGGCCGCTGGAGCGCGATTGGACGACGCTGGACTCGGCTGCGGTGATGGAGAAGTTGATGCGGGGTTTGGGGTTCGACAAGTACTTTGTGCAGGGCGGGGATGTGGGGAGTTTTCTATGCCGGATCATGGCGGCGCGGTATGAAAGCGTTGTGGGCGTGCATTGTATGTTTGCTATCCGGGGAGGGGAGTGAGGAAGGGAGAAGCTGACAGAACGCAGTGAACCTATACAGCACGGCCACACAGCCGGAGCGTGAGAAGCTGAGCAACATCGAGATCGAAGCGTATGACCGCGCGCAAGCATTCCAAAAGATCGGCACCGCGTATGCGCAGGAACACGGTATGCCACCCCCCCTCTCCTTCTCAGCCCCCACTTCTTTCCCGGAACCCACTCGTTCACAACGGCTAACACCCCGCAACCAGCGACCCGCCCCTCCACGATCGGCCACGTCCTCTCCTCCTCCCCCCTCGCCCTCCTCGCCTGGATCGGCGAGAAATTCATCGAATGGACCGACGAAACACCCCCCCTCGACGTCATCCTCACAAACATCTCGCTCTACTGGTTCACCGGCGGCTTCCCACGCAGCATCTACCCTTACCGCACCCTCTTCCGCGGCGCCCGCGAGCCCCTGCCGCCCCTGACGAAGCCCACGGGCTTCTCGTTCTTCCCCAAGGAGCTGTTCCCTGGGATCAAGTACATCATCGAGAACGAGACGAACCTTGTGAGTTTCGCGGCGCATGAGCGCGGTGGGCACTTTGGGGCTTTGGAGAGGCCCGAGGATTTGTGGGGCGATGTGGAGGAGTTTGTTGCGAAGGTGACGGAGAATGGTAGTAAGTTGTGAGGTTGCGGTGACAACGAGCATCATTTAGTCTATGAAGAACGCCACTAGCCTGTCCATGGTCTCGTATACCAAGATTTCGAACAACCAGAACGCTGAGCAGAGCTGCTATCCAGTGCGTTTCATTTTTTGCACCCCCCGGAACGCCCTCAATGCATGATTCGCCTCCAACACCACGCTAAGCAATTCCACCGTGACCTACTCATCGGCCTCATTGTCCCATATCTCCACTTCCTTGTTTTCCAACTCCTTCATCTTATCCTCAGGGAAGATGGTGTCCTCCGGCAACCCTGTCTTGCCATAATTTACGACCGGACCCACTGTCGCACTCCACTGCCCTCTCCTCTCCATTAGTGTGCGAATCGGCTCGCCGACTCCAGGCCTGGTAACCCCAGCATTAGGCACTGGATGCGATCCGCCACCAGCACCGCCAGGTCGCTTTGTCTGCTTCTTGCCCTTGCCGATATTGCGGTTGCGCTTTAGGTATGCTTGGTTCAACTGGGCATCAAGATCGTCTGCAATATCGTTGTATTCTTGCTGTGCCACGCGGATACCTGTGAGTTCGAGCAGCCGCTGTTTTCGTGCGCCATTGACAATGGACTGTTTGCGCAGTTCGTCCTGGAGGACACGAAGACGAGCAGCAATTTCGTCGTCAAAATGGGAGTCGTAGTCAAAGGCTGTCAATTCGGTGTCGGCATCGGTGATGATTCCATTGTGCTTAGTTTCCAACAGGACACGCTCGTTAAGCGTAGCATAGTCTGTCCGCGTGCCTACGGGAGGCCCTTTCCAACCCTGTTGAACAAGTTCGGAAAGTTGTGTTGCGGCGGGAAGAGAGTTGTCGTTGTTGCTCTCAGTCGGTGCTCCAGCGCCTTCGTCGATATCCATAGCATCGCCGTTGATACCGTTAGTGTCGTTGGAATTGGCCGTGGTACCTCGACCCTCGGGACGGAGTAGGGCGAGAATTCGGGTCAGCAAGGGTCCTGCCGATATATCCTCTGTCATCAAGAAATCGTCCGTCATGTTCTCGTAGGAGCCGCGTGCTTCATTTGGTGGGAGGCGATCGTTGTGGTCGGCATACAGTTGTCCGTCTTCCTCCGCCCAAATGTCCTTGTAGTGTCTCGCGCCCCTCCGAGGGAGCACGAAAGGACTCAGGCGATCACCCCGCTCTTTGAGAAAGGCCATGTCCTCCTCAGTCAAGCGCCGTATGTACGGCTCCACATAATTTGCAAAGACGCTGGCGTTGACTTGCGTGGCGGGCTTCGCATTGGAGAAGTCCTTGTCCGGCGGTATTCCAGCGGTCTGGTCTTTCAAGTCGCTCTCGGGATAATCGGCGACGCAGTATATCTCCCTGCGCTCCTCGACACTCATGCCGGGTGTCACGTCTCGAATGTGGTATACAGTGGGGTCATCAAACTTGGACGGATCAGGACCAAAAGTTTGAAACTGCGGTATCGCCGGAGCTGGTGGTGGCTGGTGCGAGGCATCGGTATCGGTGGGTGAAGGCGCATCAACCGCGCCATTACCCGCAGCGGATGGTGCTGCTTGAGACGCGGGCGAGGATAGCGTAGAGGAGTTGTCTGCTGGTTGTAAACACCTGAGTTTTAAATATATCTTGGGATGATTGGTAGCCATGTTCACGAGACCAGCTCACGAGGGCGTTTTAGTGTTGAGGTTGAGCGAGAGCGTTCAGCCATAAATGTAAACTGCACACGAGAAAAGTATGTCAAGCATGACTGAAGCTTACCTTTGTGAACATCAACCCCGTCCTGCCGCGCGACGCCGTGGGCACCTACTGCCAGCGGTCGCTCGTCTTCGGCAGCCGCCCTCTTGATCTTCTTCAACTTGTGCTTGCGCTCTTCGGCCTCTTTGTCGGCTGGTCTTTCCTTCTCTCGATCGTGGGGAGGTCGGTTCTTTTTCAACCCTTGGAGTTCCCGGAGCGCGCTATTGGAGACATCGCATCGCTTCTGGACGTTTCCGAGGACTTTGCTTTCGATGGCCTCACGCATGCTAATCAACAGCGCGCTCGAGGGCACCGGCTGCGCCGACTGAGAGCTGCCGCCCGGACGATCTAGGATATCTTCGATGGTGACATCGCATTTCTTGGAGAGAGCATTGATATTTGTCCTGAAGTAGGCGTTCGACGACGATGGCTCGACCGAAGTGCGGACGTTGGGCAGGGGCGTGGTGTTGCGACTGCGCGGTGCGCCCAGCGGCTTCGACCCGGGCTTTGCCTTACCCTTGCTGCTTGTGTTCTTCGACATGTTTGCTGTGCTAGCGCTCCGCGACGTGAGGAATGCAGTGGAGAGGCGTCGTCATACGGCGCTGGCGCCTGCCGACTGCGGGGACACAGCAAGAAGGCCAGGGCTGGCGGCGATGATGACGCGCAGGCAAGTGCTTTGGAAGAGACTGCTCGGTGTGGCCACCGGGGGGGGGGATGCTTGCACAAGTTGCAGCGCTCCGGAGACGACGTTGTTGGGTCGCGATGGCGTTGGTCACGTCGACGCGAGGTAAGAGCGCGCGCCAAGGGCTGCCCGCATCGCCAATGCGCAAGTGGGCAGTCGCCGTCCCCAGAGCCTGGCAGGTGCAACCCACGTCTCCTGCGCATCGCTTCTCACGGTGCAGTCTTCGCCATGGAAAACCTAGACAGACAATCCAACACCTCCACCCACCATCCTAGATCCGCCCGGGGCCCGAACAGCGCGCATAAGCGACTGAGTCGCACCAGTGGCCCGCCAGATAAGCTTTGCTAAGCTTTCTGTGCTCGGCGGGAGTGCCGGCTACGATCCCGGCCCCCTCCAGCCCTCCGCATAACCCGCAGCCCAGCTGCGGCGCCCACTCGCTCATCGCCACTTCTCCTGCGACGCCCTCTTCACGTGTACATGTGTCGCAATGTACTAAACAGCTGCGCAGTCGCCTTGTCATGCCATGAACCGTGATACCCGCATGCGCAACACCATCTCATCAGCCCGCACTCCCTCTTTCAACCGCCGCGATGAGTGCGTCACCCAAGCCCTTCTCCTCACCGTGCACTCGGCTCGCCTGCTGACATGATCGCCAGGTGCCGAAAGCATCAACATCATCACGATCGACTTTCCCGACCCTGACCGCACAGAGATTATCGATGATCGTATCGATCGACTTGCCGTACGCTCATCTCAGAACCTCGTGCATATCCTGCCCGAACATGCACTAAGCAAGTACCAATTACAGTCGAACGAATCCTTCGAGTTCCCCGTGCAGAACATACAAACGCTTTCTTCAAAGGGTGTCGAGCGCGGAGACGATCCGTACGGCCTCCTCTACATACCAGCCTTGCAGACAGACGAGTGCAGGGACTCGGAGAAGGACTATGTTCCTGAGAATGCCACACGCCTGGCCAATCTTCCATACAATGCTGGCTATGCACTCATCGCCGTTGCTCCGTGGTTCTCGCCCAACTGCATGAAGGAGTATTTCACAACGGCCCGGAACGAACCGGTCAAGGCCTTCATCGTCTACCAACCGGATCCAGACTCGACTGCAATGCCACCCGAGACGAATGACCAAGTATGGGCAATGAACGATGGTGGAAGCTGGCAGTACAGCAACCAATTCCCGACGTATGCCGTACCGGGCGCAAGCGGGTACCTCATAACAAGCCAAATGAGCAACTACTCTGGTAACATATCTACTGTGCCTTACGGAGACTCTCTATCAAAGCAGTACTCAGAGACGGACTATATTCGTTTGTGGGCGAAAGTCACAGCTGGTTTGTCTTCCATGGCTCATCTACAAGCACAGCTAAGGATATCTAGATTCTGGCACTCAGCTTCCTAGCTTATGGGTTTTCCTTGTCATAGTTCTAGGCTTGCTCATCCTGATAATAGGTGCCACTTCACTTTGCATGCACATTGTACAACGACGACGCCGCAATGCGCTACGACGGCGCGTAATCAACGGCGAAGTGGACCTCGAAGCATTGGGGGTGAAGCGACTTACCGTGCCCGCAGACTATCTCTCGAAACTACCAGTATTCCCTTACCTTGGAGAGCCGGACCACGTTGAAAAGAGCATGGCGCAGGCATCCACTCCGGCTGATGCTGAGACAGGTCTGAAGGGGATTCCGCTTAGTCGGCGGTCTTCTGCTCCAGATGCTCCTCCCATAACATATGCTTCCGCCATCTTCGCACAGTCGACATGTCCGATCTGCTTGGACGATTTTGAGCCGAAAGAATCGCAGGTCAGAGAGCTGCCATGCCGACATATTTTCCACGTTGACTGCATCGACCCTTTCCTACTCAACAACAGCAGCCTTTGTCCGATATGCAAGCAGAGCGTGCTGCCGCCAGGGTACTGTCCGCCCAAAATCACCAATATCATGGTACGGCGAGAACGGTTGATCAGCCGCCGGCGAGCACAGGATGCGTCCGGCCACACCCATTCACCGGGGAACATTGTTGCCCGCCTTCCCGGTGCATATGACTCCCTCCGTGCACGTGTAGGCAGGGCCACCGGCGGTCGTAGAATATTTAGTGCTCCATCGAGAACGCAATCACGACCCGCAGATATTGAGATGAGCTCAGGGGCTCCTGCTGTCCCCCTCGGAGGAACCATCGCTCCCGCAACTCCCGCCGCAGAGATCGTCGCAGTGCCGCAACCCACGCAGCAGAATAGTGTGCAAGAGTGTCCAGAGCCGCCCTCCGACCAGCCGCATCAACGTAGAGAATGGGCTAGACAACGGGCGCTTGCGCTTCTGGGGACCCAGCATGGCCCGGTCGAAGGCGAAGAAGAAGAACTGGGTCGTTCACGGTGGAGACGTGGCCTGAACAAGATTTTTCCTGGCTTTAGATGAGTTTCTTTGATCTTCTGAGATACCACGGTCTACGGTTTTGGCGGCAATGGTTTGGCAAGGGATCATCTGGCATCATCGCGATGCGAGGCGTTTTGGAGGATGACATATTCGTAACGGATCATGAGTGAGGATTTGTCTGCATTTTCGACAGGCTTAGCGGGCGTTATGCTTGGGGTTTGGTGCTGAGACTCTGTTCTTTGGCGCGGTCTTTAATAATATAAAATCCTTTTGCAAGCGGTCGTCGTGTCGATAGCCGCATCCCACTACCTATGACTTATGAATTGAGAATGACAGCTCATCCCCTGCGTTAGGCTACGAGCAAACAGAGCCAAACCCAACAGAAGCAACCGTCGGCCTAAACAAGCACACGTGTGACACCCATTCGAGCATGGGTTGGCACCACCCTACTCATCGCCAGCGATCCAGACTCCGCCAAGCGCGGCCGCGTGCCGCGGTAATTCTGCACTGTCCCCGGGGCCCCTCAACACCAAAGCGCGACCATCGTGAGAAATGCAACCACCGGAAAAATCGTGCATGCGTAGCAGGCCCACTTTGCGTGCCGCTTTTGGGGCTCCGTCGGCGGACGCGGGTTGCCATTCGTGGAAATGCTTCCTACTGCGACGCAGGGTCGGAGGGGCTAGGGGGCGCCGATAGAGGGGCAGAGGGGAAGCGGAGGTTTGGCGTGGGAGCCATATAACCCCCGCGGGGCAGGCGATCCAATTCCAAGGCCGATAATTATCCTTGGATTTTCTTTCTTGCTCTTTCATCAGTGTGATTGTGCTTTGTTAAGTGATACCCCTCGCGTGCATTGGAGAAATACGAATACAACACGGCAATATGAGCACGACGACCGCCACGGAGGTCAAGCCGAGCAAGGCGAACATTGGCGTCTACACGAATCCGGAGCATGACCTGTGGGTTGCGGAGGCGGAGCCGAGCTTGGAGAGTGTGCAGAGGGGCGGGGATTTGAAGGAGGGGGAGGTGTTGCTGAATATCAAGAGCACGGGGATTTGCGGAAGTGATATTCACTTCTGGCATGCAGTACGCTCCCAATATTTTCTTAGTCGATTCCTACGCAATTCGTATCATAGCGAGTTTCTAACGTCAAGTGCAGGGCTGCATCGGTCCCATGATCGTCGAAGACACGCACATCCTCGGCCACGAATCCTCCGCCCAGGTTCTCGCCGTCCACCCCTCGGTCAAGAGCATACAGCCCGGCGACCGCGTCGCCATCGAGCCCAACATCCCCTGCCACACCTGCGAGCCCTGCCTCACCGGCCGCTACAACGGCTGCGAAAGCGTCCTCTTCCTCTCCACACCGCCCGTCCCCGGCCTCCTGCGCCGCTACCTCAAGCACCCGGCCGTCTGGTGCCACAAGCTGCCCGACAACCTCACATGGGAGGATGGCGCGATGCTGGAGCCGCTCAGTGTTGCGCTTGCGGGCATGGACCGCGCGGGTGTGAAGCTGGGCGATCCCGTGGTGGTGTGTGGTGCTGGGCCCATTGGTCTCGTCACGGCGCTGTGCTGCAGGGCTGCTGGTGCGGCACCGTTGCTCATCACCGACATCGACCAGGGCCGCCTGGACTTTGCGAAGAAGATCATCCCGAATATTCTCACGCACAAGGTCGAGTTCGCGCACACTCCCGAGGTCTTCCGGGAGAAGGTCGTTGCGGCCATGGGTATCGAGCCCACCGTTGGTAAGTCAATCCTCCGCATAGTCGCGAAGTCTGACTGCTGACATCCCGCAGCCATGGAGTGCACGGGCGTCGAGTCCTCCATCAACGGCGCCATCCAGGCCGTCAAGTTCGGCGGCAAAGTCTTCGTCATCGGCGTCGGCAAGAACGAGATGAAGATCCCCTTCATGCGCCTGTCCACGCGCGAAGTCGACCTGCAGTTTCAGTACCGCTACGCAAACACCTGGCCCAAGGCCATCCGGTTAGTGCAGAATGGACTCATCGACTTGAGGCCGCTTGTCACGCATCGATTCGATCTTGAGCAGGCAGTTGAGGCGTTCAAAACAGCGGCGGATCCGAAGACAGGGTGCATTAAGGTGCAGATCCAGAGCTTGGACTAGATGGTTTAGAGGAAAGCCGGAGTAGCGGTATAGGCCCATGAGAAGAGAGAGGGTGCGGGGCGTTGGTGTAGATAGACTGGCGGGGTTCAGGGTCGGTTGAGCATCCATGAGATAGACGAACGTCAGCTTGAATGAATACACATCTTCTGGCAAGTAGAAAAGTTGGGGACCATTAGATGTAGTGTGTGCCATTCTCGAGAAGCGATGGCAACACCAAGAGTGGGATCAATTGGATCGTGGTTCAGTTCTGATGAGGTACTCAGCCGCCGCTAGAAATCCGACCTCTTGGGCCGATTGCTGATCCCTTTCTCTGCCGTCGAAATATAAATCGACGTAAGCGTGTTCGCCTCTCAGATCGACAATTTCTGTATCGGTATCTTCGGTGTCCCGGTGGATATAGATCGTACGCATGCCTGCGCTCTTTGCCGCGGCCAAGTCGTACAGGTGGGAGGCTAACATGATGCAGTCATTAGGAGAGAGTCGTACCAGATCCATCGCTTTCCGATAGATTGCAGGATCCGGTTTAGTAAAACCCAGCAGCTCAGATGAGAGAAGCGTATGGAATGGTAGACCCGAGGATTGCGCGATATCGAGCTGCAACCGCGCTGTTCCATTCGCGAGAACTACAAGAAACCACCTACCGTCCTCCCGTAACTGATGTAATGCGAGAAGGACGTCTGGCCAAGGGGTTTGGAAGTGCCACTGACGGACCAGCTTGTCTCTGACGCTCTCGTTCCACGTATCGAACTCAATGCCATTAGTTTCCAAAAGGCGGTCGAGTACGCGGCGGTGGGTGATATCAATATCTTCGTTTGGATCACCACGGTTGAACCGTGCGTGTATCTCTTGGAAAAAGCCTTCGCGCCACGCGATAGCGAGCTCTCGAAGCCTCGGCTCCGCTGGTGTTAATGAAGAGTGTGGCGGGCACTCGTGGAGTGCTGGTAGCAATGAGGTAAGCCAGTCGCAGCATGTGCCCATCAGATCAAAGAAAATGACTTTTTGTTTGCGAGCAGCCATTTCGGTCGAAGTTGGTGGTGGTGATGGAAGGATGAAAGAAAGAGCGTCCTGGAGGATGCGCGTGATTTGTCAGACGTGCAAACGCGAAAAGCAGAGTGTTTGCACCAACACGCCTTTGTGCCATACGCAACATTTCTGCGTAAAGTTCGCCAAAGGTCTTAATGTGTGAAGGGCGTGCTTCAAAAGCACATCTAAGGAATGTATGCCCGTTCCGCCAATAGGACGAAAGTGATGACGTAATGAGAGCCATGTAGCTCTCCCCGCCCTACGATTGAACCAGCACGGCAAAAGCGTACGTATAGAATCTCAGGCCGCATCGAAGTTCTTTGAAGCGCCTAGAAACCGGACAGCGCGTAAGTGAAAACGTGGAGTCACCGGCGGACTCTGAGTCTTAGATTGTACGACCAACTATCATGACTGAATCTTTATTGTCAAGTCGTGGACAAAAAGAACTTACTGACGGAGCTGATGAGCATGTAAGTGTACTCCGCTTGCTTTCAATTGCTTTCCAGTGACTAATAGCTGTAGCAAGTATGGGAAGTTAGTGCAAATCAATGGGATCCCGAGACCAATCCTAACGGCTATGTCTCGCTGGGGATTGCCGAAAATTCCCTTTCGCATGATGAGCTTGCTGAGTTCCTGCGGAATAAATCTTTGATAGATCCGTCCGCAAAGGCCTTCACGTACCAAGACGGGCCTGCGGGATCAAAGCCGGCCCGTAATGCCATCGCATCTTTCTTCAACACATACTTCCATCCCATTCAGCAAGTTCGAGCCGACAATATCATAATCACAAACGGTGCCAGCTCGGCTATCGAACACTGCGCATGGGCTTTATGCAACTCTGGCGAGGGTATCCTTTTGGGACGGCCATACTATCGTGCCTTCTTACCAGACATTCAAACGAGATTCGGTGTCAAAGTAGTCCCGGTCGCCTTTGGGGAGGTAGACCCCTGCGGTTTAGACTGTGTTGCTAGATATGAAGAGGCGCTGCTTCGGTCGAATGCAGATGGAGTCAAGGTGCGCGCGCTCCTACTCTGTAATCCGCATAACCCGCTGGGACGGTGCTATTCGAAGGCTACCATCGTTCAATTGATGCTGCTGTGTCAAAAGTATCAAATGCATCTCATCAGCGACGAAATCTACGCACTTTCGGTCTGGGAGAACACAGTCGACAAGCTAGAGGCACCGCCAACGCCCTTTGAGTCAGCGCTGTCTATTGACACACGCGAAATCATAGACGCAGCACTCGTACACGTACTTTGGGGCTTCTCCAAAGACTTCGGAGCGAATGGGATCAGGATCGGCGTCATGATATCGCAGCATAACGAGCCGTTCCTGACAGCATGTCAAACTGCATGCATATACTCTTCACCCTCTTCGCTAGCCGAGAACGCAGTTGTCACAATCCTATCCGACCCTAACTTCCTAGCTTCTTACATTAGAACTAATAGCGAGCGAATGTCGGCCGCATACACTTACGCTGTCCAGCTGCTCCGTAGGTACGACATTGATTATATTCCTGGCGCGAACGCAGCATTCTTCTTGTGGATCAACCTGGGGAAGAGGTATTTGCAGGTCTTGGGTGACTCAGCTCGCGGGAAGTCAATGGACGCTTTTACGAACGAGATTTTCCAGCTACTCATGAAGAAGAAAGTGTATCTGGTGCTGGGTGATGCAGCTGGTGCTGAGCAGCCTGGTTGGTTCAGGATGGTCTTCACCCAACCGCCGAGGTCTGTGGAGGAAGGCCTCAAGAGGATATCGGAAGCACTGAATGGAGAGTGACAGAAGTGAGAGCGACGGTCAACAGGGAAATCAATTGACTGACGACTCATTGGTCGGGTCTATTAAAGACTACCACTACTGACATCTGTCAAGTGTACCGGCAAAGACCACTGCAATCAACGAATATCCATTTACTTGCCTTCCATGGTGTGATCACGGTGGCATTCATCAAAGACAGAATCCCTCAAGTGTACCAGTGAAGACCGCAGCAATTGATGCAGTTCGGTTATGTGCCTTTTGCGGAACAATATGAGTGGTATGGACTCGCTTCAAGTCATTCCAGCGTACCAGCGAAGCCCACAGCAATCTATATTTCTATTTCATTATCTTCTAAGGAGAAATTATCTGAGCTTCATTCGGAAACGGACGCTGTCAAAGTCATGCAAGCGTACCGAATATATTCACTGCGTTCGATGGTTTTTCATTGATTTGCCCTCTTCAGAAGACTTCGGTGGACGTTATCAGGGGTAGGAACGACCGAGCTCCTGTAAGTGTACCATCCAATGGCGCTGCATTCGATCCATTTACATTGATTCGCCTTGTACGGAAGTTCGGAGACAGCATTGACCATAGTATGGGGCGCAAATCCGACTCAGTGCATCATCGGCAGAATTGGGAACAAGTGGCGTTCCACGAACTATGGTATGAGGTTGTGAAGCGTACCGCGAGCCAGACGCAGTGTTCGACACTTATGCACAATACTTGCCATTTGTGGTAGCATGCGGCACCTCAAATTACTTCAACACCACTTTCTGTTCGCCACCGCCCCATCGTCTTTGCGTTAAGAATTTTATCTCTACGACTCGCGGACTTCCCCTGCGCAAGCAACATCAAGCGTACCACAACCTCATCACAGTCCTCAACACCTGCAGTGATTTTTCCTGTTACGGAACTGCATGAGTAAGGGATGCAATTTCCAGCCGTGGCTGAAACTTTAAGGTGTACCACCCAAAAACTACAGCAATCGACGTCTCCGTTCAATATTTTCTCTTTCGAGTTAAAATTAGTAACGGGGAACGGCACGTCAAACAGCCACGCGTGAACCACAGTTCGCGAAGTGAGCCGCGTCATCACGGTCGGCGACTATTGGATTATAAGTTTGGCGCAGACTAAACAGTGTTTGTTTTGCCGAAGCTCGCTTTCCTGTTCATTGTGAGGAACGCTAAAGTTAGGCGCAACGAGCTTGCGCGCGGGTGCACGCGACAAATGACTGCTCTCCTGAAAGAAATGAGGCGCTGATCGTAATCATCGTTGATCACACCGGTCATGGGATCGATTTTTAAGAGAAGGAAAGTGTGTTGCGGCCATTGTTTACTATGGCAAACCATTGAGGCAGTGAGGAAAGCCTGGGCATACGACTTATTGCTCTCGGACCACTAGACTAGCCCTGCATTAATGCCACCACACACAGATCTCAAACAAGTTCGCGCTGCGTTCGTGATGATTTTTAGATATCAACAATAGCCCATCTGCTCTGTTCGCTTTGGGGACTCCAGTCTCCGCCCGTGAGAATCTACTTCTAGATTATCTGAGCTTCCCCAGGCCATCTGATCTAGAAACCTCGGCCGAAGTCACTTTCGATGAGCTCACCTTTCGGGTTAATGTGAGCTTTGCAGTAGATCTGCAATCCAATCATCGGTGCGCTTTTTTCAGAGTTGCAGCTATTCGCATACGTCGATCACACTGCCATATCTCGATAATCTGAGCACGATGTTATCTGCGTTGCCTGTAAAGAGAAAGGATGATAGCTCATGACACTGAATGCTGATCGTTGTTGCCTATCTAGGACAGTCTCCCGATCACAAATATCCAGCATAGAGGGGTTTGAAACAATTCAGAGAGTGGCGAACCTTTCATAAACATGAGCAAAATGATCACATGGTTCATTTTTCGACGAAAGGGTCATAAGAAGATCGGGGAGGTAAAAAAATTACAGAATAATGCTCTAGTAGTGTGCCACCCTACAAGAGTAATGCAGCAACAGACCTCTTGCACTAGCACTGCCTACCCTTTGATGGCATACTTAGTTCACTAGCTTGTATGCTCATCATTTGCAGCGTCTACATTATGAGACAACGAGAGCATGCAGCCCAAGGAATTCGTATAGCACACATTCGTGTATGTGAAAGCCTGGGGGAAAGGATATCTCCATCGCCGTACCGAGCTCCTCGGGCCGCAGTAGGGGCGCAATTCAGAAGGCAGTCATCCGCTTTCGAAAAGTTGCTGAGTAGCTGACATTTATCAGCGCGCATTAACGGCAATTCTCACTGTGTTGACAACTCCACGAATGAAATATTTGCACATCCTGGCTGAGCCTGCCCCACGGGATTGTCAGTCTCCTTCATTGTGCCTTGAAGCGGCATAGCTTCGATTCAAATAAGCTGAGAGCATCGCCTTCTTTGACGGTTCTTCGGAAACTGGCTGTACATTTCTTTGGAGAAAGCTACCGGGAAACCACATCACTCACGGTCAGAAAATGTGTGGCGTTACATTATTACGTCTCTCCATCGTTCCAATCCTTCAAAGACGAATTTGGCGACCCAAAAGGCACAACAGATATACACACGTGTCCTATGTCGATTACGAGGGATATGGGCGGTGTAATCTCAACCCAAGGGCCCATATCTTGTCGGCATCTGCTGCGGCGGTCTCGGAACAAGCTCTTTTAGCTCCAAAGTTGATAGTAGCTTCTTGTAGGCGCAGCTGCAATACCCCGAGGATGTCAAACGCGATCTGCAGCTGGGGCCGCTCATTGGATGTATGCCCTGTCTTGAATATCCTTTGGGACGCTGTGATCACAGGACTCACTTTACTGGTATTACACACTCATTTAGCAGTAGTCTTATGCTTGAGAAGTAATAGCTACGCTCCTTGTGTTAATACTTTCCTCGAATACCTAGATCGTAGAGTCAGGAACTATCTATTCGAATTATTCAAATTCTAATCCGTCGCCTCATTCGAAGCTCCTCGCTATGAGCGTTGTTCGGTGGCTTTCCTCAATACACAAGCTTCAATGAGCTCCCATTCTATATCCGGCTTCGTACACTGATCTCAATGCTTGCCAAAGTTTTTTAGAGGTTCTCCTCAGAATTAAGCTTAGATGCGCCCCTGTTTGTTGAACCGCGTATCCGTGCTTTCCTCGCCATACTTGCCACCAAAAGACGTGCATCTTTTTCGAGACTACGCGGAGGAACACAACTACAGTTGTGATCTGAAGGGGAAAGTAGGGCCGTTCCGTAGATTACGTAGCGATAGATGCTCATTAGCTGGCTATGATGTAATCCTACACGTCCTATATCCTCGCACGTGGCCGCCATCGAATGTAAGGGTGATTATCTGTTGCCAACACAAGAGAGTCAATATCCTGCGTATTGACTAGACCTGGGTGCGCCTGATCGATATCCGTTATCCCACACAAGCGCATCGATGTTTCAAGCTCATCTTTCAGAACTGTACTCGAGTTAATTCGGCACTATCACCAGGTACAACGAGAAACTTACTCTGTGTTAGGTGCTCGACGCCATCTTCTCCGTAAGTCAGCGAGTATAAGTACGGCCGTCCGATGCCGACTGCTGTCGCGCCCAGAGAGATGGCTTTCAGGATATCTGACCCGCGCTCAAAGCCACCGTCAATGTACACTTCGAGCTTATCGAAGATCTCTGGACACATGCGGTGCAGTTCGAGTAGGACGAGGATGCTCGGTTGCGCACTTCGACAGTGATCAGTATCTTTTCTGCTTGGATATTGAGGAGATGCTTACCCGTCAAGAGAGCGTCCTCCGTGGTTGCTCAGCATGACGCCATCGCATCCCCAGTCGGCGGCCATTCTTGTGTCCATGGCACTCTGTACGCCTTTCAGCACAACCGGTAGCCCTGATACCCTCTTGATCCATTGAACGTCCTCCCATATCAAGCTCTTTTCTACATATTGTGCCATCAGTCTGCCCATGCCGCCACCCTTCTTATCATTGCTTGCTACAGCGCCGGAGATAGCGCTCGCAACGTTTTCTGCTGCGATTCGTTCATCGGCTTCGCGTTTACCGGGTACTGGTGCGTCGACAGTAACGAGGATGCCGCCTTGAATTTGGTCAGCTCGTCTAGTGCGATGTATTTTCGAATGAATGACTCACGAATTCCTAAGGAGGCAGCTTTGCGGAGCAGCTCTTCCGTCTTCGGTCGATCAACGTTGACATACAGTTGCAGAAAGAAAGGCTGATCGTCTCTCCCGGCTTTGACGATCGAGGCGAGCGGGTATGAGGCGTTACTAGAGATACACTGCACGATATCTTCGTTTGCACAACCTCGAGCCAAGGCCAGTTCGCCATCTGGGTGAGCCAATCGAGCCATAGCCGCTGGTGAAACGAAGAAAGGTACTGAGGATTCACAACCCAAGATCTTCCGCTTTGTGGACACGGACTTGACGTCGCGCAGAATTCGGGGCCTGAACATCACGCGTCGAGTGAGCGCCTTGTTCTGGTTGTGTGTGACTAGATCTGTGGCGGCTGAAGAGTAGAAAGCCCATGCCTTTGGCGTCAACGTGTGTCGGGCAACTTCCTGGAAATCAGCTGCAGAGATAAGCTGGTGTAGGTGCGGCTTCTCGTATATCTCAGGAACCTGGTTTGGGATCTCGATTTGGCGTTTTCCGGGGTGTGGATTTGATTCTGCTGCCTCTGCTTCGTCGATCGTGCTTCTTGGGGGCAGATCGTTCGATGGGAGGATGTCGCCGACGAACTTGTTGGTAGCAAGTGTTTCCTCGAGCATGCCTGGGGCGTGGAACTCATTGTATACTGAGGTTGCATCCTTTCCGGCGTATTTCAAGATTACTGAGTGAATTAGCTTGAGGAAAGTCCTAGTTGAAAACAACGTGTAGCAGACATACCCTCCGATCCTCCTGGGTGTTCCGACAGGAACTCTGTTACATCCCACACCTTGTCTTGGATCACCACCCAGCAATCATCACGACTGTTATGCGCCTTCACTTCGTCAAATGATAAAACGGACTTGGCCTCCATTGTCAGAGGGTCGAACAAGTGTAGTACCAAGAGCGATTAGAAGACTAGGTTCGCAAAAGCAGCAGTCGGAGGGACTCGCAACGTGCCCAGACATAACGCTAAACATAATTTAGGTGTTTGCCTTCGGCGTTCTTCCAGGGTGCAAGGTGTGGGTGGATCTCGGTGTTCTTCCAGGCCCGGAGAAGGTTTCGAGAGTTGACCGGCTTTCTCGCCGAGCGGGACCCACCACCGCAATCAAGGACTCAAGGCGTGAACTCCGGAGAAACTTGGGCCCCCACAAGCTCGGTAGCATACCGAGGGCAAATTGGTCATTGCCGAACGATCAGGTGACTCAGCATCGTTTCGACAAAGTCCCAGCGTCCGGGGTGTCATCCGAGGCACCGCAATGCCATCTCAGGAAGTCAAAGCAACGAGGCTCAAATATTGAGCGCGACCAATTCTCTCATTTCATTTTCAGCTTATCTGTGATTCAGGTATTGCTTCGAGGAAAACGTAAAACGAAATAATCTGTTGGGGTCACGAAATAGCGTATATCATACTGTCATTCAAAGTACACTCTGAGATAGTCATGGGTTCAAGATGACATGCCTCTAATATATTGAATGGAGGAAGTCGCATAGGCATTCCACGGCTAAGCTGTATGTATAGAGGAGCACAGCTCCACCACTGCTTGCCTCCCAACTCAATGAACATATCTGAACCGAACAATAGCGTCACCACCATGACCAGCCTTGCTTCCCTTGATGCCACCTCCAACTCGGCCCTCTTCTAATTCCTCTCTCTCCATATTTGCGTTTTGCCTCTTCAAGTAGTACTTAATGAAGATTGCCATCCCTGCACAGATAAGACACGCCGCGCTCATCATGCCGCCACCGCCATAATAACGCGGCTTCTGCGTGTCGGGAAAAGCATAGCTAGTGTAAAAATGTGCTACACCTGCGGCCATCAAGTTGATTATAGCGAGTGCCGCGGCGCGCTTGGATGCTGGACGAGGCAGCGACGCTGAGAGCCACGACACGCAGAGATTGTAGGGTGCATATGTACCCGATGTCATGAGAAACATGGAGAAGTAACGACCACCTAAAGAAGGGACGAACATCGCCTAATTCAAGTCAGAACTTTATATCCACAGTCTAAATTAGGTAGTGAAGACTCACCAAGAGATTACCAAGCAATCCGAACATCATAGGAATAGCAATGTGCCAACCTCGTTCTTTCTTATGTGCCGCGTGGAATGAGATGCAAAGAGAAACGATGAATGCGAAGATATATGGCGGTGCAGTGAGAAGCAACGTCACGGTCGTATCGTAGCCTAGTGTACCAACGATGGACGGGAAGAAGTTGTTGAAGGACTGAGCAGTAATCAACATCATCTGCAAGATGATGAACATGTACAACTTTGGGTCTAGCAGTGCTTGCTTGAGACCCCACCAGATGGACTCCGGGTCCTCGTCGCGAATACCCGCGTTTTCTTTGCGAAGGCGATATTCGGCGTAGAGTTGGTGTTCGCGCTTGAGAATGGGACTGGACTTTTGCAGAGGGAAGTCTGGAAGGATCGGTACGCAGAGGAGTGCAATCACTACGGTCATGCTGCCTTCAATGATGAAGAGCCATTCCTGTGAGCTGTCAGTTTACCGGACGCGGTGATGTGCAGGACTAAGTAGATTGTGCACATACCCAAGCAGGCCTTCCACCTTTGCCTTCCATCCGCGAGACAATGCCAGCGGCTATAAGCCCACCGAAAGCGCTCGCGAGCATGTTGCTGCCGTATAATATAGCAATTCTTGGAGGGAGCTCCGCACGACTGTACCAGCAGCTCATCAGGTAGAATACGCCGGGTAGAAAAGGTGCCTCAACCAGCCCGAGTATGAACCTTGAGGCAAAGAGTCCGCCGTAGTTCTTGGTGAATGCCTGGCACATAGAGACAACCCCCCACGCTGAGGTGATACAGCATATATACCACGAAGGACGGACTTTTGTGATAATCATGTTGGACGGAAGTTGCGTAATAACATCTGCCAAACGTAAGCAACCACTTCTACAATGTTTTCAGTGTTCTTACAGCCAACATAGAAGATCATCAAACAGGTGTTGTATTGTGAATTTGTGATGTTCAAGGTCTCTGTCAAGCCCGCAATTTTCGCGTTGGCAATGTTATTGCGGTCTAAAATGTTTAACAAAAACAATAATGCTACAACGGGCATGAGGGTACAGTCAAGCCTTCGCACGAGGCTGCGCTCGAGCCTTATTCGCTCATCTTCGTCGAGATGTTGCAGTTCCTCGGGAAGTGGCAAATTGTCCAATTGCGCCACAATTTTCTCCGTGGTCTCCAGTGATACCTTCGGCTTGGTGGATACAATGTCCTCCATGGTGATATGATGCGTAATCTGATGGCAAAGCGACGGTACGGTTGGGCGGTCAAAGGTATCCTATGAGCACTTCTGGGTTTAAGTGAAGTATTAAAACAACCCGGGGAGTGTCATGATACAGCAAGTTCGGCACGAGTCATACGCACCCAAGAGTGGGCTGATCCTTCCCCATTCCCCAGAGAAACTGATGCGGAGTCGCACGGCGAGAACTGCGAGCAACTGGGGAGACACTAACTAGATCAGGTTACACCGCCGTAGTACACGGAAAAAGACATGCAAGATTGCACATGACTTCAAGGAATCGCTAGGTCACTATGCTAGCGGTGCAAGGATTCTCGCATCAAATACGCATGTGTGTATTCGCTCACATTTGCAATGAAGGAATTCAGATAGCTTCCAATCGTGTTTATTCTGGCACTATAATGGATGGATCCTTATCAATTTCTAACCACGTGTCCCTTTACTTGCGTATCTAATATGCAACCATTGCCTCTTCATTGCTCCGTCAAAATTCGAAACAATTTAATCCAATCATTTCTTTCGGGAAGCCAGGAAGGCATTCTTATTGACAGGCGTTAAAGGCTCGTCGCCCGTTAATTGGCCATCGGAGCCTACGACTCTGAGGATGTTTTTCATCGCGCCCAATTCGAAGTTGATACGCGTGTTAAGAGCGCCTCCGGCGATGTGAGTGGTGAGAGTAACCTGAGGCAGGGCTGCGAGCTCTTTGGAGACTTGTGGCTCATGATAGTGGACATCAAGCCCGGCGGCACTAATGTGGCCGCTTTGTAAAGCCGACACAAGTGCATCTTCGTTCAAAACCTGTCCTCGGGCAGTGTTAATAATGCGAGAACCTTTCTTCATCAATGCCAACTGCTTTTTGCCTATTAAGTCTTGGGTCTAAATAGATCATTGTGTCAGCTAAAGTACCAGGAGCAGCCGGTCATAAAATACCCTGGAGAGAGGGACATAGATAATGCGAGAATAACATACATGCTTGTTTAGTGGTGTATGCAGCGAGACACAGTCAGCAATGGCAAGTAGATCGTCCAGGCTCTTGTGGAAAGTTGCGCACAAGTCAGATTCGACGTCCGGGCTCGCCCGCACAACGTCATAGTAGTGAATCTTCATGCCCAAGGCCGTCCTTGCTTTATACGCAAGCTTCTTGCTGATGTTGCCCAACCCCACGATGCCCAAGACATGGTCTCTGGGATTGGCACTGATTGTCGCAATCAATTTGTGTGATTCTTCGAACTTGTCAACGTCACAGGTTCTGGCAGCAAGCTGCGCGTGTGTGAAGTTCCTGAACACCGAAAGTACCATATACAGGCCTGTGTCAGACACCGCTTCGTCAGACGCACCAGCGCCGTTGGCGTACCAGATGCCATGCTCTGCAAGCAAGTCCACGTCTGCCCAGTTGAAGCCTGCACCTGCCGAAGCGAAGATGCGACACGAAGAAGGAAGAAGGGAAATAAGCTCCGAATCCCATTGGCCCATCTCACCACCTGTTTGGAAGTGTGGACGGAATATGGCTACGAAATTGCCGTATCTGTAGGTTGGTAAGCTTGTTGAATTGGTTCTAAAAAATGATCCCTACGTACTTCTTCGTCTTCAAGGCCTCCATGAACGATTTCCGATCCAAGTCCTCATTGCGCACCACATTGAAACGCTTTACGAATTCGGTTTCGTAAAATTCCTGGTTGTATTTGATGGGCTCCCCTATGTGAAGCACAGTTGGTTTCGACATCATTGTAATGGTGGGGCCCAACTGAGGGCACAGCCTAGGATACCTAGGTACTTAAGAGATCCTCCATGCCCAGTTGGCTCCACAGCAGCCCACGCAACGGCAAGAATGCCGAAAAATCGCCGCAGAAGCGCGCAATGTCGGTTTTCGGCGCCCGCAGGCCTGAAAAGGGAGCGAAAAGCGCATACAGGGCATAGGCTTCGAAAAAGACGAACGTCCGAGATCCTCCCTGAACATGGAGAGACGAAGGTTTGGTGGGTGGGCGACATGTGCGATTCCAGCCTAGTTCTAACTACTAATCAAGAGTCACCTCAACACAGCGAATCACACCTCCAATCACCCATACGCGTATCACTCGGGAGCATGAACGTTGTCGCGAAATATACAGGCGTTGATTCAATGAAGATAATGCATCGGTTGGATCCCTACGAATACCCGTGGATGCCTCGAAGGCTCACAAAGTATGGAGGCGCATTTCAAAAGTTCTTGCCTGCCAAGGCCCTGATCAACGCACAGATCAGCCCCCGAGTCAGGGGTATTTTCACAGTGAATCGATATTACTCTACTTTTTGAACTGCTTTGTATGATCTCTGCCCTCCTTATACTCGTTACCACCTTCGAGTTCAATAATCTTCTAAATGTGAATTGGAATCCTCTCTATCCAAGCTTGTATCTGTTCTTGAGGGAGATCTCCCCAAGCTGACTCCCATCGGTGAATTGCTTCTGTTCCACTTTTAGGTGCTCCTTTTTTTATAGTCTCCTTCTTAAGGTAAAACCAAGTAGGTTCAATTGCGTTCAAATCAGGTGAGTTACTAGGCCATAAAAGCTTCTTAACTTGCTCCTGTGAATAGAGATAGGACTAAGCATGATGGGCGTGAGCAGGAGCTTTATCTTCTTAAACAATCGTCTCTGGCCTATTAAGCTTGCACCTCTTTGCAAAAGGGAGAAGCTTAGGGATAAGAATCTCCTTTTAATAGCGCCACCAATCAATACCTCCTCCTTTACCTCGCGATAGCTTGCCGGTCTTTGTAGTAAATTTCCACGTAGGTTTTTGGCCTGATTTATTCCTTAGTCCTATCCTAGCCATAATAGAGGTAAGTTCCCACTCAGCTCGCAGTACAGGCTCAAGAGCTTAATTCATCTCCTCAATCTGCTGTTTTGTAAGCTCTTTGTCTTTGGCTGATTCAGGTTTCCAACAATAGCACAGCCCCTTACTATCATAGGTAAAACAGCCCTAAAATATAAACTTAGAGTAGCCCTTCCATCTCTCTCTAATACATGACCGTATAAAGGCCTCCTCAGCTCTCCGCCAGATCCGATAGCCACCACGTCGGTGAAGGAGGACAATAGCCGTCTCATCTGACCATATCACATTCTTCCAATCCTCTATTGTCCAGTCTTTATAATCGAGGCAAAATTTAAGCCTTTCATCCTTCATCTTCTATGTCAATCCAGGCTTCCTCGTTGGCTTGGTTTTCTTGAATCCTGCTCCTTTGAGTACTCTTCATATAGATATACTTGATATAATAAACCCTACATGGCTAAGTTCACCCGCAAGATTAGTACAGCTCTTCTCTCTGCTATATCTATTAAGTCATACTTTGTTGATTATCTCCTCCTTCACTACCTCCTGCTTGCGAGGACGCCCAGATCGAGTAGCATCTTCAACATATTCAGGTAAGATCTTGAGAGGTCTATTTGGTTCAAATCCACGTTTGATAGCTCGGGCATATATGTCGTTGATAGTACGTATTGATAGGCCAGTCTCCTCAGCGATCTGGGCAGTTGATTTACCTCCAAAAGGCGACTTCAACGCAACAATCAGGACTCGAGTTGATATATCAGTATTTGGAGCCATCAGGATCAAGCTCAACACCAAAGATTAGGTAGATAGATAGATAGTATTCATCAACGTGGCTTCAGATCTACCCCTCTATCAGGATTTTGTATGCCAAGGCCCTAGTAATCCTGCAGGATTCGGATCCTGGCATAGCGCCTGGCAAGAACTTTTGAAATGCGCCTCCGTACAGCGGCAGAAGCATCAAGCACAGCATCTTTATTCGTAGCTAGACTGAACTAATCCTGTATCCAGCCAACCTTGAACCTGCAGAACTTGATTCTTTGTCTCCAGAACGTGAATGCGACATTCGCGACATCGCCAGTCTCGTCCTTATCCACCCATACGCTGGGGTACGACAATTCCCTGTTCTCTCGCGTGCGGCTGTTGTTCGTCATACAGAACCCGTCGCCGTCTTGCAGCAGCTTCGTTTTCCAGCTCTCACCCGCATCATCACTCAAGCCGACCGTGAGTTGCTTCCGTGGAACGCCCCAAATCGCCTCTCGCGTCTGCTTAGGTTGATTCTGGCGCTTGTCATCCTCTGGGGTGATATCGTCATATAAACCTTCCCGCTTAGCCTGGCCTTGCTGGAAGCTCGAATCATTGTACACTACGATCCATCGGCCATCCGAGAGCACATCAAAACATATGCCCGAGTTTGGGTTTGGGAGGGTTGTCGGCTTGGGTTCGCTCCAATCCAAACAGTTCTTGGACGTGGACACATAGATATTGTCAGCCCACCTAGACCGGTACAAAGCTGCATAGCCATCCTTGGTTGCTCGTATGTTCATATGCACAGAGCCAGTACTATTCGGAACTTCTTTCTCATGCCATGTCTTGCCGGAATCCTGGGTGTACTTGATGACTGAGATGTCGTCGTTCCCAATCCATCGATATCCGGGAGGTGTGCGACAGTACCATGCTGGAAGGACCCATGTACCATCTTTGAGTACAACAATTGGTTGACGAATGAACAGTCCTTCGTCGTCGAAGAGGTTTTGTGGCTGAGACCACGTCTGCCCTTCGTCTTTTGAGATGCGGTAGCGAACAACCGCCTTGTCCTGGTTTCCAGCAGGCTGTGCCGTGAACAATACCCAAAGCTCATTGGTAGTTGGGTTCAAGAACAGGACTGGATTTTGCTCGCTCCGATTAGCATCTTCTGATATCTTCTGCGGAGTTGACCATGTCCTTGCTCCTTTACGAAGGCGCGAGAAGTGAATCTATAACCGGAATGCGAATTAGTCGACTAGCCCTGGTTTGAAAGTAAAAGAATCGAAAGGACGTACACAGATGTCAGACAACCCTTCTTGCGATCCACCGAACCATGCACATAGAAGGTCACCATTTGGTAGCCGAAGCAGGTTTGACGCATGCACCTGCGGGGTCGAAGCTGGGATGTAGTTGGAGTCTACCCCAGATGTCTTAGATGAGGGAATCAGCTCTGCGTTGAAGTCAGCCATTGTGAAAGAAGCTGGAAACGATCTGTCTGACGTTGAAGTCTGTCTGGTGTCTGGCAATGCTATGATATCTTCATGCGTCTCGAGACGGCGCATGCCGCTAAGATGGCACGTGCCTTCGCCTTTCCTTCCTCGCGCTTTCGCACACGCGGTCCAGTGCCGGCGCTGTGCGCCGATCATTCGCACTTCTCCCCGTAACCCCAGAAATCGACCAAAGTGCGGGGAATCCAGGTTCAACAGGCCACGCACTTGCATTTCCGGGGAAATTCTGGAGTAGAACCGAACAATGATTGGCCTGTCATGATCCTCCGATAGCGAGAGACTTTTGATGGCTTAGCACTATATGAAGGAGGCCCAGATCCCGTTTAAAAACTTCAACGAGAGTGTACCACTCGGTCATACTCGCGGGCCTTCTCCCTCTGCTCATCAGGAGCTCTATCTTGATCTATACCGATATCATGGGTGGTGGAACTTCTCTGTGGGCATCGCCTGAATACAAGAAAGACCCCAAGGCCATTTATAATGGGCGTCTGATATATCTTGCCGCCACCATTGCGTTTGCGGGATGCGCATACGGCTTTGATCAAGGAAACATCGGGGGTGTTCTGACGCTTCCAACGTTCAGACACGCCTTTGGGCTCGACAAGCTTAGCGACGATGCCGCCGATGCGCGATCTGGTAATATTGCTGCGTTGAGTAAGTTCTTATCATTGGCACGCGCAAGGATCTCGGACTGACTCTCGATGCAGTGGCTGCCGGTGGATCTGCAGGCGCCCTCCTCTCTGCTCCATGCGCGGATTTCCTTGGCCGCAAATACTCAATGATGATCTACGGCTGGATATATCTCCTGGGATGCGCATTTCAGGAAGTGCCGCACCTGCAACTGTTCTACGCAGGCCGATTTCTCGCTGGTGTAGCCATCGGGTCAATGTCAGCTGGTGCACCTCAGTTCCTGGCTGAGAACTCGCCAAAAGCGATCCGTGGGTCGATGACATGCTTGTACAACCTCATGATCATCACTGCCTTGTCCCTGGCTTTTTGGATCAATTACGGCGTGTCCAAATGGACAAACGTCAAAGTGTCGGACTACACACAGTGGCAACTGTCGCTCGGCATTCAGCTCATACCTGGATTCTTCATGGTCTGCATGCTTTGGTGGGTCCTGGAAACACCGCGTGCGCTTATTGCGAGGGGAAAGCGAGCAGACGGGCTCAAGAACCTCATGAGGCTGCGCAAGCTGCCCGAGGATCATCCATACATCCAACAAGAGTACATGGAAACGTGCGCTCAAGTCGACCAGGAGCAAGAGGTTGCTGTAGGCCGCAACTATATGCTAGTCATCAAGGACATCGCCTTCGTCCCTTCGAACAGGCGCCGCTTCTTCCTAGCCATCATGCTCTTCCTCTTCCACAAGTTCACAGGCACCGACAGGTAAGCGAAATACGTGTTAGCTTCATTGCTTGATCTGACATCCATAGCCTGAACTATTTCGCACCCGAGATCTTCACTATGATCGGCGTAAAAAGCGGCTCCCAGGCTTTACTCACAACTGGTGTGTACGGCCTAGTCAAGCTTGCAACGACAGTGGTCTATGTCGCTTTCATTGTCGATCGCGTCGGACGCCGTCTTCCGCTCATGATCGGTGCGTCTATGCAAGCTACTGCTATGCTTTACATTGCGTTGTACGTTCGCTTCGCGAATCCCGACAAAGGCGGCGGTACCGAAGCTGGCGGTATCATCGGTATCGTCTGGATCTACGTGTATGCTTTCGGCTGGTAAGTACTCTCGGACTAAGAAAAAGAATTTGTCCGCTGACCTGTGCTTCCTCAGGTCCTTTGGCCACAGTGTTGCGTGCTATGTCGTCGCCGCCGAGATATTCCCTTCACGTATTAGATCATTCTGTATGAGCTGCTGCTTCTTCGTGAATTGGATCGTCGACTTCGGAATCACCAAGGCTACACCTTCGATGATGACGCATCTTGGCTGGGGCACCTTTTTGCTCTATGCAGTTCTGACCTACATCGGAGTTGTGTTTATCTTCTTTTGCATGCCTGAGATGAAAGGCAGATCCATCGAGTCTATGGATGACCTGTTCTCTCATTCAATCTGGACCATGTACAAGCGCGCTTATCCTAAGGAGGAAGACAAGGTTCGCCATGATGTTGGCGAAATTTTGAGCGATGGCAGAGTAGCGGAGCTTGGAGAAAAGCGCGAGGGAGATGTGCATGTAGAGAAGGTGTGAAATGGCATCACAACCTCGTAGCAGCTATACTTTTTACTTTCACTCGAATTCTGAAACCTTGAGTACGCAAATCATAATGCGCAAGGGGAAACATGGAACGTTAGAGTGTTTCCAAAATTGATGTGCTCCGTAACAGCGTGTGCTCTGTACGCTCGCAATCCGCCCGAGATCCACCATGTCTTCTCTCCGACCCACAAACCTTGTGCGCAAGCTTACGGCGTTCTCGCCGATGCTACGGGACCGCCTTTGGCCGACTTCGACGTGCGTATCCACGTATATAATTAATTGACCCAACACCGGATGCTGTGAGAAACCCTTGTGACAAACGCCAGCAACGTCATCGCTAAATCATTGGAATGGCATATCATCAGAAAACCTTCCGGCTCAACACCGGTGCAGAGATCCCAGCTGTGGTAAGGTCCAAAAGTCGCCATTCCCTCGCATCAGCAGCTAAGTAGATGGTAAGGGTTTTGGTACATGGCAGGCAGCTCCAGGCGACGCTGGTCGCGCAGTTCAAACAGCCTTGAAAGCCGGCTACCGTCACCTTGTAAGACAAACCCAGCTTGTGAACATTACCAGCAACTTGATGCTAACCAACTCAGGACTGTGCTCCGTTGTGTATGTCTGGAAGGCTTCTGAATCCTTGTGTATTGCGCTCATGAATAATCAGATTGGAACGAGTCCGAAATAGGAGAGGCATTAACTTCAGTCCTTCAATCTACCAACATCCCCCGATCCGACATCTTCATCACAACAAAACTCTGGTCCTCTTCACATCACGACCCCGAGGCTGCCCTCCGCAAGTCCCTAAAAGACCTCCAACTCGATCATGTAAACTTATACCTTATGCACTGGCCCGTCTCGCTCCCATCCAACTCACTCGACGCACCCAACTTTGGGAAAGAAGATCGGAAAGCGCACGCGCAGGGCTGGGACTTCACCAAGACCTGGGCTCTGATGGAGAAGCTGCTGGACACGGGACTGACGAAAGCAATCGGCGTGGCAAACTTCTCGACGGTAAATCTGGAGAAGCTGCTCAAAACCGCTAAGGTCGTGCCTGCGGTGAACCAAACGGAGCTGCATCCGCTTCTTCCTCAGGATAAACTGAACAAATTCTGCAAAGAGCATGGGATCCACCAGACTGCTTTTGGGCCGCTAGGCGGGAAAGGGTCGACATTACATTCGCACCCCGCGGTTGTTGGAATTGCGGAGCAGAAGGGGTCTACAACAGGACAGGTACTGCTTTCGTGGGGTGTTGCGAGAGGGTGGAGTGTCATCCCGAAGAGTGTTACGGAGGAACGGATCAAGAAGAACCTCGAGATCTTCGAGTTGAGCGGGGAGCAGGTGGAGAGATTAGACGCTTTGGCAAAGAGAGAAGGAAGGAGGTTCAATAGGCCGGATTGGGGGGCTCCGGTGTTCCATGACGATGATGGGAGCGTTGCTTAGCGAGACAAACTGTATTAGATCTTGGAGAATCATAGTATCCCTTGTCATTCTGTGTATGAGAACACGTTGCTTCTAATGCTACTCGTACCTGTATGCTTCGTGCTGAGGGCTGATTGAGGTGGCCCGACTGCGCAAGTGTATGCCTAAAAAGCTAACAGGAAAGTGAAGGTAGAGCCTCATCTGATAGTCACATCGTGACGATAAAGAAGACCGAAAGATGAGGTGATGAACATTGATACACTAAGCTTCTGACTTGAGACTCGCTGCGAAGCTCTGCACCTCTTCTTTCAGACTGATATCCTCCTTCATACCCAATCCTTGTGCAAGTGAGATATCGAACCTCGCCGGCCAACTAGCAACAATAGCCTCCACTTTCGGGTCATGCTTCTCCTCCACGAGCTTCAATGCTTTCTCACCACCAACTTCGCCCAACGCTTCTAGTATCTGACGTACGGTGACTGTTTGTCCCGGTAGATTTACCACACGCCCTCGGTTCTTCGCGAATTTCTCTTTGGGAACATCCTTCATGGCGACCAAATTCTTGACCACTGTCTTGGGCGAGCAAACCCACATGGCAAGGTCTTTGCTAACGGGAAGAGTTGACTGCACGCCCTTCAGTGGCTCCCTAACAATCCCTGATGCGAAACTTGACGCCGCGGCTGAAGGTGCACCAGGCCGCACGATGACAGTAGGTAGTCTGACAACGCGTCCATCGATGAGCCCACGGCGTGAGTAGTCGTTCACCAGTGTCTCGACGATAAGCTTCTCCGCACCATAGGAAGACTGTGGTATCGGGATAGTCTTCTCATCGTACTGCTGATCCGGCGAATCTGGAGGGCCGTAAACGGCTAAGGAAGAAGGGAAGACGACAACAACGCCTGGCTGCTGTTTTCGCAGGTAGTCCAGTGTGAGTCGGTGAGAGTCGACGTTGACGGCAAGCCCTAGATCGAGGTTTGCTTCAGCTCCTCCGGACATGATCCCATGGAGAAGATAGCACGTGCTCCATTGCTGGCTAGACAGTAATGAGTCTACGGCTGCCTGGGTTGTGAGATCTGCCTTGACGGATGCGGTGCGAGATGCATTTGGACTTGGTGGTTCGAAAACATCCGCGAGTGTCAATTGAATGCTCGGGTCCGACAATAGGAGAGCATTGGAGAGTTCCTGACCAATGAATCCACCAGCTCCTGTGATGAGGATGTGTTCGCTCGAGTTTGGATGAGAGCCCATGTTGTAACGACGGAGCTTGAGATGACTTAGACAATCAATGCAAAATGAAGTGTAAAATATCTGTCTCTTTGGCTTGTGTCAACATATGGGTACCTTCTATAGGTGCAAATGCGGATCCATGACTACGCCTGCAAAGCAAAGATCTCGGTGGGCGGTGGACCGGCGAGAAAGCCGCGTGCGACTTCGACCGCCCCGCGTGCGGAAACAAGCACCCCCGGACCCCGCAATGCACCGCGGCTTTGACACCGAGCGCTACTAAATCGTATGGATCATCTTCGGAGCAGCTCGTTCTAGTGGCATAGGAAACCCAGTGAGAATCAAACGCAGCAATAGCCATACTATTGCTGAGCTCAAATCAACTAGTCAATCTAAGGATTCGAAAACCACCCAACATGCCTGAAGGTATCTCAGACACCGCGTCGAAAACGCTACCTAAAATGCAATATGCTCGACTCGGACGCTCTGGTATGAAGGTGTCGCGCATCATCCTTGGTGGCATGGCGTTTGGAAAACCCACATGGGAAGGCTCGCCATGGACGCTCGACGAAGAAGCCAGTATGGAAGTCATCAAACGCGCGTGGGATCTCGGGATCAATACGTGGGATACAGCCGACACATACTCCAACGGCGAAAGCGAGCGCATACTTGGAAAGTTCATCAAAAAGCACAATATACCACGATCGAAGGTGGTCATCATGACGAAGCTCTTCAACCCAGTCATGGACGACGACAGCAGACCGGCACCTGCAGATCCCTATTCGCAAGAGCTGGTGAATCAGATGGGACTCAGTCGGAAGCACATCTTCGACGCTGTCGATGCGTCACTCGAGAGGCTGGGCACGTCATACATCGATGTGCTGCAACTGCACCGCTTGGACCGCGAGACAGAACCTGAAGAGATCATGCGTGCGTTGCATGATGTAGTGAGCATGGGCAAGGTCCGGTATTTGGGTGGTTCATCTATGGCGACGTGGGAATTTGCCCGCCTACAATACACTGCGAAAATGAACGGTTGGACGCCGTTCGCATCGATGCAGCCATTCTACAACTTGCTCTACCGCGAAGAGGAGCGCGAGATGATTCCGTTTTGCAAAGCAGAGGGCGTTGGAATCATTCCCTGGTCACCGCTCGCACGCGGGCTTTTGGGCAAGCCTGTCGGCGCAACAAGTGCGCGGAATGAAGCAGACAGCAAGACGAAGAAGTGGTTCGGCGACGCGAACTCGGAAATCGTGAGTAGAGTAGAGGAGTTAAGTATTAAGAAGGGGGTGAGCATGGCGAGCGTGGCTACTGCGTGGGTGCTGCGGAAGGGCTGCAATCCAATCGTAGGGTTGACAAGTGTGCAGAGAGTAGAACAAATTGTAGAAGCATTCGAGGTCGACCTCAACGACGAGGACTGTAAGTTCTTGGAGGAGGAATACCGACCACGCGAGGTACAGATGTAGAATATTATCGATAAGCACTACCGTATGACGTCACCTGCCGAAGTGAACCTGGGCTCCAAGGCTCTATCTGTTATAAGCCGCATGCTCTTGAACATTTCCACTAACCTGATCGTCCATACCGAATAGTGAATGTGAATTTTGTGTGCGACATGACAGAACTGGGGACGGTTCGGTCAGAAGTCCGACGAGTGCAATGTACGGCTGTTGGCGGCAGCCGCTCTAGGTACATAGCCGCCATCCACCCATCTTGAGGCTTTCCGGCCACTGCGTCCATCGTTCTTTTTGCAACCGACAATGTCTTCTCCCAGCCCACTGCCCCTCAAGCGGACACTTGAATCACTACCGCCTCTTAAATCATCCTTGGAGGAGACGCGCTCCCATACCCGCGCACAGATTTGGTCCAATCCGCAGATACCGGTCCTGGTCGCGCTTGACGATGATCCTACAGGAACTCAAACGTGCCACGACATTCCGGTCTTGACGACATGGAGCGTTGAGGTACTCGCTCAAGAACTGGCCAACACAAAAGCCGGGTCGGGTTTCTTCATCTTGACCAATTCCCGCGCACTGCATCCGCCAGCTGCTCGGGACTTGATGATCGAGATTTGCACCAATCTCAAAGCTGCGTCAGCAAAAGCTGGAAGGCCGTTTGAGATAGTTCTCCGCGGTGACTCTACACTTCGAGGGCATTTCCCATTAGAGCCGGAGGCAGCTGAAGAGGTTCTTGGGCAATCGGATGCTTGGATTCTAGCACCTTTCTTCCTGCAAGGAGGACGATACACCATTGACAACGTACATTATGTTGCCGAAGGGGATGTGTTGGTCCCAGCGGGCGAGACCCCATTCGCAAAAGATGCGACCTTCGGGTATAAATCGAGTGACCTGCGAGATTGGGTTGTTGAAAAATCGAAGGGTGCAATCTCGCGGGAACGCGTTCAAGGACTGAGTCTTTCCGACGCTCGATCCGGTGGAGCAGACGCTATCGCAGCCAAACTGATGAAGGGGGCGAAAGGTACTGTGTTCATCGTCAACGCAGCCGCTGAAGAAGATATGGACATCATTGTGCACGGCATCCTCAGGGCTTCAGCGCAGGGGAAGAAGTTTCTGTTTCGCTCCGGCGCAGCATTCGTCTCGGCGCGACTTGGCATCTCTCCGATCCCACCCATCTCCGCTGAGCAGCTGGCCCTTGACGGAACAAAAGGCGGGCTGATCATCGCGGGATCTTATGTTCCCAAAACTACAGCGCAACTCAAGTACCTAAGGGAACATTCAAGCGATAAATTGACCACCGTGGAATTGGACGTCAACAAGCTTCTGGAATCGCCGGAGAGCCGCGAGGAAGAGTTACAACGGGCACTGGCTACGGCGGAAAGCGAGCTACAGAAACCACAGGACGTGCTTGTTATGACGAGCAGAAAGCTCATCACGGGTGCAGACGAGCGTTCATCACTCGATATTGGATCTACAGTCGCAGCAGTTCTTGTGGCATTTCTCACGAAGCTCAAGGCAACGCCTCGTTACATTATTGCAAAGGGTGGTATTACGAGCTCAGACATGGCAACCAAGGGTTTGGGTATGAAGAGGGCAATGATTGTCGGCCAAGCTGCCGCTGGTGTGCCGCTTTGGAGGTGCGATGAACCTAGTTCGAAGCATCCCGGCCTGCCCTATGTTGTGTTTCCTGGCAATGTGGGTGGTGAAGAGACGCTCGCAGAAGTTGTAGAGAGATGGAGAGTATGATGAGCTTGATTCTATTAGTTATGTGCGTTGGTGTACAAAGTTGATTGTTGAGGCCCACCACAAGATGCAAAACACACACAATTTCATCCATATAATCATTGCCCCTCGTAACATTATTATTCCGAATGATAAGAGATGCAGTATTCAGTAAAGCTCCTGAAGCAGCAAGCTATATGATGAGCATGGGGCGGAGGAAAGGCTCTAAGCCTTCGTAGCAAGAATCGCAACAACAGGCCAGCGGACTGCATGCCGTGCGCCATACCCACCCATCTCCTTCTCCAATTCTGCCCAGCTCCTCTCAATGTCCGCAGTCACGTCCTCAGACCTGAATGCGGGTAGGTTCATCTTCAAGAACAGCTTCCAGTCCTCCATAGTCCAGCTCTTACCCCAGAAGCTGGGGTCGTCTTTCAGGTCCACTCGCTCCTCACTGCGGACGCGACTCACAACCTCGATGTCGAAGTCGCAAGCTTCCGGGCCGTAGAAGGACATGTTGCAATCGCTGTTCCACTTCCATCGTTGCACGTCGGTCCACTGTTCAGGATCCAGGTCCACATTGTCCAAGAAACTAGACATGCATTCCGTCGCCCGCTTCCAGCCTGCCTTGTACGCCGGCCCAGACCCGTTCTTGATGTGCTTTGCAAACATAGCATCCGCAATCCTGTCGTATATCCGCTGGCACGCCGCCGCATCGTAGCCCTCTCCAACTGCAAAATGCGGGCGCCCATAGAACCATATCGCCAGGGTACCACCAGGTCGCAGGACCGTAACCCACGAATGAAGAGCCTTGGCGTGGTCCAGAAGCGGCATCGTCTCTCCTACCGCGACGAAAGCCGCGGAGCCAGGTTCGTGGGTCGAATGCACGTCTTCAGCAGCGAAGCGCTCAAAGCGTATCCTTCCGAGGGCAGCGCTCCCGAGCGAGCGCGCAAGGCGCTTTCGTGCAACGGCGAGGTGGCTCTCGTTCAGGTCGCTTGCGACGATGGCGTCGAAGTGACCCGACAGAACGGCTGCCACTTGTCCTGGTCCGGTCCCGACGTCGTGGGCGGTCGATTTGCCAGGAAGCGATTGGCTCTGGTGTGAGCGGTGGTACTGCAGCAGTGAAGCGTAGAAGTCATTCTGGGTATAGTCTGGTCGCGCGGTCAGGTAGTCCTCCCAATACTGGCTCCGCTCGATCTCGGTGGTGAAGAAATTCGAAGTGTCTTTTTTTGCACTCATGGCGAGGGGTGTCTTTGGCTTCGAGGAAGCGTGGGGAGTTCGGTAGGTGCCATGTTGACTCTTCGGCAGTGGGTGCGCTTGCCCCAAACCAATCCATGCAGGATGGTCCACGTAAGACCGCTTACCGAGTATGGCCGTAAGTCAAGCCTGACACACGCTCGGTGGCAGGGACATTCAAGCATGTGTGGAACGCTCAATGCATACGAAGGTCCGGGCCAGCCAGATTCGCTCACAACAGTGAACGGTGAAGTTCACACAAGCTTAGCAGCCAGCAACTGAGACCCAAGTGCATGAGTCGCCGCATTCACCCGGACACAGGATCATGACTCGTGCCCCAGACATAGCGTTCGGCCTTCCCTCCGTACCCCTCTCTACGCTTCCCCACTCATCCTACAAACCGCACCGGAGACATGCGCGACGCGTTCGATAGCTCCAGGGCAAGTTTCCGACTCGGAATGCCGCATGCGCAAACTCGGAATGAGTGTGCCGCAGACACATTCAATGCGGACTCGGGCATGCGATCGCGTTGATTTCCTCATTCACATGTACTGAAGCTTATACATTCTTCTCCGATCCACCAAACACTTCACGTCTTCTACAACTGCCTCGCCTTTGATACCTCAAGCTGCAGTTCATCTATCCCACTAAAGAACGACACCGTCCCCTCCCAGAACAACCACAACCCAACCGCCACGATGCCAATCCCCAAATCCACGATACCTGACAAAAAAACCATGCTTCCCCCCGGCGTCTACACCCCCGTAATAACCCTGTACAAGCCCACCAAAGCCCAGGAAATCGACCTCGACGCCATGTACACGCACTGCCAATTCCTCGTCCGCGGCGGCCAACACGGGCTCGTGTACTCGGGCACAAACGGCGAAGCCGTCCTACTCTCGCGCTCGGAGAAACAAGATATCCTGCGCATGGCGCGGCGCGCAGTCACAGATCTAGGAGTGCCGTCTTATCCCATCGTCGCCGGCATCAGCGGACAGAGCACAAACGAGAGCATCGAACTCGCACACGATGCGGCTGCGGCGGGTGCGAGTTTTGGGCTGCTGCTGCCGCCGAGCTACTGGGCGAAGGCGGTGAGCGAGGAGGCGCTGTTGGGGTTCTATAGGGATGTTGCGGATGCGTCGCCGATTCCTGTGGTTGTGTACAATGTATGTGCCTCTGACATTCGTACCCGAACATGGCACTGACGATGATGCAGTTCCCAGCCGTCACCTCCGGCATCGACCTCAACTCGGACGACCTGGCCGCCCTCGCCGCACACCCCAACATCGTCGCCGTGAAGCTGACCTGCATGAACGTCGGCAAAGCCATCCGCCTCGCGTCCAAGTTCTCGCCCCAGCAGTTCTCCGTTTACGGCGGGTCCTCGGACTTCCTGGTCCCGACGCTCGAGGGCGGCGGCGGTACGTCTCCCTTGTCCCTTGCCTCCCTCCCTCCTTGCACGCGAACAGAAGAACGCTGACTAGTCTGCCAGTCGGCTGCGTAACCGGCATGGGCAACGTCTTCCCCAAATCCACCGCACGCGTCTACGATCTCTGGACCTCGGGCAAAAAAGAGGAAGCCCGCGCGCTGCAGGAAGTCGTCGCCAACGCAGAGTGGGCGTGCAAGAAGTCCCTCGCGTTGACGAAGTGGGCGGCTGGGCACTTCGCGGGGAGGCAAATCGGGCTCGACGACGCGAAGACGTTTTTCCCGCGGAGACCGTACTTGCCTGCAGGTGAGAAGATGCAGCAGTGGACGGTGGAGGTGATGGGCGTGCTGGAAGAGGAGGAGAGGAAGATCGAGGACAAGGTGTTTGGGGGTAAGGCGGTGAATGGAGTAAAATGAGCTGTCTCGAGCATGAGTGGTTGCCGATGTTCAAGAGCGATTTATAGTGAACCGTAAAACGATCGTTTCCAGGGTTGCAAAAGAGATAGCAGGCATATCGATGTAGATTCATGATATCATACGACCTCTATCCTACCAGTTCCCCTTCCTCATAAGCACAGCCTCATTCGCACCATTAGCATTACCCACCGCACCCAAAGAAAATTACGCCAACCACCAGAACCCCAATACCCCGCTAACCCATAACAATGATGCAGAGGTATCATTTGCATAATCAATAAACCAAGTATGAAAGCCAGCCCTTTAGACCGTAACATTGCGTTCCGCTTTAGACGAATAGGAAACTTTGGGCGGCGACGTCAACGATATCGACGGCCGTGTAGGTCGGCGATTCTATCGTCGCGGCCCTCCAATGCCCATGCCTGCGCTTGTCATGCGCCCGCCGCCGGCATTCAGGCTCTGTCGTACAATCATTTCGGCGGCCTGCGCCGCTGCAAGACGTTCCTACATCACTATGAGTATGTGTATTGAGCAGAGTTGTTGACAGCACATACCTTCTGGCGACTCCTGTCACGCAAGTACCTCTCCGCCTCGGGTCGCATTCTCAAAATGCGCAGAATCATATCATCGCTGGGATCTGCCTGTGCCTCCTTTCTCTTCTCTATCTTGGCTTGGCGCATGGTGCCCAGGTTGCGAGAAAGCATGATGGTTTTGTGCTTACGCGACGGCATGCCGACCAAGCCCGCTGCACCACCAAACTGGTGTCCCATAGATGCCGGAGCTGATAATCTATTCATACGCGCGGCCTGTTCTTGTTGACGGATTTGAGTGGCAGCAGCCATGCCTTCTGACGTCCGGATAAGATCGTCGGTCGATTCGAAATAGAAGAAATTGAGGTTTTGAAGCTCGTGGTACTTGGGTGACTTGAGCACATCGATGGGAACACCATCAGAGTTTCCATCTTCGTCTGCAGCATGGAAGAAGTCAAACAATAGCTGAAGCCACTTAAACACGATATCGACCTCTTGTCGCGTTAGCGGTCGCTGTTGACTCAACTTGTCGCTCAGCGGAGGAACGAGCAGAGCTTCGATAGTCGCCAACACTTCCTTCCACAGTCTCGTCATGACCATAATCATCGCCGGGTCTGTCAATGTCTGTTTCATCAAGGCAAAATTCTCGTTGAAGTAGTCGAACAGCGGCCCAAGAGCTCTGGTAACATCTTGCTGCGTCGGTGCTTGTATGACCGATTGCGGACGGTTCCCCGTGCGGAAGAAGCTGGTGACTGACGATACGGACAAACCACCGCTAAGCATGGCCTTGAGAGCTCTGCGCGACAAGCTGTGGTTGATGAATGCGGAGAGCTTGTCAGTGATTGTTCGCGTCATCTCGCGCTCAGTCCTCTTAAGCGTCCTGAACGCTTTACCAAAGTAGAACTGAATATCGTCTCGTTCTCCTTCCATACTAACTCGAAGGAGCAATCGACCTTGCGTATCCAGATCCAGCCAATACTCGCGAGGCATAAAGTCCCTGAAATGGGAGGGATCTAACTTGAGCGACGTTCGCCCAACGCAATCGTGGTCGCCAAGAGTGTCCCAGTCCCAGATTGTCGCGATGATATTCAGAGGTCCGTTGGTGGTGATATCAATTGTCTCGTCCCATCGTGGATTGAGGTTACCATATATGACGCGCGTCTTTGCGAGACGTTTCTGGTACTCGTCGCCGAGGACGACATAAGGGTCACTGAGACCGTTGATGTCACACGCCTTGAGGTCCTCCGCTTCAATAATTTTGATGGTAAAGACATAGTTGTTGTTGCGGATGCGCTGCTGGGGTGGCGGGGCATACTTATTGATGACTTCGGCACATGCATCTACGTTGATTTCCCTCTCCAGCTTATCCAACTGTAACATGGCGTATTCGACGTTGTTCAGCTTGATCAAAGACTACACAAGTCAGTGCCGCATATTTGACAAGTATAGATTACATACCCCTGGGTAGAAGTTGAATGGTTCAATCTTCTCTTTCTGGTTGTATAGGTCTTTTGCCATGGATAGCCACTTTTCTTGTCGCGTCTGACGGGCTGCAGCTTCTTGTTCAGGAGTCATGCGATCCATCTCCCGAGCAAACTTCTGTTCTAGGAGCTCACAGTATCTCGCTAAGCCTATTCCTATGGACTTGGAGATTGAGGTCATGAACTTTGCGTATTGGAGGTCATCATCCCAATTCAAAGAGACGATCTGATCGATGCTTTGTTTGAAGGAGCGGAATATGTCAACAACAGACACGCTGTGGCGTTCATCGTCCATCGGCACGGGGTTTGGAGACTCGATCAGGAACTTGTCCGCTTTGAAGGCATTTTCGACCCAGCCAATGAGGCTTGCGTCAGTCCGTTCAATCCATCTCCACACAAACTCCTGCAACAGGCCCTCGATGTGGAAAGCAAATTTACGGTTCGGAAGAGCATCGCCATGAATTCTCCTGATTTCGACAAGCTCCTTGTACAGCTCGAAACCGTCATCGACTGGGACGTCCTGGCCGTTTTCGTGGGCAACGTCCAGGATTCGTGACACCAGGTCCCTCGCATCTCCTGCGTATGCGGGGAACATCTCTTCTACTAGGCACATCATGGGGCTGACACCCATAATCTGAGGATTCTTCTTGTAGCGTTTCTGTATCTTCTCACAGAGCTTCACCACAGCTCGCCCGAGCTCGATGACATGAAAGAACTCCCACTCTTCCTTCGTTTCCGGGATGTGTTTCGCAAAGAGGTCGTGGTATTTGTCGGTAGCCTTCTCACGGAGCGCTTTTTTCAGCTCCTCAGTATACCGGTCCATTGCTTCCGGGTTATCTTGGAAAAGATTGTCCTCGTAAATGTGGGTAGTCAGCACGTACATAATTGGCCCCAATGGCGGTGCCTTGGCCTCGTAGACGAGGAGCAGTGTCTCGTACAACTCGCGAAGCAAACAATCGTGAAGTACTGTTAGGATATGTTGTTTGAGGGCGTAGTCATGTACGGTCCACTTCGAGCTGTCGAATAGCGAGTCAGAAACCTGTACTTGACTGAGACGGTGTGACTTCTTGTCCGTCGGCGGTGGCTCCTTGGCGTAGTTGAACGCAGCATCCAAGGTGTCTAGGTCGACTTCCTGGTTCTCGTACTTCTCCTTGACCACGTCGAGGAAGAGGACCAATCTTGAAAATTGTGGCAGTCGCCATCGCAACGCTATCTCGGTCAGTAGCTCGGTAGACTGTTTGGACAGTAATTTGAAAGAGGGAACGTCGCTCGTCGCCTCAGACGGTTGCAATTGGGCGTCTGCTATATCGTACGAGAGTGCCTCCTTCAATATAGCACGATAGTATGCTCGTGTGTCCGATGGTATGAATGTGAAGGGCATTTCGTGTTCGCCACTATCCTGTAAGCTGAGGCCACTCATATCCACGGGCTGGTCGATGACATATGAGGATGCGTTTTGGGTTGCGTTCGAATCACGTCTTGTAGGATCATGGTACGCACTTTCGTGCGGAGCGTTTGGTTTGAATTGAGGCACAGAGCCACCAGGGGTACTCTTGGCTAGTTCGGGGTTCGACTGCACGATGGCGAGTATCATTTGCGACAGATCCTGAACCTCTTGATGGCGCCAGGCTTGATATGCATCATCGAGGTCAAAGTCGTCGCTGTTCAAGGTTTTGCTGCTCATCAAACTAAGATGAGCTTGGTACGTCTTGAGGTCTTGCAGTGCCGCCTTCTCTGTCCATACAGACTTGTATCGATTGATATCATTCTGCACATCCTGATAGGATATGGCGAATATGCGGGAAACTACCAGGACCAGGGGCATGTCCTTCACCTCATAGCTGCGTGGGACCTCTACCTCAATCGTGGAGCCCCCTTGTCCACCATTGCGCTGAGCCTCTGAAGCCAGATCTTGGTCATGCATCAAGAGCTTCTTCTCCATTGTCTGCAGTCGGGTCATCAATTCTGGGCGGTCGCGTGCCCAGTCGTGGTTTCGCAGCGTCGAGCTGAGTAGGCGGATGAAGAGTGCAACGTGGCGGTCCACCATGAGTTTCCAGCTGTCGTCGCCCGGGGGCTTGCCCTTGGACAGCTCTTTGGTCGCGTTGGAGAAGAAGATGAGCAGCAGGTCCTCGACTCTGCGGTCCTTCTCCATGGACTTTCGAAACTGCGGCTTCTTGAACTCGTTCAGGAAGACTGCAAAGGTCCGCTTCACGGTGGCATCCTTGTACTCGGGCATGCGCTCGGTGCCGACGAGCACGCCCGTTATCCGCTTGTCCAGCTCGCTCATAAAGTCTTTGGGGAATCGTGTGCTCTTGGAGTCGCGGATCAGGGAGAAGTCCTTCATGAGGTCGTTGACAGAGGTCGACGACCGCTGCACGGGTTTGGGGGCGGCGGCGACATGCTGGACTCGTTTCTGGCGCGGCTGCAGCAGATATGCGAGGTATGCTGCGCGGAGGGCGTAGAGATAGGCGTCTTGGGCGGAGACGTTGCGCTGCTTCCCTCGCGCGGAGCCGGAGCCGCGCCGCGAGACACGCTCGCCGCGCTGGATGCTGTTGACGCGGCTGTTGGTGCCCTGGTCCATTGCGTACGTGGGCGGTGTCTTCAGGAGCGGTGCGTGTGTCGTGCGGGAGAGGTTGGGCGCATAGCAAGCAAGCGAGTGCTGATTGCTGGCGGGCGCGCGCGGTGCGGTGCGGTGCGGCGGGGTGGTGCTGCTCTTTCGGGCGGTCCACGACGGTGTTTTGCTCCTTGCGTGGATCGTGCGGCCAGCGAGCGTAGGTGTCAAGCCGGCGCGCTGCAGCGACTCGTGGGCGTGGGCTCGGGCTTGGGCTTGGGACTGGGGGGCTCTCTTGGTGGCGGGAGCTTGCACGGCGGGTGCGTCACGTAGCTTGCGGCCAGTTGCAGCCCTGCCACCTGGAGCATGCACCCTCTGCTGACGCCCGCTCATGAAACACTTTAATCTTGGAACAGGCTAGCTGCCCGGCGCCGTCGCCCTTGCGCGCATCCCCCGGCGCGATGACGCTCGCCAGTCCACCACCGTAAATAAAGTACCCGATGCGTTGCGCTCTCCCGAGGCCCTGGCGCAGCTCTTCCCGTCGCCAATGCCCGCACGTGGAAGTGCAGTGCCTGTGCGCCGAGACCGCCCACCCCTCCGCTGCTGCTCTTTCACCCGCAAGGAACTGGAGCGCGAGGCCTGGCCCAGAGCGTCCATGCAATCGCCGAGCGCGCGCGCATGCGTCCCGCGCTGCTAACCTCGGACACGACAGCATCACGCTGACGCGTTGCGCCGGGCGGACCTCTGCACTGTCACATGAAGCGCGCTCCGGGTAGCCCCTTCCTCGACGTCGTCCACGCCGCCCACGGGCAGCCGAGCTACAACCTCTCCCTTTGCCGACGCCGCCCTTCGCACACACGGCACGCCAGACCATGCTACGTGTGGTCCTTGGACACGCAGAGGCAGATTACCTTCTTCATTCCTGACACACCAACACCGGCCCCACGATCCGACACAAACACTTCAGTCCACAACACACATCGACCATGACTTCCTCCCAGAGCCCGCCCCCAGGCGCGGCGGATAGACCCCGCCTCACCGAAGCGCAGAAGAAAGAGAACCACATCAGATCCGAGCAGAAGCGGCGCGAAGCCATCCGCGACGGCTTCGACCGCCTCGCGTCCATTGTGCCCGGCATGGAGGGCCAAGGCAGGAGCGAGGCGGTGGTCCTGGAAGCGACACTGCAGCACATGCGCGAGAAGATCAGCGAGCGCCAGAAGCTCATCGAGGCCGGCAAGACAAAGGGCATGGACACGGCGGGCTGGGAGCTCTCCCGAGAGACCGTCACCGCGTGCGAAAGCCAGCAGAAGCGCAACGAGAGCGAGCAATAGCCGAGCGAGGACGACAGCCTTCACGGATTTCACACGTCTCGAGACGGATTTTGATCGATTTGGCTTTTTTGTCCTGAAGGGTCTCCAAAAGGTCGACAGCATGGACCAGCGGGACAGAACTTGATACTCGGTGTTCCTTGAATATCGTGCGACGAGCACACGGCATCATAGACTCCAGGTGCCGGACGCGTCGTCGGCTCTCCTTCTTTACGCCGACACGAGCCAATGGCGACGCGCCGACTTATCGATAACGAGATAGAAAATACACCACTACATTCTTGACAACCCCGCGGCGCATCGCGTGAACATGTCTTTCAGCTTTGGCTTTTCGGGCGATGATATAGAAGCCGACACAGAAGATGTCTCCCAGAGCACCCAGCCCGCGGCAGCAGCGGCGCAACATGCCCCTCCGCCAATCCCGGCTCAAACGCACAACATAGATGAATTGGTAGGTATGCGCCTCGGCATCGCACTGCATACTACAGAAGCATCATGCCCAGTCAACTAGATATCCTTACTGTCTGTACACACCTAACATGTCCAGCTCTCCTCCCTCCCCGACAAACTGTCCTTCACCCTCACCACCATAACCTCCCCCCTCGGCCACACCACGCGCCTCCCGCGCCGCGAGCTCTTCGACGTCCGCCTGCAACTCATGGCCGAGGACGATGGCACCTCCGCCGCCCCGCTCGCGGGCCTCGACGACTCGGACGTCCGCACCAACGTCTACGAGGGCGGCTACAAAACCTGGGAATGCAGCCTGGACCTCGCGCGCTTCCTGCTCGACCGCGGGCCGCGCAAGGACCTCGACGACCTCGTGCGCGTCGACCACGTCGTCGAGATGGGCTGCGGCACCGCGGTGCCCAGTCTGCTGCTGTTCCAGTATGCGCTCAGGGAAAGGCTGGGCATGTACTTCACACTGACGGATTACAACGCCGATGTGCTGCGGTTGGTTACGCTGCCGAATTTGGTGCTGACGTGGGCAGGGACGCTGGATGAGGCGGGGAGCAGGGAGGTTTTCGGCGAGGCAGGGAATCCGGTTGCGTTTCCGAATGCTGAGGAGGAGAATGGCGATTTGTACATTACGCCGCAGGTGCTGGAGGCGTTCAAGGCGCAGTTGAGGGAGACGGGGTTGACGCTGACGCTGCTGTCTGGGTCGTGGCTGCCGACGGAGACGCTGCTCGAGCTTGTGCCGTCCGCGCAGGAGATGAATACGCTTATCCTGGCGTCGGAGACGATCTATTCGCCTGCGAGTCTCGTCGCGTTTACGGATGCGATGGTCGCGCTCATGCGGCGCGTGAAGAGCGGGAAGGCGCTGGTGGCGGCAAAGAGGCACTACTTTGGGGTTGGAGGGAGCGTGGATGAGTTTAGGCAAGAGTGCGGGCGCAAGGGGTGTGTGGCGTATGAGATGGAGTTTGAGGGGCTGGAGGCGGGGGTACGAAGGGCGATTTGCGAGGTGCAAATGTGCTGACCTTGAGACTCTCTTTGTGTTCAGAGAAGAAAACGAGGAGGGTCATGCGAGATGAATGTGATGTTTCATAGGGGTATCTAGGTGTGCTACGAATGAGGATGAAATGGGAAAAGCCCGTGTCGTGTCGTGCCAGAGTTCATAACCAAGCATGCACCAAGCGGTGATGATGTTCAAAAGTCCACGTAACTGCCTTGCTGAAGAACCGATTCAACAGTCTAGAGCCGGAGAGACGGTACGTCCCTCTGCCTGACGCTCACCGCTCTGTCTTCGTTCCTCCATTCGGCAACGGCGTCCTACGCCTTCTCGTTCTTCGCGTGCGCGTACACGGTCGGCATCTCGCCGCGATCAATGTACTGCGGCTTGTCGTCGCCCATGCCCTCGCGCATACCCTTCCGGATGGTCTCCCGCTCGATAGCCATGTTCTCTCCACGCGCATCCCGCAGGCGCTCGACGCTACGGGACACCACATCAATATGCCACTGCAGCGGGTAATCCTCCCGGAACCCAACTACCTCCGGCGCTGCGATACCGTCACGCAGGTTCTCCAAGCCTGTAGAGATCTCCCGCAGCTTGAGCAGCGTGGCGCTCACAAGCTGCACAGCGTTGGCGCGGTAGCGCAGGACATCGCGGAGGAGCTGGAGCGACTTCGCGTTTGCGGCCTTCGACGAGCGGTTGCCGCCGAGTTTGGACCAGAGGTCCGCGAGAAGCTCCTCGCGGTCGCGGTTGACGGTGTTGTCGTCGCGCATGGCGATGTCAGCGATGATGTCGAGGCGGGCGTCGAGGTTGTTGAGCAGCGCCATGAGGGACTCGCTAAAGACTATGAGGCTGGAGACGTCATCTTTGAGCTTGGACACGTGGTTGAGGTACTGTACGAAGATGCGCTGCTCGAGGGTTTCGGGTGGGCCGCGAAAGACGGAGAAGATGTTCATGTGCTTGACGGCTTCGGAAAGAGCGCCCTTATTGGCCTCGGTGGCGACGATGCCGTTGAGCACAGTCAGCGTCCACTTGTTGGTCGAGATGACTTGGTCCGTCACGTAGCCGATGCGTGCGTTGTACTTTGCGAGGTCGTCCGAAGCCTCGCGCGCCGTCTCAATGAACGAGTCGAACTCGTTCTCTAGCTCGGCCCGGGAGGGCAAGTTAGAGAAGCGCACCTGGATGCGGAGGTCGCGCATGGCAACCTGGCTCTTCTTCATGTTTGCTGGTAGGGCGTAGGAATCCTTGTTTGCCTCCAGGACATCTTCGAAAGAGGACTGGATGTTGACGAGCTCTTCAAAGTTGGCTTGGTGGTTGTTCGGCATCGTGTCGCAGAAAGGCAGAAGGTAGCCAGATAATGGGAGCGAACACATTGGCGCAAGGGTGGCCTGGAAGGAGTTCTTCAGGTAGATTGAGCCAAACTGGAGCGTCAGGACTAAGACGGCGAAGCCTGCAGCCACTCCAATAACAGGCTGCAAGCTAGCGAAGATGATCTTGAAGATGCCGAAGATATATCCGAGAACAGGACGCAAAGCGTAGTCCCAGAAAAGCCCCATGAAGTGCCATGGATTTACCGGCTCTTCTTGAACTGGGGCAGCCTGGCGCCTGTCGGCTCGAGGAAAGCGCGACATGTCTTTGCTCGCATAGCTAGGGGCAGGATTTCGCTGAGGGTTCCTGCTCCTGAGTTGAGAGTTTCGGATGGGTGCTGTGGGTGACGCGCTGTTGAAGCCATTCGTTGACGTGTTGATGGAGGGCATTATGAACGCCGGCTCAGGCGATTGCTGTGGCGTTGGTTGCTGGAAAGTTCTCGAGGCACCCCTTGCCATTTGCGGTCGCTGTGAAATTCGAGCGGCTGAGCCCTTGGTAGGTGTGTCATGGCGGATTTCCGTCGCCCGTGTAGTCCTGGGATGCGGCATAGGTGTAGCCATGTCGTCCTCCTCTTCGTCCAACACATCGCGCCGGTGCTCTTCAAAATAGTCGCTCTGGCTGCCAGTGTCCGACAATGAATCCGCAGAATCAATAGAAACGTTGTCATCTGAGTATTCGGCGGAGCCCCAGGAATCTCCAAGGCTGCCGTTGTGCCTTCGCGGTTGTGCGGCGGCCATGTTGTATCAACCTCCCTCCTTCTCTTTCAAACACTAATCTGAATAAGATGCTCCAACTAGTTTGAGTTCAAGTAGGGTGTGCAAGAGATTGCGTAGTGTCCAATGTTCAGTGTCGTTAACATGTAATGGTTCTACAGAAGAGGCTGGAAATCGAGGTTGCCACTTCCTTCAAGGTGTGACGTGGTATTGACCAATCAGCGCTTGTTGATGAGGAACCGCGTCAATGTAAAGTCTAACCCTGGTCTTAGAACTGGGTTAGTCGCGTGTTCTCCATTCATGATTATGCATTTGCGATGCGCTTCACAAAGACTTGATTCAACATGTGACGACGTCATCGTCATGATCAGATAAGATCGGTCGGCGCCAAGCCGCTAATTCAACGCGCCTCGAAGGTGCAGCGCAGCTCTAAAGCTCGCCAGCTTTCTCGATGCCGAGCATACGGCAACTTTCAGCAGTATCAAGTGTTCTTGGGCGGAGGCCATTGAGCTCACAAATCTCTCGCAACCATGTAGCAACTTCGGTCAGGAGCTGCTCATGCTCAGCTCCAGGTCCTTTCCAAAAATCGGTGGCCCGCAACGCGCAACGAGCTTCGCAAAATGCTCAATTGAATCCTACAACGTCGGAACCCCCCAAGCCCGACGCTGGGGCTGATCACCGGGTGATTGCGAAGCTGCATGACCTTTTCCTTACGTCGCCCATGTCCCCTGGCTCGCCGCTGCTCCTCCCGAATGGCGCCTACGTTTTCCAGAAGCTGCAAGACTTCCTCCGAGCACAATACCCGCAGTTCGGATACAAGGAGGTCATCACGCCAACCATATATAAGAAATCTTTGTGGGAAAAATCGGGGCATTGGGACAACTATGCGGAAGACATGTTCAGCGTACAGGGTCGAGGCGCGACAGGGCAGACAGAGAATGCGCAGGCTGGCGAGGATGAAGAGTTCGGACTGAAGCCCATGAATTGCCCGGGACATTGTCTGCTATTCTGGGGTGAGGGCGAGCTCAAAAGCTACAGGGACCTGCCTGTGCGGTATGCCGACTTCAGCGCGTTGCATCGAAACGAGATTTCAGGGTCCCTGACGGGCTTGACACGGGTCCGACGTTTCCATCAAGATGATGCGCATATATTTTGTCGGCCAGACCAGATTTTGTCGGAGATTGAACAGACGTTGAAGTTTGTGGGCATGGTGTACGACACCTTCAATCTTGGTCCTTATAAGTTGTTGCTCTCGACTCGACCAGAGGAACACTACATTGGGACACTTGAAGAGTGGAATAGAGCGGAAGAGCAGCTGACTACTGCTCTTAATAACAGCGGAAGAGAATGGGCTATCAATGAGGGAGACGGTGCCTTTTACGGTCCGAAGATTGATATCATTCTGAAAGACGCGACTGGGAAAGAACACCAAACAGCAACCATTCAGCTCGACTTTCAACTCCCCCAGCGCTTTGACCTGCAATATCAAGCATCGCCCGAGGAGCTGGAGGCAGGTGCTGTCTCAGCTGGGGACAAGAATATTGATCCATCGTGCCGTCGGCCTGTCATCGTCCATCGCGCCATATACGGATCATTGGAGCGCTTCATGGCCCTCCTTATCGAGCATTACAACGGCAGCTTCCCATTCTGGCTTTCGCCGCGGCCCGCGGTGGTCGTGACGTTGAATCAAAAGCCTGAACTGCTCGAATACGCGGCTCGCGTTCAATCCGTACTCGCAGGTGTCTTAGACCCCTCACATTCGAACAACGCACAGACAAGCGCCGACTTCAAACCGACGCCAAGACAATTATCTGCGATCCACCTTCCCATCGACGTCGACTCGAGCGCTCGCCAGTTGGGTAAGAAGCTCCGCGAAGCCCATAACAAGAAGTATAACCATATCATCGTCATCGGTGCTGAAGAAGCGAAGTCTCAAACCGTGCGTCTGAATATCAAGAACCAGCCGAACGATGGCGCCGTACGCGAGGTTATCACTGAGGTTTTGGGGCGGCCGCTTACGGAAGAAGATGAACTCAAGGGAACTATCAGTGTAGGGATGACGATAGAAGAGGCAAGAAGGTATTTCCTGGCTCTGGTGGAGAGATTCTTGTAGTATACTATAAGGCCATAAGAATGTAAATTATTGTGTACACTTCGACGGTCCGGCGGGTTGAGATGCCAGATCTTGTGATGTTTCTTGTTCGATACTCCGTATATGTTCTCTGTCCACCGCATCGTACACTGACATGTCACTGAGATGGTCGAAGGCTGCAAGGAATCAACCTAACTATCTAGGATGGCGCGTTCAAATGCAATAAGGTAGTACGCCAACAAAATATAATTATGCAATCAGAAGATGCGCACACGAGATGGACAATTAGCGTATAAGTTTAGCAGTTCCACTAAAAGCGTAATGCTTGTACTTCAACGTACTGACCCAGGAGCGATCGAATTCCTGCAATGTCTACAGTGGACAGCCGTGTCACCTTCACCTTCACTTGTTATTTATTCACTCTGCAGACAATCGATCTCAACAGGCGAGGCCCACTCTCTCGCCCGATTCCACACTTTTTGTTGGCTTTAGCATCCCCAACACCAACAAGTATAGAAAGAACCAATTATATCTTCTTACTCATCTTCAACACCCTCACCTCCGCCCAGGACTCGCCGAGATGGCGTCAACAGCAAGTGCTGACGCTGTAAGCCTTCCCAGCCCAGTATCTACCGACAAGATACCATGAAATATTTCGGTTTCGGAGGCACACATGTAAGTCGTAGCCACAACATCGCAAGCTCCCCTATGCACATACAGTACTGCGTACGACAGTATGCTGACCATCAGGGTCAAGGAACCTCGCTGAGATGGCATCTCTGTCAACGAGTTCCTTGTCTATCGCGGTCTATTGTGCTTCTATTCCGGTTTCTTTGTTTGCGCTCTGAACGGATCATTCAAAGAAGCTGGTTCAACTGTGTATGAGATGCATAACTGCAAGATCAGGACCTTCACCATCTCTGTCTATTGGCTAAACACCGGCCTCCTGTCGTCTGGGATCGATGGCGAATCGCTCCAACAACAAGATCCTGTGGATGTCTTCATCTTCGTCGATTTCTACGCTATTCCCGCATTCGAAAACGGCGCATTAGAGCTCATGTCGGGACAAGAAGGTTTTCCCAGGACAAGGTACTGATGTCAATAATAGTCTCTCGAGTCTCAAAACTCTCAGCATGTGGACAGTGCACTAATAATCGCAAGGTGAATGTATGGGTGGACGTCATGGAGAGGAGTTTCTGCGAGCGCTACCATGACTATGCTGAGGTGGTGCGGAAGGGATCAAGCACAGGGTAAGCAATCGTGTGTAATTCGCTGCACTCAGTGGCAATATGATGCTACTATCAGGCCCCAGCCCTGCAATCCAGGACGGCTGAAGTGGCATATCCACGAGGATTCTACACCTCGCCTCTGGTAGAGCTCACTCGTATTTCAGATTCACGGACCGTCTGTGCGTCGCGGTATCTCGCACGCATTCTCTTCATCAAGGAACTTCTTGAATTGAAAATGACATAGTGCTTCTCACTGTGACCAGATCAGCATTCGACAACATGATGACCATTCAGGTCACTCAAGGACCTCGCTTCCAGAAGAAGTTTTGAATTCATCGCGATGTTTTCTGCTTGTACTCCAACATTTTCGACCATGGTCTTAACGGCGCTTTCATCAAGCAGACTTGGCTCACAACCATCTGCCGGAAGAGTGCCTGTTGGGTGTTCTCCAAGCGTGCGTCAGCAAGCAATTCGTTGGAGGCACTGATGTCGGTCGCAACTGTGCAGATCTTGGAAAGCAAAAATGGTATGCAAAAATGAAGGCAGCCTTTCGCGAGCGATACCAGGATCACAACATGGCTGAGGAATACACCAAGGTTTATGCGTAAGTGATACCGCGACAGTTCTTTATACGTTCAACTGATCTGTTCGATTAGGAACGGCGCCATACTCCAAGGAAACTAGGCCTCAGACTTTGGCAGTTGGGGTGAAGACTCCGGTGGTGGAGTCGGTAGCCACTTCTTGTGTCTTCGTCACGAAAGCTGATGTGACAGCGGTGGAACATAACTCTCATGGGTGCATAACAATATGCACATCATCACCATAAGTTAAGCGGCTTGAGTTTCAATTTTCCCTTGAGGGGTCCATCTGACATTCCGAAACGTTCATACACCCCCTGATGCTGATGATATTGCATAGAAGTGCAAGTCTCAGACGTAAACGCCAGCAAGCGACGTGCTTATTTACCTGATCTGGGCGTTACACGGCATAGCTAAGAGGGCTTCTGGTGGCCATAATGTTTTGCTGGAGGAGTAGGCTACTACCACCTGGTAGAATCGATTCTGCCGCGATCAACTTGATGCCAGGCCCTATAAAATGAAGGTCTTCTACGACTGCTTCGCTCTTATTCTGTCCTCATGTATAACATAAGAGCGTCCCAACTCCCTTCTGTCGCTGTGCCTGATCCATTTCCAGCTCTGAGTACAGACCAGTTAGGACTTGAAAACTTGAAAAACGATTGACGATGACGATAAATGTTGTCGTCGACAAGATAGGCAGCAAGATTATTACGTGGTACGTTGGCGGGGATACGATCATATGGTACTTCTTCAATCTTCTAGAGGTCGATGTGGCACATTGGGCAGAGATAAAGAACACCTAGGCGACGGCATGGCTTGGCCTGTCGTGGCTGACTGAAGCAATGTCCGATGATACCGTACTGTGCATGCTTTGACAGGCATCCATCTTCTGGGTCTCGAGTCTTGATCCGAGTTGTTCGCAGATCTGTCAATAGTATGGCGGGCATGAACTGGAACACAGTGTCTGAGCCACGACTCATATGCATAAGACCAACTGAGAATGCGAAATAGTCATGTCTTTGGGAGCAAAATAGGATCGGTTATGTAGGAAATCAAACCCCGACAGCCAAAATGAACACCCCCGCTCGAATGCTCCATCCAAACTCCACCTATGCCATGCCAACGCAATGCAAAATCAAAGAGAAAAAGAAGCAGCCCGGACCGTATCAGCACGAGCGTAACGTATTTGTGCCTCGTGATCTCGTGAGTGCTCATGTTGGAGACATACGTCTCCCGTCATTGTCCCAAGCCACATTGCAGGACTGATTGCCGGACCAGAGTGTATCCAAGAAGACTCCAAAGTGGAGAGGAACGTTCCATGTCGTAGCCTTGGCGTCTACTGAGAGCTTGGGGTCGTTTAAAGACCAGCCGCATCAAGCTCCTCGGGCGTTTTGTGGCGCGCAAGGACGAGACGCTTGAATTCGTCCATGTCCTTGTCCCAAAGCTCGGCAGCCTGGCCGTTGAGCGGGCTCGAGCTATTGTGCGGTTAGCCCTGCTATTGCAAGGCGTAGTAAATTGTGAACTTACTTATTTGGCTCTCCGAGCAGACTCTGCAGGCTCAGCAGCACGGTACCAATGTTGTATACGGCGCTCCATTTGTCCTTGAGGATATCGAGGCAGATCCTGCCGCTGAAGTCGACGTTGGGATGGTAGATGGGCGTCTTGAAGAGCACCGTGGGCGGGGCGTACGGATACGTGGCACCAAACTCCATGCTGAGCTTGAAGACGAGGTTTTCGTACGGCGTTGACTCGGGGCCGTCAATAGTGGCAGTCCAGCGGCTCATATTCTCGTCGTCGGGAAAGGCGGTGATGCCGGGCGTGGGCTTCATCATGATGTCCATGAGCTCTTTCTGCAGGCTTTGAGGTGGGGTTAGCGTGCGTCACGGCCAGAGGGGGGGCAGGGAGAGCGTACCGTTGAGCGACAGTGGCGCCGCCGCTGCCGTTGGTGCGGGCTCCGGTTGAGAGTGCCATTGTGCTGTCGTCTTGACTTTTTTGTTGTTTCCTACGACGAAGAATAGCCTCCAAAGCTGTAGCAGAACCGCCGAAATGCAGTCCTGTTCGATCGATTTGTTGAAGAAAATGAAGAAGAGAAGAAAGTAAGAGGTCGCCGACAAGACCAGAGTACAGCGGTGAAGGTGAAGTGGGGGTGGTAATGGAGCTCGAGCAGTCAATGTCGTGCGTGCTTGTTTACTGTTCGCGCCATCACCCCGGATACCGTCTCGCTTCAGCTCGCTAGGGCGGTTCGACCCCCACCCAATCGATGCGCGTCAGGTACGCGACATGAGACTTTGTTGCGTCGCGCTTTGCCATCGTATGCTGGACCTGTGCTGGATGACGACTGTATAGGTATCGTGCTTCTGGTGGCTGCTGGTTTTATGAAGAAGAGGAAGGAGCTCGCCGCGCGAGGCAATCTCCACCACCCCACAATTTGACAAGAGAGGCCCATGGTAAACTACTTGGACGAGATGCTCAAGGCTAGGATTAGATCGATGAGCGCGTGATGGCCGCGTGGGAGTATGATCGTGCTGACGTTGTGCAGTCCAGGATGGGCATTTGGGACACTTGGATAGCACTCAGAAGTCTAGAGGCAGCATAAGAAGCACAGCAGGACAGGCCACCATGGCTGCAGTCTACGATCGCCAGAAAGGAGAAACAGAAGAGCTTCTTTGTGGAGCATGGTCTGCGGGTTAGCATACCTTTGACAAAACCCGACCTGAATGTTGTCAGATCGCGCAAAAACTCTCGCACTTAGCCATCAGGTTACAAAATTACGACCAGCAGGAAAGAGTTAAAAGAAGGATACCAGGCCCCTAATCAGGAGCAGAAGATAGAGAAGCGGTGGAAGCAGAGGAGCGGGCCGCGGAACGAGAGGACCAGGCAGGCGAGCCGGATGACACACGCTATGCATGGCTCTGCATAGGGATGAAAAGAAAATTGAGTGGCGGCCGAGATGGGACGATGGCAGTGACTGTGATCCTACTCATTCACCAACATCATCAACATGTCGAGATATCGAAGCCGGAGATGTGCGCTAGGTATGCATGGAGCACCAGCTGAGGCACAACGCCTAAGAGCAAGCAGCCCGCAGTTTCCGAAGACTCTGACTCAACGGCGTAAAAGGCTCCTCACTTGTTTGTAGTATCATTTCTACATGAAGACTGTAGGAACTATAGAAATCATACCCCGTACCCATGCCGTAGAGACCGACTCAAACGTCCACCATCACAGCATCTTCATCTCCCTCGATCTCACATCCATGAAGCACAACTCTCTGAAGCTCCTCTCCTCGAACCCCAGTTCCCATCACCTTCCTGACAGCACCACGTATTCCCACCCACTGCTCCCCCTCCTCCGTGAACTTTCCAAACCGACTCTCCAACAACTCAACCCACACCCACAGCCCAGCTACCGTCCTGTGCACATTCCTGCTGATCTGGCGATCCTGAAGTCATGTCTTGAATCTCTTCAGTGCCGTCTTAAACACTCTCTTCGCGTCGTCCTGGTCGACTGCCATGCCTATCACGCGCATCGTGTCGGTCGAGCCCACGGGGTACTCGCCGCACGAGATGCAGAATTGGCAGCCTCGTTTCGTTCAAGTTCGCTCGATGTCCATTCCTTGACCATCTTCATCCATAAGCTTCATGTCCAAGACGAGCATGCCCGCGAGGGTGGGCTTGGAGCCAGTCTGACTGATGCGGACGACGGTGATGCATAATTTCCGGGGCTTCGGGTTTCTTTCGCGCTGGTCTTTGTTAATTTGACTTCCTGCATCTATATTCGAGATCTGTGGTGGGATCCTGTGCCCCACAAGGTTTCCACCAGGTCGAATGCACATGCCAGGACACCAATACTATGCTTGGAAGCAGTGATGACCCGGCTCGAGGTGGCAAGCCAGTGAGTAACAGCCTCATACAGCTGGAGAGACGATTGGACACGCTGGTTTATAAGCATGCTTTACAGTACTTATAATTCCCACATGTTCCAGGATAAAGATATTGTACTGCGCAGAGCGACCGAGGGGCATTGTTGCTGTTTCCGATGCAGCAAATCCAAGGTATGGCTTACCCTCTAGATCCGGAGACTCATCAAGAACCCGAGATCCAAACTGTGGCTGATCTGGTTCAATCGCACGAGCAACTCCCAGTGTAGCACTCACGCCACAACCCAAGCATCCCATGCTGACCCACTCCCCATCCGTGTTGGTCAGCCCACACATGACGTCTCCGCATCCTGCTACACCGCCCAGCAACACCACACCGCACCCTCTACATATTCACCCAACCCTCTTTTTGTTCACAAACACCTCTGGTGCAAAGCATTCGAAATCTGGAAGGCTAAAAACGTCCACCCACAGTCAAGGTACGGCACGGACGGTACTTGTGGATACCTGGGTCAACGGCGCGCCACGCCTCCAGCGATTGGCCCTGCAGCAAGCGTGCGACGATCCCGGGTCGCGCGCCGACAGCAGATCCCCGCCGCGCACCCCAATCTCTGGCACGTCGAGGCCTGCCCGAAGCCGTCGCCGTCGCGATCGGCGGCGCGCAGGTGACGGGTGCTGAGCGACACGATCCACCGCGCTGCAGATCTGCTGAGCATCTGAGGTGTGTGGCTGTCGCGCGCGGAATCCAGTGGCTGCGAGGGTGGGACGGGCGTGCGCCGGTGGGTGAAGTGCCTTGTTGGCTGACTGCTTGGGTAAGCAGACGTGTGCCTGGCGGCGAGGTGGACTGCCAAATATAGGCTAGAGGTGCTGGGTGCTGGCTGAGAAGGGTGACATGGCGGCGTAGCGTCGATTGGTTCTACAAGAACACGACGCCTTGGAACGTGTTAGGTGGCACCTGACCGAGTGCTCTACAATAGGTGTGCAGTGGAGTATGGGTGGTGGGAGGGTGTGTGCCTGGCATGGTGAGGACGGCATGGCACGCCGACGGTCGATCAGCAGGGGTGCAGAGATGGCAGGACCGCCGTCACCGTTACTATAATATGGGATATTATGGACTGCTGTACGCTTCGTCGTGACTTCATAAATGCATTGAGACGCTGCTCTCGTTATAGAAACGTGCAGCCAGTGTAATCAATCGCCGTCGTATTCAGCACCCGTACCGACGGGATGTCTAGGCGACTCTGGGGAAGACACAGTTAGCAGACGGTTAGCAGCCTCGCAAAGCGAAGGAAGCGCCAGACGTTAATATAATCAGGATGCCGCGTACGCCTGAACGAGTACCAATGTCCGCGGTCGCATCGACTGTTGGTTTTGTGGGGTTTGTAAGAATTTCCACCCAATGGTGCACTTGTGGTCATGTGCGGGCACGAAACAGGATAGGTACTCGTACGGTTCCTGCGTGGTCGCACTCAGGTGGAGATGTTCACCCTGTGCTGTGCTGCCATTGTGTACGTGGACGCAGCGATTTCCTCACAGCTGGTCGGTGGCGCGTCTTGTGCAACGCAATCTATGTACCCCGCGGTCAACGTCAACCGCAATCTAGCCAGGGGAGATATCCAGGGTTCACATATTGCAGTGCGGAAGGCTTCCAGAAGCTGCGAGGGGGCAAGAGCATATCGAGGGGACTTGGGTTCGGCGGGCATGGCCCAATGCAGCTCTAGCCAGACGATAGACTGCGGTTTGCCGTGAGGGCCTTGTGCGAGATTGAAGGGCCTGCCAGTTTGGGTTCGTGATTGCCAGAAAGGCAGGAGAACAATTGGAGGTAGTTCATGCACACGTCGGCGTCCGGCGGGTTCGCTGCAGGAGGGGAGCGACACCACGAGCATCGTCTGCAGGTGTGGTTACTCATGCACACGCAGTGGGATGCCGGCTAATCCTGCTGGCCGTCGAGCCGACAGTCAGATGGCGCATACGCTTCCGGATCGACTTCTCTAGTCGTCCGCTAGTGCGCAGTGCTCATCGAGTGCCGCAGGATATTGGGGAAAGCGAGGCTTCGGTGCGGGCGCCCTCGCATGAGGGCTGGAGTCAACTCGGGGCTTGTTGGGCGTGGGCCACATCACGCAGAGAGAGTGGGGGTGGAGCCGCCGTCGCCGTCGCCTGCGCTTGCCCGGGGCGTGCCGGACCAGCAAGGCGAAGGTTGCGTGCAGAGCGAACGCCTGCGACTGTCTCGCGGCGGCGTCTGCACGCAGACGGCATTTCACTTTGATGGAGGTGAGTCTGGCGTTGGGGGTGCTCGGTGGGTGTTTCCGCACCACTATTGCGGGGCCTCGCTGGTCGTCCCGCACATAGGACAAGGGCTGGAGGGTAGCTCGAGCTGGCGTAGTCGTTGGCGTGGCGTTCCCCATTGAGCGCAGCGGACCGCCGTGGTGGATGACAGCAGCCAGCCAGCCTCGATGCCCTGCGCGCCCGCGTTTGCGTCAGCCGACGCCGCCCTCCGGCTCTCCAGGGCTGCTCAGCGGGCACAGAGGAGCGCGGCCGACGAGCTGCTCGCCAGCAGATAAGCGGCACGGCGGTGCGGTGCTGCTGGGGCTCAAACAACTGCACTCGAAACAGGCACGCCAGGATGCGCTGGCGCGGATGGACCGGGCCAGGGTGCAAGTGCAGGGCCCGGCATCCAAATTCCGCCGCTGTTAAACGCGGAGCCAGGCCTGCCACGAGAGGCGAGCAGCAGCGCCTCGGCGCAGACAGCGCCAGCGCCAGCGCCAGCCTCAGCACGCTCGTCGCCGTGCTCGGGAGCGGGCAGCGGGCCCAGGGCGCGACTGGCAGTGCTCTGCCTCGCGCTGTGACTGCGTGTGGTGGGCGCCGCAGAGGTGCTCGATCCGCCGACATGGGCAGCCGGGCGTGGAATGGGCGCAATGCCTTGCAGCGGGCAGCCAGCGCGAGGTAGCACGAGGCACTGGACGCGGCCCGCGCTGGATTCGCCCTCCAGAATTGGCGCAGTCGCTCTAGTCGCTCTGCCTCGACCGCCCTCTCCGGCCTCCACCGCTAGAGAGCCGTGGCATGCAGCCATGCACGCTGGCCCAACACCCGCCCGCCTGCGTGCTTGTCTGTCTGCCCGCTGTGCCTGCCCGCTCCTCTCTCTGCCCTTACACCGTCGTGGTCCCAAGTGCTGTCCAGAGTGAATGACATCGCCGCCTTCATTCCCTCCGTGACAGCCAATCGTTTCAGCACCGTACCTTAGTACCCGTGCGCCCACCCTGCCTCGATTCCGGGACCATCGCGCGCTATGACAGTCTGACCTGGTCTGACGGTCCTCCGAGCTGCGAGCCCTTTGTTCGTTCCTCCGCCCTCCTAACATCCCACACGCCAAACGGGGCTCCTGCCACGGCCACAGCTCGCCTCTTGTTTGTTGCTGCGCTGTGCTGCGCTGTGCTGTGCTTGCTACAGAGTGCCTGGGTGCTCTCTCCATGCAGCGTTTCCCTTGACCTCCTCAGGGTGCGAGCACACACCTGGTTCCGCTTTCTGTTGCATCGTCGTCCCCAGCTCCCATTGACAGCCTCACCATGGCGACTTCACTGCTTCCCTCGGGGAGCATTGCCCTCTTCGGCGCCCCGGACAGCGACATCGGCTCGAGGGTAGCCAAAACAACGCCCATCCAGGCAATGCAAGTGGACATGACCCAGGATATTGTCGACGAGCTCCTCGAGAGCGTGCGGACCGGGAAACCTCCGCACATCCTCTTCGGACGCACACCTGTACGTTACACTCTCACCACACCAGCTTCGCAGCTGTCGGGTCGGCTTCGAGCGTTGGCGGTGGAGGATTCTAGACAAGGACTACGGCTGACAAACACACAGCAACTCAAGTACGGCGACAAGACCTTTACTCTACAGAGCACCTCCGAGACCACCAGAAACGAATTGTACCACTCCAGCGGGACTGGTAGCGACGACAACCTCGAGTTCGCCAGCTTGATCAAGCACAGCCTCGTGCTGCACAAGGCAGAGAATGTGACTGCCGGTGTCGATTCGGCGTTGGAACAGCTGAAGAACAGCATGGCAGCTGTGAAAGAGATGAAGGAAGCCAACAAGTATGCCTCCCTGGTGTCCCTTAGTGACGCTTGGCTGTGTCGTACTGCTGCAAATCAACAGTGGTTTAGTGAACATGAGACTGACAAGTGCTGCCTCTCAGGACCGTTGTCGGCGATATGCGCAATGCAGGACACCGCCGCGTTCCTTCCAAAGGCTTCGTGCCGAGCCACCTCGCTCCTTCCGGCACCGGGTCGCCGCTGCTCAGCGTGCCTTCCTCACCCATGACCAAGAGGCCACCCACCTCGCAACCTGGCGGCGCCAATCAGGCCGTTCTTGCTGCTCTTCGTGTCCCCATAATCCATCTGCTTGCTATGCAGCCCGCCAAAGAGTCCTACTTGGCCCAGACATGTCGGACATCAGTAGCAAACGTTCGAGACCTGCTGCCCAAGATCGCCAAACACACAGCAGACGACGGAGAAAAGTGGCAGCTGACTGACAAGTCTTTTCGTGAGATCGATCCCTACAAGTTCCCCTACAAGAGCCAGGAAGACCGAGAGCAGGCCATCAACAGCGCTATCAAGTCATTTGATCGTTTGCGTTTGTCCAAGGAGGACAAGCTTTGGCAGATTCTCCTGCCACGTGACGAGCGAGGCCAAGGCAAGTGCCTCTCACGCCTCAGCGTAAAGGCGCCTGAGAAGCCACAGAAGGCTTCTACGCCCCTCCATAAGATGTCTAAGTTGAATGAGAAGAAGCCCGCTGCGAAGAAAGCTGGGGAGAAGGAGGTGGAGAGAAAGGTGAAGGATCCTGAAGCGAAGCCAAAGAAGACAGTGAAGGAGAGAGTTATGAAGCCGTTGAGGGAACCTGCGCCAGCAAAGAGTTCACCGCTGCCCGCGAAGAACTCGCCTGCACCGGCTGCAACCTCGACGCCTAAACTCTCTACCACTGCACCTTCCAACCGCGCCGCTCCTGCCGACGCCAACAAGATCCGCCCGAAGAAGGTCGCGCCTTCCGCCGAAGCCCCCTCTCCCCGCGTCAAACCTAAGATGGCCTCCCGCGATCTCCAGCAGAACCGCCCGTTCAGGCCGACCAAGCCTGTCAACACCAAGCCCAAGAATCCATCGCCGCTGTCCGCTTCCCCACCTGTCAATGCTAGTGACTTCGAGGACAGCCACCCTGTCCACAAGGCCCTGTCTGGTGCCCCCTCTCCCGCTAAGAACTTGTCAAGCAACTCCGATCGCTCGTTGAAGCGCAAGGCCAACGACCTGGACAGCGACATCCACAACCATAATCTTGCCGTCAAGAAGCCTCAGGTCGAACGCTCCGCGCCAAACGGCACGCCCGCCAACGCCCACGGTCGACCAAATGGCAATGCCCCTTCGTCCATCACCTCGCTCAAACGCCGGTCCGACGGCTCCTCCTCATCCACTCCCTCTACAAAAGTTCGCAAAGTCAATAGCATCGATACCGCGCGTGCAGCTCGCTATCCACAAAGCTCGCAAATCTCGCCAGGCGACTCATCGTCGTCGCAGACCTCTCCTACGGTACCTAGTCTCAGCTTCCGCCAGACCGTTGAGCTTAGCCAGAAGTTTCAAAGGTACTACAAAAAGTACGAAGCTCTGTACTGGCAGCTGACCGAGTCGGCGACCCCGCCCTCTCAGGCTCAACGCGACGATCTGCTCAAGATGCACAAGAAGCTCGAAGAGATGAAGCGAGAGATCAAGGCCGGTGCTGGCGCGCACCGCTAAACAATCATCATTATCACGACATATACCACTCATAACGGCCTGCCCTTGTCCCCGAGGCAAATTGCATAAAACTTGGTGTTGGATTTACTTTTCCTTTGGGATGTCTCATATTTGTGTTCTAGGACTATGGGCTGTCTTTCTAATTTTTGCATATACTCTACCTGCCCACGGACGGGCTTTGCATATGGGTCCTGGAGTTCTGCTGCTTACCCCACCTCCTACATATCTTAGCGGTGCTCAGCTGGAGCTTACCAATGTCTACGAACGGTCATGATGCATAATGGATAAACAAAATGAGTTGCACTGCCACTGCAACGTTGCGTGTAGAACACCAATCAAAAGCTATTCCTCCAATCCGATCTCGTCTATCCTATGCAGTTTGTGTTTGTATCAGACGTCTTGGGGAAACACGCTAGTTCCGTGGAGTCACCCAACGCATTGGGTGTTCTCCGTCCGCCGAACCGACTTGGCGACTGGACCCGGCCGTAGTGCAGCCGAAAAAGTGGACTCCCGCCCGAACGCCAGGCAGCATCTGGACAGCAGGACCGACGCACCCTCGCGAGTGTTGCACAGGAGCTCTTTGGGCAAATCCATCGACGCGGCATGAACAGGACCTACAGCCCCCAACATCTCTATGAGACTTTCGCACCGCGATCCGAGCCCTGACCCAGTCTGTTCCACCGATCGCCGCGATCGCCTAACACCCAGCACCCCTGTCCACCCGTCGCTTCGAGAACGTCATTCAGCCCTACGCACCTCACGTCATCTCCACGCTTAGACCCTTTCTGCGCACATCACTGCATCACGACTAACACCTCGAAATAACCATCCATGCGCCTGCTCAAGAACCTCCTTACGGGCATTACCAAACGACGCTACGCAAAGGTTCATGACGTACAAATCAAGTTTGTTCAGGACAAGGAGAAGAAACCCATCATGGACAAGAACGGTAAGCTGCACCTACGGACTTCGTGTTTCAGGTGAGGATGGGCAGGGGTGGGCGGTCAGTGCTCTGCGTGGGCCTTGGCGAGGGAATGTGGTGATTTGCCTGGTCTGGGGCTCAGAAACGCTGCCTGTTCACGTTCTCGGCACCGCGTTTGCGAAAACAATTGGATGCTGTGAGACTGTTCCCCGTTCCCGGGCGTCAACCTGCAAGAGATGGAACGCAAGGCAAGACACGGCAAAGAAAGGAAAACAGGCGTTCATGCCGCACGTGGACCGACGGCACGCCTGACGCACATACATACCCTCACCTCTTGCTATTCCCACCTTATCCCCTATACATAGCACCGCCGCAGCCACAACCGCCCCTGCACGTTGCTAACCCAGCACACAGTCCACAACCAGCCCCTAAGCCTTCACGGCACCTCCCCCCTCACAGGCTTCCTCCGTACAGGCTACTGCGAAGCGCCGCGCTCCGACGCCGGCAACCACTCCGTAGCGGGCATCGTCACCAACGAGTTTCTCGACTTCTCCGCCGCGAGAGGGAATGATTTGAGGCAGGCGGGGCTGACGGATGGATGCAAGTGGTGTCTTTGCGTGGCGCGGTGGAAGGAAGCATTTAATGCTAGGACTGGGGATGATGACAGGAAAGTGCCGAGGGTAGTGCTGAGTGCGACAAATAAGCGGGCGTTGGAGGGCGCGACGATGGAGGAGCTGAAGAAATTCGCGGTGAATGAGGAGGGGAAGTGAGGCGTGAGGGCCATTGAGAATATTTTTGATCTGCATCAACGGTATCCAACCGAGTCTAGTGTACATAGGGCTAGATACATGCAAGAACATGCTCCGCTTGACAGAATGATATTTTGACGTCGATGGAGAGAATACAGTTTCCTACGCTATGAGCCGGACGCACCTAGCTACCACGGAACTTGATACAGTGACTAGAATTGGACGGAATAAGGTTACGTTGACTACTTTTCCGGTGCACGATGGAGATTATCCAGGAGCCTCTACTACCAATGCTGCTCCGAGTACTCCAACTTACTCACACGTGGCTACTAGGCAGTCCTTACCGATCCACACCGTTACACAACGCACTGCCTCATTCTCACGCACAAAAACCCAATAAAAAACGTCAGTTCGACGCCGAAGCCAGAGCTCTCTCGGCATCTCTCGTCGGATACGAGCACCAAGAGTATTCAAACATATCCTCAGGCATACGGGCACTAGGGACAAAGCGCCTCAGATCACCCATGACAACCTCCTGAAACTGCTCCCCGACTCTAGACAGGAACATAATGGTCACAGCATGCTCGTACCGCACGTCGTTGTACATGCGCAGCCGTTCTGCGACTTGCTCTGGCGTGGTATCTGCGGGTAAGAGGGCGCCCAATGCGGCCGCGTCCTCGAAAGCTTGCGCACCGCCTTGGCCCATATCTGCGGTCGCAAGTCAGGAAAATCGAAGCCATATCCAGGCAGGACGAGGGATGTACTTACGCGGGAGCATGGGATGTCCCGCATCCCCAACCAGCGCCACCTTCCCCTTGACAAAGCTCCTCGGCGGATCCCTAGACACCAGACTCCACAGCTTGACGTCCTCAGCCAGACTACACAACTCGCGCAGCTCGGGCCCGTAGCTCTCAACCGCAGCCATCAAGTCGCTGTGCTGGCTCGAGTTGAGCCACGACGACTCGCCGATGTCATCATCGTAATCGTCGGTCGGGAGGAATGCCGCGCAATTGATGAGGGAGCCCGAGCGGCAGGGGTAGAGGACTAGTTGTTCGGTCTTTGATCGAAAGGCGTGCAGGCCTTTCAGACCTATTCTATCGACGAGGGCTTTGGCGGAGGGGTTGGAGGATAACTTGTCTGTTGGGACGAGGAAGCGGAAGCAGGTTTGCCTGGTGCTGATCTTCTTTTGGGGCTCGGCTGCGACGCTGTGGACTGTTCGGGACTATGTGCCCGCGGTCAGTGGCCTGATATATGCGTTTTCGACAGAAGGAAAGCGCTTACATGCACGCCGTCCGCGCCAATGATCACGTCGGCGTGGAACTCTCGCCCATCCGCAAGCATCACTTTCCCAGCGCTAGGATCCTGCCTCCTAATCAGCACATCCCGCTTCTTCATCAGTGCTTGAGCCTCATACTAACGACTCGACACCGCAGCCTAGATGGATCTTCGGCGCTCTCCCCCCAAACCCCGCCTCCGCCGTCCTGCGCAGCCCATTATGCAGATCCACACGGTGCACCAACAGCCACTCATCATCGAAGCCAAACCGCTTCTGAAGCTCATCCGTAGTCTTTCCCTGTTTAGTTGGACGCTCTCAATCAAGTACAGATGCTCTAGCACGTACCACAAACATGTTAACAATGTTGCCCTGCTTGTTCGACAAGCTCATATGCTCGCAGCGGACAGGCGCCATGGCTTCCAGATCACAGTGCCATGCGTCCAGGATGCGGGTTGCGTTGGGGGCGAGGTGGATGGCGGCGCCGACTTCGTTGCTGAAGGAGGACTTTTCGAAGACCTTGCGAGGTGTGAGCAATCACGTCATGGCATACAGCATGGGCAAGCACCTCGACATTATGGCCAGCCCTGGTGAGGGCGATGGTGGTAGCCAGACCACCGAGGCCAGCGCCGACCACAATGACTTTCAGCGGCATTGAGATGCCGAATATGAGGGTTGTTGGCCATGGTAGAGCAAATAGCAATGTTTATATTCTCAGAACATATTGCGATCTGCCAAATTCATGCGAACCAATGGATTTGGTGGGTCAATGTATGGAAGAAACCAAATGACGTCTTGAGTACATACTTCTAGGTCAGGAGCAGGCTACGGCTGTAGAGTGTTCTGGCTTCCGCTGCCGTATAAGTTTGGGCGGAGAGACTGTGGGTCTGGGATGGTGTGATGTCGGTGAGGTCGGAGGCCGACCACAGCCGCGGCCCGATGTGTCAAATGTACTTCATTCGTACATCAAAAACAGCATTGACCGCACAAGCTCGCACTCTTTCGCAGGATGTATTTGCTTTTTGATTAGTTCATCTTATACTAGGAAATTTGCCTCGTGTACTTGCGTGGTATAGCCCCTTTTCTACGTATCTCGGTCCGAACCTTCTCTTGCAACCCTATTCTTACTCCCACCTTCGCCATGCGAACCAACTCCTCTTCCAACTCCGTACTTTTCAGCACGGTCATACTCACTCTCTTGTTGGATGAGAGCGAGGCTTTTGATACGTTCATTGTGACTACAATACAGCTCCTCTTCGGCTTGTCTTCACTCCACGCGATGCAAGTTCCTGTATGGAAGCATGAGATATGGGCCACGCGCAGGTTCTCTGCTCGCCTACAACCTTATGAGATGGGCGGACACGCGTATACAGCTAGCCTCGCATAGGGGCTTGAGCTGTGAGATCGTGAATGTTTATGCGAATGTTTCGATCGTATCTGTACAGATGCTACATGGAATCGATTCGAGATGTCATAATACTCCTAGACCGTTCCAGCGGAGGTGCAGTCCGACTACAAGGACGACACCAGCAGGAATGCATGGGAAGGTACAAAGTGATACACTCAACATGCAGAGTAACATCCAGAAGTCTCGTCTTGGTATGATGTCACAAGAGAAGGCGCGAGTGCAGTCATTGTTGTCGCAAGCTCTACCGCGGGCGCCAGCTGGTCAGCGACGCGTGGAATGGCGGCAGACCCCGCGCAACAACATCCACTAGATAAGTTCGGAAATCCGAAAAAGAACAGGCTTTCACTGCAAAACTAGAAGGCCGTCACAAGATTCAAAATAAGATGACTTCTACCTTGACCTGCACAGCTCTCCGCATCGCCATACCTTTACCCGCTTTGCACAGCCTCACCTCTACAACAAAGCCACCCTCGCACAGCTGTCCGCAACGTGGTAGGCCGCGCGGTCTCTAGCGGTCTCTAGCGGTCAGCGCTACTTCATTGGCAGCCCGCGTAGGCAGCAGCAAGCACGGGGTGTTAGCTCTGCCTAACACGACGTACGATCGCACTCGCTTCTGCGATGGTCGCTTCGAGAAGGCGGAGCGTTGCGGCAGCCAGAGCTAGTCTATCATCAGGCGACGATGCGACGTCGATATAAGCTTTAGCTAGCAGTGCTCTCCCCCATTTGTTTTATATCTTCTGCAGCGCAGTGGTACATATATCTGAGAATTTTGAGCTCCCCACGGCGTGTGACCATTGTGGTACTCCATCCATCATGGCAGACAGGCCCCCACCAGCACCCGCCTCCAACCACATCAACCTTCCTCCACCTTCATCAACAACTTCTAATCCGGGCTTCACTCCCCGCTCCAGCTCCTTCCCTGATGACATTGAATCCGATTCCGAGGATGTCTTTGACCCAACGCCAGCGAACAGCCCAGGCGGCCCCCACTATGACGACCTCCCGCCTTCCTACGACGAAGCGCAGCAGCAAGCCCTCCACGATGCGCGGAACGGCATTCCACCCCTAAGCCCAGAGCACCTGAACGTGAGCGGCTTGCACCTCAATGAAGCGAGTCCACAGTACGAGATTCCCGCCGGCGCGCAGGTGCATGCGCATCGCGCTGCTGCCGAGGGGCTTGCTAAAGAAGGGTCGCGCAACGTACCAGTCCAGCACGTCCAAGGCAGCGAGAATGTGCCCGTAGGACAAACAGGGGGGACAGCTACTAGAACAGCGCCACAGCCGGACCAATCTGTCCTCTTGACCGCAGCGCTGCAATTCACAAAGCACGAGCCTGACACAGACGTCCGCTATGCACCGCGCCTCACACGCTGCGTAGCCATTCCGCAAGACACTACCGTTCCTACCGGACGCAAAGGCAAAGCCCGCGCACGCCGTGAGGAGAAGAAGGTAGAGCATAGAGTACATCCTGATGCACATATCCCCGGCGCATGGCCCGCAGCATCCACCGACACCCTTCCCACCGACGTCAACAGAAGCGAAGAGCCTGTGCAGTTTCTAAGAGCGTATGCAAAGGCTCTGCACGCGCATTCGATCCGCCCCGCAGAGTTTCTCGATTTCCTCGACGGCTTGAATGCGCTGTGTGCAGCGGCAGGATGTACGCCTGCGGACCTCATCCAGCCCGCTTCACAGGACTCAAATCCCAGCGTCGAGCTAGTGAGGAGCTATGTGGACGCCACGAACGAAGCATTCTTTGCTCCGAGGGGCTTGAAGGTCTCACTGCGCTCGTTCGTCGCGCTGCTGGACACTGCCCAGGTACCCGAGGAGCGAAGCCAACGTGCGGGCGCGGTGGCGGGTGTCCTCGACCCAAAGGCTACGCCAGCGATGAGAGCGCAGGCTTTGAATCCCTGGGTGGAAGCGCTGGAAGCCACCGTCAACGAGCCGAGCATTGCCGCCGTCATGCTCCGAGACATGGGTGAAAAGTTCAGGAATACATCTCAGCCCCTGAGCACTTCTACCACACGCGAATGTGCCGAAGCTCAGGTTCCTGAGAATGAGAAGACGCGGCTGGAAAGGGAATACGCCGAACGAGACCGAGCTTCAGCTACGGCGGACAATGACGACCCACCCCACTCCATCCCAGGAGAGTACCCAGAAAGCAGCGACGGGCCACGCCCACCATTTGGAGGCTGGCGCGGACGCGGCGGACGCGGCTTCCGAGGGCGAGGCGGCCCTTGGTCACCTTTCTCCGCGCCAGGCCATGGCCCACACGGCCCCCCTGGGTTCACCCCCTTTGGCCCACCAGGCCATGGACCCCATGGCCCCCCTGGATTCGGACCCCATGGACCCCCCGGCTTTGGACCCCGCGGGCCTCCAGGTTTCGGCTCAAGTCGTGGCCAATGGGCCACTCGCGACAACACTTGGGAAGCATTAGGGCAACACCTCGGGAAATGGGGCGAAGACTTCGGGAAGACGATGGGGGTCTGGGGCGAGCAGTTCGGGAAGGACGCTGCGGCGTGGGGGACTGATCTCGGGAAGCAGTTCAGCGGCAGGAGTGAAAGTGGGTGCGGCGCTGCAGGACCCAGTACGCCGAGGGCGAGTGCCGCAGCGTCAAGCGTGCCGACGGCTTCGAGAGATAGTGCAACGCGAGATGTGCAAGAGACGGGCGTGTACCGCGGGAACTCGCACACGACCCCTCACGACGACGTCGCAGCCGAACTCGAGAAGCACGCCGCGAAGAAAGCCTCCCGGAAGCAGGACAACAATGACGACGCATCATCCCTCTCATCAGACAGTTCTGACAGCGACTCCGACTCCGACTCAGATGACGACGATGAAACCGACGAGAAAGCATACACCGCCGCATCCACGTACTTCACCGCGCGCGTCCGCCAGATTAACGCTGCAGCCGAAGCCTCGCGCGCGAAGGGGAAGAAAGCCCCCGCAGACATTGAGCGCGAGCGCGCTGCTGCGATTGAGAAAGCGGCAAAGGACAAGGCGGCCATGGAGGAGAGGATCGAGCAGAAGCGGACGAAGCGCGCCGTCATGCGTGAATTCCAGCACCAGCGCAGGGATCTGAAGCGTGAGCATAGACAGGCGAGGAGAGAACTGAGGAAGAAGGGGTTGGGAAAGAAGAGTAAGGAGTGGAAGGAGAGTAAGAAACGTCATCAGGAGAAGAAGAAGGCTTTGAGGCACGAGAAGAACGATGTCAGAAGGCAATTTAGGGAGGCGAGGAAGACTGAAAGAAGTGAACGGAGAGGAAAGACAACTGTAGAGACAGGTAACGCTGCCAATGTTTGGGTCGTTGTAGAGAACCTAGCATAGTCGAGGATTGTGACGGCTTTCGTCTGAGGGATAAGACTCTCCATGCTGCAAAGTTATGAATTATGATAGCATATACTGCACTGTGGCGCGAACAGTCCCATCTCACTCTCACGGTACCATGTGCTAACTGTGAATATCAAACATGGTGCTAAGATTGGCACAAACAAATGGACCGATCCTACATTACTTCGTACCTCGAATACGATTGCACGACCTTCATGCTGCCCGTCTATGGATCCAATCAGATATTCGTACGCCCGTGGCAGATTCATGCTTTCTCAGCGTCGTTGATACCACCGTTGGTGATGATGTAGGTAGCTTCTTTCTCTGGCATATCTGGATCATCATTAGCGGAAGAAAGGATTCGAGAGCACCGGTGAGAACCTACCTGGGGAGTCCTGGATCTTTGCAACTCGCTCTTCTCCCCGACCCTTGCGAAGTAGGATGCGAGTGGCAGAAGCATGAGCAAGGATGTGGCCACCGACAGGTTTGCGGCCGTCCGCACCTGCGAAGAGAGCGCTCGCTCCGGGATCACTCTGCACTTGGTTCGTCATGAAGACAGCAACGTTGAATTCTGGATACATCAGTGCTTGCCCTGGAAGTAATTCTGAGTCTGTGGTGGCTTACCTTCCGCAACATGGGTCAGTTTGGAAAGGAACTGATTGAGTTTCTGTTGGCGCTCATTGAGCTCTCCGCGGCCGACATAGTCGACACGAAACAAGGCCATGATGCTGTCGATGATAAGGAGGCGGTACTCATTGTTGATGAAATATTCGGCAACCTTATTGAGTAGCTCCATCTGATGCTCCGAGTTGACTGCACGAGCATAGGTAATGTTCTCGAGGGCTGTAGATCGTTAGCGTCGACCATAGTTGGCATACTATACATACTTTGCTCAGGATCAACCCCGAAACGCTCAGCAATCTGCGTGATCCTCTCGGGTCTGAAGGTGCCCTCCGTATCTAGGTCCGACGATCAGTCCTAGCGAGGCTACCTGCAATTCGTACTCTTACCAATGAATGCGACCTTGCCCTCAGCACCACCAAGATCCTTCGGAAGCTGCGTAATCACCGACATGGTGTGAGACAGTTGAGTCTTTCCGCAACGAAACTCGCCGAACACTTCACTGATGCTCATGGTCGCGAACCCACTGCCATATTTAGCTGGATACAACAAAAGAGAAATGCACCCACCCGCCAAGAATAGCATCGAACTGCTTGCTGCCGGTCGAAATCTTGAGGACCCTCTTGCGCTGCTGACCAAGGTCATGCGCAGTTTGGAAGCCGCCGCCTGAGGGCTGCTCGTGTTGTCAGTCACTGACCTTCAGGAGCAATGGACGCGCAGTGATGTTTTGTACCTGACACTTCGCGAGAGCATCCTTGACCTTGTCGACCTTGATCTCACTGAATCCCTTGATCTTTGCTAAACTTCTCCTCGTGGCTGCATGCACGCTCGCGATGGTGTAGTAGCCGTTGGCCTTGAGCTTCGCAATGTCCACTGCGCCGATGCCGTGTGCCTGGATGGCGTCAATGTCGACGATGAAGCCTTCCTGTTACGCCATCAGCTAAACTTCCTCTCAGACTGTAGTGGCGAAGTGGGTAGGTCCAATGCACTCACATCATTTATGGAGTCATCACTCGCAACTGAAGATGGCGCCATAGCTGTGCAGTGATGACAGTGGATGGATACACGTTGAGTTGAACGAGCGATGAGCAAAGCGATGCACCGTAAGGGAGTAGAGAGGACGAGAAGAGGAGCGAAGAGGCAAAGCAGCCTGTTAAGTCAAGGTGTCGCGAGGGAAGGAGCAGAGGGGTCTCACGCTAAGTCGAGTGGTTTAGGGTGGGAAGGAAGGAGCGTCCTGGACAGCACCGAGACGCACCACGATGCAAACCTGGAATACTGTGACTGCTGAAGATACACCTTTAATATCGCATGCGGCCTGCAAGCGCGAGCTGTGGCGGTGAATAGTGCTCGAACCTCGTAGAGCCCTCGCCCTCTGCGATTCGCTTACGCATAGGCTTAGCCAGTAAAATCGACCAAGTATGATCAATGTATGATTTATGAGACATGCCATGCTATGCAACTCGCCAGAGCAAGTGACAAGTTTGGGTAGAGACAAACGCAAAGAAACCAAGGGGCAGGGGCAATGCCAACCAACTCTCCTCCGACAAAAACCACACACTACATCTTCCGTACACGTTCCCATCCATTCCGAAGTCCTCCAAAGCCCCATCCCAATCCCTCCAACTTCCACTACCAAACCACCACAGCCGCCTTCCTAGGTTGTCCCCGACAAGTTCAGTCTATCCGAGTCTTTCTTCCCTTGCCAGGCCCCAGACAGGGTCTGGCCAAGATATCGACAGAAATACAAGGTAAGATAGAGAATGCCGTCCCTCAAGTGTCGCCAAGCCGTTTGTTGTCCAAAGTAATGGTATGATAGATTTTCCGCGTAAAGGGATATAACGTTCGTGGGTATCAGCGTAGGATTCGTGAAAACTTTTCTCCTTTCTCGATGACAGTAACTCGTGATGCGTGAAGTTTGTCGAATGATGCCGGAAAGGCAAGATAAACGATAGTGGGCAGCAAGAGACAAAAACAGAATCCGAATGAATCAATGTCGTGGTATTTGCCATGGCAATGTTGCTAGCAGCACTCGACATGAAGTTTCAAGGTCGGAAGCATCCTAAGCAACGGCGGGGGTCGGGACCACAGGGGCGACGGCAGCAGGAATCGGGGCAGCACCGTCACCGTTGACCTCGGCCTGGGTGCAGTCGCGAGAGATGTGACCAGTCTCGCCGCAGCGGTAGCAGGTCTTGCCCGCAGTGTTGAGGGGGCCTCCGTTAGGAGCCGTGCAGTCGCGGGAGATGTGGCCGAGCTTGCCGCAGGCATAGCACTTCATAGCCTGAGCCTGGCAGTCGCGCGCAAAGTGGTTGGGCCCACCACACTTGTAGCAGGTGGCGGGGCGGCCGCCGCCGAATCCGCCCCTGAAGCCGCCGAAACCACCACGAGGAGCACCGGCACCAGCGCCGCGTCCCATGCCAGCGCCCGGGTTGGGGCAATTACGTGCCAAATGGCCGGTGAGGCCGCAGGAGTAGCATCGGCCGCTGGTGCCGGCGCCGCTCAGGCGGAGAGTCGGGCAATCGGCCTGAACGTGGCCAAGGCCCTGGCAGTGGTAGCATTGCTTGGTCTCGGTGGTGCGAGGGTGAGGGCATCCGTTGGACTCGTGGCCGGGCTGCTTGCCTGTTGTTGGATCAGCGACCGTTCAACCTTGTTGCGCGGAGACGACTTACAGTTGTAGCATAGCCTCTCAGACGATGAGCACACCTCTGTGATTCAACGTTAGTACTGTGTTCGCCTAGCTGTATTGCACAGCGCGTGTTTGCGCGACACAAGAGCCGTGGAACGAGCCGTCTTGCGACAACGCTGCGACATTGTCCCTCGAGGCAGCCGCGCAGGAAGGGCAGCTCACCAGCATAGTGGCCCACGTTTCCGCACTTGAAGCACGCACGACGAGATAGGGAAGACATGTTGATGGTTCCTCCGGGTATATCTGTGAGAAGCGTATGAGTATTGTACTGCACAGCGGGCGGCGGGGTAGGAAGCGGAAAGGGGCGGCGGGGAGGTATCAGAGGCTCGTGAGGGTGCGTTTGCGAGGCCGCTTGCGCGATTGCCGTGGCTAAGTGCGAGCGTGGGGTGTTGCAGTGGTAAGATGTGAATGGGCGCGCACACACCTGCTTCTCGTTCACGTCTCGTTTCCTTCACTGTCGAGGGCGTTAGCGGCAGAATTTTCGAGGGGTGATGAAATGTGGGCGCCGAGGGGGGAAACGTGGCGGGTCTCCCGCGGGATTATCTGTCAAGAGGCGCAAACGTACCAATGCAATCGAATCTCCAGTCCTTCCCTCAGCAACTCAGCTGCGTCCGTCCTCCGCGTTGTGTGGGCGATGCGCGTGTTTTAAAGAAGAGAAGGGGCCAGGGCTGTTGGGCGAACAAGGCTCGCTCTTTCGTCGCATAACCGCAGAATCACCGCAACAAGGGTCCAGAAGCAACCATGGGAGGCTTCCTGCTTTGCCACGTTGGCGCTAGCACCCTCGACAAGCTGCTATCACATCCATCTGAATGGCCATCCGTGCGGGAACGGGCCCCTTTTCGAATTTGCCTGTCCGCCTCAGCCGCCTGCACGCAAGCCGACCGAGCCATGAGCTGCCCTCTGCATCCTAGCACCCCGCGAAATGACACAATGCGCGATTGCCCGAGCCCAACTCGCCATCTGCTGGCTCGAGCGTGCTACGATCCCAATTACTTAGCTCCAGATCCGCAAACGCCCTCGCACTGCGTCTGCCGCTCATGCCAGGCTCCCAAGAAATCTTTTCAGCGTCAGGAGATTGGATGTTGCACGTGGGCCAAAGCTCGCCCGAATTGCCGAAACCGAGCTTCACAGAGTGTGCGATGCGGCTCCATCCGCGCGCTGCACGTTTGCCTGTACTTAGGGCGCCCTACTTCCGGGTATCACGTAGCCGCGCTTCTGCCCCCAGAAAGCGAGTGTGGTTTTGTAGGAATCATGCCTTCGTGCTCATCTGTTCGCTGATCCCAGCCTGCGGTGCTCACGCGCTTTCAACCGTGATTTCGCTTTGCGCTTGGCAGAACAATAGCCGCTCGTCAGAAGGATTGGGATAGCACCGGACGGGTAGACCCTCTTGTCGACCACGCGAGACGCCCGAGAGGCAGGACCCTGGTTAGCGTTGTGCGACATTGGCACCAGTTCTTCAGCGACCCAGATTACGCTCACATGAGTATGGGACTGTTGAGGTAAGAGCTCTTTAGTGTCGAGGGAAGTCCGGTAGCCCTCACTGCATCACTCTTAGAATGGCGGAAACACCGTTTTGGGACGGAGATGCCCATCATATTCGAAAGACATTCAGTATACACATATTTTATGTTTCGTTATGTTCGTAAGACCGTGTGACTCCTTTGGTTAGAGCACACATGTGCAACACTTCCCCAGTTATACATTCGAATAGCGCTTAAGGCTCGTTCTCAATAACAGCCGGAGCCGTAATGGTCGTGTTCTTGACGAACTCGAGACCCTCACCGCCCTGCACATATGATTAGCTTGATCTGGAGCTGGCCCACACAATCACTTACGTATGAGATCAAAGGCGACACCTCGACTCCTGCTTCAGAGTCCTCGCTGACTACGGTAGCACCCGCAGCCTCCACCCACTTCTTACCCTGGGTCATTATGTCCTTCTTGCTACTCTGAGGGCTGTCTTCCCCAGACGCGTTCTTCAGGGGCGAGAACTCGTCTTCACGCTTGACCTCCATGCAGGCAAACTTGTCGAGCGACAAGAACGGGAAGCAGTCGAAGACGAACTGCTCCAGCTTAATGCCGTTGGGCTTCTCCGGCTTGACCGTCTCGCCGGTCTCCGTGTTCACGAAGGGGATCTTCTTGCGCGCGACGTGGTGGGGCAGCTTCTTTGCCCACTCGGGAATGCTCTCGAGGAATTCGTACGAGTAGTAGTGGTTCACAATATTCGCGGCGCGGAACTTGAGGAGACCGGAGGACTCCGTGGCCTCCGCATCCTCGGTGGAGATCTCGGAGTATTCGACGACGTCAGGTTTGCCGTTCTTCTGCAGGATGAGTCCAACCGACTCCTTGGCGTCACGCTTGCGGACAACCTTGGTGGCGATGTCGACCTTCTGGGACGCGGAGAAGCCAATGAAGGCAGGGTCAGCGACCTTGACGAGGCAGTTGTCGACACAGTATGCATGGATGTGCTTGATGCCGCGCTTGCCCATATCTGAAACTACGCCAGCGTTGATGAGCGCTTGGTAGAGACCACCGTTGCCATCGGGTGCAACAGCGACCTAAAGGGTCAGCAAAGCCAAAAAGAGGGTTACCAGAGAGCTCACCTTTGACTTGCTCTCGAGAAGGATCTTGCCCTCATTCGAGATGCAAGGAAGTACACCCTGCTCGAAGATGATGACGTTCTCCTTCTTCAGTCCAAAGTAATTCTTCTCTTCGAAGAACTTCTGTGTAGGGGCACGCGTGGGTCCGCTGGTCATGACATACCAGGGGATTGTGACGCTCTCCTTGCCGTGCTTCTTCTTGGCCAGCTTCTCAGCCTTGACTATGCGCTCACCCTGCAGCTGGAATAGCGACTTGCTGCTGGGCAGCCCAATGTTGAAGCAGCCCTTGGGGTCGGAGCTGCCCAACCGTGTGCCTTGGCCACCGGCCATCAGAACCACCGCCACCTTGTTCTCTGCAATCAGCTCAAGACCGCTGTCGTACCATTTCTGGAGGTCCTCCGCGCTCGAATCGAGGACCGACGATGTGGCATTTTCGGGAAGCGGCTCGAGCTTGTCCTCGGCGGACTCCGCCTTGGGTGGGTTGAGTGCCTTGTCTGTGATCTCGTTGATGTAGTCAGGGTTGAAGTTCTGCAGCTGCTCGTACAACGCCGCCTTCTCAGCTGTGGAGAGCTTGTCGTAGAAGGCGAAGACCTGCTCCTGCCCTGCTTTCTCATACTTGGACTTGAGCTCATTGAGCTGCTCCTCGGTGGGCTCCTTTGTGGGAACGCCCTGCGCGCCGCCGCCGGTGATGTTCAGCTTCTCGAGCGTGGAGGTAACGGCATCCTTGATGGCGTCCATGATGCAAGCGGGGTAGTGTTTAGCGGGCACGGGAGAATAGCAGAAGCAACGTCAAAGTGCGACTGGAGAAGTTTAGCAGAGGGATGAGAAGATGAGTGAAGACTTTGCACGATGTCGCAGCCTCAATTAATGTTTATTGGCAACACTAGAAGAACAAGCTGCGGTGTGCTAACGCCGCCTTGCCCCACTGTCCCTGTCTTACGGTCCCTGTCCGCGCCTCAAAGCACAGGCAGCGAAAGGGCTCGTCGCAAGCGGCTGAAAATCATCCCCGACAACTAAAAATAGGTTTCGGAATAAACGGTTGCACAATTGTTCATTGTTGAGGATATCATCTACCAGATCATTCAGCTTGTATCTGTGTTCACATACTGCGAGTCGCAGGTGTACTTAGGGTAGGGTACACCAGACCCATCTAGACAGTTAAAGGGAGATGCGACGCCGAAAACCCAAACAACCGGCCCATGCATTATAGCTGAAATATGAAAGTAAAGAAATGCATTCCGATGCTGCTCTGCGTTGAATTTGGATTTGTCTTCTATGCAGCGTGCCCATTTGCTTCCACGCCATTGGTCTTAGCATCTTCAGCCTCGACCGGCGCCTGCTCCGGCGCTTTCAATGACTTGGCCGGCGCGGGGTTCAAGATGTTCGTAGCATCAATCAACCGAGCTTTCGGGTTGAGTTCAAGACCAAACCCAGGCTTATCGAGGATAGATACATCGAGGTAGCCCTTGGTGGGAATGGGCTCGTTGAGGAACAGATCACCGAACACTGGCAAGACCGATTTGCCGTCTGGGGAGTTTGCCAGATACTCCTGAAATGGAGAATGCGCCTGGCTGACGACAAAGTGATAAGAGTATGGACCGCTGGCATGCGGGACGACGGGGATGTCGTACGCGGCTGCCATTGCGGAGATCTTGAGCAGCTCGGTCATGCCTCCAACCCACATGACGTCTGGCTGGAGTATGTCCAGGTTGCGCCCCTCAATCAGCTTCCTGAAGCCATATCTCGAGTATTCGTGCTCGCCGGTGGTGAACTTCATCCGCGGGTGTGCACGCTTGATCAATTCGAAACCGTCCGTATCGTCAGGCGAGAGACATTCCTCCCACCAGTTCAGATTGAGGTGTTCGGTCGCCGCCACAACCTCGATGGTGTATTGTACATTCAGGCTCATGTAGCAATCAACCATAATGGGGAAGTCGGGACCAACGCTTTCGCGGTGTTTTGTGAGAAATTCCACGTTCTTCTTCAGTCCCTCAGGACCCTCTCCCGGGCCATATGGGAGGGGCACCTTTGCACCCCAGAAGCCCATCTCCTTGGCTGCAAGCGGCTCAGGACCAGTGCAGTAGAAATTCAGTCTTTCTCTTGTTGCGCCGCCGATCATCTTGTATACGGGCTCGTTTCGGATCTTGCCCAGAAGATCCCAGATGGCGAGATCGATGACGGAGATGACCGCTACCGGTAGGCCCTTTCGACCATAGAACATGGATCCGCGGTACATCTGCTCGAAGATGTGGTTTGTATCCCGGGGGTCTACCATTCATTAGCACATGGTCATTTGCCATGAAGTTGCACTAAACTCACCTTGACCGATCAGAAACCGCTCGAAGTGCTCTGCGACCAACCAGCATGCTGGCGGCCCTCCAAAACCAGTCGCGAAGCCCTTGGTTCCATCGGTCGCCTCAATCTCCACACAGAAGGAACCAAGCACGTTAATACCCCAGCTCGTGCGCGACTTCCTGTACTTCTCGTACTGGGACATGGGCGTGGATATCTTGCTGTCAATGAGCCAATGGCCGCCGTGCACATTGTGGTAGTCGCCGCCTGACCCTGGCCCTTGCGTGATGAAGGTGCGGACATGCTTGATAGTAGGAAAGCTTCGCGCTGTGCTTCCCTCAATCGTGGACGGCATCTCGATGCGTGACAAGGTGGCAGCGCTGGACGAAGGGATTTTCTATTTTAGAAGAAAGGATCAAGTGAGGGGCAGAGTATTGGGCGTAACATAGCATGAGTATTACCCATGTTTATAAAGGAATAGCTCATCATGTGAGGGGAACGCAGCAGCCGAAAACTGGACCAGGCTCTAAAACACAGCTATCTCGGGCTATCTCCAGGCGAATTGGCAATGATGTCCCGAGTGAGCCATCGTGACAGCCACAGAAAGTGGGGCCTCGCCGTGGCTTGCCGTGTAATAAGAGCCATGTGGCTCTGACGACCATCGCAATGCGATCCCCATACAGCAACGTAACCGCAGTTGCACATGTTTTTGCCGCTCACACGACGCGAACCGCTGCGTCCCAATTGGAGTTAAAGACGCACCCCGCGTCCGCTCACGCCTAGGACAATGGCGTGCAATTTCGGGCTCCACCGTGCGCTGTGGTGATTCGTCCGCGTCTCCGAGGTAAGGCCACAAGCTCAAAATCCGGGGCTCCACGCGCCGATTTGCGGGGACAACGATTGGAAAGCTCACCCTCGTTTCTTCGGGCTATTGTCGAGCGATCTTTGCATCCTATATCCAGTCCCACAGATTTCTTATCAAACATGGATACGGCTTCACTCAACGGCAATGGGACGCGCCCATATGCCAGCCCGGAGAGCCACGCGAAGCTGTCGCAGCATTCGCCAACCGATGAGCAGGACTGGAGCGGCGAGGGATCCAGCGGCGACGAAGCCATACAAGCCAGCGGCGCAACGAAGCGCAAACGGCCCCTTTCTGTCAGCTGCGAAATATGTAAGCAGCGCAAGGTGAGTACAACAATGCGCAGCGTCACGAGTCGGTTGGCAACCGCAATTGTATGTCGCTGTGTCACTCGGGAGCTTGCTACGCGAAGCGCTTCCCTACGCTCCTGCCTTTGCAAGTACATCCTGGAGTACAACATTGCGAAAACATTTGGTAGCTCTTGGAGTTACCCTTTTCGTTCCGACGCCCTGAATGTTGCTAACAGCGTTACAGGTCAAGTGCGACCGTGGCCAGCCAAGCTGCGGTTGGTGTGTCAAGAATCACTCTGGATGCATATATCTACCGCGAAAGAAGCCAGGTCTGCGCGCAGGTTACGGTCGAGAATTAGAGGCTCGTCTTGGTGAGTCGACTTCCGTACACTTCCGTTCCTCCCACATCAGAAAACCTAGAAAAGGACCCTCATCGTTTTGTCATTGCTGGGAAATGCTTGTCACGGGCTCCAGCCTCAAGTTTTGGTCAGTGCGATATATATACCGAGACGGAACATTTATAGAGCGAGCGGGGGATATAGACTGACTGGGAATAGATAAGCTGGAGTCATTGCTCCACCAACAGCAGAACCAGATCAATCAACTCTCTAGCAACCAGGCCACGGCAGCAGTGCCTTCCCCGCAGACCGGACCGGTCTTCCGGAGCCCTACTGTCTTACAACAAACGCCACATGTGCCACGGCCTGAAACGGCACTTTTCATACAGAAAGCAGGTAGTTTCTCTGCTGCAACTGCAACCCCTCTGCAGCCAAGCTTTCCTGGTGGAATATCCGACGCGCGACAGGCGCCCTCTGTCGGCAGCAATGGCTATCACAATTCGCCCGAGGATGTTGCGTCGAATGTGAGTGGGTTACAACAACGAGATGCATTTGCCTTCAACAACGATCGTTTCGCTCCCCCGTCAATGGCCGGAGCACTCGCACGAGGTGACCAGGACTTTCCACCATACGACTTACTATATGGTTTGGTGGATCTATTCTTCAAGCACATTTACCCTTGGTGTCCAATACTTCATCGTCAAGCGACCCTAAATTCCCTTTTTGGGGATACCAGCCTAGATGAGGCGGATAGAATCCTCCTACATGCTATGGTTGCAACCACCCTAAGATTTTCAACTGACCCTCGCTTGACCCCAGAGAAGAGAGAGCACTACCACCAGAACTCGAAAGAGAAAGTGCTATTGTTCGGAATCCAGAATAGCTCAGTCAAGTCATTGCAGGCACTCGTCATACTGGCGCTGGATGTCGTGGGATGCTCGAACGGCCCTCCGGGATGGAACCTCCTGGCTTTAATCACCCGGTCGATCGTCAACCTTGGCCTATCAGTCGAAAACTCTTCGCCAAAAGTAGCCCCTCAATATGCGTCCATTTATACTTTGCGGGCGATCGTCCTCCCAGAACCGACGGATTGGATCATGGAGGAAAGTCGAAGGCGGCTTTTTTGGATGATCTACGTTCTTGATCGATACGCGACCGTTGCAACCGCCTTCGAATTCGCACTTGACGAAAAGGAAATCGACCGTCAGCTTCCATGCCGGGACGAATTCTTCACTCGCAATGCGTCAGTGGAGACTCGCTGGTTCCGTACGTCAACGCGCACAGATTTTACACTGAATCGACCAGAGAATCTGGGAGCGTTCTCCTATTATGTCGAGATTCTTGAGATACTCTCCCGCATTCACAATTTCTTGAAGCAGCCTGTTGACATCACATCTCTGGCCGACGTCGAGAAATGGCAAAGTGAGTATCGTGCATTGGATAGCACGCTTGAGCAATGGAAGTACAATTTGCCGCCTGAATATGGGAACGCCACGCGCGTCTTCGCAGGACCAGCGGCCAGCAAGGATCTTAGCAGTAGTTTGATCATGCTGCACGCCGCCTTCCACACGTATGTACTCCGGCCGCACACCTCGAGAGGGGCTAACAAGAGTAGTACCGTGATCCGCCTACACTCTTCTGCCGCATACCCTACCCACCGCTCACCAATATTTGCGCCTTCCTTCAGCGCAAGTCAAAGATGTTTGAGTGCCGTCGAGAGCATAGTGATGCTCTGCCAATACATTCGCGAAAACGGTCTCTTGACGAAGCTCGGTCCCCCTTTCGCTTTCTCCTTGTGGGTTGCGGCTCGTGTTCTGTTGGTCCATGGCTCGACGATAGCTCACCGCGTGGATGAATCCATCAACCTGCTCGTCTTGACCCTCCGAGAAATGGGTACTTACTGGGAAGTGGGCTCTCGCTATGCCAATTTGCTTTCCCGCGTGCTGCTTGAGTACCAAGAGTCGCAACAAAATGCCGGGATAAACGGAGAGCGCGTCACTCCATCTACCGTCAAAATACTCGCAGACATGCGCCGCTGCGCATTCGACCTCGACTTCCTCATTGCGCGACAGCCAAAGATGCACCCCAGCCACCAGCCGACCCCAGCTCGGACTCCAGCACCAAACGAGTTGGAGTATCTCGACGTGTTCGATTTCTTCAACATGCCAAGGCTTCCTGTTTCCATGGACAGCGCGAACTCGTATGTAGCGCCGGACGGCACCATCCAGACCGCAATGCCTGATGGACAACCGGTCAACGAGTTCAACATTACGAATTATATGGTGGATGCCAGTTCTGATTGGTTCATCAAGGGCGCGACCTGATACCTTGTACAATTCATCAAAAGCGTGTGTTTGGCCTGTCCACCATACCATCGTTCATGGGCACTTGGAACAAGGTGGTCATCTTTGATTCTGGACATGCACTTCTTTTAGATACCCCTTTTTCTTAACGAGCATTGCCGCGTTGTCATGGCTGGTCGTTGGACACAATGAGGAGACCAAAACTATCGGTTGTTCACCTTCCTATCATGTTCAAATACGTGAGGCCGGCCGCAATGACGAACGTGGGGATGCGACTTTGCGAATTAAGCATACGCCGAGCAGGCCTGAGCCCTCGAGTCAGTGAAGGTGGAGTCCCGCTGCAGGCTGAGCCACCTGTGCCACCTGAGCCACGGGGATGGGTGAGGAATCCGGTGCATTTGCGGCCTGCGCCTCAAACAGAAAGGGCGAGGTGGAGCGCCCTTTGAGTGTGGGGTTTAGCAGTAACCCGGTTAGGTATTAATACTGGAAATTACGTGATCGGTAGGCTGCGGCAGTACTTTGCGCGAACGTATCAATCGCAGCCAGTGGCCGTCTTGAGGAGGCCGACATATCTTCCCGAACATTTCAGCAGACATTTCTGGGGCGCGATAGCGACAGCGGACGAAAAAGCATCGCGCTGGACACGAGTCTTTGTAGTCCTGGACACGCACAGTTGAAGCTCGTCGAGGCCGTAAGCGCTAGTCGTGAAATTACCGGCACCGCCCTCGGCCCAACAGTTAAACCTCGTTAACACACACCGCAACCCCCACCGTCCAAGCCGCTGTGCAAGTTTGCGCTAGTCCCGTCCTGTCGCCAACCGCCCTTCGCACCTGCAATCTGGTGCACTAGCTTATGACTCCGAACGACCCTTACGAGCAACCACCGTAAGATCTAAAAGTCGGGGCCAACCCGGCCTCAGGCTCTTGACTCATCTTCGCTCATTGTCCTCTCGATCATTCGAGTTGTAGCTCCCATCTGTACTAACGGCGCGCCCTTCCGCCATCCAACGCAACTGGAATCGTAACTAGCAATGGCTTCTCAGGGCGGCAACAACAGTAACTTCGACTTCAATGCGGGCGCTGGCATCGACTTTACAGGATTCGGGATGCAGCCTGCCTTTAATGACCTGAAGAGTACTGGAGAGGGTAACACTTCTTCGGCATTCTTCTTCGGCGACGAGGGTATCGACACGACGGCCACATTTGATCATTCATATGACTCAATATTTGCCCCGGTCGGCGGTATGGACACCACAGCGTTCGGATTAGAGCCTCTTGTATGTTCGCATCTCCCATCATATTAGGTTGTGGGTGGACTCAACACCGTCCCCAGAGACGTTTCGTAGTCGCATGGTGGGGCCTAGCTGACCTTCACAGGGTTTGGGTAACACCGCCGGAGATGCCTCATGGAACAACATGTTTCCCACAACGCCTGCGCAGTCCTTCGAGTCATTATACACACCTCAAATCAACAAGAGGCCACTTCAGTTAGATGCACATGACTTCCCTCCGGCGAAGCGACATGAGGCATTCTCGCCCTTTACCACGGGTTCCATGACAGGGTCGAGCAACTGGGCGCTCGAAACCCAGCCCACTCCAGCAGCTAGCTCTGATGTGACAGGTCTGAGCGACGAAGCTGCTGACGTGTGCGCAACATGGTTCAGCAAGTACAACGTACTCCCGAGGTAAGTCGACTTGCATAATACACGGTTCTACCCGAGACGAGTAATGGATGTCCTAACTCTTCCCCAGTGACAGGCATATTGACTCTCTTGCCCAACTCACTGGCGAGTCAGCAGCAGCCATCCGACAATGGTTCGGTCAGGCTTTGAAGCAGGGGATGACCGGTCAGGATTCTGCGTACAAGTCACAAACAGGATTTGCTCAGGACCCAATACTATTCCCGCAGTTGGCTCCTACTACGGGCGCAGTTGCATCGCAACAACTTATGATTCCTGATGTCCCATGCGTACATGAGACGCAAGCGGCGACAACGACGGTCTCACAGTCTCCCCTGCGCGGGGGAAAGAAAGGCTGCAACCCCACAGAGGATCCGGAGCTTTTGAAGAGAGATCCGAACAAAATTTACCAATGCACAAGAAAGTGCGGAAAGCGGTATGGAAGGAAGTGAGTAACTATCGGGTACAAAGTTGATGTCTCTTGCCTTTCCTTCTTGGCTGAGATATGTGCCACCCTGTTTTAACTTACACTGACTTTGTATCTTAGGTGTGACTGGAAGCGGAACGAAGAGGAGGGGTACCCCTCAAAGAGCTGGTTGTGCAGTAAGTCATTCCTCCTTGCAGATAGGTCGAGAAATTTTGGCTAGCTTAGGACACACATGCAAGCTTTGGCAGTACGGTGAACAGTATAGAGCTGGACTAGGTTTCGTGCAGCCAGCTTTGCATAACTTATCCTGAGGCAGCCGAACAACCTTGGTACCCACCCTTTGAACAGCATGCTAACGTTCTACAGGCCTATGCGTCAGCGAGGGTGTCGAGCGCGTAAAGCCGTGTTTCCGAAAATACCATTTCTCTCAGCACTTCAGGAACATCCACCCTGGGCTGAACTCCGCTGATTACGAGGAGTCTTCTGTCGTGTAAGTACCAGTAGCTTAGCTTGGCCTCTTTCGTCAGACCGTTCGAGGCGTTAAAAATCATTGGACCCACCTACGTGAATTGAATATCGCTAACTTTTTGTAGACATTCCGACACGAGCCTGCCACAGGCCGCCAGAAAGTGCGGCTTTTGTACGCACCGATTCGTGTCTCGACAGGATCGCATCGACCACATCGCAGACCACTTCAAGAACGGCAAGTCCATGCTTGACTGGAACGAAGAGGACACAAATGATTCTGATGACATGAATGACGATGACGACAACGACGACCGACCTGATAGCGGCGGCTTCGGCAATGGCAAGCCTCACTTCCCACCGGAGCATGATCCTCGTGGCTCTGGCTCTGGACCGAAGAACAACGGCAGCGGCGGTAACGGCTCACAGCCTCACCAGAGCGGCTTCTTCCAGTTCCAGGTTTCACAGCTCGCAGACGGCGATAGTAGCGGCTCATCACCAGGAGTCGAGCAGCACATTCAACGGGACTCCACGAATAATCAGCATATTCAACCAGCCTTCGGATTGGACGGCGCAATGTGCAGCAAGATACCTCAGGGTGCAATGTGCGATACCGCGACAACACAACACGCAACATCCACCGATGAATGCTCTGTGCATGGCCGGCACGATAAAGCAACGAGAGATGACTCGCAGTCTGTGGCCGGAGATGTTGTCTCCTTGCTGAGCACCGACGTCGTCCAGCTTCAGACGAGACCGCCGTTCGTTCCTCCAAGCGACGGTGATCCCGCACCAGATCGCCTGAAGACTACAATGGCAGTATCCAGTGGTAAGGAGATTGCAGATCCCAAGAGGACGCGCAAGTCTAATCATCTAGCAGGATCACTGACCCGCGAGACGCAAGACCTGCTCGGTAGTCTCAAGCTCCTTGGCGCCGGCGGCTTTAGTACGGTCGACGAAGTGGTCCATCGCGAAACGAGCTTACGCTTTGCCCGCAAGACCCTCAAGAACCGGGAACGCTCAGCCATTGAAGAACTGAAGAACGAAGTTGATGTTCTCAAGAAACTCCGCCATCCTCACATCATCCGGTTCGTGGATAGTGTCCAAAAGGGCGACAGGATGTCGATCCTGCTATCGCCGGTAGCAGAGACCACACTTGCCGCCTGGCTGGACATGAAGCTGCAGAACAGGCCAGACAGGCTGAGCGAGACCATTGTCACGATGATGGGCTGCCTTGCCTCGTCGATCCGGTACCTCCATGCGCAGCGACCAGTCGTAAAGCACATGGACATCAAGCCCCAAAACATCCTTGTCAAGCAAGGCGAGGATGTGCCACATGTGTTCTTAAGCGACTTCGGCGTCAGCTCGATGGGCGAGATCACTGCGAGCAGCAAGACAATGCCACTTACACGCCAGTACTGTGCGCCCGAAGTATCCGAGGGTGTCTCACGCGAGCTCGCGTCTGACGTCTGGTCTCTCGGCTGCGTCTTCCTTGAGATGCTGACCGTTGCTTACAAAGAGGATAACCCGCGCTGGCTTGATTTCCGCCAATTATTTGGCGGACGCAAGGGCAAATACTACTGGCAAGACGTCCCTGCTCTACAAGGCCTCCTGACCCAATCCCTCGAGCAAGCAGCATCTCGAACTGAAGCCAATGCTACGAGCACTGTCAAGGAAATGCTCAATTCCGATCCAACCGCACGACCAACTGCACCCAAGCTGACAATGGTGTTTACACCTGCACCTTGCTGCCTCAGTTGGCCCAACGAAAAGGTCGCTTATCCCGGACCATCTGAAGAGCTTCAAACAGTGAAGACTTTCTGCCAGGAAGATGGCCGAGATGCATGTGCTCATCTACGCGATGTGGATGATCAACACAAGCAACAAGGCGATACTGTCCGTCATGCCAAGCGCTGGCTCGAAGAGTGTTCCCACGACCACGCTGATTGTCGTCATGACGTACAAGGAATTCTTGCCAACAAGACCTTACCCACCCGTCTGATCGACATGTTACCAGAAGGTAATGTAGGCTTGTCCGTTCGCATTGTCAATGGCGCGGACCTAGATGATCGCCAGAGTCCAGACTACGCAGCACTCAGCTACGTTTGGGCAGATGATGAGCTGAAGCTATCAACTGCTCGTCTGGACGCAATGCAACGCAATCTACCCCGCGAAGCCCTACCTAAGGCAATCAATGAAGCCATCACGAAGGCTCAAGACATCGGCCTCCGATACCTCTGGGTAGACAATCTCTGCGTCCTTCAGGACTCCCAGGGAGACAAGCAACGCGAGTCCCGCGCCATGGCAGATGTGTATCGCAACGCGGCGCTCACCATTGTGGCAACGCAGAAGGGCATCGATCAACAAGCGCTCCAAGCTGCCGTCCTTCCCCTCAGCACGTATCTCACGCCAGGCTTCGCCTGGGATACGAGGGCGTGGTCACTCCAGGAACGTCTCCTCTCGCGAAGGTTCCTCCACCTTGGCGAAGAACAGATGTACTGGGAGTGCAACGCACTCAAAGCCAGCGAAACATTCCCCCGCGGACTTGACTCCTTCCGCAACGCGCTTTCTTCGCTGCTCTGGGAGAAGGTACATACACGTGCAGATGCGCTCTACGGTGTGCCTGCCACCGCGGGCCTCAACCACAATCGCATGCACACAGAAAGCCACTTCGACATGGAAGGCACCGGAACCGCCGCCGGTCTGGTGACGGAGCGCAACGCCAATGGGCACGGCGCCCCGACTGCGAGCAAAGCCATGGGCTATGGCAAGACGGCGACGCCGCACCAAAGGGTTGAATTCTCTTCAAACCCGGTGTGCAACGCCAATGGCCAAGATGTTGCGAATGCGAACAAAGCCATGGGCTACTGCAAGATGGCGACGCCGCACCAAGGGGTCGAAGAGTTCTCTTCACACCTTGTTCGTGACTGCCAGTACGTCCGCAAAGAGGGCGACGGGATCGGCGACTCCATGGAGGCGGGCCAAATGCAGCTCCAGCTCGCGGGCCTTGAGGCCCCGAGTGGATCACTCAGCGTCTCCGCCTGTGGTTTCGCTGGGCTGATGCGCGGTTGTCATGAAGCCAAGGACCCAGGCCGGAAGGGTCGGGAGAACGGAGTTGGGAATGGAAATGGAATCGAAGACGAAGGAGTGTTTGGGAAGAATCCGAATGCGAGGAGAAAGTATGAAGGGGATGAGGATGTGATGAGCTAGTACGAGAGTCCTGGTCACGGAGAGCGTCGAGAAGGTATTTCCTATGTAATTGACGAGTGTGCGCCTGCATTTCATTCGTTTCACCCACTGTTGTCTTCGATCCTGCGTCCACGTGTGGTGTGCGTTCATGTAAGAGATTCAGTTATGGCAGGTATCACAATGCTCCTCATGAAGAGGGCTGGCCGAGCACCTCCACGATGTCATGGACCTAGAGCCGCTCTCTCCCCCTAAATTGAGCGGACACGCATTCGCCCATTACCTATATGGTCTCCAGCAACAGCTGTCGAGGCTGATTTCCAAAATATGCATTTGATCACCTGCAGTAAGTTATGTTAGCCGTGCATGATGATTTCGCACGTGTTCGCAGCGGGAATGGGAACGGGACAAGAAGTTCGGCTGTGCCGACTCAAACTTCCCAAAGCGGCAGTATGGGAGCCCGTCGATGACGGCGCGCCGGCCGCGAGTGTCTTACCAACGGCAACCCCAGATCCCTGCCAAAATTTCTCGACCCAAGTCTGCACCGCGCCCGTCCCACCACCACCACACGTCCACTCTCTCACACAATGGCCTCTCCCGCCCCCGCTAAGAAGCGCAAGAGCGCCCCCACGGCCGTCGCAGACTTCGCCATCCTCGCGCTCGCGCTCCCCACACAGCCCGGCCTCCCACCCTCGTGCGCCGATGCAAAGCACTACCTCTACGTCAAGGCCCACGCGCCCGCCATAGCCACCGAGTCCACCGCGCGCTCGCTCTTCCTCGCAAACGTGCCCATCGATGCCTCGGAAGCGAATCTGCGCGCCCTCTTCGCCGAGCAGCTCGGCGGTGCGCGTGTCGAGAGCGTGGACTTCGACGGCAGCGTGCCGGCCGAGGTGGCACACAAGCACTTCAACCCCGCCGAGGTGAAGGCCGGAAACAACGACGGGCCCGAGAGCCGGGGGAAGAAGCGCAAGCGGGCGGATGACGGCAAGGGCAACAAGAGCGGCATGGTGGCCGAGGGCGTGCTGGAGGACGACGACAGCGCGCTGCCGCGGATATGGAGCGCGCCGGTGCGCCGGAGCGGGTCCGGCGCTGTGGTCGTGTTCGTGGACAAGGCGAGCATGCGGGGTGCGCTGAAGGCGGTGCATGCAGCCATCAAGTTGGGAACGACGATTAGCTGGACCGGCGGCGAGGCACTGGGCGTCGATCGTATGGCGCCCCACACCACATACACACGTGAAATACGAGCACGATACTGACACACACAGGCTATAAATCGCACCTCGCCCTGCTCCATCCACCGCCAACCCTCCTCTCCTCCACCACAAACGCGTACCTCGCCCAGTTCGACGCCGCCGCAGCCCAACGCTCCCGCGCCCTCGCACACCTGCGCTCCGTCCCCGACGAGGACGGCTTCATCACCGTCACCCGCGGCGGCGGCCGCAGTCTCCCCGCTGCCCGCCTCGACATGGCGCAGCAGAAGCAGGCCGAGCACGAGGACAGGATGAAGAAGAAGGGCAGCTTGGACGGCTTCTACCGCTTCCAGAACCGCGAGAAGAGGAAGGAGCAAGAGGGCATGCTGCGGAAGCAGTTTGAGAAGGACAGGCGGAGGGTCATGGAGATGAGGGAGCGGAGGGGGAAGGTCAGGGTGGAGACTTAGACTTTGGGGGAGGAGGCGGGCTGTGGGTGTGAGGGACGAGGAAAAGCAAATGATATGATACCCTATGAATATCTCCGTGGCAACAGCTATTTTGGTCTTGGTACAAAGCGAGCATGGGCAAGCTGACTGGTATCATCGAGAAAGCGTCGCATGCAGACAGTGCTGTGGAAACACGGCGGTGAGGCTCCGGCTCAGCATACGGCATAATACCCAGACCGAGAGCCACATGGCACGGAAGCTTTAAACCTTGCTTGCATTTGCTTCGCACATCGCACTCGTGGGTTGGGCGCGCTGTCCGGCTTCCTCTCGCGCAGCTCGGCGGTAGCGCCGCAGGCGAGAGAGAGAGAGAGAGAGAGAGAGAGAGAGAGAGAGAGAGAAGGCCTCGGTGCAGCTGGACCTAGAGCGCCAGTAGGTTTCCTGGCGCGGCAGGGCAGCGCGTCCGTAGGCCGTGGGCGCATCTGTCGCCACGCGCACCAACACACCGCTCACACGAGATTGATTGAGCTGGTCGTTTGTGATCACCAACGTGCTACCCAGCGGCAAGGACGACGCAGACGAGGACATGTTGGCTAGAACATTCATATGGGCTTTCATTTGAAGATACTACGCTCGCCGACAGACGCCGCCCATGCATGCTATGTATATGCTGCCCACGCCCCCATACACATCCAATCACCTATTCATACAGTTCCGGCCCATGCTGCCTGCCCCCGACACCTTGCGCCCCGCAGAATGCACCATGCTGCACCACGCTACTAATACAATGCACTGAATGACCCCGTCTCGGAACGCCTCCATCCTCATTATCTCATACACATACACAACCAATTCGAAAAGCCGCAGCGCTTCAGTACCTCTTCTTCTTCTGCGTGCGATGCACGTCCCCGCCCTTCCTGTTCCGCTTCTGCCGGTCCGTCGGCGGCTTGTACGGCTCCCTCCCGTACTCGTCTCTGAACCGCGCCAACATGTACTCATCAACATGTCGCCGCAGCCTCTCGCCGTCAATCCCTCCCGGCATCTCCTCGCCCAGCTCGCTCCCAGCTCTCGTCGCACCGCCCGGCGTCGCCGCCGTGCTCTCGCTAAAGTCCACCTGGTCGTCGTGGATCTCATCGACGATCTCCTTCTGCGCGACCGTCGCCGCGGCCATGTCCTCGGTGTCTTCAACAGTACCCATGACGCGCGCGTCGCCCAGGAGGCCTGCCTTTTCGCCGAGCACGCGGTCCATGGCTGCGCCCGCTTCGTCGCCAAGTCCATCGTCGAGGGCATCCTTCCACGTCACGCGGTTGAAAGTGTCGGTCGTGAAGTCTCCCTTCTGGATGATGACGTCGTCGAGAAGGCGCTTCTGGTTGCTCTTGCGCAGAATATTCGCTTCGATGGTATATTCCGAGACGAACTTGTAGATGTGAACGTCACGCGTTTGACCGATGCGGTGGGAGCGGTCCTGACACTGCTTGTCCATGGCCGGGTTCCAGTCGAGGTCGTAGAAGATGACAGTGTCTGCACCTGTGAGATTGATGCCGAGACCTCCAGATCGGGACGACAGGATGAAGCAGAGGATGCGGGGGTCGTTGTTGAAGCGATCGGTCAGAATTTGTCGCTGCTCGATCTTGGTGGCACCGTCGAGGCGGAGATAGCGGTGGCCATGGATGTTAAGGAATTGCTCGAGGATGTCGAGAACCTTGGTCATCTGGGTGAAGATGAGTGCGCGATGGCCGCCTGCCTGAAGGTCTCTAAGCAGAGTCGCGAGTCGTTGCAGTTTACCACAGTCGTATTGCAAGAGGCGTTTGTCAGGAAAAGCGATAGACTGGCGGATGCGGGACTCGTGGAAGGGGTCCCGATAGCGGACCATCTCTGAAGATCGTACAAGTTGAACACCAGTGTTGGACAACGTCAGAGGGGCCAACTCCTCAGCCGCAACCGCGGGAGTGACACAAGTGAAGCGCGTGACAAGCGGCTCCAGGGCTTCGGCACGTTCTTCGAGAGTAGGTATCATCTCGGTAAACGCGTTGATCTTCTGCTGATGCCATAATGAAGCAAGTGCGGGACGGAGCGGTTGACGGAAGCCTAACCTTCCCCGACGACCTTCTTTGATCCCAACAACGGGAGGCAGAGACACAGGTGCTTGCCCGAAAAGATTTGGGTGATGATATTGCATGCCTGGTGGATACGCTGGGTTGTACGCCGGCTGAGGAGGTCTAGTGATCTGCTCATCTGGTTCACGAGCACCAAACGCATAGCTCTCGTAATCTAGGGTGAGCCGATCGATAAGACCTTTGCCGTAGATAGGCAAGAACTGTGTCCGGGCACGAGTGAGCTTGAGGCATACCCGAAGTTGGTCTCGCACAGCAATTCTTTCCCTGTTTGCCATGTCCGCAAGAGTTGATTGAATGGAAGATGATTGCGGTTCAGCAGCCTTGTTGATACGGCGTGTGTGGATTTCAATGAGGTCTTCCAATGGACGAGTAGCGCGGATTTGCTGCGATCTCCGAGCTTGCAACATTGAAGTGCGCTCACGGTGCGCAAACACCAGATTCAATGCGTCCAAGTTGACTCGCTTGTCTTCCATGCCTTCGGATAGTCGCTTCTGGATGAGAAGATTCTTGATTTCGAAACGGGCAGCAACTGACTTTGGCATGGCCATGGAGGTCACAATGGCTCTGGTCTCGAACAGGTCAGGGTGGTTGCAGACTTTTCGGAGTGACATTAAGCAGTTGATAATTGACATGTAGTTCCCGGACGACAGTATCTCCTTGGTCGATGCGCGGCCCATGAACCCGTCATACAATTGTCGCTGTCGCTTGGACAGCTTGCAGTACACTACGTGTTCGTACTTTCCTGGCATTTGCTTTTCAACGTCCGCCTTGAGTCTGCGTAGGAGGTAAGGACGTAAGACCTCATGAAGTTTCTTGACGATCTTCTGAGCTTCTGCATCCAGCTGTTGCCGTCCTTGGTCTAGGATTTGTGAAGTTGGGTTCTTGAGGGCCATCGTAAATTCTTCCAACCCGGCAATGCGGCCTTCACCAGCGAAGCCAGCTGGCATTAGGAAGTAGAGTAGCGACCAAAGCTCGTCGATGTTGTTCTGCAGTGGTGTACCCGTTAATAGCAAACGTCGCTCGGTCCTGAGATTCAGCATGGTCTGCCATCGTTGAGACTTGAAGTTCTTGATGTTGTGGGCTTCATCAAGAACAAGGTATTGCCATGCACGCATCTTGAATGCTGCAGCATCCTGGAGGATAAGCTGGTACGAGGTGATAACGACGTTGATCATGTCCCGACCTGTGTTTCGCCAGCCGACACGCTTTCTTTTTCGTTCGGCAATGTCTCCATAGTACGTGAGAATCTTGAAGCCCGGCAAAAATTTCTTAAACTCCATCTCCCAGTTCAACATAACACTTGTGGGAACGACGACTAGATGTGGGCCCCACTTCTGTCGGTAAACAGCGATGTATGCCAGCACTGATATAGTCTGAATGGTCTTGCCCAAGCCCATCTCATCAGCCAAGATTCCATTTGTGTCAGACTCGTACAGATTGGCAAGCCAGTCAAGGCCATCATGCTGATATTCACGGAGTGTACCTCGTAGTAGTGATGGTATTTCAACGCGCGGAGGTTCAGATGGGTGCCGAGAGCGACCTCCAATGATGGCCTTTTCGGGCACGGTTGCAATTTCTTTCTCGAGTTCGTGTGTATCCATCTCCATGGGGTCGGGCACAGCTTTAGAAGTGTCATCGCATGGAACGATACCCGTACCATTAACATCTGCTGGCGTGCCGTTAGTGTCCGGAATAACTGTGACGTCTTCCTCTTCAATTTCGTGAACTCCATTTGTACCGTTCGTGCCATTTGCAGGGTGCGTGCCATTCAAAGGTGTTTCGTCGCCTGCGTTGAAGTCTTCCACAACCATCTTAGCGGACTCTTTCAGCTTTTTGATCTCGGCCGGGGTCAGAAAACCCATCACACCAGCGTCATCATCGCCCTCTTCTTCGTCCTTCTCGGAACCGGAAGCTGACGAGTCTACCTCGCCCTCATCAGAATCCTCATCTTCATCACTCGGCCATTCCTCGCTGCCAGATCCAGATACATCGTCGTCAGAATCCAGCAAGGCATCATCTACTGCTTCCAATTCGACAGTAGCCGGGTCGATGTAATCTGGTTTCTTTCCGTCTTCATCAACCTCCTCTTTATAAACACCGTTCGTCTGCGTGAATGAATCGTGCAAAGAAGTGTCGCCGTTTTCCATAGCTATTTGCAATTCGAGATCTGGGTCCGGAGTCGGCTCAGGTGTACCTCGATCCTCCTCGTCCGTGGCCTCGTCTTCATCTTCCTGCTCATCAACGCTAGAGCTATCATCTGGGAGGTCCGGTAACTGTTCGTATTTGGCGCGCAATTGCTCAGCAGTCAGGTTAGCATCCTCATCCTCTTCGTGCCCCTCATCGCTTTCGGAATCAGATGTCATTTGATGGTCCACTTCTTCTTCGCCTGAAACCTGCGATGTGCCGCTCCCAAAGTCGCCACCTTCGCCCTCGGTGTCGCGGTCATCGCTTACAAAAGATGAGGCAGAGTCGATCATGTTGCGACCCAGGATCTCCTGAGCTTGATTGAACATGTCATCCATTGCCTTGTGACCAAGTTGTACCTGCTCCGCTTCCCACTTTGCCACGCGCTCCTTGTCGATCTCGAGCCTGACATTCGCCCATGTGTCTTTGACGTCTTTGACAAGCTGCTTGTACCGGAGAAGAGCGCGATCAGCCTCTTCTTGATTGATTTCATCTTGCGACTTTCGCTTGTACTTGTTTTTCCAATACTCGTAAGCCTCTCTTGCAAGCGTCTTCGCCATTTTCCGATGAAATGCATTTTCTTCCCTCAGGAGCTTGTTGAACGTAAGAGCATGGTTCACGACGTGGTCCCAGTGGCCATATTTTGGTGGGGGTTCGTCAGCCGCTTCAGGTTGGAAGATGCTACACCGTCCCAGACTCAGAACGCCTCGCTCGGCAGCATCAGCGATTTGCAGCCGGCGCTCGGCTTCTTCTTGCGCCTTCTCTTCCGTCATCTTGTGACCCTCCTCTCCTTCCAACGGGTCATCCTGTTGTAACCATTCGCTAAACGACGAGTGTTTTCGAGGAGGCGGCAGGTGGTGGGGATGCCGTGTCGGTGGGTCGAGTCTTCGGAACCGTAGTCGGATGCGGGGTGTGGACATATCTGACGGATTCCCATCCAGTCCATCATATGCACCAAAGGAGTCTTCGGCGGGGTCGAAGGTGTGGGCTGCGTCATCGGTTGCAGTCAAGGTGGACTTGCGTCCAGGGCGCTTCCGGAGAGTTTCTGGGGACGCTTTGACAATGGCTGGCGACGTGGGAGAAGTGGCGAGCGCGGCGGCCGAGGCTCTCTTATTGCGCTCAGACTTGCGCGTTGGCGACTGCAGTGGCGGTGCCGGACCCTTCTTCTTCGCTGCCGACGATGCTGTCTTGGCTTTGGCAGGCATTCCAGAGGTCGAGACTGCGCGCGAGCTCTGTTTACTGCTGCTCTTGGACGTGCCATTCGTCTGTATGCCCCTTGCGACAGAACCGCGCGTGCTTTTCTTGACGGCCGGTTCGGGCGGGGTGGGTGCCTCTCGGTTCACGCGCGATGACTTCCTCACGCCATTATCGAAAATAGTCGTGGGGCCATCCGCCGCGAACGACTTCCATGGGGGCGATGCGGCGCGTGACAGGGACCGTCGTGGTGTGATGCTCTCAAGCTTCCGCCGCTTCGCAGGGCGCGACGCCTGGATTCCGTCATCGCCGTCCGCGTCAGCATCGCCATTCTGTGCCGATGTCTCGTCCTCTTCCTTTATCCCGAGAGGCTGGTCGTCGTCGGCTGGCAACGCGTCGTGTGTCGCGGCGGAGGGGGCATCGTCGTGTTCAGGCGTCGGTTGTGGGTCGGAGGCCATCACAGAGATGGTCGCGCTGGGAGCCTCCTCACAATAAGTCACAGCAAGGGGACCACCGCGCGCCACCCGAAATCAACATGAATCAGCCCGAATGTGCTGTCGCACGAATGGCAGCCGTCGGGGGAGTACGCTGGTGTGGTCGGATTCGCGCTGACACGTCTCCAAGGCGCGCTGACCGAGATGTTTCTTCGTGAGGTGATCGCGAAAAGAATCGTGTCCGGGGGTTAACGCCGCTGCCTTCCTTGAACCGCACTGGCGCATCGCCAGACTAAAACGGTCTAGCCGCTCGCGACCTACCCGCGTCAAGGGTACACAGCGCTGCCATGTCAGCTTTTCATTTTCGTCCTTGTTACCCTCCGTAGCACGCAGAGCTTGCAGCTCGCAGCATGGCTCCATGGTGTAGCATCACTGCTACACCTCATCCAAATTGATGGAAGGACTATGTTGATGACGTCGACACATGGTCACGTGCTTAGCGGAAGCCCACGAGTACATGATCCACGGGTCATTTTTGATGCCTTCTTCAAGATTTGGCTACAAGAACCGTATGATGGTTTTTTTCTGTCGCATATGTATGCGCTCAAAAGAGAAAGCTAAGCCATGCAAGTACCGTACGCCACAACCAGTGCGTAGGGGCCATTCGAACATACCTCGTGTGATAAGCAAACACACAACGTTGCATTCCAGCCGCGAAACCCCCAGGAGAACCGAACAATCTTCCTTCTCATTCGTGCTCCGATTTCCTCAAAGTAGCACATAGTTCCCCCCGTCTTCGAGCACTTCATCCACCCATAGTCGATTCCTCAGCGCAGATCCCACCGCTCCCCAGCCTGACGGATCCTCTAGAATCCTCCTCGTGATCTCCACGTCATATTCGCTCACGTCAACTCCAGCGAGTGCTCGACCCTGTCGCAATTCCACGAGGGCATGGTCCGGTATTGTACTGAAGAGCCCTGTCTCGCCCAAAGCTTGGCGGCGGGTTCGACGCCTCTCACATCGAATGCGGTTTTGCATCCAATCATGCCAATCTAAAGTCTGTACGAAACGCCTGTTGTATTCAGTGCGGAACAAGACGCATCGACACGTGTCCTCGGGGCTCAGTGGAATGTCGCGATCTATACGGTATCGGACTCGTGCTGCTGGCCAGCGGATACGGAACCCACGGCCATAGTGGACAGACCGGGCTGTAGGTCCCTGCACGATCAGGTCGTAGGTGTTATCGTCTTGGGACATGACGGTTCCCGTGCAGGTGGACCAATTGTTGATGCGGTTGGGGCGCCCATCTCTATTGTATTTCACAGTCAGGGCTGGACGAGACAAGCAATCACCTCGATTGACATACCTGGCAATCGTTGGCAACTCTAACCGCCTGAATGCTCGTCCGTGATCATCGAAATGACCATCAAGCGCTTGGAGGTCTCTGCGTAGTCTGTTCAAGCTGTCACGGATATAAGAATCTGCAATGTCTGCTGCATTAGGAGCTGCTGCTGCAGCGTGCGGAGGATGTGCGATTGCGAGCTGGATATTTCCGCTGAGTTCATCCATGTTTCCACCCAGTGTGCGTTCCACTTGGTCTGCTACGTCGTCACTAACGCCTCCGGTAGCTCCCAAATGCGCCATTGACAACAATAATCTTCCTGGCTCTTCCCGCTCACCATGCGGAGTACGCGGGGGCATCTGCTCAGAGGTCGTAGGTGACCTGGTCGGGGGAGGTCGCTCGTGCCGCTGTACGATGGTTGTTGACGTAGAGGCTGTGTAACCGTCCTGTGTCAGCGCTCTGTGGGGCGGCGGGCGAATATATGCACCTATCCGTGTTGATAGTGAAGCCTGTTGCCAGGGAGTAGATAGACCTGGAACCACTCCGGCTTCACCTGATTTTGCGAGCGTTGGTAGACTGTTTGCGGCTTCTACTAACGCGAGGCCTGTCGTACGAAATACAACGAGTGTAATCCTGGACAAGCTAAAGTGTACATAAAATAGTGGGTAAGGCGGTAGAGTGAGTGGTTTCAGCATCAGCGTCAGGGCGAGCGAATGAAGCGAAAGGCCTCGGACTGCTCTAAGCGTGTGCTGTGGCAGGCACGGCGGGCTTTGCGCCTTCCGTGTTTGGGGTGAACTTTCCCAGGCGGGTTGGTGAGCCATGCCATGCACATGCAGCGCCACAATGAAGGTGGTTTACCGAGCTTGATCTTTAGCATACAAGATGGTTCGTAGACCTTATATTACTCTGCAAGAAACCGTGACGTTGCAATTACAACTTTGCCGGGATGAGAGAAAGAGTGCATGAAAGATTCAACTACCAGGCTTTTAACAGCAGCGTCCGCAGTATAAGAAAGCAGTATTCAAACAGTTCGGCAACAGAGGAAATGTTCAGTGACACGGTGAGCAGGTCTTTCACATTCCATTACTTGACCAGTTGTAAACCATTCGAGGCGATTTCGGTCAACGAAAGCAGCTGAGAGGAGAGAGCTTAATTGAACATGCAGTCTCGTAGCAATTTCAGAGCGCGAAAACGGTCGCTCTTCATTCCGGCAGCATGTTGCAAGTGATAAAGGCTCAGAAGATGCGGCACAGAGCAGAACGAGGAGAAAGAGCGATTGTTGAGGTCGGACGAATGTTGCCGGTGTTCCGAAGCCCGTCGAAACCTTGCCTCAACAACACATCGCCACGCGTCCCCATCTCCCCATCAATCTCATTGTCCCGAGCATGGTTCATGGCTTATGAAGTTGGTGCTACTGCTTGGTGTGTTACTTTGCGTTCTCGTCGAAATGATGCATCAAGTGTGCGGTCGAGGATCGCGCTATGGGATAGGAGATTTGTATGGTTGCTTTCAAAATTAAGGCTTTGAGGTGCTGCGAAGCAGGCGATATCTTGAGAGCAACGAAGAGACCCGAAAATCAGGACCCGTATACTATATCTTACCGCGCACGCATCCTTGCGCGTTTTGGGGCCACCACTCCAAGAGACGCCAGGATGTCTTCAAGAATAGTCGTGAATACACATCCGCTATTTCACACACATCCGGAACACGTGACAACGGATGGACTCACATGCACTTGGCGCTACAGTAGGAAATAATAAGACTAGGATGATGAGCTATGGAAGGCGACAATCATTCTGCTGCGTCTGTGCTTGGCTCTGGTCATTGAGCAAACTCAATGCCAGGTTCGTAGCCCTCACCACGTACAAGTGCACAGTCCGACTTCGAGGGCCGCCTATTCAACCAATAAGAGTACCCAGTTTTCTAGACTTACCCGATTTTCCAAGCACCACCCCAGTTTTGCGCAGGACCATATCGGGTGAACGCGCAGGAAGTGTGCGGCTGCATCGATATGCCATGGACCTTCAGGCCTGTCGTGGAGAGCAAGCTCCCCACATATCTCAGGCAATATTACTACATCATAAGACGAGTTGGGCGTTACCACCTGTAGGAGGAGCTAGCTTGGGGATCCGGGGGTGGGCGGCGGGCGAGGACGGAGGGCGAGACGAAGTGAGAGAGAAAGTAAGAGAGTCGACGAACAAGGCGACGACTTAAATAGACAAAAATTCTTGACAAAACGCGAGAAGACGCGGGAGCAAACAGACACGAAGGGATTCGACCGTACGCGAATCTCAGGTGTAGGTGACAGTGAAAAACTGGTGGAGACTCCAGTTCGCCATGGTGATACTACGCTATATTCGAAGTTGTCAAAGAATCCTTCCAAGCGTGTAGAGATGGCAAACGGCCGTGAAGACTGACCTTGCTCAAAGCTATGCTTCTTTTTCGAAAGCCCGGCAACGCCGCAGAAGTCAATGAAAATTCTTAAGCGAAACTGAGATATCTGCACCACCCCGCAGAACACGGTGAGCCCCTTTAGAAGGCCTTAGCCCCAACATCGCTACCACTAGGACGAAACACCCCCCTCATGACATGGGCAGTCCCCACAACTGGAGGCTCTCCCTCTGGCAAAAGCAATGTCACACCCTCCCTGAACCCGTTCTGACATTGAAGCCACGGCCCCTGTGGGCTGTCAAAGAGCCTAAGCACCTCCATATCGTAGGCATTTGACCAATCACATCACGTCCGTACTAGGTGGGGCGTCTTCGTCGTCGTCGCCTGTCATCCGGGACTCAGTTTGAAATCAAGTGGTTGTACCAGGTAAAAGTATCAGCAAGGCCAGCGCGAATCCGCCGCGCTTGTCTTGGAATAAAAACTCCATATCTAGTACCGCTTTTGTCTCATTCCAAAAATTTCAAGCTTCAAATTCTCACCAGTCGAGTATCCGTTAAGTGAGGCATTTGGTTTGCCTGTTTCCTTGTCAGCACACCCCCAGCACACAACTATCAACCCAAACGTAAGCGTATATAACCGAGCAGCTTGAGTACATCTGTGCAACCTGCGTATTAACAACCGCACACATCATGTCTGAGCTCCAATCCACCAACGGACGGACGGAGCGCGCCGCCACCGACGCATGCTCCGAACAGCAGACGCCTACGCAAAACGAGCCTCTCGCGAACTCGACGAATTCGAAGAGCACTCCCTCCGAAGACCCAAACGGCTATGTTTTTACCCCTGATTTCGACTTCCGGTCGGCCGCGAAGAAGCTGAAGTGCGACGAGGACCCCGACGCAGTTGTCTCTGCCATCGGAATCCTGCTCGAGGAGCTGCACGACTGCAAGATGAAAATTGATTTCTTCGAGACTCTGTTCGGATACCGCGCAGAGCACCTCATGGCGTACGACGTACATCTCCTCCGGCATGACGACATCATGTTCTACGGGCAACGGCGGCTGCAGGGGCGGGCGCTCCAGCAGGCAATGCTGGAAAAGAATGGCCACGAGCCGTCGCTCGCAGAGCTGAAGGGCAAGTCAGTCATCTTGACTGTGCCAGAGGACCACTACGATTTCGCCGTGGTGCTCCCTATGAAGGCCAAGCGTGAAGTCGATCGCAAACTGAACAGCACGTATCCCCGATATGTATAGAGAGCAGCGCTAACACGTATATCAGAGCGACACGCCCAAGACGCGCAGGACGTCGAGGAGAATGCAGGCGCTTCCACAGAAGACGCTGCCATAGAGCTGCAAAGGAGTATGTGCTACACCAGGCCGCACTGAAGAAGATTCTATGCTAAGTTTGTCTCACAGAGACGCCGGCCGTGAGGAAAGCCGCGGATCGGGAGCAACTTCGCAACATCCTCTCGCAGGATCAAGACCCCGCCGGCCACTGCGCCGGTGACGAGATGCTTCCCACTCCGCGAAAGGCAGCAGCCGATGCTGTGGAGGCACAGAAGAACCCCACCGAAGAAGACGCAGCACCCACCGAAGACAGGGAGCGCAAGCGAAAGCGCGCAATTGTCGCAAGCGATGACGAGGAGGACGAGCAGAGCGCGAAGGCGAGCAAATTTCACTGAGAGTCTGTCCTTGAGTGGAAGTGCCGAGATCGAAGAGAGCCGTTCCACACTGCTATGTCAAAGACTTGAGTTTGTCGACCTGTATGATGCCCACTCTGAGTAGTACTCTGCAGGCCATGCTTTGACGCAGCGCTGTAGATTGCACGCGCGTCAAGGAATCCGTGACGGGCATTGTTCATTTGCATCAGTTGGATGAAGCACTACTTCGAAGTTGGATGTGGCATGTGTTCGATACAGCTCAGAAGTTTTGTTCAAGCAATGGAGCCAAGTTATTGCTCAAATTTGAATGTTATGTTCTTATTTTCAAACGCCAATAGTCTAATCCAGCGGAGGGAGCTTATTGATTGCATGAGCTAGTAGTCTGTATTCACTATTGATGGCACTATCGAGCAAACATTTAGACAGATTAGGCACCGAGACATCCCACGATCATGCACGAGATCCCGATACGGACCTCCTCCGATTGCATGACTTCAGCCACTTTCTTAGGGGTTGTTACCCTTGCCTTTTTCCTCTTTGTGATTTTCCTTGTGGTAGTGTTCTTTATGCTTCTTCTTTGGGTCTGCGTCGCGAGGGTTTTTACCGCCCTTCTTCTCTCCCTTCTCATGTTTACCCCCTTTGCCATCGTGCTTTTTGCCCTTATCGTCATGCTTTCCGGCCTTCTCATTATGCTTCGCGGCCTTGTCGGCGCTCTTGGCTGCCTTACCATCGTGCTTCTCACCCCTCGCAGTGTTCGTGCCCTTGTCTTTGTGGTGTTTGTCCTTGCCAAGTTTGTCTAGAGTGAAGCAGCAGTGTCAGCCAAGTTTTTTTTTTGCAGATAGCGCAAGTTCCTTTAAGGATTAGTCTCGGGGCAGCTCGCTCAAGTTTTTAAGCTTCGAGAAAGCTGCGATCGCCATACCACTTACTCGCGGATGGTACTTACGGTGATGTTTCTTAGCCTCAGCTTCAGGATCAGCAGAAGCATCTCTTGCCGCATGATCTTTCTTCTTCCCATCCTTTCCCTTTTGATGATGTTTATGCTTCTTTGGGTCAGCTTCCGGGATGGCTTCAGGCTCGGCAGAACGCAGCGTCAACGGGGTTCTCAGTACCGCATCTTCCGGGCCCTCGGCAACGAGGGGAAGAGCGTACGCGGTACCGAGCAGAGCCGCGAGAGCAATGACAGAGAAACGCATAATGATGAAGAGTATTACTCGATCAGGCTGTGAGGACAGTAGAAGAGCAAATCTGTGTACTGGAAATGAGGAGGCTTTCATCGCCTTTATATGCCATGACTCGAAGACAGTGCGTGGCAACAGCATTACCTAAATGTAAACACCATACACTTGATCTTGCATTAGTGTATCCCCTGGTGACCAAATATCTCGCGGATTCAAGCTGTTGCGGAGAGTGTACCATGACTGAGACCCGGATGCTGGTCCGGCCACCCTCAGGTTGGAATTGCCTCAAAGCAGAAGCGTTCCACTCCCACTCGTGGCAGATGCTTGCGATGCAAACAGAGCCGTATATCCGAGGCGTCCAACTGAGCTATGAGGAGGCAGTCACCAGCCACTAAACGTTCCCTCCGGCGCCACAGTATGAGGCTAATGGTGCATCTTCGTAGTGGCTGAGGAGCAGGAGGTCTCTGTCTGTATCACGAAATGCCTCATCTCCGGATCTAGACCGTTCCTTTGGATACAACTCGATATGGTAGTCTGGGAAGCGGGTGAGCACTAGCCTCAAGTGTGGCGCGATGATGTGGCACCGGAAGCTAGTATTCACCGTTGAACTTAAGCTTCGACAAGCTCTGCTAAGCTTTGCTAACCCTCACCTGTCAATGTAGCCGCGTCTAGGCTACCTAACGGGCACGTATAATACCGAATGGTAGCACGGGATGCATCCATGGGTCCCGCAAATGCCGCGAATTATGTTCGTCGGCCAGTCTTGCCCGGGAGCACAGGTTCCTAGATTTATTGTCCACATGTGGTTGTCTGGCTTGATCAATGTTCTCCAACCAGTGATCTTCCGCTTCGAAACGATATAGTTCGATCAAGTTGCCCGAGGAGATAGTCGGCCCGATCTGGAATTGATGGCCTCCCTAGATCGTTGAACGCGGTAGCGCCGGATGTCTCGTCTATCCGAACAGGTAGTTTCAACCATGGCTCAGCACCAGCGCATTAGCCTCAATATGTGGCGTATTCGCGATATGTGGCTGGTGTCATCATAGACTATGATTATTATTAGCAGGTCTACGCAGATGGTGTGGATGATGGTGTGTTCACCACTTATCAGCTTCGCAGCAAGCGGGTTACAAACGCCTGCCCCAGCGACCCCACATGAAGTGTGTTCCACCTTCTAAACTGGTGCCTCTAGGATAAACACAGTACACAAACATGCAATTATCGAGGCTTCCTGTCTGGCTTTCGCAAGATAACAATTTAACAGGGTCGCTGCTAGATAATATCGATGTCGACATCGACTTGATCCGAGCCCAGGCCTTGATAAGCTTCGCTGTTCATCAAGCCGTCCACCCACGCATCGCCGACAAGCCGGTACTTGGAACCAGCGGATCGTAGGACGAACAAACTGTCTGCTCCCTGCAAGGCCACGATGACGTCGCCCTCCAGCACTTCGATCATCCCGTTGCGGGGGCGTTTGTTTTTTGTAACGCTGGGTGTTCGTCCTCTATCGAGCAAGTCTAGGCCAGGAAATCTTACGTTATAGTGCCTCGCCATGTAGTCATCAGGATCGACAAGATCTGCTAGTTGAAGGAACACCTCCATTTGCTGCCTTGTCCGCGCTGGCAATTCAGTGTATTTTGGCGCTGATACGTGACATAGTCGTTTATTGTCAAGAGATCGTAGGATTTTAGACATAAACCACCATAACTGGAGTGCCGCTTCTACCTCGACAGATCGTCCTTGGTATGTGTCGGAATCCAGCATCCGTTCATTTTCAGTGTTCTACACGTAGGAAGGATGCCACTCGGCCCGATCTCCATAGTATGAAGGAAGTCAGAGAGTTTTGAAAGCCTGTTTATAACACAGGTCCATACACTCTCAAGGTCAGGTTTTCCTTGTTGAATCCAGCTCCGAAATCCCGTGGAGACCCAAATGATATCCAGGACGCGGCCTCTGACCCTAAGACACCGTGCGGACGGGAATATTGGCCTCCGAGGAAGGGCCATAATAGGATGTAGTTAGCAACCAGAACTATCCACAAATGAAGGTCGATTTCCACACGCACAACGTTCTTGGTAGGTCCAAGATGCGCATTCAACTCGTGTCAGGTCGTTCCCTGCAGCAGCCATAGCCAATGGGAGCAAGCTCATGCTGCCCTCAAGAAGCTTTTGGAAAAAGGTTTCCATGGTACATTCTTCGGAGTAGCCAGGAACTATACGGTCGGCGACGTCGGATGAAATTGCCAGAAGGACAAAGATTTGATCGCGCGGATCGTAACAATCCAGGAAGCTGTTGTACCTGCTGAAATTCTCGCACAGTGTTATAATCTCTTGAATATTGACCTTGTGAAAATTGGTAACGGTATGGCAGGACCTCCGGTTAGTTAATATGTGGGACAGGAAGTCAACCGTATCCAGTGACATTCTGAAGGGAACGGGTGGGTGTTCTGACCAATACCGATGAACGATCATTCTTCCTGGTAGTACGTCCAGAGAGCCGGTATCATGGCCGCTGTCTCGCAATCTAAAAGCTATGACACCCTTAAGATGATTACTTCGTCATTTAGTAGCTGCTCCTGCGACATCGAAAGCCTGCTCGTCCAATCCCCGAACACGAGTGCAACTAGCCATTACCAGTCTTCGTAGTTTGTTATGCGGAAAGTGTCCTCAGGGAAGCGAGGTTACTCCTCATGGCCAGGGATTGCATTGTCGTTCCACACATGCATACAAACATAGTCGACATAGCTCTTATAGATCCACTGGATTAATTTGAACAAGTGCAATCCTATCTCTGCAACTTCTGTCAGGGAGGCCAGGCCTGTGTAAAACAATCACCCTCGTTGCATGCCGATAAATCTTGCCCATCAATGCGACCTGTTGACTCTTGTCCTCGCCGTCTTGATTGATGCCTATCTGGTCGATCCGAAACGTCTTGAATTCGAGTTCGACGCAGTTCTTGAGGTCTAAAAGAGCGTTCTTGAGGTTTGTCGTCAAGGGTATTGACCCCGACGAGCACCCTTGGAATTGACAATGATCGCTTCGAAGGGCTTCTCTTGCGAGCCCCAAACGTATGATAGCGCTTGGTAGCATCGATCAGTGTAAGAGACTTCTTGAAGCGTGCACTCAATCGGATCAGGGACAGAGCTATCGAGCGTGAGAACACGAATGCTGTCTGGTCCTGACAGTAGCTGGTACTCGTAGCGAGGGAGACTCGTGTCACTGCGCGACAAGAGTTTGGGCAATCGACGCCCGTTCGATGATATGAATGAGGAAAGGCGAGAGCATTGCGACCTCCGCTTGGGCTGCATAATGAGTTACACCCGCTGCAAACTCGCCCCGTTCGCGTTTTGCACTTTCGAGATAATCCAGAAACACTGGCGTTAAAGGTTGCGCCGGTAGCAGCAAGCAGCGCTTTGACGGTCAAGGTTTCGCGACGATTTGTGCTCAGTTCAAACATGTCTTGCAGGCAGAAGTCGCAAGGCTGAGCGGATGTCGTCGAGCTTCTGCCTCAGACAGCCGGTCTAAGCCTCTACGCGGCTCCCGAACATTGGCACCCATTGACCTGCAGCCTCCTCCACACCTGGCTTCCCCAGCTGAGGGAATTTGTGACACGCTGAAGTGGCATTCGTCAATCGTCCACAATACTCCTAGATAATACATCCCAAAACGAAGTGGAGAAAGACATCACACTGTACACCCGTGCCTACGCTATGCATAACCAAATAGACCCTCAACAGAACCGCACGAACTCTCACTACTCGCCTCTTATCTTACTGTCCCACTCACCCCACCCTTCCACTCAAAATCCACGGTCTCCTTTCCCAAAACGAATCCCCAATGATATCCACATGCTCCGTCACAATCCTCGCCTTCCCCCTCTTCTTCCTCTCCTTCTCCTTCTGCGTCTTACTCATCGTCTTCGGCCGCCCATCCAGCCCCTCCTTCCACCCCTCATCTTCAATCCCCAGCACTTTCTTCCCCTTCTCTCCTTTGCCCTTTATCTGCCTCCCCTTCGACTTCTCCGGCACCTCAGGCGGCACTTCCACTTCCTCTTTGTTCCCCCAATCGAATGAAGCGAACTGCTCTCCACTACTGGTCGGTGGTCCCGAAGACGGCGGCGCAGGAAACGAATAGCTCTTCGAGTAGCTGCTTCCCGCACGCGAGTGGCTCCGCAGCGACGCGCCCGGCGGACTCGGCGGGATCACCGGATTCACAATCAGGTTCTCCATCTCGCCGTGTCCGCTGGACCCGCCCGCTGAAATCGCTGAGCCACGCGTGGGTGGCGGCGGACTCTGGCTCCATGGCTGTGGCGACGACCCCATGACTGCGCCGCGCACACCGCCGATGTCGTACTCGCCGGTTGGCGGACTGGGAAGCTCCTTCATTGTCATTAGTTGGCTGGGTGGGGTCCGGGGGCGACCTGCGCCGCGGTAGGAGGACGTGTTCGCTGGGTTGGCGACGGCGAGGTCGGATGCTTCTTGACGGAGGAGGGCGTGGGACTTTTGCGTCGGGAGGGAGAGCTTGCGCGGTGGCTGTTCGGGAGGGATGGAGGAGAAGCGTTGCGGGATCTGTGGAGGTCCGCGAGCAAGTCCGCTTTCGAGGACGGATAAGCTGGGACTACGTTTAGGTGTTGGTCTGTATGACGGTGCTAGTGGCTTGGGGTGGAGCGAGAGCGACGCGCTTGCGGAGTGCGAGATTGGTTTTACGGGTTTCTTGGAGTTGGATATTGTAGGTGATGGATAAGCTGCTGATGACGGTACGTATGGAGAAGGCATCGGTGAAGTGTTGGCATGCGTTATCGAGTTCGGTGGATTCAGAGACAGAGGTGGACGTGTGCTTGGTTTGAGAGTTGGTGGAGGGAGCGGTATGGGCTGCAAAGCAGCATGGCGTGGAGCCGATGCGTTGGCGGACGGAGAAAGGGGTGAGAAGGTCGAGAGCGAGAAAGTTGACGGGTATCCAACAGAGGTCTGATCTTTGAAAGCTTCTGTGAACAAGGGCATCGGGATTGTGGGTGGCGAAGGCGGCGGAGACGGGGTTGTAGACGTGGAAAGGAAGGTCGGTCCGCGAGGCGTCGATGCAGTTGCTGTCGACGTTCCGGACGCCGGTGAAGAGCGGAAGAGGTCGTGATGTGTCAGTTCCAATGGTTGAGACATTGGTCTTGCTATCGATTGCGGCGTCGGATGATGTATTATTGGAGACTTCGCGGGAGTCGGCGACGATTGCGTCGAGGTTGGGAAAAACTGTAACGTTTAGCTCATGGGGCAACTAGAAGACGAAGATTTACATCTCTGTAGAGCACGCTGCCCTTTTTGAAGATATCCGGCTCGTTGTTGTAGTTGATGCCGAACCTCTTGAACAGGATTTCGTTCTTATCGCCAGAAACAGTGCCCGATAGTTCCTTCTCCGCGACGCGGTTCTCGAGACCGCCCTGTTGGACGAGAGCCCAGAAAGTAGTGTTGTAAAGATTATTTATGTGGCCTGTGCAATGTAAGATAGATGTTGGAGCTGAGGAGGGCCCGACGTGGGGTGCATAGCGCTTCGGGTATATGTATGGACAAACACCCCGTAGCCAGTAGTAGCGTACTTACAGTCAGCCTGCCGCCAGCTCAGATAGTCTCTTAAATTAGTGTTGCTGGGATAGCATACTGCCCGTCCGTCGAATGAGGGTAAGGGAGCCGTCAGGGGGTGGTCTGGGAAGTACTTGGCCCATCCAAGCACGTAGTTCGCAGTGAATGTCGATACAATGGTTGTCACGAGCTTACTGTATTTCATTAGCAACTTGGTGTTGCATTGTGCACCATACATCCACATGAATTTGGATGATGATGATGTGGAATTTCGTACCTGGCGCGTCGTTCGAAGAGCATGCAGTCCTTGTGAAAGACGAAACTGTGTCACTCGTCAGCTAAGACTCGCGACCCTTAGCGCTCACATGCAAATTGACAGCTGAACATGCTTGCCATCTTGCCGACATTCAATCTCTATCAAACAAGCGATTGGAAGGCTGGAACGCGTACCTAAATTCATCGCTCTGCCCGTAAGCCAGAACAAGGTCCGGCAAATCTTTCATGACGGCCTCAGCCGCACCGTTCATCAAGTCCAGTGCGCGGCGGTCATTGGGCTTGACGAAGTTGTACTTGGTCGTAAGTCTGCAGTAGCGAGCATGTCAGCATAGGTCGGGTAATCGGTGCTCGCTTCCTGAAACACATCCTCTTCAACCGCATATGCGGCCAACCCCCGAAATGCCCAAAAATGGAAGCAAGATCGACTTGAGAGCATGTGCAGCTGAAAGGATATGGTTCTGAGGGGAGAGGTACTTTGTAAAGCCCCGGCCGTCTATGCGGACCACGACAAAGGTGTTCGGCAGCAGGTTGTCGGGCTGCTCAAAGTTGCGTACGTATTCGTACCTGGCGACTCGTCAGTTTGATTTCGTCCGAATGCTGGCCGATGGTCCGCTGGCTCACGGCTGGCGAGCGCTTGCGTGCACGTTGACTCACTTTGAATTTGCCATGGCGAGGTATGCAAGCGTCACCTCCTAGCTTGTTGGTCGCACAGCATCTCAGACGGGTAAAGACGCCTTAAGCTCGAGGCACGGCAGGCATCGAGGTAAGAGTTGTCCGGACGTCAGCAGCGAGAAGAAAGGCAGAGGTCGAGGCTTCACAAGCTCCCGGTCGAGATGAAACGCAGGACATGCACCCCCGGGCCTACCTGAATTTACGAACGGTGACACGGCAGCAGCCGGGCACGCACAAGACTCGTCTTGATAGCCAGACGCCACAGTTGGGCAAGCCTGGGTGCCGAAAGTTGGGGTCGAACGCAAATTGCTTCTTCGAGGGTTCGCGGGCGCAAACGAGCCAGGAACGCAGCTCACTTTTGCGGCTCGCGTGCCTAGCTGGGCGTAGCGCACCACGATCACGGGCTGTTTGGGAGAGACGCAGGTCGTGTGCGAGTTTCGCCTGAGACACAGCTCGACCTCGCGCCCTTGGCATGCGCCCGTCGGCGACGACGATGCCGCGAGCCCGCCGCCGCTCACCGCAACCTGCTCGCGTCGTCGCGAGTGCAGCCGCGCTGGCGATGCCATGTCCCACTTGTTCGCGTGCCCCAACTCCGTGCGCCACTGCGGCAAGGCCTTCGAGTCCCTGGCCATGCATCCCTGGGATCTGGAGATCGCCATGGTTCCCGGCCGGCTATCAAGCTTTGGACACGCCGATCTTACGTGGTTTCAAGGCTTCTTACTACCACCTCCTATAGGCAATGCGGTTGCGCAATGGCTCAAGACTGAGTTCTGCTCTCTGGGCACGGAGCCCAAGTCTGAGCATCGCGGATGCCGCTCCTTCGCAAAGCTTGTCGAGCATCATGAAGCGGCCCAGTGTGGAAATTTAAACTTCTATCTAGCACGCAACGGCGTCAGCCCGCAACGACAGCGGGAGGGAGTCCTGACCGAGCAACGCCTGTGGATTGGAGTTGCCCGAGAAATGCCTCGGCGTTTTCTAGTGTATTGGCTGGCATGTTTATGCGGGAATCATTGAAGCACATTGAAGCAAAGGAAAAGCATATCCATCATGAAGATAGGATTTATTCAATTGAGTTTGCAAATGCCACGCCATGCCGCTGAAGAGCCAAACCGCCTGTGTACGTCGCCATTCCTAAATGCGTCATTGAATCATCTAGCACCGTCTCTCCGTCTCCGCTGATTCAAGCAGCGGCAGCAATGGGTTTGGCAATAGCCCCAAACCTCGCCGCCTTCTCCATGAACGACTGGTCCCCCGCCATATCCTTCACCCCTCCCTCGTCGTCTCCCCTGATCTTCGTATTCCGCGCCTTCGCCTTCTCGCCGACCTCATACTTGTTCTTTACCTTACTCGCCAACTTTTCGCTCTTGGTCTTCTGCTCCTTCTTCAGTTTGCTCTGCACTTTCTTCTGTGCTCTCCAAGGCGCAATCTTTCCAGACTCGCCCTTTGCCTCTGTAGCAACTGCCTTCTCATCCTCAGTCTTGGGTTCCTTCTCTATACGCTTAGCTTCCTTCTTCTCGATGCGTCGAAGAGTGTATTCCTCGAGTGTCTGCCCTTTCTCCGCGGCGCGAGCTGCGTAGTCGACTTGCTTCTCCGGCGACAACCGAGAAAGATGCGCTTCGATAAGAGATTGCTCAGTGGGTTGCTGTTGGGCTGCAGCTTTGCTGCGAGCTTTTCCACTGGCAACCTTACCCTTTGCCTCCTTTCTCTGTTCCCTCTTAGCCTGACGCTCTGTCTTGTTCGAAATCTTATTAGCGTTCTCCACGGCCTTGATGGCTTTGGAAATTTTGCCGTAGTTCTGCAGGATATCTTCTTTTGCCAAGTTCTCAGGGTTCAGCATCGGCAGATCGCCGTTGAGGATAGCCTCAACAACCAACTCCTTGGCCATCTGCTTCTTCGCAGCCCGTATGACCTTCTGCTGCTGTTGCTTCACGGCTTTCTTGCCGAGCTTTGTGCCAGGGACCTTCGGGTCATCGACGTTTGTTGCATCGCCGTACGCACCGGCCTTCTCGTTCTTTTTGACACTCGCTTTGACTTGCTTGCCAATCCTGGACGTGACAGCGCACATTTGTGGCCAGGCGTCTGCGCTGATGGGACCCATGCCTGTCCGCACTTCGCCATTCGCACTTGCTTGTGCCCGTGCGCCGATCTTCACTCCGCCAGTTTCTTGCTTCAGCTTCTTGGTGGCTGGTACATCTTCCTCAGCTTCACGCTTCCGCTTGTTCTGGCTCTTCTTCGCCTTCGTCAATTTCGAGGAATCGGATGCAGCGTCGTCGCTGCTCATAGAATCCGAATCGCTTTCGCTTTCATCGGTACTACTGTCGTCGACAGACGTAGGCGGTGTGGTGGCTCCTGATGCCGGTATAGAGGTTTCCTCTCCAATCGATCCCTGCAGTCCTTCTCCCTTCACGAAAAACCCGTAAAGCCCACCACGATTGATTCCCTTCTCCTGGATCTGGCTAAGCGTGCTTGTCTTTCCACTTCCTAGGTTTTGGAGTGACTCGTCGAACGCTCGCATCCACCACTGGTCGTCTGTCGTGTGGCTGGCTTTCTTCTTGCCCAAGCCCAGCTGGTCCTGCTTGTGGCTGATGAGGAGAGGCTTTTTGATCCCGCGGTCGGAGGTGTCGAGGGAGAAGCCGGCACCGCGCCAGCCTTGCCTGCGGAGGAGACCTTCTGCGTTCATCTAATCAAGGCGAATCTGAGTGATTGAAATCTGCGACAGAAAGAAGGCTGCGACGAGAGCGCCAGAAAAAATTGTGGGGTTCGGCGCGAAATCTTGGCGTCGGGTCTTTGGGAGCAGTGCCGCCAGGGTCTTGGATTGGGAGCAGCGCGGAAGTGCTCTCCTCGCTCTGCCGAGGTTGCTCTTGTTAGTGCGAATGCATGTCATTTACACATGCCGGAACACTCTGCAAACACAATCAATCCTCACAATTGACAATTACGCTTCTGCGGTGCTCCCTCCAGAGAGATCAATACTGTTTCCTTAGCGTTTGACTACATCATGAAAATCGCCGACCGCACATTCATAATCTCAGGCGGCGCGTCCGGCCTTGGCCTTGCAACAGCCCGTGACCTCCATACTCACGGCGCTTACGTCTCTCTCCTCGACCTCAACAGCGACGCGGGATCAAAAATCGTCTCAGAGCTCGGCTCCCGAGCCAAGTTCTTCGAAGTCGACGTCTCGGACACAGACGCAATCGAGAAAGCAATCACAGGCACCGTAGCATGGATTAAAGAAACGGGCAAGCCGATAGGTGGTGTGGTGGCTGGTGCAGGAGTTGGACTTCCAGGACTAATCATAGACAAGAAGAACGAGCCACTACCGATATCCAGCATCGACTTTGTGCTGAACATCAATCTCAGAGGAACGCTGGATTTGATTAGGCAAGCGCTGCCTCACATGACGACTGCACAACCCGATGGTCCGGACGGCGAGCGTGGAGTGATCATCATGGTAGCGAGTTCTGCCGCATTCGACGGGCAGATGGGACAGGTTGCGTATGCAGCGAGCAAGGGTGCGGTGGCTAGCTTGACGCTTCCTCTGGCGCGCGACCTGTCCAAATACGGCATCCGAGCGGTGACAATCGCGCCAGCGTTGTTCGAATCGAACATGACCAAGCTTTTGTCCGGGAAGGTGAAGCAAAGTCTGGAGAATGCAATGGAATTCCCGAAAAGGGCGGGACAAGCCTCGGAGTTCGCGAGGACAGTGCGGGACTCGATAGAGAACTCCATGTTGAATGGGACGGTAATACGATTGGATGGCGCTATGAGGATGCCGGCCAGGTTGTAGAGTAGTTATTCGATCTCAGCCATCCCAAATCCATTGAAGGACAACCTCGTTCATCGCTTCCGCTCCCGAATCTTGAACTTGACACCGTTTTTGTTGACCCCGCCAACCGTGTGGTTCATTTTAGCACGCTGCAACTCCAGCTCCTCTTCGGCGGCCATGAGCGCGCGCTCTCGGGCTTTGACTGCTTCCAGGTGTGCTGCCGCCCGCTGTTGTGCCCTCTCCCTCTTGCTCATGAAGAGCTGTTCTTGTTTTTGCGCCAGGTCTTTGGCCTCTTGTTGCCTTTTCGACGGCCTCTTCTGTTTCTTCGATGTCCCCTCCTCGTCGTCATCTTCCACCTGTGGTTCCTTCCCGCCTCCTCTGCCTGGCATCTCGGCACCCTTCCCAAACCACTCGTCGTCGTCGAACTCGTCTTGTTCTTCCTTCCTCCCCACATACACTGTATGCCTGCCCTTCCTCTCATTGTCTCCGTCCTTCAGCACCCTCACCTCTTCGTCCTCCAACACCAGCCGCTTCTCCAACTCCTCTCTCTCGTTCCTGACCATCTGAAGCATAGTCCGTATATAGCCAGCATCCTGCGTCTTCAGCAACTTCACCACATCCATATCCAGACTCTTGTTCCCCCGGTCGGTAACTTTTCTGCCCGCCTTGTCTACCGTGCTGCTCATCATGCCGAAGGAGAATTCATCGGGATTGCGCTCGGAGGCCTTCTCTTTGAGGATCTTGAGGCGCGCTTGCTTCGCTTTGTGATCGTGCGCGCGGAGTTTGTAGTCCTATATACTGTCAGTTGCGTGGAAACTGGCGCTGAGCAAGTCGCACATACCTTGCGTTTCTCGAGGAGACCCCATTTTTTGCGCTCTTCCGGCTGCGCACGCTCCTTATGGTTGCGCCGCTGGACGGCATTTCGCATGGACGACATTATGGCGGCGAAGTTAAGTGTTCTTAACGTGTGATGGCGGGATGGACTTTTGAGAAATTTGGAAGATCGATAAGATCGACGCGCTGCAGAGCTAACCTGACATGGACTTAGCGTGACTTGTTCACAAGTAGCTCCACTGTGTTGACCCGCACTGCATCTCCGACTCTCTGTATGCTAAGGATCGTTGTATTTTCACAATCTTGACGAGCTCTTCATTGACATTGCTGTTGTTCGTCCAGCTCTTCCTTGAACAGCTGTTGTTCGTCCGCCTATACGCTGCACGGAATCTAATTGGCTCTGCGTTCAGCCGAAGTGGAATTCCGCTCGCTTAAGACCGTATCTTACCTCCATGTTACCTCCATGCCACTACACAGCCGCAGCCTTGCATGCATCAAAGCTTCGTCGCGCGAGAAATACTGCCTAGACGTACTAACTGGTGGACGGGAATAGGCGACAGCATTCACCGTCGGTGAAGAATCAAGCCGCCCGGTGTGTTCCCAGAATATCCAATGGCGTTATAGACAAGTTAAATAGGGCTCGTTGCGCAACTTCATTGTTCATATCTAGGATCAGACCTTTATTCACACCGACCCTGCTATAGTTCCCTTTCCCATATCAGCACCAATATCTACACCCATTGCCTCAGTAAGAAGTCCGCCAGTCATGGTCTCCTTCGACCCAGCCAAAGACATTCCCTCCCTCTCCGGCAAGGTAATTCTCGTCACCGGCGGCAACATCGGCCTGGGCAAGCAATGTATTCTCGAGTACGCTCGCCACAACCCATCGCGCATCTATCTGGCCGCACGCAGCCCCTCTAAAGCCCAAGCCGCCATCGATGAAGTCAAGCAACAGCTAGGAACCTCAAATTCCACCCCCATCAGCATCCTGGAGCTCGACCTCTCATCTCTCAGCTCGGTCAAACTCGCTGCCGCAAAGCTGCTCGGGCAAGAGTCCCGTCTCGACATCCTGATGCTCAACGCAGGCATCATGGCCGCAGCGCCGGGCCTCACCAAAGACGGATACGAGATGCAGTTCGGTGTCAATTACCTCGGGCACGCCCTGCTGTTCAAGCTACTGCTTCCTCTGCTGGAGAAAACGAGCAATTTGCCAGGCGCAGACGTGCGAGCCATCATGGTCACGTCCGTGGGCCATCAATTGGCACCCAAGGAGGGAATCCCCTTCGACCAGCTGCAAACAGACTGCGAGAACCTCGGTGCCTTTGAGCGCTACGGTGCCAGCAAACTTGCCCAGATCCTCTGGGCAAGGCACGCCGCTACGCTGTATCCTAATATCACGTTTGCCGCGGCACATCCTGGGCTCGTGGGAGGGACGGGGCTGGGGTCGAGCGCGACGGGAACTTCGGCCTTCGCGAACATGCTCATGGCGTTATCGCCTCTTGCAGCCACTTCGCTTGAGAAAGGGGCGAGGAATCAGCTCTGGACATCGGTGGGGAAGGACGTGAAGAGCGGCGAATGGTACGCGCCAGAGACGTGTATAGGTGTGATGCAGGTTGGAGTGGGTTCCCAGAGCGGCGCAAGCGCTCTTGCTAAGGACAACTCGCTGGCAGAGAGGCTGTGGAAATGGACGGAAACAAACTTGCACTCATATTCGATTTGATTGTGGTAATGAGCGCTCTGCCCGGGATGCGGTACCGAATGTAATATACTCTGGAGTAAGTAGAAATCAGGTCCACTACGAAATCAAGTTCACAAATTCAAATTCCTCACGAGTAGAATTTGGGACGAGTGTTCCATCTGGAACACAGAAACTCTCAGATCAGCTCATTGAATTTTGCGACCCGTATATGCTGCTCTATTGGCTAAACATGCCTTCTGTCCGATCGCTATATGTATTACGGTACGGGTTTTGGTAGAAGATGCAGCGCAGCAGATGATGCACTGTTGCGTTGAGGCTCAGATGCCTTGGAAGTCATCTCAAACACAATCAATCGGGCGTATCGGACGAAGTGGACATCGCTTGTAAGTCTGTTCGGGTTTGAATTTGGAATTAGTGGGCTTTTGAACGGACGGACTGCGGTCAACCTCTCTCCACGGCTCATGGTTGTATCGAGTCGCGGGATACGTTCTTATGCTCCTCTTCGGTGGACTTGCTGTCTGGGACATTTTGGTCGGTCTTGGGCTCCGAATAGTCGTAGTCTTGGTGGCCATGGATTCTCTTTTGGTATTAATATGCTTGGACTTAGCTGTTGTCTTCGTGGCCTTAGATGATGATGCCGTCGTCTTTGTACTCTGCTTGCTCGTGGAGGAATGAGGTTTCCCCGATGTCGTCCTGATTCCATCATCATCGGGCCTACCGCTAACATTGTTCTTGGGTATTGTACCGTCACTCAGCTTGACTTCGACACGCGGATACTTGTCGATCCCATAAGTCGAATTCAACATGACTCGACCGGAGATCTCGCCATCTTCAAGCCGGTTCCACGTCTCGATGGCGTTATCGCCTCCGAGGGCATCCTCAAAGATGACAATGTGCCGCCCGCCTCGCATGACCTCTGAGTAGCCGCCGTAGCCCGTGTGCCTCCCAAAGCATATATTGAGACCACCGTCTTGAGTATCAGAAGGCCAGCCAGCAGGAATTGGCTTGGGAGTCTCGGTCCATTTCATACACCTGAATCACTCAGTCAAGGGCCTTGCGGAATAAAAACGAGGGGGACAATACCAGTCGGTCTTATGGTCGTGTCCAGAAAAGACGCCTAACAGACCCGGCGTATCAACAAGCCCTTGCATGAATACAATGCCTTTATTGTCATCCTGAACTCCAAGCTCTTCGTGCCACTGTATGCCTGGCATTTTGTTCGCGCTTATCAACCCAGCTTGTGCATATTTATCTGTTATCAATATGGGAATGTGGGCAAATACAAGGCTTGGAACAGGCTTTCCGCCATGTTCATTTTCGAGTTGCTTGCGCGTTCGCTTGCTGTACGCGAAGGTGTCAACGCAGGCGGGAGTACACGAACAGAATGTTTGACTTACAACCAGTCGACGACCTATACTGTTAGAGATGCAGTTGAATATGCAGCGAGTCTTACTCACATCAGAGTGCACATAGCCGTAGACATCCTGCTTGTTGTTACCGTCACCCGTATATCCAAACCCGCCCTTGCTGTCAAAGAACCATAGGACCATCTTGAGCACTTGTTTTCCATTGATATTGGAATAAAGCGGAATGAAATAGTTGGTCGTTCCGACTAAATTCGGGTCGCCAGCCACTGAACTCGTAGTAAACGTAAGCTGTCCACCGTTCTTGCGATCGTTTGCCGTCCTCCAGATGTGCTCCGACATCCAGCGCGTGTTGCAGGTCGCGCTCCAGTCATGATTCCCAAACGTTGCCGTGAAAGGCAGCTTGCGGTTGAGGAAGGGCTGCATAGCTTTGTCGAGGAACCTGTAAGAGTCCTTCTCGGCGAGCCACTCGCAGGTCGTGATGTCGCCATTGAGCACAGCTAAGTTGGTGCCGTGTTCATAATCCAAGACTTTATTCATGACATCCACAGTAAGGTCGTCAGACCATGTGCCTTTCTGAATGTCGTCCTGTATGCCGAAGTCGCCCAGATGAAGGTCGTTGAACATGGTGATCTCGAATTTGCCGTTCGAGAAATACAAGCCTGGATAGTCGACATCCCGCGGTTCCAACGGTGCTGCGCGCACAATGGCTGCAAGCGCCACCAGGACTTGTTCCAGCTTCATGGTCGATATAAGGCCGTCAGAGTTGACGGGCAAGACAAGGACTGAAGCACGATGACACAGGCAGGAAGTAGAAGAATTTTAGCTAAAAGAAAGACAGAAAGTGAGGGAAATTTGTGAGTGCAATGACGGGAAACCGCAGGTAAGCCCAACGAGTGGCTTTTCTGGAAGGAACTCCATATCCGAACTAGGTTAGCGGGTGATAGTAATGCCTTTGCTGCAGCTCTTCAACGCGATACCGTTTAGCAATTCGTCTGTAGTAGACGATCTGCAAGTTGCAAAACTCAAGCAAGTCTTGCTTGAGCACGCGGTTTGAATTGTGATACGTGTGCTACGTGCGGCCACAGACCAGGGCTGTGTGATTGTAGCCACTGTGGCCTCCTAATTTTTCTCTTCCCAGAATTTCGAAAGTTATCCTGTTCACATGATTTAGCGATTCTTAGATCAAATGAACTCTGGCTCGAGAACTTTCCGGTAAACGGTACTTCCCTAAAAACAATGTGCTTGTACAGGTGGTAGACGCAGGCTTCTCTTGCCGTCAGCTTCATCATTGAGGTTTTCATTTTCGTTTGTTCTATATCCTCCTCTTCGCATGCATCTTCACGTGTTCCGAAAGGTGTTGCATGGCGAAGAGCGTGTTGTCGAGACATAACAGAATTCCGCCAGAGCCAAGATTTGCGCCTGCGATGCAATTACAATGAATCAGTTGTGAGCTTCTTCTCGTAGCTAAATATGTCCAGGATGGCTCTGGGTCGGTGCAGCAGAGCCAACGCAACGGCTTCGCCTTATCGCCATCCAGAATGTGGAGCGGACCCCATGCGGACCTGGCGTATTACTTTCCTCGAGCGTTTGCATCACCGCTCGTTAGATGACGAGTATCTCCAATGTATCGCAGCTTCTGTTATCGCACACGGTACGGTATGTGCGACCTGTTTGTGCAACCGCGATTGTGCGCCCTTGCAGCTCTTGCGCATACCTCTCACTTGACCCAGTAGCCACGTCCTTTCTCTAGTTCTTTCAAACCGTCCTGCATTATCTTGAGATCGGGTATCCACAAAGACCCACATCTCCAAGCTGTTCAACATGCACGTGGATGTGCGGTACAGTGCGCTTATATGTGCGCTTCTCGCGTTCACGAACGCGTTCTATGTGCCAGGTATGCCAGTCCTTAACTTTGCGGAATCACAGCTGATGCCAGCTTTAGGAGTCACTTTCAAGTCCTACCGAGACGGAGAAACAATACCTCTTCTCGTGAACAAGATTTACAGCGAAGAATCGGAACTCCAGTTCGCATACACGGAACTTCCTTTCGTATGCCCTCCGACTGGTCGCCTAAAGGCAGGGCGATTCTCGAGCGGGGCCAGCATTTCCCTGAATCTAGGCGAAGTCCTGCGCGGTGATCGGATCACGGTCTCGGACTACCAACTAGTGATGGGCCAAGACGAGGAGGCCAAGTTTCTGTGCTCCAGGGAGGTCAGCGCAGCTGGGATTCAGAAGACAAAGCTTCTCATCCAAAATGAGTACAGGGCAGAATGGATTGTGGACAACTTACCAGGCGCGACGAGTTTCATGAGTACAGACAAGAGCAGGAAATACTATGCTGCGGGTTTCAAGATTGGTCAGGTTATCAACCCTGTGGATGCCAATCTCAATTTTGCGATATATAATCATGTTACTCTCGTGCTGAGATGGCATCGTGTGCCAGGAATGGGGGCCAACAAGGGAAAGAAGGTCATCGTCGGGTTCGAAGTCTATCCGAAAAGTATATCCGCAAGTGGTCGAAAGGAGGACGGGCTGCCACCGTCTGGCGAGGTCACTCATGATCCGTTCATCCTGGCTGTACCCTCAAATGCAACAGATGTGCGAGACACGCCCGATACAAGCATCACGATACCATTCACGTACTCAGTGTACTGGCGTGAGGATGAAAAGCTCGAGTGGAAGCATCGTTGGAACATGTATTTCGTAGCTTCCGACGACAGCTCGAACGTACATTGGCTTGCGATTTTGAACTCATTCGTCATTGCCGGACTCCTCACGGCCGTTGTAGCGGTGGTATTCACGCGCACCATACGAGGTGAGCTCAAAGGCGATGTCAGCAAGCTCAAACCTATGAAGCATCATCCATCAAGCGCAGTCAAAAAGAGCAGCGGCTCACTAGGCTCAATTGAAGACATCGAGCGAGCAGCCGAAATTTCTGACGGTGAAGAGGAAGAACTTGCAGGTTGGAAGCTCGTCCATGGAGACGTCTTCCGCGCGCCTGCCTACGCCGGTCTCTTCTCTGCTGTCGTAGGCTCTGGCACCCAGCTCATCTTCGCCACCGTCGGCATCATCATCCTCTCCGCCGTAGGTGTCCTCAATCCAAGCTTCCGTGGCGGCTACATCAGCGTAGGCATAGGCCTCTGGCTCTTCGGAGGTCTCTTCGCAGGCTACTTCTCTTCGCGTCTCTACAGAACCTTTGGTCTTGAGGACTGGCAGCAGAACGTTCTCTGTACCGCATCTTTAGTCCCCGGTCTCCTCTTCGCAGCTATCTTCATCCTCAACCTCTTTGTCTGGATCCAGGCCTCTAGTACCGCACTTCCGTTCACCACTCTGGTTGCCTTGATAGCCCTGTGGTTGTTCGTTCAACTGCCTCTTGCATATATTGGCGGGTGGTATGGATACACGCAAGCCGGCGCCTATAACCATCCCATCAAAGCGAACGCAATTCCACGACAAGTGCCTCCACACAGTTGGTACTTGAGAAGCATGCAAACGTTCTTGTTTGCCGGCTTTGCGCCATTTATGGTTATGTACATTGAATTGCTGTTTGTTTTCAAGAGCTTGTGGTTGGACAAAAGTGGATATTACTATGTGTTCGGGTTCATGAGCGTTGTAGGGGTGATCCTGGGGGTTACTGTAGTCGAGGCAGCGGTCGTAGCTACATATCTACAGTTATGCTCTGAGGTGAGTGACTCTTCAACTCAACTCTTTGCGCACCTTACTCACCTCGAGCTCTAGAATTACCACTGGTGGTGGCAATCTTTTCTCGCCGGCTCTTCTTCCGCACTCTGGATCTTCGGGTACCTCGCCTATTACTTTTGGACTAAACTAAACATCACCGGCTTCATGTCCGGCCTGCTTTTCTTCGCATATGGCGCGTTGGCGTGCGCGGTATATGGGTTGTTAGTTGGCACGATTGGGTTCCTCGCGAGCTATGTCTTTGTGAGGAGGATCTATGCGGCTGTTAAAGTGGACTAAACGAGGCTGCGCAAGGAATTTGGGCGAGAAACCTACAGCTTTCGTCTAATCTGAACTGCTGTATTGACAAAAATAGGATCATTTCGCTGCGTATAAGCGCCAGATTAAGATAGCAACAAACGAATCACTTTCCACAACCAACTCCTAGTATTCCAACCCCATGCGTGAGTCGTTGACTATCCGGTACTGTGTCATAGTCATCTTGCCCAGGTCTAAAGTACTCATGTCAAACACCGGATGTACTACCTGGGCTTGTCATACTGGTGGCGCTGACGCATGCCACTCCACCTTGATCGAAAAGTCCCTACTCAGCTTCATGCCCTCATGCCACAACTGGAACCCCATGTCCGCAGCGCCGAAATTGGCTTTTACCACGAAGTCTATCCGGTGGTACATCTCGCCTGTGGTCCACCAATACCTATTCTTCAGCTTGAACGTGCTCAGTGGGAGGAGCGAAAGTTCGGAGTCTACGCGGCACACAGAACGGCAGGCTGGTGGGTCAGTTGGCAAATGTTGCTTCGATTATGCGGATTTTGGGACTTATATGCGTTCATGACGTTTGGAAGCGTGCTGGCGTCCAACTCGGAGCAGATGATCTCGGTGGGAAACATTCGCGTGGGGCTCGGCTGCGCAGCTGTTGCGGGGGGGCCTTTGCGCTTGAAGGTTTGCACAATGGGCTCGTCGCTGGAGACGGGTTGGCCCTGCTTTCGTTAGTGACAGGCCCAGTCTTCGTCTCGGATTGTAATGCCTGTTTGACGAAGCAGTCGATGTACTGCATGACGTAAGGTTTCTTGTAAAGCGGATCTATCTGGGTCGTGACTCCGTAACAAAGTTGGTCGTTAGGATCGTAGAGGACTTTGCAGAGCGTGCCGTAGGACGTGCGGCAGCAGCGCCAGCCGAGGACGTTGCGACCGCTTTTCAGCTTTTGCATGCGGTCGGCGACGTTGCCGTTACAGACAACTAGCTGAGGCTCTGGAACGACGCGTATCTGGAGGTTCTGTCCATTTAGACGAGGTGCTCATTCATGGGCATATCGTTCGATCAGAGAGTCTCGCACATAGGCGGCGTTCCCAAAACCCCCCGAAAGAACCATGTGCGCCTGTTGGTATCAGCGTGTACGGCTTCGAGACTTGTCATTTGTGACATACCACTAGCTCGTAAGGGATCTTTTCTTGCACGCGAACCAGCTGTTTATGGATCGTCTCGTACAGTTTGAGGAGCTTTGCAACGTGTCAGATGTCGCTTTCATACTGATAGGGAAGACGAACCTGATTGTCGAAGTATGACTTCAGTTCAGATCTGCAAGACTCTTAGCAAGCAGTCGTTGCGCCTAACTTTCCACTCCACCCACCGTCTGAACTCCATGTCGCCATTGATAATTCCGTGCACTTCGTTGACATAGCGTCTATCAAGTTCAGGGACGCATATTCTGAAGGTAACAGTGAAAGAAGAAGAATCTTCCGAGCCGTACTCACATTTCGCGTTCCTTTGAGCTGACGCTTAACCTCTAAAACCTGCTCTGCGTAGCTCTGCACGAGTTATTAATACTGTCTGCTAACTCGCATCTTCCAGGCAGTTTCCCCAAGATCCTGAAGCCCCATATGAGAAGAAGAATTCGCAGCGTGTAGGCGTTGGTGCACGACGGACTCAAATATATCATCAAGCTTCGTTGATCCAATGTTTGCTCCTGCAGGCGCGATTAGCGGAGGTGAGCCACGAGTCTAGTGATAACGGCTTATCGAAAACGACTTCAATCTGTTGGAGACTCAGCGCTCCAGCTGAAGCTGTGTTCTTCACCCCGAAGACCGGCAGATCCTGAAACCACTCAAGGTCCTGTTATACAGTCTGTGCGATGCATCTAACATACCGTAGTACCTCCGCCCACGTCGCAAACGAACAGTATATCATCTTCCACGAACTTTGAAGATCGCAGGAGTGTTCCTTGCGGTATGGACCGCCGCAGCCTCTGCCTCAGTCAACCCAATCACCACTGTATGATTCAGCGGACACCAAAACCCGCGTGTTGTGTAATCCTTCGCAATCGTTCAACAGTGGGGGGCTTCCATGTTGTCGGAACTGAACATATGAACTCGATCTTCGCGTGCTCCCAGCGGCTTGCGACTTCGCCGCGCAGACGGGCTTCAATGCGTCGGCAGAGCAGCTGGAAATAGTCGCAGTACCTAGATTAGGTGAGCCAGAGTCAGTATGAGAAGGCTAGAGCGCGTACCATTTCTCGACGTCTGCAAGCAATGGCATCTTGGATGGGTCTTTAGAGCTTCTGCGTGCTTCTTCTGCCAAATCCTCATCGAGCCAGACCTTGAATCATTCTCTAGTATCATCTTCTACGCCGTTCTGATCTTGCGCACTCTCCGCCTGGAAACCCCATCATGATGGAGTAGTCGAGCCTCGTGGGTAGACGAGGATCGTGGGAACCTCTACACACTCAGTATTACCACTGATGACCTGGATACGGGGGCCTCCCACCTTGTCTTCGTTTGCCTGAAGTCTCCCGGGCCACTTTTGAATATGTCTGACCATGTCAGAGCCTGTAGCAACGTTGCAGTATGCCAATCCAGTGCCTAGAGGGTCTCATTAGGAAACATTAGTAGCTGCTGTGAGTCTTATTCACACGTTGTCCCGAAGTCAACTGACACAACGAGGTCAGGCCGACTCATCTTGGTAACGAACAATGATTGACTCAGTTCAATCTGATTGTACAGAAAGCGCTCCTTCAGACGAGTACGGAGATAATTGAGATGCAAGATTGAATTGTCAAGGAAGGTCGAATTAAGTCTAGAACCAATAATACGGATGCTGTTGAGCGGTTCGAGGCTTCGACTGGATCACAGCCGCACGTCCCAAAACGGCCTTGAATAGGCGTTACTACAAACCACATATCGACACCAACGCGAGATGAAAATGTTACGGCCAGAGCCATTTGCCTTCTAACAGAGGTTCCTTACCAGACCTTTCCTCGGGCACCATGATTTTCGCCGGCAACGACACCACACAAAGCAGCGACGCAGGCATCGTCGACCTTCCTTTGCCCTACCACGCCGCGCCCTCTCCACAGCCCCAAACACCCGCGCTACACCGCAATACCACCCTCTCCCTCACCCTCAACGCCTTCTTCCTCGCCTACCTCGGCGGCGAACGCTGCTACGCCACCGTCTCGCGCGACGCCTTCGCGGTGTCAGAGCTAGGCGCCAACTACACGTGCAATTGTGCGCGGGCGGCAGCGACGGGTACGGGTATGTGCAGGAGCAGGACGGCGGCGGGGTGCGGGAGGCGTGGCTCGGCATGTTCCACCAGCTCGAGTGTCTGCACCAGATGCTGTGGGCGCTGAGAGGGCAAGCGGAGAAGAAGAGGAAGGATTCTGTGGTTGATGAGCAAGACGACCAGGGCGAGGCGCAGTGGGACCGTTGCTTTGATTACTTGAGGCAGGGTTGTGCTGTGCGGGGCGGACGACACGGTCGAGGTGAGCGATGGGGTTGGGGGCGGGTGGGAGAGCTTCGGGGATGGGGGCGTGGGGAGGCAGTGTCGGGGTCCGGGGTGGTTGTACGGGGTGACGCAGTGCGGGCGGAGGGGTGCAAGGACGGGCTGGTTTTCCACGGCTAGGGCGAGGTCGCTACATCCATCAAGAAGGAAGGATCGCTGGCGCAGGATAGGGACATGCATTACTCGACGTCGATCCGCCTTCTGTCGTCCTCGACCAGTCGCCGCTCCAGACTGCAGCGCAGCACCCTGTGTTTCTGTGCGATTCCGTGCGCCTTCAGCCTATCGTCGTCGTCGTCCCAGTAGACCGCCCACCCGCGGCCGCCCTCGGCCTCCTCCACAGCGACAAGACACTCGTCCCCGTTCAACGTGAGCCCCTGCTCGTCGTCCTCGGTCCAGTCCCAGGGCCCAACCACATGCTCGCGTGCCTCCGCCCGCGGCCCGTACCGCAGCTCCCGCGTCTCCGTGTCGGCGAATATCCAGTTGAGCTTGGGCTTGCCCGCTTTGGCTTTGCCTTTCGCACCGGCATCGGCGGGGACGGTGCTGACGAGGCCGAGCACGGGACGCGCGGGCATGGGGCGGTGCGGCAGGTCCTCGGCGGGGAAGGGCAGGTAGAAGCCGGTGAACGGGTGTGGTGCAGCGTGCGAGTCCGGGTCGTCCTTTGGGAGCTGCGTGTGCGCGTCCTTGGGCCAGAGGCGGAGCTGGTTCTGTGTCAGGCAGGCGCAGCGTGCATCGTGCAGGGAACGGGGCACACCTTTCCGTCCTTTAACACGACGATGGCATCGTGCACCTCGTCCCGTTTGCGCGACGCGGCATCGCAGTACACGTCGAGGTAAAACGGGGCCTGGCGCTCTTCGGATTCGGCTTCTTCGTCCAGCAGCCGCTGCTGGTGCACTGCTTCGGACGCGCCGACGGCCGTGGGTATCGCCGTCAGCGCCAGCAGGTCGAGCACCATGGTGTTATCGGTCGTGGTAGCCAAGCGAGCAGCAATGGTGCTTGCGCATGGTGAGCGCGAGCCCCGGCAAGCGACGAGAGATGCATTCCAAGGTTCCAGACGGATGGTACGATGCTGTCATCGCCCGCGCGACTGGCACCCCGTAATGCCCCGCAGCGCGTTCGCCAGGGATCCGATTGGACACTAACGTTCAGGCACGTACGCACACGATTGAACGTTGCCCCGGCCTTCGACAACCGCAAAATACTGCCGAGTTGGGAAGTTCCAGAGAAGGCTTCCTTCTGCAGTGGAGTACCGTGCTTACTCGCATACATGTTACACAAGCAAACACCATTGGTTCATGTTCTCATTTGCTAGTCCTACAGTAGGAATATACCCTAATCCAGCGTGCAGTCTCCACAGTGCCGAAGCAGTTCCGTTCTGCACCAACGTATGCGTACATTCTCGCCGAGCCCCTCGCCCCGTCCTACGCTTATGACTTGTACACGTGGATGACGTGTGCGTTCATGAACGCGAGGAGCCCAGTCTTGCCCCACTCGCCACCAATGCCGGACTCCTTGTGCCCGCCAAAGATGGCCTGCGGCGTCGGCTTCTCCCACGAGTTGACAAAGACGGAGCCAGCTTCGAGGCGGCGCGCGACCTGCGACGCCTTCTCGACATCCTTGCCCCAGACGCAGGCACCGAGACCCATCTTGGTGTCGTTGGCGCGCGCAACAACTTCGTCGAGATCTGACCACGGTTGCGTAGGAACGATGGGGCCAAAGGGCTCCTCGGCAACGATGCGGGAGTCGTTGGGCGGGTTGTCGATGATGGCCGGCTGGATGAAGAAGCCCTTGCCGGACGCGACGTCGGGCTCGCCGACGGCGAACTTGTAGCCCTTGGCTTTGGTGTCGGCGAAGAACTCCTTGACCTTCTCGTACTGCATAGGGTTCTGCACAGGGCCGAGCAGGTTGTCGCCGTCGTCGGGGCTTCCGACCTTGATGGACTTTGTAAACTTGACCATCTCCTCCAGGAACTCCTTGTAGATGGACTCGTGGATGTAGATTCGCTTTGTGGCGACGCAGACCTGGCCCGAGTTCTGGAAAGCACCCATGACGACTTCAGGGGCAACCTTCTTGATGTCAACATCGGGCAAGATGATGGAAGCATCGTTGCCACCGAGCTCGAGGGTGACACGCTTCAACGTCTTGGCCGAGGTTTCCATGACCTTCTTGCCAGTTGCGATGGAACCAGTGAAAGAGATCTTGGCAATGTCCGGATGAGCGCACATCTGGGCGCCGAGCTCATTGTTGCCGCCTACTGCCTGGACGAGACCCGGAGCGAAGAATTCCTGCATGATCTCGACCACTTTGAGGCCGGTGTAGGGGGTGAAAGGCGATGGCTTGATGATGATGGCATTGCCGGTCAAAAGGGCAGGGGCGACCTTGCCGATGGACAGGACCAAGGGGAAGTTCCAGGGGATGATACCTGCGCAAACACCGAGCGGGGTATACTCGGTGTAAATGGTCTTTTCATCATCATCGACCGTATCCACGGGGATGTCCAGTGAGCCTGGATGGCGTCAGCATTCAACGCTTGTCGTCAGCCAAAATGTCACTTACAGTGGTACTGGATAAATCCAACGATGCCGCCGACTTCGATGGCGGCGAACTTCCTCTGTGGAATGGTCAGATGCGTTACACGGGCCCAGCAATACTGGGCAACGTACCGGCTTGCCCGTCTCCTTGCAAAGCAGGGTGGTGAGGTCGTCTGTGAATTGACTGAAGTAGTCGCAGAACTTGAGCAGGGTTTCCTTCCTCTTCTGAAGCGGCGTATCCCTCCACGCGGGGAAGGCCTTCTTTGCGGCCTCAACGGCGTCATTTAGGTCCTGCTCGCTACCAATGGGGACGGGCCAGTTCTCCTGGCCGGTGGCGGGGTTGATGCCGTGGTGCACATTGTCACTGCCGCGCCGCTTGCCGTCGACAATGTTGTAGAACTTGTCGAACTCGATGGTCGACACTTTTGAGGGAGACATACTGCAGTAAGTCTGATGGGGAGATGAGGGAGGGATGAGAATCAGATCAGATCTGGACCAGGTATGAGGAATAAGGTGATATTTAAGTCAATCGGATGGGGAGATGAGGGGGGATGAGAATCTGATCAGATCTGGACCAAGTATGAGGAATGAGGTGATATTTAAGGCAATGCTGGCCGCGACACGCCAGCGTCACAGTACCCATGTCTACCCGATTGTATCCTAGGAGAGAGACGATGATGCAGGCGGGGCAGTCCTGTACTTTTTCCCGCGTGCGACCAGAGCCGTGCGGGGCAGCCTCCACCTGCCGTAGGGAAAGGTGCAATTGCCCACCCGGGCAAGCTCCATGCTTCCCAAGACAGTACCCGGAGGTTGCCACATCCGTCTTGCACCCAGCGCTGCTCTTTGATGACGCTGACAGAAGAATGCCGCTGACGTTCAGACGCCATCAACGCAGACTCGCGCATGGCAATCGACCGCTTGACGTTGACGTTGCGCGCACCTGGCCGCTTAGCGCATTGCGGGTCGTATCATCGAGAGACGAGTCGAAACAAGTGACAAAGCACCGTCGCACGAACAATCCTCGGCCTAAGAGATACAGTCGTCTTCGCCCCCAAGCCCACAATGGAGCTTGCGGGCGCCAGCGACAACGTCCACACTGCCGAAACCGCGCTGCGAAACCTCAGCCAAGTGCCGGAGCACCGCCCTAGTGTGGCCTGGGGCCACTGAATCGGCCCGAGGTTACCCTGATGTTCAGCAATTGCACACGATACAAGTTACGGTGTACACGCAAAAAAGAGGGTACACAGCGATGTTCCTCGCATCTCCACCGGAAAGAGGACCCTCACGCAAGACCCTGATGTCCAGGAGGCTAGCTTGGCCCACATGGGCGAGCACTTTCCCGTCTCGAGACGCGAGTACCCAGCACCGCGACACCCATTCTGCTCGACTCAAAAGCCTCGACCTGCCTCGTGTACGCTCTGTTCGCCACATTGGGCGTGCTGTTTTGTAATCTCGCAATAGCGTATACTAGAAAATCGCTGATTGGCCACGCTGCTTGAGAGACTCCGCAAAACTGACTCGGGCACAACGCTCAGTGAGGTGGCACCTTATCGCAGCATCGAAAACCTTTGCTGGATACCGCTTGCTCCTTCGCCGTCAAGTTTATGTTGTAATCTGCCCAGGCCTGCGACAGACACGTGATCCAGGAGCGGTAACAGTTGACTGGCTTGACTGTTTTGCCTGTACTCCCTCGCTTAGCATATTAACCAAACATCACGATGCTAACAATAGCAGACAGAGACCTCTTCGAATGATATCCATCGAATAAAAAAGCAGAAGACCTCGCAATGTATCGAGTTCGTCGTTGTTCTTCAACAAAATTCCTCGGAAGCCTGCGTCGTTCACTGCAATGGCCACCATTTAATATCTCCTTGATGAACAATACGAAAGGCGAAATCTTCCTACCTGCGTTCGGCAGGACCGTTGGGTTATATGCAAGCCTCTTCCCGCTAGAGATCTCAAACTTTCTGCAGGTCTCCGGCTGGTAATTAACCGTTGCCGTTCACCTCGCCAGTCGCGACCTCGACCAAGGTCTTCCAATCTATTATATACAACGCCCGTCCTCTTTCGAGCGCGCCATCTTGCCATCGTGCTCCCACTCCCAACTATCGCATGCTATTCTTGGACCACAGCTCAAGATACCCCAGGTTTTTCAAAGGTCTAGAGCAAACGTGTTCTCTATGCGACTGAGCACGTAGCGCCTGATTGTCCGTATGCTAGCTGCAGCTGCGAAATGAAGACGCTCTACGACATGGTGAAAGCACGCCAGTAGAACGAATCATAGACATCCGTCCCAAACGTACAGGGCATCCTAGCATGGATCACCACCTTGGAGCAGGTAGCGATATGCTTTTTTGGGAGCAGAACTATATGAGCTTGCAGGCAACGTGATAGTGGATCGCAACGCTGCAGGGTCTCGCTTCCAACTACCGTGAACCATCACTGGAAGCTGATCAACCTGCAGTACCCGGTTCAGCAGATTGGAATATATAAGACCTGCGTCGCTCCCTTCCTTTCCCGTCCACAGTCCTCTACAAACGTGCCGCCACCTCCACACACCATCTCATTCTTCCATTGTTCGCCACCCTACCTCATCTTGAAGGGAAATACATCTACCCAGTTGATCTCCTCCAGGATCCAAATCCATACACCAACCATCGACTTCACCAGAAGGACAATACTCCACAGACAGTAGTGACAATGAAGTCTTTCGTCGCGCTCTCACTCCCGCTCCTCGCGCTCGCCGCACCCCACGCGCTCGACGCTTCCTCGGCGCCCCCATCCTTCAAAATCAACAAAGTCATCTCCGGCGGCTCCGGCTGTCCCCAGGGCAGCATCGACGTCAACTGGACCAACAACGGCATCCTGCCCATCTGTACGCCAATCCTACCATTACCATCCATGATGCACCGTTAAGCTAACCGCCACAGACTTCAGCAAAGACTTCACCGCCTCCGTCGGCCCCAGCGTCACCGCCGACCAGAGCCGCAAAAACTGCCAAATCAACCTCGACATCTCGTACTCGCCTGGATACTCGTACAGCGTGTACAGCGCCGACTACACAGGGTATGCGAACATCGACTCGGGCGTCAAGGGGACGGTCGCGGCGCACTATTACTTCTCCGGCGAGCAGGACACCGTACGTTTCTTTTTCTATACGTGCCTCCAACGTACTTTTCTGTACCCACGCTCTATGCAGCTCACACTGCAAGGGGCCAAGGAAGAATGAAGAACACTTGCTAATGAACAAACAGGGCTCCACCAGCCTCACCCTCCAAGGCCCCTACAACGGCAAGTACGTCAAGCAGGATGACGTCGTCACCAGCGTGTGGAGCCCGTGCGGGCAGCAGTCGTTGTTGAATGTCAATGCTGAGGTCTCGCTCACGCCCTTGGGCAGCTATGCGAGCGGGCAGCTCGCGGTGAACAAGGAGACGGGCCGGTTCACAAACCAGTTGTACATCCGATGGAAGCAGTGCTAGGCTGCGGGGTGGAAAAGGAGGCGTCTCGTAGTGTTTCTTATGCAGTTCTAGAGCAAAATGCAAGTGCACTTAATCATACAACCGTGTACATGCCGCCTGCCAGCACGTCGTTACGCATCGCCCACGTCGCCGCCTTGGTGCGCGTCCGACTCCTGCTCGTCAGCGACCTCCGCATACGCGTCCAACTCCTGCTCGTCAGCGACCTCCGCATACGCGTCCAACTCCTGCTCGTCAGCGACCTCCGCATACGCGTCCGACTCCTGCTCGTCAGCGACCTCCGCATACGCCGGCGGCGCAAGCTCGTCGCCGCCCTCGAGCCACACGCGCGCCAGCTCCGCGTCAATCTCCTGCTTCCGCTTCGTCCACTGCTCGACCTTGGCGAGCCGCTCGCGCAGCTCCGCAAGCTCCTTTTCCACGCTCGACTTCTCGCTCTCGGTGCCGATGCGCTGGAACTCCCACTCGTCGCCCTGTTCGCCCATGCCGAGCGTGAGCGTGTACGTGTGGTACCGCTTGAGGGAGGCGCGGGTGGAGATTGTGATGAGCGCTATACAGGGTTAACCTTGCTCTCGTAGTCAAAGGAATGGGGAGTGGTGAGGCGACTTACTAATTCCCTTCGCCTTGGCGCGCTCGTACAGCAGGCCCTCGACATCGGACGACACAGCGCTGGTGCCCTCGTCGATGAACGCGTACCGCGGCTCGTGGTACAGCAGCCGCGCAATGCCTATGCGCTGCTTCTCGCCGCCGCTGAAGACGTCTTTCCACACCTTCTTGGTGTCCCAGCCGCCCTCGCGGTCGGGGATGTAGCCCAGCTTTGCCTCCTCGAGGATCTGGCTGAGCTCGATGTCGCGGCGGCCCGCGGCCTTCATGTCGACCTCGGTGTGCGGGTAGATGACCTGGTCGCGCAGAGTGCCTGTGCTGAGGTACGGCCGCTGAGGGAGGAACATGATGCCATCTGTGCCGATGGTGCGCGGCCGGCTGACAAGACCGCGGTAGGTGGGCCACAGGCCGGCGACGATGCGCGCGACGGCGCTCTTGCCGACGCCGTTGGGTCCGGCGATGAGGAGGTGCTCGCCTGAGTGGACGATGAAAGAGAGAGATTCGATGAGCTCGTCACCGCCCATGGGGTATAAGGCTGGTGCGACGACAGGCACGTGTTCGAGACGGACGCCGTCGAAGCCTTTGTGGACTGTCCCTTGGACGTCGGACACAGAATAGAGTTCTGGGCGCGTGCCGGGGGTAGGGTGGTAGGAGTCTGAGTGGACGCGGTGCAATGTGCTGATGAGAGTGTACACACGTGATGTGTAACCAGCAAGTTCCGAGAGATCTTTGATAGAGTACATCATGCGGCCTCCAGCGTCCGCAAGCGAGAGCATGAGCCGCTTGTTGGTAATGAAATCTTTCATGCGGTTCCGTTCCCTGTTCTGCTTCTCGCCGCCAGATAGCTCTTGTGTGCTACCTAGGCCGCCCCAGGCGGGAAGGAAGACGGGAAGCGAAGTGATCAGGTAGCCAAAGGCTGACCAAGAGTACTTGAGCACAAAGTCCTCGAGCATGTTGTAGCGGATCTTCAAGCTGTAGATGCCTTCCATCCAGTGCTTGAGATCCTTGAAACCTTTGTCGAGAAAGTGTTTCTCCATCTCATCGCCCCCGTAGAAAGCGACTTCTTCGGCGTTTGCGATCAAGCGAGAGTGCAGCGCTCTGAAGTCGCCTTCTCTACGGCCTTCGACGGCTTTGAGCTTGCCGAATGGAGGGGACAGACGTCGCAGAATCGTCGCGGTGAGGAAGTAGTTGCTCAACAGTCCAGTGAAAGCCAACGGACCCAGCGACTGGATGAGCTGATAGTTGAACACGCAGATGTCGACGAACGGCTTGCCGAGGGAAGAATAGAGGGATGCCGCAGATGCGCAGAACAAGGTGAGGTCTTGGGTAATGAACTGGTCTGCACCCTGGCCTACTCCGCCATCCAAGTTGTGCAGTTTGTAGTAATTGAGGTGGTCGTTCAGGTAGAGATCGTGGATGTATCTCGTGAGTCGCGTCCTGAAAGCAATGGAGACCTTGGACTGCAGGAATTTGATCATGGCGTTTGTGTAGGACGAAAAGGTGCCAACTCCGAGCCACTTGACGATGCCCCACAGGAAAGCCTTCCCGTTGCCTGCAACCAGATCGCGGACAATCTCTCCGTCTAGTCGCGCGACCACCAGCGACAAGTAGGTCCTCAGCATCAAGAAGACACTATGGCTGATGAGCAAGCCAGACTCCTTGCTGTTCCATCGCGGGATCATGATGTTCAGCAGGCTCAGGAACTGGTGCAGGAAGGCGAGGTTCAGGCCGGGCTTGGTCTGCGGCGGCGGTGCTTGCGGGTTGCTTGCGTCGGCCATGCGCGCGGCGCGCGGCGGCTGGAGGAAGAGGCGACGATGCGCATCGAAGGTGGTGGGCTTGGTCGGGTGGATGACCACCTTGGACGTCGAGTCTCGGTATGGCACGTAGATCGTCCGGGACCCGTCCTTCCCTCGCAGGCCCGAATTGCGCCTCAACAGCCGCCGCCCCGTCTCTTTCTCGGCGCGGGTTTTCTGGTACCACGTCCGCGCGCCATAGCCCGAGCCGATTATGGTGAGCGCGAGCGTGATGGCGGAGAGCAGCTTCGTGAGCTTCGAGGCATCGCCGACGCGGGTGCGGAGCAGGACCGCATAGTGCTTGTAGAGGGCGAGGAGCGGATCATGCGGCTGTCGCAGTGTAGATTGTGCGGCCATTGCAGGCCATGGAGATCCTCTGGCAGAGGACTTTCATGTCTCGGGCGTGGAGAGTGCAGCGTCGGCGGTGTTGGCTGTCTGTCATGTGCAATCGGACCTCTGCGAGCCATGATGCGTCTGGAGCTCCCTGAGCCGAGGCATGTGAAACCCCCACGTGATGGCACTAGCATCCAAATCTGGGGAAGAGCTCTCTCCACACTCCACACACCGCGCCGTGCACCCTAGCTCAAATCTCGACTTCGCATCGCAACATGTCCCTTGTCGCCCTTTTCGTGGCTGGGAAGCGTGTCTTGATTTGTAGGCGTGACGGAAATCGAACCATATGTATCTAGGTCTGTGATATCCCATTGATCTCGTCTTCTTTTTTCGGATCCAGGCCATGACCTTCCAGGTCTATATCTCTCAGCTTCATTTGAAGGCCCAGCACATCTAGACCTGAAAATGGATGCCATGGATTCTGAAAAAGGAAGAATCTGATTATACCGAGTATGAGAAAGCCGATGGTTGTCTCCCCAATACCCCATAGCACGACGTACGCGATGTAGTAAGTTATGTCTAATGAGAGCATCAGCTGCAACAAATAAACAAGCCGGACGACAACACATATACAAGCACTAAATTCCTCAATATTATTCATGAAACATTAGAGGTGGTACTCACAACAGTCCAATTTGCAAAGAGCAGCGATACGCCGAGTCGTTTAGGGCGAGAGATGTGCAATTTCCAGGTCCTCCGCTGTGGTAGTAGCAATATGGCGAAGTCGGATAGAATGTTGACAATTCCAGAAACAAAATTGTTCGCTCCAATATTAATGGGATAACTGCCGCCCTCGAATAGCGGATTCCAGATCTTTTCGTGTGGGTGGCAGCGCCATACTTCTATCAACGTACCCGACCCGTAGTAAATGATGTTGGCCCATATTAAAGCATGTAAGGTCCAGAACATCCAGCGTTGTCCCTGCTGCACAAACAGCCTCAGCCAGTCCAGCAGGATCGCAATCTTGAGGCACATAACCACGAGGCCGTAGAATATGGATCCAATATGAATGTTCTACTGGATGTAAGGCCCCACTCAAAGCACCTAAAAAGGTCTTCACACTCACGTATTGCACCTGAGACAAGAACTTCATTTAAAAGTCCCACTGGTGCATCAAGGGCCCTGGAAGAATCGATGTTGCGTACAAAAAGGTCACTCGCCCTATGAGACGGAGAATTATTCTAATGATAATAGCTAGTATATGTTGCCACGAGAACACCCCCCACTGCTATCGCGCAGACGTCCTGTCGCCTCTTCGGAATACACAAGCGGGGGACAAATGCGCGAGCATGCGTAGGTACCCTAGGTAATTTGGGGAGCTCGGAAACAGCCTCGGGTTAGGGTTACCGCAATACGTGTAAGGAGCGAAATAACCAAGAGATTGGAAATGGGTCTTCACAACGATGTCCTTGGCTTGGCACGGTTCATGCCAAACTGGAAGAAACAATTCCTTCGAGACGTAAAAAAACCTCGTAAACATGCTTGGTTTGTCACCAACCTTGGGGGCTATGGACGAGAGGCCGGCAAAGGACACACAAAAGCCTGCAGACACTGCAACGGATTGGTGCGTCCGCCGCTCGCAGTTCACTCTTAGTACCGAGATACCCGTGGCCGCTTTTCTTCTGGGCATTGCTTCAGTCAAAACTCGTTTACTTGTTGTCACGTGCACCTGGCAAGACGCTGTGGTGGAAGAGAGTCTTGTGCTAGGGTTAATGATGGATATGAAAGCGTGGCTGGGGCAGATAGGACAATAGTTGATACGTGTTTTTGGTCCCCCTATTCGATCCAATCTTTCTTATAGCAACATTCTGGCGTAGATTGACCGGATATGGCAGTTTCTTCACTAACGCATCCCTGAGGTCTCTCATTTAATTTCACTCTCAAACTGCTTGGAGACAATGACAATTAGAGGAAGTCTTACCAGACTCTGATCAACCATTAGCTCGTCCTGGCGTACAAGCATTCGTCGCGCCTCACTTTGCTCTGCGTTGACGTTGATGCTTTTGGCTAGTCTTGTAGCAAAAGGAGAAGATCACCAACTGCGCTCGCCTGCAAACATGGAGTAGCCATTGAGCGACTTCTTCGAGCCATCTGTGCAGACTTAGTTCACTGTTTGTCATTCAATGGCACCTCACAGTCTCGTGGAGGAATATTGTCCTCATGAAATCACATCAACCACAGTACTGCCAAAGCGCGCACCCAAAGCTCAGGTGAACGTAGAGGATTCGATCCTCGCCCCTTTGAGTTTCCTCAACACTCGTCTTCGAAGCCAGCATGCGAGACCGGAAAGATCGAGTTGTCTCCCGATTTTCTACTGGAACATCGAAAAGACTCTAGACTTGCGTCGCGACTCTAGGAGCCTGTACACGATTGTTCAAATTTGCTGGCAGACAAGCAACGCGACCGACTTCTGTTCTGGACATATACTGTCGCTAAACGCCACTGGCAAACTTCGCAATGAATTTGTCGCCGAAGCTGGCAAGGGATCCTTGCTTCACCCTTGGCTCCGGTGGCGTTCGACTATGGACAGAAACTACTCGTATTTGGAAGAAGCGGAGCGTGAAATTGCCGCTTTCCATGGCGCCGAAGAAGGTTTACTCGTTGGTTCAGTATTCGAAGCAAATGTGGCGGTGGAGACCGCTTTACCCCAGCCTGGCGACGTGCTTCTTTACGACAAGCTAGTGCATGCGAGTACCCATGAAGGAATGAAGAAGAGCCGTGCGAAGCATCGAGTGGAATTTCTTCACAATGACCTGGAAAGCTTCCGGGATACGATTATCGATATTTTGGAGAACGATGGTTCCATTCGCGAAGGTAAATCTACCGTTCTTGTGGCTGTGGAGTCCATATATAGCATGGGCGGCGACGTTTGTCCACTGAGGGAGATAGTTGACATTGGAGAAAAACTATGCTCGCGTCAAGGAAACATACAGTTCATTGTCGATGATGCATACAGTGTCGGAGTGATTGGACCCAAGGGTTCAGGCTTGGTCCGTGAACTAGGACTAGAGAAGCACGTTGCAGTGGTAGTCCATTCCTATCGAAAGCCATGTGATCCACAGAAGGTGCATATGATCAATTCGCCATGCAAGATGCCTAGGCAAAGTATTTAGCTGACATTTACATTAGCAATCATCCTCGGCAACAAGACTGTTCGCGACGCGCTCGTGAATTAGGAAATCCATCGTACTTACTACATCGCCTTCTTGCAGCTATCAAAGCTGGCTAAACCCTGCTTGGTATTCAACACGGCCGTATTGTAACTCGATCCATTTTCTCTCAAGCGAGGAGATTAACTTCTGCCAGCTCGAACACGTATCCAAGCTCATGCCCGGCTCTTCTTTGAGACTCTCACATCCCATCCATTGTGGAATAAGACAAAGTCCACATCACTAATCCGTGTACCTTTGGCTGAAGGCTGGGAGAAGAGGCCGTTCTTGACCCACATAATGACGGTGTCAACTCGCCAGAGATACACCTACTGGCTATTTGTGCATCTGATGGCAGCATCCTACAGCGTCTTTCCTGTGCCATGTCCCATCGTCCCAATTGGCCAGAACAGATTGAGAATCATCTTCCACTCAAACAATACCGAATAACAAATCGTAGCGTTGGTAAATGCCATGTTTGCATGGGTTGAAGATATGTTCGCAATAGAGGAGGCAGAACAGCGGAGTCAGCGAGTAGCGTAGTGAAGAAGGTCAATCAGTGAATGAGAAGAGAGGGACTGGAGGGTACACTATAGGAGCAAGCGTGCGCTTGTAACATGCTTCCCGTCTACTTACGTAAATTGTTCTAGCGAGTTGTGTATCAATAAGTGAAGTAGTTTTTGAAGCACACAAAGCTAAAATGGTCTAAACAATCATCAATGACGTCAACATGATGTCCGTCTGGGCAAACTTGCTCCCACTTATGAAAAGAATTTGATGTTGTCGATTAAAGAGGAATCTCATATATAACAAGAGACGGTGCATTCGCGGAGCAATTCACTCAGTCGAAATCAGACGGTGTTCAATGTCTGGTGCAACCACTTTGATGAACATATAATGGGTTCAAATCTAGCGTCCGTAGGAATAGCAGACATCTATACCCAGGGCGTCTCCAGTATGCGGGCGCATTGTACCGTTAGGGTTTAGGATCCGTGAAAGCAGAATCAAATTAATGAGGCACGAGACTTTCGTCAGTGCGGACGTAAGAAGTAGGCACACTGGAGGATGTGGCGGAAGATCTGGGACTGCACGAGCCGTACACATCTCAAGCAACGGCCAAGAGGGTACGCATCTGAAAGACTGAACACTAGACACTAAATGCTACAGCGTTCGGCAAGGCAAGCCTCAACATCACACTCTTGACGCTTGTCCGCGAACCGAATTACTCCGATAAAACTGTATTTCCGTTTCCAGCTCCAGCATCCTTGCCTCCATCGAATGTATGTGCTCCTCTATCGCGCGAACAGAAGAAGTCCTTGCGAACCCTTGATTTGGCAGCACATCCTTTTCCGACGACGAATCATCAATATCTGCCTCTTTCCACGGCTCACGTATGATAGAAGGTGGCTGCTCCTCATCGGTAACCCACCTGGGCCTCCCTGAATTCCATTGTCCCACACCCCGTTGAGGTCGTGCGGGCTGGTACGCGCGCTCGCGAATGGGCTGCAGATCCAACAACACTACGTCTTCTCGCGTTTCCAACAAGGGTTGCACGCCGAAATGCTGCTGTACGGTAATTCCGGCGCTCTTCTCCTTGTCCGTGTTCTGTGAAGGGAGGAGGTTGCTCGAGTGGTAAGACTGACTCCTGGAGAACCAGCTCGACCGCTTTCCGCTCGAGGCCGTCGAGCTGCCCCAGCCTTTCCCGAATCGCGATGGCCTCGAGCGCGATGACGAGTCGTCCAGAGAGCCGCACCAGAGACGGACGAGAGCGCGGATGGTGGGCACCGCGGCGCAGACGTGACCAACCACGCTGGCCACGAATCCGAGGATTGTGGCGCCGACGGTGGTGTAAGGCTGGTCCTCGGAGGAGACTACGCCGGGGAGCGTTGGGAGACGGGCGACGGAAATGCCGATGATACTGTCGGATCCTGTAAGACTGTGATAGAGGAGGGTTGAAGCGGACATACCAGACGCCCAGCCCAAAGAAGGTGAGCAGTTGGATTTTTTTTGAACGTCGCAACTTAAGCCTCAGGACTACTGGAATGGGTAATACAAAGATGAGGACTTCCGCAATGACCTATGCCCAGGTGGAACGTTAGTGTGCATCAAATCATAGATCGTAGATACTGACTTCAAAGACCACAGTTGCCCTGAGTACCGCTATCCAATCGATACACTTCGCCGTCTTCTGCGCCTCTAGATCCCATATTGCGTGTACAGGAATACACTGTAGAGCTGCCAGAAAGACTAGCGGTCCGGTGTATAAGATCGTGAAGACCGTAAAGATCATAACCGCTCGCTTCAGCCAAGGGTTCGGAAAGATGCGCACGTACAGACAGAGGATGCTGAATTTGAGTATGAGCAGCTCCAACGCCCAGCAGATGGTCGTTATGTATGCTACATAGGATCAGATCATACAGTTGGTCGAATGGAGAACGGTATACACACTCCACTGGCCGATGGTCTTGACTTGGTGGTAAGTGAGGTCCCAGATATGATGGCCTATTCCGGCTTCGGCATCTATTCATAAACTTAGTAAAAAGATTTAAAAAGATAAGCATTCACGTACTCAACAGTAGGGAGACAGTCATTGGGATTACGAGAATCTGGTTCCGGTCAATTATCCACTCCACATGGATGGGCGTGTTATTCTTACGATCGAGGCAAGTTGAAGCCAATCGTCCCACCAAAGCGGGCTCCCACCGAGGTGCCGCGATACGAAGCGCAAGATGACTGCAACGATGGAGATAATGCCAGTTGTCCACGCAGTGATTTTTATGCTCAACGACTTGTTGTCATGCGGCTTGTCGCACAAGTCGGCTTGTACGTGCAGAAGTGCTACTTTCAGATTAGATGCTATACCAGATGAAAAGAGCATAATTCTTTGGACTCATCCATTGAATCTGACATGGCACACTTACTGAATGTCTCTTCATACGTGCAGTTTGCCTTCAGACATGGCTGGAGTATTCGAGTGGAGTTTTTCGAAGCGCACTGACATTCTATGTCTAGAAGTGAGCAGCCTATAGATGTCGCTTCTTGTCCTAGGCAAGTCAACTGAACGACAGTGAGCGACCCAACACCAAAGAGTCTATCAAGTACTCACAGCACACTTCGGTATCTCATTGATGATACCCAACAACCCACTATCGACAGCGCGTGCACCATTGCGCTCTGCCGCCAGCCGCTCCAACGCGGCTGCTCCTCGGAGGAGCACTGCAAACAGCAAAAGCAGCACGAGGCGCAGGGTCATACCGCACAGATCGTTCTTGCGACAAACCTCAGAGTGGGGCCCCGAGGTACTTCTTAAGGCAACGGCACGCCCCCCTCGCACGTTGCGCACTCCTGCATCTGCAGGTCGGGGATGCCCGCCACATGCCTATGGTCTGCAGGGTAAGCCAAACTACTGTCCAACATTCAGGGCCCCCTTCTGCTCGGGTACCAATCCCCTCCCTCCATCACGCAAAATCTCTTCGCAGAAAGGCGGGGGAAGGATAAGAGATCGGCTGTTCGGTAGCTGCTGAAACCGTGGGCTACATGTGAAAACCTTGCAGCCCTTGGTTTCGGGGTGCGTCTAGCGCTGTGTAGGTTTGGGATGACATGGCCGAGACAGGCGCACAAGAGTCGGTGTAGAGACTGAAACGCGCGCGCAGGCCGGGGCTAGGCGGTGGTTGCGGGGTAGACATGTAGCTTTGCTGCAGCGGGCAGCGGAGGGACAGGTATGGTTGGGACAGTCGACAAACACAGTTTCCTTCTGAGTACTAGCGGCAATCTACAAAAGGATAATCGCGTCTTGCGGTAGGTCAGTACTCGGATATTTTGTAGTGCTTAGGTACAGCATTATCTGGCTCGTGGACATGCTACCAGTAGCACGCTAGCTTCCTCAGGGGCAATCATCTCGAGGCGTCCGTTGCCACAATGCGCTCTCTCCATGATTTAGTAGGTGTGCCGGCACTTCAAAGCCGGTGGTAAGAATACGCGATGACATCCTGAGCTCTTCACTGGAGGCGTTTAACGTGATGATTCTTGCGAGAAAGCTCAGATTCAAGTCCGTTGTGACTTTTTTTTGTTTTCCTTCTGCATGAAGTAACTGGGGTGAGGGCAGAGAGCGCCTTCTGCTCTTGCCATCACCTTGTCTCTCCAACCGCCACTCACCGTGCCCAGATATGTGCCTACACGAATTACTATGCTGGCGCAGACGGCTTGTGCCGATTTACCAATATTTTGGTATCATCATCACTGTACAACGTGGGTATATGCACCAGGCACGGCTCAACACGAGATGGCTGGGGCGCGGTGTTTACATTTCGGCAAAACACCCTTCCGTGTATGCGACACTATTTCACGGCTTCCGCCGTGAAGACAAGAAGACCACGCGTTTTTTCCGCTCGAAGTAAAGGAAGGCACATGTAAATCATGTCCGGTGATGTCGTTCGGCTACCCACGGTACTCCCTACGACATTCTGGACAAATAAGCTCGGCTAATGAAACGAATATGCAGGTATTATGGGGTGACGGAGAATGAAAACCCAAAAACAGGAATTGCGTTTGTTCGCCGTCCAATAAAGGCACAGCATTCCAGATGGCTTACAGCGGTGCCAATAGCGATGGTACCAAGTCCAGGGCGATACACGTAACGTCTTCATCCTATCTTCCATCGTATCAAAATGTAGATACGACAATGTTCAGTACATTATCGCCAAAACAATCACCTGCTGCATTCGAGTAATCGTGCGCAGCTTTGTGCAACTCGGTCAATCACTGTCCATTGTAGGTAGCCCAAGCACGTGGCGTTGCGATACTAGCTACCCACCACCTTCTCCGCCGCAAGTCTCGTAACGTTCCATCTAAGTGTAATAAGCATCCACGTCACTGTCGCTAAGCCAGTGGCTTCCTCCAGAACACCGGTACCCACCACTCTGGCGAATCCACAGTAAATTCATTGGGCAACGCCCCAGCTTCCGAACATTCTTCTGTCTCTCCTTTTCAATCTTCTTCTGTTTCTCAGCCTCCGCAAGCTCTTCCAGTCTCTTCCTCCGGTCTATTTCAGCTTGCATCCTCTTTCGTTCGAGCTTGAGGCGTTCTTCATTGACCATAGCCGCAAGCTCAGCGCGTCTGAGCTCTTCGAGCTTGATCTCATCTTGGCGCTTTTCCTCTTGAAGGCGAAGGTACTCGCGTTCTTGGGCTACGGCCGCGTGCTTGTCCCGTTCAAGCTGTTCCCAGACCTCATCCGAGATGCCTGGGTCGCGCTGGACATTGAGAATGCCCAAGATTGCTGCCAGTTCGTCGGGTTCTTCCTCCTCATCCGACGACACATTCTCATCGTTCTCCGCGCAGTTGGAATCTTTATTACTCTTTGGCTGAGCTGGAGGTGAGACCTCGGTCCTTGCAGTCGTGTTGGGCGAGCTCGCTGATGAGCCTGTCGTTGGAGGTTGTGGCGGATGTGGCTGCTGAGACATCGGCTGTCGGCCTTTTTTGCTGCCCGGGAACCGATCAACACCGACTGCTTGCTGGCGACGAGACCGTTCATCGATCATAGTTTGTATCGCTCGAAGAACCCGATCCTCAGTAAGTATAAGCTGGGTGATTGGTGGAATTGCATTTGCAATGAGCTCGCCGAAGATTGCTTTGGCTAGCGATTTGACATCTCTACCATTGCCCCAAGAGTTCAGCTTCGATAGAGTTTCGAAGAGGCCAAGTAGTTGCCGGGTGAAATCCGGAGCCGCATCGGTCAACATTGTCAGGTCCAACGGGGCTTTGGCAGCTCTCTTCTGTAAGTCCTTTGTCAGAAGTACAATGCAGGTACCAGGATCAAGGTGGTAGAAGTAAACGGTCTCGGAAAATCGACTGGTGAGACCAGGGTTTTTAGAAAGCAAGCGGTCAATGTCGTGGTCGTACCCCGCTAAGATCATGATGAGCTTTCCGGCGAATTTAGGCTTGGTCAAGCAATCGACGATCTCGTCCATAGCTTCGACTGCGAACTGTCCTTCTCCAAGGCGGTACGCTTCGTCGATAAGTAGCACTTTACCAAGGGCTTTCTCGAATTGCTTTTGCACCTTAGGTCCAGTGTGACCAACATATTCACCAATCAAGTCAGTAGCGGAGCACTCTTCAACCTTGGCATGAGCCAGGAATCCCATGTCGTAGAAGATCTTGCCCATCTTCTGCGCTGTTGTAGTTTTCCCCGTCCCTATCAACATTAGCAGGTCCTCAGCAAGAAGAACAGAAGCTATCATCGAAACGTACCAGGTGGGCCTTTGAACAAAAAGTTGAAAGGAATCTCGTTGCGAGGATCCATACCCAATGACTGTAAATTTGCCGCCGTGTTTTGGTAGTGCTGAAACCGTTTGATCAGGTCCTCGCACCCAACCGTATCTTGAAACAGCTTTGCCAAATTGGTGGTAGCACGCTGTGCTCGGTCAAAATCCGGATCAAAATCGATAGCTCCCAGCGTGTCAAGATGCTTAGTCTTGCCCGCGGCGAGATGCTTCTGATGTAGAGCCTTGGCGCGATCCAGAAGGATATCGACTTCGCCTGCGTTGCCGAAGTTTGGCTTATTGCGAGCACGTTTCAAAGCCTCCAATGCTACTTTCTTTCCTTGATCGGTGGCGCTGTAACCGATGTCCTTAAGCTTCAAATTGAGAATCTTTCGAAGGTCATCATCGTCAAAGTCATCGAAGACGAATGCCGAATCGAGAGGAAATCGCCGAGCCAAACCTGGGTTGACATCGCGAAACATCTCTTCCATTTGCTCCATATATCCTAGAAGCAATACGCATCTGTCCTCGTCAGGGACACTCTGCACCTCTGCCACTATAGTGTCGATGACAGCGGCCTTAAAAATGTCGGGGTTTCTTCCTGCACCCGTTCGGAGCATGTAAGCCTCATCGACAATCAGAACTTTTCCCATGCTGGAGGCCAGTATCCCCTTCGTCTTGGTTTCTGTGGCCCCAAGTACATCTCCAACAAAATCCGATGGGTTCTTCACAATTACTGCATGAATTAGATTTGCTCCAAGTTGGTTTCAGATGATCGTTGCCTACCTTCACCATCCGATAGCATACCAAGATCAGCTAGTATGCGTCCGTACAATTTTGCCACGGATGTTTTGCCCGTTCCTGGTGAGCCTACGAAGCACCGATTCAAAGAATACTGCAATATCGGTTTCTCCGCAAGCTCACGGTGATAATTGTGTTGAAGGCTGTCGAGTAGAACACGAATGTTATCCTTTACCGATTGGAGGCCGATCATGCCCTGGAGTTTCATCCAAGCTTTGTTGCTTTGCAACATGATGGCCGGCTCAGGACCGATAAGGTCTTCTTTGGACAGGAGGTGGTCGTCGGATGGAATGCCTGCCCTTCGTTGCTTCCGGAGACGCTTCGCTTGACGTTCGGTTATCCGATCGATCTGGTTCTGCATAGCACGAGCATTACCGAAACCCTCCTGGTCTCTTCCTCTACCTATACGACGAGCAACTATGCGAGCATACAGACCTCCCATACCGGCGTCGACTTTCATCCTACCTCCGTACTTCTTGTTCACACAATGAGCAAAGATATGATGCAGCTCTTCGTCCGTATAATCTTCGAACTTCATCTCCAGAGGAATGCGACTTGGTATACCCGGATTGTGTGCAAAGAAAGCTTCCATCTGCTTGCGGTAACCGGCCAGAACGAAGACGACCTGGCCGGTGAGATTTTCCATCTCCGCCAGCAGGAAATCTAGAACCGCTTTGCCGCCGGAATTGTTGCCGTTCACAAGCTGATAGGCTTCATCAATGAAGAAAACGCCGCCACCAGCTCCAAGAATTGTGTCAATGTGTGATTTGCATGTAGATATACCATCATTAGCAAGCTTCGATCCTGACGTCTCGAAGAAATGATCTCCAGGAAGGGCGCCGACGCTCATCAGAAACTTCGCATAATGCCTTGCGACGGTTGTTTTACCTAACGTTATCAGCGACAAGATAAAAACAACTATCATCTTTCCTCTACCTGTTCCAGGGTTACCTAACAAAGCCGCTCCAAATCTCTCGCCTTTGAGCGACACATTCTGTCGAACCTGAGTGTCCACCTTCGCCTTTATTGCGAGAAATTTCTGCTTGACGGATTCGAGGCCTAGTCTAGACATTAGCACAGATTGTTCCGATCGAAGTGTAATATAGCTTCCCTATCATAGCTACCAACGCATCCAACGCCTCATTTCGAGCACCTTCGAACCTTTTCTGCCATTCCCAGTCGTCTTTGGCCTCGCTTTGGACCAAGGCCGGCAGATGGTGTTGGAGAGGAGGAACTTGACTGATTGAAGACCCAGCAGAGCTTACGCTAGAGTCCTCGCCTTGAACAGATGCATTGTCGTCACTTTGAGTGTCTGCTGTGGGTACAGGAGGCGGTGGGACTGTGGTTTGACGAGTGCACTTGGATTTCGGCATCTGTGGAACTGCAGGTGCATCCCAAGAATTCGGCACCATTGGTACTGAGACATCCAATGCCGGTGTGACAGTCGACTTATCCGGGTCGCGGACCTGATGTCTCAGATTATCGAGATCTCGCTGCTTCTGAGCCAGCACATTCTTGCGATCTCTGTCCTCGGATGCATTTCGCAACAAACGCTTCTCGTGGGCCATCTCGTCATCGATCTCTGCCAATTTAGTGGCGTACTCTCGTTGCTTGACTAGCCGCTCTTGCTCAAGCTGGTATTCCCGCTGACGCTTCGCCTCAGCCGCTTCGATCTCTTCCCTACAATTTGGACAGGTTTTTTTGTCCTTTTCGTGACATTCAAGGGCAAAAGCATGCTTCAGGGAACAGATCCGGTCGACAATTGCCCGACATTTCATCTTAGAGTGATCCTGCAACTGATGACATCGTTGTGGGCATTTATGAGTGTTGCACTTGAGATATTTTTCGCTTTCAAAAGGTAAGCATCTTTCTTAATATCATGAGATTCCTTACCATGGCTCCGAGCAGCCACCATCTGGGCAAATTTCGTCAAAAGAATCTGGTGAAGCAATTGATGCGGTCCTGTTTGGATGCTGCTCGCATTTGACTGGGAAGCCGTTGTAGACATGCCCTCCCCGATTCAGCTGCTTCATGAGAGGAACCCATACGTCCTTGCCTTTGCGGCTGTTCACAAAAGTACTTGCGTTTCCTATCATAATTAGAGCGTCACGTGCCCGAGACAATAGTACGTTGACACGTTGAGGTGAGGCCATGAAGCCAATATCGCCCACAGAATTACTCCGGGTCAGTGTAGCGATAACAATATCGTTCTCCTCCCCTTGGTAGTTGTCTGCCCCAAGTCAGCACTCAATTTTGTCCAGACTTGATGATCCCGCATGCAGGGAATTCAAGGATTGCTTACCTATGGTGCAAATTTTGACCCTTTGCTTGGGAATACCTGCACTTGGCGGAGGTGCCAGCCCAGCACGAACGAGCTCGAAAGAATCCAGATCGTTGAGCCAGGGGTCACTATCCTGACTTAATGTTTTCACAAGGCGGTGGAGCTGACCAAGGTATGGTGTCAGAATAACAATCTGCTCGGTATTATACCCTTGCTGGCCAAGATACCGGACAATCTTGAGGACCATATCGACTTCAAACTCGTTCTCTTTGCTAGACTTCTGATCTTCATCGCGGCGGTCTGCAATGAAATCGGCATTGAGCTCGGGCTTATCGTGAGATACAAATATGACGTTATTCTGGAAACCTCGTAGCATGGGTCGATCTTTAGTCCCTAATGCGTCCTCTAGCTCCGGATACGTGAGCGATCGGACAAGGTTGGAGATTTCTGGACGCATCCGATGTTGCAAATTCAACGTGGTGTGAGGCATGCCAGAGAGAACAAGCCTCTCAAACATCGACACGTTGAGATCATACCCATCCCCCTTTTCCACCGTCAACGAGTAGTTACTAACTTTCGGCCGAAGTTGTTTGTGATCTCCTATCAGCACCAGTTGTTTGGTATTGGACGTCAGAGCAGTCAGAATATGACTCTCGAGGATCTCGCCGGCTTCCTCCACAATGATGATTCCTGGCGAAGCTTCTCGGATTGCCTCGGTATACTTCGCCGCAGCTGTAGTCGTACAACCTATAATTCGCTTTTGTTTCAAGAAGAAAGCTTTCTCTTCCTGGTTGATTCGTTCAACCATGTGCCTGCATCGATTGTACTTCTGTACTAGGTTTGTGATGTGAGAAGCTCGTTCTTGATAGATACCTTTGATCCAGTTTAGACGGAGAGCAGCACGTGCACTGCTCTCAAGTCCCCATACATTGGGAAACTGCTGTTCTGAAGCGCCACCGACGGCACCAGCGCTCCTCCCCTGTGTCCACTCGTTGATCAAGTACGTTCTATCAATGGCTTTACCATGACGACCTGCAATTTCTTCACCTTCATCAGTATCAGGTATCTGGAAAGCATCAAAGAAATCTGGATCTTCAAACTCCAGATACTCTAGAATGGCTTTGTCATTGATGTTGCCCTGAATGAAACCAGACACGGCGTTGACTAAGAGGTCATGGTAACCTTCAGCTTCTACCTTGTTATTTTCCCTGATCTGCCAGGCGTCACGGCCAATCTTGTACGTGGAGGATTGTTTAGAGATACTTAAATCCTTCGTTTCATCGCTGCCCCTGTATCCGAGACGAACTATCGAGTGTTTCGAAACGCCAATGTTCTGTATGTCTACGAGAAACTGATCAAGCGCATGATTGGTGTATGTGATTACCAAGATAGTTTCTTGAGTCTGGTCATGAAGAATCTTTGTAATGAGAGACCCGATGAAGGACTTCCCAGTTCCTGAATGGGTTAAGGTTAATTTCGATCGTCAAAGTGAGCTTTCCCGTCACCCCTTGCAAGCAGCGAATGGCGCTAAATGGAACAGCCCTACACTGAGCCAGGAGGTACATACCTGGTGGGCCTTGAATAAGGCTAACCCTTTTGGACAAACCCGCCAATAACGAATGAGCTTGGGCGCTGTCTAGTTTGACACTCATGGTCGCACCTACTGCGTGCTGCAGGTCTTGATCCATGTTTGCGCCGATATGATCGATCATTTGCGTCGGTTGGATACCGGACAAGGCCTCTTCCGCCTCAGAAGTGGACTGAAGTAATTGTTCTTGCAGTGGAACTTCCAACATGTCCTGGAGGCATCGTAGAACAGATTCATAAGCAAACACAGCTGTGTCCACTTGTATAAACTCAAACTCCTGAGATACCTTGCTTGCGATGAGTACTTTCATGAGCGCATCATCATCAGCAATACGTAGCCGCAGTACGGGAGGCTCTTGAGAGAGTTCGGCTTCGTTGCGATCCACGCTCACAAAAGCGACTACACCTCCGTGGCTAACCAAGCAACCAAGGGAATGATGCTTGAGTAGGTTTTTGTTATCTGCGACATGCTTCCTTCGCGCATCGGTGTCCTTAAAGTGCTTCAGCTGGGGGATATCGGCGTTGCACTGAAGTTTGATGTGGCAAACCCTTCGTCGATGAGGCAAACCACAGTCAATGCCTATGAATTGCAGCCTTCTCAGGATCACCCTGCGCCGTCCTTTCTTGGCACCAATGCTGATCTGGAAATCATTGCGCAGTTCACCAAGTAAGTCCTCTCTTAAGAGCCGGAATTGGTTGTCGAGGTGGAGATGGCCCCGCTGATATAGGTCGACAGATTTCATGGCATCTGCACGTCGGTAGAATGGCCTTTCTGTAGAGGAGAACTCATCTGCAGTAGGCAGAATCTTAATCTTCCTATAATCTGCGTGATCATTATCATGACGTCCGCCAGGTCCAGTTCCGGTAATATCTGCCGAAGTATTTTCGAGGAAGTTTTTGATTTTTTGCCCGAGATTTCTCACCCCACGCTCCTCAGAGCCGATCAACGACTCGATTTCCGTGACCCGCTCTGCGATATTGCGTACGTCGGGGAGATCACCAGAGCGATCGTATAAAAGCTCGACCAGAAGCCACGCAAATGCGAGGTTGGCATCTTCAGATAGAGCTCGAGCAAAGTGAGCTTTGGAAAAAGCGTCCCAGAACGTGGGTGGATCAACGATGTGTTGGACAATGCGATGCAAAAATTGGCCATCGTGAAGTTGCTTGATGGATGGGTCGGCTAATAATCGAAGGACCTCGGCTGCAGGCCCGTTCAGGAAGGCGCTATCTCCAGTAAAGCGAAACGCCTTGGCAAGAGCTGTCAACCCTGAACTGGACGCAACGATGCTTTCCACACATTTAGACGCATCTTTCTGCGCGCACACAGCCTCTAAGAATCGTTTACAATCACCTAAGCTCTTGATCTCGCGATGTCCGTGGATAAACCCGTTGAACAGCTTTGTCAATCCGTTGAGGCGTTTCTCGGTTGCTTCATCCATCTTGGCTACAGGCTGCAGGGGAAGAAAGTACAGAGCAAACAGGAGAGTGGATCATGTGTTGAGTATCACTTGTAAAATTATTAAGGACGATTCGAGCGACACGAGAGCGGTTTTAAAGGAGACGACGTTCGGAGGTCCAAAACAGCAACTCTTGTCTACCACTGGTACAAGATCTGCAGCGATAACAAGCAGCGCAATCGATTGGAACATGACAATGTTCATTTGCAGCTGATTGTGTATCGGTGATTGCCTGCATGCTTCGGGACCCATCCACACGAGAACATTGGCTATGCTGTTGTTGTGCTACCTGCACGAACAACAAACATCCCACACCCCACTCAGCCTTGCTTGCTCGCAATTCCGGGCCTTGAAAGACAGCTGTGTTGCTGTAGGTGAATAAGTGAACACCACCTCCCTCTATATCTTTCGAGCCTGGCATAGCCAAAGGGATCATTGGTGATAAAATCCTTGGTGGCCTATCTACCCAAGTTGCAATTTGGTCGCACAAGCACATCCGCAACAAAGCTGAGTTTAGAATCCTCCCTTTCTTCGGTAATGTGTCCGTCATCGAACTTCTACACAGGACCCTGATAAGAGAACAGAACACAGCATGTCATTCCGTCCCAATCGAGGTTACGAAAGGGCAGGCTTTGCCACACGCCCGGGGCGAGGAAGAGGATGGGGACGAGGGCGAGGAGGAGCGCAGCACTTAGTCAATCGTATGGTCGTCAAGCCTGACATCGTGAAACACCCTCTGGGACAACTATTGCAAACTTTCAGACTCGCGGACCTGCAGCCTTCCGAAGACAATACAGGCAAGGTTAACAAGATCACGAACTGCGAATATGTCGCTTCCTATAGCTGGACAAACTCGGAGTCTCCTACTATTCTGGTACCTGGTAAGAAGGATTATCGCATATCTGGTCAATGCTCACAGTCAAACAGGAAGACCTCCCCTCTGGATGCCCCTACAACAACCACAGCGGCTCCCTGAAGACAGTGGGGTCTATTTCCGTGATCCCAATTCGGCTAAATTTCCACGACACCCAACTGAACCAGCAGTTCGCGCGTTGTTCAAAACCGACCCAGCCTTCCCTACCGGAGAGGTCGATGTATTCGCGTGCGGCAGTACGATGGGTAGTCTGCTTCGTTTCGTTCTGTCGATTGACAAACCTTTCCGGTTCAACGTTGAGGTTATTGGATCTACAGTATTTCTGATTCGAAAAGAAAATGACCCACGAGAGATAATTGAGGGCGTTAGGGGTTTTGGTCACACCTTTCCAGAGTATTATACCACCTGGGAGCAGGATGTCAAAGGTTCAGAAACCCACCAGCGTCTATGTCGGTATGATCTTGGCCGCTTCAACTGCGTGATACGCTTCGAATGCGACGGCTACCTCCAGACTGGATCGGAGAAGACTTCCATGGTTGAGACCAAGTCAAGTGATCTTGAAGATCTTTCTGGCAATTTCAAAAACGTTACTGTGGGCCAAGGAACAGTAAACGGCCTCGCCAAATTATTACTAAAACAAGGGGGCGCAGTGGTTGCACAACATACTATCTTCGACATGAAAACACGGTCAGGTCGCTACAGAAAAGAGATCAACATGGATGAGATGTACCCACAGCTCTGGATCAAGCAAATCCCTAATTTTATCATTGCATATCACGTACGATCATCACCGGTTCAAAGTTGCTAGGTCTTAGACACAAGAAGACTTGTACACAGACCCACTTTTATGACCCCACTGACAATTACAGGATGGCGCCGGACTATTTCCCACTTCTGATATCCAAGTTCAGAATGTCAACTACAACGTGCAAGCATGGGAGCGACAGAACCAAGCTGGCATCAGTCGGCTCATTGTACTCCTTGACAAGATCGTTGAGCTTGCGAGAAATGAAGGAACGGGTCTTCTCGAAGTATATTGTCCATCTGTCGATTGCTTGGAGGTTCGCAAGCAGTATGGAGAAGGCTTCCACGCTCTGCCACTTGAACTCAGCGCCAAATGGAAAGCTATGGACCAAGACTCGACCGATCCAGATCACGAGCACGACACTGAGCCTGGACATGGTGGTCTGCAGCTCGGATATGACTCAGACGACGAACCAGACTACACTGCTTGCGGGGACGATTGTGGGTACTGTGGGAAGTGCACGTACTAAAGCAACGAGTACGGTGGCTGTCCAGGTGGAATATTTTGTGCACATGCTTCTCTTGTAGGATAGTAACGCTCATTCTTAATGATCTTTAAGTATGATGTCACCCGTTCTAGTGCAGTGAGCTTGTCACAATGTCGTCCCGTCTCGTTCTCTCAGCCGTAATCATGTCCGGTTTCATCTATACAATACATAAGCGACCTCTACGCCTCAATACAAAACTTGACCTTCGGCAATCCACCGCACCATTCGCTCCATAAAAGGAACCAACCAATGTTTCTCCCTCACGTGGCCGTAATTCCCAAGGAACAGACCTTAAGCGTACCTTTGCGGCGTCTAAGCAGGAGAAAACATCTGGGCAGTCCTGAAGCATTATTTGACTTGTGCGCAATGGATATCATCGTCCAGTGACTGGGCGTCCTCTCGACATCCTTCGCAATCAGCCGTGGACAAATATATTAGAAGCATCAACAGAAGTTTTGCCGTGCTGTGTATTTCTGAATCAGCTGTGAGGACGATGAGCTCAGATAATGCCTTATTTTTCCAAAACATTCAGCCCTGCTGTCTGGCTATAAAGAAGACAAGGAGCCCATCAGAAAAGACTCTTGACATTCAAGCTTCAGTCTTAAAGCATTTTCTGACCTACACCTTGAAGATGGCAGCTGCAAATGGAAGCAACGGCGTAGAAACGTCTGCCTAAGGTAAGTCCATGCCCTTCACGGCAGCTGTTACCCTCACTAACAGTCCTCCCAGATCTAGTCCTGATTGATCTCCGGGCTCGCTTGGATAACCTCGAATTGAATCTCCCAACCCAAGAATTTCCACAGCTACAAAGAGACTTCCCGACGAAGCCTGACTTTGATGAAACCAGTCACCAATGCTATAGTCGTCTGACTTGACGCCGTGCTTTGATCTCTGACGGCGACTGTGGTAACGGCCGCGCAGTGCCCATTGCCATGGCTTGTGAGGCAGCGAAAGTAGCCATGAATCACCTTCCAGCCGAAGAACCGGTGGCCAAAAATGCCGCGAATTTTCTCGCAATAGAAGGCTTTAACATCACCAGAATCCCTGGTGAACTTCTGGACGAAGAGTTCTGTAGTCATTTGCGACTGAGGGCTGAGCGAGCCCTTGGTAGGATTGATATTCTGGTGAACAATGTAGGGTGAGGTGTCCTCTGTCACCTGTGAACGATGGAGCTAATGGACCTCACAGAACAGGTCGTGACTTCACTCCCGACATTACAATCTACACCAAGAAGGAGTGGGACAGAATCTTCCGCACGACCGTATACGCTGGGTTCTTCTTGGCGCGCGCAGCAACACCAAAGATGCCGCCTGGTCCCTCGATCATCTGGACCGTGTCAAGCGTCGTTGCAAACCTGGTCAGCTCTATCCACGGCTATGCTGCAAGCAAAGGTGCCGTGGCCAGTCTTGTTCAAACTCTCAGAAATTTTTCTGAGCCAGCAAAGGCACCAGCGTGAATGATGTGGCTCCTGGCTTGCTTCATACACCAATTCTAACTCAATGTGGCATGACGACAGAGCAGCTCAAAGCGTTCTCTCAGACAATTCCACTTGGGCGTCCGGCGCAGCCTGTTGAGATGGCTCCTCCCTATGTCATTTCTTCTGACAAGAACGACACCTAACTGGGTAGGGGCATCTTGAAGAACAATGGAGGAACGACAGCCTACGTTCTCTGATCGAGGATTTGTGACGATCTATCTATTACTACGGAGTGTTCGGTGTGGAGAGGGATTGTTGAATTAGATATAGATTCATGCGATCGGCGCGTAGAAACTAAATTTACCGCTTGGATCGTACTTCTTCTTGAGTGCCAACAATCTCTTGCGTCGCCAAAACTCGTCGCCATATATTTCTTGGAAACTCTCAGTGCCAAATGCGTAGTTGACATACGTGCGTTTGGTAACCCGGCCGCTGCCTACATGGAGAATGTCTCGAAGCGCTTCACCCAAATCCTTCCCTTCTTTTGCAAGTTTCTCGTCTTCTTCGATATACCTGACAACTGGCGCAAGTAGAAGGTTGCTACCACGGAAAGGATATGCAGATTCCTTGCTGGAAAAAGCTTTGACCCCTTGCTGTGAGTATCCTTCGAGAAGTACAACGGACCTGTTGAGGGCCGGTATCTCGTTCAAAGTGTTGCTCAGAAGATTATACATACTTCGCTGAGCAGTGATGTTATAATGCTGCAGTTCGATCGGGAATCTAGTGTTGGCGAGGCCAGAATGTTGGCACGTCGCCGCGTTGTTTCCCCATCCTATCCAGCTGGGAAGCGCAGGATAATCTCCACTGCCACTGAAAGTTGAGACGGGCCCCAGGGCTAGGAATGGCGCAACCACCGCGTCTTCTACGATATCTACGCCTTCTTGGAGGATGTAGAACGAGATTATAGGCTGAAAATGTTAGTGAGCTGAACATATAGGCTGCATGCGATATGGAAACATACGTTATTCGCGTCGATAGCTGCATTCTTTAAGATTACCGAGTAATGGAACAAGTCTACCGGCTGTTCATCATCTTTGAGAAAGTGCTCGTTGATGTTTGAATATAGGGCTTCCAATTTATCTCCAGTGAAAGTGAAGTTTCGGAAGGCCCAATTGGGGAACTGGACATTGTAGATCTTCGAGGTAATGGACGTCACAATCCCAAAGTTGTGACCCGCGCCTCTTACAGCGAACCAGAGGTCACTGGCGTGGTCGATAGTCTTGAGACTCCCATCTGCCATGACCATGTTCAGGGAGACGAACTGATCCGATACTAGGCCGTGGCGAGCCTGCAACAAGCCGTGGCCACCGCCCAAGCCAGGCCCGATCACACTCACACATTCACAGCCCCCAGTCACTATTATTGTTAGCATATTAACTGCCGTGAATTGCAGCGAAATGATTACCTGTCTGCTTTCCGGCGGCCCAAAGCGCGTCCGTGACCGCTTTATCTAAGACACCTCCACCAAAAGTTGCCATTTGGCCGTCTTCTGTGATCTTGACTGAATTGAGTTGACGCATCCAGATCATAATGCCATTTTGCAATTGTCCAACAGTAGTAATGGCGCCGTGAGCGTTATTGACGGCGAGGAATGGAAGTTCATGCTCGTTAGCATACTTTACCACTTCCATTACATCCCCTTCCGTCGCCACTTCGACCGTCGCCCTAAATGTTGGAGCTTCGAGAGTGGACCATCTCTGTGTCGAATTTTTGAACTCTTGAGAACCGGGACAATAGATGTTCGCTCTGTCAGAGAGTCGTTGCGCTAGGCTCTCTTCGCATGCCCCGCGGCGGAGGAGACCTTCTCTTCCTGACTTGAATGAATCATTGCATGAGGATACCGTCGCATACATGAAAAGACCAAGTGCGATACGCTGGAAGTCGATGTTCAACATTGCAACGGTAGAAAAGCACAGTGGCCCAAACAAAGACTTCGAGATGAACGAAGAAATTCTGTGATCTTACTGCACCCCGCACTCGGATATCTGACAAGGCTCATTAGAGCCAGCCCCGTGAGATCAATGTCAGCGATTCGCTCGCTATGCATGCCAAGTACAGCATGCATGGGTATGGTATTATGAGGCATCCCAGTAAATGTGCTCATGCCAAAGTGGAATATACGTGTATTTCAAGACGCAATGATGCATTGTATGATCTTCAGATCAATGTTTCCATAACGTCAAGTTCGAACAAACTGAGGCTGTTGCGAGGCAGTGGATGGCGGTGAACTTATCGAGATTCTAGCCCCACTTTTCGGCGCTCGGAACAGCTATTGAAAGGGCTTAGCTCCGTTCTGGATCCACGCATCACACAGAACGTTGACACAATCACGATCTCAATTGCTCTTCAACGCCTCATATCTCTTTTGACACCACAGATAGAATATGTGCTGTTGCTTGGAATCGATCGATCGTCGTTCACCCCTGAGCGCTGTCGGAGGCTTTGACACCATACATATCGTTGTCATATTCCATTCCGCCACATCTTGCCTCCAAAGAATATCGTACGGAAGCTAAGAGGATAATCTCCCGAACGACCCACAAGTTGGGTGCAGGGAAACCAGATTACCCCTGTGATTGTGATGTGAAAACGTGCTTTGCGGCACCATCCACTCGGCCTGGTGTCGGCATGGAACGGATGCGCTAGCAGAACGAAACGCGGCGAACCAAGGCTTTATCGCAAACTTACGATTGAGTCTTTACAGAAGGCAAAGTCCCTATCGTAGTCTAAATAAGTTACATAAAGATAATGCTGGGTACTCTATATCACACACATTCCCACAGGAACTGTGCCTCGTGTTCATTCATCAGGTGTCGTCTAGAGGTAAACAGAGCAAAATGCACTAGGCCAGTATCTCGGCGCATACTCGTGGTGATAAGGGCAGAACGTCTGACCACGACGTCATGCCGGCGCGCCCTGCGCCTTTTCCGCAAGCGATCTCTGCACCAGTGCGCACTAAGTGGAGTCCCGCAGAGCCTCAACGCAACGATATCTGTTACCAACTGTTGGCAAGGATGCTGACAGACATGCAATTTTTACTGCCATGACGCATGGCGATGAGCTCGGGCATTGGGAAGAGAATACATCATGGCCTCCATAATTAATAAACGAGGCATATTTACCCCTCGACAGTTTTATCATCAGTACGCGCCACTCACAACGACAGCGTTGCATTTTGGAACTCAAGATGTCTTACTATGGTCCCTCTTTCCGAACCCCCCAACCGAGGCCAACCTCTCTGGCCGCCTCAAGAGCGAATTCTGTTGGCTACTTTGCTCCACGAACACCACAGCAAAGCAGACCGACCACCCCAGCTGCACGTGCTGCCTCCATGTCCGCAGCTCCGAACCCTGTGACGAATCTATCACGGGCGAATAGCAAGACCAACGAACCCGCAGATACGTCTGAGGCGACCTCGTTCAGTTCGATACAGTACAATGAGAAGGGCGAACCCAAGATTGGAAGGGTTGTCGGTGGAAAATACGTTGAGGAGGGGAATCAAGATGTCGACTCAGACTGTGGGCCCATCAAAACAGTGGACATCGACATGCCACTCACCCTGACGGAAATGGTCACACACAACGAGAAAGATTACATCATTCTCACATTCGCAACGGGCGACAAAGAGAACCCTTTCAACTGGAATCTGTGGTACAAGCGGAGCATCAGTACGATGCTTAACTTGATGACCTTGTTTATCGGACTAGCTACGACCGCGTACAGCTCGGGCATTGGCAGCATGTGCGCCGAGTTCGGGGTACCCACTATCTACGGCCAGCTCGGCCTTTTCACTTTCAACATCGCCTGCGCTATCACACCCATGATACTCGCCCCACTTTGTGAGCTGGCAGGCCGCAAGATCGTGTACGCCGGAGCATTCCTCTGCTTCTCACTAATCTTCATCGGACTGGCCCTAGCCCAGAATATCAGCACCATCATCGGCCTACGCCTCCTTCTTGGCTTGTTTGGCTGTGTTGGTACGATCCTGGTCGGCGGTACCTTTGACGACATGTACGAGCCACATAAGCGCGGCCGGCCAATGGCCATGTTCAGTTTCGTTGCTATTTTCGGCACTGTCGCTGCACCGATTTATGCCGGGTTCATCGACCAATCCATCGGATGGCGATGGATCGAAGGTGTTCAAGGGCTCGCCAACGTGCCGCTTCTGATCGCCGTGTTCATCTTCTTTCCCGAAACACGCGGCGGTGTGGCCCTGCACAAGCGAGCAAAGAAACTCCGCGATGCTACCGGCGACGAGCGTTACGTCGCAGAAGACGACATCTACACGCCTGATCTCAAGTCCATGCTTCGAGCTTCTTCTGTCAAGGCCATCCGCATGTTGGTCACCGAGCCTGTCGTCTTCGCCTTCGGCCTTTGGATTGCCTTCTGCTGGGCCGTCGTTTTCCTGTTCTTGTCGGTCATCCCGATCACCTTCCAGGAGAAGCGAGGCTGGTCCGAGGGCGTCGGTGGTCTTCCATACATCTCGCTCGCGGTCGGCACATTCCTAGGCTGGGTTGCGCATCACCTCCAGATGCGCAAATACGATCGCCTGCAGGCTGATCCCAACGTGCAGATTGTACCTGAGCACCGTCTCTATGGTTCCATGTTCGGTGCAGTGTGGCTCCCTGTCGGCCTTTTCATCTACTCTTTCACACAATACGGTGATTTGAGCTGGGTTGGCCCCGTAATTGGCCTTGCCCCGATCTCATTCGGCATCTACTTCGTTTTCGAGAGTACCTACAGTTACACGGCAGATTGCTATGGCGAGAACTCTTCATCCGCAATTGCAGGCCAGGGCCTGATGAGGAACACTCTCGGTGCAGTCACGCCACTGTTCGCCAACGCCTTCTTCCACAATGTGGGGAGTCAGTACGCTGGACTCATCCTAGCTCTGTTCGGTACCCTCCTCAGCTTGATTCCGTTCGTGATGTTCAAGTACGGACACATGCTCAGAGCCAGGAGCAAGTTGGCTAGGGAGTACAATGGGCACTAAGAGAGTTGCCTGCCACATTTAGCGTGCATCAGCAAATAGATCGATGCTGCATCGTTCTTTTTGATAGCTTGATAGGTTATAAAATATCATCATGGATCATTCCATTCCATTGACACTATAGTCTTTGCCTTTCTGTTTTGTTCTTCTTCCGACCATCCAGGAAAATGACAGGTACTTCAACGACAACGTCCCTCAGCCAATCACCCATCCCCTTGGCAAATGAATCTAATCTGGAGCTTCCACTCACGCCCCGGCCTAAAACCCCGTAGACTACAAAATGCACTGCCATGATGCCTGGAAACTCGACTCTCTCGACGTGAAAAGCATCGTCCCAGCTTTCGCCCATCATCTCTTTCAGCTTAGCAATCGTGAGAAACGAGCGCAGCCAGTCCCATGATTGCGCATAGAGCGGAGAAGATGGGGGGTATGAAGATGGTAGGGATGTGGGTATGAAGAAGCCAATGTTCGCATTAGCGCCTTTATCGCCGGAACGTGCAAGTACTACATCGCCGATGCGAGCCGGTTTTGTGAGACCAAACTGCTCAAGCGGGATTGGGGAAGTCGTATCGTATGATGCGCGTTTCGCCAGTTCTTCAAACTTCGGGGGTGGTGTTGTTGGTATGTTCGTCGTCCTAGTTGCGGCAACGCTCTTAGATGGTTCGAGGATATTGATCGAGGTCTTCAAGTCCGACTGTGGATATATAGCTGGATAGTAGGAGATATATGGCCGCGGGATCGCTGTGCGGTGGTCTGACGTAGCATGGAACCCTGAGAAATGCTGCATCGCGAATTCTCCGAGCAAGCTTGCGAGCCCCAAATTAATCTTGGGGTCACCACTCTCAGCAAAAATACGAAGGTACGAAGTGCTTCTCAGCTGGCTTCGCGGATTAGGCTCTGGGATGCCGATGCGCTGAAACTCGAGGACGTCAAATTGGTCGTGGATGCCCAGGCGTTTCAGCCCGAATCTCAGCATGCGTTCGTACAGGTCGAACTTCTCGGTCGTACCGTATCCGGTGGCATTGATGACGATCTCCGACTGGTAGCCCGCATTGTAGAAAATGGCGAGCTTGGTCGTCGGAGGGGGAGGAGCACCTCTGATACCCCACAAGCGGACACTGTCTCTGATGGTCAGTGCTATTACAGGAGTCTTCCTGGGGCCCTTAAACTGCTTGAAGAAGCACTGTATACTCACCGGTTCTTTCCCTCCTGTCGCTGCACTTGGACATCATCCAAGATAGCTTTGACATCGCTGTTAAGATATATATTTCCTTGTAGCTCGTAAAGAAATTGGCACTTCACCGTATCTTCAGTCACGAAACCCTTCCTCGCATCGTGTTTCGTTATCACACACGTCCCATCTCTTTCCACGTCCGCAATACCAAACGTAATATCGTACAGCTCGTCAAGATCGTACTCTGTAAAGCCAGCAAAGTTAGACCCAGTAACATAGCCAGAGCATTCAATGAGGTGTCCCGCGATCAGTGCTCCAGCGAGTCGGTCGTAGTCGGTGTCAGACCACGAGTACCAGTACCACGCTGCTCCGATGACCTGTCAAGTGTTAGTTCATTGATAATACTCTAAAAAAACCTTAGTACGGTACGCACTGGACTAGCATCGGCCACCCTCCCAGTGATGATGATATCTGCACCCTCTTCAAGGCCTTTCACGATCTCCCGTGCCCCGAGGTACACATTCGCGCTTACGATTGGCTTGTTCTCTTTTTCCATGAGATCAAGGGTATGATTCGCATACTGTACCTCGCCATTATCGGAATCCAGATGCGGTGGCAAGCCCTTCGATCTTATATCTTTCATCTCCTCGATTAAATTGTCCCCAGATACATAAGCGACTTTCAGGTCCAGACCTTTGCCCGACACCAACTCTTGCACTTTCTCCGCCAGCCCTTTAGGATTATGCGCCCCGCCATTGACAACAATTTTGATTCTCTTTTCTGCGAGTAAGTCTACTGTCTGCTCGATGCCATCCCAGCAGGTCTGCTCCCAACCTGGATGCTGGCCTGCAGCATGTGCTTGAGCATTCTCGGCAATATTGACTTCAGCTAGATAGTCGCCCGTGATGAAGTCCACATCGCCCAGTTCGGCCTGAAATCTCATGTGGTAGCCGGGATCCGCTATGAAGATAGTCAGTCCCAAAGTAAAGTACATGAGTCATGCAGCGAAACAACTCGCCTTTATAGCCAGAGCAGTTGGCAATGCGCACTGGACGCGTCCCGCGTTCCGACGTCCATCTTGTGTTACGATCGGGCTGCACCATTTTACTGTCTGGTGGGTATTGCGAAACCAGCAAGGAAAACAAATCAGTAAGGCGGATAAAGGTTTCGAGTAGATATGGGGCTCGCAAAGATAAGGCAATTTCCCAAAGTGTGTGCAATCGAAGCTATGTGCTGGTCCCGAGGCTACCAAGCATCCAGATACCACTCAAGTATACTCAGATCCAAGTTGATATACTCGCATATCTCGATCTCACGTGAAGAGTAGCGTCATGCCGCGATACTCCACTCGTGTGCGGAGACATGGTCGCGCTTGCTCGGCCGATGCCGGCGCTTTGAGACTCGCAAGATCCGACTCGCAAGACCCTACTCGCAAGACTCGACTCGCAAAGCGACCCAAAGACTTTCAGTAGACGGTGCTACCTGGACCTCGGGTCGCCAAGCATTCGAACGAGATTTGCTGATATCAAGAGGCCGAGGAAGCTCGCCGGCAATAGCGGTCACTCCTACATCGGTGGCGTTTCGTCAAACGCGGAAGCAACTACGCCGCAGAAAGAGGAAAACCACGTCTTGAGCGTTTACAAACCCTCTACTATCTCTCGATATGGCGACAAAAGGAGTCAATGGGCACGCGCAGGATGCAGCGACATACTCCATCCCACACGAGACCAGGAAGGTGTTCCGCGAAGGCATCCTGAACAACCCACTCATTGCATCGTTGCTGCCTGAAGAGATAGAAGAATGCGCGCAGAAGGTTGAGTTTGTTGGAACCGACAAGCCCAGCATTCCCATCAATTGGCGGTTTGCAGAGAGCATCGCATCCCTCAAAGGCCTCGAAGCAGCCATGGTCAACGTCCTGTTGAAGCGGAAGTACGAACTCGAACCGCAGAAGGCCATCATCAACACGGACCACGCCCAGCTATTCTTCATGTCTGTCCTCCTCTGGACAATCGATCCAAAGGGAAAGGCCATCGATTTTTCCTCCATCTTCACTCCTGAAGGGAAGGCCGAATTCGACAAATGCTTCAAGGACTGCGATCTCTTTACACGGGAACCAAGTCCGTACCAGAATTCCGCAACGAACATCTATCGCTGCAAGGATGGTCGCTACTTCCATATACATGGGAGTATGAATCCCGCTCCAACGCAGGATAGCCTTGGGCTTCCGCACTCCAAGGACGTGGCTTCGGTCGAAGACTCCTGGAAACCCTACGAAGAGAGGGTGGCGCAGCTCGACTCAGGTGAGCTGCAGAAACTCGCTAGCGACGTGTACAAACAGGCTGGAACAATCTGCTGGACCACTGACGAGTACAAGAACAGCGAGCACGGGAAGGCAAACGCTCATGTAGGCCTATATGAGGTACATCCTGTGAAGAACGCAAAGCAGCCGCCGTGCTGGTGGCCCGATATACCCGAAACGTCGGCGTTGCGGCCTCTTGCTGGGCTCAAGGTTGTCGATCTGACGAGGGTGATTGCTGCGCCTGCTGTTACGCGCGGTTTGGCAGAGCTAGGCGCCAGTGTTATGAGGGTGACAGCTTCGCATATCACGGATATGTCGATATTGCATTGTGATCTTAGCTGGGGAAAGTGGAGTGCTCATCTGGACTTCCGGGAAGAAGCAGATCGGGAGAAACTTCGTGCGCTTATTCGGGAAGCAGATGTCGTAGTGCAAGGCTATCGCCCTGGTGTGCTCGACAAGTATGGCTTCTCACTCGACGGCCTCCTGGAGCTGACCAAAGACCGTGAGCGTGGCTTGATCGTGGTCCGAGAAAACTGCTACGGCTGGAATGGTCCGTGGTCTTACCGAAGCGGCTGGCAGCAAATTTCGGATGCCAACGTCGGCGTATCGATGGAGTTTGGTCGCGCCATGGGCAATGACGAGCCCGTGACTCCAGTTTTTCCTAATTCAGATTTCTGTACTGGTACCGCTGGAGTTGTTGCTGTGCTTGACGCCATCCTTCGACGTGGGGCTGATGGCGGTTCGTACAAGGTTGACGTGAGTGTACCGCCTCTTGTCACAACTGAGGTGCTAACGTTTCAAGATTGCATTGAACTATTACTCGCAGTGGCTCGTCAACAGCGTTGGCACTTATCCAACACCCGTCTGGGAAGACGTCTGGTCCCGCAACGGCAAGCAAGTATTCCGTCACTACCACAATATGCAATACACTTTGGGACGACTCACTGCGATGCTCAAACAGAATGCTGGCCCTGTTGTTTTTAATCCAGAATTCTTCGAGGTAAGACATTCAAAAGCGATTGGAAAAGATATAGCGACACCGAAGCCGATCATACAGTTTCCGGAGGGTAAGGTACAGCTAAAGTTCAACGTTGGGACAAGAGGAAATGGGGTCGATCAGGCGAGGTGGCCGAAGGATTTGATGACGGAAGTGGTTGCATGATAAGTTACCATGTGCGCAGTACGACACAGAATCTAGATGGCTTGGCTGCTTATTTCTGTACAAGGATATGACGTGCCACAACCCACGTAGATATGTGACACAGGGGGCCCATTCAGAAGTGTGCCATGAGAGACGGAAGGGTTCTGGCCAAAGACGGCGCTGAGAAACCTCTTGTTTGTCCCGCTTTCGCAACGCGCTAGGAAGCCACGCGACACGCTCTCGCGTCTTCACGTGCCCCGGTTGCGTATTTCGTATTCCCAATACCGTGCTGCAACGCACTCCTAAGGCTAGCCCGGCTGCAGACTCGACGATCGCATCGATTGATCAAGTAACTGAGCGGTGTGACATTGCGCAGTCAGCCGAACTTCCTCAATGAGACGCATGAGTCAAAGCATGAGTCAATGAAAACAAATCGTTATAAAACATAGAAAATAAGATTTTGAGAAGAGTAACAACTACAGTCAAAAGAACGGAGCCGTCACTAAGCTATTCAAACCACAAAAATGAGTCCGCAAACCAAAGAAGTCCTCGAAACAGAGCGCCTTCGCCTCATCCGCATCTCAGACACATCCCTTGACGGCGACCACGTAAAATGGTTCCACACAACGTGGTCCGACCCCGTCGCAACGAGCTGGAGCCTCCACGGCAAGACCAACACCGTCGAGGAATCGCAGGCCTGGTTCACAGAGCATCTCGAGAAATTCGACACGATACTCTACATGGTCTTCGTGCGCTTCTCCGCTGACGGCGCGGAACTCCCGTTCCCCGGCGAAGTCATCGGCAACGTGGGTCTCCGCACACAAGCTGACGGCGCATCGCTGCCCCCTTTTTCTCGCGCGTGTGCGGCGCCTGTGTCGGATCAGGCGCCCACCGATCCGTCCAAGCCACCTCTCTCCGACCTTGAGGTGGAAAAGCCACTCAATCTCCGCTCGATAGGATACTCGTTCCTGCAGAAAGCGTGGGGGAAGGGCTATGCGACGGAGGCGGCGCGGGCGGTGTTGGAGGCGTATCGGGAGGGGACGAGGGAGGTGCGAGAGAAGGGGGATGAGGTGTACTATGTAGAGGCTATATGGGGAGATGGGAATCCGGCGAGTGGGAGGGTGCTGGGGAAGTTGGGCTTCAGAGAGATTGGGTATAGAAAGGAGGAGAAGGTGTGGTTGGCGGGGGATTGGAGATCAGGGTATTATGTTAGTGGGTGGTATGTCTGAGGGGACGCGGTGGGAATCGAGAGAGGTACAGTTGACGAAGGCAAGAAGATGGAGACGGGGTACTCGTTCTACGCTTATAGTCGTTCAGCCGGTGATTATATATTAAGATGTATGTCCTGCTGTGTTGATGAAGGGTGAACTGCTGGTGGGTATCTGTGCCGCCTATTCAAGTATCCTGCTTTCTCCGTTTCCTACGTCTTCAAAGTACACATGTTTGAACTCGTCGCCGTCTTGTTCCGTGGTCTCGCTATCTACCACAGCTTTTGCCTCTTTCAAGGCATCTTCCAGCGTCCAGATCTTGCGTCGCAGGAACCACGATATGAGACCACCGCCCTTCTTCACCTCGTCATGGGTGCCCACCCAGTATTTTGCGCGCAGCATGCGTTGTGCAAGAACACCGTTCTTCGCACCGAGATTCAATTGCTGCGCTGCCGATATTGAGACATCGTGGAGACCGTGCAAGAATGCGAGAGTGTTTAATGGCGGGTCTGACGTGGCAATGGGCTCCAGCGATTTGTACGGGATGCCGTGCGGCGTGTAAATGACGCATTCAGCTGCGTCCGAGTCGGTTGAAGACGCATCGTCATCGCCGTATATCGAGAGCGAAGCGCGCTTCTTTGGCGTCGCAGAAGCGAAAGCGTGCGATGCGAAGGTTATGAGGAGCGCCGAGTGGTAGTAGAGCGCATCGCCCGACGCTGTGAGCCGCGAGATGCTGAGCCATGACGGCAATGGCAGCAGGGAGTAATCGCGCCAGTCGGGGTTCTCGGACGTGAACGTGGGCGTCGTGACGACGGTGCGGAAGTGGTTGAAGCCCGAAACGAGCTTCGCGGCTTGCTACACGTACAGTGTCAGCTCTCGCTGCGAGGCAACTTGGTCGGAATGGGCCGCACCTCAGTCGCAAACACGGGCACATCCGGATGCACCTCCAAGAGCGTGTCCTTGTGGCAGTGGTCGGTGAACTCGTGGCTGATGGCCACAGCGTCGATGAACGTCTCCACCTCTGCCGCGGCTTCGACATTGTTTGCGCTCCTCTTCTTCCCCAGGCGCGGCCCGCCTGCCATTATCTCAATCCGCCGTGCCACCTCCTCCACCTCGGCAACCGTCTTGACCGCGCTCTCGGTCGCATGCCATTGCTGCGAGAACCACGCGGCCACGTCCGACTGTCCGCCCTGCAGCCATGGGTCGATCAGGATGTTGTAGTATATGCGGCTCCCATGCTTCACCGCCGAGGCCGGGCGCGGGATCTGGAGCAGCCACGATGTGTCGGCGTTTAGGTGGTGGAGGATCGGCCGCCGCGATGCGAGGTTGCGGACCATCGCGTCGCGCATCTCGAGGTGTAGCTGCGCTGAGGGCGCATCGTCGTGCGCGTCCATCGTGGCTTGTCACGGAGGCATCGCGTGGGGATGCATGAAGTGAAGTAGTGACGCGTGGCGGCAGTGCCAGGTGCAAGCACGCTAGTGGGTGAATACATAACGCACGGATGCATCGGCCAGGTACCGTTGGGGCGAGTACCGTCGAGGCGGGCGCTTCTCGTGACACCAATACCTGAACCGCGAAAGAGTATATACAACATCAAAATCGTGCAATTGCCGCTTTCCAATCCTATGAAGCTGATCAACGGACCTTCAGCCTTTTTACCTCCATGCGCGAGACTGCACCCGGATCACGAAACCTCCACTTCGCCCGCTTCTTCTGTCCAGATTCTTCTGCTTCATAGCTCCAAACATGCTCGATCAAGATCTCCTTTATGATACGTTTCTGCCAATCAGGATCACGACCAACTACAGTATAATGATCGCCCTGGGGCCTCAGACAGACAAACTGAGAGCAGCTCGGCAGTACGCAGACTAGATCCCCGGTGATTAATGCTTCGGCGTCGTCGGTGTCCAGCATCTCGTGCCAGCTTTCCTTCACATGTCCGGTGACGGCCTTCCAGATAGCTCGCGATGCAGTTGCTTGCTTCTTTGGTGGGACAGCATGAAGCACGCGTGCCGGAACAGTCAATTCCAGAACGTCTTCATCCCAACGAACGTGGGGTGGATCTGTCTTCTCCCACGTGATAGCAGCCATGGAAGCATGGTTGACTTCTGTCATACTTGATGGCTTCCAGATACCCGTGCCCTCGAATTTGTCTTGTCGGGTCCAGTCTGGGATCCAGCTCGACATCTTTCGAGCAGATGTCGGTCTAGTCGCATGAGTCAGGATTTCGAGTGAGCCAGTCTTTGTGACACAATTCACGGCGAACCTTGCGTAGACTTGCTCAGGTGTGAGGGAATAGTCAGGCGAGTCGACCAGGTTCGCCGCGTCTGTGGCCAGGGCAAGCCGTGAGTAGATCATGTCTCTTGGGTCTTGACACCGATCAAACCGCCTTGAGCCTCTTAGCAGATCTAAGAATGCTTGTCCTCGGAAGCTTTTGATTGAGCCCAACTCGAAAGGCTCGGACGAAGTACCTTCGTCCATTTGGCTCACCAAAACCTTCTTCAAATAACGCAATTGCTCCCCGGTCTGACGAAAGTTGGTAAGACTGCTGAACGAACTTTGCGCTTGAAAGGTAGCAAAGAAGTCCTTCGCAGTCTCGAAATCGACCAGGCGCGATCCACAGCATAGAAGAGATTTCCTGGCTAGTGTAATCTCCTGCAAGACCCAAGCACGGCGCCAGTACCCATTGAAAGCCAGGACATCGTACAGCCCAAACGCTAGCTGATCCGCATGCTTGTCGCGATAGCTCTCGGAGAACCAGTGATCGGCTGTGAGTGCATCGTCTGACTTGGAAGAAGGTGAGCCCAGAACGGAAATGACCTCGATTGCATTGATGTAGATGGCGCCCATTTGCGATACTTGGTTGCTTTTATCGTCGATGCTGCGTTGATCGATGCATATGCTGTCTATCCAGATAGACCGTCGTCCTTGCTTCAAACGAAGTTAGTAATGTAGGTTATTATGACTTAGCCAACAGGTTTGGCGTACCTGATACATGAGGCTCATTATGTTGGCCACCTTGTTGCTCACTGCTGTCAATGTACCGTTGAGTAATATTGGCTGGTCCGCCGACGGATCGTATGTTCCGTACCAGACACGCTCGCTCGGGTCCCATGTGTACGATATTGCAGAATAAGATGGGAAGTCTCCGTCTTTCAAGCGGTGAGTCTTCAGCGAGCATTGCAACAGGCCATGTGCATCTGTGCCATTCAGTTCCAATAAGCGGAATTGACCAGGCCCAACAGCATCGTTGTATACGATTCTAGTGGCCGACTGTACTTGTCTATCACCGATATCAGGCTCATACGGCATTTGAAAGTTGCCCATGTCTGGCTTCCGTAAGCTCAAAATCGCTCCGTGGCCTCTTCGTGCTTCAAAGGTTCGCTCGTTGCTTCGCTTAGTAGGTTATTTTAAAGTACCAATGCCGCGGTTGATTGCGGAAACTGAAGTACGCTTAAGTTGCAAGACGGCCAGATTTGCACAAGTTTAAATTGCCATGTGCATTTGCGGATGGAGAGTTGATGGCCGTTCGCTGTAGTAGCGGTGTGCTCCACTACGCGTTACCTAAATGGTATTAGCCACATTGTCCCTCCAACTCATAATCGCGACGAACGTCGCTCACCATTATCATGTGAGTGGATGTTGAAAGGCTCCCACCTCATGCACATTCGGGAGCTCCCGCAGTAGGGCCCTAGTACTGTTCTACAAGGGGTCTATACCAAGGCACTGTTATCCAATGAAGCATCCAGCACCGTGACTATTAGACCAGCGTTGGCACCACAGTTGTCATTACCGATGCTCTGTGAGAAAGACCTTTTTAAGATAATTCAACTGCTTGGAATAATGGATTTTTTTGACTCAATCCGATATATCGATGCGAATATGATGAGCTAGGAAGTGGCTTCTGTATGACGAAATCTATCGAGAGAAGTACTAGTATGCCACCACTAACATATACAGCCTGTCCCATACATGTGTTTCAAATCAAAATATTGAAAGATGTGGCACTTTTTCAGCTTGTGAACCAAAATCCTTCAGACGGTGAGCATGGGAGGACGCGAGATGTTCATTTCGGTCTATTCACCATTCACTTTCACCTTGAGTTATTTCGAGCTGATTCGACGCGAAAGTGACGCGTGTCGCCAACAATAGGGCCGTTGTGTAATTAGGCAGCAAACGGAAGCAAACGGCTTTTTCTCGCAACGGTTGGTTCCGCCTTCTACTCTACACTTCCCCTCTCCGTTCGACCTACGATACCTGCGCCCAGCCACCCAACATGGCCAACCAACAGCGAACGGTGCTCTCAGACATGCCTAGAGAAGTCATCGACGATATCGCGAGCGAGCTCCTTAACTTGGATGTCGCATCCTTGCATGCCGTCAACCGGGCTCTTTTCCAGAAGACGAAGTATGCCTACGCCAAGCGTTATTTGACTCACATACATGTCTTCCTCCACCCAGTGAGCTTCGACAAGCTGGATCGTCTGGCGAAGGACCCGATCTACGCCCGATACATCGATCACATCACTATCTCGACTTATGTGCTTCGTGCACGAGAGGATCGTCGCAAGGGAACAAGTATGTACACACTTTCTGCCCGTCATCTTCACCGGAACAGCTTACACTGGAACAGGCGTCATACCCTTTGAGCAGGGAGAGTCATTCTTGATCGAAGCTGCGGACCAAGCGATCATGGGAGCCCTTCTGAAGACCACCGGCCTCAAATCGCTGACCATTGCCGATTACCCCTATGGCAACGTGCCCCCCGCATGGGGCATCAACCAGCTCAACCATCTTACCACGTTCAAACGTGGCAGTGCGGTTGTCACGGAATACAGCAATCAGGATGACATCAAGGTGTGGCCTAAACGCATGATGGCCCTTGAGGCTTGCCTTGTCGGCAGGTCATTGGCCAATCTTCCGGCTCGTGTTGAGTTGAGGATGGTCCTTGAAGGTAATGCTCCCCGTCCCCTATCCCCCAAAGCACACTTCCTCTTCCGGCGTACATTGGCTTCCGCGACCCACATCACGACCAACCTGGACACCTATGCGGAGACCCCGGAGAACGCGGATTGGCTGGAGAAGATCAATCCAAAATTGCTGGACGTGGACTACGACACACCCGCCTGGGCGTCTGTCGAAGTGGCCCCGAGCCTCAGCTTGGGCGCCTACAACCGACTGACAAGCCTGCGGATCGTAAACTCAAAGACCATCGGAACGGAGCTGGATAATTTTCTCGAAGCACACGCCGGCACTCTTCGCAAAGTTGCGCTGCAGCACGTTTGCCTATTGTGGACGGATGCTGGCAACTATCCCTGGAGGACCATCTTCTTGACTCTGGCCAAGATTTCGGAGCTCAACTACCTATGGCTCAACACCCTCTCGGCATTCCCCGTCAATCATACCGATAGGAAGTCGGACCCCTGTGCAGCTCAGGAGGTCGCCTGGAAGTCCAAGTTGCACGCTCATTATGCCCTTGAGATACTCTGCGACTACTACGACAGGCAGGGCGCTAGCGGACTCTGGGTGGAGATGAGCCACGTGGAGGAGGTCATGATGGAGAAGTACGGGATCACAATCTGAGACGAGGAACGAGAAGGACAGGTGAGCTGGAATGGCTTGGGGGGACTATGAATTGAGAGCCTGGTTACAGCTTTGGTTTGGTCTTTTGAACCAACCTTGCAAGTTTGTGTAGCTTCACGAAATGCATGACACTCGGCGTTCGTTTCTTCCCAATGCATGATCTTGAAAGTCTCTGCGTCCATACGAATTTCTATTATGACTTTCGTTAGCTCGTGGAATAAGCACCTTAGTCAACCACTGCACTGAAATTTCTTGACGCTGTAGCCTTACCCTCGTCTTCACTAATTGCTCCCAAAGGGGAAGTTTGACAAGTTTCCATAGCTTTGTCCAAAGGCCAGTCCATTGCTGGTTCCTGGGATGTTGGCGATGTTACGATGCGTAGTTGTTTCCACTACCTTCTTTAGCTGTTCCTGGAGCTTTTTGTCTTGATCTCCGAGCACTTGCATGAGGATGTCGAGAAGCTTTGGTCACTTTATGCAAGCTCCGAAGCTTCCTCAACGCAAGGATTCTCCACTGTAGGCGTACCCGGCCCCAAGAGGAAAACACCGCAGAGGCCATCGATGAGACTTTGTAGGTCCTCCACGAGTTGAGCGTACTCCTCTTTCTTGTACAGGGCCCATCTCTTCTTGTCAGCTAAGCTACTCTTACGCCTTTTCGTCATTCGGCCGATTGTAATCTTCCTCGGACGCAACGAAAGTATTCCAAAGCTTGGTCGAAAGGAGATAGCAATTATCGAGCTTCGATCACCTCAACAGGCTCTCCACACTCACTCTGGGTACACGGCGGTCCAGGGAAGGGTAAGACAATGTTGGCCTTGTTCTTGACCGATGAAATTGAAGCTATCTGTCAACACGATAACAGACTCCTCGTCTACCTTTTCTGTGATTCCCAGAGGAGAAACGATCCTCTGCTGTGGTATTTCTTCGAGGAATCAGTTTGCAGGTCATCAAGGCTAAACCAGAGCTCCACGTGCATGTACTACACTGCATCAACGACACGAAACAAGCCCGACAAACTTTAAGATCACGAGACGCGCTGTGGAAAGTTCTCGAGAATATGCGTAGGGACCGGCGGTTCGAAGGACTCCTGTGTAACGTTAGCGATTTGGAAGAGTGCGATTCGGGCGCTCTAGTCTGGCTAGGCCAGTATTGGGGAGAGTCTTGCCCAATCTACAACCTAAACTGAAACACCCCGGTAAATACCTCTTCCTGAGCCGGTCACACGTTAGTGGTCTGCAAATGTTCTCTAAAGCGGATCTTAACGTTCAACATGAATCAAGCATCAATAGGGACGTGGAAAGGTTACCGCAGGAAAGGCTCAGACATACTACCGCGGATCTCAGAACACCTGTCGGGCTTACAAAACAGACCCAGAGCTCGGGATCTTGTGTTGAGTATTAAAGATGACAGTAACCATACCCAGCTACTTCGGGCTGTTCAATTCGGCCACGAAGACGCGGCATGCCGCTGTTCGGACTGTAGAGAGAAGCCTTATTCACTTGCGAGTCATACTTCGGCGTTCCACGCAGCGCGACCCTGGAAGACGAAGCGAACAATACTGGAATAGAACGAGCCTTCTCCTGCGCTACCTGGAACGGCCATATAGGTCTGCTAGATCGGCTTTCACAGCGAGGGACTGATGTCAACACGCGGCTAGATGAGTCGGGTCATACAGCGCTTCATCTGCGTGCGCGCAGAGGGGAATACGAAACCGAGCAGTTTCTAATCGGGAAGAAGGCTGATATTGATAGTGGAACGACACAAGGCAGAATAGGTACGACGCCCTTGTTGGTTACATCAAGGGAATGGCACGAGGTCATCATTCAGTTGCTGTTGGCGAGTCGGGAATACACAACCCCTATGGACCACGTAGGGTACAGTGTGCTCGACTACGCGACCAAATGTACTGATAGCGAAGCCTATGACGTTGTCGTAAGCTTGTTGATGGGACGCAGGGTGCATGTGCACGAGCTTAGTGACGGCATTGTGTGGCTGTCTTAACAACCGTAGTCGATAGCACACTGGCCGCTTTCTTAGCTCTATTTCGATAATGATAAAATTTGATATTAGGAATGAGGAAAGCGGCGTTACACAGTGGTGCTTTGACATCCGCATGAGGTTAAAACCAACGACGGCGGATCATGACTAAGCTTCACTAGCGCATACTTCCACCTGTCATTCCGAGCCTCTTGAACATGCTCGGAACATGTGCACTCCCACAGCACAATGGCACGCAGCGCGAACTTCTCCCTGGACACCCTCGGGCCTTTCATAGTCTGGCAGTTCATCATTCCATACGTACATAACCCACCACAATCCATCTCCCAACTCTAACAGCAAGAACAGGCCGCAACATGGATGCAGTCAATCTTCTACTCCATCTTCATTCGCGCGGGCGAACCCAAACCCATGCCCGGTAGTCCACGCTTCATGAAGCACCGCCGCCAAATCCTCATCGTAACCTACCTCGCGTACTTCTTTTTCACCATCTACGAAGCCGACTACAACCTCCAGAAGTCCGGCAACGCATACAACGACCTTGGCGTGCCCATCGATGTTACCGATAACGTGGTGAACTCGCGCTTCCGGCGACTCACGCTGAAGTACCACCCAGACAAGTTTGCGCTGAAGGATCAAGCGCGTGCAACGGAGTTCTACAATCACCTGAAGAGCGCAAGGGACATTGTACTGGATCCGGCGAAGAGGTGGGCGTACGATAGATTTGGACCGGGGATTTTCTATTCCTGTTCCAAGTGCGTCACCATCAAGGAGTACACGGACAGCGCGCTGTTTGTAGCGATGGGAACGTACGGCGCGCTCTTCCTGTTCCTGATCGGCACGAATGCGCTCGGCTTCCTCAGAGATGGCGCGTACTGGAGATACCTCGCTATACTGGCTGTGGCCGCGTATGACGTGCGCACCGCCATGCGCCCAGATCACCCACCGTTTGTCGCGCAGTGGTTGAATCCGCTAGTTACAGGTTTGAAACTTAGACCGGCATACCTTCCATTCCAAGTTACCAGTATCGTTAAGAAAGCCAGTATCTCGGCAGCACAGTTCCTAGGTCTGCTGATCCCGCTGTATCGCGATGATCCGCAGAAGCCTGCAAAGCCCACTGACGACACGGACGAGTCGAGGCACAAGCAGCTTGACCGGCTCGAGGCTGTTGTGCAGGCGGGTAATCAGGACGTCACGCGGATCTTGGAGCTGGAGTCTACAATCTTCAAGGAGAATGAGAGGGCGAAGGGTGCGCTGAGGGGCGCGATGACGACTTACATGGTTCAGAATGTGATCCACCAGGAGCCGGAGGTGAGGAATGCGATTGGGCAGAGGATAGGGCGGAGGAGGGCTGACGCGCCGCATGGAGCGCAGGGGACTAAGTGATGGCTAGAGTCCGATGATACCCTTTGTGCATGATAGATATCTATTCAACAATTTTGTGTGATGTATATCCACAAACGCGATGGCTCTCGCGTGAACGTAAACACGGATGTTAGTACACAAAGTCATCCCTGGAGCAACAATCGAGAAGACATCTTATATTACCCCCGACGTTTGTAATAACACGAGAGCATGTGCCCTGCTACAAGAGCAGAGTGAGACGATTCTAGAAAGAAAGCAGCCAAACGTCCTTCAGCCGCTCATTATTCTCACCCAACCCTCCATGCACCACAACGCTATCGTTCCCCTCTTCTGCCTTCAGGACATCCGCATCAAACCAGCCCCTTGGATCCGGCACCCCATCCCCACTATCCGGCTCCAACTTGGTCCACCACTTCTCTCCAATGTCATAAACCCACACATCACCTAGCATCTTGCCCGCGCCCGCATGCCCCAGACTACTCGGATCCCTCTCCCCAAACAGGGTGAGCAGCTTGTCCTTCTGCGCTATCCGCACAGGGAGCAGCGCACACACGCTCCTCGCCTCGGGCCCAGCATGCCCATCCGCCTCAAAGGGCTCGGTAGACCACGCATCAGACGCGACATCGTACACATCCACGCACCCGCCCTGCTCACTCGTCCCATCAAAGCCACTCATCCGATACACCTTGCCCCCGCTGTACGCAATGCTCGCCCCGCCCCGCGGCGGCCCCGGCGCATCCGCCGCGCGCGTCCACGCACGGCGTTCCACGTCGAACGCCCAGAGGTCCGACAGCCGGCCTGAGGCGGGACACCCGGCGTGGACGAACAGCGTGCGCTGCCCGTCGGACGCAGCGCAGTGGTACGAGCGGCCGGGGGGATACGGTGCGGCGGCGTCGGCGGGGGTGAGCAGCGTCCACGCGGCGCTGCGCGGGTCGAGGCACCACACGGCGCCGCGCTCCTCGAGGGCGGCCATGTCGGGGCCGCCGCGCCCGGAGAAGAGGTACATGCGGTCGGCGACGGCGGCGGCGGCGCTGCCCACGCGGGGCGACGGGGCGTCGCTGGAGGACGTTGTCGCGAGCGTCGGGCTACCTGTGCTGAGGCGCAGGACGTCGAGCGCGGCGTCGACGGGCTGCCGCGGCTGTACCTCGCCGCCGAAGATGTACACTGTGGAGTCGATGACGGCGAGGGCGTGCGAGGAGCGGCGCAGACGCTCTGCCGAGTGCAGGCGCGTCCACTTGCCGTTGTGGTGCCAGATTGGCTTGCGGGTGGGCATGCTCGTGGGCATGCTGGCGGATTTGTTCGGGTCGTGTTAGTGCGAAGATCGAGTGTGAGGGGGGAGGGGAGGCATTGTCTATGGGGCGTCGCTTGAGCACCCTGATGAAGCACTCGTCGTGCGGGCAGCGTTTTCGCAAGTGCTGGGTTGTTAGGCTGGGTGCACACGGCCCCGCCTCCGCACGTGCAGGCGTTAGTGGGGGCGGGTTATCAGATGGGCGGGAGCTTATCAGATCGAGGACATAGCTGTGGAAACTTGTACTTTTCGTAGCGGCTTTACTGTAGGTACAACTGTGAATATGCACGCCGGACTCAGTCCCAAGCTGTAAAGATACAAAAGCAGAAAATACATATAGCTACTAGAGGAATAGTTGGGCGCTAGAAATCCACCTAACATTTCGTGGCAGTCTGTCCCAATGGTACCAATATGAGAAAAAAACGCAAGCACAGGGGGAAAGAATGCCAGCTGAATTGATTGAAAAGTTGGAACCGTCTAGCCAATTCCTTGCGCTGTAATGGAAGCGCGGTTGGAACAGGAGTCGGTTCTTGTTGGCTTTGAGATTGCGCGCCTCTTCTGGCAATGGGAACTTCCGTTCGCCAGTTGACCAAGGCAATACCGTCTTCCCATGACTTGGTTGTGGTAAGCAACCTCCATCGTGCCTGATTGTAATCTGGCAGACGAGTCTGTCCTGCAGCCCTGCACGAGCAGTAGAGCAGCGGCAGAACATGGCCCGGATCCTGACCAATCTGGAAGTTTAGACGCGAGTAATTGGTTAGTCATCAGGGAGGGTCACTGGACTACAAGTGCAGCACCGTCATAAGCTCACAACCTCACGTTATGCGCCTTGTCTGGCCCCACCCAGTACAATTCCGCGCGCCAGGGTATTGCGGCGGTATGAGGACCAAAGTCTGCCTATATAGGCCACAGCCCTTCAAAGAACGACTGCACTGCATCAACATCGAACATGTTCGCGAATGCCGTTCCGCACTGGCAGCTCGATCAGCCTTTGGGCGAGATGCTCGCTGGGCGACCTAGCACCCTAGGTGCCGCCCTTTTGGAAGACGATGCTCCGCCATACGATGCAACGGGCGCGCAGAGAGAAGATTTGCCCCAATATGAGCCGCCGGCGCCTTCGCACAATCGCGAGGCTCATGAAGTGCCCCTTCACACATACTACCTTCGCGCTCCCGATCGGAAGAACCTAGTGGCTGTGCCCTATGGCCTCTCGGCGCCCGGCTCGTTCAAGTTTACTTCGCGCGGCTCCCGTCTGTTCTCCAAGAAGCCGGAGATGGACGTCTGGCGCTCCGTCCGCGCAAGTGCTCCCACCGAGGACGAGTACGTCGCCGGTATATGGTTCGATACAGATGGACCGCTCCCCTGGTGTCCTCGCGCACGCTTCGTTCGACAGGATCCAACTGCAGGCAACCAGACGTACAAGATGGAAGCGCGGAACTTTTCCGACTGGACGATATCAGTGGATGGAACACTGTACTCTTGGATCCTCGAAGCGAAGCCTTTCTCGCTAGTACTTCGCCAGGATGGTAGGCAGGATGCGGTTGCACGCTTCAACTTCTCGGCCTGCGGACTGGTGGCTACTGGAGGCGCTGAAGTCGGCGACTTGACTCTATACCGAGATGGACTGTCGCAAGACAAGGCAGGCGTGGATGTCATCCTGTGCGGTCTAGTTACAGCCCTCCTGCAATTCAAGAAGATGGGAAGGCATTATAAGAACGAGCCAGACGCTATTGCGCAGCGTGCCATGCTACCTGAGGAGCGAGTTCCTCTGCATCGATCCGGCGTAGCGCAGTTCTGGTCGTATCAACAAGATGGATCCACGATCGGATAGCGTGCAACTTTGGGTGTGAATCATGCTTGGCCAGCTCCGACAGATGTTTTCGGGGGGAGTCATTTCATTGCACTGCGTTTGTTTGAGTGTTCCTCCGTGTACGGCGGTTAAGTGAGAGACAAAAATGCGAAATGGCGCCTGCAACAATCTGGCAGCGCAGGCAACAAAGGCTGCGAAACCATTATTGCGTGCAAACACAGGGATTGGTGTGTTGTAGAGGACATGTTATCGTCGTGGCCGCAGTGCGTGTGATATGGAGCTCGGTTGTAGCCGCAACCGTCAAAATGCGTAAGAAGGCGACACTGTCTCGAGTCCACGGACGCCAACATTCGAGTCAAGCCCCAAGACGAGGAGAACGGGTGGTACCAAGGCTATTCAATCTGGGAAAACGATAGCATCGTGGCGCACGACGGAGGACAAGGTAGCGTGACGGAGATGCTCGTCGCGGTGAGACGCGTACGGGGTCCCGGGACGTCATTGCGGTGTCGACGGTTTTGTAGGGCTGCCATCGAAATGAGCACAGCGATGCAAGCAGAGCCGACGAGATGAAAGTGCACGCCTGCATTAGTTTTGGTGCGCGAAATTGGCCAAGCGCGCCGAGGCCCACACAAGCGAGCGGGCAAGGATGCGTGGAGCGGCGAAGCAAATGGACGCCGTTCTGGCCGGCGCAATCCTCACAGCGCCGATCGATGGCAGTCGCGCGGGCCAGGGCAGCGCGAGGCGTTTGTTGACATGTCGTCTGTCGCCCGCGGCCTACGTCCTACGTCCTGCGTCCTGCGACCTGCGACCTGCGACCTGCGACCTGCGACCTGCGACCTCCGACGCAGCAGAGGGCCGCTTGCTGCGTGCTGCGTGCAGACGGCGCCCAGCAGGGTCTCGAGCGGCGGGAATCCGCGGCGGGCGAGACATGCGAATGTGCGGAATGGCATGAGAGGAGCGCCCTTGGGTGGCCCGCGGCACTGCGTGGCTGGGCCCAGGCGCAAACAGCCGGGGTGGCCGTTCTGTCAGCCAGGCGGCATGGCTGCAGAGGCGCGCCCCAGAGCCCTTCGGGACTGGGCCTGCGCGAGCGGCGCGCGGCTCTGGTCGTCCTCGGTCGTCCTGTGTTCTCGCATCCACGTCGTGCTTGAGCCTGCGGATCCACCAACGCTCCGTCTCCGCGTCCCACGCCGCTCCACTCCACTGCCACCGGTCCTCCGCACACCAGCTGCCGCCAGAGCAAACAGCTCGTCCCTTCCTTTCGCGCTGCTTCGACGAGCCTGCCGGGCGTCCCCGTGCTCCCGTGCTCTCCCAATCCCGCCACGGCCTGACCCCGTGCTGAGCGCCGCGCCTCGAGCCATCGCACCACCGCGTCGCTCCTCTCCGAGCCCACATCAGATCCCACACCACCGCCGTGGCTCTGCCGTCGCTGCCCTCGATCGGCAGCCAGCCTCTCCGGAGCGCACCGCGAGGAATGGGACGCTGACGCCCTGCAATTGCCTCCACCGACCCACTCCGCTCAGCTGCATCGCCAGCCCACGCACCCCGACGCACGCCTTGAGTAGCCGCGCGTGCGCGATCCGCGCTGCCGGGCCATGGTCAAGATGCGCATACCCATTCGCGAGCAGCTCGGGTGCCTGGTCTTGTTGTCCTCTCTGATCGGCCTGGCCGTCATCGCCGTTGCAACATGGATCACCAACCACAACTTCGTGCTCGACGTCCGCTCCAGTGCCCTCTCCCTGCGAGCCTCGCTCAAGGCAGCACAGGTCGCCTCCAGCATGCTTGTCATGGAGACGACGGTGCGTCAGACAGCCTCCCGTCTCGCCATCCAAAGCGCGCTGCAGCGGTACAACAACTTGGGTAACAACACAGTGGAGAACTGGTCACGCGCAAGAGACGACTTGGATGCCATCTTCACCGGTGAAGGAGACGCTCGCTTGGCCGTTCAGGCCAAGTTGTACCCAAAAAACTCGTCGGATATAGCCCTCATCGCCATGACCAAGGGCACACTCCAAGGCCTGCACCTGCCCGACACACCCAACGGAGACACCGTCTTCTTTGGCGACAACTCCTCCTTCATCCCGGAGCTCTACCCCAAGTTCCGAACCTATGCAAACAGAGTTAATGGCTCCTTCACCCAGTGGTTTGCCGAGTACGATGGGCGCCAAATCCACGCCGACAGCTTTTTGGTCAGCGGCCCTTATGCCGTCAATGATTCGCTCAGTCTCATCTCCATCACCATGCCCATCATCAATAACACATCCAGCATCGACACCCTTGGCTGGTTGACTACTGTATTAGACGCGAACCTTATTCAGAAAGTTGTAAACGCTTTGGAAGGCTTGGATCAGACTGGACTCACGATAATACTGGGACCAAACAACGCGACCAACATGTTCCCAGCCGGTGTCGTGCTTAACGAAGATGCACCAGAAAGCGAATCCATCCGCTTCGTGCTACCCCCTACAAAGCGTCAAGGCCAGGCACGGCATGGCAACAATGACAACCCCGAGCCCAATGCGCCCTTCGACTGGACCAATTTCGATGCCGTCCGACAAGGTTTCACCGTACGTACCGGCGCAGCAAGTAATGCCGGGTATGACATGTCTGTTCGCAATGAGCTGGGCAACGACGTTGCGGTTGGCTATGCAATCGTACAGAGCACCTTGGTGGATTGGATGGTTCTGCTGGAGATGTCGCATGATGAGGTCTGGGCGCCAATCAACCACCTCCGCACCTTGATCTTGGCCTGCGTTTTCGGCACCATGGGCGCTTTATTGATTCTAGCCTTTCCCGTCGCACACTACTCTAGCCGACCCATCCGACGCCTGAGAGATGCTACGAAGAGGTCGGTTTCCCCCGCCGTCCTCGATGAGAGCAGCCTGGGATCCGAAGCGGACGGAGCAGATGACGAACGGGATGATGCCGCACTTGCACGGAAAGAAGGCTGGATTGGCTCCATCGTTCACTACCGTCGGAACCAAAAAGCGAGTCGCGCAGAAAAACGAGAAGCGGAGAGGAGGCGACAGTTCCGCATTCCGTCGAAAGTCAAAGACCGGAAGCACTTCATCCACGACGAGCTCACAGATCTCACAAAGACTTTCAACGAAATGACGGACGAATTGATGATGCAATACGAGAGACTCGAAGAGAGGGTTCAGCAGAGGACTGCCGAGTTGGAGCAGAGCAAGAAGGCAGCCGAAGCAGCTAATGAGAGCAAGACGTTGTTCATCGCAAATATCTCGCACGAGCTCAAGACTCCCTTGAACGGTATTATGGGCATGTGCGCAGTTTGCATGTCAGAAGACGACCCAATCAAGTTGAAGCGATCACTCGGCATCATTTACAAGAGCGGCGATCTACTTCTCAACCTGTTGACTGATTTGCTCACATTCAGGTATGTGTCTTGGAAGGCCCATGTTTTATTTCACTGACAACAAGCACAGTAAAAACCAGGTCGGCCAGCAGATAAGTCTAGATGAAAAAGAGTTCCGGCTACGAGATATCAGTTCTCAGGTTATAGCTATCTTTGAGCGGCAAGCAAAAGAGGGGGGGATCAAATTGAGCGTCGAGTTCGAAGGACCCTACGATGCGAATATGGACGAGAGCGGTCGACCCATTGGAAAAGGTGACCTTGGGCCTTTCGGTCTGGGCCGTCTCAAAGATATGATCCTCTATGGCGACCAGCACCGAATCCTTCAGGTGGTCATCAATCTGGTATCGAACAGTCTCAAATTCACGCCGGCAGGAGGCTCGGTCACGATCTCTATCCGATGTCTGGGGGAAGCCCAACTGTCGGACAGCAGGAAGGCCTCTCTACAGTCACGGCACAGCTCAACACGTGGCTCTAGGCGAGCTCGCGGTACCAGTTCAGAGGTCGCGTCCGTATCGGTGAAGGGATCACAGGACCAGTACAGCACGGCCAACGTCATCAATGCGCACGACAGAGCGCAGGGATACCAGTATATGATGGGTCTAGATCGAGCTCCAACCCCACCCCCGGGGAGATGGCTAGCATTCGAGTTTGAGGTGCAGGACACTGGTCCCGGTATCCCAGAAAACATTCACGCTAAGATCTTTGAACCGGTAAGGATCTGTGTTGGATATGTGCATGTGCAAGTAGCTGACTGGAGCGTAGTTTGTACAAGGAGATCTTGGTCTCAGCAAAAAATTCGGCGGCACGGGCTTGGGTCTGAGCATTTGCTCCCAGCTCGCTGGACTTATGAAAGGCACGATCTCGCTCCAGAGTGAAGTGGGTCAAGGAAGTGTGTTCACTATGGCCATTCCCCTCAAACATCTCATGAACCGCGCCGACAGCACAGCAAGCTCGAGCAACATCAATCTCGGCCCCAGCAGCGGAAGGCAGAGCTTATCCAATGAAGACCAAGGTCAAATGATCAGGGACGATGCGCTCTCGGGTCGATCAGTAAACTCAACAAACAGTGTGCCCATTGTGCCTGTATCTGCGCCCTCAAGCGGGCCAGTCGCTTTCGAGAGCGACTCAAAGCCCCGTCTGGTAGGCCTAAGTCAGCCCTTCTTCGCATCCAATCCTCCTTTGGAATCTCCCAATTCGCAACAGAAGGCAATGGCACGTGTAGAAGCCGAAGCTACACAACGAGGCGACAAAGTCAGGGTTCTCGTGGCCGAAGACAACAAAACCAACCAGGAGGTTGTATTGCGCATGCTCAAGCTTGAGGATGTGTACGACGTCACCGTGGCTAAAGATGGTCAAGAAGCCCTGGACAAGGTCAAGGAGAGCATGGAGAGCCACACTCCATACAATCTCATCTTCATGGACGTTCAGATGCCAAATCTGGACGGTTTACAATCAACTCGGCTGATACGACAATCTGGATTCAATGCGCCCATTGTAGCTTTGACCGCTGTAAGTGACGCATCTTTAAACCATTCGATCACAACTAATTGCTTTTGAAGTACGCAGAAGAGCAGAATGTCAAAGAGTGCCTCGACTCTGGCATGAATTTCTTCTTGTCTAAACCCATCCGCCGTCCGGCACTAAAACACGTGTTGAAGACCTACTGTCCTCCCATACCCGAGGAGGATGGCGAGACAACGCCCCCGCCGATCGAGCGCTCGGAACCGAAAGCAAACGGAGGTGTAACAGCACCTGTACAGGCGCGTCCTCCCGGAAGCAGCAACGTCGGCCATACCCCCATCGCAAGACTCGAACACAAAGACTCGCCCGCGATATCCCCGCTCACGCGGCCGGCAAATGAACCTCCCCACTCCCCACCCTCGTAACGACCTGCTACCCACTCCTTTATTTCTTTCTCGCGTTTCCTAGACACCCGATGCATCCTATACCCGTACTTTGCAGGCCGCGTACGATTGTTTAATGTCTGTTTAATATTCCTTCCTTCTTATTTGTTCAATAAGAGTTGTTATCTAGCAAAACAAAGCACGGCGTTGGTGGATAGGGCCAAAAAGCAGTGCACACGCATGGTATAAGGCGTTTTTTTTTGTGGGCCACGTGTTGGCTTCAGATTCCGGATCATTTTTGGATTAATCTTGTTGTTGGACTGGACTTGGGCAAAGCGAATAGCGCTCCGTAGGGTAGGGAGAGCCGTGGAATTGACGAGGCCTCGGGCCCCTGTTCTTTTGACTGTGACGTTCCTCTCCACCCTGTCTATACCCTCGACGCATGATAAATCTGCGACCCTGCAAAGGAAGGCGTTGATGACTCTCAAATGTAAGAATGCTCGAGCCGTTGTACAAAGGCCCGTCTTAATATTTTGCTCGTCGGTTTCTTTGCCTATGGTTCGTTGATACGTAATTCTGGTCACTGGATACCTTTCATGATTTTGCTGCAGAGATCTCCATGCGAGATGTTTCACAGTGGTTGGCTCCATCATCAACGTGCAGGCGACAATTCGCTGGATCGTCGAGAGGGCGGGCAAATACTGCCATATCAAGACTGATGGTATGGAGCAGGCGCTTTCCAATACGTACGGTGGCGGCGGCGTCACGCACGGCCTTGAACTTGCCGCGATTGGCGTGCGGCTACGCGCCGCTGGCTTTGGTACTGAAGCCCACGTTGTGTTGTCCTGGGGTAAGACTGGAAACTGCACGACTATTGGCTGAGCTCTCACGTTAGACAACGAGATTTCTTTCTACCCAGTCTCTCGCTGCTCAAGATTCCCGTTCGAGCTATGGGCTTAGAATCCTACCGCCCGTCGACCTCCACCGCGTCCCATATGACCCGGCTCAGCGCTGTGGTCCAGCGAACCTATCGAAGGTTTACAAATCTGCCAAGGACGTCCCCCCGACCTCCGCTCCCACACGTCCTCTACGACACCTTAGCTATACAAGACGTATGGCAACATACACGACATCAGAAACAGGACTGGTTCCCCGAGAATTGCGCCACCGGTGACCGCGTTTTCGAGCTCGTTACCGCCGAACAGCGCCAGCACCCGTTGGATCGATACGACGTGCTCATTCTTCCGGAGAGGTCCGCTTTGCGAGCCTCGCATGAAGCCAAAGCAGCGGATTTGATATAGACGGCGCACCGTCGCGTGTGTCCTTCGGGTGGAGCTGATCCCGTTTCGCTTCGTGCACTCTCTGTTACACTAGTATAATTTCTCTGGTTCTACTGTATGTCTGTCAGTGGCAATTGGCGTCGCTCTCCAACATGGTGTGGGTTGGACGGGGATCACTTCTTCGATGCTATCATCTATTTAATCTGGACAGCTGGCCTGTGGGAGGATTTGAGTGAATTTATTCTGGAGAAGTGCACGCATCGTGGTGATCTACTCGCTTCTACATTGGAAGTTGCTCTTTTCGTCTAGGTCTCATTGATGGACCATTTCTCATCTCTTGGACCTGGCCCTATCTGCATTCGTAGGCGAGATTCAGATCCAGCTAGCCCGTCTGGCCACGACACTGCAATTACCAACGAATGCCGTGACACTGGTGAATGCGTCTGCTGCGCCATATCGCTGCCATAGGCGAAAGCCGCATGCTGCCAATAGACACCTCGGATGAGCAACTCGCTCAACGGGCCGCTGGCGATGCTTCCGGTACCCTGACCGGCTGCCAAAGTCGCGAAGACCAGGCCTGGGTCCTTCACACGCCCTTGCTTTTGCATCTCTGTCACAACACCCGACCGTGTGCAGAGCCAAGCGCATCCAAGCAGACCATAGAGTACACTGAAGACTTAGATTATAAGTAGGTCGTATGCACAACCCCAGAAGCAGAACACCGACATGATGGTACCGAGGGAGGATATGTGGACCCCGATGCTGAAGTGGTAGCGATCCATCAATGCTCCCATCACGATACATGCCACACAAGCTGCTCCATTAAGGAGAATTACGGTCAGGCTCCTGCGGAAGTGATTTGCACCGAGCAGGCGCACATGCGATGGTAAGTAGACGAACGGAATGAAGTAGCCCTGAGCCTCGATGAATTCACCAGCCTGCGCGATGAGAAAGTTTTGAGAGACATTGCGAGAGCGAAAGATGCCAGCCGTTCGACTTGGAGTACTGCGATGCAAGGAGACGGGGCTTGAAGAAGAACAGCATCGGTACGGCGAGGAGGAACATGAAAATGGCGCAGACGCGGAGGGTGGTCTGGTAGCCGTACGCGTACAGGAGCCACTGGACGAGAGGCGGCAATACTACGCCGGCCAGTGCTGACCCAGCCTCCGGGTCGATTGGAGTATGTTGTAGGAATGGTAGGCATCGTTTAGAGTGACTTACTAGTACTATGCCGTACGCGAGGCTAAGCATCTTGTCGAACCACTCGGGCATGTACTGCAGTATGAGCGTCCAAGCAAAGCCACCCCCTACGGTGTAGACTATGCCTCGACTCGTAATGAGTTGCGGGGCGCTAGTTGAGAACGAGCCCAGCCCCTGGGCGAGACACATGACGCAGACGCCGCATGCACTCATCCACCATCGCATATTTGACCAAGTTTTGGTACGACGTAGATAACAGACATTCCGAGGTACATAGTCGCCATGGCACAGGTTCCGATGACTGCAGTGCTTTGCGACCCTGCGAACGGAGGATGCGTGATATAGTAATCCTGAAACACACCGAAGACGCTTGGGAAACCCCAGAGCAGCGCCTCGAGCATGACTGCGCTAGCTGGGAAGAGCCATCCGTCTTTCGCGTGATCCACTGCAGGCGGTCGCAGGAACATTGTGGTTGGCTGTAGGAAGCTGAAATGAGATGTTTGAGGCAGTCTGGTCAAGGTTCACCGTTTGCAGATCGATTTTCTCCCCGGAACTGAGGAGAGATGGTCGTTGTCGGTCCATGTTTGTAGCCATGAATTCTTTTCCGTGCGAGATTTGATGAATGTCTATTCCCAGTAGTCCGAAGCCAAGAGACATTATAGATCAATGAAGAGGATTTTGTAACCCTGACACAGGAGTTAGTCCGCCAGATCGATATCCAATGTTTCATCTTGTATTTGCTCGAGCTGTTTTGCTATCCTTCCACCCCGTTGTGCGGGCGAACGGCAATGGGTAACTGTAGCAGTAGCAATACATTGGGACGCTACTCCCTCGGCGATCATTCCCGAAAGTTTCAGGTATTCTACGGTTTCCTACCATTGGATTAGGCCCGTCGTGGTTCGCTAGGTAAGGTCAATACTTTCCTTTGGAAGTGGTTGCTGGGGTATGCGATCAGTTCTACAGTTATAGTGCTCATCTCCTGTGTAATGGGCATCCATATTTTGTCAACTGTGCGGTTCTTCCGCAAAGAGGTGTTTGGTTCTCGGTGCCTGCAAAAGTAAAGGGTAGGATTTGTTGACAGGGGTATGAATCCGCATGCGCGACGGCTGTACGTGCAGAAGAACTATTAGTGCTATAGCCATATTTTTGTATATTGCAGCCGAACTTGATCCATCAGTACCTCGCTATGAGTGGCAATCGGTTGTCCACTGACCATCGTACTGTAACGAGATTCCAAGTATTTGGAGAAAAAGATACACCACTGTTCAGCGACGGAACATCGAACATCGACGCTCTTTAACAGCGATTCCAATCACCAACAATAGCAGAGCCGACCAAAAATTTAGGAACGAAGCACGGCGACGACTGCTATTGACGAAATAGCTTGTAAGCGACGAACCTTCTTCCGACGATGAACGGCGACCGATCCCACGGAGAGCCGAAGCTCAAGCCGAGGACCATTATTCACGACGATTTCGTATTGCTTCTCGCCGACGATGACTTTGTCAAGGTCGCGGCAGTCGATGTTGACGGCGTCTTGCGAAGCAATTAGATTAGCAAGGAGAAGTTACTATTCATTGCTCGGGATGGTTTCGGCTTCGCGAGTGGTTTGTCTGCATGGGATCTGCAAGGTCAGATGTGTGCAATGTTCCAGTTAAGATGGGTCAGCTCGGCGGCCTGCTTGGGGAGATGAGACGCTTAGCATGAGAGTCGAAATACGATACACGAAGTCGACCCAAATCACGGCCCCCATCCTTTGAATAAGATCGTAATTCATTGCGTAGAATTCAACATCATGGTCCACCAGTCAGACAGGAGGCTCAGTCGCCTAGCTGGCGGGGTTGCGAGCGCCAAGCGGTGATATTACGATGAGCCAAAAATCGCAAGAACAACTGTAGTTCTCCGGACGCAACAATTGGACATGCCTATCCGTAAGAAGCATTGTGATCCATTACTAAGAGGGTAAATGATCCAAGGTTCTGGTGTACTCACATCTACTCTAAGTGGTTGGCTGATATGGAAGACCCCAAATCTGCCGAGACAAGTGGCTCATGCTAAAAAGCATAACGTCAGCGACCTAGGTTTCTAAGTGGCAGTCGCTGCCCTGCCAAGCACCATGTGCCTTCATGCAGTTAGAACCCCCGCTTGTAACAGCCCACCCCCGAGCACTCACCATAATTCAGGACTTGGCTTCAAGCCACCTAAACCGTGGTTGATGAACGCAATGCCGAACATAGTTTGGCGACTTATGGAGCCGTCTGTTAGTCTGGGTACAAGAAGGCTGTGAAGACCGTTTCTTTCCAGGATCTTCACAAGCACTTTGTGTCCGGTAAATTGTCGTAGACATGAAGTTTTCCAGCAGTTTAATCGTGCTGTGTGTTGGTTTTGGCCTTGCTTCCGGTAAACTTACCCCAAACTACACGTCACCGCTCGGTGTAGAAGTATACAATCCGGATCAGCTATTCAACGTAAGCGGACCGTGGAGTCTGATGACTAAAGCAGGAAACCTCCTGTACATATCTGGTAGGTCTCTAGGTCGTGCCATGAATACAATACTACGCTCACCGATGCCTAGGCATGCGCGGATTCCATCCTTCTAACACGACGCTTGCCCCCGTCGGCTTGCCACGTATTGAACAAGCCTTCTCCAACATGCAGCAGCTCGCCAAACTCGGTGGTGCGAATCTAGTAGGATCAATAGGCTAGCAAACTCACTGTCGTACTAACCTCGTTTAGACTGACTGCATCAGATTGACTGTATTCGTCACTGACATGTATCGCTGGAGACCGCTTGTGAATACTGTGACACAAGAGCTTTGGAAAGACGTAGCGCCAAACTATCCCGCACGAACGATTGTAGAGGTCCAACGACTGAATGACGACGACATCGTGGAGGTAGAAGGAACTTTCTATCTAGGGAACCAATAAAGCTGGTATGATGCGTCACAAGGCAGCGACGCGGTATTCTTCAAGGAAATGTTGCACTGTGCTTCAGTATAGGTGGGCGTCTACAAACTGCAAATTGAACCTGCGTACAGCTTCATGTCCCCTTAATGAAACCGTTGCCGACGCAGGGTACCGAACTGTCCAATTAATGTCGGACCCGGCTATCGGTTAATTCCGTTGCTGCCGTACCAGGCTCCCGAGCACCAGTTACAAAGGGTGCAGATCCCGAACTGAGCTGCCGTCCGGGGAAAAACGTTAGGGTGCAATCTACTCCCCACCGGCTATATCTACACCCTCGTCGCAACCTGCCTAAAGCGCTAATAATTTCTCGTTTTCCACCATTGATAGACCAAACTTTCTAACTTCTTAACTTCTAGCATAGCTTGTGTCGAGAATCTCGGATCGCGAGCGACGTCCTTCCAAAGTGGCATTAACCTAAAATCTCATTTGCCAAAGCATCGGACGTGAATGACGTTGTGGGAAATGCTATTTTCTGCACTGAAGTCTGTTTCAGGTTGGACAACGATATGGAGTGCATGTATAAAAGGCTCCTGAAGGTCTCTTTCCACAACGACATCCGCAGAGCAGTTTCCTGAGCGCAGTAATCGACCCTTTGACCTCCAAACACACCATGAGAGTACTAGAATCCATTCTCGGCCTTTCGGCCTGCGCTGGGGGAGCGCTTGGAGCCCTGCAGCAGGTTACTGGCTTCGGCACGAACCCAACTGGCGTACAGATGTACATCTCCGTGCCGGCGAAGGTGGCTACGAACCCCGCCATCATTGTTGCTGTAAGTTCTATGGTCATGCCCAGTTTACTCATAACCCAAACTTACGAATTTTGAAGCTACATCCTTGCGGCGGAACTGCTTCCCAATGGTACAGCGGCACTAAGTTGCCATCGTATTCGGAAAGCAATGGATTCATCCTTATCTACCCCCAGACGACGAAATACTCCAACTGCTGGGATGTCAACAACGCCGGATCTCTTACCCACGGCGGCAACGGGGACGCTCTCGGTATTGTCAGCATGGTCAATTACACACTCAACAAGTACAACGGCGACAAGTCCAAGGTCTTTGTTATGGGCGGATCTTCCGGTGCAATGATGACCAATGTCATGGTGGGCTCCTACCCCGATGTATTCGCAGCTGGTGCAGCGTACTCCGGCGTCGCATTCGGCTGCTTCGCGGGCTCGAAGAGCGACCCCACGCCCTTTGGCGCGAACCAAACCTGTGCGCAAGGTCTTACCCATACCGCGGACGACTGGGCTAAGTTCGTCTTGAATGCCTACCCTGGCTACACCGGAAAGAGGCCTCGCTTCTTGGTTGCTCACGGTCTCTCCGACACCCTCGTCCGTCCCCAGTGCGCCTACGAGCAGCTCAAGCAATGGTCCAAAGTCCTCGGAGTTACGAACACAGCAAACCAGACTGGAAGTGGCGTGGACGAGGGCTCACAGTACACGAAGATGGTCTATGGCGACACTAACCAATTGGTGGGATACCTTGGACAAGGTGTAGGTCACATTGCACCGCCAGTGGAGCCTGTATTGCTCAAGTTCTTCGGCATCACATCGTAAATATTGCAATCAGCATGTACATAGCTATAGTCAGTTCGGGTTAGACTGAGTGAGCAGATCAAAATTCCGAACCGCCACATTCACTTGCGGCTGTTGAGTCGTTCCCTCATTGCATCCTCCAAACTCTTCTCGACTCGGCCAAAGTACTCTTTGTGAAAAGGATTAGCTTGATGAAAATAGCTGGTGATCTAATACCAACTTACTCAAAACTTGCTCCTGTAGATTACTCGGGATCTCCTTCATCGTCGGAATTATGTTGTCGAGGAATTGCGTCTCGCCATCTTTATCTTTGTAGATGATGTGCCAAAGCTCTCTGGGTTGCTCGAAATCCTGATCCGTGGGACTGGTGGAGAATGTTTGCACATGCCCAGAGTCACGCTTATGCGTTGGGAGACGGACTCAGGGTAGCCGATCATTCTGTCTTGTAGCACTAGGTTTGCTTACATTAGCTCTGGACTCTGGTAAAGCTGGCTTGCCACTGACCTGGATCGCCAGAAGGCCCAATTCCGGAAATGATTTTCGTCGGAGAGAAGCAAGCTTATTCTATGTCCTGGAAATAACGTGTTGGATCAGTCAGTGGCCAGGATCAGTCAGTGGCCAGCCCCACCAAGCCGTGCGGCACTTCAACAGCGATATCTCCACAACGATTGGATAATCTTCTATAGAATTTTGTACAAAGATAGTCTATTGCTGTCTACACTGAGTTCTCTTGTGTCCTTGCTCATGGCATTTGCTGCACGTTGGTGGTGCCCGCTGGCGCGCAGTAGTAGGCCCAGTTTCAGCAGCCTTAGCAAGAGCTAGATGGGCCGTAGCAGCTAGAGCTTGGCCTTGTTCAGCCTGTAGAGCGCCTCCTGTAGCGATATACTGTCTGCGCCTGTCCTGCCTCTGTCTTTGCCGATGATTAGTTGCCCGTAGCCTCCTATTCTCCTCTACAAGGATCGTCGCTGAGTTCATCGCATGCTGACAACTCTTAACAAGCTGGGCGAAAGCCTGGCTTGTAGGACTCTGTGAGGATTTCTGAAGGCGATCTCGTATAAGTTATGCCTGCTTCTCTAGCTACTGAGTAGTATAAGGCGTCTTAGCAGTCCATGTAGCCTCAGCATCTACTGCTGCCCCTAGTGGTGATGGGGTCCTGACTACTATCAGGCCTGATAGGACGCGATCTGGACAGGGAGGGATGAGTCCTGTCACTTAAAAACCACTCTTAATGTTCTTCTCTATAAAGACTGTCCTACGTACGCGTAGATAGATAGATAGAAACTCCTCCTTATCAATATAGAAGATACCTTGGCGGGCAAGCTCAGCAACCTCATGCCCATAGGCAGCCTTAAGTGGTGAGAAACAGCTCACATCTAAGGGCTGTAGCAGATGGCTTGTGTGTGCAGGCATACAGAGGGTGACTATCTTGTGTTCTGCGCAGTACCTATCGAACTCAGGTATAGCATGGCTGCTATATCCATCTAGGATAAGGAGCCAGTAAGTGCTAGAGGTACGAGACTCTATATGTTGATTGAAGTGCTCCAGCCAGGCAAGCCCTAGCTAATCTATCGTCCAGCCATTATCACTAACTGCGAGCATCCAGCCTGCAGGTAGGCCTATATACCAGGCAGCTTGGTGGAGCTTACCAGGCAGGATAATAAATGGTGGGATAGACCAGCCAGACGCGCAGATGCCCTCAATTGTCGTAACCTAGCCCCTATTACCTAGCTGTACGCGTACAGCTCTACCCATAGTGTCTACGCTAGTCACTACCTTTAAGCTTAATCCTCCTACACCCATCATAAATCCTATCTCATCAAAATTCTATATATCTTGATCTAGGATGCCATACGTCTAGCGCGTCTCCTCTACACGCGTATACCAGGCAGAGATCTTAATAGGATCCTCACATAGAGCGCGCTGGCTATATAGCTTCCTATCCCACTTTGTCTACAGCTCTAGCTAGGTGTTAATAAAGCGCGATACCCACTTCTAGCCTACAGGCTAAGGTGGAGGATCCTGGCCACGCGTAGCAAGTAGATGATTAGCCATCCATCGTACGTCAATAATCTAGGGTGGAAATCCTCGTCAGTCAAGCCCTAGGATCCACTCTACTAGAGCCTGCTCCTCTATAGGGTGTAGCTTTCATTTCTAGGCGTTGGCTTACGCCTAAGGTAGGGTGCCTTTAATGCGTCGGCGGAGGGTCGTTCGTGGGACACTATAGAGGGCTGCAGCCTTTTAAATACTTAAAATTTGTCTTGTTTGAATTGCATGAGTTAATAGAGCTAATCTAGCTTCTTTTTAGAGCTGCTAGGTGCGCATTGTAGAGGTTATCGCGTGCTGAATGTAGAGACGCGTCGCGATTTTGGTGGGGCTGGCCACTAACTGATCCTGGCCACTGACTGATCCAACACGTTAATTGCTCGGATATGACTAATCAAGGACTGCACTCGGAGCAGGAGGGATACTATACTCACGTTTCCAGTAAGTACTATCCTCAAATGCGTCACAACAGATACTGTGCATGCGGCCATGTAAATGTGTCGTCGAAGATATCAATAGGAGCTGTTTTTGCCTGCTACGTAGTGATAACTTGCATTCCTTGATTGTGTGGAAAAGATCCTTGACGTGGTGATCAGGCGCTGCGCCGGCACACTGATGCCAGAACAGTCTCATGTGACGCTTCCAACATGCCTTTCTGGGATCCTTTCGCGCGCAAAATGGACAAGAGTTTCAACCAGCTGAACATCGCTCAAAGTGAACAAGCCACTATTCGAAGAGAACATACTGGGGTATGCGCAGAGTTACATCCGGTACAAGTGCGAAGACATTGATTATTCCTCTAAAGATTGGGAAAAGGCATTGGACGATGTGGGAATCTACGGTCAGATGCGGAGCGCTCTCCTGAATCCAAAGCATGCGCAGATCCGCGGCATTCAGACAATGTCACTTTGGCTTTGCGAGATGATGGAGACCAATTATGATGCTCTAGTCGGACTGGAGGATAGCATCCTATCCAAAATCGACCCCGCCTACCCCAGCCATCGCTGCGGTGGATTCGACACTGACTGCACGGTTCCAGCTACGCCTGGCGGCCACATCAACCTATTTAAATCGGTCGCCCTCAAGAGGGCGAAGCATGTCATCGCGGAGGATGGCACCATCGACTTAGTACCGCTGCTTAGTTATCCGCCAACGGACTTTGCACATCGTGGAGGCCTGTACTTTACCCACCAAATGTGGGTGGCCACCCACTATTCTCGCCTGATCTCAGACGCCTGTCCTATATGTGATAGGTGTACCATCGAGATAGCTGTCCCTCTCGACCATCTCACCAAAGAGAACATGCTTACCTTGGATTTTGGCGACATCTGGAAGGAGCTTGACTTCTACTCCCGACGCGACCAGTCATACCCCAAGGATCTGCGTCGCTTACGCCGTAATCACAACATTATCCATGGCCCCATCGCCCACAATGCCAACATCGCGTTCGCCAAGATGAAGGATCCTAGCGGTATTGAGAAGGAAGCATTTATTGTGGGAGGACGCCAAATCACACACTGGAAACTGTGGCAAGCAGCATGTCTGGCTGAATGAAGAGGCTGTCAACAGGTTGAGCGAGGTGGTGAAGGAGAAGACCTGGATGAGGAAGCCTGAGCAGGGCTACGCTCTTGTCGAATCTCCGTGGAAGGAGTGATGCGAGATCGGCAGTACTGCGGATTCATCAAAGTAGGACTGCATGGGTATGTTTCGGAGACTGATGCCGTAGAAACATCGTAGGTATGGCATGGTCTGACAAGGTTTGTAAAGTTTGTCACGTTATGAGTTGTTGAAAATTTGATTTATCTCAGTGTTATTTTGATAAATAGATATTGTTGAATGCGAGCGAGCTGTCGCTCTAATGTCTTCATCGTCAAGGCCTCCAACTCTAAGGCCTATCCACCGCCCACCCCAGGCCGTGCTACGATCTTCATAGCACACTTCTTCCCGCGTTGCCTGCCTCTACCTTCACGCCCCCTGCCCAGAAACCCCCCTATTTACTCAAATCCTTTCCCCAGACCTCATTCGCAATCTCCACATTCAGCCTAACCTTGGCCCACTGCTCTTCCTGGCTCAACTCATTGCCCTCAACCGTACTGCTAAACCCGCACTGGTGGCTCAAACACAGCTGCTCAAGCCCCTTGGGCGCAATCTCCGCCGCCTGCTTCAATCGCTCCACGATCTCCGCTTTGTCGTCCAGCGCAGCCTTCTTCGAGCTCATCAGCCCCAACACAACGACCTTGTGCTCAGGGAGATGGCGCAGGGGCTTGAAGTCGCCGGACCGCGCATCGTCATACTCGAGAAAGTACGCGTCGACGTTGAGCTCCTTGAAGAGGACTTCGGCGACGGGCTCGTAGCCGCCGGAGGCGAACCACTTGGAGCGGTAGTTGCCGCGGCAGAGGTGGATGCCGATTTTCATGTCGGCGGGGCGCTTAGAGATGGCGGCGTTGATGAGCGCGGCGTACTTGCGGGGCAGTGTCGCAAGGTCCTCGTTGCGGTCTTCGGCCTGCTTGCGCATGTCGGGGTCGCAGAGGTACGCGAGGTTGGTGTCGTCGAGCTGCACAAAGCGGCAGCCTGCTTGGTACAGGCTGTCGAGTTCCTCCTGGTACACACGCGCGAGGTCCTCGAAGAACTCGTCGAGATCCGGGTACGCCTCGATGTCGATGCTGGCGCGGCCGCCGCGGAAGTGCACCATCGTGGGCGACGGGATGCACACCTTTGTGGTGGCGCCGCCGCCCTGCTTCTTGATCTGCTCCTCGAGGAACTTAAAGTCCTCGACCTGGATGGGCTTGGGGTGGCCGAGCTTGCCGGTGACGGCAAGCACGGGCGGGGAGAAGCCGTGGGGGCGGATGAGGCCGGTCTGGCCCTTGATCTCGATACCCTCTAGATGCTGGAGGAAGTCGAGGTGGAAGTATGCGCGGCGGAATTCGCCGTCGGTCACGGAGCGTAGCCCATTCTCGATCTGCTGCTGGGCGACGGTTGCGACGGCGGCGTCTTCGACTTTGCGGAGCTCGGTGGTGTCCGACTTCTCGTTTGCGACGGCTTCGCGAGCGTCGAGCACAGACTTGGGACGTAGGAAAGAGCCTACGTGGTCCGCTCTGTACACACCGAATGGAAGAGGCATCTTGATGTCTTTTATCTACGCGTCGATGTCAGCTTCCGATGTAGTTCCCAGTCATGCAGTCCCGCTCACACGCACTTACGACGTTCAATCTGAGAATGACTTAGGTGAAGAAGAACACAAGACTAGAGCCAGATGCACCAAAGCTCCCTTCGGGCCCTAATAGCCACGCTGATACGAAAATTTGTCTTGGCCCGAAACATCATGAGGTACCCCACCGCGGCAGTTGAGATGGAGGGGCTAACGAAGCTATGCGATGCCGAGGAGACGCACCCGGACCCTGAAAAGGTACCCTCGAGCCAATCTCGCTGCACACGTGCCGGTTAATCAAGGTACTCCCGGGTTTCTCATGGGCTGAACCCAGGAGTGACTGCAGCATGCATCGGGGACCTCTCCTTGGGTGCTACAGGCATGGCGATTGTGTCTGAGAGGCTGAGGTCAGAGATGACGATTGGCGGGGTATCTCGGCGGTGTGGAAAGGTTGTTTCAAGGTTCCGTCAGTAGCACCTGCACAAGCAGCACAAACATTGCACGTATTATTGTCGGAGTTCGATGGCTTCAGGAAAAACTTGGGGTATCAATTCTTCTAGTACGTCTTCCTCCGCCTGTTCGCTGCATTTGCGCTGTAATTGTGGCGTATCTGCAATAATCCTGGCGAAACAGCTGGTAATGTATACGTCAAATGTGCAGAACAACGGCGCATCAGAGATGAATGCCGCTGGTTCAGCATTGGGATCAGCCGTGCATAACTCAGCACCTACGCCGCAGCTTTCAAAAGCTTTGGCTCTACCAGCTCACCGAACGTGCCTTCCCAAACGCTGTCGTCTTCATCTTCGTCCTCATCGTCCATCCGGAAGCCGCTCACGGCGTTCTTGACCGAGTGGCCCCTTTCATCTACCGCCTCACTCGCCTTGTTCGGAATATCGCGATTCGCAAGCTTTAGTCTGAAAGTTCCCGCTCCGTGCCCAGAGTCGCCCTCCTTCTCAACGGCTGCTGTCTTGTATTCACTAATGTGAGGAGTAACCGTCACAGGATCGATGGCATAGACCTTGAATACAACGACCGCGCCGACCTGTACATCGTGTGGCTGCAGCGTGGGAAGCGACTCGACGTCCTCGGGCAGCGGTGGCAAGTCACTTTTTGCAGCCAGCTCTACTTCCTGGAGAATCTGGGATTCAGCAGCATCTGTGGGGTCGGACGCTGCCTTCATGGTCTCAGGTGAGTCGTCGTAGTCGAGAACAGGTGTATCCTCCGGCTCTTGGTCTTCGTTATCGTAGACTAATAGCTCAGTCGGTTGTTCACTTTTTCTCCCTTTCTTCTTCTGCTTTGCTTGTTTCTTCTCGCGCATCAGCTTGCTGGCCGGGTCCCAATGTTGCTCGAACGGGAATGGAGGAGCGCTGAGTTCGTACTCTTCATCCCAGCACTCGAACGCGGAAAGATTGATTCGTGATTTCCAAAAGTCAGGATCAGAAGCACCTTCAGGCTCTGGATCGGCAACTGGTGGTTTCACCGATTTTGATGTTTTTCGCTCGATGTTCACAGCCTGGCGCTGGAGAATGCGTCCAATGGCCGACACGTTGGGTCGCAGCCGTTTTGTGAGTGGTGTCGGGGTAGGAGTACTCCGATTAGACGTGGAGGCATCTGTCACTGCTAACGAAGCGCTCACCCTCGCAGTCTGTTCCGCTTGTTCTAAGTTAGAAGACAACGATTCGACCGGAGTCATTTCCACGTCGGTCGCAGTGTCTGCAAGCCGTGCCATGAGTTCCTCTCTTCGTCTTTCGAGTTCTGCGGATTCGTCCGCCTGTGTCTGAGTATGTTGGTCCTCTGCATTCTCGCCTAGCCGTTTTCTCTTGCCCGTTGATTTGGACATGGTGTGTGCTGGTGTTCGGATTGGTGACTCCGGCTCTTGAAATAGCCCAAGATATTTCTGTAGATCGGCGTAGGTAGCATCGCGATGTAGTTTTCCTTCTGCCTTAAGCCTCTTGAGCTTCGTTAATTGCTTTCGCCTGAAGTTCCTCCTGCGTGTGTCTTTTGTACCAGACCATGGCGGCACGGTGGGTTTCGAGGAAAGTACCTCCGGTGCAGAGCTGTCGCTGTCGCTATCTGAATCGGAGTCGGTTGAATCTGAATCGCTATCAGATTCCGAGTCGGAGGCTGCGCTGGTCTCAGCCTTGCGGTCCGCTTCTATTTGTGAGTCGCTGTCAGAATCTGAAGACGAATCCGAGCCGGCATCGGTCGAGGAAGGCGATGATGTATCCGCGGCTTCGCGTTCTGGTGAGCGCCGTCGCTTATTCGATTTGGTGGGCTGCACAGAAGCTTGAGAAGCCGCCGAAGAAGTGTCGTCGTCGCTATCAGAATCTACCGAGCCCTCACTAACATGTCCGGGAACAAAGTCTTCGTCGTCTTCGCTGTCTTCCGAGCCTTCCTCGTCTGCCTGCGAAAATTGCACTTCTTTCTTGTTCTTGCTTGGGCCGGTACTTCCCACGGCAGGCTGCGCTTCACTAGCTGCCGCGATGAAGCCTGTCGCTTCCGGTGCACTGGTGCCTGCAACAGTATCCTCATCGAGTCGAAGGCGTTTCCGCGGCGGGATGGTCACGGCGGGGCGGAGCGGTTGCCTAAGGTAGGGTCGACCGAAAGGTATGCCGTCGACCAGGTGGCGTCCGTCATCCGTGATCTGGGTGCGCCCACAGAGCGTGCGAGAGCGGACTTCAGCTGTAAGGAGAGGTCGGATGCTGCGGGCAGCCGTCAGCGGCGCTCTGCAGGTTTGCGCAGGATGAACTCACGAGAGGCGGTCGTCTTCTTTCAGTGTCTGCAGAACAGGCGAGAAGTGCAGACATTCAAATCCCTCCAGTTCGACAATGTAGTCCTCCAGGCCCCACTGCTCAGCCTCCAGCGGTAAGATCTGGTTGACATCCTCGAGCAGTCGCGCGAACGTGTAGGCTTGCGCGCTCGCTGTGTCCGGCACGCTCCAGAGAATATTCGAGACGGGCAGATTGTTCCGCTGCACGCTAAGTCGCAGGCGCATTTTGGCGACTCTGGGCGCGGGTTGATTAGTGCGGGATGCAGTCTTGTTCACTTTGTCCTGTGCAAGTGCTGTGGAATTGTTGGAGAGCCTGGTCCATTTCGTCACGTGATCTGGCGTCATGGCCTTTCCTCCTTGAGCTAGCGCGCGCCATCCGACCTGTGACGACCTGCCTGCGTGTTGCGTTCTACCTCTTACCATCAGTAGACTACTGGTAATCTTAACCTCCAGCGGACTGCACCAGGCGTCCATTGGTGCCTATGGGGATCGAGCTCAACACAATCGTTAACCTAAATATTCCTACCTCACGCTGCTCTGGCCAAGGTACCTGACACCCCGTCTCATCTCGCCTAGACACCGTCGATAGCCCGATAAGAACTCAATATGATGCATATAACACACAGATGGCAGATGTTCATGTTTCAAACCAGACCAGAACGACCTAATTGGTAACATTGTCCCTTTTACAGAATACCCATAGTAGACCTGAATGAAGAGAAGAATGCGGAATTCCAAGTATTTTCTTGGTAACTTTGCCAACCACCACTACCCGGCATAGCGCACTGAAGACGGACCCGAACTTGACCAACGGGCGGGGAAACGCTTTTCCAGCAGTACGACTCTGGCTCGATTCTCGGGTGAACGAGGGCCCCTCGGGAAAATTCGTGGGAGACGCGACGACAAGATAACAGCTGGAGGTTTTGGCCTGCTCCCTTACGAACGAAAATGACCAGAATCTCAGGTTGGAGTGGGTCGCGCTTTGCATCTCCGCATCAATCGCAGGCTGGGAATTTTTCCTGGTGCCTATCCGATGTCGGGCCGGCCTGTCATGGGCGAACGTCGATTTCCCCACGGGCTCTCATTGGTCTACCCCCACAAACGCTTTTGATAACGGCCTGTAGAAGGACCGACCTCGATGCAAACTCAAGACCTTGGTCGAGCATCGTATCTTTGTTATCTCTGGGCAGCGCAACCATTTGGTAACACTGGGGGCAAATGTATGAGCATACAAGGATATCGACGGTCTGAAGTAATGTTCAAAATGCGTCCGCTGCCCACCGCGTATCGTTTGTGCGCACACATCTGTACCATCTTGGTTGCCTCATCGACCCTAACGCACCTCACCTCTGCGCAGTCAGTAGTCGCCCATCATGGCAACAACGGATACCAAGCATGCGGACCAGGCCAATGTCGAGCAGGACGTGGCGGTCGGGACGACATACGTGCCAGACCTTAACGACAAGGCCATGGAGAGGCGCGTTGTCCGCAAGATCGATATGTGGATCCTCCCGTTCATCTGTATATCGTATCTTATCAACTACCTCGATCGCGTATGTTCCCGCTGTCCATGAGACTGCGCAAATTACTGACAAAGCGCAGGTGAACTTGGGTAACGCACGAACACTTAACAACAACACACCTGAGAGCAATCTCGTCAAGGAACTCGATCTCACAGGAAACCGCTACAACATCGCCGTCGCTGTCTTCTTCGTGCCTTATGTCGTCTTTGAAGCACCCAGCAATTTTGCAATGAAGTTCTTTACACCTTCAGTATGGATTGGCCGTATCATGATCAGCTGGGGTATCATCACCATCTGCACATGCGCTGTGAAGAGCTTCGGAGGTTTGCTCGCGATCCGATTCTTTCTCGGGGTCGCAGAGGCTGGCTTTTTCCCTGGCGTTGTAATGTACCTCTGCTACTGGTACAAGCCCTCCGAGCGCGCGACCCGTTTGGCCATTTTCGCCGGTTCCGTGGCGGTTGCCGGAGCCTTCAGTGGACTGCTGGCGACCGGTATCTCATTCCTCAATGGCAAGGCCGGTCTCGCAGGCTGGCAGTGGCTCTTTGTCCTCACGGGAATTCCTGCCGTAATCTTCGGTGTCATCGTCTGGGTCTGGATGCCCGACTATCCTCAGGATGCAAAGTTCTTCACTGAAGAAGAGCGAGCTTTTGCGGTCGCCCGAATGGGCCCATTCGCGCCTAACAAGGAGGATAAAACCTTCAACGTGAAGATCGCCAAGCAAACGCTTCTGGACCCCTTATTCTGGATGTACGCGATCAGCTATTTCTTCATGGTGAACAGCCTAAACGCCTTCTCGTACTTTAGCCCTACGATTGTTGCCAACCTGGGTTTCTCTGGCTATGTTGGTCAACTGCTCACAGTACCACCGAACGTATTCGCCCTGATCATCATTCTGGCCAACTGCATCCACTCCGACTACTCCAAGGAGCGCATTCGTCACGCACTAGCTGGCCTGGCCCTTGTCGGCTCCGGCTACCTTATTTTGGCGCTGGTGACGAACTGGATCGGCCGCTATGTTGCTGTTTTCCTCATTGCATGCACTAACTCAGCCGTTATGCCTTTCCTAGCCCACCGCACAGCCACTGTGTCAGGTTCAACAGCAACTGCTCTTGCCACTGGTGTGACAATCGCCATCTCGAACTGCGGAGGCATCAGCGCCCCATTCCTCTTCCCCGGTACCAATGGTCCGAACTACCCTATGGGCAATGTACGTTTACATTCTGCAGCTGAGATTGTATCGCGACTAACCATCTTCTAGTGGACCGTCTTCGGCATGCTCTGCGCTACGTTCCTCATGACCATCTACCTTGGTTTTAGACTTGGAACCAGCTCCGAGTACCGCGACTTTGCGCCCGGTGCAGCTGAGCAGTTGGCGGCGAGGACGAGTATCGATGGCAAGATTCCAAATGACGCGAGGGATTCGCGTGAGTTTCCTACTCCCAAGCAGGACAACGAGAATGCCACAAAAGTCTGAGGGTGATTTGGTCGCGAAAATAAAAACCTTGTTTCCAGAGGACGATAGAATTTAAAGACTAGATATTTTGGATGACATTCTTTTCCTGCGGCTTGGTTGAGATGCGGCGGCTGCAAAATGCCACCCATAAATGAGCGCTTTGACGCTCTCAGTAGCTCCGATATCCAATGCCTCCTTGTTGAACGTAACCTACATGGTATGGGAATAACATGATCCAAGACTACGCCGAACTTTCAGATGAACGCAGCACCCTTTTGATGTTGAGAACGCCGCAAAGCTGTGCGAGGCAATCCTAGACATGCCGAGGCTTTAGTTCCCCGCATCCCCCCACTTTGACATCCTGAACACCTGCTGGGGATCCACATAGTGAGCACGCAAGACTCCATCGAGGTGTTGCAATGTGACAATCCTAACATCCTGTCCCAGTCAACGAACACAAGTTCCAGTCTTGATTCTCCTGTTACGCCTACCCTAATCAATTGCCAGATCAGCACTGCGCGGGCAACATCAACAACCACTGGAGAACACATAGAGCGACATCATATTCACAAAACATCCAGAGGGCATCAGCAGAACAGCAATGTCATCAGACCAAGGACCAGCACCAACGGCATCAAGCCATGGCTACACTCACAACCATGGCCACGACCATTCGCACCCCCATCCCGCCCCAGAAGATGCCTGGAAAACAACTGGCGTCCGCGTAATCCCAGGCGACTCCCTCGAGCCCGTGGGTGGCGCCCACCAAACGCCCGGCATGGACCGCGCCGCCGCCATAAACTTCGCACGCGTGGGCGCCTCCAAGCTCTGGGCCGGCACCGTGCACATCCACGCGGGCGCCAAAACGGGCGCGCACCACCACGGGCACCTCGAGTCCGTCATCTACGTGCTCAAGGGCCGTGCGCGCATGCGCTGGGGCGAGAAGCTGGAATTCACGGCGGAGGCGGGACCCGGGGATTTTATCTTTGTGCCGCCGTATGTGCCACATCAGGAGATCAATGCGAGCAGTGAGGAGAAGCTGGAGTGTGTGCTTATGCGGAGTGATAGCGAGGCTGTGGCGATTAATCTGCCAGAATTGGAGCCAGTCGAGAGACCGGAGACGGTGAAGTGGATTGACCCTACGCATCCGGATGGGGCGGGCGCGTAGGGAGTTGGGCAGGAAGACTCGATTGCCTATGTTCTGTGGCCTTGAAATTGATCAATACAGTGCCATATTATCCATGTGGAAGCGATGGGGTCATTCAGGGACTGCGGTCAGTTGTGGACTTGCTATACAATTGCGAGCGAATACGAATAAATAATGAACGATCAAATTGTTTGAGAAGCCACTTTACTTCGGTTGGTAGTTACAAAATTCGCATATATCGTAGCAGTATGTATTAGTGGATCGGATGCAGGACGCATCAACTGTCAGAACTTGCCGACCGCTGAATTTGCACGAGTGGGTGGGGAATTGTTTGTTTCATTCTCTTCCCAAGGCTTGGACTGGCAGAGGACGAGGCAGAGGGAAAACTATGTGGTAGAATCGTTATTCCGGTGAGTCAAGATTTGCCTTACGCAAGTTACATCTTCATCAACGTTGCACGTGTTCGATACAACCCGCATCATTACCAAGAGAACGAGGCTGAACAACGCATCTTATGTTCGCACGCGTATACACATCTCACATCTCCTCATATTTGAACCTTCCGCCATGACAGACCCGTTTTCACTGCCGACAGGATCGTTCGCAGTTGTGAGTGTCGTTGAAGTGTTGCTTGAAACCAGCGTCGAGTGTTGTTGCTTCCTGAATGCGCTCAAAGATGCGCACGAAGAGATAGACAGACTTTGCACTAGCATCGAGGAGTACCAAGCATTGGTAGAGGCATTGAAGGCAAATTCAACTGAGGTGCAGGGACACAAAATGCCTCCGGCTCAGGGAACTCTGCATAAGGCGCTGGAATTGTTCGATTCGTCTGTTAGACTTTTGCATCGACAGCTGTCCGCCTTGAGGACATTGAAAACATGGCATAAGAGCAAATGGAAGACCTATAATGCTTTCAAGTTTTACCTCGACGATCGCAAGATGAGCAGATGCTCGAAAAATCTGGAAAACGCAGAAAGTGCGCGTGGCACAGCTCTGGGGTTGGTGGAAGGGCAAGTCAATTAGATCTTGCTGAGTTATCTGACAGCAAACGTTCGGCCTTGCGACAGATGACTATCGAAGATGCCATCAACTAAGACTTCCCGGAGATTATAACAGGAACCAATAAGCTCCACTTGAACATCGCATTGTCGTATCAAACCCAAGACCACCTGATTCGCAACGAGCATTCAAAAACAAGAGCGAGGATTGAAGAAAGCAAGGGGTCAATTATCGATACCCTGGAGAGAGTATTTTCTGACCTGCGCCTTCTTCCAGACGTGCAGACCGCTCATAATCGAAAATTATACTTCACTAGTGGACGTCGTCAAACACAGTTGAAGGTGCTCTCTTTTATGCAAAGCCTGATCTCAGGGGCTAGTGTCAAGGCCATCGCTCAGTCGCTAGACAGTGGATGGTTGCGAACGAATTTGACATGCTCTTGCATTCGGCCATTCGGGAGGCTGCGATCTTACACTGCAATCCAAAAATATCATCCCTAGACCGGACTGGCTTATGTACAACTTAATTCCGGGTTATTCAATGCCAGAATCAGACAAAAGTCTATGCGCGTACTTTCCGCCAGACAAAATTTGTCTGCAGGATCGCACAAACGATAGAAAACAGCCGAACAAGGCTCTCTTAAATAGGTGGGCTCGTTTGAGCGCTTAGATCATAATGTGTGTGTCTTCCATCGAAGAATTATATATGACGCTGCCTCATCTGTCCGACACAAACACCGCTAGACATTATAACAGAGAGGTTAAGTTACTGTTCATCCCTGCGATGAATATTTACACATCACTTGGCATCCGTTTCATTCAGCAAATGACTCGAGGAAGAGAAGCTAGGATAAACACTCATATAGAGTCCGCAAAGCGACACTTGGATCCTATAGCGAACGGTAGACTGGAGAACATAGACAGCGCGATCAGAAGGAGTATCATTTCTCCGTGCAACCGGACCTGGTCAGGATGGATGATACGTTTCAGGGTCGGTTTCAATTTCAATCTCTCCTAATCTTTGTTTCTGACTAATGGGTCGATTGTCAGATTGTGGGCAAATTTCTCATTAGACCTACTTCGATATCTCCATATGCAAGGTATATATTGAGCATTAAATAAGCAGCCCAAAGCACTACTACTGCACACAAATTTACCCATTGAGCGGAGCGGAAGATATGCTGAGCGGTGTCTGGGGTAGCATTCAAGCGCTGAGCTTGACTCTCGCTCCGAAGATGCATTACATAGGATTCTAAGATCCTTGGACGAGACCACGTGTAATATACCTGTTCCAATCACGGCACGGGTGCATGTGTACTACTGGTTTCCCAGCAAAACAGTAACCGAACGTCGACTGCGTATGATTAGGACAATGTCAATTTTTTTTGTTGAAGCAGAGTGGACACGATTCTAACGCGCTCATTACAGCAGGTCGAACGCCTTTTCTGGATTGTATGCTAGCAAGAGGGGCGGGAAGTTTGGCTATAGCTAAAACGCTGTTGGAGCTAGGAGCAGATCCACATACGGTTGACTGGCACGGCGACAACGCGATACAGCTTGCACTATTCTCCAATATTGCGTGGTTGCATGAAAGAGCCCCTAGTACTTGCGGACATCGCTCGAGTTCCCCGAAGTATTGATCGCGAAGCTGAACCTGCTAATCCGAGCAGGCATAGACATACACGGCGAGAACTCGCGGGGGACAATGCGTTGAGTTATGCCAGAGCTTGCGATTTCTTGGAAACCTGGTATACAGCATTTGAGCTGAACTGACGTCAGAGAACACACAGTGAAAGTTAAATCTAAGGGATGTAAGACTGTAGGTATGCGTTTCGGATAAGTTACTGAGTCTCGGCAGCAGTCTTTATAGAAAGGTTCTCGACGATGTTCCACATATGATTAGGTGGGTGTTCCTTACCTAAATGTAGCAAAAGCAAGCCCTATATGTTATGAGATGTAACTAGTGCTGTAATACTAGCCAGGCACATGACAGGCTACTATGCTGCAATTAAATCTGTATCCGAACTAATCTTGCGGGCCAATTTGATGAGTACATAGTTTTGCCAGCTGTTGTTCATCGGGCATGCTGGAGATGCATCGTTCTACCCCGCATCTCCGATTGTCCACACCTACCGACAGGCCGCGACCTGCTCAAAGATTTATGTACTCCCAGCACCAAAGCGACATGCCATGAGTTCTGTATCTACAATTAGAAAGTTAGATCATCCCAAGGTAAATTTTCTGCAATAGTATCTGCGTTCAGTGCGAGTGGTCTTCTTATGCCAAGAGCAGAAAAGGGGTCCCATGTCCTTCAATGGACGTGGCGAACAGCGCAGTACTTACTTCTCGCAAACCCCGTATTGATTTTCGGCTCCTCTTCTTAACATATTCGGCATCTTGAATTGGCTGGTATCGGGAAGCTTCTACGTGGTGGACGAAACTGTGAAGCTATCTGGGACATATGAGATTCTCAGAAGTTCATTCTCGCCTTGGATTCTCACCGCTTGCAGCTTGCATAGGCCTCGAAATCATGGCGAGGATGCTACTAGACGCTATCGTGCCAAGGTCTTTGGATGATACATCTACCCAAGCCCATGCTACGGAGCTGCACTGCAGTCATTGCAGCAGCTTGTCACCGTGAGCAGGGCCTGAAAACAAGGGACAGCAATCTAGAAAGATTTTATGGAGTGCTCAGTGCAATCCTACGGATTCGTTGAATGACAGTGTCAGGCATGGTGGACTTTCGGCCGGCTATGTTGACTCAACGGTAGAAGGAAGATTGTATGCTTAATTAACAGTGCGAGACGGATCCTCAATTCTGTAATAGAGTGAGAATACAAGTAAATGTGTATACAGACATGGATCGACTGGAAAGAAGGTCTTGTGAAACAATCCGCTTTCACTGCATTCAAATACTTTGCGAAGGACGCGTCGGTTACACAACAGAAAAAGGATCAGGAGTACTCCTTCTCCAATGCAATCATGTCACTGAATAACTCGAGAAGTCTGCTTCCTTCTTCATCTTTTAATGGGAGTAACGGCCTCCTTGGCGCATTTCCGTATCCATGTAATTCACTCAATACATATTCTTTGACACCAAATTAGCAGAACCCAAGCCAAGTTCTTGACTCAGACTTACTCATTCCCCTCACACCGGCCGGAACCGCAGCTACGTCAGCTTTGGAAAGTATGGCTTGGATCCTGTCGACCTCTCGCTTGTCGTCGGCCGAAAGTTTGTCCTTGTTGAGGAGTGACCACAGTCTGGTCGAAGACGATGGCGCAAAATTCGGAATACCACTCACAGTACCGTGGCCACCGCACTGCATCCATGGAGTTAGGTCTGCAATGAGTCCGTCAAGTAATAAGAAGGGATATGGTCTGCTTGAGTTGATCTCAGGTTCGGATCTGATGGTCATAGAGAGACGGACGAGCTTGCCAATGCTTCCGCCACAGCTGGACAACCGAAGAAAATAGGTCAGCAACCAAAAAATGTATAGAGCCTAGATTCCTTGCTTTTCGAGAGACTTACGTGAGTTTTACACCGCACAAATTCGGTGCTCTACGTATGATGGATTCGATCACTTCGGATGACATGTCTTGGCCTGCTGAGTTCGCTGGGAAGTTGTATAAGAATAGTGGTATCTATATGTATGAGTCTATGCTTAGCTGTCATGTAGATTGTCATATCGTACCGGAGATGATTCGCATATGTCAATGTAATACTGGATCACCTGTTCCTGGTCCGCATCGAGGCTGGCTGCGTAGTAAGCCGGTAGAATTACAAGCCCAGCGTCTCTGTATCGATTTAGCAAGACAATGATTTATGCAAGAAATGATGCAACCTACGCTCCAGCATTTGCTGCTGCTCTGGCAAGTTGAATCGTCTCACGCGTACTGGAGCCACCTACACCTGCCACAATCGGCATTTCAGGCAGTCCAGCTTCATCTAATGTGGTTCGAATGAACCGAATAAGTTCCACACGTTCTTCTGGACTCTGGCGCTATGTCAGTGGCTCGAAGCGGCCGATTCAATTGCTGTCTCACCAAGTGAACGGCTTCTCCTAAAGAACCTGCGCATACTGGAGTGATGCCCTTTGTAGCAAGATCTGAGATTTGACATCAATAATCGGTCGCAGCATCATGATATTGGTCACACGTACTCAAAAGATGCTTTTTGTAGCTGTCGTAATCGATTGCTTGGTCTTGGTCATCGGCGAAGAAAGTCGGCAGAGGGCCATACAACCCTGGTCTCAAGTTTCGGAACATCGTTAACGGCTTTAAAATTTTGCGTTCATAATTCACTCAGGACTTAGGTATTATTCAAAGCCAAAGAGGCCACGAGAATGGAGTTGGTCGGCATCCATCGCAACGCGGTTCGATGACAGGGATAGCTGGTCAGGGCGGGATCAGAAGCGGAACATCGGCCGCGCGCCGAATGGCATACCTAAGATAGCCCTGCGGCAAGTTCACCGACAATCCCGACCCCGTTATCTTGGCTTTGACACTCAAAAGCTTATCGTGATACGTCTCTCAGCTCGCCTAGCGTTATCCATGACCTCTTGCGTATACTCAACCTTATCAAACATGGATAGCATTTCGTCCACGGCGCACTTATACTGTGATGTGAATATGGATTTAGTCGACCGTCGCCCTTCGAGTTACAGGAGAAATCACCGCGCGAACCACTTGTCCAAACTTGCGACTTGCACTTGAAAACTGCTAGCGAGCCGCCATGGACGGCAAGGAAGCGAAAACGAGTATCGGAGAGCCGAGCATGGATGCAGAGTATGGTGAAGTACGCGTATCAAATGCGTCCTCCCTTCATCGAGAATTGAGGCCCAGGCATCTGTTAGTGATAAAACAAACAAAAACTATAATTCGCGGCTGATCAAAGCAGACAAATGATCGCACTGGGCGGCGTTATAGGTACAGGTCTCTTCCTCGGAACAGCCGGTAACCTTCAGAATGGAGGTCCCGCCGGGCTTCTGATCTCCTATGTGATCATGAGCTCCCTCCTGTATGCGGTCATGTCAGCCCTCGGCGAGATGGTATCTCAATTTCCCCTGCCTGGTGGCCAATTCGCCTTGGCCCATCGATTTGTCTCGCCTGAGCTTGGTTTTGCTATGGGTTGGTTATTCTGGTACAACTAGTGAGTGGTATACTCCTTCCAGGAAGGACCTCGCTGACCCTATTTCCTAGTATAATTGTACTAGCGGCTGAAGTGTCGGCTGCAGCCGTCTTGGTAACCTATTGGACTCATCCAGGAGAAACCTGCACAGAGGGTATTTGTAACAACGCACTGTGGGTTGGTCTCATGCTCATCTTCGTCCTCGCTATCAATTTCCTTGGTACGCGAGCCTACGGTGAAATGGAGTTTTGGTTCGCCGGTATCAAGGTTATCACCATCATTGGACTTATCATAGTCGGTGTGATAATCTCAGCCGGGGGTGGGCCGAACCACCAGGCTATTGGCTTCAAGTACTGGGAAGAAACGGGTGGTTTTGTACAATATCAGGACATCCCCGGGGCTAAGGGAAGATTTTTCGGATTTTTTTCCGTCCTGATATCCGCAGCATTTGCGTAAGCCAGAGGTCGTCCTGATGTCTACCGAGACGCTAATAGTCCTTTTAGCTTTATTGGCAGCGAGTTAACGGCCATTGCCGCTGCTGAAACTGGAAATCCCCGCAAGTCTGTTCCAAGCGCAATCAAGGGTGTCTGGGTCCGCCTTGTTCTCTTCTATCTTTGTAGCGCCTTCATCATCGGTCTTCTGGTGTCACCATCGGATCCCTCACTCAGTCTGGACTCTACAGCAGCCAAAAGCCCCTTTGTTATTGCGATAAAAAATGCGGGGATCAAAGTCTTACCTTCCATCATCAATGCAGCGCTTTTGTCCAGTGCGTGGTCTGCAGGTTGCGCAGATCTATATGTCTCTTCGCGCACTCTCTACGGCTTATACACCCGCGGTCATGCGCCTGCCTTCATGGGCAAAACACGGAAAGACGGTCTTCCTTGGGTTGCGGTTACCATTGGCGCTTTTTTCTCCCTCCTCTCTTTTATGGCTGCAAGTAAAGGCAGTGCAGGAAAGGCGTTCGGCTACTGTAAGTCTCCCCGTATGCTCATCTAACATGGCGTCTGACTTTTTCAGTCGCCAACATGACTGCCATATGTGGTATTATATCGTGGATCTGCATTCTATTCACATATACACGATGGTACAAAGGGTTGCGAGTGCAAGGTGTCGACAGATCAACTTTGCCCTACCGAGCTCCGCTTCAACCTTATCTCAGCTGTAAGTGGCTTTGACTTAGACATACACAACTTGTGCATAGACCCGCTTTTGTGACTCAGCTGACTTTGTACCCGCGAATATAGACTATGGTATGGCAGTCTCTATTATGGTGTTGATTTTTGGCGGCTTCACAGCTTTCAGTAAGACTTGTCTCCTATATCGCGCCTCTCTGATTTAAGCTAAACCGTTCACAGTGCCAACGTTTGACGTTTCATCTTTCATCACCACGTACTTCCCTATACCTTTCTTCGCTGTTCTCTTCATCGGCTACAAATTTTGGACGAAGAGCAAGATGGTGCCTTTCGAGAAAATGGATTTTTCCACCGGGGCTTCCTCTGAGATACCATCTGGAACTGTTGGTCAGGGCTGGTGGCGAAAAATTAAAGACAACATTTGACAATGTACATTGTGAGAGGGCAAGGAAGGTCTGAAGCGGTCTGGACTGATTAGCATAGCACGAGAGTGTATCGGACGATTTGAACCCATGCTATGTTGCTAACACGAAGAGCATGATATCTACGCCGGTGAAGTCTGTTTTTGTGATGTTCATTGGATCGTCTGAAAGGGCTCCGAGATCGGTAAAACCATATATCGAGGATGATGGCTTTGACTAACCCAGCTTGGGACTAGCCCAGACGCCGTCCAGTATCCTGATTCCTGCATTCTTAAATGCGCACGCTCGTCTAGACATCTCCAGTTCCCGAATCTAAGCTTATGGAGAGTGGCGATCAATCTGTGGCCGACCATCAACCGGTCGAACGTCGCTCTGTCAGGGCTAATCGTGCATGCGCTTCTTGTAGAGTGCGCAAACAGCGATGCATTCTCTCTTCAATGACAGGGCAAACGGCGTGCCAACGCTGCGCTCATCACGGCATGCCGTGCTCCTTCGAGACAGAACCAGCAGATGCGCACCAGGAGCAGCCAGGACCAACGAAGCTAGCTCAGATGGTGGTGCAGCTGCAGCAGAGGTAGTTGGTCCACTACACCTTGCCTGTACATGTACTGCTGGGCATGCAGTGAGCTGACCAATTTTTATTAGAGTGAACCAACACGAAGCTCGCATAGCTGAGCTTGAGCATCTAGACGCTACTCCACACAAGTATCCCCGACTATCCAGTTCCTCTCTGCCAACCACCTCGCTGCCGATCACCTCAGATCACGAAAGCCAGTCCCCAGTGCGGATTGAATCTCATCTAACTCGAGTTCCCCAAATCTTCAATACTTCAATAGAGCAGCTGGAGCTGGGAGCACCTATTGCAACATTGAGAGCACTTGGTGCTCTGGGCGATGCACGTGACCCGGCGAACGAATCTACACGCATGAATACGAATAGATCGTGTTCAGATCCCATCGAAAGCGGCATGTTGACTGAAACAGAGGCTTCTCGCGCGTTCAATATGTGGGTCATCTCCGGATGGGACAGTTCGCCAACATGCTTCTTGCGATAGCTGACTGCTACAATTCCCAGCTACTTTGAACATTGCCACCCCTGGGCCCCAGTACTTAGCCAAAAGACACGGAGCATGGGCATAAGCTTGAGAGAAAATTCTCCTACGTTGTTCCTGGCAATCGTAGCCATTGGCGCCAGGTTCTGGTGTGAAGACAATACGAGCAACGATACAATGCGGCTTCGTTCAATGCATCCGCATTATTTCGACGTCATAAAACTTTTGGACAGCAATATGTCTCGACTACTGCTCCGCCCTTGCGCCGCTTCAGCATCATTGAGCAATATTCAATCATTATTGCTCTATCTCCAATGGATGCCATACGACTCATGCCCTCTGGGACCGGGCCATGCAAGAAGCCAGACCTTGGTTCAGACCCGCTACAATGAAATGAGCACATGGGTTGTTTTTGGCCTAGCCCTTCGATACGCTGAATTCTGCGGCCTTGAGCAGAAGGTCTTGGGTTCTTTCCAAGATGATCGGAGTTTAGCCACTGCGACCTCAGAGGATATGGATGCCATGCGAGTGTGGCTGAATCTGGTAACGTACGACTGTAACCTCACATTGACGTCAGGTATGCCTAGTTCACTAGACCCGCGACCATTGAGCGCGAGAGCCTACAGGTTCTGTTCTCACCCTGCTGCTCAAAAGCCAGATGATGTTCGATATGCCTCAACGGTCGAGCTAGCTTGTATAATTCAGAACGTAAGATACCAGAAAGACAATATAACGGACAGGAATCAAGTCCTTGCGGTCATCACAGAGGCGAATGGGGAGTTTAACAATTGGCAAAGGTATGCTTTGTCCGTTACAAACCCCACCTATTGCTGACTTGTACGCAGACGATGGTTTGATCGGCTTGGTGCGTGAACTCCCGAAAAACTGCCGACCGCCAGCTGCGATGACTGACTGATCACAGGAAACACCAAACTCCAACAATGTCAGATGCCATTCACGTCAGTAAGGGTCAGTACATTTAGCCTGGCAGTCGACCATTGTACCATCGCTAACTCCTTCAGTGGTATCGGCTTGCTCTCAATAGCTCTTTATTGCGAGCCGTCCTTTCGCAGACACAGCCCGAGTTGCTATCCCTACCGTCCTGGGCAACTCAGCCTATGACAGTGAGCCTTACCGCCGCATCTCAGATCTTCCTCTCCGTCTCCAAGTGCTCGTTTGAGTCTGTTTCGACCCTGGAGTCTTGGAGACCATCCACCTTTCCAGAAGGTAGCCTTTTGTTGGATCCCGAGGCCCGCAGAAGTCTTCACCACGCTGTGGATTCCACTTGGATATCATACACCTTCGCGATCACCTTCTTGGTTCTGTGCTACTTGAGAGGACTTGTGGATGGTAAAGCTCCCCATATCATATCATTGAAATGAGCTATTAGAGACTAATGCAGCCCCAGATGACTTGCAGCTATGCACGTCCTCGCGAGGTCCTTCTATTTCGGCTACTATGTGGCCTGCAAAGCCTCGGTATGCTTCATTGCTTCATAGGCTATCGCGACTTGCTCTGGAAGTGTTCGGTGGTAGCGAGCAGGCATCAAACTTTCGCCCAGACAATGACTATACCACGGTGGTGCAGAATGCGACATCCCTAATTTTAGAAGCACCGACCGATGCGGAGCCCACATTGGTACAACCTGAGAATATCTCTTCCTTGCAGACGTTCTTTGATCTCATGGAAGACCCCACATGGGACTGGGGCATGTCCTTTGTAGGAGAACAGACTGAGTGGGGCACGCAATTATAACTTTGCAGACAATGTCCCTTGAGCTTTTCTGAACCTCGAGATGCTGGGCACTTGATCAGATCTAGGCCATGATAGATGTCGAATAAAGAGCTAATAGCTGTTACTTACCTCCCGCTGTCCGTCGTCTCGAACAATACATCATGCGCACCCTTCCAAAGAATGAGCTCACCCAGCGCTTTTAAGTTCTCCATCCCTTCCACGATAGTGAGAAAATGATTGGCAGCCAGTGGGCCCATCTTGCTCGCAAACGATACGCCTCCATAGCAAAACAGCAGCTCTGTTTCTGAATATCCACCAGGATACAGGAGGATCTGGCCAGTGGACGGATGGGTGGTGTGGTTCTCGAAGTTGATACCCAGATTTTCGTCTCCAAGCGGCACCCATAATCCTTCGCCGCTCCATCTCACGTGAATCAGTTGTTTGCGGTAGGGTAGCAAGCCCCGAAAAACGTTCACAGTCTTTGGTGCATTGGATTCGAACTTGGCCAGGAACTGATAAGGACCCGCGGTGATGAGAATTGTGTCATTGTCTGCCATGATGAAAACAAAGTGTTTGAGTATGATGAGCGAATTGATGGTACAATATCTCTTTGCGGTCGTCAGGATTGACGCGTCGGACGGAGTGTGGTCGCGTGTCGAATGTGTTCGGCTTCGTTTGCCTTGCGGCCCGACCGCCGACACATCCGCTGATAACGAAGATTGCGAACTAGACCATGACTAAATATCGTCGACACCGATCGGGCCGCACCCGATGGCCTGCGCAGTGCTCATGCGATAAGCGTCGAGGTCTTCAGTGTGAGAAATTGATGCTGAATATATGTAAGATGTCTGCCAAGATCAAACAACGAGACCTTGAGATGTTCGTGATGGGCATTGACGCTCATTAAGTTCACAACCATGTCTATACATAATCTCCCCCGTACCTACCAAAACACTTGGCCCATAACAACAAGCGAGGGCAAATTGCGACTCAAGATACCCGCTTCTAGTATTAGCGAGAGGGGTCTTAAAGTGACACCTGTTCTCGTCAATGGACATTCGCCATTCGGAGCAGAAATCGAAGGTATCGACTGGTCGCGTCCAATTCCCGAAGGTCTTGTCAATGAGGTAAGCGATCTGCTGGAACTATAAAATACAACACTGAACAAGGCTTTTGTTTAGCTGGTCCAACTTCAAGACAAGTACGCTGTCTTGATCTTTCGCAACACAGGTTTGGACAACGCACGCCACATAGCTTTCGCACAGCAACTCGGAAAAGACTTGGAAGTCAATCCTTTTTTCTTTGGCCGCGAGAATGATCGAATTGGTGAACCATTCCTATGGGACGTTGGAAATATCAATCGTGATGGGACTACCGTGCAGCCGGGACAGCGACGCTGGGAGCACAGTAAGGGCAACGCTCTATGGCATACAGACTCATCATTCCACAAGCCACGAGCTAAGTACTCTTTGCTTCTTTCCCACGGAAATCCAGCCAAGGGAGGATCATGGACACATTTTGCAGATACTCGCGGCGCATATGCCGCGTTACCACAAGATAAAAAGGATGAGCTAGAATCTCTCATTGTGGAACATGATCTCTGGCATTCGCGGAAGCTAGCGTCACCAAAGGCATTCAAAGAGCCCCTGTGCCACGAAAGAAACCTTGTACCACCTGTGTGCCATAAGCTGGTGCAAACTGCACCCAGTGGTAACAAGACTCTATATCTTGCTGCGCATGCGAAGAGAATTATCGGGAAAAGTTTTGAAGACAGCCAAGAGTTGATCTGGGAGCTGATAAGTCACTGTACACAATCCCAGGTGAGTCTCAGAATCAAGAACCCCCTGTCAGGGTGTCTAATGAGTGCATCCAGTTTGTCTTCAGTATGGAATGGCTCCAAGGAGGCGACATGGTATGGTGGGATAATCGGCAGTCTATGCATCGTGCCAATCCCTACACAGAAAGCATGACAGCCCGCGATGTGAGGAGGGCTACAGTGAACGATGATGGTCCGTTCGCACTAGGGGTTCCTACGCCAAGCATGTGAAATAGACGGGAAAATCGCTGTATAAGCATGTCGGTCGACAAATAGCCTTTAATCCATCCTATTTAATAGTCACGTCCGCTTCCTGGCGCACACTCGTATCGTCAATACGCACATGCGCTGTGCTAGACCTTCATATAATCGCAGCGTCTAGTGCCAAGTAGTGTTTGCTGATGCTGCGACATTTTGCATTATTATGGTTACTCTATTCCCACCCTAACCTATGAGAGATTGACCTTGAGGTTGATGGATGGGACATCGGTGGTGTTCGAGGGCATGGACCAAGTTATGTTCCAGAATTCGAACCCATGAATGATGTTGCAAGTCCCACCAACAAGCCCGCAGAAGGAGATGCTAGGCGAGCCCACATCTACTGTTCCACTGACTTCAATGTCCAAGTCCTCAATATCCTGGATTGAAGTGATATCCCGTTTGCCACCAAGCGGGTTCGACGCTACGATAAAGCTGAAAACGCTCGAAGCATTGCCGTTTGGATATGTAAAGTTGATGGAGTTAGGAGCGACTTCGATAGTCATAGCGGTCTCGGACGGATAGACATTGAACCAGCCAACAGAATCGTCTCGCCTCTTCCATTGAATGACGCCTGGGTTCCACGAAGAGCGGTCCTCACGAGCGCCGCCGAGATTGCGTTGGTTGAATGACTCACCGCCAATCGTCAGATTCGGTGATACCCAGGTCGTGATGTTGCGCGGCTCCATATCGTAGGGTGGCGCGTAGGCTTTCCGTGAAATGAGGGTCTCGCCGCTGCAAGAAGCGAGCTTCTGGATCGTGGAATTAGGAACAAGCGAGTTGTGAAATGGCGCAAGGATGGCGACCATCGGAGCGATCTCCATATCGTCTGCGTGAGCCCGAAAGAACGGCGATTCCTTATATCCGCCGAAAGCGGCCTCTTCACCAATCATAGACCACAAGTACACGGATAGGATACCCACATATTTGTTCATATCGTATCCATATGTTCGATCCCAAGGCCCGGCCAGATTGCGGAGATTAGGATTGTACATCGAGGCGAGGAGGTCCCAAACCTCTCCCAAGACACGCTGGCCCTCGCGACCCATCACTGAATCACTAGGCATGTACTTGGCCCAAAGAGTCAGAGCATAGATGGTGATGCCTGCGTACGTTGGGCTGTTGAACTCGGATAAGGTGTTGTTCATGTTGAACAGCTCGAGTACCTACAAGGGTGGGGTATAAAGTCAGTAAAGTGCTCAAAAGGATAAATGGGTTAAGTTATTATCTGTCAACTTGAGCTCTCAATTAGAGCCTCGGGTGTTCAGATAATGACAACGGCGAGAATAACCACTTTGCGCCCGAGCAACTCACCTCGTTCGCATACATTTCCCCAGCGGCTGTCATGTTTTCGTCCTGAAGCTTCCTTCCAGTCCACCCTGATGCGACGGCACGCATATAGGCCGGATTACTGTAGGAAGGATATCTGTCAATTTAGTCAGTGATACCACTATATATATCGAGCTGTAAAGAGCCACGTAGCCTTGTGGGCTTTTAAACTGAGAAAACAACTCACAGATTATCGTCATCAACACCGCCAACACGGTAGCTGTCACCGACAGTATTGTTGTACATGCTCTCAAGGATTAGTTCTTGGACATCACCTGGCAGAAGATGTCTGAACTCCTCGTATACCACCATCAGTGTGGTACCGATGAACCCTCTCCAATTAGGGTCCCAGGAGTTATAAATCTACACCGTTGATTAACGGATCTGTTTTCAAGACAGAGAAGGACTTCAGCCTACAGATGGCGGATATGCAGAGCTGTTCACAGTTGGCTGCTCTGGGTAGACAGTATAATCTCCATACCACTGAGCTTCAACATTCTTTTCTTGATCGCCAATGACATTCCTCAATATTCTAATGGCTTGCTCCACATCGTCACCCCTTTGCCGGTTGAGCAAACCAGGGACATACCTGTAAATGAGGGTATGGTCAGTGAGGTTACAATCGTAGGGATGGTTCTATATGCTGCATTAGGGAAAATCATACCAAATGGTGGAGCGAGTCTCGTGTTGGCCAGCCGCGAGCGGGTAGTAGAACCAATACAGGTAGCCAACAGAGTCATCGTAGAGCTGGTCGAGAAAGGACATAGACTTGTCAAACATGTCCTTGGGGTAACCGCCCAACTTTACGGCGCTTGCACCCGGACTCAAAGCCCAGAGCCCAAGTGTAATCCATGCTGTAGTTCTTGAGAACATTGCAAAATTTGCGATTGTCCCTTAGACGTGACGAGGTTGATATGAGAGGTGACGACGACGACAAGAATACCATGGGACCAGCTATTTACATATCCTAGAACAGGAAAAAGTAGCTACGGCGCACCGAAACTACGATGCTTATCCTCATGATAGTCACCCGACCTTATTGCGTAGCTCAATTACTATCATTGGCTATATTGAATCACTCGCAACTATCTCGCTTCTTGTGCCGTAACTGTAACCCCGCTCGAATTTGAAGTTCCGGCAAAATACGGTGAAAGGCTCGGATGCGTGTTGTCTATCTGCCTCCGGCGATCATCGGGCCGGCGATTTGACGCGCTAATCACCCACAGGGCGGTAAGCCCGAACGCTAACGGCTCCACAATGATATCCCCAGACCATTGCTCTCGCGGGCAAGCGCGAAGGTTTGTCAGGAGCCGGACAAGGTGTCGCGTGATACCCGATAACGGTTCTTAAGAATACACATTCGTTTTTCCTGCATCACAAGGTAGTGGCAGCTTCACACTTTTCACCCTGTCGTAGAATTTTCGTGCTACAACTCTCGATAGTCTGATTTACCGCCACTATGGATATTTCTGAGAAAGGAGAGGTCGGGGTCAGCACCGCTACAAAAGGCGAGGGGAAATCGATGAACGCTGACGAGGTGCGACTCGCTGAGATGGGTATGCATCGTAAACGCATGAGCAGGAATGAATTTTGCTGATGAGTTTCAGGCCATGTACAAGAGTTGGAACGCCATTTCTCAACCCTTTCGCTCATAGGTCTCGCGTCCACAACTACCATTTCCTGGACGGGATTGGGCTTGGGTATCGTGACGGAGATTAATGCTGGCGGACCGGGAGCTATCATTTATGGCTTCGTTCTTGTAACAATGTTACAGTGTTTTCTTGGTGCTTCTTTGGCAGAATTTGTCTCCAGCTATCCCACCGAGGGCGGAATGTATCACTGGATTGCGGCTGTTGCGCCCAAAACGCAGTCTGCTTTCCTCAGTTTCCTCACGGGTTGGTTCACTGTCTGTGGCTGTAAGTATTTGGTCTACATTCTGCGGCTCATCTAACATTCTTTAGGGATCTTTACCACAGCATCCACGAACTTGATATATGCGCAGACACTGGGGGCACTGATCGCTCTTTATCACCCAGACATGACTGTCAAAACATGGGAGATTTTCGTGATCTATCAAGGTCTCAATCTTCTGACAGCCTCGGTTGTACTCTTCGGAAATAAGATAATCCCAAGCCTAAACAAATTCTCGCTGTTTTACCTCCAAATTGGGTGGCTGGTTGTACTTGTCACCGTCGTGGCTTGCGCACCGACCCATCAGAGCCCCGAATTCGTGTTTCGGACCTGGATCAACAACACTGGATGGGAGAACAATGTCGTGGCCTTCGCTGTGGGGCTTGTCAATCCGCTATACAGTCTGGGCGGACTGGACGGTGGTGAGTGGATCTACAAATTGAGTACTCTATCCTTTACTGATCCTACATAGTAACGCATATCACTGAAGAGATGCCTAACGTGAGTACCTAGCAAACGGCCCATGGCTATCTCCCGATCACCTGGCTAATCAAGTCTACAGCCGTCACGCAACGCACCCCTTGCCATTGCCATTACCCTCACGATCGCCTTCTTCACCGGCTTGACATACTTAATCGGGCTGATGTTCAGCGTCCAGGACTATAGCGCGCTTGGCACTACAAACACCGGTCTTCCCCTCGCAGAGCTCTTCCGCCAAGCTACACAATCAGCGGGAGGTGCCTTTGGACTGACCTTTATCCTCTTCATAGCACTGGGCCCGTGTGTCATCTCATCCCAGCTCTCAACCTCGCGAGTACTGTGGGCCTTTGCACGGGACGGTGCCATGCCGTGGTCCAAGACATGGGCGCGCGTGAGCTCGCGGTTTGGTATACCTTTCAATGCTCAGCTGCTTGTGACGGCTGCAAATGCGGCGTTGGGCTGCATATATCTCGGCAGCTCCACGGCATTCAATGCCATGCTTGGCTCTGCCGTTACCATCAACAACATCGCATACTATATTCCTATCCTCACCAATATGCTGACTGGCCGACGCAATATGTACAAGGGTGCTTTCCATATGGGAAAATGGGGATGGCTGGTCAATGGTGTGACCATCTGCTGGCTCACTTTCGCTATCGTTTTCTTCAGCTTTCCTTACTCTAAGCCTGTCACGGTTCAAAGTATGAACTATACTTGCGTTGTCGTTGGATCTTTGCCAATTTTGATCATTGGATGGTGGTTCTGGGTTGGAAAGTCCTACAAGGAAAAGATCGCTGTTGCGAAGCAGGAATGAAGACGCCGCAGAAAGAGTGGTGTACGCTGGAGCAGCGCCATGGAAGATGTGGGGCTCAATCTCTATCGTACATTGAATGAATTTGTATTTGCTGTGGAAAAAATAGCCCTCAACATTAGTATTCACTACGTGGGTTGCCTCTGCGATGAGTTGCGTTGACATTGCCTTGGCTACGGCATGCGCTGCTGCACTTATTCGAGGAAGCGGCTGTCGAAAAAATGGAAAAGAACATATATGGTCTAGGGACTGATACGAAGTACGGTTTGCTTCTCGTCTGCAAGTTGGTCGCAGACCCAAAGAGGCCACAAACTGAAACACCGTAGTCGCCGGGTGCGCTCAAACTCGACCCAATCTTGGGATCGCGCTAGGCATACACATGTGCCGCGGTAGAAGGCAAGCTTTGTGGAGAAGTGGGCCGTCGAGATTAGGGACCAGTGCTGGGGTAGGCGGATTGACTCTACCGGTAGGGAGTGACTTTGTCTCCGGGATTGACCGAACATTACCGGTGCCGAACATCAACGAACCTTTTTGAGCATATGATTGATGATGCACGTGATGGCGGTTTCGTGCTCGTAGTCTCTATATGGTCTCGTATCTGATGCTCGATTACGAAAGTTGGACGACTACAGAAACAAGACGCAAGAAAACACGCCAAAACTAGCAACCTTCACCATGCGTCTCATCATTCGGGAAGATGCCGATACAGCCGCCGAATATATCGCTGAATACATCATCGAGCGCATCAACACCTTTGCACCTACAACGGAGAGACCATTCATTCTTGGCCTACCAACGGGAAGCAGTCCGGTCCCCATCTACAGGTCGCTGGTCACCGCGTACCAGATGGGGCGCATCTCATTTCGTCATGTTATAACGTTCAACATGGACGAATACGTCGGCCTCCCACGGGACCACCCAGAATCTTATTACACTTTTATGCATACGAATCTCTTCAACCACGTCGACATCGATCCGGACAATATCAACATCCTCAATGGTAACGCACCGGATCTACAGGAAGAATGCACTATGTACGAGGCCAAGATCCAGAAGTATGGTGGCATTCACTTGTTTCTGGGTGGCGTGGGAAGTGACGGGCATATTGCCTTCAACGAGCCCGGGTCGAGCCTCTCCAGTCGCACTAGGCTAAAATCTCTGGCATATGAAACGATGCTGGCGAATGCTCGATTCTTCAACGGAGACATGGGCCTGGTGCCTCGCATGGCTCTGACCGTAGGCGTACAGACAATCATGAACGCAAAAGAGGTCGTCATCATTGCTACAGGGGCGTCCAAGGCACTTGCCATTCAGTCCGCGATCGAGGGAGGTGTGAATCACATGTGCACCTTGTCCTGTCTACAGCTTCACCCGTGCAGCTTGGTTGTCGTCGACCAGGACGCTACGATGGAATTGAAAGTCAAAACCGTGGCTGTAAGTTTATCACGGCTCAGTAACCATCCCTCAGACTCGCGCAGGCTGCAGGGAAAGTTCAGTCGCTGACTCGGCACATAGTATTTCAGGGGCGTGGAACGCACAATTCAGAAGAGCGCGAAGACACGACGTCCATTAGTACAGACAAACGGCATCCACGCCGAGCCGGTCGAAGCAGAAACAGATGAGCTGAGCCCCGACAGCATGTCATCTCGTATTCAGATTCCTCAATCCTTTCCTGTTCGGTCCGCGACCATATCTTATGGTTCGACTTGACCGCATTTGCGATGATTGCGTAGCTGGGAGAAGGTTGTCCGCATGAATCTAGTATATTTTAAGCCTGAGTTTCGTTCCAATGCATCGTCTGGGGCTGCTCTGTATATGGCCACGACGCGAAGTTTATCTGTTCAAGACTCGCCTGGTCGAATATGTTCCAGGAGCTATCGCCATCCAGAGTAGTTAGATCTGGTTCGTGTATGGTGTTTGGGTTCGGGGTGTTGACTCTTTGGAGGTTACCATGGAGACGGGCAATAAGTTTAGCGTGGAGCAATGGCTTTGGATCGTTCATCTGTTGCAGCTTTCCTAAATGCACTTTGATGGTGTCAAGATCTGTAGATTTTAGTTCAATCCCCATTCCATACATAGTGATTTTCATACCATCCGCTTCGCCTGCATTGCCCTCGATGCCCTGAAGAAGAATGAGAGCAGCCCACGTAATCATGACCAAATCCCAATTAGACCATATTGTTTCATCATGCAGATGAAGTCGTATGGTTGCACGCGCCGACAGTAGTAATTCGTGCTGTTCTTTGGGCGTGATATTATTCGACCAAAGGTCGCAGCCCCTGGCAGTGTGATATATCGACAAGACGACCATGCGATGCAACACGTACTGACGAAAGACAAGATCGCGGTTGCGTTGTGAGCCCTCGACTGCACGGCTAAACTCCTCGAGCCACTCATCTAGCTGTCTCGCCCAGTCTCTGATCACAGCCGCATCGACAGATGTGAATGAAGATGCTGGACTCGACACTAAAGGTTGTTCGTGCTGGAAACAAGACCAAATTGTAGGTAACCCTCGTCCTGTGAAGTGAGTGAGACCCGTGTGCATCATGCGAGACAATCTGTACAGTTGGTCGCGATGTGAAATCTGCAGGCCTGGCAAAGGTGACTCGATGGGAATGACTGGACAGGACAGATGTAAGGAAGCGTGTTCGAGATCCACAATTTGGACGCCGCTGAACAACTTTCGCCATTCTCTCGAAGTTTCATCGACATGAGGTGGACAATGTTCCAGTATCAAACGATAAGCGACGGAAATCCAGAGACCAGTTTCACGAATGCTGGCTTCATTGAGAAGCCCCGCCAGAACTATGCCGAGCACAGTCTGGAAGGCCCATTCTTCAACTGCGCATTCGCTATTCGGGGGCCTTCCGAAAGCATTTTCGGGGAGCAGGAGTCGGGCAATAGCGTTAGTGAGCACTTGGAAATAATATGGAGAAAGCTCCGCGGTCTCGGGGGGGCCACGCGTGCTCGAACAGTACAGAATAGCGGCCAGTAACAAGGGCTGAGGAGAAGAAAATGTTTGCTTCCTCGGCATGAAATGCAGCCCGGGCATTCGGTCGTGGAAAGACGCCCATAAGTTGCTCACTGTGTTCCGGTGCCACACTGTGGATGGAACTGACATGGTGACGCAACTCTCTTGCAGAGTGTTGAGCGCGTCCCACAGCGCATCAAAGCCATTAAACTCCGCATCCGAAAGACCCTCACTGGTGCGCGGGGCCTCTTCTGGGGCCAAATCTTGGGTATTGATCCCGAGTAACCCTTCAATGACCTGTAGTCGTTGGAGGACATCGTTCTTGAAGTTTGCGTCTGTCTTGTCGCTCGGCAATAGGCCTGCAATGCTAGCTGCATTGGCTCTTGGTACGAATATGCACGGTAAGCCAGCACGATGGCATCTTCGACACGCTTGCCCGTTTCCGACTATGCATCTCATCTTTTGCTTGCGGCAGTTGACTACATCGCAAGGTCTATGAGCAATTGTTCACATCTAGACAGTAGATTCTTGTCCCAACGCGACCTACTCACCGCATGCTTTTCGAGCTTTTGGCTCCAGTTCCGAAACAGCTCTTGGAGACGAGGCTCCTCTTCCCCGCCGTTCGCTTGGCGCATTGTCCCGCCCTGACATGTTTCCGAGGAATCCCTGGGGTAGATCACAAACTCCGGACAATTTGACCGGAGTTTCGCGGTTTATCTAGATGCAGAGTCGGCCCTTGTGGCTATCCGAAACAGGAAGGTCGTCGTTAGCCCGCGCCTCCTCATTAGCGCCGGCAGGAGCATTACGGCGATAACCGGCAAAATCACCGGACTCTGAGCAACGAACTTTCTGTCGTAGCTGACGGGAAGGAGAACTAGTACGATGTCTCTTTAAGATACAGTTGGACGGCTGGATAAGCCATCCCGTCTACCATGTCGTCACATGATAACCATCAGTCACTGGTGCATGACATCTTGCAACAATTTGACATTGATTCTGATGATGTTTCCAAGGTTACCCAAAGGTTCCTTCGGCAACTTCGTAAGTTGAAACCGTGAAAATCTGATAACCTACTGGAACCTCTGCTAACTGGTCTCAGAAGAGGGACTAGATCATCCCAGGCCATGGCAACTTCCATCGTATGTGTACCACGTTCCGGATGGCTCGGAGAAGGGAACATTCCTTGCTGTTGATCTGGGTGGGACCAACTGTCGGATTTGTCTCGTTGATCTGCTCGGAAATTCGACATACAACGTGACGCAAACGAAGCAGACCGTGCCCGAGCATCTACGAATCAACCCTAGATATCAACCACTGTTCTCTTTTATAGCTAAGGCTCTCCGCGAATTCCTGGATCGACACAAATTGCGACCAGAAAATGACTGTTCAGCTGGGGCTCGAAGAATACCGCTTGGCTTTACGTTCAGTTTCACCTGTGAACAGACGTCTATATCAAAAGGGACGCTGATACAATGGGACAAAGGATGGGACATCCCGGAAGCGTTGGGCAAAGATCCATGTGCAATGCTTCAAGAGTCAATCGATGAGATGGAACTTCCCGTTCAAGTCTCGGCCTTGGCAAACGATAGCGTGGGCACGCTACTTTCCAGAGCATATACGTCTCAAGAGCAGGGAAGTACTCTTGCAGGCGTAATCATTGGCACCGGTACGAATGCCGCATATATCGAAAAAGTGTGCAACGTGCAGAGATTACCGAGACCTGAGCGCAAGCGGACGCACGATTCAATTGTACTCAACACCGAGTGGGGTTGTTTTGACGATGATCTCGAGGTGCTGCCGATAACATCCTTTGACCGTGCCTTGGACGCCAGCTCTATCAACCCGCGGCAGCAGCAGCTCGAGAAGAGAGTCTCGGGGATGTATCTTGGGGAGCTCATGCGGCTAGTCATCCTACACTGCCACGAACAAGGTGTTTTCAACATGATCCTCGGCGAAGAATCACCATGCAATCGTCCATATGGGCTTGACAGCTCCTTCCTTTCATTACTCGCAAAGGATAAGGCTGCCGAGTCTCTCGGCGTCGCGAGTGCTATCGAGCGAGTGTTGTCAGCTCAAGGTTCGACATTAAGGGATGCAAGAGTCCTTGCCCAGCTAGCCGATGGCATAGTTAGACGCTCAGCACGCCTAGCTGGGTCGGCGCTGGGAGCAATCATCATTCAGTCTGGCCGCTTGTCCGACACACAGTCTGAAAAGGGCACCGTTCAAGTTACAAGTTTGCAAACTCATCGACACCGTAGCCAACGACCGAAGCACTTTGGAAGAGGATGTGGGCTTCTCTCAAGAATTGTTGGTTGGTTAAAAAGATCTATACCTAGTTCGACTGGACCGCGGAATGTTGAGGACAAACCTTTGAGCCGAGGCTCAGAGCAAGACATTATCGATATTGGTGTGGATGGCTCTCTTATCCAGCTTTACCCAGGGTTTGAAGCGCACATGCGTAGTGCACTAAGAGACATCCAGGAGATAGGACCAGATGGCGAGCGCAAGGTGAGGATGGGACTGGCGAAGGATGGATCAGGTGTAGGCGCAGCACTGATGGCGAACGCGGCAAAATTAAGTTGATCATGTTCGGAGCGCAAAACGTAGTGAACTGCTCAGACGACACAATCGGACTGTGCCAACTAAGAAGTAATCCAAGACATGATGTACGTCTGTGACTGTTTCTCACTTAGGTTAAGATGAACTTTGCAGATCTGTACACCTCTCTGCATATGGTTGTCGGTTTATGAATGCATGGCCAAATCTGCAATAGGTGAGCTAAACCATCGCCTTCCTACCGTTGCATACGAGGATGGAAATATTCTTCACTGACAATTTCCAACAGTGAATGGTGTACGACGACAACATTCTTCATCGTGAAGGGCAGAATACGGGTATGAAAAGCCAGTTCGTGGCTTGAGCACTAGATGTCATCCGCGTAAGTGACCGCTCATCACACTTGCCGTAGATGCACACCACAAAGAAACAGTAGAAGCCGAGGTGCTAGGATACACTATTGGAGCATCCAAGCCCGTTTATTGATTGACTCTTTAGGGGGCTGATAGGGATTCACTTCTCTTACAAAGATCTTGCTAAGTACATCCGAGTTCAGAGGAATGCTATGGTCAGTCTCTTTCTAAGAGAACTGGAGCAATATGAGACATTTTATATTGACAATGAATCAGGTTGAGGCAATCGATGAGGCTTTCCAGAAGATCGCCTCAGTGACAACACTGCGAGGCACAGATCGCAATATCCTGGATGTATGTGACAGAGCAACGTGGCCTTGGGTGGTGACACCGACGAGTACGTGGACTGGGTTCTGAAAGCAATGGATGACTTGACCTGGATTCCCTGGGGCGGTGGCCCGAAGCAACGGCGCGCTCCCCTCGGAGTTTTCATCCAATTCAACGTCGACGGATCTCGCATTACGACCCAAGGAGACTGGTGAAGTCTACCACAAAGAGAGGTTTGCGAAAGCCCTCTTCACAGCGACCAGGAGTTCTTCGCTCGCATTGGGACCTGGCTGGGTGGGAGCGTAAGTCGGCTCCTGGCTCTAAAGATAGCGGCGGTCCGCGAATCGCCGAGAAAGGAAGGGCGTGAAGTACGCCGACCAGAAGAAGACGGCAGAGGAGATTGCTAACGATAAGAAGTGGAAGCACTGTATCAGGACGCAGGGGTTCGAGAACGGGCCGCCAGAGATCGGGGGACGTGCGTTTATCTGATCTGTATAGGCGGTGGATTGATGTAGTGGGTGGTTTGATGTGCTGCAGTGGTTTGATGCACTAGGTAGTCATATCCTACCGCCTGTCTCTGGGGACCCTCTTGCGATGATCAGCAGCAGATAAACGGTGACCATGTCAGCAGCATTTCCGTTGAGCGCGGAGCTTCACCCGCAAAGCGCGTGTGGCAGTTGATTCCACGTTCCATTTAGATGTGCGCATGCCTTTATTGACGGCAGTGCCGCACGTCGGAAGAGCATTCCTGGCCAATCGAGTTGGGTTCTTGAAGCAGGAATGCTGTTCCGCGGTTCCGCTCCCGGTGACCAACGTGCACACCCTAACGGGCGTTGTCTTGGCTCCGATGACTCCACGGACTTGTGCAGATGCTGCTTTGGGGCTTGCGACAGTGACGCAGGGCAAGGTCTGAAAGTTGCAATGGGCTCGGTCTGCGTCTCCCGCAGAGGCGTCAGTGATGGCGAAGCAGCAATCCCTCCTGCAAGGAGCAACACAGACGATAGGCGAAGAGGCAGCCGTTCAGGCCCGTCCAGACTTGCAGGCAAGACGGGCAAGTAGGAGAAGGCTTATTGAGCGGGGTGCAGTTGGCGGAACGCCTCTGGATGATGGTGCATGGCGGGTTGGGCGCATGCCGCAAGTGCTGAGGCGGGGACGCAGAAGAGAATGATAAGGCTTGCGACAGCGAGCAGGAGAGACGAGAGGGGCCCTCTCGGAAGCCGCGATTGGTCGAGGGCTGGTGTACCAGAGGGACATATGGGGCGGACAGGAGGCTACAGGCAAGGCTCGCGCGGCGGGACTTTGACGTCGGCCATGGCCAGGCATTGGTCGCAACAGGAGAGCGAGAAGGCGCCAGCGGGGAGAGACGTGCTCTGGTCTTGTACTCTCCGGGTGGGCCGTTTGTGACGTCGCGCGCTGCAAGGCTGAGGGCCTGCTCGCGGCCTGACCAGAGGCCAGGCGTTGAGCAGGCCACGCTTGGGGGTTCCCGCTAGCGCTGGACGCGTGCGTGGGGTGGCGCCCCGCGCTGATTGGCGGGAGCCGACCCGGCCCTGAGAGCCGCGGGTGCACACACCGAGAGCCCCATGTCCCTGCCCGTGCGACGCTCCGATGCGACGACTATGGCTGGCAGCATCTGCGCTGGCCAGCGGCCGTCATAGCCTCCGCACTGAGAAGTGCGGCATCGCCACCCGCCAAAGGGCACCGCTGGCCATATAGGGACGGCGAGCCACGCCGCCCCGGGGTCCGCAGCCTCCATCGCCTGCCCGCATCCCACCATATCCCGCCTGCGTGCCTGCCAGCATCCCACCATATCCCGCCTGCGTGCCTACCAGTACTCCTCCTCTGACCGCCCAAGCCACTCGCCGCGCTGTAAACAGCCTCGACGGCGCTAGACACGCCCGTTGCATGCCGCCATGATCTCCACGTGCTCCGGCTCAAACACATGGACGCAGCATGCCCTCCGGATGAGAACGCCCGACGACGCAGGCCTTGCTTTCTCCAACATCGCCCCGCCCCCTGACCAGTTTCTCTTCGTCTCCGACCTGGGCCAGCACGACGAAAAGCCCACCATCCCCTCGGCACTCGCTCTCACCCTGTCTGGCGAGTCCCAGCCGCAAGACTTCTCCAGCGGCGCCTCCTCGGACAGACCCTTTGCTGCCGCCGCTCTGTACCCGCTGCAAACATCCTTCGCTGCTGCCAACGCCAACGCCATGCACATGGGCGACGCGCTCCATGGCTCCTGCATGTCACCACCGCAGACGCGCTTCAATAGCGACGCCGGCGGATGCGGGTCCTACGACTCAACCAACAATTTCTCCGCAGACGACCACGCCTACTCAGCCACCTCTACCACGCCTACACAGTGGTCCTACGCCATGGATCGGGAACCACCCACGAGCAAGCGGCGGCCTGAGAGCGTCCACGGCCAGATGGACTCTGCCCCTGCACGCCGGCGACGCTCGTCAGACAAGGCCGAACCCGGCTCTGCACGCGCAGTCTATCTGGAGAAGAACCGCCACGCAGCCAGCAAGTGCCGCACCAAGCAAAAGCGCCAGCAAGAGGACCTGGTCGAGACAGCCCGCGACGCCGAGCGCAAGAACAAGGTGCTCAAGTCCGAGGTCGAGTTGCTCAAGAGCGACCTGCGCGGTCTGATGGAGCTCGTGGGCCAGCACCACGAGTGTCCCGATGGACGGCTGCGGACATACCTCCAGCTGGAAGCCGACCGCCTGTCACAACGGGGGAACCGGAGTACAGTCGGGGAGCTTCGCTCGCCCAAGTCAAGTGTTAGCGGCGACAGTTCCTCGCCAGGCAACACATGAAGGAGCGGTTTGTCTGCGTGCTCTGATTTCAATGGCGTTCAAGCGGGTGGTATTCTGGGTGACGCGGGCGGTTGCCCGTCTCTTTAGGGCATAGGATCGATACCCTACGCACGATTGTTGCTGTCGCTCACTGCGGTTCAGTGTAGCGACTACATTTAGTAACGACTCATGAATGTAACGAAAGATCGTAATCTACAAAATGTACTTTTGCTCTCACGAAACTTCAATTCGTGTCTCTGCTCTCAGTTCACCAGAAACGCCAGGTTCTGGTTGTACCTTTCCGCGCATATCAAGCACAGAGCGGTGCGCGCAGCATGGTCGTAGACTGCGGCATCGACACACGCTACCGGGATGCTGTGAGTGCCGTCGACACCTTGACATCCTGCTCGCAGCGCGCCCACAGCGGGCTCTTCGCGTGCGTTCTGCACGCAGGGACAACATGCAGAATGGGTACTCGAGACATCAGGGTGTCGAGAAACATAATTTACGAGAAGAGCTAGCTGTGATGCATGCCATATCGTCCACCGGACTGCGGCGCGTGAAAGGGCTAGGCACCACAGTCCGATGTGAAGCCGCGAGCTGTCGCGCACGGCACCTAAACTTCGTTTCGAGATTGACGACCAATGGTGCTGCGACGCCCTCGACTCTGCGCGTCTCCGCACCGTCTCGTAGTGCTGGGCACCAATCAATGGGAAATAAGCATCTGCATACAGTTTGAATGTGGGTGGCCTAAATTCTTGCTCCTGTGTACATCTTATTTGTAGGGCTTTACGTCTCCGGCCTCAGGGCGCATCGAGGGTGTGGTGGTATTCGATGAGGAATGCCGCACGCAGAACGCTCTAGTCTAAATGCACAGGTGGGAAAGGCTGTGATCCATTGTGCGAAAATGTCAACAAAATACACGAAACAATGATGCAAGAACAATAATCGTCGTTCCGGCGAGCAAGCGTCTAGTAGTCGTGCCACGTCTATCGTGCGCGACAGAGAACGGAAAAAATAAAAACTCAACCCCCGTAATGCAGCCTGAACCCTACGACCAGGGTCCACCTGCGACCTCCCGCCCATTCTTGGGTTGCAATTGCATCTCCACATCGCTCACATGCCTCGAATGCGGACCCTTCTCGCCCGCGATCCGCTTGTGGTACAATTCCGTAATCTCGCTCGGGTGGAAGTAATTGAAGATGAGCATGACGAAAAGCATGAGCACCGCATCAAAGATGTACAGGAACAGTTCGTGTCGGAGCAGGTATCCTGCGTTGCCCATGATGTACTCGATCACACGGAAGACGCTTCGCACGAGAATGAGCATGCTGGACACGTAGAGGGCCACGAGGTGCTTTTGCCAAGGCAGCGCGTTCAGATCCACGGTCTGGGAGGCAGGGCCGTTGCGCTGCAGGCGGACGTGGAATAGTCCTGCGACCACGACAAAAAAGCCAAAGAATGCGAGTTGGAGGAAGAGACCGATGATGATCAGTTTCTCGCCCATTTTCATGGCGCTTTCGGTTCCAGACGCTTGGATACCGCCGCCGGCGCTCTGCATGAGGAAAGATAGCACGTCGCCCGCAACGAAGATCTTGGTAAGCCATTTCTGTCGAATGAGGGAGTGCTTTTCGCCATCGGTGAGGAGTATGATGCGGCCCAGGATGATATAAATCGAAGCGGCGAAAAGGGCAGGTGCAACGAGAAGGAGCAGCGACTGCATAATGAAGGGTCCGAGTTTCCATTGATCGAAATGCGACATAGCGCGACCGATATAGCCTACAAATTCAACTGCAGACATCATCGTTAGTATCTGTCATTTGTTGGTTGGCCAGAAGCAGGGAGCAGGAGTCGTACATGCGCCGCCGACTGCAAGTGGTATGAAGTACCATGTCCGTTTCCGGCCGATTTGGAAAATGTGGTAAAAGGTTGTAAGCGCAAAGGCTACAACGAAGATGATAGCCGCGGGTAGTGACGGTACGTAGCGATAGAGGACGAAGCTTGTGGTGTCGTTGATATCGGGGTGACCTTTGGCCATATTGTCGCTTGGTAGCTGGACTTCCCAGGTATGTCTGCACGTAGTTGAGCTGTCCCAGGCTGTCGGAAACTAGAAGTAGAGCGTAACAAGGAGCGGGAAAACGCTTGCGCTGGCGTTGCTAGTTATGTAGAAATTTAGGCAATGCAGGAAGGCTCCTTTTAAAGATGCGGAGCGACGATGGCTACGAAGCCCCTACATAACGTATACGCGCGTTTAGGAACGTATAGGCGTATAGACGCGTATTCTTCGCTCACAAGTCTTGGCAATCGTACTTTATCCGTTTTGATTGGCTCATCCTTTCGCACTCAGCCTTCTCCAATTGGCTCCGCGTTGCAGAAGTTTTCATTGGCCGCGAACCAGCAGGGCGGAGCTTGCGATGCGGGCTCCGATGGCGCGACAATGTGGCTCTGTCTGAAAACTCTCGCGCAGCGGAAAGCCATGGCGCAATGCGCCCAGGGCTGTGTTGCATCACATCGCCGCGTCGCCGGTATCAGCATAGAGGAACCAGTGCTGTCGCAATAAGCACGGGCTGCACCACACGTCAAGCCAGGCAGTCTCGCTACCAAATGCTATGCATATGATACGTGAGCACTGGACTCTTACTTGTCTGGCGCAGTCGTCGTAATTGGTGGTAGCTTACGATTCCGGCTAGGAGTTTCTGAAGCACTCATAGAGAGATCTGCGCGATTCGAACGCAAATTTGGTGGTTTCCAAGCCGTCACCGTTCTCCAGCGCTGGCTTTGACAATCTCAAGAGGCCAGTCTAGGTAGGCCAGAAGCTCTGGCGTTGCGACCAAAAGCTTTTGGGCTGCGAGGACGATTCGAAGAGGCCATTCGGCAATCCACCAAGCCAGTCGGCATTCTGTGAGAAGGACTGCAAAGTGGGCGAGTACCAGTGCTGTGATAGGGTCATGCGTCGATATAAGGTGCAGGAACTCTTCGGACAAATGTGACGACCAACTAAATGCGATTGCCTACATGATACGGGATATGTTAGTGAACAAAGCCATAGCACCGTTTGGAGTGTTCGTACCAGACGGTCATTCTCAGGAGGGCACTGCCGGGTTTTGAGAAAGTGAGTATGTAGGTCATCAATGGCCAGCGTATAAAAATCGTGGGCCGAGGTTCTCTTGGTCTCTGCAAGCTTCTTCAGCCTGAGAACCTCGGGCACTTTGCCCTCAAACGTGATTCCAGGGCCCTGTTCGACGATCTTGCTCATCATCTTGCTGTTCATGATCTGGGTTACATGCGGCTGTATGACAAGCGCAACTCCCTGCACCAATCTAAAACAATGATGCAACGCGCCTATAGGATCCTCAGGTGCTTCCAGTTGCGCCGAAGCAAGGTTATAGGTTACTATGACCATAGACAACAGGAACATTGCCATAGCCGTCTCCTCTGATGGGTGCTCCAGATTCTTTCTGTAGGTCTCAAGGGCACTACTGATATGGGTGTCTGCCTGGAGCAGCAGACTCTGTCGGTCGGCTTGGGGATCGCAGGATGTCTTGTGAATTGCTGCCAAAGCAAGTATGCCTCGAAGGAGGAATGGAAAATCAAAAGCAACTTCGACGCAGTCAATTTGCCAGGCAGGCCAACGCGCAGGGTCCGCGTTCATGTCTTGATACGACTTCGTAGACCAGTGATGCAAAAGCCTCAAATCGGCGATACTCATCGGAGATCCGAAGGACGAAACAGGGACATCCGGACCTACAGAAAGCGTGCGTTCTGCTGTCGCAACCGCATGGCTTTCTGGAGGCGTCGGGTACTTGGTTGAGAATCGCTCGCGACTGGGCCAGGTGCAGTGAATATCCAATCGAACACAATTGCCACATCTGGGATGTTCCTCGTTGCACTGACTATGATTAGCTGTCGCATGCACATGTGCTTGGTTACTATATGAATCATGCGCAAGAGCGAGACGCGTGGCCAACGGCAATATGGCAAAGGGCCATTTTTCGATGATCACAGCTTGCGGGCTATCACCACAGGGTGTGCGATCCTCGACAAGTTTCCAGTGTGCAATAAAAATACCACTAATACAAAACTGGCGACGTGTGCAGGTAGCTTTTCAAGGTGCACAGGTTGATGGGCTTACCTTGGTGTGTCTCTGCTTGCACTGGAAACAGCCGTTACGGCTTTTTCTATGCGTCTTCCTCTTCGCCGCTCTTTGCTGCTCCGGCGTTTCCGCCTCATCAATCGGCGTCGACATCGTCCTGACTGATGGCTGCTGGCGTAGACGTCGTTGCGAAAGAATATCGCGGGTAATCCGCGGGAGCTAGGAGAAGCTCAGTGTGTGACATAATCAGCGTTAGCCAATGAAAGCGAAGCGCTAGATTGAAGTGGCCGAAGCCCCGAATTGCATTGAACTCATCATGGCATGCGTCGCAATTGACATTTGCGATACATGCTTCAACAGCTCACGTGCACGGTCATCTACCGGGACGCGGTAAGTACCTACGCGGTTGAAATTCCTCGTCTTGTGCAGCTTGCTCTCATCCAGTTCACCACTCAGAGCAAGATGAATACGATGGAAACGCTGGGAACGACGAAAACGAGCACATACGATATTGCGGCAGTCTACCTGGTCGCGCGTGCGCTTTCCCCAGATGCGGGGAAGAACCCTTACACAAATAAGGAAGTTTTCCAGGCGCTACCCTGCGCCATCCGACTGTTTTGAGCTGGCTGTTGTGTCTTCGGCGCAACAATCGCCGAGAATTAGACGGTACCTGGGGTTTCTTCACCGGCTTTTCCGCTCACAGCTGGGCACTAGCACCGGCAACTCCATGCTCGTGCTGGGTTTGACTTCACGACGAATCATGATTACGCCTCTCGTAGTTTAGTTGAGCCGGCCATCCAGCCCCGCATACAAGCTGTATAAGAAGGGGCGATGAGTCGCATGAGGGCCCGACATTCGTGGCTCGCCTGGGTCTTCCAGCAGAACAAGCATGGCCCCAACAAGCTTGATATTTCTTATCCTTGCCTCGTCGGTGTGTCGTGCAGTATCTAGGCAGTTCAGCAATGACTTCAATGATCCGCCGATACGATACCGCCCAAAGTTTAGATATTGGTGAGGCGTACTCCAACCATGTACAAGATGAACAGCTAATGGTCCAGGCTGCCCGATGCCAGCGTCCCGTCCAATGCTGTAGCTAACGACATTCGCGCGGCGAAAGCGGCTGGAGCTGGTGGCCTTGAATTACTACCTTTCTACCTTTACGGTCAAGGAGAAGAAAGCTATAGACGGAATGGTGCGGAGGTCGTGCCTGATCTCCCCGATTGGTCCAAGTATGGTTTTGGTACAGATGCTTTTGTGGACTTATTCAAGGACTCGCTGCAAGCTGCTCAGGATGCCGGCATCTTGCTCGATTACGCACTCAGTCCTAACCAGGGACAAGGAATTCCGTCCGAACCTGCCACGCCTGGATTGGCTGTTGAGCTGCTCATGGGTCAAGACACTATTGCTCCCCACGGGAGTTTCAATGCTTCTATCCCTCAAGCCCAGCAGCCATCCTCATATATATTGAGCGGTCTATCGTTCATGCATCCATTAGAGCAATTTGGAACTCCAAACCTAATTGCTGTCATTGCATATTCTACTGAGAATAGCGTCAGCAACGGAACAGTGCATCTTGTGCAAAATTCCTTCATTGATCTTAGCTCGCTTATCACAGAAAACAACACCTTGCGTTGGACTCCGCCGGATCGCAGTAAATTCTGGAGGGTTTTCTCTTTCTGGGAGGCCTACACGAATCAAAGATCATGTGATGGCGGTCCTAACGCGACTACCTCTTTGGGCAATGGATCTTGGACTGTCGACCATTTCAGTGGGAATGGTGCTTCCCGGGTGACCGACTTTTGGGACCAGCATCTCCTCTCTGATCCCAAGGTAGCCGAACTGCTCCGTAACGTTGGAAATTACGGTAAACCGATTGGGTGATACTTTATTTCGCATGCTAACTTTGACCAGCTTGGGAAGATAGTATGGAAATGCTCGCTGCTCTGTATTGGACTCCAGGGCTCGTAGATCGTTTCAAGAACACCAGTGGCTTCGACTTGCTTCCATATTTACCCTTACTGTTCAGCATTTCCAATTCGTGGAACGGACTATTGCCGGCCTACAATGAGACTTTCGTATTCGGCAACTCCACGGACAGCGGTGAAAGCCGTTATCAACTTGAGTATCGGAAAGCACTGAATGATGGATACCAAGAGTACCTCGAGCACTTCCAGAAATGGTCACATTCTATTGGCAATCAATTTTCCACCCAACCAGCGTACAATTTGCCATTGCAAGCTGTAAGTCCTCACACTGCCAAGATTATACAATGACTGACTGTAAGCAGCTCAGTGATATTCCTCTTGTGGACGCTCCAGAAGGCGAATCCCTTGGATTTCAGGAACTTACAGATGTGTATCGCCAATTCGCTGGCCCTGCTCATCTTGCCAACAGACAAGTTATATCAACTGAACTCGGTGCAGTAAACACACCGCCGTACTGGCTCACTGTTCCCGACCTTCTTCAAAAGATCAAGCGTTCCTTAGCCGGAGGCTTCACGATGAACGTTATCCATGGTTTCCCGACTCTTGCTCCATATGCCAATACAACCTGGCCAGGATACACTCCGTTCATATATCAATTTACGGACATGTGGAATCCAATGCAACCAGCTTGGCAACATTTAAAAGATTCTCTTGACTTCGTAGGCCGAAACCAGTGGGTATTACAGCAAGGGCAGCCCAAAGTGGATCTTGCGTTGTATGCATTCGCTACACCCTGGACGATCATCAGCAGATACAACTCGGACAATCTTCGAGAATTGGGTTCGCACTCTATATTATTTTGTTTCCAGCCAATTCACTCACGATATTAGGTTACACGTACGACTATCTCGGACCGGACAACATTGTCTCCACGGATGCCTTCGTTAGGGCCGACAAGCTTGGTGTACCTGAGTACAAAGCCATGATTTTCAACAACCAAACAGTTGCCACTACGGAAGCAGTAGAAGCTCTGACCAAGTTCGCGGCACAAGGTCTCAAAATTATATTTATAGGCGCGCCTCCGAATCAGTCATACCCCGTCGATGCAGCTAGCCAAAAGACCTTCAACTCTGCGATGGCGCGTCTGCTGTCGGGACCTAATATCCACCACACAGACAATATCGACCAGCTACCGGCCTTGCTCAGGGAGGCTGACATCAATCCGCGAGTGGAACTAAACTGCACGCCCGGCGCCGTCTCCACCGTATACCGCTCGTCCGACGGTGTCGATTATATATACTTCTTTAACGACCAAGACGAGTCGCCACGCTGTGGAGCCACCGTGGAAGCGGCAGGTGTAGTACCTTTTGTCTACAACGGATATACAGGTACCCAGTCACCGCTATTGCAATACACAACATCCGACACTCATATTTCGTTGGCGCCGACACTGAAAGCAAACGAGACTCTTATAATCGCGCTGCATCGCAACGTTCCGCAGCCAGCGTGTACAATGGTCCAATCGAGCCCCTACATCCGTTCCGTGAACGCTTTAGAAGGAAATTTGCACGCCATCGTCACGCACAGTCCCTACGTCCTGGCTACCTCAACTGGCAAGACAAAGCAGTTCGACACATCGCTTCCGCAGACCATCAACCTTACCACTTGGAACCTTACCGTGGAAGACTGGCACTCTGCACCCGACCGTTTCGCCATCGAGAACGAAATCACGAATCACACCTTTTCCAACATATCACTTGTCCCATGGAGCCAGATAAGTGCAGCTTTGCAGCCTGTCTCCGGCATAGGCTGTTACACCACGACGTTTGCAGCTCCCTCTGAAGCCGACTTCTCCGCACTAGTCGGCTATCTCAGCCTACCGCTTATCCAACACACTGCGCGCGTGTTCCTGGACGGTGAGTGGCTTGGCCCCATCGATACCGCCAATCCCATTGTGCCGCTGCACGGCCTTGAGAAGGACAGGCAGTACGAGTTGAGGGTCGATGTGTCAACGACGCTGTTCAATCGGGTGAAAGCGGAGGCGGATCAGGTGTGGATGGTGGGACAGGTGGCGAGCCATCAGAATGAAAAGTATGGCAGTGCACCATACGAAGAGTATGGGCTGGTGGGTGGTGTGTCGATAGAATGGGGGTATAGCGTGGAAGTAGAATGCTGAAATACGCGGGCGATGCCAACGAGGATCCATTCAAAACCGTATTGTGGATACGAGTGATTGTTCGAATGACCTATACATGGTGGTGGTAACTCGCCGCTCACACGAATTTGCGTGCACCTGATACACAACGCGCAGGCCAAAAACATTCCGCAACCCACATGTTCCACTACGCCCATAAGCTTATCGGGCCCTAGAGATCCTGTTCCCTTTGACCATTGAGCGTACAGCCCATGTAGGCTCAACGTACACATACGTCAGAGCATGGTCGAGAGAGCGGCTATAGAATACACCACATCTCTCCGGTTGTTGTTGAGTTTTTTTTTTTGGCGCAATCGAAGTCAAGATCAGCAGCCCTCACGTAGGCAATCAGGAAACAGTCTAGGCATGGGAAGCTCTTGCTCGGGTGTTTAGACTGAGAAAGGAAGCAATCCGTCTCCCAGAGTGGAGCAGAAATGCCATTACGGCTGGCAATCATGGATGTCGAGAAATTGGTGGGGACTATTCGGAATGCTCGGAGTGCCACAGGGTCTGGGACACGCATCGTCACCGGCGCGCAATGAGGGCGCAGCCACGTGCTTTCCGCGTTTCTGGTAGGTACGAGTCGCGCCTGTCTTGGCCGGAAGTCAGGCCACGAATACTTTATTCCGACCTGATGTATTTCTGTGTCTTTACTCCTCTTCCTCTTCGTCTAATTGCACTCGCGCTCAAGGCCGGATCTGACACTCTCTCTCTCAGCTATAGATTCCCCGGGTAGCCAGGCAACAAAGAAACGCCCAGCGCAAGCAAGCCTGGAAACACGCAGGCGGAAGAGCTTAGAAGCACGCGGGGAAACGGCGCACCTAGCGCGACCATGCCTGGTCGGGGAAAAAAGAAGCCTGCACGAGGGTCTGCACAGGAATGCACTTTCCAGCGCGGCGCGCTCCCGTCGGCTTTGCCTCGAGCTCTCTCAAGACGCCTTCTACCCCCCTGACAGATATCCATCTGAGGCGCTATCTAGAGCACGCGCGTCGCCGCCATAGGCTGCAGAAAAAGGAAAAGAAAAGTCGCGCAGAGGCGACCCTCTGCGCTCCTCTCATCTAGCGGAGAGGGGGTAGCCAAGCCTGGTCGAGTTCACACGCTCCACGGGCGAAGATTGGACGAGGAAGGCTAACCACAGCAGACCCGCTGAGATGGCCCAACAATCGGAGCTGGGGTAGCCGCATCTGTGCTGGACAAAATACGAAATGACGCAGTGCTGGATCCGGACTGCAAGATGTCACCGCCGTGGCGAAGGCTGCAAACAGCGTCCGGCTTCCTGGGACGATGTATGCTCAGCGGCCGTTCTGGAGGAGTGACCGAAGACGTCGGCAGCGCGCGCTCGCACCCAACAGGCGATGTTAATTGCATGGCGAGGTCTTGCGGGTGGCAGCCGCCGCGGAGGCGGCTCTGTGCCCTGGCGCGTTTGTCGAGCCACTCCAGGCGGGCTGCTGCGACAAACGCGCCGTATGCTTTTACCCCAAGTGGAGCACACTTGCGGGCAAGTGCGCGCTGCAGCGTACCAGCGGCGGAGGCCGACAGCGGATTACGCGCGGTGAACTGCGATGGCTCTCGTCGCTGGTGCGGCCGCGCAGCCGGTCGCAGGTTCTTGGCCAGACGATGGCGGTTAGCGCGCCCAAACAAGGCATGCATTTCTCCGCTGATTGGGGGCAGCGGGCTGGTGACGAGGGGCCAGGGACCGTGAAATCTCAGCTGCGGGACATCCTTCCAAGCTTCACTTTGCCAGGCCGCCTGCCCAGCCGCCTAGTCCGATCCGAGCACTAGCCGCGCCCCGAGGCTCACCCAAGCTCCCACCCTCCACGGTGCCCCAGAACATCGATGCCGCTCCCTCGGTGTGCATATAAAGCCCGCCTGCTGCCCTCACCCGCACCGAATTGGCAAGGTTCCACCGGTCGTTCGTTCTTCCGGCCATTTTTTCCACGTCCGCTGTGCTGACCAGCTGGACTCGTTGTACATATATCGACTTGCGCACGTGAGGCTCGCAGTCGACCCTACGTCACCTGATCCCAGAGCGACTCTACTCCCAAGCAACAATCCACAGTCCAACGCGACAATCCAAAGCGACAACCCCCAAGAGCGACTGCCACGCCCCTGACGCGACAACTCCCTTGCGACAATGGACATCGACGAATCCAGGAAGTATGACGGCTACGTCAACAACTCCCCAAAGGGCACAGAACCGGGCGAGAAGGTCTACGACGATGTGCAACATGGTGAGCTTCGCGACAACTCAGACGAGCTACAACGTCACCTTGGTAACCGCCAAATTCAATTGATCGCCATTGGAGGTTCCATTGGCACGGCTCTCTTCGTCAGTATTGGAGGTGCCCTTAACAAAGCGGGCCCTGCTTCGTTGTTCATGGCGTACACCTTCTACTCGCTCGTCATGGCCATGGTCAACAATTCCATCGCCGAGATGTCCACGTACATGCCGGTGAGCGGTGGCTTTGTCAGACTCGCTGGTCACTGGGTGGATGAAGCTTTGGGCTTCACAGCTGGTTGGAATTTCTTCCTCTACGAAGCATTGCTTATCCCCTTTGAGATCACCGCCCTGCACACTGTGCTTGGTTTTTGGAGGGACGACATTCCCATTTGGGGTGTGGCCATCGCTGTAATCGTTCTTTACGGGTAAGACATCATCCTTGTGCTCTTGTGTCGCGATTCTGGATTTCTACCAACTTCGAGTCACCCATGTAACGTCGAGGCTGACCTTGTACAGAGCTTGCAATGTTCTAGCTGTCCAGGCATACGGTGAGGCCGAATTCTGGCTGTCCGGTGGCAAGGTCATCTTAATCATCATGCTCTACTGCTTCACCTTTATCACAATGGTGGGCGGCAACCCCAGGAACGATGCCTACGGTTTCCGCTATTGGAACAAGCCTGGAGCAATGCACGCATATCTTGCAGAGGGTACTAAGGGTGAATTCGAAGGCTTTTTGGCTGCTCTGTGGGCTGCTTCCTTCTGCATTGTGGGCCCCGAGTACATCTCCATGGTTGCTGGAGAAGCGAAACGCCCGCGAACCTACATCAAAAACGCGTACAAGACTGTCTACTGGCGATACGGCATCTTTTTCATCGTCGGAGCCCTATGCACTGGCATCGTCGTCCCGTACAACGACCCGCAGCTGGACGCTGTCAACAACGGTGGTGAAGGCGCCGGAACGGCAGCCGCTTCTCCCTATGTCATCGCCATGAGGAACCTGGGCATTTCAGTGCTTCCAGACTTGACAAACGCTCTCCTTGTTACCAGCATCTTCTCCGCAGGCAACACATACACATATGCCGCCAGCCGAAGCTTGTACTCTCTCTCTGTGCAAGGCCACGCCCCGAGGTTCCTGCGTAAGTGCACCAAGCAAGGTGTACCGATCTGGTGCTTCGCCATCACTATGTGCTTCCCATTCCTGTCCTTCTTGGCAGTCTCGAGCGCTAGTAACGAGGTGCTGACATGGCTTGTCGGTCTGCTCACAGCGAGTGGCCTCATCGACTTCATCATCATGATGATCACCTACATCGCTTTCTACAAGGCCACAGTCGCTCAGGGTATCGATCGGAGGACTCTCCCGTACCGCGGCTATTTCCAGCCTTACCAGACTTATTTTGCTCTGGCCTTCGAGGTGATTGTTGTCTTCGTCAGCGGCTATCGCGTCTTCCTGCCGGGCAACTTCACTTACGATGTCTTCTTTACGACCTACACTATGGTCGGTGTTGCGCCCTGCCTTTACGTATTCTGGAAGCTGTTCAAGAAGACCAAGATTATTCCTTCTAAGGAGGTTGACTTGGTTTGGGACGCACCTCTTATCGATGCCTACGAGGCGTCGTTCATCTCGCCTCCTACCGGCTTCTGGACAGAGATGATACAACTCGTTGGCTTCCGCCGTGGTGTCAGGGACGATGTCCGCAATGTTTGAGTATGATCTACGGATCTGGCGGTTGGGTTTGATTTGAATGGTTATCCCACCAACAACAATACATGGTTCATGGCCGGCCATTCCAGCGTTCACTGGAGGCTATATGACACATGAAAATATACCCAATTTCTTACGCCGATATTTCTCGCCGCAGCAAATCAAGGAACTTACATGGGAAGATTCACAACCTGTCTAACCATTCTTTAGTGATTGCCTTTGCGACCACCAGACGTCTTAACAGTCCGAGACAATCCCAGCGCAACAAATGTTCTCACTACGACCGCACGCCCGTTCTATCCCAATGCAACAAGTTGAAGTGCGGTGGAGCATCACCTTTCCAACGCAACCAATATCTACCCAAGTAACAAACAATACTTTTTTCAATGCACATTCACGACCACTAGGCCGCTTGACACTGCTCATTGGCACGGGCACCAAGCTTCGGAAATCGGCAAGACGAGCACTCCAAGACGGCACGAGAGGCCTGCAACCGCACAGACTTTCGCGCCACCATGCAACCTTGTTATTGCTTTTGCCGGCTGCCATGCAGGTGTGTCGCGTGCCTTGTGCCGGCGTTTTCCGACGCGTTCCTTCAAGATGGAGAGATTGAGCGCGTTCATCATGACCTGCACGCACTAGAGAACTCTGGCTTGCGGAATTGCGATCCGAACTGTTCACTTCACGACACAATGGCCAGAGCCGGAGGGAACGAACGAGTGCCGGGCTGGGCTGACGTAGCGTGCATCTGGCCCGCGCGGCGTACCCGTGCGCTTGCAAGATACCATTACGAATAAGTGGACGCCCCAAGCTTGGACGGTGACTTGTCGCGTGATAAGAGCGAGGATTCAGACCGGAAAACGATCGATTAGGTTATTCGAACGATTGTGGCAATATGCAGAAGGGAAAGCGAGGATGAGAACAAGCCTGGGGGGGGTTGTTGCGACAGGGTAGTCGCGCTGCATTGCTGACATGCCCAAGCAGCATTGGCCGTGTCTTGGACTATGGGAGGCCTCAAGGCTTTGAGATGTTATCGACGACCTGCGATTCGCAGCAGCCCATGGAATCGGACAACGCAGGTTGCCACATGCCGCAGCTTGGCGCATTCACGAAGCTAAGGATGGCTGAGCACCGGTCAATCGCGTCACAATCTTAATCTTCACGCCTCTTGAACAGAACACATATGGGAAGACCACGACAAAGTTTGCCAAAAAGGACCACCATTTCCAGGGCTCAGCCAGGCGACCCTGAATGCGCCTTGGAAATAGCATCCGCGCCTCCCCGCGTGCCGTCGCGCTGGCTTCCCCAGACTTGCGGCTGCAACAGGTCTCCACTAGATTCCCCCAGACGCCGCCAGTGGCTTCGGTAATATCGCGGTCGTTTGACGGAGCAAACCAAGAGTTCCACGAAATCTGCATCTAGTAGCGCATCATGTGAAGACTTGCCCTGTCTCCAGATACGATGCATCGTCGATCAGGCACGAGAGCTGAACACGGTCAAGGAAAAAGGATAATATTGCGAAATGGGGAAGTGTGATACGTTATCAGCGTGGGAATAGACCTGCGGAGAACGGTCCACAGTAGGCCGTGTGCCATGATAGAACTAAGATCGCCCGTTGCCAGGTAGAAAGCCGAGGGAAGGACGACAATCGGACGAAGTAAGGGTCAGGGTCGGAGGGAACTTGTGATTACATCAGGACTTGGTGAGAAGCATTGGGGTTATGAGTGGGGATATTGCAGTCAAATCAGGTCATAGGATCCGAGACGATGTGGATAGGTCGACGCCATGGCAAATTGCATGAGCGTTCTTTCACATTGCTACGCACTCTGTCCGTTGTAGGGGTTATACCTCGACGGTCGCCTTACGCCACAAGACGACACATGCGGTGCATCCGTGCAAGCTACTTGCCTTTATCAATTGCCTGCTCCAAGTCGTGACTGTGTCTGATTGCCATGCTAGCAGCGTACAAGCTACGTTTCATCTATAGCGCGTTGATCCCTTTCCTTCCAGACGGTTTCGCTTCCGACGTTGATCCACCTCGTAGTTGTGAGCATGTCACCAGGCGTACCCCTGCTGTTGTCGTAATGCGCGGTGCAACGAAGCGCAAAACACGTCGGCGCAGGACGGCCATGGCAAGTACGTCTCCCTCGGACGTCTCAGCAGTACAGGCCTGGTATGGCAAACCGACGCCCGGTGGATAAACGTTGCGATGGTTGCGGCGGCTTGGCGACGCAAAGGATGAATGTAAACTGTTGATGGCATTGGAGCGGCGGTCATCCGTGAGGCGTGGAGGCGTGGCCGTATGCCTGCCCCGGAACAACGAGAGGAGACGCCATGCGCGTTGCGAGCGCATATGCAAACCCCACGAGCGCGACGACAAGATACCCCGGCACCACGACGCGCCCCAGCACGCGACTCCACTTGCCCCGTCTCCCCCTCTCCCCACCCCCAGCGATCACTCTCAGGCTCAGCGCAACCAGCACCGCATGCCACGCCGCCAGCAGGCCTGTCCCGACGCCCACCCTCCACCAACCCACCTCGTCCAGCGACGTGCGCGCGCGCCGCCCGACGACCTCGTATGTAGTGTCCAGCGCTCGCACGAAGTGCTGGATGCAGGCAGGCACGAGGAAGAGGGCGAGCGAGAGGAGGGCGACTTCGAGGGCGCGCATGGCGAGGCGTTGGGCGAGGGGGGTGGCGGCGGCGGTGCGGGCGCGGCGCCAGCGGGAGGGGAGGTCGGAAAGGAGCGCGGGCGAGCGTGGTTGTGACGGCGGGTGCGCGGTGGGTGTTGGGTAGGACGGCGAGGGCGGAGCAAAGGCGCGGCGCTGGCGGCTGGGGGGGAGGGCCATGGCAAGGGGCCGTGGTGTGGCCGATGCGACGGACTGGCTCCTGCGTGGCGTGTTGCGGTGGTGCGTTCCCCGCAGAGTGAGGTTGGGAGGAGAGGGTCGTGTCGGTGACGCGTGTGTCTTTGGCTTGGGGTTAAGCTTCGCGACAGGCCCGCTTCGCCTGCGGCTCACCATCGCCATGCTTGCTTAACGGTGCAACATTGGACTAGCACACCTTTCCCACTCACAAGTTCTGTCTGAGCCATGTCCACGGGTAATGGTCTGTCACGTTATGAGCTCGGATTCTGAATCACGTGCACCGAGGCCTCCGTCCGCGCCTTCGAACGAGGCCCACAGTGCCTCGACCGATTTTTGAAGCTGCGGAGACTTGGTATCCATGCTCAACAGGCCTTCTGCACTCCCAAGCTCGTCATAGAACAGCATCTCTAGCGACTGACTCCGCGCCGCTGTGAGTGCAGCTTCGCCCCGCGGCCCGAAGCGCAGCACTCGCGCCCTCCTCAGCTTCGACACCAAAGACGACATGTGCGACGCTTCCCAGAGTCCCTCTCTTCTCTGCACCGACCGAAGCAGCTCAAACGCCCGCCTGCTTACGTCTTGGTCGGCGCATTTGAGTGCCATCGCGAAGAGCGGCGCGATGACGCCCATCTCCGAAGTCACCACCCGCTGCGTCGGCTCTGATATCGAAGACGCGGGGCTCGACGCTATGCTCTGCTCGCGGTCGAGCACGTCTTCTATCAGGCGCAGCATCTCTGCGGCGCGCGGGTTGGGCGAGGCGCCCCAAACGTCCATGTCAGCGGGGAGGATGGCGTCGAGGAGCATGCGGGCTATATGCCAGTGTACGACGAGGATCTGATGGCCGTATGCTGTTTGGGTGCGTTCACTGTGTTGCTCCTTGAACAAGTCAAAAGAAACCTTCCACTGCAGGAGCGTTTCTTGGAGGTGCAGTTTCTCTCGCAAAATTGACTCTGGGATGTCTTCTGAGGGACTGAACTTGTAGTTCAAGTTATCGCAGAGCAGGCGCCACCCGCGACCGATCGCTTTGACCAGGGCACGATGTGCGTCGCTGAGGCGTTGGAACGACCGCACATTGCTCCCTTCCTCTCCATCTACGTGCCAGGGGAATGGCCGATGGGGAATCGGCTGGTCGTAGAAGAGCGTGGTCTGTAGGTCTAGCCGCTCAAACTCGAGCGATATCCCAGCGAGGTCGTCCGTCTGTTCCGCACCCTGGCTCCGCCAGTACGACAGCATGTTGAGTCCGCCCTGAAGATGGTGCGTCGCAGCCTCGTTGTGACCCAGCGTCGCCTCGAAGCAGTAGAACAGCACTGAGCAGATGAGCGCGGTTCTTGTAGCCTCGGCGTCGGACGTTTTCATCCGCCGCTGCAGCATGCGAAGCGCTTTTCCATACTGCATGAGCGTATCGTTGCGTGCTATGCCGCTCCGCGTCAACGCACCAGTCGTGTAGTCGAGATGCAGTGAGCTCAGTGACACCAGTGCCTGCCGCACAGCAGCCTCCTGGTGGCTCTGCTCGAACACAGTCCGCGTCCAGAAATCCAGATTCAGGAAGCCAGCCAACTCCCGCGACCCTTGCACGCAAAAGTAGTGTAGCAGCTGGCGATCTTTCTGCGACCCAGGGACCTGAAACGGAATCGAATACCGCGTTATTGCCAGCGTGGGAGGAGAGGATGTAAGCGTCACAGCCGAGGAGCCGGGATCGGGTTGGGCCACGAAACCATCGCAGGTCCACCCCGCCTGTGTGCATTTGAGGCACGCTGGTTTCGTCTCATCGCATTTGATGCGTCTCTTGCTGTTGGACTGTTAGACGGTCGTGGCGGGATAAGCGAAGCACGTGACGGCAATAGACGTACCGACAGGTAAGGCAGCCAGTGCGCGATCGGGGAGTGCTGGACCTAGTTCTCTTCGCTTTACCACCCTCAGATGCTGTCATCACAGTCAATGCGGAAGTATTATATGGAGGGAAGGGTTGCCAGATATTCAAACATTAGAGATACTCGCGAGGTTATGTGAAGGGAAGTAGAGGAATTCAGGGACCTCCGTGGGCACTAAGCCCGGTTGGGTGACGCGGCTTACAGTGGCGGAGCTCGTGGTTGCAAAGCTGGGTGTATTCCATCCAGAGTGCTACGCGTAATGTGCTTCACCGTCCGCAGCATCTTTCGTCATTCGTGTTAACAGGTCTCCTGAAAGGCTCGGGTAGTCCTGTCTAGAGTCTACTATGGAATCTCTTCAACTAGCTCTACGGAACAACATCACTTCTCCAAAGATGCTTGAGAGTGTCATCCAGACGGGCTTGCAGAGCACAACCGAAGGAGTAAGGATCTTGACATACGTTTCCACGATACCAACACGCGAACCATACTACCTGCACGATCGAATCTATCACATCAAAGTGCATGCATTATCGCGCACCCTACCCAGTATTCTAAAACGCCACGACCTTGCACACCGCATTGCTTGGCATGGTATGATTTAACTACATGTTCTCGAGAACAGTGAATAAACCCCGCACGTGCATCCGTCTAAAAATAGGCCAAGGATTTTAGGCCCCTTCCACGACTGGCTGCTGCCTACACCTTGTTCGTGCGCTCGAATCGCGGCCCCAGACTCTCAGGAGGTATAATTGAGCTTTTGTTCCTCTGAAACACGGCTTTCCGAGATCCGACGATTTCTAGAGCCTTAGTGTGCGTGTGAATTTCTGTTGCGTGTGGAGCTCTATCGGGAAGTGCCTGCATTAGACTTAACATCGCACGCGACAAGAACAAGACTTTTCGATTTCCGTTCTCAACCGCCCGGCCTACGACCTAGGCGCAGAATCAAGAAATGGGCCAAGGACACTCCCACTCCGCCCCCGAGCGTCCCCCAACCGCACCCCAAGAACCCGAGCGCGAGCTGGATCCAGAAGAGCGCGCGAGGATCCAGGCAGAAGTACGCGAATTCCCCTCTCCTCGCACGTCTTCAAAGAAAAGACAGAAATACGATCTAACGCCGGCACAGGAACGCGAGCGACGCGCCGCAGCGGTACAGGCGCGGTTAGCTGGGCAGCAGAAGCGCAGTGGGAATGGGAATGGCGTGGGGGCTGGGGCAGGTGGGACAAAGAAGAAGCCGAGTGCGCTCGAGCAGATGAGTGCGGAGAACCGGGGGTGGAGGGCGGCGGACGAGCAGGCGGAGTTGAGGAGTTGGAATTGAGGGTTTGTCGACGAATTGCAACTCAATAACTTTGACTCAAGCGAATGAAGGATTGTGATCGAGATGTAGTGCATAGAGCGGGGGTAGAAGATGATGCTGCAACGGAGGGTAGGTCCCTAGCGGGCAGAAGGCAAGGTTTTGTGGACAATCTTGTGAGCTTGAGATTGCGTCAAAGGTAAACTAAGACAAGACGCACGCATATATGAGCATGTGATTGAAGTTGTGCATCTGCTAAACGTACATACGGAACGAAGGACAGGTCTTACCTCCAACAACATCGAGCATCCACCTTACCTTCAACCGCAGATTCGGCAATCGTCGAGAGATACGTTCTATCTAATTGCTCAAGGTTTCTTTGTGCCCTTCCTTGCTAGCTTAACGGTAAGTACAGGGTTAGGATCGGATTCAAGGTGGGCATGTGTGCAGCTCCGTAGAGGTAAAATCCATCACTTCAGCAGGATTTGGTCGTGCAATACGAATAGAAGCCATAAAAGAAGTTTCATTGACGGAGCGTCAATTAAGTCACAGAATCGGCTCTCATCTTCAAGGTGTCACACTGTACTCGTCTTCTAAGCCATAAAAATTAAACATTATCGATGGATTTATTGTTCATCCAGATCCGTGGAGCAGCCCTTGACATAGTCAGCCTACTTTGCATCATCGCTTTTATTGCTCTTCGCACTCTTTTGATCCGCATCGATCTCCACGAGCTGCACAAAGCTCGCATGGTCGTTCGTCTGCGGACGCATCGCATGCGAGACGCGCACACTTGTGGTAACGCCGATGCCGTTGACGCTCCAGTTGGTGCCGAGAGTGTTGCCATGGCTGTTATTTGCGCCCGTCTGCTTCGAGTTGGAGTTGACCGAGCTGCCGAGGATCTTAGGGAAGAGGCGCGCGAGGCCGAGGCGGATGGAGGGCATGCAGGCGCAGATTAGGCCGACTTCAGTCTCGATGACGGACCAGAGACTGGCCTCGAGGTAGTCCCCTAGGGATGTTGTTAGTGTGTGGGCTGGGTGGACAAGGGGGGGGGGGGGGGGGCGTACAGGTCATGTTCTGGGTTTTGGCGAAGTGCACCAAACTCCTCAAACGGAGGATGGACACTATGGTCACGAATGCTCCCACGCTGAACATCAGCAAGACCCCGATCTTCTTCTTTGAGGACATGTGCAGGTTCCAGATCTGCGATATTGGCAGCGCCAACGTTATGAAGTCCATCACGATTCCGATTCCCGCGTGTGCGAAGGCCAGATCGTTGTTGCTCACGCACTTTCCTTGATGCTCGCCATCCCACTGCGTCCACGCGAAGGTGATGGGGCTGCAAACGAATACGGCTGCGATGGCACAAGCGAAGGTTGCAGTCAAGTTGACCGTGATGCAGATCCAAACGATCCTTCGGAAACTCTTGAGAGGGAAAATTTGAAGGAAGAAAATCAGGAACGAGGTTTTGATGAGACCAATCGAGCCAAAGTAGACGTATTCGCTGACCCAGAAATACTGCACGAGGAATCAGCATGTGCGCATGCAAGCAAAGCTGGAGCACAACTTACCAGAAGCGTGGTAGTTATGGTATCATCCTCGAGTGTCCACATGTCTCGTCCGAGTCCAAGGTAGGACATTTTCATACAGCATGCGAAGAGAACGACGTTCAGCAGCTAGGGCGCAGTCAGCAATAGATGGCTGAAAAGCATGTCAATCCTTACATATCCCAGTCCTATGTTAGCATTATCGAGAAGATTCGTTCTCCCTACTGTAAAGTGTGTCGCAAACCGTCCCACCACCGCTATCGAGGCTAATGTGAAGAAGACGATGCAGATCGTACGGTACGATGTGCCTTTGTCGCGCAGAGGTTCATTACATGCGGACGCAACAGCGTTCAGCGTTGTGAATATATCTTTTGGCTTGCATGACTTCTGGAGACAGGCCTGCGCTGCTGAACTGTCAAGTGCGGCCCGACACTCGCATGTGATCTTGCCCTGACCAAACTGCTGAAAGCACGTGGAAGATCCTACGTCCTCGCATTGTTTCTGTGAAAGTGTTAGCTAGCATTGAAACCAAGTCTCAAGTAAGCGTACCATGCAAACAGGAATGTCCACGCTCTGCCGCGGCGTAAGCTCAGTTTGCATTGCGCCCGCCACCATTGGCGCAAACAGAGCGCATCCTGCGAAGAATGTGGCCCACTTCATGACAGAAACCAGCGAAAGATTCCAAGTGACAGAATCAGCACGAGGGGTCAACGAGGTTACTCCCCTCCAAGGGACACGAAGTCGATCATATGTACGTAGATCTCCAAATTGCGCCGGCTGCCCCTGGTCATGGAATCTGCATGTACCAGAACCGCATAGCTAGCTCCCGGTGGACCGGCCCAGCACGTGCCGTGAGGCTCAAGAGATGGCGTCGCTAGTCTACCCGCTATCCGGCCACGATTGCTATGATATACAAGATGTTGCTGCGCAGGGGCCGGCATCTGCGATGGTCGAGTCGTGGCTCTGGCCTAATCATGATCTGATTAGCTGTTCAGGCTTTGCCCAAGCTCGTCTAATGAGATGTAGTGTTCGATGATTCTTTCACGGGAGTCGCTTGTGTTTAGAGTTTTTGAGGCGACCGAAAGAATCGGCGAAATGCTTGTGCATAAAGTTAATGGCTAAGAACACCGTCTCTGTACTTGTGGCTTCATGTCCAACTTGACATCTACGCAAGTGGGGTTCGGCCTAAAAATTGTGGTGTAGTTTCATGTCGAACAGAAAGAAGCAACTAAAGGTAATCGCAAACTCTATTGAGCTTAGTAGCTGAGTCCAACATCGTCTTCCTCAGAGGATTTCTAGATACTGCGTCGCCCGATCATTATCTAAACACATCTTCATGACTTGGCGCCGGCTTGAACGCAATGTGGGTGGTATTGAAGTGCACTCAGCCTGTTGCCCATCTTGTGCTCGTGGTCGTTTGAGAAACTCCAGATCAAAATTCTAGAACTTTAATTCGCCCAGGTACCTGATCGGCGCAAGGAGTGGCGCTACGCAGGCGTCTGGCGGCCCGATTGGCGCGTGTGCTCCAGACCGGCGGTCGTCAGGCGAGGTCCACATCTTTAGACAACACAGCTTTGGTTCGAGGAAGAAACCCCTGATCACGCAGCTCAATCTGGAGTCTACAGGGAACAACCGCGTCCACAGCAAAAGGGGCATGTACTATTTATTTTGTCAGAGCATGGACGACCTGCATGTCCATCAACGATCACAGAAGGCGCTGAGCCATAGTGGTTGTACGTTTGCCGACGCGGCTAGGTCAATGGCCGGAAGCAGGACGTGTGCCAGAAGCTCCCCATGCCTTCCAGAACGATGCGCCTCGTGCAACCTGCCAAAGCGAAACACTCTTCTTGGCAGGGTCGAACGTTGCTGGCGAGTCGGGACAGGTACACCTATCCCCACCGATCGCCGAACACTACCACTAGCGGAATGCGTAGTCCGCAGCTCAGTGCCGAAAAACTTCTATTTCCGTGCAAGCGATTCTAGAAGATACCGGCCCGAAGGCCCTGTGTCAAGGCCATCCATGAACACGTGCCGTTTGTATTCACGTACGAGAGGTACATGCGCCGTCGGAATTTTCGGCCAATAGATGGACTTCAGCGCACAACGACTGGATCTGGCTCCATTGAAATCACACAATAGGCCAATCAAGACCTGTACTATCCACCAAGAAAGTCTGAGTATTTGGAAATGGACCATAGATACCGGAGCAGACTGCTAGGCCTTCTTGCAAGGCTCAAAATCGTGACTGATCCCCAGAAGGGGCCCTGGCCATCCGTAGTCGTGGGCGACACCGCTGCCAATCCGCGTTGGGAACACGGTGCCCATCGCTCCTGCGTTCTCCGCTCTAAGTTCGAGGTCGACTCGTACTTTGACATAGGCAATTCCGCACTGAGGGGCGGTCCATTCCAAGGTCTTCTTTTCGCCCTGGCTCCAGTCAAGCTGCTTCACGGGCAGTGTCTTGTTTGCCAAAGGGCCGCGTACAACTATCTTGTCAACCAGCTGTAGCTTTATTAGCTCCACACATTGAAAGTCAATTGGAGAGCACTCCGATCTAACTCAGGAAAGTAATGCAGATATCGCACCTTTGAGTTGTCATCCGCTTCATCCATCCAGTATGTAAACCTCCAATCCGCTCTCACGCCCTCATCAATTGCATAACCCGCCTCCATGGTTGTGCCATTTCTATGCATCTTCAATTTCCATGCGGCCTGATCCAGCGGTACCTCGATTGGATATGTATCTCCCTTCATTTCTCTCCACTTGAGCCGCAACTCGCAATACGTCTTCGACTCGCGCACGCCCGCGCCGACGCTAGCTTCGGTGTATGGCAACGTGAACCATGCCCAAGGCGTATGACAGCCTGGCATGAAATGGGAGCCCCAGCCCTGATCTGTGCGCCCGTGTGTCGCGTTGAAGCCTGGCGCACTGTCGGGGCAGCCTGGGCCGGAGAAGGAGTCGATATTGAAGAACCAGGTCTCGGGGCATTCTGGCGATGGCAACGGATCTTGCCGAGAAGAAATGAAGCTTGGGAGAGCGGCCGTGAATCCCACGAATAATGCTTGCACGATGATTCGGGTTTTCATCTTGATCGAGTGTCAAGTAGACTTTCGTGTTAGTCGGCCAGAGAGTTCAGCTCTTGTCCTTTAAACAATACGCACCGCTCTCCGAGCAGTCGCCGCGTGATGGGAGGCCCAAGAGGTCGATATTGCGAAGGAGCGCATCTCGCTTTAGCCAGGATTTCCGCCGGCCCATTCGAATGCATTCCGGGCACGAGACGTGTAAATACAGCATGCATACCCAAGCAGGTACGCGCTGACTATTTCCTTATGTGCAATGTTTCTGGGATAGTTAGTTGCACAAATCAGAGGGAGACAGAACACAATTTCGCCTTGTTGCTTGCTGTCCACGAATTCTGAGAGGGTGGGATGAATTGCAAAGTGGGGTCGATTAATTTATCCCGGTGCGGGGCACACGCAAAGCCATGGTCTCTCGACCAGCTCCGTAATTCTCGCTTCATCCCTCAAATCGAGGAACCCGGTCTTAAAGATGCCATACGTTGAGCATGGGTCCATACGCCTGTTCTACACTTCACACGGCGCTCTTCCCGATGCCCCATGCATAGTCCTTCTCCATGGCTGGGCTTGCGACGCGCACGATTGGAGCCATCAAATCACATTGCTGACAGGCCTTGGGTTTCGTGTGGTCGCGCTGGATCTTCGTGGACATGGACGATCGAGTGCTCCAGCGTCAATTAGCGACTATTCAATGAAGGCGTTCGCAGAAGACGTCTTTGTCCTGCTGCACAATCTCCAAATCGGGCCCGCAATCATAATGGCGCACTCGATGAGCACGATCATTGCCTCTATCCTTGCAGTCGAGCACCAAGACATCGTTGAGGCGCTGATTCTTGTGCATCCTATCTACTGCGGCACACCACCTACTCTAGCGACAATGAGCGAAAGAATGTGTCGAGAACCAGACTTCGAGCCGTATTTGGTGGCTGAGTTCTTCGAGAGACACATGTATACAGCGCAAACGCCAGGGTGGCTGAAGACATGGCATACCAGGCGTATACTTGGAACAGATGGAGTTGCGCTTGCAGGGTGTGGTCAAGCAATTGTGGATCTGTTTGAAAGTGTTGTAGGCCAGACTGATACCGCGAAAGCTTTCATGAGGAAGAGAGCAGCACCAAGATTCGTGATCACTACAAACACTTTGCCGGCTGCCGCGGCGTGGGAAGCTGAATTAGGTCTGGAGGGTCTGGACGAATGCCACACAATGAACGAAGGAACCTTTAGCCACTTTGTCGACAGCGAGAGGTTCAATGACATGCTGAAGGCCTGGTTGGTGAGAGGAAGATTCACAGCGGATAGGCGGGCCAACGGTGATAGGGCGTTCTGATCACATCTTCAACTCTCGAGGGCAATGGTAGTTCATTTTCCAGGCCCAATGGGCTCACCACTGTCTATGATGTGTTTCCACATGTGGCAACTCCGAAATATGGAGGCGCACTTCTTCCCGCGCACTCAAATCAATGGGGCTTTCACTTAGCGGGGAGGGTGTAGAGTCTTGGCGAGCTTGAACTATGGCGATCTTCTTGAGCAGTGATGGTTTGCATTGATGCGCAGGCGTCATGAGGGCATCTTCTGTGTACGCGCACGGAGAGACGTTGCGCGGAGCTCGGAATCGCGACTTCCTTGTACAACCACGCTAACCAATCACAGTGGCGATCTCGTGAACGTAGGCGTGAACACCAGCGATGCACCATCGTGTCAGAATTCTGGACACTCATAGTAATCCGAGTCAATCTTGCGGCTCATGTTAAAGATTTGAATAGCAAACACCTCAGCTTGTATCGCATCCTGGTTCCACCAGAGGTCGTCACTACATCCGCCGCCTGGAATGACACTCCTCGAATCCTCATGAGTCGATACGTTACCAGCGCACGGAGAACAGATTATCCTCGCAGCATAGTTCAACAGTGCCACCAACCATTATATCATTGCACTAAAGTGGTCACGGCTGCTCAGCAGCCGCCTGAAGACCTCCTGCGGCTGGCGTGGCTTGCAGCCGCTGAAACGCGGCGCTCCTCACCCGGCACATGCAGCGTCTCAGACCCCGCGCCCACCACTCATCTCCCACCAGCGCGAAACGAAACGACGACGCATCTGGGCATCCGCCCCGGTCACGTCCTGGATGGCACGCTTCTTGTCGTGAGCGCGTTGAGCGTTGATGCGGAGAGCGTAGATCTCCGCTCTTCGCGCCTGTCAAACGACTCGGCGTTTACAGTGCGACCCGCTATTTGGCGACATTCGACGAAAGAGACATGCAGATCAGGTATCGAGCGCGTGCGCAATGTAAAGCTTTGGCATTTCGTTTCTCTTCTTTCCTGCGGCTCCTTTCCTTCGCTCTTCTCGACGTTGCTCCTGTTCGAAGAGTCACGCCATTGTCACTTTCTCTTCGCCTTTCCGTTGATCGGGTTTTGTTCTTCTGTCCTGGAGACGTCCTTTTTGCAGTCTCTACTTTGATTTCTTAATAGAGTCGCTGGATTTCGCTTGCTTCTACTAATCAACATCCGGTACACATCACCATCGTCTCAAAATGGGTCTCTATCATCGCCGAAGGCCTTCGCCAATCCAGATATTCCCAACACGCGTTCGGCGACAGGATGCTACAGCGAGCCAGAGCCCAAAGAGCCCAGAGAGCTCAGGTCTCCCCAGTCCAGAAAGCTCAGGTCTTCCCAGCCCGGAAAGCCCAAAATCCTCCTCGTCGGCAGTGCCCTCAACGTCAAGCATTTCTAGCACCTCCCAAGCATCGCCTACGCAAACCGCAGCTCCTTCTCAGGTCAGTTCACAGGCTGCTACGACGGAGGCGCCGCAATCGACAGCTGCTCCCGCAACGCCACCACCACCGCCTACACCGTCTTCGTCCAGTGCTCAAGAGCAACCGAGGCCCTCGTCGTCTTCATCCGCTACGCGACAGCCACAGCAAAGTTCCACCCCGGCTGTCCCCACCTCCGTCGAATCATCGACTGCGAAAGAGAGCACTTCAACCTCCGACGAGAGGACTTCATCTAGCGGTATTGCCTCGTCGGTTCCGGTTGCTCTGCCAGTTTTTTCCTCAAGTCCAACATCCACTTCACAGTCAACTGCCCTCCCTTCGCCTACAGGAGGCTCATCTTTCGTTTCTAGGAGGCCAGCATCTTCACCTCCAAGTCAGACTGGCTCCTCTTCGGCATTGAGTGATTTCGAGCCCTCAACGACCAGGAGCACCTTTGTGCCGGCGCAGTCCGAGCTGGACGGCGAAAGAGAAGGCCTCGGACGACACAGGACCGAACACCAGGAGGGTCCCATCATAAGTAAAGGCGCCGAGGCAGCTGCCATAACCTTGTCTATCCTGGGGTTCATTGCTCTCATTGCGGGTTTGGTTTGGTTCCTCAGACATCGCCGCAGACGCCGAAATGAGTCCTCCATGCGCCACGCGGAGGATGCTTTCAACCCTGGCAACAGCGGCTCTCTGCATGCACCGGAAACCGCGCACATTGACTACGACGGTCCTCCTCCCTCGCTCGCTCACATGACGAAGTCTTCGACAAGCAGCACTGAATTGTTCGCCGGCGCGCACTACGAACGACCTGAAACCGTGTCCACGAAATCGAACAACTCACGTATTCGTGCTGCACCTTCGATTGCTCCGCCTCAACCCACGCCAAACCCCTTCGCCGACCCGCCCCGCAACAAAGCCTACGATCAGCTTCGCGGACGGCCACGCTCGACTACCCTGACGGACCGCGGTAGCTGGGTGGGGAATCCGTTCAAGGACCCCGCAAGCGAGCGCTTCGACCCCTTTGGCGAGTTGCAGGAGAAGGCGCGGGCGGAGCGGCGGAAGTATGTTGAGGAGGCGCGACGAGAGGCTGAGGATAGGAGGCGCAGGGAGGATGAGCAGGATTATCTGGAGAAGGAGAGGGCGGGATTGAGCGTGCCGAAGCGGGATGAGAGGAAGGGGAGTGATGTTACGGTTGGGGGAATGGGTGTGCTTGATCGGAGCGGCGATGGCAGGTGGTCGTGAGAAGTGTATAGAATGGACCAGCGCAGACCGAGAATGATCACAGTGTATTATACCCTTGGGTGTCGCTTGTTGGATTGAGAACATGGTTGGCATTCATGGGGATGCGAGGACATGGCGTTAGGCTAGGCGAATGTAGGAATTTTTGCGAAGCGACAGCTTTACATGAACATATGTGACGACGAGCATCTGGATCTATACGCCCAATGGATGGAAAAGCTGTACTCTGCAACTTTTGACGATGCTCCGCGAACCGCAATCCGCTCCCTGAACAGGAACCGCGCGTGCCAGTCAGCTAAAAGGCGTCAAAGGCGGATGCGAAGGTCGGTGCAATATGCTTCCGCGTTGTCTTTGCAACAACATCTGAATGAAAGTGTGGAGCTGAAGGACGAAGACAAGACTCTTGAGGGCGCAGAGTTGAGAGAGATGGAGCCGCTGAGCCGCTGAGCCGCATGCGCATCCAGGCCCTCGGGCCCATGAGCTGAGACGCTAGGCCTCATTGCTGCAAACCCGCCTTGGCGGAGTGCACCCGAGCATCATGCCGAAGTGCAAAGTGTCAACTACACAAACGTTTGCGCCTACAAGGCTGCCACTTTGCTCTCGGCCTACTTTGCCCTCCGCCAGACCTGCGACGTAGTCCTCTGTTCCCCCCGCCAAACGACACAACGTAGACAGCCGCATCTGCGCAACTGCAGCCCAACGACCGCCATGGTTTGTCGTCGCAAGCAGCACCCGGCGCAGACAAGAAGCTAACGTCCACCCAGAACGCCCTCTTCAACTCCGCCCTCCGGCAATCGACCAGCATCCGCAAAGACCTGGACCTCTTCGCCGACTCCGCGACCCCCTCGCCCGCGCTCCAGGGCCAGATCTCGGCAAGCCTCACTTCGTTCGCGCGCACCATCGAGGACTACGCCAAGCTCGCAAAACAGGAGCCCATACAAACCAAGCAGGAGAAGGCGTTTGAGCGGGTGAAAAACTTCAGGGTGGAATTAGACGAGTACCGCGATAACTTCGGCCGCATAAGAAGCGCGAATGAAGACGTGGTACGTTGCGCATCCAGCCCGCGGCGGCGTCTTGTCCGCCTGACGCATGCACGCGCATCCTGACAATCCCCAGCAAACAACCCAAGCCCGCACCGAACTTCTCGGCCGCCGCCCGCACCACGCCTCCACGCCCGAGAACCCCTACGCCCAGCCCAACGTCACCGCCGCCGCCGCACAACACTCCGCTTTCGCCCCCAACCGCCCGTACAACGCCGCCGCGCCCTACACCGCAAACCCGTACTCGGCCGGCGCGCCCGCCGGAGCAGACTACAGCCGCGAGTCGCATGCCTTCCGCGAGAACACCTTCATGAACAAGACGTCGGAGCAGCTTGATGAGTTTTTGGATCGGGGAAGGGCGGTGCTGGGCGATTTGGGGAATCAGAGGGATATGCTAAAGGGGACGCAGAAGAGGCTGTACAGTGTGGCAAATACGCTAGGGATCAGTGGGGATACGATTCGCATGGTCGAGCGGAGGGCGAAGCAGGATAAGTGGATTTTCTGGGCGGGTGTCATCGTTTTCTTTTTGTTCTGCTGGCTGGTGCTGCACTTCCTGCGGTAGCTGGCATGCATTGTGAGGAATGTTGGAACCGAACTGTCCTGTTCGTGTTTGTGTTTTGGGCATGCATTTGGGTTGGAGCGGCAATCATCGGGCTTAGCGAGGTGTCTGGCGTTTTGTGGCATAGAGGCTGTTGGCTCTCATCGAGAGGGAATCATTTAACAAAGACGGCAGGATGACGTCGTTGATCTTCAGATTTGATGTTTGATTGACTAGGAATGATGCATCAACTACGAGGATACTATCTAGATATAGAGGTAGAGAACAGGCGAGCCAGAGCAGGTATTCACTGCGAAAACCATGTTTTCTGTTGCCGGGCAAGTGCAATAGTGATAGATTCCGAACCACCACAACAGCAACATCAAGTCATGCGCCAACAGAAAAGCACAGAGAATGCATCTCACTTGAAACCATTCATCCAATCTGTAGCAGCCCCTAAAGCGCCACCTGCGCCACCTGCATCTGAACTAAAGAGCAGATGTTGTAGTGGAGATGTTCTCGCGCCTACCAGACAATCAGCCCTAAATTATTCCAAAGGCAACGAACAGCAAAACAAACCTAGGGACTAGACTGCGAGTGCCACCTGGCTCCACACGCATGAGGCCAATGGCCCACACAGAAAAGATGGGACCCGTACATTACACTCAAGACGGCCATGTAAGCTGCTGAAGCGGCGCGTAACCCGCAACCTGCTGCTGCACCACCTCGTCCACCAGCTCCTGCTGCCCGACCTGCAACTGAGCCACCTGCTCCTCGAGGTAGAGCTGATTATCCCGCATCTCCTGAATTTCAGCTTCCAACGGATCCCGTGCGAACACCGACGGCGAGGGAAACCCACTCATGATGCCTCGGGAAGCGGGTATCGCGAGGAAGTCGGGCGGTGCGATTTGCGCGGGTAAGATCATGGGTGGCATTGTTCGGGATCGGTATCTTGGACCGGTTCGGGTCGGGCTTCGCCCACGGCAGAGGTTGCTCAACCCGTAGGGGCCATAGTTTGGGTTGCTCGAGTTGTAAGGAGGGCTGTATGGGCGTTGGATATGAGTCGGATAACCGGGACCAAGGTTTCGAGCGCGGCTGAGCTCATTCAACGCTACAGTCGTGGGACCGAGTTTTGTCAAACTCTTGATAGCGTATTCCCAGTGACGCAAATGGAGGTAGTCTTCGGCAACGATTTCCTGGGCATGTTGCGCGACGAAGGAGGTGAGATAGGCCGGTATCGAAGGTGCGCGTCCTCTAGCACATAGATACGCTATTGTGGTTAAGTGATTCCGTATCTTGTGTATTGCGCTGCCTCGCCGTACCATGTCGTTCAGATGATTGGACACATGCGTAGGGAAGTCATCTTTGTTTGCTGTTTTCTCTGCCGTGTTGAAAAACGACTGGAGAGGTCTTAGAGCTTCGTTGGAAAGGAGGAGTCCGCCCGAGGAGCGACTGACAGTCTGAGCCATACGAGTGAGCTCGATCCATCGGGGGTATTGCATGGCAATGTCTGGTAAGTGACGCCGCATCAGACCATCGTGAACTTGGTATTGGCGCTGACCTCCGTTTTCCCAAACATGTACCCAGCCCATAATATTCGCTGTGCAATCTTGAAAGTGCAGGAGGTTATGTATGATCAGAAGGATATAAGACGAAGAATCGCAGCGACGAATGTGTTTGTGCAATTTGTTGAAGCTGAAGATGGTCAGAATGTCTCTATATAGCTATCTAAGGGTCCCAGCCCAATTTTTGCCTGATCATCTCACGACAAGTTCAAGTTTCACAGACTTTGTTTGCCGATACATGCTGACCAGACCAGCCGCGGTTCGGCCACCCCATGAGCAAACAGGTACAACTCGCTGGCAGTGTTGGGCAGTCACTCCTATCATCATACCTGCCGTATCCCCGGACAACTCATCGTTGAGACAAACTCATGATCGCTGAGCTTGCTCATCGCTGCCCCGCGCTTGGTATGGCAAGCAGTCACACATCAATATGGCATTACTTGGCGCCGTCAAGCTCTCCCATGTAACGTAACCTTGGAAGCCTGAGGGCTCACACGAAATCGGAACTCTCGATTTGCAGTCAAGTTCGAAGACTAGCGGTCCATCCTTGCTGTCGCGTGGTCTTGGGACGCTCATAGCCGCCATTGAGCTACGATTTTGAGCTTGTTCCAGTGTCGCCTTGGAAATACATCCCAGTCATGTATGCGGATGAGTCAAGTGCGTTGTGTGACATACCCAGGCACAACTTCAGGCACATAAGCTCCTCAAACAAGCACTTGCTCGCCAATTGAGTAGACGCTGTAGAAGCAGTCTACGCCCTAGGTTTTCCGCAAGCAAAAACCTCCCAGATTGGGGAGGGTCGAAGAGCAAGTTTTGTGCCCTAAGCCACTTGCAGCCAGCTGTGCGATTGTGGTGCGAGCGTGGTGGAGGTCCCGCATTCCGTTGGGTGGCTGTCAGATTGAGCCAGCCTAGTATCGATGCTGGTTTCGATCAAGGCAGTGGCCAGCGTGATTGCCCCAATTATGGCGTAGAAAGGCTGTGTAGCAGATGGCGCGAGGAGATGGCAAACATTTTAGTAGCAGGCTGTCGAATGTGAATATCAGCAGATCTACTGTAGCGTTAGTCGCCACAGAACCACACAATGGCGAGCAGCGAACTTACCTTTGGAACGGTCTAGGATCGATCTGGTAGGTCGATCACATCGTACGTCGGTCTCTTGTGCTTGGGTTAGGGTTTTGGAGCGGGCTGCATTCCATTCTGGGAATGAAAGGCACGAGTAGTGGTAACTGGACACGTCAACAGGATGCTGCGGTGATTCAATGGAAGGAGCGAGCTTGGCCGTTGTGCAAACAACAAGGTTTGTTGCAAGTGGTGCCTCGCACAGATGACGATCACGTCCGCAAGCACCAGCCTTTTGACGACGCTAAGACGGCGTCGATGATATGCATTCTACTTTTCCTCATGATCTCGCCAATACACCTTATCTACTCCAAGGGCGGCTTTCGTAGACTATGCATTCCTCATCCCTAAACAGCGCGCTGTTGGTGCCTTCGCACCGCCACACACCCGCATTGAGCACCACCTCGCACCACGCTAACCCATTCCGCCCCACCAGCAGCCAAGTTAATACCAAAGATCACCCTAATGTGATCTCGACCATAACGATGCCCCGCCTATCATGACATCACAGGCCGCGTAAGCCAGCAACTCCGCTCCAGCACCCCGAAGCATCGCAAATGGCGTGCTCCAGACGGCCTTCCCTTGGGCGTGCGAAATTGGTAATAGGTATGGCGCGATTAAGGCATGTGGCTGGGAGGCGTGCGCAAAACCAGATTGGGAGAAAGAAAACAAGGCAGCTCGACGGATGCGGAACAGGCGGACGTATCAAAGCAAGGCGGTGTACCGCCGTGTGGGGCGTTTGATCTGCGGCAGGGATTGGCTGCGAAGTTGTGGAAGATAGACAAGAGGCAAAGCGTGGTCAACGTCGATGGTGCAACAGAATCGCACAGAATCGCGCAAGAACAATCATCACAATCGAAGCAGATAGAGTAGACGGCCTGGAATTGTATCGATGTTTAATTCATCTGAGCATTACAGTATCCGACAAGCCTTGATCCGACCAAGATCTTCCAGAACACCAATATTATTATTCATAGTCCCAATTCGTGCCTCGTGGGCGAAGTGAAGATAGCATTAGAAGCTAATCCGATCCAATGCAATGGTTTGGTGATGATGACTTTTGTTTGACGAATTTATTGATGGTCCAGCGCTTACAAAAGACCGGCCATGGCAAGGAGACCACCAGCAAGGGCACCCATGGCGGGGGCACCAGTGGGGACGGCCATGCCGGAGGAATGAGCAGAGGTGGCAGCAGAGGATGCAGCGGACGAAAGGCTGGAAAGGCGGGAGCTGGCCTCGGACTTGATGGAAGAGGAGGCAGCACCGTTAGTGGCGCTCGAGAGAGCTGCTGAGGCGGACGAGGCGATGTTAGAGGCCTCGCTGGCGGCAGAGCTGGCGACAGAAGAGACGGCTGAACCGGCACCAGAGGCAGCGGAAGAAGCGGCCGACTCAATCGATGAAAGTGCAGATCCAGCACCGGTGGTGGCAGAAGCGATGCCTGACCCAGCAGCGGACGTGAGACTGTTCAAGACAGAGGTAACGTCGTTACCAAGGCCAGAGGTGACATCGCCGAGAACGGAGGAGACGAGGGAGTCAACCTGGGCGTTGGCAGCACCGGCAGCGGCGGCGGCGACGAAGATGGTGGAGAAACGCATGATGAGTGTGAGTGTTTGGTGATGGGTGTTTGTGCGTGAAGTGTTGTTGATGGAATGGAAGAGTGGCTGTTGGCTGATGGATGAGAGAATGTGGATTGAGCAAAGCGAAGAGTGTTCTTATAGGAGCATTGTCAATCGACGTAATGCATGGCCTATGCTTTTTGACGCATTAGCACTGACCAACAAACATACCCGCCTTTGGATCCCTCGCAAGGCACCGCCTCACCATTTCTCTTACGTAGCCATGATGGCGTCGCTGGGTTTCACTGGTCCGCACCGCCACTTCATGCCACGGACCTTCACAAGCCATACGATTTCCGGGGTCCCACAAATGCGGCTCGAGCATGATTGGTGCGTTCCTTGCCTCGCCGCAGCCGTTTCTGTGGAGAAACTCAAAGCTTGGCCTGGGGTGATCGTCTGGTTGCATCCCTTGCCATGACGACAGACATTCTAAAAATGTTGCTCGAGCGATGGCGAGAACAAAGACTGCGAAACAGGTGGATCCACCAATCCATCTCTTACCGTTAGAACGGTGGGCGACGTGGTGCAGGATCGAGTTGATTTGAAGAACCTCTGTGTTTGCGTAGTGCCCCGAGGCTCAGTTGGGTGAACAGCGCCTCTTTACGCGTCCTTCCTCCTGGGTTGCTATCGGGGTTCTTTGAACGGTCTGTCTTTCTGGCGAATCATGCATCCAGCATCCGGGAGCGCGGCACAAACCAAAAATGTCGCATGCGCGGTTTCATCAAGCAATATTGCATCTTGGCCTACGCAGCTGCACACGTTCCCAGGGCAATCTGGCTTGCTCCATCCTTCCCGCCCTGGCAACGGTTGCCGTTAAAATTACATCACCAGAGTATGAAACGCGACCCGTACAAGAGATTGAGGCTCCACGCCTTGGAAGCGCATCGAAAGTCCTGTTCCTGAACGCTGAGGTGAGACTAGACGGCGCCAATGTCGGAAGGTTTTAGGCCAAGAGGAGAGATCGGTTATACAATTGAGAGATCGGTTACACAAGTGGCGCGCACGACCTCCATTGCGTCGTGATGTGGCGCGCGGACAAGTCGCCGATGGCCGATGGATCGCGAGCAGCCTACACACTTTTCCATTCTTATTTTAGGTGCATGCCTACAGTCAGCAAGATCATGCCCCACATGAGACTGTACGGGACTTTCCGGTTGCTACGACTTAACCCTGTTACCTTCTCGAGCTTGAAAATGCCTTTCTGTCGAGCTCAATCCGTGTTATGTACCATAGGTCACACGAAGACTGCCGATATGTGCAGCGAACATTAAACAGCACTGCCCTACGCAACCTTCAAAGTCTCGTAGTCGGGTAGGAATGCCGCAGTGGAGGCTTCTGGACTCCGAGCTGCGCTACTGAAAAGTGACACTCGGGAGACGAGGATAAAGTAGGAAATGAATTGACCAAGGATAATTACCTGGTCCCAAATAACGGGCTGCAGTACCCACCGGCTTCTTCATTGCCAATCTCCAGTAGCATGAGACGGTTGCGTGCGAGATTAAGACTTTAACGACTGTGCCAGTTCCTTCTCGCGGACCAACTTTAGGTATAGGCCCAACAAGTAGAATAGGCGCACTTTCTTCTCAGGACAACTTCGCTCAAGTCAGTCTGTGCGGAACAGTCGATCGCAAAACATCGGCCACATCCTACTAAGCAAGTCTTCGTCTCCAATTCAATTGCAAGGTCTTACCTCGTCACCAAAGTGATGTCGAATGCGTTATCGATACGAGCAGTGAGGCCCAAGCTCCCATTCCTGAGCTTCCTCGCCCATCAACACCATCTCCCATCCCAACCGCAATTGCAGACTCCACACCTCCACAATGCCGCCTAAACCACCCAACCGAATACTACGACCGCCGAAACCTCCTAGGTCACCGTTCCGGCGCCCAGCACAGCAACACATACCCCCATCGAAGCCCTCACAACCCGAACAGCCCTCACAGTCTTACGAAATCCCAAACTCATCGCAATCTACCCCACCCCTCTTCACAGCGCGCACCCTCCGTTCCGGCGCCTCTATCGCATTTACCTCCTTCTGCGCCGCCGTCTTCTTCCGCGACCACTTCTATACCATTGACTCCGTCAACGGGTCCTCCATGGCGCCCACGTTGTCGCCCCTCGCGCATGAGACGGGCGCAAAAGACCGCATCTTCATAAAGCGCGGCTTCGACCGCCGAGACATCCAGCGCGGCGACGTCATCACGTTTTGGAAGCCGCACAAGCAGAGCGAGATCAGCATCAAACGGGTGGTCGGCGTAGAGGGCGACACGGTGTACCCGCACAGGGGGTATGCATGCAATCCTGAGGTTGTGAATGGGCGGCGTGTAGAGGGGTGGGATGGGCTGGGGAGTCGGGAGTGGGCGTTGGGCGGGGATGGAGAGGTTGAGCTCGGGAAGGTGGTCGTGCCGAATGGGCATGTGTGGGTTGAAGGCGATAATTGGCGGCGGAGTTACGATAGCTGTGATTTTGGGCCTGTGAGTTTGGGGCTGGTGGATGGGAAGGCGAGGTGGGTGTGGAGGGATTGGCTGCGGCTGCAGCCAGTCGGGGATGAGAGGGAGAAGGGGAGGAGCAAGAGTATGGTTGTCGCGGGGAAGGGCAGAGTAGAGAGGAGGTTCAGCGAAATCTTTGATGGGTGATGGATGCCGTGGATTCATTCAGTCATGCCGAAGCTCGTGTATATACCCCATGCAACATGCAATTTATTCCGCCAATGTAGCACCTCTCTACCACTTCGCTTCCTTGCTGGTGGTGAAGGTCCTCAGAATGCCTACATTCTTCTCCAACGCCGCCAGCCACGACTCAAGCGCTGGCTGAACCTTGCTTTCATCGTCCCCAAGCTTAGCGTAGAAGTCCTTGCGGTATGGGGTAGCACTCATGGCGGCGCTGAAGATGGGCTTGATGACGAACGAGTGGTGCGGCTTGAGCGTGTTGCCGTAGGCGTCGCGAAAGGAGTCGGAGAGTTCCTTGGTGGGGTTGGCGATGTTGTGGCGGAGGGCTTGCGCGGTGAAGTCGAGGCCACTGCGGAGACGTCCGTGAGTGGTTGCACACAAAGTAGTAACAGATAGCCTGGAAGATATAACATACCGAGTCAACCATAGGAGACCCTCGGTTGCAACGTGCTTCTTCTCTTTGAGCTCGTTGATGACGAGGTCTTGGAGGGTATCGGAGAGGGTGGGAGCAGCGAGTTGGCGGTCGCGGATTTTCTGTTTTCTCTAGTGTTAGACTTCTGCCAACTGTATCCCCTGCGTATCCATGTCCCCGCTTTCTAACTGCCCTTCCTCCTCAGCGAGATCCAACGCACCTTGATGTTAGTGCTCATGTCATTCTTGACAGGCTTAAACGCTGCCGAGCCAAGCACATCTGTACCACCAAATCAGCGCCACTCCAATGCCTCTGCTCCCAGCTACACTTACCAAACAAAGTAAGCAAGCTCTCGGCCGCCTCGAGAAATTCGGTGGTCGAGATCTTGTTGTCCGCCGTGATAGGCACGTCGACGAAGCTCTTCCTGAGCGTGTCGAAGTAGGTGCCGCCTGGGGGAATAGTAACAGACATGTTGGTGTTTAGTTACTTCTCTCGTTGAATTGATTAAAATAAAGGAGAGAAAGACAGTGTTCACAGAGGACAAGTGTGTTCAGGGTCCAGTCTGGCCATGGGAGCGGTGAGGCGCCGGCGTAGTGGGGGTGCTTGGCGCGTCAAGAGGCCAAAGCGGGGCAGGTGCGGGAGCTATGACGACCACTCTACCTCCTCGAGAGAGATGTCGCGCCTTCAATGGGCGTATACATGATTGAGGTGTTTCGGGGGCTCACATCTGAGTTCCCCACTTCGGAGCATGTCTTTGAGTTATGTGCTCCTATGCATCGATCACCAATTGGTGTCAATCACGATCAGTAGAAAGCTACATATCCTGTCTTTACAACCCTGCATTAGCTAACCCCAGCAAGGTTAACAAACAACTACCGTATGGTGTACTCTGCCCTTGATCGCGAATGTACATTGCATTGCGTGCATATCGGGCGGCAGCATCGGCAACGAGAACACAGCAGCAGCTATCCAGGCCTAACCCCACTATACTCTGCGTCTGTTTTTACCCATTTGTGTATGCCTTGCAAAAAGAACTAAGCAGCGTGAACTTGCACATCAAACAGCATGATCCAGAGAGCGTGTGCAGTTACTGTAGCTCACACGTTTACTTAGCCACCTCCGAGCTCGACTTCACGCATTTCGACTACTCCTCTAAAGACTACCTCGCGCAGTGAGATTGCGCCTAGGTGCGACGTAGATCCGGAGCGGCGGGAGCCAAGTGTTGTTGAGCCTGAACGATCCACAGCGGCGCGTTGAATTTTGTGAGGAGAGATTCGTGGATCCGTTAGGTGCGTTCTGAAATGGCGGTGGGATCGGTGAATTGTTTTTGTCAGGGAAGGGTGGAGGTAGGGAGATTGGATGTGTTGATGATGTGTAGGTGAAGAGAGAGTTGCGGATGTACTGATGTGGGCGGGTGAAGATATTGCTAGGCGGACGTGAAGACTAGGGATCAAGGTGGGGATGAAGGTACAAAAGTGTGAGACTGGTTCACATCTGATCATGAAAAAACGAAGCAAATTCCACATACTTGTCAAATGCATGGCAGAAAGCTCGGAAATAACAGAGGAAGCATCTATTCGTGTGATTTGGTAGCATATAGTACAAGTTAACGCACTGGTACATCTAGACAAAATATAAGGTCAGTGCTACCAACCCAAGCCATCTTCACATTCCGCTCGAATTAATGCTACACATGTAAAAAGAGATGGGGACATCTACTTGAGGGCCTTGATGACAGCGTCGGCGTACTCGTAGGTCTTGGCCTTGCCGCCGAGGTCACCAGTGATGGTCTGTTATAATCGTCAGCAATGCTTCATGAATGGGATGAATAGGAAGAAATCTTACCTTGCCCTCGGCAATCGTCTTGAAAATGGCCTGTTCGATGTTGTTGGCATGATCACCAAGACCCATATGCCTCAACATCATCATGGAAGAGAGGAGCAGGGCCGTGGGGTTAGCAAGCTGCTTGCCCTGGATATCGGGAGCGGAACCGTGGACAGCCTCGAAGATGGAGCACTCGTCACCGATGTTTCCGGAAGGGGTCAAACCAAGACCACCGATCAGACCAGCGCACATGTCGGACAGAATGTCTCCGTACAAGTTGGGCATGACAAGGACCTTGTCATTGTACGGGAGCGGGTCGGTGACCATCTTCAAGCAGGTGTTGTCCAGCAGCTCAGCGTCGAACTCGATATCGGGGAAGTCCTTGGAGACGTCGCGCGCAGTGGAAAGGAAGAGACCGTCGGACATCTTCATGATGGTAGCCTTGTGGACAGCGCGCACCTTCTTGCGGCCAATGTCGCGTGCGTGCTGGAAGGCGTAGCGGAGGACGCGCTCGGAGGCTTCGCGCGTGATGAGCTTGATGCTCTGAACGACGCCGTCAACGACAACGTGCTCGATGCCAGAGTACTCGCCCTCGGTGTTCTCACGGATCAGGACAGTGTCGACGTTGTCGTACGGGGTCTTGAAGCCGACGATGCTCCTGCAGGGACGCACGTTGGCGAAGAGGTTGAAGGTACGGCGGAGAGTAAGGTTGAGCGAGACGTGACCCTTTCCGACGGGCGTGGCGAGCGGGCCCTTGAGAGCGACGAGGTTGCGTTCGACGCTCGCGATGGCCTCGTCGGGGATGACGGTCTTGCCGTCCTTGAGGCGGGGGGTGACGTCGACAGGCTCCCACTTGATGGGCACGTTGGCGGCGCTGTAGATGTCCTTGACAGATTGCGCGATCTCGGGGCCGATACCGTCGCCCTCAATCAGCGTAACTGTGTACTTTCCGTCGTTGCCCTTCTGGCCCTTGAACTTTGCGACTTCTGAGGCGTAGGTTCGCGACTGTCTCTCAATTAGCCTAGCTAAGGGGGAAGGAACTGCGAGCTTCGCGACCAAGCACCAGAGCTCCAGGTGGTTGACTGACCTGCACCAGAGCGGGCGTCCACCTCGAGGTTGCGGTCGTCCGTCGCAGGCATTGCCGCGCGGGGGCGGCGAAGGCGCGTCCGGCCAGCATTGTGATGGTAGGATGTGTAGGGTTGGTCCGATTACAGCTACGCGCCGGGTCGTAGCAGGTTCGAACGGGTGGTGATGGACAGGCGGAGGTGTTGATGCTGCAACGCAAAGCTTGCGAAGATATCCCGCGGTTTGGCTGGCGGCCACTTGCGTTGAATCCGGTTAGTGCCCCGTGCTCCGGAAAGTGATTCGGTACTCGCCTCACACTTGCCGCTCACGATTGGGTATATGTAGGGCAAGTTTGCAAGTTTTTGACTGTGAGCTTCGGGGCTGATTGACTCCCCATGCCTACACGCTATTTGGTCGTGCTTCCCACCACTGCTGGCGCGGGATGACGGTCATTCGGATGCCATGCCAAGACCGCTGTCACATGCTGCGCGATTTTAAACCGGAGGGTGTGAACCACGAAGGAAATTTTGCAACAACGAACAATCAGCGAACATTTGTGCAACAAGTGCAAGTATCATGAAAATCACATCGATACTCTAGTGTGTCACGATGTGCGCGTGTAGTTTGAACGCTGCGGGGGTGTGGGGTACTGTGCACTGTATTGCCCTGAGACAAGCAATGCAGAGTTCGAATCTTAAATTCTAAGCCATTACCTCAGGAAGAGCCAAACGCAACTAAATAAGAGTCCGCTTCCGAGCGGCCGCATGGCCACCTGGGTAGCCGCCAACAGACAGTAATTTTACGGAACTACCAAGAGATACGCAAATAGTGCTTCACTTCGCCTTCCTCTGAAAAACAAACAACGCCTCATCCTTCCCTGCAAAACTCGGCAACGGCATACGCAACGTCAATTCAAACTCCTTCAACTCCCTCTCAACCCACTCATCCACCACCTCATCCCGAAAAGCCGTAAACCCATTCCCGTTTTGCGTTCCTGCAACCACAATACTATCCCCCTTGAACGCCTTCAGAACAGGCCCTGTAAAGTTGCCTGTGGCCTGCGGGTAGACGAGCAATAGCACACACCCCTTCCCTCCATCATGATTATTCAGGTACGAAATGCCGTCCTCGCGGATAGTGTCAGCCACCCAGCTCACGCGGTACTCGGACAGCCCGTTATCGATCGGCCGGACGTCGAGGGTCTTCATGTTCTCCAACAAGGGGAAGCTCCTGAGCATGAAACTCCAGTACCCGTTGCCGGAGCCTATGTCCAGGACCGGCCTTACATTTTCTTTTGACGGTTTTGCGGGCTGTGCCAGCTTCGCAACGACGTGTAGAGCTGCATAGGTCGGCACTATGCAGCCAAAATGATGGTAGAAGACCGGGAGAATGTGGTGCGCTATTTTTGTGTGTACGGTGTTTGGCCATGGGCCCGCCCATTCCAGCTCATCGCAGGAGTAGGTCCAGAGAGAAAGATAGGGATTGATGTGGAACCGGTCTTTCTTTGCAGGAATCAGACCAGTGGTAGTGTTGTGGAAGCGGCCTTGGAGGTGGTTGGAGATGTGGGCGCGGATAGTGCGGGGCTTTGAGCTTGCTTTAAACGCGTTTAGGGTCTTGGGAAGCGAGACTGCGGGCGAGAAGAGGCTGGCGTACGCGGAGATTTCGTCTGGCGATGGGTGTGCTGGGTCGCTCTGAAAATGTCAGAAAGCATCCCTTCAAGCCGTGTGCAATGTCACGATGAAATGGCGAGATGAATGGTAAAGAGTCGCGGAGAAAGTTTGCAATTAGTATTACATACAAGTTCCCTGTTCTCATCATGGTACCAGTCGTGCATACCGTGCACCCGCTTGCCATCAATGGCTCTCTGGGTGATGGCGAGGGTTGTCTCGCCCTGTGCTCTATAGACATAATTGTCCGATTTGGGGATGTTGAATGCAGCTCGGATGGATTCCTCAAAGCTTTTGCCATTATGCTTTGGATTGTACTTTTCGTCCGTCCACTCTCCAAGCAGCGCATCCGGACCGAAGTTCCTCAGCGCCATGCCTATCACTTGCCTCGATGGGTTTTGCAATTGTTGATGCAAGCGTAACCCAGTCGGCGCGAAAAGTTCCGGCGGGCCTCCTAGATTTGGCTCTATAGATTCTGTATCCAACTTAGAGCTTGGGTATGCTGCAACGAGGGAAGTATTCGAACTTGACCAACGAAAATTGATGACGATACATGTAGAGATGAGCGAACGCGGGCGCTGTTCCGCGCTATCGCTTACTGAGCCAATCGTGCGCTCCGAGGTTTGCAAATGCGCATTCGTCATCCTTCAGTAAGCCGCCAACGCTTGCCGACCTCGAGGCCGTGCACCGGGCTTGTAAGGCCTTACTCACCATTGCAAATGCTTAAGATCAAAGAAGGCTTCACTAAAGAACCCGCTGTAATCTTCTCGCACTAACCACACAGCGACACTGACAAGTATAAAGCAGCCCCACCACTGCGATGGTGCAGAAGGCTCCCTTGTTAAATGACAATTCAGCAAGAACACCAGCCTACAGCGCACACTTCGAGCATCCCAACCAAAAGCTTTGCAGTACTTGTCGCAGTTCTAGCAATCACCCTGGCGTGCTCCACATCCGTCCGCAGCGCCCTCTCCTCCGTCCTCCCTAGGAACTTTACCACACCCGCCCGCAGCATGGCTTCCGCGTCGGCCGCACCTATGAAGATCACCAAGCGTCCCTGGTCCCAACGTGGCCACGCCGACCACGACTGGCTCTACACCTACCACACCTTTTCCTTTGCCTCCTATTACTCACCCGATCCTCTCCACCAGTCCTTTGGCCCTCTGCGCGTCATAAACGAGGACCGCGTCAAGCCCACCACTGGTTTCGGCGCGCACTCCCACGCCGAATTTCTCATCTTCTCCTACATCGTCAATGGAACTCTCGAGCACCGGGATAGCATGGGCAACCTCGAAAACCTGAAGCGCGGCGAGGTGCAGTTTACCAGCGCAGGAACCGGCATTCGGCACTCGGAGTACAACCGCGATAAGAACGACGAAGTCCACTTCCTGCAGATCTGGGCGAAGCCGAACAAGTCGAGACTGGCGCCGCACTACGAGACAAAGAAGTTCACCGACGAGCAAAAGAAGGACAGACTGGTGCGCATCATGGAGGATACCAGCCGGCTGGGCGAGAAGACGGATACTTCGCCCATCGGCTTGCAGGCAGATCTTAGCATGGATGCGTCAATTCTGTCGCCGGGCAAGAGTGTTACCCATGATATCGTCGCCGAGGGCCCGCGCAAGATCTTCCTGCAAAACATCATGCATGGCCGGTCGCAGCCAAAGCAAGGCGGTGCGAAGATCAAGGTTGGCGACGTGGTTCTGGGCGAGGGAGATGGCGCATACGTTGAGGGGCTGGCTGGCCCGGGCAAGGTCGAAGTGGAAAGCGTAGGTGATAAGCCTGCAGAGTTCTTGTTGTTTGATATGGGTACCAAGGACGTGTAGATGGAATTTCCTAGCTGATCACCTTGTATATAACGAATTTCATCCTGTTAGTCACAAACTTTGTTGCTTCGCCATATGCATATTGATATAGGTGCCGAGAAGCTGTCAGTTGAGGGGTTTAACCCGTACAGGCACGTTCTGGACTGTGCTTTCTACAATGTGACATTGCTACTGCCTACGCAGTCTTTCTAAATAGTTAATGCATCCAAGTTCGCAACTCCACTAACACCATTTCAACTCCAATGCACCCATCCCACCTCCGTGCACCCAGTACATCATTCCTCCCACATTCCACCCATTCACCGCGTCTACCTTCGCTTCCAGTTCAACACCATCCCCCACAAAAACTTTCAACCGAATCTCCGGCCACATTTCCTCCTCTTCCTCAGCCGCCTCTCCATATTTCGCCGGAATTTCTGCCTACGCTCTTCATTTTGATGCTCTATCTCATTCTAACGCTGTCTCTCCCGATGCTCTCTATACTCACGCAGCTCCTCTTAATAATTCTGATAGATCGTTCGATACTCCAAGTAGAAGACAGAAATTGTCACTAAAAGGGCGAAAGCGGTACCGGTTTCGAGGCCATCAAATACGTGGACATCCTGCTTATCAACTCTCTCTGAGAAGATTACTCCAAAGAATATTCAATTTCGTTCTTCAATACCACTATCTTAAAACTCGTTCTACATCCCTAAATATCAGAGTACACGCCTGTCCGCAAATTATCATATCCGCTCTTTCTCCAGTAGGGACCAACAAGACATTCTGCGGCCAAGATCTACAATGGCAACACACCTTTCTTTCCAACCTTTACTACGTCATCCGACTGCTCTATATTCAACTCACTTGTTTCTCGTCCCATATCCTTCTTCTTCACCTTGATAAATTTTTTTCAAGCGCATCCAAGACCTTAATGGACTCAGACGCGCCACTAAGGCTGCTTTGGAAGAAAAGTCTAGTTTCACCGATCTTTTGGAAACAGTGGCCAAAAGATGATTCCCACTGAAACATCCCGATCAATTACAAAGACAACATGAAAATGAGCTGGTAAAGCTGTCTGCATTGCAATCGGAGACCATAATTGGCATATGCGACGTTATGCTCGGAGTCACCGACGGCTCTTGTGCTGTAGAGAAATTAGGTCAGACGCCGCCCCCAAACATGCCTTCAGTTGGATTAGCCAAATAGATCCCAGTGACTGTCAAATAGTGGCTATGTTCAGAGCTTTAATGTCTTCCGAGAATGAGCTGCCCCGCATCTTGAGGAGCAAGCTCAAGTTAGATCCAAGGGACTTTGCGAAAATATTCGAAGAGAAGGGGTAGAAGATAAGGCGTGTGTGCCACCCATCTTGTGAGTAAATTGGCAACTGGTCGTGTTGCAAGCCGTAGGTTTACATAAGGACTTACAAAAGTTTGTCTGCCTGAATGGCTCCAAAATGAAATTGAAAAAGCCTGATTTGATTCATACTACAGCTGATATGCCATGTATGAGACATCCTGTTCCCTTCCTAATTCCGCGTCGCATAAAGACCTGAACTGCTATCAAATTACACCATTCTAGGACTACAATGAGCATCAGAGAAGTCTTGTACTTGCTAAATTTTCAAAATCACAGCTCACATGTGTGGCTCACGAATGAAATCTTGAATAAGGAGATTGGTGTTTATGTGAAGTCCCTGCATTGCGTCACCAGGTCTGCAGGCACTAAACTCGCGCTGTCCCTTCCCTGGTTCGTCTTCCGCTCACCCCACTTGATGTACATCGTGGCCTGACGCCAATGTCTCGTCCCGAACAATGGAAATTTGAAATACTCGCAGTAACCCAGCAGATAGTTCATTAGATGTTTACATAGCACTCATATGATTTTCATCCATAATACATCTAATCTTTCCTGACCGAGCGTATCTTTTGTCACGAAAGCAACTGCCCTGAGGGCGCCCGTGTCTGTTGAATTTTAGCCGTTTGTACAAAGTATCAGACGTGCGTATGAAATATAACTTTAATTGAATTTTGCGCCGGAATGTGTCATCAGGCGAGATGCAACACGTGTGGTAAGCAACCATTTTTTCCTGGTAACATCTACTCCACGGCGCTCCCAGCTGCCTTGCGTAAACGAAGTGTACGCTGGATCACTAACTGTCCGCCATACAGGCAGGGCTACGTGGTGGGGCTGCGGACGGCACATCTCCAAAGTCATGAACAGCATCCCTAGGGAACAATGGTGTATTTGTGAGCCGAGGGTTGAAAGAAATGGGATGAAGTATCCGCCGAAAGGAGCTATGGGTAGTGTACTATCAGAGTGGAGCTTCTTGAAGAGATGAATGTGGAAGAGTGGAAGGACACGATCTTGTTAATGGATGTGGGATGGGGACCAGGTAGAAGAGGACAAAAGGACGGATGGTATTTTCCTCGTGCGGTGTTACTCAGATATTAATTTGTTAGCCGTCTAGAATATTTGCTCTTCGTATACACACCCGATGACCGAACTTCATCGTTGAATCATCCTACCGCTGATCTCCGATTGAATATGCTCACAACCACGGTGTCAAACAAGGCTGGACAGTCTTAATTGAGTAGCTATAATGGTCGAGGACACTAGTGGCCGCTCTATACGGGAGCAAAGCTTGCAATGTATCGTGGTTATTGAACCGAATTGCAAAAAATATAGCAAAACGACAGAGATTGTCACAAATCTTAGGATCAGCTCCTATGGTGAGGATGGAATCAACAATCTTGTTGAACCTGATTAATGCTGCCTATATAAGAACTGTTGCTCCTTTTTAACTCTGCACGTTAATATCCACCCCGGCTACCAGGAGCAAGTCTATGATCCCACCATCGATCATAGGGGGCCCTGGGTATACGGCATGATCACATGCTTCCCATCTTGATCTAGAACATGAATGTCGGCTCTAGTGTCAAGCATAGTTACGCAAACATATGCAGCTTCGAACTGAGACCCTAATATAGAAATAATTTCCCTCTTTTATATACGGCATTTATATCAGCATTGGCACTTAATAGCGCTGAAATTATAGCAAGGATGCCGTAGCGCGTAGCCGTAGCGCGTAGCCCAACGTAGATAATTCCACAAACATGACCTCGAAAAGTGCGTTTGATTCACATGCCCTATCGCTACATTTTGGCCCATTAAAACTAAAGATTTATCTCTCAAAATTTTCTAATCTTACCCGTGTATTCTATCTACATATGCCTCTCAAATGAACGGACTGCCATCCAATTCTTATCCGTGACTAAGCCCGCTATCGCATCATCCAGTGGTCCAAGCAAGTCATCTTGATGGCGTGAAACGACCCTGCAACGTCTGGGTACTGATACTTCGCTGCCACGGTACCTAGGTACCATGATCAGTGCAATATGCCCAACTAGAAATTGCCACCGCAAAAAGGAGAACCGCATTGATATGTCCTATGGGTCTTCATACTTCTGAACTAATATTCCATGTACATTACTTCATATTCTGTGGGAGACTGTCGTCCTCAGGTTGCTTCTCTCCACACATGCTACAGAACTTGGCCCCACGCAAACACGCGTGCCCGCAGCTTGGGCAGTATCGAACGTTCGGTGCTTGCTTCTCACCCACGCCCGGCTGTCGAGAGCTTTGGGTACTCTCGGTCCTTTGCCTTTCTTTAGCAATCGCTTCGTCTAAAGCCAACTGAGTACGTCTGTCCCTCTCTTCTTCCTCTCGCCTTTTGTCGACTGCTGCCTTCTCTGCGGCCCACTGCATCTCCGCGCTGCGCTGTGCCTCTCTCTCCACCTCATGTCTTGCTGCAGATCTTGACGCTCCCACCACGAGCGCAGCTCCCAAGAGGGGTCTTCTTCGGCCAAACATGACAATACTATGACTGTCAATTGAATTGGCCATGTACGCTATAGACTTGACTAACCTAGAATAACCGAAACGAATCGGTCAATTTTTCAGCAATCAGTTGATATTGCGCTCGACTTGGAACTCGGAATCAGGTCGAGGATTTGAAGGCACTGGAAGTGCAGAGGACTGATATTTTATGAGATGAGCGCTTGTAACACTGTGGACACACAGCACGTTCTACGATAAATTTGAGTTCGATAAGGGGAAGGAGCAAGGCATGTTGTTGGCCTAACACACCGGGATAGCTGTATATATCTGACATCCTACCATCGTGCTTCGAAAGTTCTTAATCGTGTAATAGTCATGTAAGGATATCACGCCATCGTCCCAGATCAAACAAAAACAATCCAGAACATTGCGGTAGAGGGCGATACAGTGCTACGAGTAATCTTACCCGAGTTTGATTTGTGCATAAAAAGCAGTGGTCGTATAGGCCGGTGATCTCCTGATGTGTACCGTTCACGCATAGGAGCTAGGGCAGCCCTAGCTTCCTGCCACGCTTCCGAGATTATCCGCCTGCACCGACTTGCCCTCAACAAGCAATTAGTTCCTTGGCGTATTTATCAGGATTCTTCGCGCAGCAATAGTTGCCACGCTTATCTGAATGGATAACGGGCTATTATCGGACACCACCCAGCCATACTTGCCTAGTATACAATTTAACTTCATGAAGGTTTCAATTTTTTTTTAATAATTCAGCAGATGTGATTCTAAGACATAGAAGGTCGTGATGGTATCTCCATAGCGTGGTATTCGAATGGTCATTGTTCAATATCGTAGACCACCATGACCCTGCGTTCTTCACCTTGGTCGTTCGTTACCCATGCACGCCTCGTATGCTTCATCTTCCCATCAATGGTCTCGAACCCCAAGAATGGCCGGCTTCCCACTTGGCCGCTCTGCTCTCTGCGTGCATGATTTCTCCTTCACTGTCCTCCTCAACCCACTCACCGTCTCAAGCCTCTCGCTTCTTCAACGCCGATCCATCGGCCACGACCCTGCATTTCTCCGAAGAGGATGTTTCGTTCATACCATTCCCAGCTATCTTCCCCAGGCATCTGGCCCACGGCGTTGGGATCCAAGGTGCGTGCCTCCGAAGGCAAGGGGCGCTCTATGCCCACTGGGCGACAGATGCCGGCGGCGTCTTTCTTCTTCTTCCGCGTGCGTGTGAAGAATCCTTTGAGTTTTCTACCGGCCTTGTGGGGTGTCGAAGTCGCGGCTACAAGGGGTGCGGTGGCATGACTAGCCGGATCTTGGGGAGTAGATGGATGATGAGGCGCGACATGATTCTGTTGTTGCTGCTCCTCGAAAGTCTGGATTTGGTTCACCTCTTCGAGCGCTTGCTTGCGCTACTCAGCCATGTGGCGAACTGGAAGCGGTTGGCTGTGTCGTATATGTTGAGGCCTTTGAGAGGTGTGAACCTGATATGGATGGAGCGAAGTGTTCAGAGTGTCGCACGAGGGTAGATACCTATAGTAAACGGTTGTGGGTTGCGATCGTCGATGTAGCAAGTAGCGTACAGTCGGGCGTGTGGTCGACTATCGCAGGCGGCGGGGTCAGGGTCTTGTTTAGTCGACTCTGCGAACAGTTGGCAAGCGTCCTGCCTAACAGAAAGGCATGGTCTCCACTTAGTGCGTGTGAGCAGCATTATCATTCTTGAGGTGGTTGCAATTTGTTTCCAACCCCAAGTCACTCACTGATACCTGGCATGCTTGCATTGGTGTCACAACACTCTGCAGACGAAGAGACAGCCTCGACGTGTGTATAATCTTTTGTTTCTAGGCTCGCAGAGGGAAATCTGCGCGTGATATATAGTCGTATTACCTTTAGTCTCTCTCTAATTTTGTATCCCATGTATACGCTCCTATGCTTTCATATTAGTTGGATTCTAACTCGTCCCCTAAGTTTTACTATGCGGATAACGTTTTAGTGTACACAGGGATATTCTACCAGTATAAAAGAGGGGTATGATATTAAATATCACAATGTTTCTAACGTATAATTGACTATTTATTTTAAGAAGCTGGACTGTTAAATATCACTGTGGCTAAACTAGTGATATACGTGGCTAGATGTTAGGATCCACTCATGCGCGACGCGGGGCATCGGCTTATTATACTCCTAACCTTATGGCCTGAGCTAGACGCCAAGGACATTGCATAATAAGTTATGAGTCTTACGGATCCTAAAACCGCACGGGCCACAATCTCGTCTTGGACTCTAGGACACAGGACTCTGGGACACATAGGGCTCTAGGATATATAGAACTTTAGGACGCATAGAACTCTAGGACGTATAGGACTTAGGAGTATATAGGAACT